TATCATACTATTCAGGTTAACCAACATACCTACCATATTCTAAATAATAATCAACTATATACTTAGGGAGCACCTTAACTAGTTTATTATAGTATACCTAGATAATATCCTAATCTTCTCTAATATATTAGAAGAATATAAGGAATATATTAAAAAGTACTATAAAAACTATAGAAAGCTAAGTTATTAGTAGAACCTAAGAAGAGTTTCTTCTATATATAAGAGGTAGACTTCCTCAGTTACACTATTAAACTAGGTGAGATATAAATATAGGAATCTAAAGTATAAGTAGTCTTAGACTAGCCTATACTATAAATAGTAATAGAAGTAAGAGGCTTCTTAGGCTTCGCTAACTTCTACTGACGATTCTTATATAACTATAGTAAAAGGGTGAAACCCTTAATAGACCTTATGAAGAACGAAAACCAGTTTATTTAGGGAAAGGAATAGTAGGAAGTATTCTAAGAAATAAAATAAAGTATCTATAAATAGCTAGTACTATATGATATAGACCCTAATAAACTATTCAAAGTTGAAACTAATACCTCCAACTATATAATCAGAGCCTAACTTAGATAATAAGACCCTAAAGGACAACTAAGACCTATAGCCTTTATATTAAAGAAACTTAATAGACCTATAATATGATATAGGATCCCTAATAAAGAACTAATAGCTATTATAGAAGCTTTTAAAGAATAGAAACACTACCTCATTAGAGTAAAGTACCTAATCAGCATATTCTTAGACTATAAAAACCTCACTAGCTTTATAATAACTAAGGAGCTTAATAAGCGACAAACCAGATAGGCTAAAATATTATCAGAATATAACTTCAAAATCATATATATTAAAGGAATAGAAAATAGAAGGGTAGATACACTTAGCTAAAGGCCTAACCACTTTAAGAAAATACCTAATAAAATGAAAATAGTATTTTACAAACATACTAATAGAAGCTTATAGTAACTTATAGTAAGCTACTAACTATAGCATAGTTACCCTACTATATAAGCTATTGAAGAGTACTATAGAGGAGGAAACCTTATAGATAACCATAGTTACTAAGGATAACCAGTACTAGAATATCTAGTAAGAAGTCTCATATAAGCAGTATATAAGTCTCTAAGAGGAGGACACCCAGGTATCACCAAGATAGTAAGTAAGATACCAGGAAGTTATACAATCAGAAACCTCAGGAAATTAGTATAGGAGGAAGTTACTAAGTGCAACTTATATACTAAGAATAAAGCAAATAGATATAAACTATATAGACTCCTATAACCTATACTAGTACCTAAAGTACTATAGCAAAGTATAACTATAGACTTTATAGTTAAGTTACCTGAATTAGAAGATCTAGTTATAAGTCAAAAATACGATAGTATTATAGTAATTGTGGATAGGCTAATAAGGTATATATACTTTATACCTTATAGAGAAATAATAAATATACTAAAGTTCACTAACCTATTCCTATAAACTATACTAGCTAACTATAACCTACTAAAGGAAGTTAATATAGATAGAGGAGGTATATTTATCTCTAAGTTTTAGTAGAGTCTTATAGACCTACTAGGGATATACTATAAGTTATTAATAGTATACTACCCTGAAACCTAGGGAATAGTAGAATAAGTTAACTAAACTATAGAAACCTACCTTTAGTATTACATCAATTAGGACCAAGATAACTAGGTAAAGTACCTACTATTAGCACAGTACATATATAATATAAACAAACACAAAAGTATAGGAATATCACTATTCTATATAAACTATAGAATTAAACTAGAACTAGGGTTCAAATTATGAGGATAATATTCAATAGCTAAATAAGCAATCATAACAGTAGAATAAATAAAGAAGCTATACTAATAACTTATAATAGAACTTGAATTTATATAAGAAAGAATAATAAGCTATATGAATTAAAAGAGGATTAAGGGACTAACCTTCTAGGAGGGGAGCAAGGTCTACCTACTCTAAAAGAAAGTAGGAAAAAGGGATCCCTAAATTACTATAAAAAGACTAAGTAATAAACTTAATTATAAAAAACTAGGACTATTTATTATCAAATGAAAAATTTCAGAAGTTAACTATAAACTAGAGTTACTAACTATAATAGGACTTAAGTACCCTATCTTTTATATATTACTACTAGAACTAGTATATAATGATATACCTATAGAAGAGTTAATTATAGTTAAACTAGTAGAAGATAAGTAGGAAGTAGAGAAAATCCTTAACTCTAGCTATAATAATAATAGAAAAATCGAGTATCTAATAAAGTGGAAAAATTTCGAACATAGTGAAAATATATAGGAACCTATTAAACACCTTAAAGGGAGCTAGAACCTTCTAGCTTAGTTCTACTAGAAATACCTGTAAAAACCTTAGGATCTATAGGTATATCAAAATCAAAACCTATAGTATCCTAGTTAATCACCCCTACAGCCCCTAGAGACTAAGCCTGCCTGACCACCTGTTAGGTTTCCACTACTAAAGACTCCTCCTCTAACAGACTGGCCACACTGTGTCAGAAGAGTGCGTCCCTGCGCTCCCTAAGGAGCTTACGCTGACGATGAAGGCAGGCAATCCAAGCTATCAGCTCTAGAAGCTACTCCTCTGATTTCTCAAGGGCCTCATCTACTTTCTAGGTTTCCGTTATAGTATGAGAAACTATAGGTAATAGTAACTATTAGCTAAAGTACTAGGAGGGCATTAGGAGGAATAAGGAAGAAAGACTTATAAGAAGAGGCGACCAGGGAACCATCGCAGGACCTCTTCCCCTTTAAATAAGCTAAGCACTAGGAAGAGCTAGAGGCTATATAATAGACCCTCCCTACATTAAAACACCAGGAGTAGGGTATATCTAGGTCCTCACTAAAAGAAGAAATATACTAAGTAAGGGTTTCACTCTCTTATTTTTTATAAAGAGTAGTAGTAGAAGCGCGTTTAGAAATATAGCCTGTTATAGTGTTAGCATTACAACAGAAAAAGGGATAAGAATAGAGGAACTAGACTAACTAATAGAAGGATAGGGAACTAAGGGCTAGATAAGGAAGTCTTTAGGGATAAAGACTAAAGGAGGGGAGGTATTATATTATAAGTGGCCTAGAAGAAGGCCTAAAGGGTGGTGAAACCTGGTAGTAAAAAGGCAGATCCTTGGGTAGTAACTGACTAGTAAGGGAAGGACCACATAAGGAGTGAATGCGGTCCTGGAAGGACTGCACCTTAAGTATCTGTGGTCTACCTAAGGACTGCAGCTGTGGACACTACGGTCCTAAGGGAAGTCAGGTCTATATAAGGAGATAAGTAGACCTTAGAGGGAAGGAAGTTCTATATCCTTTCTAGTAGTCAATTTAAGTATACTTGACCCCTATACTTGAATATATATTACAGATAATGATATTGTTATACTATTTGATTGCCTCACTGAGCCACTAACAGGCCTGACTGTTCTAACCCTAACGCAACCTAACCCTAAGCAGCCCGTCCTAGTGTTGGAACGTCACACATAGGACCTCTTTCCCTTTAAATAAGCTAGACACTAGGAAGAGCTAGAGGCTATATAGTAGGCCCTCCCTATATTAAAACACTAGGAATAAGGTATGTTGAGGTCTTCGCTAAAGGAAGAAATATATTAAGTAAGGGCTTCGCCCTCTCGTTTCTTACGAAGGGTAGTAGATATATATTTAGAAACACGATCTGTTATAGTGTTAGTATCACTATAAGAATATGAGGATAGAAAGAATGGAACTAACTGCTAAGACAATAGGAACAGGGAGCTATAGGTTATAAGGGTCTTTAGGGATAAAGACCGAAAGAGGGAGGTATCATGTTATAAGTAGCTATGAAGTAGGCCTAGGAAGGTAGTGAAACCTGGCAGTAAAAGGCAGAACCTCAGGTAGTAACTAGCCAGTAAGGAAAGGACCGCATGAAGAGACAGCGTGGTCCTGGAAGGACCATATGGGAAGACAGCGCGGTCCTATAAGGACCGCACCATGGGAAGTTGCAGTCCACGCAAGGACCGCAACTAAGGAAACTGTGGTCCTAGACAAGTCACCAACTATATAAGGAAGCAAGTAAACCTTAGAGGAAAGGAGGTTCTATATCCTTTCTAGTAGTTAATTCAAGTATACTTGACCCCTATACTTGAATACGTATTACGGATAACGATATTGTTGTACTGTTTGATTGCCTCACTAAGCCACTAACAGGCCCGACTGTTCTAACCCTAACGCAACCTAACCCTAAGCAATACGCCCTAGTGTTGGAACGTCACACTTCATACATCCTGTTGCGGTCTATGCTGGACCGCGCTTCCTCACTGACCCGTAATCACGGTCCTTCTCCCATTGGCGGCAGCGTTCTGCCGAGTTTTATCCTTTTCTGCCTTGCTTGTCCGCCTTCGTCGGCCTACTTCCTGGGCCGCTCATGACACGATCGCGACCGTCCTTCCTAGCGCTGCTGTTCCTATATTAGCAGGCTGCTTCTATATTTTAGCCATTTCTATCACTTCTTTCCGCTTTAGCTAGCTTCCTAGTCGTGCATATGGAATGCGGCATTTCAGCTCGTCTAAACCTACCCGCGTCACTTATAAAGAAAGTTATATATCCTTCTTAATAGTCAATTTAGGTATACTTAACTTCTATACTTAAAGATATATTATAGATAGTATTATGATTTGATTGCCTTACTGAGCCACTAATAGGCCCTAACTATTCTAACCCTATTATAATCTAACCTTAAGTAATATATAGTAGTGTTAGAATGTAATACTAGGGCCTTTCAGTTCAAAACTATGTAAGTTCTTTGAATGAACGGCTTGATATACTATTCAATGCCAAAGACTTCTTCAAAGGAAGATCGTTCCAAAAGTTTCGGCCTAAAAATAGTGTGCTCAGGGTCCAGCTCCCTCCTCCATTCAACACCATGGATGCGACAGACCGGGCCGAAATTGTGGGCTTGGGCAGCTATAAAGGCCTTCGTAGCACCTAGCTCTCCTGTGAACTGGCCAGTCTGATCGTTATAGTCTCCGTTATAAAACCGTGTTGCCTGAAAGTCATTCCGGGCTTCCTAATCGATATACAGAACTGGTAGATAGCTGAGGCATAGTCGCTCGCCAAAACCTCGCGTTGGTCATTGCCGCATCTGTCTGTCGCAGGGTTCGGCCTTTTCCCGTGTGCTGAGTTCTGGCGGACGGCGTCGATCTCACTAGACACCATGTTAACTGTGATGCCGATGATGGAGCCCTGAAGGATGGAATTTAGGTTGGCGTAGTTATTGTCAGTGAAGTACATATATATGCCGGTGGCGACATTGTTGCAGAAAGTTGGAGTTGCGCCGGCAATATATACTGCCGCGGCCCTCGATGATTCAGCGGCCTGCCGAACACATGCCGCCAAGCTCACGCAGACTTGATTCCTTCGTACTACAGTCGAGACTTCCGTCGAGTTTGACACACTGACAGTATCACTTAGGGCAAAGGTCCGTCGTTGCCAAGGCATTACCGAAGCCCCTTTAAGCGATGCTATATCCACGGGGCGTATCAACCGTGGTTGGCCTTGGAAACCTTCACCTAACACTTCAACCGTGAGGCCAGACTCATTGTCTATAATCGTTGCAAAGTGGCCATAGCCTTCTGGAAGTCCGCCTTGGAGTGGGGGAACCGCTTGCTTAGGAATCGCGCTGCTGAATGCGTAGCCTACTAGAGAGGCCTGAGCGAGGATACCGAATTTCATGGTGGAGGGAGTGTAAAGATCAAAGAGTAAGAGCTATGTCTTGCCAGCAACTAGATTTTAGCTCGTGATATGGTTTAGGGAAGATATAAACAGATAGTAAATAGAGATAGGATTCCTTTATCAACTGAGGATCCTGGGGTACACTTTATATATTAAGGTCTCTTCAACTAGTGCGTATGTCTTCATCGGATTTTAGTAACTTACGAATGTTCTTCAGCCTAAGCACTCTAGTAATATTGTTCTATTCATTCCTAATAGTAACGTCAGCACAGACAGCGGTTGCTTATGAGAGGGGTTTAGTCTAACCGATACTCGAACCATAAAAGTTATGTGACCAACATATAGTTACATCACGTATTACTCCCTCATTTCACCAATAAGCAAGATAAGATAAAAACGGGCTATGCAGAATGTAGCCGATACTCGAATCAGGAATATAGTGTGACCAACACATAGTTACATTACATCCTCCTTTTACCAATAAGTATAGTAAGGTGGAAGAACGGGCTAGTTAGGATCATGAAGCCTAGATGCTAGTTCCGAGGTTCTTAACGCATAGACTTAAAGAACCAACGTAGGGTGGCATACGGAAATATAATATTTATCCGAGCGGATCAAACCGTGTCCTCGGGGACGTTATCTTATATACGTCTAGTAATGGAAATAAATTTTCATTAGATATGAAAGAAATCTGATTTACCCTTCTTAAACTTACGTTTAATATCCTATATAAGGTAACTACATCGCTCAGACTTAGCTATTAGATATAGGAAGATCACTCGAACTATGTGAAGCTTCATCGTTGGTTCTACGAGTGTACTAGGGTATTACTCTGTAATTTTAAGCGAGTTAGGATAAACATGGGACGGAGTGCATCCGCGGAACACCCCTGCTCTTTTCCGGACCGGGAGCACTAAAAATAATCTATCCTGTTCTCGCCTAGCCGGCATACCGAGGTAGATGCGACAGTTTGCTCGCTATGGTTACATCAACTCGGGGTTTTCCTATTGGTTAAAGTGTAGGCGACGGCATTAAGTGTCGTATTTGCCAGCTACATATTTATTTCCAGGCGCCCACGCACATTTTCAAGTCTCCGCGATTTCTTATCCTCGTTATACCGAAAACATGTTGAATCCAGTGCCTGTCTCAACTACCATCTTCTTCACCCTTCTTTTCCGTTTCCTTCGACTCGTCTGGGGAAGCGACGTTGAGTCTCTAATGGGCTCGGACATGCATGAATACGCGCGTCAGCCACTCTTCTGGCCTCTTTCCACTGCCTGCTTCGCCTGGTGGCTTTTTCTGGTCGCACAAAGTCAGCTATCTCAACTCCAAAAGCCTAATAAATCCCTCACCCGGAAGCAGCCTATAGAAGTCCAGCAAGACTTTTCTCCCTGGATTAGGCCGTGCCTAACCTCCCGCGGGTATACAATTACGGCCTTCCTTATTAGTCTCGCTATAGCAGTTTACATATATATCGACACGTACTGGGTTTTGGTTACAACTTGGCGTATATTAGCTGGGTATGTTTACCTATGGCCAACATGGCCCGACGCTGCCCTCGGTTTACATATCTATCACCTGATCGGGCTCATAGTGGTGACACTAGCTTGCGGCGTGGTGTGGGCTATCCTTGGGACGCTAGTGTTATTCCATTGTATATTCACTATACAGCTTCTATATCACTATTTCAACTTAGCTGTGCCTAAAAGAGCACCTCCTATAATAGCTCTTAATATTTAGCGACTATTTAAATATCACATCGCGACTCGGAAAGTCTACCTATACCTATACTACTGATATGTACGGAAATCCCTACTATACTATCTATCGTAGGGACTCTACTTGAAAAACGGTTAGTCTAATAGGCTAGTAGCATCACTCTAACGTTCAGTCGACGGGCTTCAGTGGGAAGGTTGATAACTTAGGGTTATAATGATTTAGTTAGAGTTCTCCTTATATTAGTATAAGATACTGTCCCTAGTGGACTTCTATACGAGTCGAACTTATCCGTTTTCATATATGTCGACGGCCTTCCAGGCCTACTTCTAGGCCTCTCGTGTAAGTGTCGCTTCCGACGGTGGCTATAGTTTTATTATAGTCTAGTGTTCTAGTCCCCTTCCTACTAGTATGGGATTACTCTTAGGTTAATCCTAACCCTAACCCTTCTTCCTACTCTAGGCCGCCTACTCTTTAGGCCGCTTATGACATCCTCATTATCGCGCCATAGCTCCGCTGCCTAAGTAGTATATAGCTCCTACATCTCGCTGCTACCCCGCCGACGCTCTGCCCGCGGCACTTTTAACTAGATATCTAGCTAGATCTCCCTGTCTTCCTCCTACTACCCCCAGCGCGCGCTCTCCTTCTACCCCTCCTGATTTTCCTGCTGTCCTCCACCACCTATTCCACTCCTCATCTCTATAGTTCTCAAATGCCTATCGTGCTCAGTTAGCTATTATATTGGTAATATATGCAGCTCTGAGTCTAAAATTATAGCCTTATCACATTAGCCTAATTATGCTAGACTTAGTATATAAATCTCCGTCTCCCCTATACTTTTCAAATTAGAGCGAAGCACTACACCTTACCCGATCTACTTCTTTCCAATATATCTATATTTCAATTATGCCACACGACTCATTCTGCGCCATTTGTGGTGGCCCGAATATCCTAGTACTTATTTCGAAATCGCCGCGATCAGAATATTTCAAAAAACGATTAGAAGCCACTTTAGCAGAGCGTAAAGCAAAAATGTTCCTGATCACGAGCATACCTATTTAGTACACTTAAAAGATCTCCCTCAACATATCTTATACGATGAAGATGGAAACAAAGAAGAGCATACCTACGATTGCGATATTATCACAGAGGACGATATTCAATGGACTAAAGATTTTTACGGCCTCTCGCTTGGCGTTCCAGAGGATGAGGACTATGTTAAAGGGTAAAGTATATAGAGAACTGAATCTATTAAGCTAATACTAATATATATACCGCTTTGTTATATAGACCCTTTATTGCTGGACCGGGAAGATTATCAGACTTTTCAGAAATTCATATGGGCCCTCCGTGGGGAGTACTCACGTGCTACTTTCAGAATGATGATGACGATGAGCCGCCGCCTATGTGCTTCCCGTTTCACCAAGATTGCTTTCAACTATTAGAAAGATGCATCACTGGCAGCTCGCCAGCATCACCAGCACTTCATAAACTCACCTTATTTAAGGTGATGCGGGGACTCCTAGACCCTCGCGTCTCGCATTCCTACGCCCTTAATATCGATTATGGTCAACCCCGTCCCCCAATCGACCAGTATTGGATATGTCATCCGGGCGAGGAGATCTTTGTTGCGCAGCCAACTACAACATTTAAACTTCTAGAACGCATGCGATATACACTCTCTAAGGAAGCCTTCCAACTCCAGCTATCTGCTGTAAGGTCACCGTCTGTCAAGGATAGAGATAAGCTCCTTAGCTGTCTCTCATATGATATTCTTCACCAGGTAGTAGATTTCCTACCAACCAGGGATGTTATAAGCTTAATGATAGCTTCTCCCTTAGCAAGGTGGTTGCTTTTACCAAACCTTACTCTATGGTGGGGCCGGATCAACCAAGATATGCCCTGGTTCTATGAACTACGCCAGGTAATAACCGAGATAGAAGATGCTAGTGGGAGCAGATTAGACATCCGAAAGGTTTGGTCTTGGGCCCAGATAGTTTCGTGTCCAACTCAATTTATGCGTGGTGAATATATGGGACTAGCTAATCGGCGACGTATTTGGACACCATGTTCAACCTTAGCAGATCTTTACTGTCAAAAGGTGCCTAATGACTGGGATGGAGCCTCCGATCAGTCGAAATCCGAGTCAAACTGGAGCTCCGAAGATGAGGACGAGGAGGTTAATGACGGTAACTAAGTTAGGAATAAGACTAATTAAGTTAAAACTAAATATCTTAAAGTATACTAATAGCTAAAGACATAAACTAAAGCCTATTCTAGCAATGACTAAACTGTAATAGTAGCTTGCTTAGGAATATCTAGCGCTATAAGTCCCCGTCACATCAACTTCACCTAATGGTCCGCTCGCATAGGCGGTGCTTATAACTATATAATCCTAAGTTTAGGTTCGATCGTTAGGATATTTTAGAGATCTCACTGTATTCTTTCCTCCTCTTCCTCTCTATTTTACCTCCTTCTAAGCTAGGACGTTATAAGGCTGTTTTTCCGGGCTCGTCCACCGCCCCTACGTTGCTGTTATTATTGTGTTTTTCTTTGGTTTTGAACGATCTTGTGATGGGAGGTTTCTAGAGTCGCCTCTTTTTGCCGCACCCCTTAGCAATATTCTAAGGTGGCTTATAGTGTGCATTTGCACCCGCCGATGCGATAGTAAGCGTAAGATTAAACCGCCGCTTAATATCTTCTAGCACTTAGTCGGACCCTCTTAGGCTAGTAATATCTAGGCTAGAGATAGCTTAGCTATAGAAGATTAGTTAAGGAATTCCATAGTAGCGACTAAGATAAATTAAGTTCAAATACTATTCGCTGATATAATATACTATCTATTATATAGTAGGGGAATCAAAGAAATCCGGATGTTAGTATATAAGTGATATAAATCCTATTCGATATAACATAGGTCATCATTCTAGTTTCAAGCCTAACTTATATATATGCCTGCCCAATATACACCACCCGTGTTCCGCTAGCACGGCCTTAGGGTCGACAATAGATATATAATAGCAAGCGGCCCCTTACCTAGATCTATATTCTGTTGACCCCTATCATAATAACATCCCGTATCCGACTATTAACCGAACACTTTCTTCGATTTATCTCGATATAACCTCTTACACGATGTGCCAGCGCGAGTATACATTCAGAGATTGCGGCCATAAGGATAAGGTCTATGTCCAAGTTGATAGCGGCCCGATATGTAAATGCGATACGATCGTAAAGAGATACGATGTGGCCGGGAAATGCGGATCTTGTTAAGGATTATACTAGGTATTTTATAGCTTTTAGAAGTTAAACCTTTAAGCACTTATGCTGATGTTTAGTATATCTTCTAAATTGTGCGTCACGAGCAAAAGCTGGACGTTTCGAAGCCGAAGGCCTCTTTGCCGCGCATCAATATTCTATACAGTCATAGGCCGCGTGTCCCACTCAACATTCGGTATTTTGGTCCCATCAAGGCAAGATCACCAGCGGAATCTGAAGTATGAAGGTAGTATGGTTTTTCATCTTCGTAAATAGCGAGGTTAGCGAGGGAAGCGATCTTAGTCTAAATATCTAATCCTGACGGAGCTATCCCATCTCGCAGGAAACGACACAACTGTTTTGCTTTTAGAATATCTAGGGTAGTTCATTTTCAAATTGAATGCGTTGGTAGATATGCCTCATCTAAGCGTGCGAACGTATAGAGGTGATGGATACCTATAGTTGTAGACCTTTCACTACTTAGGATTTGAGCGAGCGGGGTTCAGTCTCCCTGGTGTCCCTATGTATGCTTGTAAGGCCGGTCATCAGACCTGCTGAACGTAGGGTTACGGCACAAAGTCATCTTCCGACATCCCACGTTTTCGCTCACATGTTTCGAATAGAAGGATTAGCCTCGGAAGCAGCTGACTGTGCATACATCATATCAATCACACTTAACTATGCAAGAAAATGCACTTTATTCTATATTACTGTATTTCGGCGAATCAAGCTCGTTTTTAATAAGTGTCCGGTGTGAAGAGTCGGAACCCGCATGTAGTTTATATCTAGTAGCTATGGGAAAGCGGGTGGCGATACGATCAGGGAGTTGGACCTAGTGTGAATTATGTGAGTTTTTATTTGTCTCGCTTATCTATATGACGTATAACTCTCTACTAGTATAAAGGCCTACTAAGCTTCTCATAGCTAGAACAAAGAGGATAGCTTATAGTTAAGGAGTTGCTAGAGCAGCTTATTACGGCAAATCTGATCTAGATAACCGAGCATCTGGTAATAGATTATTCGAGGGTCGCCTTGCAAATTATATAAATAAAAACCAAGTATTAAGTCGGTCTAGCCGCGGCCGCTGTGGAAGGCAAGAGGTCGAAGAACCTAAGCAACCGACACCGAATTCCAACTTCATCATACGCTTAATATCACCGCGAGCGGCATCTCCACGTTCGTAATTATCGCTTCGAACTTAAATTACTATAGCCTAGGCTAGTTTGATAGTCTCGGTATCCTAGGCATTAAGGAATTAAGAAAGCTTGTCGACTAATATTATGGAATAGATAACTATGCTAAGTGGTAGAATTGATTTATACACTATCTTAATAAGTATTTACATCTCTGTTTCACTAAATAAAGCTTAAGTAATAGAGAGTTTAGAATACCATCTCAAGCCCTGCTAAGCTAATAGATAGAATATAAATTTAATCAAATCTAGCACTGATAACTGAGCCGAGCGCTAGGATAGTATAATCAATACGCAAGCGAGTTCTATTAATTATAATAGTAAAACTTCTTTATATCTATCTACTATAAAGCTAAAGTAAACTTACTAGACAGCTGTGTGAAGGTCGCTATATAGGTCGATGTATAAATGACGCCGTCTAAGCTCCAATTCCTATACCTGGGCCTAAATACTAACTCTAATAGTTGTAAAGGGGATTAGTATACTGATACTTCAAAGTATCATGGAATACTGACCCTTATAGCGCGGTGAGAAGATTCACTCCTGTCATAAGTATCGAAAAGCCCCATACTGGCCGCATCATGTTTCCAACATTTTCCGACACTTCGTAACCCTTAGTGCTGAATGCTTTTGTCTGTCGCTCTATAACCATGTCGGGAGAGTCGCCATAGAGAGTAGCTTTAAAAAGGACTCTTTCTCCGTTGAGAGCACAGCTCTTCGCGTACGCAGGCTCTTTACAACTTCAGACGGATCGAATTCGTAGCTACTAGTGCCAATGCTAACTGTCATATTCTGAGCCAACATTGATATGAAGTATCCACTGTCAGTTCGAGCGTAGAACTCAAGGTCTAGGCTGGTATATTCGGCGTCGAGGCTGTCGGAGTCAATCTGCCATTCGATCGTGATCGGTTTCGAAACATCTAGCGTGTCCCCAGTTGGTTTCGTGTACCGCCAATTGTCCGCAGCAGCAAAAGCTACGAGTGATAAGGACAGTAGAAGATGGAAAAGAGGAGCCATAATTCTTCAGATGAAAGGCTTGATCAGGAGTACGTGGCAATATCTTTGAGTATTAACAGTGATGTTAGTAAATGTGGGAAGATGTAGTGATTTAGGATTCGGCCTCAGTATTTATAGATGAGCACCTTCTAGATTGATCTATCGCTGGCCGAGCTTCTCTTCTCTGCGTCGTGTTGTTGGTGTTTAGCCGGGAGGCTTAGCAACGGATCCGGGCTGTGGCGTTGCACAATTCAATTCAATTGCGAGCCGAGCGGAAACGCGATCAAAGATGTAACAGACAGGTGATAGTGACGAGTTTGATGATGAAAGAGAAGATACGCAATATAGAAATATCACTAGCTGTGATAGAAATATTAAGGAAAGGAAAAAGCGAGGATGGAAAACACCCGCTGGTGTACCTTGGGAAAACGAACCTTTTTGTTGATATTGCTGAAAATGGAATAGGGGAACGGCTTTAAATTTCAGGTTCAAAGCTTACATCCTTCTCACCCTTTCACGTCCTCTACGCGCCTTGGCAAACTAAACATTCTTATTAAGAGATCACAAAGCCGCCGTCTATTTATAGATGAGGCCTGAAATGAGCTGGAAGCGGAGGTTGAGCCGAAATTTACACTGACGGACCTCGAGGAGGAGGCCTTCTACGCATATAGCACAGTAGCCAGCCTGAGGATCTTTAACTTAGGCATCCCTCTATAGTATCCTGATCTTTATTCCCTACGATATTATCAGCACTATATTATTGTCTTCGTTAGTAATTGTCGTGCTAAGTTTTCACTAGTTTTATTATATTGCGCGCTGTCTTAGCACGACAATTGCTAACGAGGATAACAATACAGTGCTGATAATATCGTTCGGGAATAAAGACCCGAGATGCGGGGTCCTAGACGCCTCCACACACGAGATGCTTCATGACCAGATGCAAGATTTATATTTAGCGCACTTACGCCTGTCTGCTCTATCTTAAAATCAACTTTTCGCTGCGGATTCTTGAAAAAAAGAGAATAGCGGCGAGGAAATATCAGATGAGATCTTTTGATATAGCGCCACACCACTCTTGTGGGGAATGCCGTGATTTTACTGTCTGGGCCCATGAAAATTCCGATGCATTCACACAGCTGAACCACCTTCTCGGACAGCCAGAGAACGGTGACTCGTGTCTAGGTCGGGCTTTAGGCTGGCCTATGGTAAGCAAGGGTGCTATTATATCAAGCAATCGACTCGGACTCGCTCGTGATGAAGGCTGCACCTTAGCTGGCGCAATTTTAGCCCAAGCAGCCGCAAATTCGGCACCTCAGACTGACACTTGGGCCCTTGGAGCGACTTTGTCGGCTCTCCCAAACTCCCACGAAGATTGGTTTTTGGGATCTTTCATCTGCGTTCTGCTAAAACTATCTTTGGCATCCGCGTTCAAGACAAAAGTGGACATATAGTCGAGGAACCTATCGTCTTCAGGCAGTTCCTCCCTCGAGATAACACCTTTTGGCCACTAGTGGAGAGAGGTGAGTTTCTAACCATACGCGTTCTTGATCTTAACCACCCCTAGACTAATAAATAGTGGGAAAGCACAGGCGCCAAAGATCTACAACCCGTTGCAAACCTACGTTTTAATAGAGATCCCGGCTCGCCAACTGCCGTGGGTTTAGCGCGTGCGTGGCTTAAAACCTGTGTCGACGACCACGAGTCATGTCGTAGCCATACACAAGGGTACCGGCCTAGGAGGCTAATCAAGGTCAGTTCCGTGGGGGCGGCTTCAACTCAAATTAATAGATACTTCTACTATTGCCGAAAAGTCCCTCTCGTATGCCGCGCTGTCAAACATAACAGGAGACGGTGCGGGGCTAAAGTTGCGATCGCATCCCATCGTGGGGCTCTATGAGCCGGTGAATGTGGATGCGCTGCCACGAGTGATTATAGATGGGATTCGAGTAACATATGATCTCGGCCTAGAATACATTTGGGTTAGCACTTTGTGCATCGTTCGAGATGACGTAGCAGATAAGCGCCGGCATATTTCGGAACTCCATCAAATTTATCTAGGTGCTACCATCACAATCGTGGCTGATAGGTGTGAGAATGACGACCAGGGGTTCCTTGGCCTGCGGAGCCTACCATACGACGAGAAAACCACCACATGTTTTAAGATCAACTACGAGGCTGCCGGAGGCATTTCGGGACAGCTGATCCTCGTTCCAGAACCGTCTCCACAGTTAAGCTTGCGCGGGCCTGGCGCTGGCAGTGCGTGGACATATGTGGAATCCCTTATTTCTAGGCGAATTCTTTCTTTGGTGCATTCCAAACCACTTGGCGGTGCGACAATGTGCCGTCGGGGATGCAGATTGACTTCAGCGACGGGTTCGTTAACGATAAGGACATGCATCCCTTCCGCGACTATAACCCGGCATGGAACAGTATTATATCACCCTTCTCTACCCTTGAGATGCCCGATCCTTCTCAACGGCTCGATCTTCTTTCAGTCATTGCGCGATACTATAGTATGATAAAGAATACGACCAAGGACGAGTACTTTGCTGGGATCTGGAAGTCAACCCTCCCCCAAAGCCTCCTATGGTCTAGAGAGGACCATATAGAACCGAAACGTTATCCTGGGCCATTGATTGCGCCATCTTGGTCCTGGGTGGCACCTAATTGTGGGATATCACGTCCGGAATATCGGCCTCATCTGGACGATTTATTCGCGGTAGTAGATCTCTACATCCAGCCCACCCACGAAGATCTGCCCTGGGGCTCGATGAAATCAACTGAGCTGACACTACGAGGCTCAGCGACGGGTGCTTGGTGGTCCCATGACGGCTCAAGTTTTACTTCGCTTTCGAATATCATCTCTTTGCAAGATTTCAACTGCTCCAATGATGAAGCGCTGCCATATATCCGGTTTAAGAGCGATTATACCCCACCCGAGTTTATCAAGGGCGACTCAGCTTACGTGGAGGAGGGCGTGAAGATTGCTCTCATTCTACTTTTGGTTTCCGTTGAGAAACCTATTCAGAGATCATTAAGCGGTTTGGGTCTGAGGGAGGTAGAAGGCGGAAAATATAGAAGAGTTGGCCGTTTTGATATATATGTAGACTCTGATGTCCCTACAGCATTTGCAGACACTCTGATTCACTTTCTTGGGGATGGTGTTCGACAGTTTACTATCATTTAGTGGTTAGTCTTATGGAAAGGCATATTTCGCTGTCGAGAACAGGCAAAGAACTTTGGCGCAGCTTTTAACCTTGTCCCTATTGCCTACTCCTCTCTTTAGAGCAAGGAATATTACTAGGAATGTCTCTATCGTTGTTAAACAGGCTTCACTATCTGGCGTGCTTCAAAAGGAGCCCTGTGGACAAAATCGTCTCCAGTCAGATAGATCGAAAGCCTTCATCTTAGGCTCCCATATACGTTCGCTCTTCACAGCTTATATCCAAGAGGTATGAGTAATGTTTATTTAATGGGGTTGTCTGATACTCAGGTGGCGATTGAGTTAGAAGTAACCTGAACGCTTCTATTTAGGAGCTATCTAAATATCGAGTAGACTTTAGGATGGTTGATGAATGAGTTAGTGTGCTCGCCCGCATCAAGGTTACAATACTTAGTAGTACTCGCTACCTACAGCTATATAAGAGAGCTAGTATGGTATTATTAAGTTTACTTTTATGAAAACATTAATAAGGTAGCTAGCTATCTTTGAAGCCTCGGATCGCATGTCTGCTAAAGGTGCTAACTAAATGCGAGATTTGTACAGGTGGTAAAATGCTTACCTGAAGATACCGAGGTCGGCCACGGCAAAAACTTAAGCGCGAACCAGCCCTATAAAATGAGAGGGGGCTTGACGTCCCTGGTTAGATTCCATCGCATGCATGATATTAGAACAGGGATTGGAATCCATTTCATGGGTTGTGTGGATCCAGAAGGATGCGCTGCACGAGCGGAGCTCCGCCGACTTCAAATCTTGGGCCTGGCCCCCTGAAAGCAGGATTTGTCTATCATGGGATATTATTATTTATTATTTAGGACCTGAGCACGCGCATCACCTCCTTTCGACTTTGCTCGCTTCGAAAATTAACCATTCCGCTCTTCTCACACCACCACTTTGCATTCCCAATGTCGTTACGCACCGAGGCGAACCCCGTCAAAGAGCAGCTTTTGCGTGCGTCCTCGGACCAGGGAAAAATCCCGTCGTAAACGAATATGACGCTCCTGGAGAACACTTAACAAGGCCGCCTAATCGCCGAAGGTTTTGGGCTAGAACCCTCGTTCTAATCCTTGTTCCGTCTATCATCACTGCTTGGTATGCGATTATCTGGCTATGGCTTGTCCTCGGGATCGAAAATGATAGTGTCGTCAAATATCGCACCTTCTCTGGCTCGCGGATCTTCTACTCTTGGTTCATGATCGGTATTTTTGCGCTATCTTGGGCGACGTATGGACTCGCTGGCGTGGAAGTAGCTATGCTGGAGTCACGAATGTGGAGGGCGCCAGACCTTGTCGCATATTTGATGCATACCAACTCGACCTGGAGCAGTCCTTCTGGCTGGCTAAAAGCGATCTGGCACCGCAAATTCTATCGCCTATGGTGTTTGCTTACTATAGTAAGCCTCCTCCCCTTCATTGCGCTACCGCTGTCCGGTCTTGTCTTTGAAATCGGGGATGGCTATGTCGCGATACCAGATCGTGCGCTGGTGATGGGACTCAATCAGTCCACCTTCTCCACTCGCACAGCAAGCTATGGCTCTGCCAGGAATGCTTGGCTTGCGGGGGTGGACCCCTTTGTTCCTGGATTCGGGGTTCTTTATACCACGCCTGGATATGATCGGGAAAGTCATCCTAGCTTCTCGCGTGTCCCCAATATGCTTCCCGTGACTGAAACTGTGCCGGTCGGAATGTTCCTCACCTCGCAGGCGAAAGTCCCGGTATCAGGGCAGTCATGGGGCATGCAGATCAATTACACCTGCGCAAATGTTCGAGACGCGTCCGAGTTTACAATCCTGAGCGAAAAATCTAAATCGGTTAGGGCACAGGCACAGGGTGGAGGGGCTACCGCCAGGCTTCCGCCAACCTTGAGACTCCATCAGGCGCAACAATCCAAATATTTACCGACACGGATCCTACCCATGTTATTGGTAACACCTGGTCCTATTCTGAAATCGGAATAAATCATCCCCGTCTCATTTACAACCAGTCCGAAGATACCTCCCAGGAAATCCTCTTCGAGTACGCATTGTGGCAGATACAGTGGCTCGGATTCTATCAAGAGGAGAGCTCAGTATCCTGGTTTAATACTACGCTCGATCCTGTCATCGAGGGATTGGGAGGGCCATACTTCTTCTCGGAGAATAACACAATGTCCGTCAACAACACATTTTTCGAGATTGCGGAATCAAAGAAATCTGCGACTAATAGTACTGGCACAAGCAAAACCGGCCTCGCCGATGATTTAAAACCCGAAAAGCTAGTAGCACGATCTAAACCACCTCTCAATATTGCTCCGCCCATCGGTGTGCGCTGCACTTTGTCTTCTGTTGCTGGCCTTGCTACTGTCGACGGGACCACATCGACATTTAGCGACTTTGAGAGGGTTGACCCCGAGGTTTTGAGCGGGTCTTTTGGAGCGGCCTTTGGCTACGATGCGGCCTTCATTCTTCAGAGCGTAGCCATCGAAGACTTTTACCAGACCACCCGTTCATCTCCACAAGTGCAGGAAGGAATTCCAACTTGCGGGACAGCTACTTACACCCGCAAGCCCTGTTACAGGGAGTTATACTTGCATCTAGCCTGGATGCTCTAGAAGGCATGTTTGGAGTAGCAGCATCCTTCGACCGGCCTTGGGAGCATCCTAGCATGACATCCTCACGAGAAGGGAGAGTCCTTACTATCGCTTCATTAATCCCGGAGTGGTTACCGGGCACCTTGTTTTAGTACTCCTCTGTCTATGGGCTGGACTCTCTATTCTTCTCGGTGTATTATACGGCTTCCGCAAGAGGCCTTCAGATAAACTCGATGGCTACAGCGTCCTCAAACGAGGTGCCGCCATATCTGAAGAGATCCATCAAAACAAAGAGTTCCATGGCGATAGTTCCTTCTACAGCAATAAGACATTCCAGAAGATACCTGGCAGTTAGTGGAAGAGAGAATGGAGCAGCAAAAAGGCATAAACACCTCGTTAAGGCCATGATCGGGGGAGCGAGCTGAGGATAAAGTCACTATATATAGATCGATTTCGAGGCAAAAGTTGTGGAAGAATAGCATATATACCTCTAATTATATACGATAACAATCAATCTGAAGACGAACAGTCCGTATCTAATAGCCCTCAATTCTAGTCATTGGCAGATGACCTTGAAATCGAAAGGTCATATTACTCTGCTTCCTTCCACCTACTACCCGAACCTATTAATCCTATCAACCATATCAACGAGGCTGTCAATAGACTGTTCGCACTGCTTAATTGCGGCCTGGCTAGCCGCGGTTGCCTTTTTAGCTTTCTTTGGTATCTGCTCCGACCACGCTTGCATATGTCGCATTCGCTCGTGCTCACTTTCCATGACCGCATTGGTCTCCTCTATACGAGTTTCTTTTGTTGATTCGTTCATGATGCGCAGGCCGTTCGCTGTCGTAATGGTCTGCCCCGGATACAGCTTTTCTGCCTCGGCTATTACTGCCGTCACAGCCCTGCCTAGCAAGGCACCCTCCTCCTGGCAATGACGAAGCTTGAGGTCTAGATGATGGTCCCCTTCTCCTCTAGAGTTTGCCCCTGACTCAGCTAGCCGCGTGCGCAGTGTATGTACCTCTTGGAGCTTATATTCATGGTCGCGTTGCAGGTATTTCGCTTCCAGCAAAGCTCTTCTTCCGGGCGTAAAACCACACCCTCAGGGCAATACCGCGCAGCATCAGCGCGTGCTTCACGCGCCTCACGTTCGCAGTTTGCAACCACTTGTTCTGCTTCGAATAGGTCCCAACGCGCCATCCACTCCTCATCCACTTTCTTTGCTTTCTTTATCTTCTTGAGCGCATCCTCAACGGCCCTATGAGCCCAATCATTAGGCTCCCTCTGAGACTCCTCTAATTTGCGAAGAGGCTCATTAGCACTCCAAGTCAGGGCACGGTGAGCTATGCTCCGAACATGATCCACTTCGAACGCGTCGCCGTCGAAGTTGGGCCCCGGCCAACCGTGTTTTCGGTAGAGCTCCACAACAGTCTCATGCTCCCAGTCATTTCCGGATCCTTCGCCACCGCCCGGCGTCTCCCTCAGATCATGGTACCACTTAACTATATCGCCGAGGACTGTGCTTGCGTCACGTCCGTTGGCAGCGCTGTAATCGTAACCGTCTACACACTCGATATTGTGGTGCACGGCATGATCCATACTGCCGGGGATTGCTGGTCATAAATCCAGATCCAGTGCGTGCGGGAGCAATAGATGATGACGCTCTGGTGATTTCCCAGCAGAGAAAGGGGTGTCATGTAGCTTGCCATGCCGCCCTGATCATCATCGTTACAACGCTCGTAAAAGGGGTCTCGACCCCTTCAACGTCAGACTCATCTCGAAAATCTGCGAAGTAGGATCCCTGGAAAAAGTCCACCCCTTTGACACCGCCCGTGTTGACATAGGGCAGGACGCTATACAGGTATATGATTTCGGGATCTATCCTCAGCGATTGACAGAGAGGTAACAGGTGGTCGATATGATGTGGGCCGCAGTGGATCCAGTGAGGTTTGAGATAACGCATGCGTACAAGAGTATTATAGATATTTAGCATCAAACCAGCTACCTCGTCTAGCTGGGCCTTTTTCTGAGCTGATATGGTCTCCATCTCGGGGGTGAAAGGGCTTACAGCATCCGGTATCAAACAAAGTTTTGTTAACGCTGAAAGTGGAGAGTAGACTCCAGATTAGAATTTTGTTCTATTTTTTGTCTGTCCCGTGACTAAAAGGGTTACACAATTAGTGGCAAATACAAGGAAAAATACCACGCACTAGTGCGGTGGTGTGAGACGAGCGCCAAGACAGGCCGAATCCTCCAGGATCATGATCTATCAATCATAGGGTTGTATGAATATTTGGATTTGTCTAGGTAGTACTGAAGGATTCCACGCCATAATATCGAGGTACTTCGTAGGCGGTCAACTTTCTTAACTTGTAGCAATAATATTCAGTCGACGTGTCACGGAGCTGCCCCGAACTAATACCGTGAAGACTCGTCTAAAGACTATACCTGACTCATTTTACTACCTCTACTTCACCCATAGTTACACACAGCGCCAATGTGGAAAGCTTTTATATACAGTTGGCAAGAAGCGGATCATACTTGTCCCTGTACGACATTTAGAGCGATAGCCTTACCAGCTCTTTTGTCCGAGATCTGGTGATCCTCTAACCCTGGGGCTTAGCCCTCCGCACTTGCGGGCCCATCCGCGGAAAGGAAGTCAAAATCGCAGCCTTTATGGGCTTGGTTAACATTTCTTTCATAGAGACCACGGTACCCACGCGTTTTCTTTCTAGCTTTCCACGTGCCCGATTTCTGTTGTGTCATTTCCCCTGCCGCACGTTCTATCCTCCGGCGCTGGATCTCGGCGTCTGAAACTTCAAGATGTAGCGTCCTTGTTGACAGATTGCAGCTAATGTAATCCCCGTCTTTCACAATCCCTAGGACTGAATCTGGGTCAGTAGACTCTGGGGATACATGGAGTATAATGGTTCCTCCAGCAGTGCCGCTCATACGGCCGTCGCTGATCCTCAGCATATCGGCGATGCCTTGCCTCGCCAACTTCCGAGGTATCGGAATCATGCCTGCTTCGGGCATGCCTGGGTTTCCCACCGGGCCAATGCCTTTGAGAACCAACACCGAATCTTCAGTTACGTCAAGCTCCTCCGAATCAATCCGAGATATAAGATCCTTGGAGTTTTCAAACACACACGCTCGGCCACGATGCTCTAAAAGGCGTTTATTTTTAGATGCACTGGCTTTGATCACTGCTCCATCGGGTGCGAGGTTGCCATATAGGACAGCTAAGCTAGATGATTCACATAGAGGGTCATCTAGTGGACGAATTATCTGTCGTGAGTATCCGAATGGTTGAAGCGGTGTATTGTCGAGCAACTCTCCCATAGTTTGCCCAGTGTAAGTAAGTGCATCAAGGTATAGAAGAGGCCGGAGTGTATGTAATAGCGCCAACATTCCCCGGCATTGTGGAAGTCCGTCATATAATTGTCTCCGCTTGGCTTCAAATCGACAAGTAGAGGTGTCCTGGCGCCCACTTCATCAAACGTTTTGAGAGAGATGCGGCCCGAGACACCAGGATGGCGGTTGATGATAGCGAGGAGGTGCACGATGGCGTTTGTACTCCCTCCGATTGCCTGGAGGACGGTGATGGCGTTCATAAAGTTCTCGTACGCTAATAGCCGTTGCGGCCTAAACTTTTCTTTGTCGTCAAGTATTTTCACTGCAAACTTGCCGGTACCTTCAGCTACTCTGAGGCGAGTTGCAGATACCGCTGGGCTCGTGGCTCCGGCCTTGAGCTCGATCAAACCTAGAGCGGCCGTGATACATGCCATTGTACTCGCCGTGCCCATGACGCCACAGGTACCAGCCGTTGGGGCGAGCTCCTTGTTGATCTCCATGATGTCTTCAATGTCTATCTGCCCGGCGCGGAATTTGGCCCAGTTGTTCCGACAATCCGTGCAGGCTCCGACTCGGACTCCCTTGACCGAACCAGGCATCATCGGGCCTGTTATCAAAGGCAGGAATGGCTTATTAGCGGAGATACCCCCATGAGCTGTGCCGGTACCGTCTTGTCACAGCCCCCAATCATGATGACTGAATCGACAGGCTGCGCTTTCACCATCTCTTCGGTATCCATGCTCATCAGATTTCGCAGATACATGCTCGTAGGATTAGAAAAGGCCTCATGAATGCTAATTGTGGGGAATTCCATCGGCAGCCCACCTGCCAGGAGGACACCACGCTTAACAGCTTCGATAAGCTGCGGGACTTGGCCATGGCAGGGGTTGAATGAAGAAAAAGTGTTGATGATGCCGATAATGGGCTTGCTTAAGGCCTCGTCACTGTAGCCAAGCGCATTGATAAAGACTTTGCGGAGGAAGAGACTGAAATGTACATCCCCGTACGCTGGTAAATTTGACCGTAATCCTCCAAGGTCGGTGGCAATAGGTGTACTGAGGTCGTAGTCCGAGGGAGCAGTTGAGGCGACCTTGGTCACAGGGCCGGTTGCATTGTCGGGTTCTAAATTGTTTGTGGGTTGCTCCTCAGAGTAGCCTCTGGCCGGATCTAATAACCTATCCATGATTTGGCAGGGGGCGATGCGGACGTGATGCGAACGTGTTGAGGATGCGATAGTGAAGCCTTGTGTCAAACCCGTGTCGTTCTGTTTAGGAGGGTGGGAAACATTGGAAGCAAGAATTACCTTATTATAGCTTCGCCTCCTATCATCCTCCGGGTTCGACGGCGAATGGGAGCTGGTGGAATTGAAATTCCCATCACTTCAGCTAAACGCGGGCTTCAATCTCCGGCGCACCCCGATATCAAGTGCGCCAGTGCCTAAATTTGAACATTGCCGTTGGGGGAATGCCCTGACGGGATAGGAAATCCGCTGTTTGTAAATCACGTTGCACTAGATAAGCGGGGTATGGCGACCAGTACTAGAATTGGCAATAAAAGGGGACGATGACGCTATAGTCTATCTAGTGTGCGACCATTTGAAAAAAGTGATCCAGGAGCACCTTTAGGAACGGACGTTCAACCCGCCCCCTCACTAAAGCCTACATAAGCTTGCCTGGCGGAGAGCCTTTTCCGAGCCAGGCCACGGCCCAAGGCCGCCTCCTCCAAGCTCAAAAACCCGTGCGGCCTTTAAAACTCCGAGGTCATCCCACCGCTTCCCAATTAACTGCATCCCCACTGGTAGCTTACTTATCCCATCGTCTGCCGTGGCCCAGCCACAAGGTACACTCAATGCCGGATGGCCCGTAGAATTGAACTGGCAAGTATTGTTCATGGCCCCAAGAGCCAGCTTTGCCTTGTCAAGAACCGAACTTCCCCTTCTGTGACGGGCCTCATATCCGGGTGTCGAGGTGCCACGGTTGGTGCCGTCGGAGTAACGAGAATATCAAACTGGGCCAAGGCCTCGTCGTAGGCTTTTCGCAGCTGAAAAATATGACGGTGCGCCTTGGCTTGAGCCCCGGCCCGAACCTGTCATTCAGGAAAGTTTCGCCGAATATGACGTGCATGACTGCCGGATTATGGTGCGTTAGAAGATTAAACATCTCTTGGTCAGGTGGCCAACGAGGCGCCCACTGAGGAAGTCCGTGGGTGAGGATGTCTGGAACGCGAGAGCCCATGCCGAGGAAACCTAGGTTGTTTCTACAGGACGCCGTCCAGATAGATGGGCCGATGAGATGCATGGGGATCGAGACCTCAGAGACCGCTGCTCCAGCAGCTGTGAAGTACTTGAAGGCTGCGTCCCGTACGACAGAAGCTACCTCTAGGGCCGTATATGGGGCGACCAGCGACTCGGTAATGATGCCTATGCGGAGGGAACTAATTCCTATGGCGGCAAATTCGGCCGAAAATTTCAGGAGCTCGTGGTAATACTGCTGAATAGTGTGTGGCAATGGTGTTTCTGGCGACATGCGAGCATCCATGCCATCGTAGCCTGCAATGGCCTGCAGGAGCAGCGCAATGTCATCTAATTTCACGGCCATAGGGCCGACGTGATCAATCATAGGGTGCAGTCCCGCGATACCCGTATATGGCACGAGGCCATACGTTGGCTTTAGTCCATACACGCCACAGTATGCTGCGGGGCATCGTATGGAACCGGCCTGGTCCCCGCCGAGGGCCATGCCAATATCTTTCCCGGCACTTTCGAGGCCGGGGACTCCGGCAGCCCGTGCTACTTGCAGTCCCAGTAGACTTGCGGCGCCGCTGCTGCTACCGCCGGCATTGTAGCTTCGGAGCCATGGGTTGTGGACAGGCCCGTTGGCGGATGTGTAAGATAAAGGCGTTAGTGAATAGTTCTCGCAAGTAACTGTTCCCGCTATCTCCCCTCCCGAATTGAGAATTCTTTGAACGACGATGGCATCGAGAGGTGACAACGGGTACTGGATACCGTTCTTAGACTTCGAGTTGAGCTGGGGAAAGGTGCCGCACGTATATGGAACGCCTCCAAGGGACATATTGTCCTTTATAGCAATCACCCGCCCTTTTAGTAGACTCGAGGTCGGGGAGATTGCTTTCAATTTAGTTTGATGACTCCAAGCATTCAACTCGTTAGAACCCGGGCGATAATAGATTCTGCGACCCCCACTGTTGGGATCGGAAGCAGCCTTTCATCAATGTATTCTGGTAGAGAGTCAACCAGCGCCGCCGTCGACTCAGCGGACTGCAGAACTGCTAGGTAGCCTTCGAGATCATGATCCGGTATAGTGATGTTATTTTTGGCTGCTATCTCTTTGAGTAGTGCAATAGTGATGGATGTTCTAATGTCGTAAGTCTTTACTCTAGGATTAGAGAGCTAGGCCAAGAGTCACTTACTTGCCACCTTCTTCCAAGTTAACAAGCGACATTGCGGCTACCTGGTTGTTAGATTGTGCAACTAGAACATCGGGCGAATTATGTTTAGCACACCGTCTATCTGTCCACAGACGCATGTCCTGACGTTTATAGCCTGTCCTGCCGTGAAGCTATTGCAGAGCGATCAACCTCTTCTCCTCTTACCAATTACCCTGCGTTGAAAAGCCCCGTTGCCAAGCAAATGCGCCAAAATTGTGGAGTATCCCTTTGCGTCCGGATTCAATTTCCGTCAATTTGCCCCATGAACGGGGTCAAAACTCCGACGGAAGTACTACAAGTGCGGAAGTGGGATTCCGTCAAGATAGAACTTGAGGCCAGAGCTCATGTACATAGATAGTTCGATGAGGAGCCAACCAAGGCATTGGGCCGCTAAGTGTCTCAAATATGTCAATCAAGAATACATATATTGTGACAGTATAAGAAATACACCTTATCATAACCTCATTTCATATTATTGGCCATCTTATTTCACTTGACGATGACGGTATAACTTCTTATCTCACGGGACTTTATATGTACTAAATTTTAAAAGGGCCGTCGTAAAGTCTAGATGTTGAAGTCATTGCCTTGGTAAAAGTCGAATAGTGGTTGATAATCACTGAACATGCCTTCCATGGTGTGAGAGAGGTCGGCTGAATACGGATTAGTTGCTCTAAATAGGGATGCCAAATCCTCACCATTGATGTAAGTGTCTACCCACGGAAATTCGAGGAGACGTTCGTGCTCCCCGGGGCCCCCTTCCAATTGGGAAGCACTTTGTCGTTGGTAGTGATGGCTGGTTTGTCCTTGACCGCTACTTCCAACTACACCATTATCATGTCTTGCAGCTCGTCCGAGCCCACTCCCACGGGTTTCGTCCCCGGTCTTCGCGCCATACCCTGGCTTAATCGAAGGTTCACTAACCATCGTATCGTAGCCGATGTTAGATTGTTTAATGAGTCTCGGCAGCGCCTCGCATCGGCCCAATGCTCCCCAGCAGCGCTTAAGAGATTTGAGGCGGACGCCATTGTCCGTGTAAGACTGTCTATCTCCGTACTGATGGTGAGATCCCTGACCATCCAGATACAGTAAAGCATGATTATTGCACTCAGGCAGATGGAATGAATGCTCGTCCATGAATAGGACATCCTGTCAGAATCGTATAACTCTTTCCATAAATCAATTGTAGCTTGTGCGCTTTGGAAGCAATGAATGAGTGAATCTTTGCCCGGCGTCCGAATGCGCGGCGTGGGCCGGAAAAGGAGCATGACGATTTCGTGGTATCGGATTTCACACAGAGCGGAGAGATGCTTTTTTGCATGCTAAAAACCGGCAAGGTTCGTCGTATTTCTAGTAGGCGGTCGTATAAACCACTCTGCCACACTTTGACATCGGGAATGCGCAAATATGTGTGCTTTGGAGCGTTTGGTGAGATATTGTGTAGAGTATACATGATCTCTGAGTTGAGAAGGGAAAACTTGAAGTGGATAACAGCACAAGATACGGGACCAGGGTCGTCTGCGGGAGTAACGACCCGTCGTCGTAGGGAACCTGGGTGCTCGTTCAAGCTATCGAGTTGTGGGTCTTCAAGGCCCTCTGGCAACTAAATCACTAGTTAGTGAACAATTTAAGTGGCCTTTGATGGTGATCGGACGGACTCTCAAGTCACAGGACTCGTCTCTCAAGCCTACCGGTCTGCCCAAGGTGGTGGCTATAATTCTGTCAATAGAAAACACCACCCAAAACACCCGAGTCCTCATCTCTCTTTCGAAGGGGTTGATGAACTGGTCGGATGATAGATCCTGTTGGAGCCCGAGATCTAAGACAGCAGCAAGGCATTGGTAATTCAGATACCACGGATTGATACCCAAGAACGGACTGTGTAACGTTAGCATAGATATGAGTAGTAGACATTGGACTCCTTCAACTGAATTTTGGAAGTCAATGTCATCCGTATATTCCATGGCACGGGCGCATAAGCCTTCTCCATTGAACGGAATCCGCAGGCGCCTCGATAATATGATAGCAGAAATTGCCAGCACCATCGTAACTTGAAACTGCATGGCTTTGCTAGAAGTGGTGGAAGGATCATATACTTCATCTAGGGAGCGAAAATGGCTGCCTTCATGTAGAAAGGGATAGCGCGGATGCACTTGCTCAAAGTATATTCGGGAAAGCTGTATTGCTTCATTTTTGATGAGGAAGAGGCGACGGGCCAATCCTGAACATAGACCGGCATCGGGTTTCAGCTGTTGTTTTGTCCACACTACCGCTAGCTTGGCTATAGGGACTTGCTTGGTCCGCTCTAGCGAGGACTAGCTTCGCTATGGAGAATCCGCTTGAGGGTCCAACGTATTTGTTTACACCCGCGGATAAGGGTATCATGCCGATCTCGTGCGCAATGTCGCCCGAGCTTTGGCTTCTTGCCAACTCTGGTTCACGATGATGGTAGTCTAATACTGAGACATCCGGGCTCAAGGCATGTACTCCCGGGGTTTCCGTTGCTACCTGGATACCGCCCTCGCCTATCTCAGTTGAGGTGTTGGGGTTGCCATCGTTTTCATCGCTTCCTTCCACTATGATGGAGGCGACATCGATATCAGGGCACCTCTTTTGTAGGACTTCGAGAAGACGTCTGTTTTGCTCATGAAGGCGTAGAGCCTCTCTATTTTCAGGTCGAGATTAGAATAATATGATACAAACAACGAAAAACAACAAGGGTTCCTTACCGTCGGGGGATACTGGGTCCTTGCCACGTGGTCTTGCCATCTGCACAGTCTATATCTGCGCGGTGACACGCAGAACATCGTGGTAGAAGCCCATCACACTGTGCATATCTGTCGTATTAGCGACCACAGTCACATTGTCACATTCTGCTTCAATGAAGGAAGTATTCGGAAGGTGGTGTGACGAAAGAAAGACAGATGATACCTTGATCTTGCGAGCTTGGCAGCGTCGACACGCTAGCCGCTTCCGCCGACCCCGCGATGGCCTCGGCAGCTGATACTCTTCCCCATGGGCGGAGGCTGAAGGAGTCCTCTGCAGGACCTGGGAAGTGTTTGTGGGGTCTCCCGGGATGACATTCCGTGGGTTGTAATCATTTCATTTCCCGTGTGAGGTGAGGTGAGGTGAGGTAGTTTGAGATGTCGGGGCGAATATTCCCTAAGAGATCAACGGGGTTTAGATCCCGTTATGTACTCTCACCAGTAGTGTGGTTGACATTTGCTACCGGCTGACCAATTGATGGCATGGCGAGAGCGCTCCCCGCAAATCCTTTAAGCCGCCAAGATACTAGCGCGTGGACTCATCTCTCTCTTAGTGCGGAGTTTGTTTTCCGTTGACGGAGATGAGTTCTCCGCAATGGCTCCCGTAGCATACTGGGCCAGGGATGTTATCTTCCTCCCTAGATATGTACGCTTGGCACCAACCGCATGCAACACATCCATGGATAGCTGTTCCCCAGATTATGCTCACCGAGACTACCGGCTTTTGCATCCATCGAGCTGTGAGCTTAAACACATAAAGCCCGACAATGTCCATCTCCTGACGCTACATTATCGCTTTTCAATCTTCATCTTCACGGTTCTGACAGACTCTAACAGATGCAGCTATGGCTCTTCCGCTCACCAAAACTAGTCATGATGAGACTCCCTCCATCCCGGCTAATAATGACGCCAGTCGAATGCCAGCCAAAGATTGTAGCGATGTCTCAGAACAGACCCATGCCACGGCATTGACGGAAGAGGAGCTTGTGGTAGAGAAGAAACTGCGCCGGAAGCTCGATCTAATGATTATGCCACTTATGATTTGGACCTACTTGATGAACTACATTGACCGGTAAGATTCCTTACGAACTACAGGCACGATACCATTCCCTAACAGATATGTAGAAATAACTATGCTGCGGCGCGTCTCCAGGGCCTCGAGGAGGATCTGAAACTAACGGATACACAATGTCAGTTATAGCCATGCCGTTAACGTCCCGGTTCAGGGGACTCTATCACCTTCACTTTATTCCCCGGCTCTACTCGTTTAGTCCCTCCTAACCTAAGATCTAACTTCTATAAAAATAGATCGAGTCGGCCTTTCTGTTCTCTTCATAACTTATGTATGTGGTCATAGGTTGCCGACCAGGGCGGCTCTTGAGTTCATCCTGACTGATCAATTTAGGTTTTGGGCCAACTTCCATCGAATATGATGCTTAACTATATTGGGAAGCCCTCGTACTACCTTGGATTCTTTACAATTGCTTGGGGCCTAGTCTCTGCGCTTACCTCGCTCGTTCAAGGGTTCTCTGGAATTGTTGTTTGTCGGCTATTCCTGGGTCTTGTCGGTGAGTCGCTACCAAGTAGAGTCTTCTGTCTTCCGAGGTCGCTAACGAATAACTATCAGAGGCGCCTTTCTTTCCGGGTGTATGTCTTTCCATTCCATCAAAACCCCATGGCAATGAGATAACCTAATAGAACCACTAATATAGGTCATCTTCTACCTGTCAAAATGGTACACGAAGAAAGAGCTCTCGCTCCGCATGGCCCTCTTTTATAATGGCTCGCTCATTGCCGGAGCATTTGGGAACTTGATTGCGTCTGGAATCTTGAAAGGTTTAGATGGGGTGAGGGGATCTCCGCGTGGAGGTGGCTTTATATTCTTGAGGGAGTTGTCACCGTCGCGACGGGGATTTTGATATGTCTTGTGCTGCCTGACTTCCCAGAAACGTGGAACGGGCTTGACCCCAAAATGGCCCATGTGGCGAAGCGCCGACTCCTGCTAGATGCCTCGGAGGAAGACGTGGATATGAGGGGGTCTAAAGCGCAGTTCGACGGATTGAAGCTTGCTCTTAGGGACCCTAAAGTCTGGATCCTTACTATCGCCCATCACGCCTTTATTGGAGCTGGAGGATTCCAAAACTTTTACCCAACTCTCACCAGAACACTCGGGTTTACTGACGAAGTGTCGTTGCTCCTGGTCGCGCCACCCTACATCTTCATGGCCTTCTATTGCGCCTTCCACTCTTGGCTTTCCGATAAAGTGCAGAATCGATATTGGTTCTTTATGTGTGAGTGTTTCCAGCTAGTATCATGGACGAGGTCGCCTACTAACTCCCCTTCCCGTAGACCCCATCCCGATTGTTATTGCAGGCTGTGTCATTTTTATGACGACCACCTCTTTTGGTCCGCGCTATTTTTCGATGTTTCTGCTTAACTTCGTATTTACAATGAATGGGACGACATACGCCTGGATGTCATCTTGTGTTCCTCGGCCCCCAGCTAAGCGCGCCGCCGCACTCGGGTTCATGAATGCAGTGGCGAATGCCGCCAGCATCTGGACTTCTTACACGTATTTCGATAGTCAAGGAGACCGCTATCCTGTTGCCCTTGGAATCGTCATCGCTTTAATGGTGGCTTCTGGAATAGGCGCTACTTTACAGAGATTTATTCTTGTTCGCGAGAATAAGCGCCTTGAAGCCCTTGAAAGAGATGATACGGCGCTTAGCAAGAAGGAGACGGAGAGGCTGCAGGCTATTGCGGCCGTGAATGGGGTTGACCTTGATACAGCTCGACAACAACAAAAGGGGTTTCGCTACTTAATCTGAGGCAGGATTCTGTTTAGTGATGGTATTCCGCTGCAAATATACAACAGATGACCCGACCCTTTGGCTACGAGAACAATTGCGGCTTTCAACTAAAGGACTTGACACAACAATAAAGAGCACAACATACAGCCACGAAAGGGGACAACTAAGCTTTTAGTCTCATCTAGCGTAGGAATGCGGAATATATAGCTAGGGACTTTGACAGCTGAATATGTTGAGCTTTAATAGAGCCAGGTAATATCACGATGTGCTATGTCGTCTATGTGAGAACGATGTCACAAAGTATGTATGTGGACGTGTACTTATTATGTTATACGGTTTGGCTTTCTTGTCGACTCTATCTAACATTGTACATTTAGGAATAATTCTGTCTAATAAGTACCTGTATACATCGTAATGTAGCTCCTGAAATCATTGCTTATATATAGCACCTTTGCGCGACTTTAGCTCTCCTTCCTTTCTCGAAAATAAGTGAATAGTCGAAACGAGAAGAAACGCACTCGCCTATTACTAGATTTCCAGTTGATGCTATTGTTCGGCAAAGTCCAATTTGTATTGTGCTAAGCTACCTAAGTAATACTCCAGATACATGCGTTAACGGCGCGCCTCAACTATTGAATCCGCACTCCTACTAGGGCTTGGCTAACAGGAAGATCTTATTACTCGGCGGCCATTCCCCAATGCGCCTGTATCTTCGCACCGCCTTATGCAGCAGCGGCTTCTCAAACCTTCTATTTTATGGTCAAAATATCAGCCGCCCAGGTCCATCCTCTCGGCTCCATGAGCCACTTGGCAGCAAGGCCGGTCACACCTATGCTGAGGACTGTAGTCATCAGTACTTTGAGCTTGGAACTGGATCCCCGCTGATACGGTCTTCTCAACTCAAAGTCGGACCAAACCGGGAAGATTGTTCTAAGCCAGTACTTGAACATGGGGTCGGGGTATATAAAGGTGTTCTTCTTCGTTGCTGGATCCATCCACCAGCTCTGGCATCCACTGTTGAAAACTAAGGATTGTAGTTTACTTTGAACCCAGTTGAGATCTCGGTGCTGCGCTTCAGGTCTTACCATGATATAGTCAGCGGGAGATTGTCCCTTAAGAACGGGCCGAAGAAGGCGGCAGGAATAGTTGATCTGACACTCGGAGTGGAATATGACTGAGTGTTGGCCCGTAGCAGCGTTGGGGCCGTATAGGATAAAGAAGTTAGGAAATCCGGTAACGACAGTGCCCTTGTATGCCTCAGCACCGCCTTTGGCATTCCAAACGTCTTGCATATCCTGGCCACCAATCCCCTTGATTTCCATAGGGTACAGCCACTTCTGGGTCAGGAAACCAGTTGCAAAGATGATGGCATCGGCGGGATACTTCTCTCCGCCGACGGTCTCAACATGGCGAGGCAAGATCTTGATGACCCTGTCTTTTGTCAGGTCCATGTTTGGAGAATGGAGTGCCTTGAAATAGGTTGCAGTGTTTACGCGTCGCTTGCATCCAGGCTCATAGTCGGGCATGAGAATGGCGCGATATTGAGCGGGGGCATCATCCATGATGAACTTAGTCGTGTCGTCACGAATCTTTTGTCGCATCCGGGCTCCGCTTGGGGTCATTAGAAAAGAGTAGAACACAGACTCCAGCTGCCACGCCAAGTGTATACGGTAAAGACGAGCTGCGAATGGGACATGTGCCATAACAAACTTCCACCATTCGGAGTATGTAGGATTTCCCTATTGGTACGCGTAGCTTGTGTTAGAGTATGTACTCGACCTACGTGGAATGTAGTTCTGCATTTGACAACTTACTCTCTTAGTCCACCAATGCGCACTTTTAACAATTTGGGTTACCTTGCCCTTCGGCGCAGTAGCTTTGACAAGTTCGGGGACGAACTGAGTGGCCGAGGCACCATTGCCCAGGACAACAATGTTCTTATTTGTCGTCTCGAGGGAATCGTCCCACCGGGCACTGTGGAACATCTTGCCCTCGAAGGTATCCGCACCCTCAATCTCAGGTATGAGCGGCCTATCCAGTGTCCCGATAGCGCTAACAACAACAGGAGCCTCATGAATAAATTTTTCGCCAGTGAGAGTGTTCTCAAACGTACAGACCCAACGCGCAGTCTCCTCATTCCACACTAGTCCGGTACAGGTTGTGTTGAAGCGACAGTGGGGAAGAATGTTGAATCTTTGCGCGACCGAGTAAAAATATTCGTGGAGTTCATCCCGTGCGGGATAGGTAGTTGTCCAGTCTGGCTTCAATGCGAAACTGTAGGAGTAGAAATGGCTGGGGATATCACAGGCACACGCCGGGTATCGATTGTGCCACCAAGTGCCGCCGATATTATCGGACTTTTCGTAGATTGTAAAGTTATTGTGTCCAAGCAAACGCTTGAGTTGGACAGCCATTCCCAGGCCGGATATACCGCCGCCAATGATGATGACTTCTTTAGAGTTATCCATGATGTAGAAGAGTGTGCTGACAGAGAAAGAATGAATGACTGACACATAAACAAAATGTGATAATAGGTTGCAGACACCTTGAATATATACACGTCGCATCTTACCAGCATTTTACAGCGTGCCCTCTACCGACGTTCACGAAGAGAATGCAACAGGGCTGTGAGCCTCGAGTTGCCTTATTCCGAAAACCCCTCCTAACCGCACTAAATTCTTGCAATCAGTTAGAGAAATAAATACCAGGACGAAGAATCTCAACACAGACTCCACTTTCCTTGAGGTTAGTGTTTGCGCTTGCAGTTGCCCTCTGTTCTTTCAACTATGCCTGTTTAGGTTCTTGGCGACTCGATGGTGTGGGGAAATTTTCAAACTGGGCCCCACCTTGCCAATGCTCGGACTGAGCGCATCAAAAGGCCAGGATCACGGGGTTCCCCGCGGAATCCACGACCACTTTCGCTTTTCCAAAAGTCAAGACCACGGCTCCCAGTCAAATATTCTGCATACTTTGGGTTTACACGGAAGAGTCTTGCGATGGTTAGCCCACCCTCCGGGCCGATCGCGTTGTTAATCAGGGGGCGCGAGAAGTCGGCTAGGACCAGGTCAAGATCCGGATGGTATGGAAGCGCCTCCACTTCTTTGCATCCTGTGGATAATATCACTGACTGCATTCACAGTCTTCCATGCCGTACTCGTCGGAGAAAGTGTAAGCCCCGCTAGGCCAATATTTCTGGGGGTGGATGGCGAGCTGATCTGGTCTCAGGTGATGGGGCACGCCCGCGATGCAAAGCCTGTCAGGCCCGCCATGGACAATGTAGGTGGGGTCTCAAGGCATCTTTCCACCCTTCTCGATCACTCCGACTATCAAGTGAAGATACTGCCGCGCTAGAAGCCATTGAAAGTAGTCGCCGGGCAAGCGAGCCGCCCAACACACAGCGGCCCATCAGTAACTCAGCAATTGTGCGTTCCCGTTGGTCTGCTGCGAATTATAGCCCCCTCTTGCTCAGCGTATATATATCTAACTTGACACGCTTGACTTGTATAAGATAGTGGATAACACGCAGGAGATAATTCAATCCTACGAGGCTGATATTCGTGATGAATCATCGGCCGGGGACTCCGATCTCGAGATTAGAAATGACGGCGATGGAACACTATCTATCGTGGTTGGCACATACCCGCCGCCATCTGGCTCGCAGCCCCCAATTCAGTCCTCGAGCTATCACGTCGGTATCTGGGAGGATACGACAGCGCCTGCCAGCTGGATCGATGTCGGGTCAGCGGCCGAGCCCCTGCACAGCCAAGATGAAGCAAACCTTCACGCTCGCTCCCCTGAGACCTTGTCAGCCGCTCATATTCTCGCCGGGTCATACTCTATTTTTACCTACCCAGCTCCATTCTCTCTCGGCCAGGCTGTTTCACAAACATCACCTTTGCCTGAGCCGTTATTCACCATCACCAATCGCGAGCGCGCGGTACTGATATCCGCATTTCTTCAAGAAAGTGGGACATGGTGTGAGACAACAGATTCCAAAATGCACTTCACAGTCCAGAGCGTACACAAAATGATGGAGAACAAGGCATATCAAGCCGCCGCCTTAGCACTATCATCACGGCAGCTCGATGAGGTTAATCGGAAGAAAACGCAGCTGACATTGGAGCTGTATCAGCACACTATCCAACTACTTCTACACCAAGATCCAGTAGAAGCAGGCGAGTCAATCCTTGCCACTTGCACGTTACTATGTGTCTACGAAATGATGGCGTCGGGTGTATCAGAGTGGAGAAGGCATTTGCGGGTTGGTGACATGATGCCTCCTATCATAACTCAACTCAGGTGTTGACTGTTTAACAGGGATGCGCGAGCTTTCTCAAAATGCGCGGCTGGAATGGCAGCACGGGGGTGTCGTGAAGGCGTGCTTCTGGGCCTTTGCTCGCATCGGTACGTCCCGCGAAACAGCTCCTCGGTCAGGGCCATGACTAACATATCCATAAGATATCTGGGCAGCTTACATTACCAATCAGACAACCCTTATTCCATCGGAATTATGGGTTCATGATGACTGCGCGTCATCTGTGGCCGCTAGCGGTGACCTGGATGATTACTGCAACCTCGCCATCGTTGCGTTCTCTAAGATAGTGAATCTTTTGAGCCAGGACGAGCACAGTCAGAGGTTGTCGCTGTCGCATTTTGCGTTCCAAGTCGAGACATCCTGGAATGAATTACAGGCTTGGCGGCTGTTCCGGCCAAGAGAGGCCATGCCGCTATGGCGAACGGAGGAATCTGAGGGAAGCCCATTCCCTGCAGTGATATACGCTCAAGCTTCTTCAAGTACGGCACTCCGCACTGGTAAATACCAAAGATAAAAACGAATGAAGAGGGGAAATGAAAGGAGAAGAGTACGAAAATGACTTGCTAACGGGTGCAGTTTGCGGAAATACGTTTTACCATTCGGGATCCATTCTCCTCCTTCAAACTGGTGTGCTTGGTCGCACCTCTGATCCTCCAGAACTCCTAGATCCGATATTTCATGCTAAGGAGATTTCTGCTATCTCAATTTGCAATAATTCACAGTAAGGTACCCCGCCCGATGTCCGGCGGCGTAGGCGCGCTAATCAGGCCTCAACTGCAGTGCAAACTGGGTAAACCATCTCCAGCCTCTCTATATTGCCGGCACAGCGCTGGGGCGCACCATACAGCGCGGTCGCGCCGTCGGGGTAGAAATGAATGCTTCGCCAGATGTGCCGTCTCCAGCTATTGAGACACGGCTGGCGAACAACCCTGGCATCCGTGAGGACATATCAACAAATTCAGCTCATGCCTCGAGAACTATTGCACTAGACTCTGAAGAGTTTGCCGCAGAAAAGTTTGCGTTGCTCAAGCAGTTGGCTAGGATAGAGAGGCAAACTGGGTGGAAGACATCGGGGAGGGCACGGGACTTGAGAATTCTATGGGGGCTAGAATATTGAACTGTCTAACGATTACGTCTAATTAATATAAAATCAAAGCATCACGAAATATCCTTTAACCGAGGAATTTCTTTTTTCACACTCACGCGAGGTAAGGTCTACAATGTATAAATAGGAGGTCGCTGTAGTTAATCAGCTATCGAGATAGTTGGCAAATAACTCTATTTTTGACTAGGTAAAGCGATGGGACGAGCATGGCTGCTCTCTCTGTTACTTGACAACTGTAGTGTGCGCTCGCTTTCTCCATTGATCCATAGATATCCGCTCCTGTCTGACCATTCCAACCTTCCGTAGTGATTAGAGAGCAGATTGCTAATTGACGTGACTATGTAAAACACCAATCTCGTCCTTTGTTGGCCTGCTAGCCTCGGAAAGAGGGGGCTTCGGGATCTACACCACCTCCCTTCTTGGCCTTGTTAGAGAACTCTCTGGCAACAGCAACAGGGTTTCGACCGGACGTAAAGAAAGAGTCAATATCCTCGAGCCGAACATTGCTCGTTTCAGGATAAAAGAAGTAAATGAGTGGAACAAAGATAGCGTTGGTAGCCATAAAGACGAAGTAGGCCTTCCACTCGAGTCGGTTGATGAGAACAGGGGTAATCATCACAACAGTGAAATTCCACAGCCAGTTGGAACCAACACCGATAGCCGTGCCTCGTGTGCGCGCCTCTAGTGGTAAAACTTCCGGGACGTAAACCCACGGGACGCAGTGGACGGAACAGCCGAAAACGAACATGTAAATGAAGAAGAAAGCCACGGCTGCCGACCCGAACGCTTTCCCCGTGAACCGTCACTTTCGGCTTGCGAAAGGAAGGCGGATATGAAAAGCATAGAGAGCGACAATCCGCCGCAGCCCCAAAGCATAGTCTTCCGACGGCCCATGCGGTCAAGAAAAAGGAGGGAATGATAGAACTGAACATGAATGTCATGTTGATACAGCCACCGAGGATTTGAGCGAGCCGAGCCGACATACCAAGGTTCAAAACAAGCACTGAAGGTATGTAATAAACGACCAGGTTGATTCCGCCTGCTTGGTTCATGAACTGAATGCCGCCGGCCAGAAGCACACGGTATCGAGTTCTGAACTTATCATTCTTGAAGATGCTTAAGGGGCTGTTCTTAATGGTTTCGGATTCGTCTTGTATGGCAACCAGAATGGCATCACGTTCCTCGGAAATATATTCATCGGTGGGCTCCAGGTCGTATACACGGCAAAGGACGTCGATGGCTTCCTCCTGGCGACCGTGTGCAAATAGCCATCGAGGGGATTCGGGAAGAGCAAACACAAGGGCGATGACAACCAGCGCAAAGACCATTTGGAAGGCGATTGGGAGGCGCCAGGCAATCGGACCACCGACAAAGGACATTCCAAAATCGAACCAATATGCAATAGTAATTCCGACACCGACGAAGAGAACTTCTCGCGAAACGAGACGGCCGCGCGCCTTCCGGTCGCATAGCTCAGACTGGTACCTGATATGCCGCACGACTGTAAGTAAGGAGACTGAACCAAACTCGCGTTGAAAATTGACCACTTACATGGGAACTGTGGACGTCTTCATGCCCGTACCAAACCCTGTGATGATACGCCCGATAATGAGATGAGGCACAGTGAAGGCACTGGTTTGCAAGATTGCGCCAACGATAACCAACACCATTCCCAGCCAGATAGATTTGCGCCGCCCGAGGCGTTCACTGACAAAAACGTAACTGAAGGCAGCCAAAAATAGTTAGGGTGGCGGCCGTGGCTGGACACAACTCAGCGGTTTAGGACATGGAAAACATACTGATACAGCCTGTAAGGCATCCGAGGTTATAGCTGGAGACGATTATTCCGGTTTCTGTATCGGACGGATGGTTGAATTGATTGAGCCAATCTTCATTTTGCAGTATGCCGCCAAACACGCCTTGGTCATAGCCAAAGAGTACAAAGGCAATGAGGCAGCAGCAGGTAATACCTGCTCGGAGGCGCTTTCCTCGGCCAAGAGAGAATGCCATTGCTTTGAACAGGAAACTTGAGATGAGCAAAGGTTGTATTTGCAATTGGTTGAGCCTTGAAATGTTGATATGTCAATATGTAGATCCTCCGTGCTCGTCAATGAGGTTACGAGGTAGGACAACACGCGGCCACGTCGTTGTTAAATACTCCTGCCATCACAACGGGGTTTCGACACGAAGATTATGTGTTGGGATAAAGGATCAGCGATAATTCTACCCCTTGGTACATCTCGAGAGAAAGGAGAACTCTCGGTACTTCCCCGCGCTGTAGAATCATCCTTGATCTGTGGGGAGAGCTATAATTCTGCTCCCCAGTTTTGCGGGGTTGCCTCCTTGAACGAGGTCGTGTCTCGATGGCCTCTGGAACTAACTTGCAACGGAAAGGTGTGGTTGATTAGCGGCGCTTGCGCTTCCATGCATTTTCAAATCGGTGTGCGTTTTCAAGGGAAGGAATATTTTCAGCCACCGAAATAAGCGAAGAAAACAATAATTCCAAGAGCAGAGGAAGCAGTACTAAGGGAGTTAGCTCATTTCCCCCTGAGGTCTTGGTAACACATGGAAATTATACTCGACGCAGGCCCCAACAATAACACACACCCGGTTCGGCAAATGAGGCCGATTTGAAAGCCAGCTCGAGTCCTTCGTTCGCCCTCCATACGTAACTGAGCCACGTAATGACCAGACAACCATTGTTTAATCTTTCCGATATACTTGACTAGAAGCTACAGGAGACAGATTCCTGCGACCGCAGAAAGAGCGCCGTCCAGTTAACATCGTCTACACCTTAGACCCCATCTGACATTGTTCCCAACTGGTATTACTAACAGCATAGACGCCAGGCCTCTATGTAGCTAGAAGCTAGAAGCTGAATACTACTTCTTCAAGGAAGTTTGTATGTGTGTGCTCGATTACTGGGCATGCTTCCCACGGTTCCGTTGAGAAAATTTGATAATGTAGAGCGATCTTGCCAAAGCCATATAGCCTTGTTAAAACGGCCTATGCCGATTACACGACTGAGATACTGTACTACAATACTATGTGCTGGAGTATATGTAGTGTAATACGCCATCATTGTCTTCCACAACTAGAACGGCCTTCTCGCTCGACCCTTAAACCTTGTTCGTGCCTTGTTATTTTCGTTCAAACCTACTTGGTTTAGCAGCACATACATTATTTCCTTTTCTCAATCGACTCTCTCACCACTTTCGAAGCGAAGAATGCCCGCATATCCTGCACAAACAAATCCGGCCTCTCCAGAGAAGAAAAATGCCCCCAACATCATACTCCTTCCAATATTGAATGTTCGCCACCTGCTGTGCCCAGTCCTTGGGGCACTATTGTTTGAAGCGATTAGACTGCATGAATTTCCCAATGCTGGATGAATTGTAAACTTACATGAAGTTGCTCCTTTGCGTACATGCTCACGCCCGTTGGGCATGCCACGTACGTTTCAAACGTTTTGTCGGCATCTCTAATACCTTTTCCGAATGCTTCACGGTAGAATCTCAAACCCGGCGTCGCACCTTGGACCCAGTGCATCATCACAAGAGTAATGATATCGTCGTGTGTGAATGTTTCATGTACATCGCCCCAATCGTGGAACTTTTCAACAAACCAAGCCAGTAGCCCTAAAGGTGAGTCGCCAAGCGCAAACCCGAGAGTTTGAGGTCTTGTCTTCTGCTGTTCCAAATAGCCACTTTGGTCAACCTCAAAATTTCTACGGACGCGGAGAGCCTCACGCTCAAAATCTGAGTATAAAGCCCCCGAAAAACACCATCGTAGATAGGCAATGGGTGCTCTTAGCAAGGTTGGTGGAGCGACAGGGAACATGTTTAAGTGCTGTGCACGAATGGAGTTGGGGAACTGAATAGCGAGGGATCGAGTGATGAATGACCCAAAGTCCCCTCCTTGAGTAACAAACCATTCGTAACCAAGCACGTCGGTCATCAGAATCTTGTAAGCCCTTGCCACAAGCGTTGGTCCCACTCCTGATCTCGCCGGGGCCGGCGAAAACCCAAAACCTGGGATTGAGGGTGCGACGAAATGAAATGCCTGATCTGTTAAGTTTTCGGGGTTTGAGAGCTTGCCCACAACCTTTTCCGCTTCGACAAACGACCCTGGCCAGCCGTGAGAAAATAGCATGGGGATGGCGTTAGGCCTCTCTGAGATGGCGTGTGTGAAATGTAAGACGAGATGGCCATAGTCTGGCACGTGGAGTTTGACGAGATAGTGGTCAAAGGTGTCGTTTAGTCTCTCCTTTAAAATGACTGTTAGATGACGAGATATAGTCCAATGATTGGAATAAAACCCACCTCATGTTTAGCCCAGTCATAGACGTCTCGCCAGTATTCGGCGAGTTCCTTGACCTTATGTACTTTAGCACCCTGGGACCAGTTATCCGGTCCAAAGTCAGTCTGTTCTTCCGGGTATCTTGTTAAGGCGAGTTTTTGCTTCGTGACCTGAAGCAGCTCCCTGTCAACATGAAGCTTGAAGCGGACCGGCTTGTTGACTTTCAAGGTGGAGAGGTCAAGGGGAATTTCAAAGACATCGTCAAATATGAAGAATACTATAATGGTATCCCTGATGTGGAAAACGAGGGAAGAGATCAGGGGACGTTTTTCATCGGTTGTGAGTAGCGAGGTCGTAAGGCTTCAGCGACTCTTGGGGACTGCGTCGGTGTTTCTGTGGCAAGAGGAGAGGAGCAGTTTTAATAAAAGTGTGCAAGCATGCCTCGGTCATATAAACAATCCTGCAGAAAAGGATTCTTCAAAAATAAAGGTTCTAGTGGCGAGAGTTCGAAATGTGCCTGCATCGACCTTCGGTGGATCCAAACGTTAGCTGGGAATAGCTTCCGATATACATCCACGGAGGTTAGTCGAAGGCCCAATATTGCGGCGGTTACACTTCTATATTTTCGGAGATTCAATCCGTCGAATTGGGCCCGGCTACTGTCAGGCCATCCGGAGACCCCACCGGCGTTAAAAGAGGGCAAAGTGAATTCAAGGCACACGTGACAGACGCGGAAAGTGGCGATCGGCGGGTGCGTTTGCACTTGCCGAAATTGTTCTTGGTGTTCTTCGGTGGGGCCACGGACAATTGCTGAATGTAGGCGCAGATGCACACCAGAAATTGAATTGACCCAATGGATCCATCTCCCATCCATTGGAATCATGAAGACCCCAAACTTTGAATTTCTACTACCATCTCCATTTACCGAATGCAAACCCAAGGCCGGGATATTCTTTGATATTACATCCCAAGACAGCTCCTCATCGCCATTTCGACCAGCTGCTAGAACTATGGCACCTGCTACCTGTTCAGCCCTCGTGGTCAAAGGCACCAAAGACTCAGGACTATGTCTCGTTCAAGATTTGATCCGGGTTCCGAAGCCTGGACGCCAGCAATGCCTGGTCAAAGTTTCCCATGTTGCCCAGAACCCAACAGACGGTGAGTAATGGCACCATTCGAATGCTTCCCCTCAAGATAATCAGGTGGCCTGACCCAAACCCCTTCACTAGTTCAAGCTTTCGACAGCGGTGTCTTCGGCGAGGGATCCATCCTTGGGTGTGATTTTGTCGGGACAGTTGAGGACACCGGATCGAGCATCGAGAACAATGCTAAGGGATCAACGATCGCAGGGCTCGTTTGGGGAGGAGAGGTGAAGGGGCTCGGCGCGTTGAGCCAGTACACATTAGCGGATTCAAAGATCTCCTTTCCCGTTCCGGAATCAATCACTCCAGAACAGGCGGCTACAATTCCGCTTGCTTCAGCTACAGCGGAGCTAGCTCTTTTTCAAGGCATTGTCTGTCCATCGAAAAGTCCGCGGCTGGCACGCCTGTTCTCATATGGGGAGGCGCATGTACGTTCTGCCCTGCCTACGAGTCTATTTCAGCCTCTCGAACTAACTGTAAGTTGGAATAATAGCGAGCGTCGGAAATTATGCCGTCCAGCTTGCCGCCCTTCACGGAATGGAGGTAATTACGACATGTAGTCCGAAGAATTTCGATTTTGTCCGCAGTCTTGGGGCCAAACACGTGTTTGACTACAACGATGAAAACGTGGCACAGAAGATTAAGGAGGCAGTGCCAGGTTTGAAGTATGTTTTCGACACCATTGGCAATTCGTCCTCCTCGTCCATAGCCTCCCAGAGCCTAGACCGGTGTGGTGGTCAGCTGTGCACGGTCAGGCCAGGAAAAGGCAATACTGAGAATGTGCCGAAATGGACGAGAGTCACCGATGTTCTTGTCTGGACAGCGTTCCTTAAAGAACACCAGTATGGACATTTTCGATGGCCCGTAAGTTTTTGATGGCTGGCTTGTATTCTTTCGGAGTCGGAGTACTGACGGTTTGCTACAGGTAATCGAAGAGGATCATCTCCTGGTAGCCGCCCTTTTGCACAGATGCCTCAGCTGCTCCGGGATGGTAAAATAAAGCCAAATAACGTAAAGCTCTTCGATGGTGGACTCGGCAGTGTTACTGAAGGCTTCCAACAGTACAGGGATGGGAAGATTTCAGGGTATAAGATTGTCTATTCTATGTGGTAGCGACTGCGGGAAAATAGCTAGTCCTAAGCAGGATGTCGTAGCAAACGCCGGCTACATCAATGGCGTTTATACCCATTACTCCCCTGCGCCTTTTCTTTTGCTCGCGCGAGTCATTAACACTTCCGTATTAAACCGGGATCGTATTAATACTATGATTACTATGATGGGATAACCCTGTTATATACTTTCCGCCATTTGCTATCAGCCGGAGCACGCTGTGATCCTCGGCGGCCCTGCAACTGAGCCTCTAAGCACGCTCTACTTCTGCCAATACCATCTCCTTTTCCCTCCCATGGCTTTCAGCAGCGAGTTTGGCCGCAATGGCCTCGTTATAGGAGGCGGTAGCTTGATTGGCGCGGATAGGGACATCGCGACCAAACAAGAGATCCATGTCCTCTAGCTGGACACCCTTGGTCTCTGGAATAAACAGCCATGCGAAGATGATTGCCAGAACTGTGCAGCTACCAAAGAAAAGGAAGGTTCCGTAGGTGATTCTATGCAATTCGTTAGTAAGGAATCGATCGATCAACTCGTATTGCCGAAATAACTTACCCGAGCACCATGTGAGGCAGGCTGTAGACAACGACGAACTGTGTAAGCCACTGCAGGCAGATACAGAACGCCATTCCCAGAGTTCGAACCCTGGTGGGTAGGACTTCCGAGGTGAAGAGCCACGGAATGCCGTTCCAGCTGAATCCATAAAAGAAGGAATAGATGTACACCATGGCAACAGCGCACCGAGCACCTGCGTCCATTGGCGGAACGGCTCCAAAGGAGCCCGAAATTTTGGAGTATCCTGCCAGGTAAAACATTGAAAATCCGGCCCCAACACCTCCCACAAGCAAGAGGGGACGGCGCCCCACCCTATCGACCAGGAGGAACGCATACAGCATGGTGGCGACCATCTTCACAATGCCAAAAATGCCGGTAGCTAACAGTCCAACGGAAGTACCAGTAAAGCCGATGGACTTGAAAATGGTAGGGGAATAGTAGTTGATCGCATTGATTCTACCGGTTCGTGTCAGAAATGTCATCTCCGCGAAGCAGCTCGCGTGGAATCAAGAATGGAGGAACACCTACCCTGTAAAGTTTTGGAATACGACGAGGCCACAGGCTAAGGCAACCCTGCCGCGAACGCCCGCCTGGAATAGCTCCTTGTACATCTGCTTCCAACCTGCTGCCTGTCCGGTCGAGCGCAGCTCTTCCTCGATGGCGGTTTCGATTCTAGAGAGCTCGGTTGAGATGTACGGATGATCCTCGGGGAGATTGCGCACCCAACTCAAGCTCTTCCTCGCGTCCTGCAGTCTACCTCGCGATGCTAACCAACGGGGAGATTCGATCATGGGGATCATGCAGATGACGAGAACACCCGCAGGGACGAACTGGACGGCCACAGGAATGTGCCATTGCTTGTTTCCTTCGGGGCTAATGTTCTCGTTCACACCGTAATTGACCCAGAATCCGAAGACCAGGGCAACTTGAAGCATGATTTCGAAGCAACCGACCAAACGACCACGGATCAGAGCAGGTGAGCACTCGGACACGTAGATTGGGAGAATCATAGCACTTGCTCCCACCCCCACCCGGTCAAGACGCGGCCCGCGTACAGCGTACTTAGCAAGCCGACCATTTGGAGGCCTGCTCCGATGGAAAAGATCAGGGCAGAGAGGATAAGGAGCGGGCGACGCCCGAAGCGTTCTGCGAAGAAAAGGCCATTGCGCATCCAAAGAAGGCGCCGCCTTGGAAAGTGGACACAATATTCGATGACAAATCTGCCTTTGCACTGGGACTCGCGTCCTGCAGCCCAAACTTTCTCTGGAAGGACGGGAGATTCAGAGTGCCACCAATGAAAGCGCTGTCGTATCCGTACATGGCGGCTAAGAAGAGAGTACGTTAGTCGAACTTGTACGTCCGAGTGCTAAGGGATGGGCTCTTGGGGTCATCTTACAAGCCCATGATGCAGAGAGAGCTAAAATATATGGCCGAATGCCATAGACCTCCGGGGAGCCTCATCGCCAGGGCGTTCTTTGAGCGCAAAGAGGTTCTTCATGATGTTGAGCGGGAAATTTTCCAGGTCGACGTCCAGCAAACTGCATGAAGCTCAGAATGGATTGAAAAAGTGGCGATTTGTTTGCATTTATACAGGGACCGTGAAAATGTTGCTCATGGCTCAGAAAGACCCTACCTCAATGCCGAATCGGCTACTTAAACCTTTATCCGCGCCAGCAAGGAACTCTGAGATCCAGCCTGACTGGCGGCTCTTACTTAGGACTAGCCTTCCAATTTGTTCGCCTTGACAAGGGCCTGAGATCGGTCGATGCCTTGTGAGGCCTAGGACCGAAATCCTTCGGGATGCGTTGAAGCTCGGCATTTGCCTGACTTGGGATAGCTCTGTCCCAAGTCTGAGGTGTGGGGAAAAACTTTATCCGCCACCCCGCATCGCATAGCTGGGGTAGCATCTAGATTTTTCGGTACTGCGGGGAAAGGTTCCAGTTCAGGGGTCATTATTAAGACAGCGCCGACATCGTACGGATACTTGTCCCGAAGATGTCGTGTAAGCTTGCAACTCACTACAGCAAACACTTCCTTTTACGCAGAGAGAAAAGTAAGAGGGGAAAAAAACACAACTACCATGGTCCAACAGACACTCCCCTTTCGAGGACCTACCTCTTGACAAAAGTGGCCCCCGGCAATGCATGGGGTCTATGGGGCCCAGAGGACCAGCTTGGCAGGCTGAACCTCATCACACCAGATACCGTGAAGGAGGCTGCGTCGGAAATTCGGGAAGGGATCAGAATTTCCTTGGATTGGCCTTTGGATAAGCCCGCCTTTCCAACCTTTGAGCGTCAGAGATTCGAACACCGCATACTAAACAAAGCGCCCATGACCATGAACGATGACTACATAGCAATTAACACGCAGAGCAGCACGCAATGGGATGGGTTTCGGCATTATGGTAGGTTTGACATCATTCACCAGCAGAGGCTGTTTCTTTTGGGTTTAGCGGCTTGCCACTAATTCATGCCGTGCATGATAGGGTATCAGCGAACCGGCCAGTTCTATCAGGGGCATCGGCAGGAAGATTTCGAAAATGGTTCTGGAAAGCTCGGCATCGACGGTAGGAAACTTAAAACCACTCGAACAAAAGTCTTTCACAACGCGAGCTGACATACTACTTGCAGCCTACTCAAACAACGGGGAATTGTCGGTCGAGGTGTGCTGATTGACTGGTATTCTTGGGCGCAACGCAACAATGTCCAGCGGTCCCCTTTCCAGACGGGGGCTGTGGAATTATCCCAGATCAAAGCCATCATCGCCCAGAACAAGATCGAGTTCCGACAAGGCGACATATTGTTTCTACGCGTGGGCTTCACGGACAATTATAATAAACTGAGCACGCTCGAGCAGGAGCAATTTCCTGACCGCCAGCCTGGCGGGTTGCTCGGATTAGAGGCTACCAAGGACTCATTGAAGTGGCTCTGGGAGAGCGGATTCGCCGCCATTGCATCTGACGCTGCAGGGTTCGAGCGCGGCCCGGCAACCGGCCCGTACAATGACCCTGATGTGAGCATCCATCAATGGGCATTGGCAGGTTGGGGTCTGCCGATTGGTGAGCTTTTCGACCTCGAAGAGCTTGCGGTCAAGTGCGCCGAAAGAGGGAGGTGGTCATTCTTCTTATGCAGCGTGCCGCTCAAGGTCAGTTATCTTCACCCTGCAACCCCCGTCTCGGAGAAAGTGTAACTAATTCCGAACTCCAGATTCCGGGAGGTGTGGCAAGTCCTGGTAATGCAGTCGCGATTATGTGAGCGCGAAATTTTTGAGAGCGATGTCAAGGCTTGCTAGTTCGAAGAATGTATAGCATTTCCTCTTAGCAGACAGTAGAATAGTAGAATGCATTAGACTATCTAAGTACACTGGCCTACTTTATATCCTCAACCCATCCACTTTGTTACATAAATCACCCCTATATGATGACGTCGCCCCGCACAAGCGCCAGTGGTGTTGATGGAGATGATAAGTTGAGGAGTCACGGCGTAGCATCAGGCCAAGGACCTTCCCAGTCAATTGGCTTGTATTTTGGATTCACATCACCAGCCCCACTTTGATGCTCGCCACGGCATACTCCTTGAGCTTACGAGACGGAAATACGGTATGCGGACGTTTTCAGGACTGCATTGGAACCTACAGCATTTGGTTAGCATGGGATCATATTGATGGATATATTGCCAATGGGGATTTTGGTCTTTACCTGTGAAGGGTTCTGTGCCCGCCTGAAGCTTTGTCGCGTACAAGCTACTGCTGACGCCTTGCTTCGTAGTGAGATAGGTGAGGAATTGGTTTAGGTCACCATTGAAGTTCGTGATGCTGCTCGTGGCAACGAACGATATCACTTTTACGGAGCCGTTGTTGCCAGTATAGACCTTCCACTGCGATCCAGCGATGGTAGGAGAATCAACTGGCGATCCAGTGCTGGAAATTGGCCCTGCACCACCAAGAGCGGCCAGCCAGATCATGATCTCGTAGGAGTCGTTGGCTCCTACAGAGGGTGCCAGCCATAGGTCGTAGGCGACGTTGGCGACAATGTTGGAACCAGTATATCTGTTTATGGTTTAGCAATTGCCTTTACAAGTATCATCATATTGAGTGAACTGACATCCAGGACCAAGTGGACGGCACGGAACTAATCGCAGAAAGCTTCTTGTTGACATCAACGAGTGCCACATTGGAATAGGATTTAACTGAACTGGAGCCTCCGGCCCAAGTCCAAGAAGTCGACCAAACAACAGAGCCAGAGTTAACAGACTCAAGTGTGGTACATTGTGAACCTGAAGTTGCCTGAGCCGCTCCCCAGTTATTATGGTAGATTGTGTAGCCGCCCGTTACTTGAGATCCCCAAGCATCGCACCAGGTTGTGGCGCGCTTGTTTACGGTTGGGGTCGGAGTTGCTGCAGCGGAGACCGCGAAGATTGCCGCGATGATGCCGCCAAACTTCATTTTCGAAGAACTCGTGCTGCTAGTGTTGGGATACTAGGAACTTGGATTTGAGCTCGGAGACCTACGGAGCTGGGTTGGCGCTCTGAGAGGACGGTGAGCGGTAATGGCAGGAGGACAACACGTGGTGATGATGGCTCTAGATTGTATTCATCAACCGTCGCGCCACTGCCTTATATATTTGACGGCCTCTTGTTACAGAGACTTTGCTATGTATGCGTCGTTTTGGGCGAAAGCGGCAACTGTGTTCCTCAATTGCAGTGGGGCTCCGAGGCTTGCAACCATCACCAGCACGTTGCGTTCTCAGTGGACCGCTTCTGAGGCACGGAGCCTTGGTGGAACCAGGTTATTTCCCACGAATAAAATTTGGCGGGCGCATGAACCAGGACTGGGAGAACAGCATTGTTACTACATCCAACTAGGTGGTGATCATCCGTCGATTCTCAATGGTAGTCTCGTTGACAATCCTATAGGTGGCATAACACAACTGCTGCTTCTTCCTTAATAAAGTAGGAGGTCGAAAGATGGAAGACAGGTTGTTTTGTATTCATTGCGGAGAATACGGCGATCTTCTTCTATGTCGCCAGATCCTACCCTCTTGCCCAAGGCAATCAGGCGTTAATCATCCGTGACTACGCATGCTATTCATCGTGGAATGAAGTCTCCTTGACATGTGGATCCATAGATGCAGTATTTTCCGTTTGAATCCCGGGCTCTCGCGGGTCTTCAGTGTCATGGCTCGTAGCTGTGTCTTCAAGGTTGAACGAATGCTAGGATAGTCGCCAATATTAGTATGACGACCCAGCACAAACGTACCATGGAGGCTTGCCAAATACTTTAATATGTGCACATGGTTCCGCTCATGACTTTTGTTACGCAGGTAATTGCGCCATATATCACTCTATAGCCGTTTTTAAGCAAACCATTATCCTTAGAAAGAAACTAACCTATAGAGTGCAGCCGTGTTCCACATGCTATCCGGACAAAAGCCAGAGAGGAAAGTTGCCTTCGGCGGTTTCTCGTAGGCCTTAGCTTCGTCTTTCAATGATATTTACAGGGAGCTATTCTCGACGGAAAATGGATTGATTTCTGCTGATACATTCCGCTCGCGTGCCATAATTATGAATGCACCTTAGCCTTGACGTCGACTCTTGTCTTGGGCTTGCAACTTATTTCGACATGCATGACCTCTTGAGGCCCTGCTGAGGCAGGTAGAATATGTTTCGTTCCGCGTCGTTGGTAAGCCCTCGTCCACGCAATTAAGCAATGCACGTACAGAGAGCGATAGTTAGCTGGTATATGAAGGGAAGCTCCTTTTAATTGAACCTGACTTTTAGGAAACAAGGCACTTTCATTGTCGGCCTCCGTTCTCCACAAAATAGTTCTACCGTCTGACAACATCTGCAGGGTTATCTAATTTTTGCATTTGCATTGAAAGCACTGCCTAACAATGACGGCTTCTGATCACGTCTGACCAGAGATTAGCTGGTATGAATCATAACGACTCAGTTCGAAAAACGACCCAAAGCGGCTAAGCGTACAAGCGACAACTCTTCCGCCTTTTGTCCGTCGTCGCTCCACTGTAGAATAATGAGACGGCCATGGCCGTGGAGGATCATCGGCCGCCTCAAACAAGCCCGCACTAAGGCGGCTCGGGGTGTTTTGTTGCTTTTGTTCTTTCATGAGATACATCTTGCATGATGAGTATAAATAAAGCCATGTCCACCCTGCATACAGCAGATTTAGTTTTTGGTTGCCAAAACACGTCTCAAACCGTCAACTGATATCACCAATACAATGCATTTAAAAGAAGAGCCTCAGTATATCAAGTTGGTCCCCGACTTCAAGCCGCTTCCAAAGTACGGCCATCTCTCTGAAATCACCCCGGAATTTGCCGCTATCAGGAGTGCCGTCGACAAAGCCTACGAAGGTATTTGGGGGCTGCCGATTGGGCCTCATTTCGTGGCTTCGTCCCACAAGGCGATGCTGCCATCCCGCCTGGTGGTCCGGATCGATCCAAGCTCGTCACGGAAATTCTACACTTCCCCGCGAGAGACGGTCACTCGGTCGAGCTGAAGGTGTATAAGTCGCCAAACGTGGTCGAAAATGCGACACTAGTTTATCGGATGCATGGTGGAGGTGAGTCAAGTTTCTAAGCTGAAACGCGTGATCACTCGGGGCTGAGGTAGTGGGCTAATTACCTTATCATCTCTAGGGTGGGTGATAGGAAACCACGAGACCGACGGTGCGGAGAATGTTTACGCTGCATTCAATCCCAATCTTATTGTTATCAGCGTTGATTATCGCATGTAGGTAACGTAGGGTTTGTTATGCTTTCGCAGTATTGCTAATATCATCGTAGGGCCCCTGATCACCCTTTCCCACAACCTATTAACGACTGCTACGATGGACTCCAATGGGTAAGTGCGACGGAATGGCCGCAAAAATCACCAGGAGCGTACGTGTAAGATATTAATTGCTAACACATCTTGTAAATCCAGTGCATAAATAACGCGCAGTCACTCGGTGTTGATCCCTCTAAGATCATTCTAGCCGGTAGCAGCGCCGGTGCCAACCTTGTCAGTTAAACCGCAGCGAGTATTGAGATTTAAAAAGCAACGATACTAACCATAATTCACCACATGCTAGGCCGCTTCTCTAGCACTCATCGCGCGGGATGAGGGAATCAAAGGCATCCTTGCCCAAATCTTGAACTTCCTAGCGTGTGCCATCCCAAATTCTTCCCGAAAGATAAGTACGAGTACGGAAGCTTCATCCAAAACTGGGACACTTCAGTCCTGGATGTCGCACGTATGGAATTCTTCCTTGACGCCCACGTCCCCGAACCCACCCCCGATTCTCGACACTCTCCCTTGCTCGCCAAGTCTTTCCAAGGACTTCCTCCAGCTTGTAAGATAATCTAGCGTAAAGCCCTCCTAACTCCTCTGTACCACTCACTAACAGCACGGCAAAGTCATCGCATGCGGTGGCGTCGACGTCCTACGGGATGAGGCTCTAGCATATGGGGAGGCTCTCCAAGAGGCCGGAGTAAATGTTGAAATGCATGCCTTTAAGGGCTTACCACACTGCTTTCCTGGGACACTCTTCAGCCTTCCGGAGACTGCTGACTTCTATAAGCGTTATGACGCTTTTATCGCACGTTATTGTAGTGGGAGTTAAGGCCTTATTTTGTATATATCTCGGAAGATCACGGAAACGAGCATCATGTCAATCGTAGCGAGGATACCCCAGATTACCCTAAATTGTGGCTTGTCGTCAAAAGAAATGGACGCTATTATAACATAGTGGCGAAACGCTGAAGGGAGAAAAAGTACTGATCATGTAAGAAATGGGGCGAAATCTGCTGGGACATTTTGGTGGTTTAAACCAATAAGACCAACTTTCGGGTCTCGGCACTTATGTCGGCTTTCGGTGGTCATGAAGTCGGGTTGGTTCATGACGCCTCGTCGAGTGCGTAGAGTATCCGCTAGTGTACACCGTAAACCTGTCGAAATTAGGATGAAAATGGGTTTGATGAGAATAAATCTTGCTACAAAAACTCCTGTCTCGGATAGTGGAAGCTTATAGGTACCCAAGAGATACCTTCTGCTCCAGCTGTCGGGAGTTAGTGCGGACTGTGGCATTGTTGGCCCTCTGTCGGCACCTTGTTGGCTTTAGCGCGCCAAATTAGGTCATACGAGAACGCTGTGACAAATATTATTCTGACAAACGCTGGATTGGCCCTCCTCCAGCTCACCGAGAACCGAAAGATATTCATGAGGGCGACGATGAAGAAGGTCGTCGGTAGAATGTGATCCAGCCCCAGTTCCCTCCTTTCCGATTTTGGAACTTTACATCCCCGTCGTTCGATTAGGGCACCGAAGTACCAAATCTCCAGTTTAGCTCTTCAGCCAGTCTGGGTGCTATGCATCGGACATCGGGGCACACGGCAGGTCGAGCGGCTGGTACCCGATCCCCGGGCCCCATGCCTGAGCGAGGTTCGGCATTCACTAAGCTTATCAGCTTCATCCTATAGACATTGCTTACAATCAAACCATGAACAGGATGTCTCGTCTGCCGTGCGAGGAAGGTGCGTTTGTGGGGGAAAAGGAAATATTGTCAATACTGGGTAAGGGGCTAACGTTGGCTTGGACCAGGTTCGATGCGACCGAAGCCTGCCGGGTTGCTCTGCATGTAGTCGCCTACGTGTAACCTGCCCGGAGTATGAGCGTTCTGATGACCCATCCGACCCCGGCAGCCGGGTCCTGATTGATAGAATCTTTCAGTCTGCAGGTGTACGAAAACGTAAAGTAGGATCCTGCGAGAGCTGCCACAGATCTAAACTCCGTTGTTCTAAAACCCATCCCGTCTGTCACCGGTGTGAGCAACGGGCCTGCGATGCGTATATCCAGGGAGACCGACGCCTCCGCTAGTAGAAGATGCCGAGTCTACGAGTGTTCAACCTAGCGCGGAGGTAATCGATGATGGGCCTCTAGTACCTTTGCAGGATCAACAGGGGAGCTCTATTTCACTCGAGAGGCCAGATTTGCAAAATTCGCGCGGAAATGAGAATATCCGTTGGTTCGGAGTCCCTGATCCCTCTCCTAGGTTCCTCAAGGCACATCCGCTAACCTCCACCGGATATCTTAGGCTTCACAGTGACTCCCTACCAGCCGATGAAACGCGGTTGAAGATGCTCTTCAACCTATACTTTTCTCGTATACATAATCTTAGATGTTTAGGATTTATTCATAAACCGTCCTTTATGCATTCTTTCGACAAAGGCACGCTAATTCAAGATTATGGCGACCCGGTGGTACATATGGTTGCCGCGTTTGGAGCCAGGTGAGTCGGTCTCTTTGTCGCTTTGTAATGCTAATATTGACAATATAGAGTTGCCTGTACTTTGACAATCCACAGCTTCGGCACTTGGCTGCATATCCGGGTATGCCCGGCCGTAAGTGGGCAGACAAGGCGGTTGAATGGGTGCTCCAGGCCATCCCGAAGCCAACGTTCAACAATTTAATGGTATCTAATAAACCCTCAGCTCTAGGAAAAGTTGCCTGGCTTAGGACACCGTTCGCTAATAACAGTTACGATCTTGTAGGCTATGCATCTTGTTTGCGAATACGGAATTGGAACAGATGATCATGGCATGGTCTTTCAACTGATTGGGTGTTGTTATCGGCTCATTCGACTACTAGGACTCTGTGAAAGCACACACGATACATCACAATGCTCCGCTGAAGATAAGGTCCGAATCGAAGGCGAGAGGCGGCTAGTTTGGTCAAACTATATTCTAGATAACTCGGTTGCGGCTGGTGTCTCGGCCAATATTTCATGGACTGGCTATCCTGCGATTCCTCTGCCAATATCCGACGAGAACTTCCTAGCAAGAATATTCCCTCCGCAAGCTCCGCGCATGGCGGATGAGGCCTTCGCGAATATTACAAACACGCGCATTCTCAACTTACGCTCCAATACTATTCATTTAGTCAATCTCCGCTTCAGGGTTCTCAGGTAAGGGCAGAAGATCTCGACAAAAATAAAGTTATAACATAGCTACCGCATCTCTTGCTGACAGGCGTGCTCTAGACTCATCCGCGAGCATCGCACAGCGGAGGATGTGTCTTCTCCGGGCTCGATTTCCTCCTTCTAATCACCCAGCTAGATGAGTGGTACGAAAATCTACCGGAACAATTACAGGCTACACCAATCAACTTTTATGCTCATCGAGAGATGGGAGTTCTTGGAGCAGTCATGTTCCTACATTTGGGATATCACGGAGCGATCGCCGACTTAACCAGAGTCTCCTTGAACGGCTTCGATTTCCCACTCGCCGAAGCCTTTCAGTCGGTCCCTTTGGAATTTAGAGCAGAATGCCAATCTAGATGCCGTTATCACTCTGACCGGGTTTCACATACGATAGGCCTCGGGCTAGAGCACGGAATGTTAGCTTTTGACGACTCGTATTGCCACTTTTCCGCCTTCGAGGCGACTAAAGTACAAGTTGTACACTCATCAACGCCAGGAAATTCCGCACAAGATCGCATGGCAGCTATCGAGTGCATCAAGATGAACATCGAGCTGATGAGGGTGAAGGAGGGCCTTCCTCAAGGTATTCTGGTACGCTGATATCGATATCTGTGAGCAGTCGGTTTCCTCCCGTTGACAGTTTAACCTAACGATGATATGCTATTACGTAGGGCCGTGCCGTATTTCCACTATTGATAAAATTTGGGCTCGGGGCCCTTGTCTCCCAGTACAAGGATCTGTGGCCAAAACAGTACGTTTCGTTCTAGTCTGAGACGCTACGTTGTGTTAAGCGTAATCTATGACTAACAGGGCGTGGTAGACACGATCAAGAGACGACAGATATCACCGGGCCAAGGGAGCAGGCTTACCTCTCTAGCCTCAGTACCTTTCGCAGAGCTCAAACCCGAGCCACTGAAAATAGACCGAAGCCCACGCTGGAGAGGGCTAGCCCGCAAATCCAACTCCGCGATGGATCGTCCCTGCCGCCACGCCCACCTGTGATTTCGCCGTTGCGAGTATCTCCTACCGGGTTGATATCTCAGTTTCGAACTGGGCCCAACGAAGAGGTCGTTCTATTGCCACAGAGTACTGATCTTGGAGAGGATTGGGCCACACCGGACGACTACGCCCAACTTGCGACGGAAATGTCGGATTACTTGACTTGGGATATAGGAAAGTTCCCAGAATGGGCAGAATTTGATAGTAATCGCCCGTAGTGCTGTGTTTACCATTAAGTCGTATTCAATTTTATACCCCTTCTATAAACCTATTTTACATTTGTAGGGACCACCCCCTTTAAACTCTCAGGTGTAATGTCGGGCCGCCCAATATACTTGATCCAAGCATAAGGGTCCGAAAATTCATCGACGGCGGAAGTCTTCTCTCCAGGCACTGGGCGGCGAAACTCTCCAGCTAGGCCAACGACCCCCACCTCCTTACGATAGACCTCCCACAGGGCTAACATCTCTTTGAACAACTTTGGTTCGTCCGTACTCAAGTCTTGCGTTTCGCCAGGATCTGTGCGAATGTTGAAGAGCTCCCATCGCTGCGGCCCCGCGGTGCTGGGACAAAAGTGACTTTGTAGTCCCCGCGACGGAGAGCCCCCGAGCCAGCAATCTCGAATCCGGCCGCATAGTCTGGGGAGTGGATGGGAATTCCCTTGCACCAAGACGCGAATTCATGCTAGCTCCCGCCAACGCAACCTCGTCGAGGAACGATTTCCAGCTCCTGCCTCGTAACTGCGCGATGGGGCGACCAGCGTACTCTTTCCCAGGATGCTGCAACCCAGCAAGCTCAAGAATTGTCGGTACGACATCCATCACCGTGCAAAAGGCGTCTGTGATGATGGAATCAGTAGCGAGAGTTTCCGCCCCAGGACCAGCCCGAGTTTGAAGGGCCGGCTTAACGATTAATGGCACTCGACAACCGCCTTCCGTGGAAAACATCTTGAAAAGTCGGCTAGGCGCCGTCGCAGCTTGTGCCCAGTAGTTTCCGTACCACACGAAAGAGTTCCCACGACCAATGTTCTCAAGGCTATTGTCATAATATTTGGCAATATGAGCCATCATCTGATCGCCTAATATAGGCGCAGCTTCATACGAGGCACCCTCAGCTCCATTATCGGACATAAACATGATGAGAGTATTCTCGTACTGGCCTGTCTTCTTGAGATATTCCAATACTCGGCCAACATTCCAGTCCATTCGATCAACCATACCAGCGTAGGCCTCCATAGCACGTGCTGACTTTTGTCGCGTATCTTCATCAAGGCGGTCCCACTGGTGCTCATCCTCTTCGCCGGCCATACCAACGACTGGATGAGGCACAGCAGTGGGGGCTATAATCCCGAGGTTCTGGAGCCTTTCGAGTCGCTGACGTCTGAGAACTTCAGGGCCATCGGCATACAACCCCTTATATTTGTTCATGTTCTTCTTGGGGGCTTGAAGAGGCCAGTGAGGGGCGCTAAACGGAAGGTAGGCGAAAAACGGCTTCGTCCTATCTTGTTCATTTCTTTCACTCAAGTACTCGATGAGTTTGTCTGCATATCCGTCTGAAGAGTACCACGGCTGAGGAAGATTGCTGAGAAATGCATTATCCTCAACGTGCAAGGCTCTCGTCGTGGTCTCGAGAAACCTGCCTGGCTCAGTGGTTGGATCCTCGTAATCTGGCTCGAATCCTTTAAGGGCGGGAAGCGGTTAGAAATCAAAGTCAGTATCATATTCTTTTAGGACCAGGAAAGGAGAGTTGGGTACCATAATGATTTGCGCATCCGGGAAGGAGCGCAAAAGACTTGGCGAATCCTCGACGAACTGGGTGATGTTCCGGTTTTAAGCCCAGATGCCACTTTCCAGACATTACGGTATAGTATCCGCCATCTCGAAGAAGCTCGGGTAAAGAAACGACCGATTCATTCAAATATCCTTCGTGACCAGGTTGGCCAAGATGCGCGGGGATGAGCGTGTGAACTCTTGAAGCTGTCCAAGCCCAGCGATATGGTGGTCCGTTCCGGTCATCAACATAGACCGAGTTGGTGAGCATGCCGCGGCAACGTGAAATTCTGTGAACCGCAAAGACCCGTGATCTGCTGCGAGCGAGTCTATGTGTGGTGTTTGAATCTCGGACCCATAACAGCTGCAGTCGCTGAAACCTAGGTCATCGGCCACAATGATAAGGAAGTTGGGGCGGTTGACGCCAGTGCTATCGTTCACTGTCATGCTGTGGAACTTTCAATTCGCCGATCGAGATCAGGTCAAGATACTGATGTCTTCACAAATCGTGCAAGTGTAAGATAGCTAACAATGTGTGACCACCTCAGCTTTAGACGCACTGGTGGACTTGTTATGTACAAGTAATGCCCTACCCTACGCTGCCTGTAAGTGCCGTCAATGTCCGCTGTTAAGGAATGTGGATGAGGGAATCGGATGTCGGGGCTGAGCTCATCGCTCGTCGGTTCTCGGCAAACGAGCACTTCAGTCAAGGACACGGCGTCGGCTTTCGGCACACTTGGCTATGAAGAGATATCTGATCCTTGAATTAGTTTCCGAGTATTCGGAACCGGGTTTGGCTTCTCTCGGAGCCCGGAATCATCGACGGGAGGCTGCTCCATTGGTCGGAGATTGAGGGGGTATCTCCAGGCATCTACCTGTTCTCCAGCTTCCCAACGATCGCGTATGGTGCATTGCTAACGGGTCCTGAGAAGGGAAGAGATTGATCTGATTTACTAAGGCATAGAGGGTCTCATTGATGATAGTCAACTTACCTTGGTTCAAGGAAGGGGAGAGTAGACAAGTACAACCAGTACAACTACACTTGATATATCTAACATTCTACGTCCTCGCAGCTGATAAGCGGGCGGCTAATAAGTCATGAGTACAGCTTGGGAGACTACAAAACATCTACTATGCGTTTATTGTCTTCCGATGGCCCCAACTCATCGTTTCGGCCGAGCGTAATTTTGTGTTATAGTAAAGTAGAAGCTTTCTTCAACCCATTGCTGAACCCCCAAAGCCCAAAAGCCTAAAAGCCCCATCTCTGAGCACGCGGTTGACATTGATCAGCGGCCGTCGGTGCCCGAGTTACCACCGTCAACCATCTTCATGACCTTGGTAATCACTCTACAGATTTCTACGACTATCTGCGACTATACTTGTAGGGTTGCGGTTGATTGATTCCCAAGATAGGACGTCGGACAACTGTCACATTTACGGGCTAGGGGGCTACTAGGACGATTTTTGGGCAATAATAATCTGCGTTATGACTATGGGGTAACTAGTAGCCTGTGCAGAGATACAATCCATTCCATGTCCTAAATTCTTGACTCATGTGGCGGATAGTAGAAAATGACTGAATAAACCAGTTCCAAAATTTCACCCCAGGCAGCGGCTAGGGCCACAACAATTCGTATGGCCGCGTTAAGATTATCACACGGTCTCCTTTGTTTCCAATTCAGGCTTGTCATCTCGTCTCTGGTTCTCCTCAATTACTTCTTCTGGGATAATATGGCCGTGCTTAAACTTTTTAAATTCGAGAAGGGGTGTGTTCTCATTGAAGAGATAATCGATTTCTTCGAGAGTCATGTTCTTTGGAGACACGAGAGTTAGCATTGAAATCCCACTTTGGTAGGCATGACGTAGTCAAACACCCTTACCTTGCATTCCGGAACACAAAAGATAGCGAAGATGGCGGCGACAAAGGATATAGATCCGAAGATAAATCCGACACGAGCCTCAAGAGCAGCATAGGGTTCGTACAGGAGGTAAGGGATGCTAAATGTAACGGCAAAGGAGGTGACAACGGCTACGGTACTAGCGGTGGCGTAGGTTATATCCCTTAGACGCGAGGAGGGGAGCTCGGCGGTGATAACATGAGACACGGGTCCTAGGCCAAAGTTGAACCCGACTGCGAAGACAGTAGTTAAAGCGGTGATGCCGATTTTCGCCGATTTGCTCGGTTCATCCGTGGTGCCAAGTCCTCCCATTGCGAGTAGAGAGCCAGCTTGGATTAAGGAGCCAATAATAAGCAAGGATCTAGAAGACAGTGAGCTTAGCAGGAACGGTCATCCAGCAGAGATGGCAGGAGCATGGGGGCTGAGGAGGAATCGTAGGACCTACTTTCGGCCAACACTGTCGGTGATGTACATCGCCAGCAAAACTGCACAAATGATGATGACCGAGTTGATAGTCTTAAAGACAAAAGGATCAATGGCGCCGATATCCTTCACAAACACAGCGCCATATTTTGAGGTGAAGCTTTGCCCAGTCGCCTGCAAGAAGAAATTTGTCCCAATACAGACCAGGGTCCTCTTGAGGTTATTTCCTTGCCATATCTCCTTGAAGGAGCCCTTCTCGACGTTTATATTTATTGAAGCAACCAATGTCTGGAACTCGGCCTCAATTTCTTCCTCGGAAAACCTTCCACGTCGCAGGAGTTCGAGGTTTGCTCGCGCATCGTCAGGGCGGTTGCGCAACAGGAGCCAGCGAGGAGACTAGATGGCGAGAAAACCGATCAGCAAAATTTACCACAGTTAAGCTCCTCAGCTTCCATAGAATGACGACGAGGGGGATAGGCCTAGACACACCTCTGGGATGTAGAAGGTTCCGAAAAATACGATGGTAGGAATGATAAAAACAACCCAAATGGTATTCTCCAGGAGTTGTCGCCCTCCAGCTTACTAGTGCCGAGACACACGACAGATATAAGGAGAGCTCCCACCTTGCAGTAGTGTTAGTGTGTTAGTATCTACCGTCCGCTACGGGGATGGCACTGCGGCCTATTTGACACATACTAGGATTCCCAGCTGATAGGTACCAACGACGAAGCCACGAACGCGAGCTGGGACCAACTCGGATTGGGTCACAGGCACGACGGCAAGTTCCATTCCGACGTAGACAAAGTTGAGGATTCGCCCGATCAGTACCTGTTCTTTATGTTGCGCCGTCACGAGTAGGATGGCGGAAATCCACGCCCAAACGCACATGACGAAGAATGACATGCGCCGTCCCCAACGCCGAGCTATATAGCTACCCAACAACAGGCCGAAAACCTGGCCAATGTAGGTGAGGCTGTTCAGAAGAGAGAGGAAGTATGGCTCGATAGCGTAGCGTTTCAGCGACGGCCTGTACACGCCGAACTTTTTCTCAAAGGCCGTCATTGCCTGAGTGGTGCTAAATGCCGTCGTGTCTATGCCGAAATTGACTTGGGAGAGCATGATAATGATGCAAGAAAACAGCAGTCGCCCATTGAAGGCACCGCCCACGCGGCCACTGGTGAAAATACCAGCCATTTCGATGATGCTTTGAGTGTAAGACAGCTAGTGGAAACTTGAAGATGGTAGGTGAGCCAACACCAACGTTAGGGGTTGTCACCTTCGAGGTTTATATAGTTAATTGAGGCCGATGCGACATGTTGAGTTGGGATGGAACGCAGTTCTGGCCGTCACTGGGTCTTCCGCGTGAGGAAAAGGATTTCTCGGGACTCTTCTCGACTTAGCGTGATATTTCAGAACAAGGCTTTTGTCCCGAGAGTCTGAGTCTGGGGTCCGGGGTTGCGGGGTGACCTTCGAGCTGGCTTGTGCGGGACACAGTCTGGATTACGGTGAGCGGAGAGACTTTCGCATGATCGAAGCTCCTATGCAAGTAGAAGCGGTACGTGATCCTTCTCGGATGGCAAAGGCAAGTGGAAAGATGGATGGCGAATGTGAGGCTAACTGTAGGCGAGAGCCGGCCTAGACTGCCATCGTAGGCCCGAGCTTGGTCCCCGAAAGCCGATTCGGATCGGCTTTCGCCGGCTTTCGGCCCCCTTCTACAACGTCTTGGGACCTCAGGGCTAATCCGGCTATAGATGCTACAGAATATAAGTACATCTAGATGTATGGAAAGAACTTTACCATAGGCAAAACAAATTTTGGCGTCGAAAGCGCCGGTGTACGCCTTGTTTACCGCTATAGATCCTGGCAGATATACAAGGCCTTCCGAGAACATTGACGTTGAAGATGAAACAACCAAATTTTCTCATCATTGTCGCCGACGACCTTGGCTTCAGCGACACATCACCGTACGGCGGAGAAATAAAAACACCAAACCTCGAGCGTCTCGCTAATACTGGTGTGCGCCTGACGAATTTCCATACTGCGCCAGCATGCTCACCAACAAGGTCAATGCTGCTGTCCGGCACCGATCACCACATCGCTGGTTTGGGCCAATTGATCGAGCATATGGCACAGAATCCCAAGGTCTTCGAGGGCCGACCGGGATACGAGGGCTATCTTAACTTCAGGGTTGCCGCCCTCTCTGAGATACTCCAAGACGCGGGTTACCACACTATGCTGTCGGGAAAATGGCAAGTGTTGGCTGATACATCTCCCAGAAATACACCAAAGACTAGCTCTAACCGAAGTGTTGAATTTATAGGCATCTCGGGCTAAAGAAAGAGCATTCTCCAGCGGCACGAGGGTTTAACAAAGTGTTCTCATTCTTAGCCGGTTCCGGAAACCATTACAATTACGAACCCCAGTTCGATGACAAAGACTTCAAGCTGCCTTTTCGGGGAAGGTATGGATGGAAGGTGATCGATATCTCGATCGTAAGACGGAGATCCCGCCAGACTTCTATTCGACTACGTATACAACCGCCCGAATGTTGGAGTTCCTGCGAGGCCGTACGGAGGCAGAGAAAGACCAACCATTTCTTGCCTACCTAGCATACCTTGCGCCGCATTGGCCCCTCCAAGCACCTGAAGAGAGGGTCAAAACCTACGAGGGCTTTTACAAAGATGGCCCGTCAAAGTTACAGGAGAAAAGGATTGCGAACCTCGTCAAGCTTGGCTTGATCCCCGAAGATGTAATCCCAGCGAAGCCAGAGGCGTACGCCGGCACGCCGTGGGACGACATGACCGAAGAGCAAAGGCAGGAATCTGCTCGAAAAATGGAAGTCTACGCCGCAATGGTGGAAATGATTGATGATGGCGTTGGTGAAGTCATTGACTACCTTCAATCGACGGGCGAACTCGATAACACGTTCGTTCTGTTCATGTCTGACAATGGCGCTGAAGGCCTATCGATGGAGGCCATACACGTGATGGGCGGCCAGACAACGATGGCCGCCATTATCAACAAGCACTACAATAACGAGTTTGAGAACATTGGGCGGAAAGATTCGTTTGTGTGGTATGGTCCCGAGTGGGCATCGGCTGCGACCGCTCCATCCCGAGGATGGAAGTGCTGGCCCACGGAGGGAGGCATCCGATGTCCCTGCATCGTTCGGTATCCGGGCTTCGGTTCCTCCCCTTCCGCGGTGAGCCACTCATTTACCACGGTTATGGACATTCTCCCCACCGTCCTCGAGCTAGCCAACATCCCGCCTGTCGGCTCAACGTTCCGTGGCCGCGAAATCGTACCAGTGAAAGGAAAGTCATGGATCCCACATTTGACCTCTGGCGACTACGCAAATACATCTGTTCATGATGAGAATGAACACGTCCATGGATGGGAACTTGTAGGACTACGGGCAATCAGGAAGGGGCCGTGGAAAGCGGTTTGGATGCATCCGCCCCGAGGCAGCGGCGAGTGGGAGTTGTTCAATCTTGACCAAGATCAGGCGGAATCCAACGATCTGGCAAAGTCGGAGCCGGCCAAGTTGGTGGAACTCATCCGTTGCTGGGAAGAATACTATGCCGAGACGGGAATGTTTGATCATGGGTTCGAGTTTCGAGCAGCCAAGGCGTAGCTCATGCCCAAAATCTGTAACATAAAATGATGCCTTTGTAATCCGAGTAAATGATTGATTGAACCAGTTCCTTCCTTACATTGCCCTCACATCGTGGTGGAGGCTGTCCTCGCGCGACTCAAGCCTAGATATGGGGAGACTACAAATAGTAATGAGCGCAGCGAGTCAAGATCTAGAAAGGCACGGGCGCACAATGGCTGGGTGCTGGTCCGACTACGAGTGGCGATGGCAATAATCATACAAGTTGCGTTGGCTCTAACATCAATTCAAAAAAGTATTCGCACTATATACAGCGAGATCTATGGATGATACGTGCACGGATGTGAGGCTCTTAGCAGCCGATTAGCTATGGACCTCTGGAAGAACAAATAACTTCCAGTACTCATCCAAATCCAAAGTCTGCGTGGCGCCAATTGACTCTCCTCTCGTCTCCCTTTGGCTAAAACCATCGCCGAGATAAGCAAAGCGATTGGCCTTAGCTAGTCCGGTAGCATCCATCTTGAAGTCCTCCCAACGTGGGTTCTTCAGGGCTTCCATAAAATGGAAGGTAGTACCGCCGTAGATGGCGATAACAGGCCCATCAATCGTACCGCGCTTATACCAGCTGCGGCAGCCGCGCGTCCAGACAGTGCGCTCCAAATATTTTTGAATGTGTTGGTTGTACTCCTCATTGACATCCGCGTGCACTTCGAAGCTCCTGATACCTTCCGTCTGGAGCTTTTCCAGCCACTTGTACACGTAGATGGCTGTTGTTTGGATGCCGAGGACAAGCGACCCGTTGCTGATGGGGCTGTTGGGGCCCACAAAGCAGAAATAGTTGGGCATGTCGGGGACAGATACTCCAAAGTATGCCTTTGGCCGGTCCACGCTCCACTTTTGAGCCAGGTCGACCCCGTTGCGTCCCACGATGGGAAAGGCGGGCCGGAAAGTGGTGTCGAACCCTGTTGCGCAAACGATGACATCGTATTCCCTCTCTTCGCCCGATCTCGTCTTGATTCCCCTCTCCGTGCAGCTATCAACATCGTCCCAGCGCATTTCAATGTTATCTTGGATCAATGCCTCGAGGAAGCCGGGGCCTGGTGTTTGCCTTCGACACCCGACGGGGAAGTCGGGGAGCAACATTTCAGCCGCCTTGCGGCCCTTTTCCGTATCTCCCAACCGCTCAGTCATGCTCTTTCGGAACAGTTCTTGGGCTCTCTTCTGGATGTCACTGTCTGCCATGGCCCGCTTGAAATTGTCGATTCGGCGGTCCATGATGGCTGCGCGATAGCTGCGGAGAACCTCGGGGTCTTTGAAAAGCTCAAGGCTGCCCTCGGTGAAGTTGTATTCTGGGTCCATGTCGGGGTCCTGGTCAGTCGGCTCGTTGATGCCGGGAGCAGGAGAGATCCAAGTCTTCGATCGCACGAAGAGATCCATTGAGCTGCAGATTTTAGCAAGCTTAGGGACGATCTGGATGCCCGATGAGCCAATACCAATAACTGCGACACGTTTGCCCTCGAAGTCGTAGTCCTGATCCCAGCGGGCGGAGTGGACCAGCTTCCCTTTGAAGGTTTCGATACCGGTAATATTGGGCCATTTCCAATTGCTACATCAGTTAGCCAGAACACCCTACGGAACTACCCTGACAATAGGATACTTACTTGAGCACGCCGCCGGCATTGATGAACACGTCCACCTCATCGGAAAACAACTTGCCCTCGCTGTCCTGCACCTGCAACACCCATTTGGCCTTTGCCTCATCCCAGGTGGCAGCTTGGATTGAATGCCGGAGCTTGATGTACTTGTTGCAGTCATACTTGTCTGCAACATCATGCATGTATTGATGAATCTGCTGCGAGGTTGCGTAGTAGTTGGGCCAGTCTGGCTTGGCCGCAAAGCTGTACGCATAATTGTGGGCTGGGATATCACATTTGCAGCCCGGGTACCTAAATATATACGAGGTTAGTGAAGGGGACGAGTAAGGACCAAGGGCATAGTTCTAACGTACCTATTCTCGAACCAAGTGCCACCAAGGTCCTCGTTCCTCTCGTACACCACGAGATCGGTATTCTTGCCTTGCATCTTCTCGCTGAACACGATGCTCATCATCAGGCCGGAGTACCCGGCACCTAGGCAAGCTACACGTATCGGACGACGAGTACCGATCGGCTGCTCAATGATTTCGTAAAAGGGATCCAGATGAGACGCCGCCTCTTGGGACAGGGCATCCAAGGGGACCGCATAGCCAGGGACCTTGGCGTTGACCTTTCGGTGCCACTCTTCGAGCCGGGTGCGACGGCTGACGCATTCATCTCTTCTGCGATTGCGGACGGCGCCATGACGGAGAATAGTTTCTTGGCTTGGGTGGCTCACGGTTAATCTCGGAAGGTTATACCTATTCACCTAATCCATGTGAGAAGCGACGAGTTCCAGAGTTATGCTATAAGTAATTTCACCGATAGATTGATGTCCATTCGCTCTTAGGCTCTTCCAGACTAAAGCTGCCCCTTTCAAATAGCTCCCTCCTGTCATTCCCACTTGACCGGAAATCATTATCCGCGGCAGCTGAGAGTCAAGATGAAGTTGGGATTCACTACGGCAAATCATTGATGGCGAGTCTTGGTATCGATGGTATCGATCGAAAGAATGATCTCCGACCAACCTTCGGAGAATGATCGAAGCCGGACATCAATGTCCGGAGATATCCCAATGGCATTGGACAATGGCAATTTTGATTGGCTCCTCCAAGCACGCTTGGGATCCTTCTTCCCCAATCCTCCTTTCGCAGGATTGTACGAAGTCATTTCCCCACACTCACTCTTCTTAGCTCCACGTCTGCAAAGGTTGATTGGATCACGGCTTCATTCATGGCCGATGGGGCAAATCGGCAATCCTTCCCCTGCTTTGGTGTGGGGACCCCACAGAGAAGTCTCCAACTTTCTTGGAAGCGACCGCGGTGATGCGGGGAAGGATGCTCTGGGATCGGCAAAACGAATGGCCCGGCCAATTCCTCTTGAATTTGCCGTGCTCAAGTGCTCGAGGAGTGCACTCGCCAACCCGTACTCCCACAGCTTGTCAACGAAGCCCCACGATGTGGTACCACCAACGCGCTCGCCAAACCTTTGAGCAACAAAAATGACTGAATCAAAGATTTCGCGGCCCATGGCCAAAGATGGTCGTCCCCGTGCCGCCCGCGGGCCCAGAACTTGTAAAACTTGCACATTATGCCGTCAAAGAAAAGTCAAATGTGACGGAACACGACCACACTGCAACGACTGTCAGCTGAACGGCGTCACTTGCGTCTATCCTCGCGATGCGAGACGGGAGCTGCGGCCGTCGCGGTCGCGCATCCAAAGCCTCGAAGACACAATCTCCGTTATGCTTGAGCACATGAAGGCGTCCGGGCTCGATTTCCCACATCAGGCAAGCATCGGAGAAGGCGATAGTCAACAATACCCAGAGTCGCACGCTGGTCCCAGCCCTGCCGATAGTACTGCTGCCGCGACCGCCGGGTCGGTGTCTGCCACATCCTTGTTTAGTGTCCCTCATCAGGAGCTCCGACACCCCGTCCAGCTGACGCCGGTCTCAAATCCACCGGATCCCTCAGTTTGTCAGACCCCCTTCGACATTAACGGGAGCAGGCATAGGCTACAGCCTCTGGATGAGGATGACGCAGGGGAAGAACTAAATGAGCGAAATACCATGATGCAGAGCTCACCGGGCGGTGCCGTTGGAAGGGCTCCAGTCATGGCGCCGGCCGGGTCTAGAGAGCAAGAAGATACAAAAAGAAATAGCGCAAGCCTATCCAATTGTTTGTCGCCTTGTGAAGCCCGAGTTGCGGGGGTCTTTCATGAGAATGGCTGTGTTTCTTCCGTCCATGGGCTGGCCGGGATCATGAACCCTACGGATCGCAAGCGACACACAGAGAATATCTCCAAGCTCATGCGGAGAGGGGAAGGCGCCATCGCCGAGTCCAAAGCGCGGCTCATAAGCAACGCTGCACTTCAAAAGCAGCGAGAAACACAAATCTTTCGGCAGCCATCTGACCACATGGACTTGGACGGCTGTAATCCGGAGCTCGCCAAGCACCTTCTTGATCTGCACTTTAACCGTCAGCACTTTGCCTATCTAGTGACGTATCGTCCCGCGATGATGGACAGTCTTGCCAACGGCGGGGGCGTTTGGGCCAATAAGCTACTCTTGAATGCGATATACTATTCCAGCTCAATGTATAGCGACCGGGAATGTTTGAGGTCCGACGGCCCTCATGACATTCAGAGTCCGGGATCTCGGTTTTACACGCGGTTTCGCCAGCTCCTAGTGGATGAGATACAGCGACCCAGCATCGCGTCGGCCATGGCCTTGCTTCTGACGAGCGCGACGCTCGTCTCCCAGGGTCATTCAAGCGCCGGCTGGGGTTGTCTGGGACGGCGTACCGAATGATTCTTGATCTCGGCTGTCATATGATGCTTGCCCCAGACTATCAGAGCGTGACGGGGTTGAGTAACGGCCGGCGCTTGCGTCGAGATCTGGAGCTTGAGATGCGTAAAAGGCTTTATTGGGGCGCGTACGCGACTGATGCTACGCAGGCGCTCTACCTCGGCCGGCCTTGCATGTTCGCGTCCGTCGAGGCGAGAGTGCCACTTCAGCCTCTGGACACGTTTGAAGAGCTCGAAGATTGGCAACCATACGAGGATCCGTGTTTCCCGAACCCGAATCAACCAGCTTACGCCCCACAACCCGCGTACGGTGTGTCGACGTTCATGGCGTTAGCGCGGCTGCTACAGATCTCTACCAAAATCACTGATCTGTACGGGATACAATCCATCAAGCTTTCGAACGAAGTATTGGTCGATAGGAAACGTTCAATTGAATGGGAACTTGAGAACTGGAAGGCAACCCTTCCTTCCCACCTACGGTTTAATCCCGACAACCGGGCCACGCCTCCACCTCACCAGGTCACACCACAGTAGGTTCCCCGCCAGTCTTTAGTCTACAAGTACAAGCTGAGCCCCTGAACAACGATACCTAACTCACCAAACTTGTAGCACAACATTCTATGCCCTAACGATCCTTCTTCACCGCGCCTTTCTGGAGCAAGGCCACCTTAGACGCTGTTCGGATAGTCACAGCAAGAGACTTGGCCAAGATTTTTGCATCTCCAGCGCTCTCATGATCGAAAAATATGTCCGGTCCTACCGCATGGCGTTTACACTGCGTCGGGCACCCTTCCTTTTGTCATATGCAGTGTACTCGGGAGCGACAGCTATCCTGAGCCGGGAGCACCATGACCGCGGAAAGTACACGGAAACAATTTCGTTCTTCTGGACGTGCTTGAATGAGCTCCAACGGGGGTGCAATTACGGGCTGAAAAAGCCATTGGGTATCCTGCACGACATTGTGAACGAACTCCAGTTTCACGTCAACGAGGAGGGGATCGATGAGCCAGTCATGCATCACCTGCAGCCAAGTCTAGATGAAAGTCTCTTCTTCAGGTTGCCCAATGATGGGAACGGCATCGGAGAGCCGGCTCAAGTCCGTGAGGGGGTGGGCAAAATGTCGTGACGCCCGAATACTGGAACACCCTGGAGTATCTAGATACCACGTACGGGCCCATCGATGCGCACATGCCGGATTTTTAAATGGCCAAGAAAACGACATCTACCAAGACTCACTCTATGGCTTGTTCGCTCCACCGCAGCCAATGCCATAGCTTCGCTCCTAGTTCGTTAGGATAATCGTAGGTTGTATAAGGGTTGACAAATAATTGAATGTGATACGAATGAGATACCAAAATTTCTAGGTTTATGTGTTGTATATACACGTAGTGTCTCTCTCTAATGTTGGGGTGCCTTATTGGCGACGGACCTCCACACGCGACGCACGTTCGGCTTCGCCGCATTGCTACGAATCCTCATAGTCCACTCTGTGACTCCAGCCTTCCATTCCGGGCCGCCTAAACCATTCACCTCATCGTAGTAGTTTAAACCGTAGAAATTGGCCGTCTCTGCCTCCCCATATACCTTCTCGAGCTTGTATCGTCTTGCCGAGTTCCACCCCGGAACATGGGTAAGCTTCTCGCCATGCTCTTGGTCGTACCAGTCGTGGTAATGCTGCACTTTGTCCGGCCTGGGTGTTGATCCGTTGGCTACAAGGACGGATCCAGCCACAGGGGCCTTGGGTAACAGATGCGCAACATTGTCCGCTCCCGGATTCGCCGCGTCCCGCCCATTGATGAAGGAGCAGATGACCCAGGCGACGGACTCGAGAGTAGATCCGTGGGCACTGACGTCTTCGTTGTATTTCGATGGGCTAGACAAGAGAGGTGTTATGTCGCTGAGAAAATAGATTGTATTCCTCGAGGGTTTCGCCTCGTCGTTGGCTTCCATGACCTGAATCGCCTCTACATTGGGACAAGGTGCGATCGGGCTGCTGCTAGAATCCGCTGGAGGATTGGTGCCATCGCGGGGTTGCACGAGGCGCATGAGGATTCCAGGTACAGACATGGTAGAAGTTGATAGGCAGTTTCGAAATTAAGTTAGATCAGAAAATTATTTGCTTCATGTGTGATATCTAGCATGATGGCCGCCGCATCCTGAAAACTAGCAGACGTCAGCCCTCCAGATATATCAATAGCCCGCCGGACTACTACATAGGCCATGGATTACTGGAAGACGCGCGCGCCGATCCCGCTTAGAAAGTCCCCTAGGCCCGTCGGTAAAAGACCAAATCGATCTCCGGGGGCGAATGCTTGGCGGATGAAGACTTGCGGCACTAGTCCGCCCGGTGCCGGATACCAAAATCCGATAGGAGAGCCACCCCAAAAGATGCAGTGCGGGGCTCAGACGTGGGACTACCCAAGCATTTATTCACAACATAACTCATGCCCCAAGGATTCATCTTAATCTCGCGCACACAGTTTACTATTACACAACCTTACCGATATTGTATCCTCAAGTTACGGCGAATCCGATCATGGCCCCTGTAATGCAACCCATTCCGTCGCTAAGCGACTTGCCCCTCCGAAAAGGTGATCCACCGAATTCGGCATGGGGGCTCTGGGGGATGGCCCAGAGAGCGCGCTCGGATCTTTGAACTATCTGACCGAGGAAGTTGTGGCGAGGGCTGCAAGGAAGAAATCCAGACGGGCGAGCGAGTAGGCCTAGAGTATGCTTCCAAAATGCCCGACCCGGCCACCCGGCCGTATCAAATTGTTAACCTGCTCTCTTGATCTAGTTTACCCCTGGATTTGTTTGATCCCCCTTTGCTTGGCAGGGCAGGTTTTGAGCAAAAGATTGTGGATAAGAACCCGCTAGTCGTGAATGACGACGTGGTAAGCAGCCATGTACCACCGCCATCTTGAGAGGCACACCAGTGAAAGCTAACGGGACTTGCTGTCTGTCTTAGATTTCCTTCAATACTCAAGGTAGTTCCCAATGGGATAGTCTTCGCCATTTCGCATATCAAAAGGATAAGAAATTCTACAATGGGTATGGATGACGCGTTAATTCCATGGACGGTCACGAACCCCAAGACTGATTCAAGTTGGTACAGTACTACCCAAGAAGAGATCCATTCCGCTCCCAGGACAGCAATCAACGGCCTTCAGACTTGGAACTCAAAGGCCTTGGCTGGCCGCGGAGTCCTCATTGATTACGCGTCATACGCCAAGCGCCAGGGTATCTCCGTTGACCATTTCACGCCGCACGGAATAACGTTAGAGAGCGTTAGAGCAATCGCCGAGGAGGAAGGAATCGAATTTCGGAGCGGGGATGTGCTCTTTATAAGGACAGGATATGCAGCAGCTTACCAGACCCTAGATAGCGAAGGCCGCACCAGAGTCTCTGGAGTTCGGGAATGGTGCGGGCTCGCGCAAAGTCGGCAAACCACGGAGTGGCTCTGGGAGAGGCAATTCGCAGCGGTGGCTTCTGACAGCCCTGGGTTTGAGGTCCGCCGTAAGTTCTCCGGCATATCATTTAGTCGAATACTAGAGGCTACGTCACAGATAACTAACCTCTCGAACAGCTCCGACGGAGAAGGAATGGCACCTTCACCCCATTCTCCTCGCCGGGTGGGGAACGCCCATTGGGGAGTTGTTTGATCTGGATAAGTTGGCTGAACTTTGTGCAAGGCGTAAGCGTTGGTCATTCTTTTTCACATCAGCGCCGCTCAATTATACGGGCGCGGTGGCTTCTCCGCCCAACGCTATCGCCATTATGTAGTATACAAAGCTCTTGTAGTATCTATATGGATTCAGTTATAATATAAACTGTTAATTTAGCATTCATCAGGAACTGTGCCTTCCATTTCGTTTGCAGGAAGGAGTTTAGAAGCGCCGCGGAAACTGGCAGACAAGACTACATATAGTGTCAAGAGTTACCTACTGCATACGTGCCGTTTAAGAGATTTGTTAAATTTTCTGCACATAAGGGTATGTCTGACTGCATTTAATATGTCTAGCAGAGTATTACCTTCCTATAAACCCGATACCGCACTCACGCCAGGTAGTCCGTCTCCTCTGGAGACAAATTGCATCAAATCTGACCAAATGCCCGAGCCAGCATTCTCCCACTCCTTGGCATTTGCCTTATCTTCGAAAAGGCTAAACACGTATACGCTTTCGTCCGCATCACCTTCCCCGCGGTCTAAAACCAAGAAAGATACTACGGACTTGCTGTCGCCAGCAAGGGTGGCCAGCTTGCGCATCCGCGCCATGACCTGGCCTTTTGAACCCACATTGGGCCCGAGCTCATTCACAATAAGGTACCGTCCTTCTCCAACTGGTGGCACTTTCATCTGCCCTTCTATACCCGGGCGGATGACAAAACCAATGTCTGTAGGCTTCCAGTATCGAAGGTCACTCGGGCGCTCTAGCAAGCCTTCCTCACCCACAGCAGCGCGGAATGTTTTGTAAGGGGTGCTTGACCTGTGCGTAACTGTGTTTGCCTCGGGTGTTTCGTATCTAGTTATTTTTTTATGATCAGTCAGCGGTCCCTTGGATGCCTAGAGGTCATAACCTGTCTCTCGCACTTACATTTCGAAACCCTGAAGCCAGTGATGCGGCACTTGGTCATTATCCTCTGCACTGCGAAACCAGGCATAAGCCTGGCATTCGGGCTCCGACTCGAGCGTCGCTGGGGCAATCTTGGAGAGGTACTCGAGGAACTGGGTCCCGTTCTCAGCTTCGCATCATCCCAACAGGAGTGTACAATGAAAGCAACTTACGCGGTCTCGTTTCTGCGCCGAAGCGCAATTCGACATGGGGCATATGACAAACATGGTGAATTGCGGAACAATTTGCTGGCTGCTTTGGAATTCCAAGGTGGCAAGGGAGGGATGGATACGACGTAGGACTTAGATAGTTTACGAAAATAAAAAGGGGGAAATGGGTTGACTGGGGCTGGCAAGCCGGCTCCTCCTGTTGGAACGCCTCGGCGGACGGGAATCGGGCGGCGAGGTGCCACGGATATTGATGTCCGACTTGCAAGTCTTCCCCGCACCAGCGAAAAGAGCCCCACACCAGCCCTCTGGGCTTAAAAACTCGCTGACAAGGTGCAAGGGGTCGGATTCAAGAAGGCCGCTTTGCTAGACTCTGCAGCTCCCTGTTCATCAAGATTCCAATATCCAGTGCGCTAATTGAATCCTCTCGACCCCTAAAACTATGGCCTCCGAGACTCCTCGCCTATCGGCAGAATTCCTCCAGTCATTGCTGGGCCAAGGCAACACGGCTCAGCGTGTACGACAGTACATGTGTGCCATAGTCACGCTCTCCTCGCTCAACTATCCCGATGTCATCCCCCACGTCTATGAACACCTTTCTAGCAATCTCTTGGCGGAATTGACACCCGTTGAGCGGCAAGAAGCCGTCCGGAAAGTACGTGAGGGCTTGATCAAGTCCACCGGAATAGCAGGTGCAGCCCGGACTGGGAACGCCATGCGGACCCTGTCTCGATGCCTACCGGACGAATACAGGGAAACAGAGTCACCGAGATCGAAGGAGTCGGAAGAGCATGCCAAGAAACGGGGTCGCGAGTTTTGGCTTAGCATCTATGCAAGAAACCCCGAATTTGATCCCGAGGCAACCGTGAGGGCAAGCCCAGACTATACCTTTGTTGTGCGAGGTAACGTTTTCCTAATCCCGGTATGAACTGTATCGAGTCAATGGTAGCTGACTAAACTAGACCTTCTATATGCCCGCGTCTTTTCGTATGATGGGGTTCTGGACTCGTTAATGACGGGATACGCAATCGTGTCTGCACTTTACGGGATGGACTGTCAGAACCAGCTTCGGAGCCACATGAAGGGGATGCTTTTCAATGGTGCATCACATCAAGATCTTGTGGATCTTCAAACCCTTTGCCTAGGGATCGCAAAAGAATTGGGCGTTCATTTTAGGCATGGGCCAGCTCCGATCCCTACTATTTCGTAGCATACTTTGCTAGATGCACCGGATTAAGGTGTGATCAAATGTAATATAACTTGCCATAGAGAATGGGCCATATCGTAGGTATAAAATGCAATCTTCTAAGCTACATGCCATCCAACCATCCTTCGTTTCTGATCTTCCTCCTCATCGTTTGCCCACTCTAATGCCTCCAAAATACGAGCTTGGTAGCGTTGGCTCGTCGGAAGTGTCGGCCACCGTGCGAAACCATGAGGCACGCCGGGAAAGATGTGAACGCTTACCGGGACACTAGGAGTCGTATAAATATCATCAGAAATTCCAATCGTGCATCTAACAGCGGGTGACGTTAGGGCTGTTGCTCTTACCTTAACTTTTCAAGTCGAGTGGCAAATAGAAGGCCATCGTCTCGTAGAGGATCCATCCCAGCGACCAGAAATGCGGTCTTAGGCCACCCGGATAATGAAGAGTCGGGTGCAAGGGCGGTGTTCAATACCGGGTCAGTTGGATCCTCCACCTCAAGCAAATCGGAAAACAGACTCAGGCGTTTCGTTGGGATCACGGCGGTATCGGTGCATTGTATCTTGGAGGCCTTGTCCGGTGACACGAACAAATTCAGAGGATAGTTGTCAATGTGAATCAACCAGGGGATCGAGAGCACGACTCCCTTGATGGGCATTTCGTAGCCCTGAGTACTCTTTGCACACGCTAAGTCACGCAACACCACCGAGGCGGCAAGACCAGCACCAGCAGATACACCCATCAACGTGACACCTGACTTCAGGCTAACCTTCAATGTTTGAGGTTCGGCCAAGATAGATCGGTAGGCGTCCCAAGCATCGTTGTGCTGTGCGGGATGCTTGTGCGCGGGGGTATGTCTATAGATGATGCTGAGAACCACGACACGAGCTCGCAAGGCCATGGTCGCGCAAATAACATCATCCGTGGTCTCAGAGCCGAATAGAAACCCGCCGCCGTGGAAGAATATCAGAACGGGGCATGAGTCGGTGTCCCGGCCAAGACGTGCGTATCTGCGGACGGGGATGGTGTGCTCATCTCGCGACGCTACCGGAATTGTTTCAATCGTGACGGATGACCTCAAGCCGGTTGTAGTCATCAGCTTGTCGGCCAATGACTCGCGCGCTTTATTGTTGACATCACGAAGAACTTGAGCATTATCGAGGTGGTTGCCGCTGTAGCCCTCGCGGACGGCTTCCGGGTTCTCTGCAACAAGTGCAGACCAGTCAGCGCTTGGTGTTCCGTATCTCGAGAAATCCATATTGAATCTACAGTATAGATCTGGAAACTTTCACCAGAAGCAGGGCTAGGGCTGTGACTGGATCCTAGGCGGGTGGTCCCGATATCTCAAAGCTTTGAATTATGTTTCCGATTGGTGCCAAGTTAATTATGAATGACCCTTGAGCCGCAGAAGTTCGGCCGATGAGGGTAATCCGGAAAACAACCCCGAGGTTGGGCTTGAAGGCCCCGCTATTTACGAAGGACACCAATCTCCGAGTTCGAGAATTACATCCATGGATTTATCGACGGGGGTCAAGACTTTTGCCTTCAAGGCGACTTGGTGGCTATAGCTGAGTTTCTTTCTATTCCCTTTCTATTCCCGACATAGTCTACGGTGGGATCGTCATCAAACCACCAAAAACGAAGTTGATCACTTCTCTCATCGCTGCCTCGCAGCATGGATCCCATGCTTCTTTCGAGTACTTGATAATTGGTGATGTTATGGACAATGAGGTAGGTAAGGAGCGGAGTAGATGCTCTCGCCTTGTTGTCCAGGGACTTTAACAAGTCTGAAAAAGAACTTCATGAATGCATATCTTGTTTCTGAGGTCGGGGCATGTCGATGGAATAGAGCAAGACAAGGATATACCCTACATGGCCCAATAGAAATGAGAAGATAGAGTGTTACTGCAAAGTTTCCTAGTTGGAGTGGTGAACAACTACCAACTGGGAGATGCTTGAGTCTCTTCCTTTTCCCCGGACAGGACGAGCGGAACGTATAGGCCTAGATATGCAATTCCGGTGTCCATCGGGGATCACGATAGGAAGCGCAAACAGATTAGAGATTTTGGAGAATCAATATCGACGCTAGAACCGTCAAGGTTTCGACTCTTCGAGGTGTTGCGTGATCCTTCTCCTTCTGCGTTTGGCATGAATGTAGTATGCCCCATTACCCCAGGCGAATTGGGTGGGGCTTTGCAGTGCCTAACCATCCCCCGGTATGCATTCTCCCCTTGGTCCTCCCCAGAACAAACCACAAACCAAGGCCGGAAGGGGTTCAAAATGCGGGGGCGCTAGAGCCAGTGGGATTGAATCGTGGGGAAACGAGGAGAAATGATGTCTCCACATCTTAGAGCTCCGTCCCCCACAAGCGCGACTGCCGGATGTACAAGTCCGGTCGTCAAAGTAACACGGAAATCCTACGCTGGATGGCTTCCAAGATAAAGGGTGCAGATAATCCGACGCATTCGCATCGTCATGAGTGAAAGAGCAGTCACCAGCGCGACTCTTTCTTTTACATCAATTGATGCGCCCGGAAACACTCGCAATGGAGACGAACAAACGGTCCTCAGCCGACATTTCGCATGTGGAGAAGCCCTCGGACTCCAAACTCATCGATGACGATGCGGAGCTCTATGGCATCTCCCACGAGGAGCACAACAGGACCTTCCGCAAAGTTGACTGGCATTTGATGCCGTTGCTGATGGCCCTGTATCTAATTTCGAACCTGGACAGGTAAGAGCGTCCCCGCTCGCCCCGTTTGTGTTTCAATGACCTCTCTAATTATAAAATCGTCAACAGGGCAAATCTCGGCAATGCCAAAATCGAAGGGCTTGAGGCCGACCTTGGCATGACTGGCAATGACTATAATCTTGCCAACATGATGTTCTTCGTCCCCTACATTTTGTGCGAAGTCCCGGCAAACACCATTCTGCTCAAGTTCGACAAGCCTTCGACTTGGATCGGTATCATTGTCACGGCCTGGGGAATTGTAATGACTTGCAGCGGATTCTGTCAAAATTTTGGCGGACTCATGGGCTGTCGTGTGCTTCTCGGTGTCTTTGAGTACGTTGTTGCATCAGGAAGCGTTGCTATCAGGAACAATATCTCTAACACTTTTCCAATAGAGCCGGCTTCTTCCTGGCGCTGCGTATCTCTTGAGCCAGTGGTACCCTCCGAACATGACTCAGTTCCGCATGTCCATGTTGTACTGCGCTGCAGCCATGTCCGGTGCCTTTTCGGGTTTGTTGGCAGCAGGCATCGCCAAAATGTCCGGCTTAGCCGGTTACAACGGTTGGCGCTGGATTTTCATCATCGAGGGCGTCTTGACTGTCGTCTTCGGCCTCGCATCGTTTTTCCTGCTACCCGACTCCCCGGCACACTCAACCCGATGGCTCTCTGAGACGGAGATTGGCTACCTCCAGCATCTACACAAAAAGTACAGAGGCACCCGCCATCAACAAGAAGACCCTCTAGATGAGGAGGCGCCGGCCAAGCGGAAAGAGCAGTGGAAGATCCTGCGTAGCGTCGTTACCGATTGGCAACTTTACTTGCAGGCCTTCATCTTCATGTCGAGCTCCGTCCCCACCTACGCGCTCAAGTTCACCCTACCGCAAATCATGGTCAACATGGGTTTCAAGAGCAACGAGGCGCAACTTCTGTCAGCCCCTCCTTATGTGGCGGGTGCCATATCTGCCCTCGTAGTGGCCAGGTTCGCCGATAGATTTTCCTGGCGCCTACCCTTCATCGTCGGGCCGCAACTATGTCTCATGGCCGCGTATGCAGTTCTCTTTTCGTTTAGCGCCGAAATATCCACCCATGTAGCGTTGTGCTACACCTTTGTCCACGTCGCAACTGTTTCCGTTTATCCCATCGTCCCTGGTGGTAACACGTGGACGCTAAACAACCTCGCCGGGCAGAAGAAGCGGGCCATGGGAGTCGCATTCATGATTGCGCTAGGAAACTGCGGAGGCATCATCGGTAGCCTGATCTTCAAGGGCTCCGAAAGCCCGCGATATCAAACCGGATGGGGCACCAGCCTGGGTTTCATCTGCGCCGGCATCGTCGCTGCCACGACTCTGGAAGTGACGTATATGTTTATCAATAAGAAGCGGGACAAGATGTCGGTCGAAGAGGTTGAGGCGACCTACACTCCTGATGTCTTGGAGGCAATGGGTGACCGTAGCCCACTCTTCCGCTACTCGCTATAAGGGTTAAGGAGGTACTGAGATCGGACTTGACATTATATGGGCCAAGGTCGAGGGCTTGGAAAATGTAGTTGTTTTTGGCAGTTGAATTCCTTGCGATGACCCGTATTTCTGATTCACTGGGACCGCAACTTGTTCTAGGGGCGAGCACCTCTGTGTACCTGTAGTTCTTGTTAAGATCGTTCCTTCTTTAGGCATTTATTCTTAGCGTCCTAAGTTTCATCGCTTATTCTATTCGCTCTGGCGTTGCATCTTTATCATTACATCTCTTAAAGCTAGAATTGTGAATTCGGTATGGTTATGTTGGAGCCGCTACTCCTGAGGAATCGACAGACGGTGCAATTGCTCTCCTAATCTCATGTCGTCACCCAAGCCCCTCGGAACTCAATCTCCGGTATTACGTCGTTTTCGTCTTTCTACCTCCAAAAACAAAGAGAGCCCCGAAAGGAAAAGACAAGATTGAATGAATTTCCTTTTCCCCGATCCACGCTAACTCAGTTTCCAATCGCACGTAGAGAAAATTGCCTCACCAATACAGTCACAAGAAGATATCGTTATAAATTTGGTCCAAGCCATCAAAGTCTCCGGGAGCATTGAGTTGGTCGAAGTTTATGTCGAGTAAAGACGGGTCCAACGACGGGCTAAGCCTGATTCCCTGCCTTTGCATCGCATCGATGGCATGCTCGAGGATGCGACCGGTATATTCCGCCGCCACATAAGTCTCTTTGAACTTGTTGAGCACACCGAGGCATCGAGAAAATTCTTGCATAGCCTCCATGCGAGTCGGCAAGTTTTCACTATTTGTATTGAGCAAATGGGTGGCAAGAGCTGGGAGGAGGACCGTGATCCCTGTCAGTGGGAGATATTTGACCAAGTCCTGGTCATCCAGCTCCGTTGCTAGGCAAGTAATGCGCTCTGCGGCAGTTTGCAACGCCTCACGAGACTTTGTTGTTGGCCAAGAGTCGCACCTTTGGGTATCGAGGGGAGACTTCAAGGCCTGGGGTCGATGAAATGTGGAGAGGGCCGTATAGTATATCATGTGTAGTAAGGACCGGTGGACGCGCAGTTGCGCCGGTTCGTCTACCGTAAGATTTGGGCGGGGATCTATCGCCATCATCTGAGAGCAGTCATGGAGCTCACGCTCCTGCCGTTTCAGCTCCACGCTATCTTCCCTTAGACCTTTGAGAACCAATCTCGAAGCAACATTGTCGTAAGCCAGGGCTTGGCCATGCATTGCCGGACGGCGATGCTCGTGATACTGCGTCGCAAGGATGTGTCCCATGGCAACACAAATCTTAGCCTTGATGACACACATGTACGCCAGTCTGGCCTGTACACCCAGGTCTATCGAATACCGACACTCGGCGGTGATACGGCCCGTCTGCATCGGGATAAGGCCAATATCAAAGTCTTCAACCGTCAGTTCGGGGTACGAGAGTGTCTCGGAGATGTGCATGGGCCGTCGCATCCCCAAGGATAGCATGCGGTCTCTCATCACCACACACCACCAAGTCCTTCGCCTGAGGTGGATTTCCGGTAGTGTGAGTAGCTGGCTGTGGCTTGGCGGGAGATGCAGGTCCATTGAGAGGGCTCTTGTAGCCACCGACCCCATCCATTGCCACGTATCACTCGGATCTTCCGGCGTTTCATAGTGAAATGTGAGAATCAGAAGCGCCTGCACAACCGATAGGTCATCCGGCTCGGAAGAGCACTCGTACAGGGTCTTACTGGGTCGTTAGAAAAACAATTTAATCAGCTAAGGGACACTTAACGTACCCTAGCCTTGAGGAATAATGCCGCCATGGCCTCCTTGCGCGACAGGTATCCAGCTGCGGTTAGGTAGGAAAGATCAACAAACGCAGCACCGGCGTACATTATTGATTGAAAGAGAAGGAGCGAGGTTATTCCCCGCGTCTCCGGCGCGCCTGATAGCCCCTCCATAAAAGCACGGAGATTGAGAGCCGGTAGAAATGGGTACATGTAGTCGATATAGGCTGCTAAGAGACACCCGCATAATTGACGATTTGGAACTTGAAGCGCACCGCTCTGCATCAGTTTCGCTCTTCCAGTCGCATCTATATCTGGAGGTAGAGGCTTGAAAAGAGATTTCGGCCTATAGCCACGTGCCAAGTTGATTCGCTCCTCGTTAGACGTGTTTGGATCAAAGTTGACAGCATTATCATCTAGTGGCGACAGAGGCTGCGGACTCGGAGTGCAAATAGGTTCGGTAGCAACTGCGATTGAAGATTGGACGGTTTCGGGCACAGGAGGGAAGCCTAGCTTGCGATAAATATGTATAAGGATAAAAACGACTTGATACTGACTTCTTGAACAACTCACATGCTTGCTCGAGGGGCGCTCCAGCGTCCACCGGCGCCTGAACATGAACTGTAGCGGGATCCTGGGCGTTAATCGAGTTTTGAGTCGAGGTCCTTCGCCGCCTAGAAACGCATTAACACGTATTTTTGAGGCTTCCATTCCACTTCTACGCGGATGCGATATGGATGTAGATACCTTTTTCGCTTGTCCTTCGTGACGGTGCAATCTTGGTTATCAAGTCGACAGTTCACACAGGGGATTCCATGTTCGGTGACATTGCACCTAACCTTTCGCGCACGACAGCTTAGACAGGCCTGGACGGCCCTCCTTTTCAACTGAACCTGATCAAAGTGTATTACTGACAAGGTTCCACCAGGCATGGCTTGCTGTGATGGCATCGGTGCAGTAATCGTCATTGCGTGCATATGGGTGTAGTGCAGAGGGGATGGTTGTTGATAGAGAAATCTGGAACCACGCACAGCTCTGAGCTGGGATTGAGGTAGGACGAGGGGAGAACTGCCGGCAAAGACCAGGGTTTCCGGTTGGTAGTGAACGCGCCGCCACACACGACCCGGATTGAAAATGCGGGGAAGTTGGGGAAGTGACAGGCGTCCCCAAGTGGGGTTAGTCTTAACACCCCTGAACGGCCGAGGTATGGGGGCTTAAGTGAGGGGTGTTAAGTCCAGTCCGATTGATCCATAGATGCGTCTCGTCCGCTAATCTAGACCGGGGTTTCGCATCGAGTGACGGACATGGACGCAGAGTGGTTGCTCGATTGTGTCCCAGCTGGATCGGGACCTCGGCGCTGCTTGAATGGCTTGGCCAATGAGGGGCGGACCACGCACCTCGGGCATACTATTTAGGAAGTTTCCTTGGGCATCCAGTGTAGTTGGCTCCCCGTCCCGAATCCTCCGGAATTGATCTAAAGTGAAGCTCGCTCATCCGGCGGTCCGGGGAACGAATTACCTACGGCTTCGCACGTTTTCGGGAACCATAGTTTGCAAACGACTGTAGATTGAAGCACAACTATCTCAATCCAAGCGGTGATTGATCGTAGGCAGTATCACACCGACGGCATGAGGTCCACTTAATCCAATAAGGATATGCGCCACGTTGTGTCAGTTTCTTGCTTCCCGAGGTAGTTCGTCCACAGTCACTGGGACCATACAACCCCTGGTGCCACGAGCAGAGAGATGATATCAAAGGTCGGCCCACTACGTGCCTTTCGAGTCTACGCTACTGGGGACGATGACTTTCCCGTTTGTGCCTTTGAGCGTCCAACGCGTGCTGATATACCTGCGACAGCAAGCGGAGAGCTTTCACTCCCGCAACTCAACGTGAAATTTCGCTAAAATCGATAAATACGGTCCCCATCGTAATGGCAACGGTCGGCCCTCCTCACGGCTCATTTTCTATGCTACTAACTGGATGAAAAGGGTCCGTACACAGCTTGTTCCACGGTCGTTGAGTCAGGACTGTATCTAGCTCTACTTGTGGTTTTATAAGGAACTGGGATAGTCGCGCGTGTTCTTAGCAAGCAATAAAGTTACCGTCTCAGCAGAATTATAAACCTTGCATATACTTGTAATCATTCAACTTCCGAAACTACCTTGAATCTCATATTACAGTTTCGATATCTCTGGCTTGACGCTAGGCTGGGCACGAGTATCAACCGGCTCCCACCAAGGATAGGCTAGTGGGGCATCCTCGCGGAGGGTCCCCTTGAAGTTTGCTTTCCTCTTTTCAAAGAAGCTCTGAACGCCCTCCTCGTTGTCTGGCGTACCGAATAATGAGTAGATGATTCGCGAGTCGAGCAAGTGCGCGCCTTCCGCAGACCCAGGATTCCGCCACATCATGTCCCGACACAGGGCCCACGACACACTGCTGCAGTTGTCTACGAAGCCTTGGGCGAGTTCAAGTGCGCGGGGTAAGACGTCGGAGGAATTCGGCAGAACTTCACTGAAGAGCGTCGATAATAGCGGGTGCGAGGCGGGGTGAACTTCCGCGGTGGTGATGAGGTGCAGGGCCTGTGCCATCCCAATGAGTCTCGGGAGGAAAAATGACGAGGCGGCCTCCATCACGAGGCCTCTGCGACCGAACACGAACCCAATTTTCGCGTCCTTTGCTGTTATCCGGATTGCCATTGGGAGCGTCAGGGTGATGCCAATTCCGACAGCAGCGCCGTTGAGCGCCCCAATGACTGGCTTCCGGCAGCGATGAATAGCAAGAGCGGCGCGACCTCCGCTAATCATGACCAAAGCATGAGTCTGTTAATTCCGGACTGAAATAGGAACCACCCTGGGATTAAAAAAGAAAGGAAAAAGAAAAACTTACGTATCTCGGTGGTCGTTGACCTTCTCGTCCGTCTTTCGAAGCATCACCGCGAGATCCGCGCCGGCGCAGAAAATGTCGCCGTGGCCAGTCACGACGATACACTTGACTCGGTCGTCTATGTCAAACGTATTGAAAGCCTGCACCAACTCATCACCCATGGTCTCCGTAAAGGCATTGCGGCGGGATGGGCGATACAGCGTAAGGACCTGTATTGGGGTGACATCCTTACTCTCCCTGGGGTAGTTCTCGATCCGCAGGTCGGTAAACCCTAGATCGGAATACACCCGCGGTATGGTCGAGGGGAAGTCTGCGGTGTCATGATTTCGATTGAATCCGTCAGTAGTTGTAAAGTCACGGGGCATTTCCTGTCGGCGTTGGCCGCCGTCGCTTCGATGTCGAGGGCCGTGTGGTGGATTAAGTAACGTGCTAGAAACCTCGGCTGCTGGCGTTGGCGCACCGGTCACCAACTTCCGGAGCCGCTTTTCCGCCGGATATCCCAACACGGCAAGACCGGGATTTCCTGGCTTTTCCACCGGCTCCTCGATTTAAATCGCGGTGGCTCTCGACATCGAGGATGCGCCATTCCGGTCCATTGCATCGCGTAACACAGACGATTTAACGCAAGAATGGCAAACGACAGAGTCCTCTTTCTTAGCACGTTTGGCGGGATAGGCTGTTTGGTACGTTTTGAAAAAAAAAAAAGGTCCCTGAAATTTAGACGGCCTCATTCGTTTAAACTAGCATAAGATCTGTGACCAGCTAATAACTAATAACTATTTCCTCCTCTTGTCATAGATGGAAAGGTCGTCTTTTGTACTAGAGGGGTAGGAAGCATTTGCTCCGCTTAAGTTCAAGCGCTCGTCTACCTCGGCGCCAATGCCTGCATTGTTGGCCGCAACGAGCAGAACGCGAAAGTCGTGGCCTTGAGAATTTCACAAGCGAGAGAAGGATCTAAAGTGCTTGCAATTGGTGGGGTGGACGTTCGCGACCTCACCTCGCTCCAAGATGCTGTGACTCGTTGCGCAAACGAGCTCGGAGGGATTGACTTTGTCATCGCCGGTGCAGCAGGAAATTTTTGGCGCCCATCAGGGGCCTCAGCGTGAACGCCTTTAAGTCAGTTATGGACATCGACGTGCTTGGGTCCTACAACACAGTGAAGGCGACGTTGCCGTATCTAGTCAAAAATTCGTCTCGGCCAAGATCGACAATGCCTGGCGGCGCCTCGAGGCCCGTTGGCAAGATCATATTCGTCTCCGCGACAATGCATTACAACGGGACACCTCTCCAGGCGCACGTTTGCGCGGCTAAGGCAGCTGTCGACTCTCTCGCTCACACCGTTTGTATCGAGTACGGGCCCCTTGCCATCACAAGCAATGTTATCAGTCCCGGCCCAGTTGCAGACACCGAGGCAACGAGCCGGCTATTTACTGATGGTCAACAATCCTGCGTGAAGCAAATACCATCAGGTCGGCTCGGTTCAGTGATAGATATTGCCGATGCCACGATCTATCTCTTCAGCAAAGCTGGCGACTACGTCAACGGAGAAATTCGAGTGGGTAGGTCTCTCGTAGCTGCGATCTGCCTCGTCTCCAAGCTCTCAAAACGAAGGAACTTTTGCTAATTGTTATTTTAGTGGATGGGGGAGCTTGGCATACAAGTTTCCAGCCGAGCGTAGGCTCATTTGAGTATCCCGACTTTATGTTTGCTTGGGCAGGGGGACGTCACGGGCGTAAAGGGAACCAAGGCAAATCTGTAGAGAAATGTGTGAAACGTCATGGTCATGGAGGTAGAGCAGCATCATTTGCGGGCATTTGCCTTTTGATACGTGAGAACAGCTATCTCTAGTATCCGTATCAGTTGCCTATCATTCATCAGCCATACCTGTCTTCAAGATTTTGTGTAAAACTCTTTTTCAAAAATTGTCTGAATTGACTCTTCTTTTATTCATAATAGGTGGCCGTGACTTGGCCTGTGTCTTGGAAATCTGCTCAACGATATCTGGTTACAGCTAGTTACATCCTCGCGAGTCCACGATGGCAGAGGGCCCCTTTGACGTCTGAACCGCTAACGACATCCAGGCACATCCCCAAGACATCCCTTGTATCTCGGGGATCAATAACACCATCATCGAGAAGAACCGCGCTGGTCCGATAACAGCTTCCGTCCCTCAACACGTTCTGCCGCAACTCCTCGCTTGATGCTTTCGTCTTTCCGCTTCCATTGCTTGGCCCGGACTTTCGCGTCCCGATGGACTCCATGACGCCCACCAGCTGGTCCGGACCCATCACACTACACCGGCCAGACGGCCATGAGAATAAGAATCGCGGCTGGTAGGCCCTCCCGCACATTGCATAGTTCCCGGCCCCGTACGAGGCCCCGATGATGATGGATATATGGGGTACGGTCGAACAGCTGACGGCTGAGACCATCTGAGCGCCGTGCTTGATGATGGACGAATGCTCGGCTTTTTGGCCCACCATAAATCCCGTCACGTTATGCAAGAAGACGATGGGGGTGTTTCTTGCGGTTGATAGAACAATCAGTGATTAGCCCATTTCGTAAAAGATAATCTGCATGTGAACTTACTCTTGGTTACAAAGCCGAATAAAGGTAGCGCCTTTCATAGCTTCTTCGGAATTTATGACTGGAACTTGGTTTGCAACAATACCCACCCGGTGGCCTAGATTGTGAGCTGTCAGCAAACTCGGCCTATAACTTGAAGTATAGCTTACTTCAGGGTCGTATACCGTACCGTGGATGTCTGCCCATGCCGTGATCAAATTTCGTCCGTAAGTCGGCTTATAGTCGAGCCACCGAGAGTCATCGACCACTCTGAGAATGACTTCGCGCATGTTGAGAGCTTTGCGGATATCAGGATCAACAACCTGCAACAGCTCTGCAGGTGAGTATCTCGGTGGGAGTGATTTGGTAACTGCCGGCTCTGAAACGGGAGCCTTTAATGTCTTCACCCAGTCTCGCGCCTTTCGGATTGCGTCGAACCTAATTTTTCGTCAGTTAGCACGCCCCTTAATTTATAAATGTGCTTGCTGCTTTGCCCTCACTCGTCTGTAGCGATCTGATCGGCAAGACCCGTCACTGTGGCGTGCATCTTGGCCCCTCCTAGCGTTTCCGCATCTACAATCTCTCCTGTCGCCATCTTGACTAGAGGAGGGCCGCCTAGGAACACCTGTGCTTGATTCTCTACGAATATCGTGTAGTCAGACATGGCAGGGTGGTATGCACCCCCGGCAGTAGAGGAGCCGAAGACAACTGTACAATTAGGCTTGCCCTGAGCACTCCGAATTGCCAAATCTCTGAAGATTTGCCCACCCTTGTGGAATACCCTGAACTGCTGTGGGAGGAAGACGCCGGCCTATTCATCAAGTCGATTAGTCTCTTAAGCTGAGGCAAGGGGATTAACAATTTCTTACTGACTGGACCAACCCAATCATTGGTAGGTCGCATTCGGTTGCAATCTGAGTGACGCGGTTCTGCTTCAAGACTACATATTTACACCATCGATCAAGTCAATGGTAGTCCTTCCTCGGATATTCCTCACGTTGCAGGATCCCTTGACTCCAACAAGTCAACATACCTGTGAGTTCATTCCAGGCACCGCCACTCAAGGTTGGGATATGCGACAGGATCAAGCACATTCTTCCACTATAGTCGATAAGTTAGATGGTTATGTGATATTCTAGTGGCCATTCAAGGTAGCTTACCAAACTTTGCCAATCCCAGCTACCAGCGATGCAGAGGCGGATGAATCCTCCATGTCATGGCCTGCCAGCGCGCATAGCTCCAAGAATGGCGAATCCGAGTCAAGCAAGAGATTAACCCGATCTCGTGCTATCTCCGAAACGATTTCTCATGGTTAGTGTGATTGTAGGATCCAATACTTGCGCAGGGTGGCTCATACCTAGAAGTTGGCCTCTGCCCCGGTGACGATCCTGGGATGCGGTTGTCCCTTGGGAGCTGGCATTATCTAAGGCTTCATAATATTTGTCGAGAATGCCGGACCATGCCTCCGCATTGGTCTCGCTCAGCGGGACTGTCGGCTTCTGAGGGGGAAGACGCTGGCCATTGTGAATTTGACAAGACGGACAAACTTCAGTATACTGTTAGAAAAGGTCGTCCTTGAGCGCTGTCGGTTCCGCTTCCACGCTTGGAGTGTCGATAAAATCCAGGTCCTTAAGGCCCATGAAGATGAGTGCTCTGCTCATCGTTGCTTTCCACAGGTCTACGGGAAGCATGCCTCGGCTATACTAGCCGGGGTAGGACTAGGGGCTGAGGCCCGCCATGTTGTGGGGTGCGGGGCACCTCGGGACCCGCACCAGCGTCGGACCTCGCGCCGGCGACTCTTGCGCATTGACTAACGCAAAGCCTATCCTGAGATATCACGGTGTAGCCGAGCTCTCTTCCTTTCCTGTTCAGCCGAGAGGCTATCGGCGCTTTTATCCTTCTTTTCTTGCACTTCACGGCGTGTGGGCGGCTTGCTCTTTGGGCGACATATGCTCTTACCGCGACGCCGCAACACGATGTCGTTCATGAGAAACATGGTGCGAATAGTCGAGGTCGGCCCTCGAGACGGCCTTCAAAACATCTCTACGCACGTGCCAACCGCCATCAAACGCGAGCTCATCCAGCGGCTCATCTCTGCGAGATTTCGGACGGTCGAAGTCACGTCCATCGTCTCTCCAAAGGCGATCCCGCAGCTAGCCGATCACGAGAAAATCCTCACCGATCCGCTCCTGAAAAGCCATTTCCAGAGACCTGACATACGGCTCCCGGTGCTAGTTCCGAACATCAAGGGGTTTAAGCGTGCACTAGATCTCGGAGTCAAGGAAATTGCTGTCTTTATCAGTGCCAGTGAAGGCTTCAGCAAGGCCAACATCAACTGCACTGTTGAGCAGGGCATCTCCAGAGCCACCGAGGTATCGCGTGCCGCGGTAGCAAGTGGTGTTGTGGTTCGTGGGTAAGTGGTTGAGTGAACGTTTCTTTTCTTTTTCTCTACAGCATGCGCCGCCCAGGCCTAACACGGATGTAGTTATGTGTCTTGTATCTTCGCCTGCCCTTACGATGGCCCAACGGCGCCAACTTCGGTTCTTAAATGTGTGCAGAGCCTTCTAGGTGCTGGGTGCTACGAAATTTCCTTGGGTGATACAACCGGCGTCGGCACCCGGGCCAAACCCGCGAGCTCGTCTCTTTCCTTCTGGAGAACGGCATACCTTCCCACCAGCTTGCCGGTCATTTCCACGACACGTACGGCCAAGCCTTGGCGAACGCGTGGGAGGCATACAGGTGCGGAATCCGGGTGTTTGACAGCAGCGTGGCCGGTTTGGGCGGCTGTCCCTTTGCCCCAGGCGCGAGGGGAAATCTAGCATCCGAGGACTTAGTGTATATGTTTGAAAATTCCGGCGTTCCAACAGGGGTTGACCTCGACCGGCTGGCTGATATCGGCGAGTGGATCAGCCAGCAACTTAAGCTACCTAACTGGAGCCGAGCAGGGGCAGCCCTACTCACAAAGAAGAGATTTTCTTCCCAAAACCGCGCAAAGGATCAGGGTAGTGCCATCGGTAGCTTCCAATGGAAAGAAGAAAGCAACACGGAGGGCCTGATCATCATGCGGGACACCATGACGGTCAAGCTTATCCTAGACCGACCAAAGAATGGCAACGCTCTCACGGCCTCAATGATTAGCCAGCTTACTCAATTTTTCGAAAGTTGCAAGAATGACACATCAATCTCTCGCATCATTCTTACGGCAAACGGCAAATTCTTCTGCACTGGTATGGATCTGTCGAAGGAAAGCAGCCCAGTCAGCAAGGGTGGCAACGCGACGACGGACCAATTTGCCTTGTTAACGAACCTCTTCCAATCCATCGACGACGCGCCGCAGGTTACAATCGCCAGCATCAACGGCCCCTGCTTTGGCGGTGGTGTCGGTCTAGCGCTCGCCTGCGACATCCGCATCGCGGCCCCCATGCGAGCATCACGCTGAGCGAGACTAAGTTAGGCTTAGCCGCCGCAACCATCTCGAAATACGTTATCCGGGAGCTAGGGATTCCATTCGCTCGCGAAGCGTTTCTTTCCGCAAGAGCGATACCTGCCGCTGAGCTCAAACAACGCGGAGTTGTAGCCATCGTCACAGACAACCCCGCTACCCTAGACCAAACCACCGAAGATTACGCTTTCTCATTGCGTCAGTGTGCGCCGCGCGCTTCTGAAATGTCCAAGGAACTTATTAAACTGGCTTGGAAAGCTCCCGGTTCTGAGAGGCAGGATACAGGCATCAAAGAGATATTTGAAGAAATGATGCGGCCTGGAAGTGAGGGATCTAGGGGCCTCGCCGCTTTCCAGGCAGGGCGGAAGAAGTTGGATTGGGATCTTGTTGCAGAGTCACAAAAGCCAAAGCTATGATAGACTAGATAGATTTTGATGATAATATGCATTGAAACCAATCTTCTGTCCCCTCTTTACCCGGGAACCTATAGCCCTCTAGCGATGTTGTATAATAATTCTGACCCAAGGCATGTCCTCACAGACAGGTCAACCCGAAACCACAACACCCTTTCATGATGCTAATGTATTATGATGAATGAAGTGCTGGTAATATTGACTCAGGGTAGCATGGTCTATTACTTTTCCTTAGTGGCTAATACTATTGAACTTAGAGGTTAGATGGCCGTGAAAGGGCGCGCATCTCTTGCTTCGCGGCTAGCTCCGTTAGGATTTCCTCACTTCCGCCACCCACAACCATGACTCTTAGGTCTCGGCTGATTTGCTCGATCCTAGCCCCTTTTCCATTCTTCGAGTAACCCAATCCCCGAGAATCTGCTGGGATTCCCGGTTCACATGTTCCAAAGTCCTGCCCGCCAAGACCTTGAGATTGGCAACGAGGCCGCCGATGCCGGCTACCGGTTGTCCCGTCTTGCGCGATACATCCGTCATATACACCAACTGCTCCATGAAGGCACTGGCAGCATCTAGCGATCGGCCCATGGACGATATCTTGGCGCGGATGACTTGGTTCTCAATCAACTTCTTGCCAAACGTCTCTCGCCTGATTGCATGCTGGTATGCGTCTTCAACACACACCCTACCGAGGCGGAGACTAGTGCAAGCGAGCCAAATACGTTCGTGATTAAAGTCTAATGCAGAGAATCAGACTCATTGTCGTCAAATTGTACTGTTGTTGCAAGGGAAGAGGCGGGAGGACTTACTGGACATGATGATCTCGAAGCCCCGGTTTTCTTGCCCGAGCAGATAGTCCACGGGCACCTCGACATCATCAAATTCAATATACGTTGACCCTAAGAGACAAATCAGCGTGGTCCAGTGAATTAGATCCTGTGAAGTGACGAGTGCGAACTTACCGCTAGCAGTAACTCCAGAGTTCTCAATCTTGCGGCACGTCACACCCGGTGCATTAAGCGGAATGATCAGGGCCGAGATCCCCCGCCCCTTGGCCGCCAGTACGTACGGCAGCAGTGCAATAGTCGGCGAAGATTGCATTCGTAATCCATTTCTTAGCACCGTTGACTATGTACTTGTCGCCCTTGTGGATCGCAGTAGTCGTAATGCCCGCAACATCGGAGCCCGCTATACAATTGTCAATGCTGTCCGTCTTTCCTCGTACACTTATTTCACGGAAGATTAGGAAGGGTCGCTCACCGTCCGGCTCCGTAACGCCCAAGCAAAACCGAGTCTTGCCACTCAGTATATCAGGGAGGAACTTGCGCTTCTGGGCGTCATTTCCGTAGTTGGCGACGGGCGGAGCGCCAATGGCATTCCCGCACGCGAGCGCCCAGATGACGCCCAAGTAACCGCAGCGAGCAATTTCGTCGATGACGATCAGGTCGTGGAAGCCATCCCATTCCGTAGCCGGGATGTCGGCGGGCAAGCGCTGGTTGCCGAGGTAGGGCGCGAGAAGCGGGTAGACCGATGCGGCCATGAATCCCAACTTCGCATGGCGTTGAATCACCTATTGGCATCGCTGTGAGCGGGTGGCTGAGACTGGCAGATCGAGACGGACTTACATCTACCGGGACGGAGCCTGCCCGCTCCCACTCCTCGCAGTATGGAAGGAGATGGGTATCGACATACTCCCGAGCTTCCTTGCGCAATCGAAGATGGCTATCATTGTAGTAGGGACTGATGCCGCGAGAGTACCAGAGGGGCTCAGCAAAGGGGGTCGAGGTGCCAAACGGTTCCATTGTGAATGAAGAATGAAAATAGATCCCGCGCGATGTATAATGTACAGCTCATCTTCGACCGCACAGTCGACGCCATTCGCCAGACTTGGAGCTTACATGTACATATAGATGGCATGCTAGCAAAGGGACAATCCAATGAGAGGCGCTACCTCGGGGAAGCCGGGATTGGGACAGCACCTCGGGTCCAACCTCCGCTAGCGTACGCAAACCCCACTTCCCGGAAATCTCACATGCGACACGCCGCTAGCGTTACCCCGGGTATGTCGAATCGGGCGATTACCAACTTCAACTCCCGAGGTGATGAACCTTGTGGGTGCTCCGAGCATGACATCTCAAACCGAGCAGGTACGATAAATGATCGTTGTAAGACGACCGAAGAATAGTAGGCAAAGCAACTACGGAGAGTAGCGAGCCCGGATGAGGTTGAACAGCACAAAACAACATACATCTTGAGTTCGACTCACGCACACCTATTGATTCAAAGTGTCCTCGGGCGTCACTATCTTTCCCCTCTAATTTGCACCGCCCCCGACCGTACCCCTCTGCGCCAAGATGGGAAGACAGCTCCTCATACCCGATCTGCCCAAAGGAGGACATCCTATCCGTCGTGTGTTCATCGCCAATCGAGGCGAGATTGCACTACGAGTCATCCGAACCTGTCGCGTGCTTGGTATCACCTCCGTATCCATCTTCACAGAAGAGTGAGTCGACGAGTTCTACCCGTTACCTCTCGGACGGTCCTTATCGCTAACCACAGCATCTCGCAGGGACGCATATTCTCGCCATGTATCAGAGGCGGACGAGGCTATCTGTCTCGGGCGTTTAGATGGAGAGAAAGTCAACCCATTCCTCAACATTAAGCTACTAGTCGAGGTCGCAAAGAATGCAAAGGCGGATGCCATTCATCCTGGCTACGGCTACCTCTCGGAAAACCCAGAGTTTGCGGATGCCGTCAGAGATTCTGGAATGATCTTCATCGGTCCAACGGCCCAAGCGATACTGACGCTTGGGGACAAACGAGAGTCCAAGGAGTATCTCTCCAAACACAGCCAGAATGTCCCGCTGATACCCGGTTTCGCTGGCAGAAATCAGGACCCGCTGGAGCTGGAGAGAGCCGCAAGCGAGATAGGGTACCCGGTCATGCTAAAGGCGTCGGCGGGCGGAGGAGGCAAGGGAATTCGAATCATTCGGGAAAGCGGGACGCTCAAGGCCGAGCTGGAACGGGCTCAGTCGGAGGCACAGCGGTCGTTCGGATCCAGCGACTGCATTTTAGAAAAGTACATTGAAGCTGGGAAGCACGTCGAGGTACAGATCGTTGGAGATAAGCACGGCCGTGTCCTGTCGCTCTTCGAACGCGAGTGCTCCGTACAGCGACGTCACCAAAGATTATCGAAGAATCACCGTGCCCTTGGTTATCGCCAGCCATGCGGCAAGCCATGTGCGATGCCGCTTGCGAGATTGGACGGCTGATTCGGTACGAGGGTGCAGGGACTGTTGAGTTCATCGTGGATGTCACGGCGGCCAAATTTTACTTTCTAGAAGTCAACTCCCGCATCCAGGTGGAGCACCCAATCACAGAGGAAGTGACTGGCGTAGACATTGTGGCGCTCCAGCTCTTTGTCGCCTCGGGCGGAAAACTCGACGACCTCCCGCTATCCAACCTGTCACAGAACGGCCACGCGATTGAATGTCGGGTGTACGCCGAGAATCCCCAGCGCGGGTTTCTTCCGGAGCTGGGCACCATCCACTATTGGCAGCCCGCTGGGCCCAACATTGCCAGGGAAGACGAGACCCGATACGAGACTGCTGTCATCTCCGGCACCGAAGTCACGATGTCGTTTGATCCCATGATTGCCAAAATCATTGTGTGGGCGCCGAATCGAGAGGCGGCAATCAGAAAGATGGTGGCCGTCCTCGCGCATACGGCCTGCGTCGGACTCGTCACGAATCAGCTATTCTTGCAGAGCTGTCTGCTCCATCCCGCCTTCCATGATCCTAGCTACACAACCAATTTTGTCGGCTTACACTTAGAAGAGCTTTTACGACACCCCTACGCGGAAAGCCTTGAGGGCATCGCAAATTCTCTGGCAGCGATCCCCGCGGCGTATCTCAAGGCACAAAACGCCGCGTTTTCCCAAGACGCAACCCCGAAGAAGTTCCAAAACTCGCCTACGCGGTTCCGCAACCAGCGCCGAGACAAGGTCAATAAATATACACAAATCCTCGTGACCGGGACCGAAAAGAACATCTCCACTGACGTAACTTTTGACTCTCCCACTCTGTTCGTGTGGGATCAGTCTTGGGACAACGTCAATCTCAAAGAGGAGCTTAGACAGATTTCCTCGCCGCCGTTGTCGAGCGCGCCCGAGACCCGCGGACAAATCTCGAGCTGAAGGCTGCAGCACGTCTAACCGCCGCCTATACAAAGATCAGTGACTTGGTCAAGGCCTCCCATGAGGTGGCGGCGAGCGGAAATCCCGTCAAAGTCAGGATTCTTTCGACAACGTCTTTAGCGGGCGAGGAGAGCCGAGAAAGTACATACCGCGCTGTAGGACTAGTTGCAGAAGTCAACGGCGCGCGAATCGTAGGTACCCTAGTCCTTCCAAGCGATGCGAGCACATCTACTACCGACTACGACACCGCTCGAGGTCTCGGCCTCTTCTTCCACGTCCCGGCAGTCGGCACGTGGATCGTGATGCAGAGCTTCAGTCTCCTCACCTACATTGAAAGTCTCCGAAGCACCTTTGCCACCATCGACAAGGGAGCCGATGAAGGGACTGTTCTCGCCCCCATGCCCTGCAAGATATTGCGGGTTCTGAAGAAGACGGGCGATGAGGTGAAGGTGGGTGAGGTTGTCGTCGTCGTTGAGAGCATGAAGATGGAGATGACGATTGCGGTCAATCGAAGCGGAAAGCTCCGGTGCGGCTTGACGGAGGGCCAGGCGGCCAAAGAGGGCGATCTCCTTTGTTCGGTAGAGTAGAAATTTTAGGTTTCATAGAATTTCGTTTATAAAAATCTCTAGCGACCGATTTTCCTTTCTCTCTCTCTTCTTCTTTTCTGTATCATTCTTTTTCTGGCGAAGAAAATCAGGCATCGTGAGGTATGTGTATGTGGAGTTGGTGCTTCAAATTGTCCAGTGGTTTAGGTTCTTTTCGCCCATAATCAGCGCATGGGCTAGGAAGAACATCGCAAGGAATTTGAATCGCAGGGTCCACTTGGAATCCCCTCGAAGCGGGTTCGGTATTTTGAGCTCGTGCGGATGGTGAGCCAGCGTTGAATCCATTCACGCCAAGAATGGGAATGATGGCAATTATCACGCCAGGTAGCACTCAACGCGCAAGGTAGTATGAGAACCCCCAATATCATAACAGCCATGTCGTGTCCGAGTAAAAGATCGCCAGAAACTTCATTCTCCGTGATTAGGGAAACAGCATCATGCTGCAATGGCTCCGCTGGCCATGTCGCAGATCTCGTATTAGGGCAACACTCCGCCGTGCGACTGGCAAGCTCGTGTGTTTACAGAGAGCCGAATCGATTTTCCCTTGGTCGAGAAATGGCTAGCAGATCGATCAGAATGGACAGGGCCCAAGTGGTACAATTGGACCGTGTTGGCGGAGCATCGGCTCGCTCGTCAGGCAGCACGCATTAACGGGGTGATGTGATGCCGTGCAAACAGAAGAAGAAAAAAGGACCAGCAAACCGGCTCCACGGGCAGGACAGAACTTATGCCATCAGCGCCCCCACCAAAACTGGCTGGCCACAAAGATCGGCTCCGGTCGAAAAAGGACACAGAAAAGCGGCGTAGATACAGAAGTCCCGCGACGGCAAGGTTGCATTCAGCACGAGGGCCTTTTCCTCGACGCTCACCTTCCGCATCCGTCGACGAACTGAGCGTCGATGCGCGAGGACGGACGCACTGTCCAGCGAGTCCGACTTGCCAAAAATTCCTGGCTCGAGAGTGTCACACGCGACCACTGGATTGCGTTTGGTTACATTGCCCATTCACCTCCCGAAATCAGAGACTCTGCTCCGACACAAGAAAATGTACCGTGATGCGGGAGCGCAGAGAAGTCGTGATTCCGCGCCTCGGCGTAGCCACCTTCCCTAATCTTCCATGCGCGCTTGCGCTTTGTTTATCTAGCGTCATGGGGGCGACGAGGAAGACAAGTATAAATTATATAGGGCTGGACGGAGCCGGATCTTAACGGACAACAATTATCTTCGTCGTTCGCTCGCTTCTCACCCCCAGTCCACCCTTCCCCACTGCACCTTGACCGTTCAGTCCTACCACGTGCCTTCCGACTCGTCTCTGCCCACCGTCTATCTGCACAATGAAGTCTTCTGCTCTCTGGCGCTTGGTGCTTCTGCCCTCGTCGCCGCGTCTGCTGTCCCGCGAGTCGCCAAGGATGCCAAGGTAGATTACGCCGGCTTCAAGGGCCTGCGAGTAAAGATTCCCCTTGGCAAGAGCCCGTTGGAGGTCGAGGAGAAACTCACCGGTCTTGTGGCCCACGTCGTCAACTTTGGCCATGGTGAACATTTGGATGTGGTGGTAGCTGACGAGAACGTCGACTCCGTCGCGCGAATTCTGGAAGCCGAGGTCATCATCGAGGACGTCGGTGCCATCATCGCCGAGGAGGGAGAGCCAGTCGAGACTTTCGCCGGTGAGTAGTTTTACATTATTCGTGTGATGGGAGGATCGGAACTTGGCTCGTGCTAACACCTCCTTAGTCCCCTCGGAGTCGTGGTTTACCGCCTACCACACCTACGCGGACCACACGCAGTTCCTTTCCGACCTGCAGAGCGGCTTCCCTCTCAGTCCGAGATCATCAACATTGGTACCTCGGTCCAAGGACGAGCTCTCCGTGGAATCCACATTTGGGGAAGCGGTGGTAAGGGTAGCAAGCCCGCCGTCCTGCTCCACGGCACTGTCCACGCTCGCGAATGGATCAGCACGATGGTAAGGGATCTCTCAAGCACACACTTGCGTATGCAGCAGAACGTTTAGGACTAACAATACATCGTGCGACAACAGACTGTGGAATATCTCGCGTGGCAACTCCTGACCCAGTACGGAAGCACCGCTAGCGTCAAGGCGCTCGTTGATACATACGACTTCTACATCCTTCCCATCGTGAACCCGGATGGTACGGCCGCTCTTTATCTTCCACTCTCTAAGCAGACATCGCTAACCGTTTCTAGGCTTTGTGTACACCCAGACAACCGACAGGTATTGGCGCAAGAACCGTCAGACCGTCAGCTCCAGCACTTGCGTCGGTCGCGACATCAACCGAAATTGGTCTTACAAGTGGGAGCTCACCGGCGGTGCCTCGACGAGCCCTTGCTCCGAGACCTTCAAGGGCCTCGCTGCCGGCGATTCGCCCGAGGCGAGCGCTCTCATGAAGCACGTCAACAGCCTCCGCGATAGCAAGGGCATCAAGTTCTACGTTGACTTCCACTCTTACGGACAATACATCCTCTGGCGTGAGTAGCCCCCATTTTAGGACCCTACCGTTATTTTCTTTTGAAAAGAATAAAATAAAGACTAACCTTCCTGACAGCTTTCGGCTATGACTGCTCCTATGTCGCCCCCGATGATGCGGCGCTCAACTCGCTGGCCACCAAGGGCCGCACAGCCATCAGCGCCGCCTCGGGAACCAGGTACACCATTGGCAACTCCTGCCGTGCTCTCTACGCGACCACGGGTGACAGCATCGACTACGTGCACGGCCCCGGCAACTCGACTTACAGCTACACCATCGAGCTCCGTGACACGGGCTCGTACGGCTTTGCTCTCCCCGCGGCCCAGATCCAGCCGACGGTGAAGGAAACCTGGGCGGGTGTCGTGGCCATGCTTCAGGGCATCTAAGTGATTGGTGGTCGACATGGAGGACGTCCCTTTTCCTGACAATATTTTTCTACCTATTGCGGGGCGGTGTTTTCAGATGGCGTAGAGCATCTATCTACGACAAAGAACTCAAACATCTGGCATATCGCTTTGCGAGCGTTGTTTCTTTTTTCTTTTCTTTTTACATATTACTTTCTTGGATCGAAGGTCTCAGATGTCACCGAGGGGGACCATTGGAATTGCCATATTGATGTCTATTATCGTGTAAAGTCTATAGTCTCTTTCTATCAAGCCACCTAAAGGAAAAAAGGAAATGCAACCCAATCTGTGCAACTAAACTATGTGCTGTCATACTCCATTATGATGGGAAGCTCCATCCGCGAGGATGTCGCGCTCGTAGACTATCGCTCTTGAGCATCTTCATCCAGCCAAAACCACTAACACTACCGACATGTACAAAGGAAAAATGAAAGGAGAACAACAAAGAAATTAAGGTGATGGTCTATGTCCCCTGCAAGCCTCTGCTGCTACTATAGTCCTGAAACAGACTTAGAGGCCATTGCGATCCAAAAGTCAAAGGTGACCTGGTAGCCGGCAGTGGCGTTGTTGTGAAGGGTAAAGGCGTGGCCAGTGTTGGGCTGAATCGCGACATCGATGACGGAAGCGTTGGGGTAGGTCTCCTCCAGAGCAGTCTGGTTGGCAAGGCCCTTGCAGTCTCCGGCACAAATGTAAAAGTCGAACTCGGCAAGCATGTACTGCACGGGGCGGTGAGCTCGAGACCGGTGAGGCCGAGGATCTGGTAAGCGGAAGCAAATTCTCCAATGGGGACGGGCTGCTTGAGCTCGTTGCCGTAGTCGAGCTGCTCTTCGGTGAAGGCGGTCTCGGTGTCTCCGGCGAAGAAGATGGTCTGGATACCGCTCTTCTTGCACACGACGTAGCCGCTGGGACGATCAAAGGAAGGGGTGCTGGAGGCGGGGGCTTCGGCGTTGAAAGAGGCCATGCCGCTCTTGCCAAGATAAGGGCCAAAGAGGTAACCGGTGATGATGGCGCCGTCCGTTAGAGCGCCGTACTTGGCGATGAAGGCGGAGGTGAGGACGGAGCCCCAGCTGTGGCCGACGTGCACGACCTTGCTAGGCTTGGTCAACTTGGCGAACGGCGACCTCGACTTTCCGCGCTTGCCACCCTTGGCAAAGTCGTACAGAGTGCCGTTGCGCGCCATGAGGGTCAGCTGCCGGAGGAGCTCGAGTTCCAAAGGAGCCTGCACGACCTCGTAGGCGTCGGGGATATCGGACTTGCCCACGCCGAGACGGTCGTAGGTGAGGATGGAGTAGCCGGCCTTGAGCGAGGCTTCGACGTAGGACAAGTTGTCCCTGTCGAGCTCGGGGTCCCAGTACCGCGAGTCGTAGTGCACGCCGTGGGTGGCGATCTGGAGGATGTCGCTCTTGTCGCTCTCGGTCTTGGGGACGCAGAGCTGGGCGTGGATGTTGAAGGTGCCCGAGGTGTTGGTGTTTTGGATGAGGCGCTGGGGCCCATGGGGCTGCTCCAGGTGTCCCAGTCGATGGCCCAGGCGATGGCGTCGGTGTCGGTGTCCACGCGGGGCAGGTCGTAGATGGCGCTCTCGGCCGTGGCGAAGACGGGAATGTCTAGCTGCTTGCAGTAGCCATTGGTGCGGGGCTCGAAGGCGTCGAGGCCGTGGGCCGAGGTCTTTTTGAGGATGAGGGCGACGATGGCGATGATGGCGGAGGCCATTGCGGGAGTGGAATCTGGGGGATGGGAGGTGGGGAAAAGGGGAAAAGGCTCAGTTGGATATGGAGTATTGGAGTGTAAGAAGAACGGATGATGGATCTATGAGGAAAGGTGAGAGAGGTGGTGAGTGTGTCTGTTGGAGATATTTCAGGACATCATAAGAACGAGAATATTGAACGGTTTATATATAATATCTTTTTCTTTCTTGTTTCTAGAATATCAAGATGTTTCCAAATACGTACATCTCGCCAGCCATCATCCCATCCTCGCTCGTCGGCCGTTGAAAAATCGTTGTCCACGCGTCAGGTAGCAGGTAACAGGGTGTGCTTGCGGCCTCACGAGCCGCCAAGCCTCAAAGTGAGATTTCGCTCATGTTGATCGCTTTGAGGCTGGTAGGAAAGTTGTGAGCCTCTCTTCTCTTTTTTTCCCCTTCGCGTTCGCGAACCGCGAAAGCGCGAGAGGCCGACGTCACTGATCGGGCTTAGCGTTCCCGAGGGCGGGGTTAAGCGTGGTGGACTCGAGCTCTCGTCGGTCAGACGAAGAAGAGGCTGAGCTTATTTTTGGCGGGGGTTTCTTCACTTTGTTTTCTCGAGGAACTAATGAAAGAGATCCAGCTGTTCCCGTCAGGCACTCTTTCTGCAGATTAGGTGAGCATAGCCACATTTGGGGACCCATGTCCAATTCCAAATCTCAAATCGACTCGACTCCTCCCGCGAGCTAATCAATGTTTGGCCGAACTTTGATCTAACAAGGGTGGGAGGGCGGAACCCCATTCCAAATGCTGGTGTCTGTAGCTCAGGCTCCTAGCAATCAGCTCAATTATTTCAAATACCATGCAGCTCATAATTCGTTCAGTCGCGAGGAGCCAGTACCGAAAGGGCCATGATTTAGTCTATCAAAGGTCGAGGCCCCCATCGTCCAAGAGAGAAATGCAGTGAAGCTGAATCCGGCCATGATCGACCTCTTGTTGCCCAACGCCGACCAGGGAAAACCGGACTCTTCGCGGAATCGGCCTTGTCGGGCTTAACAAGGAATATCCCGAACGAGCAAGACGATGGAGTAGATCCTCGAATTTTCTTTTTTCCGTATTTTTTTCCCGCCGCCATACGTCGTCTGATTTTGCTCCTCTTGCCAAAGAGCCAAGGTTCCTCCCGCAAAAGAAATTTTAACCTCAAGGAAGGCAGTTAAACACCGATAGAAGAATGGGAGCAGCACTTTTGTAGGGGTTTAGTGATTAACTCCTAACGCGACTGAAATAAGCCAACGATCATTTAAGCTCATTGCTGTATCACTCTGCCGATGTGCTCAACACGCCAAAAACCATCGAAACCAGGCGACAGCGGTCTTTTGTTCCCACAGCAGCCGCCTGTATCCCCGCAAACGACGCGCTGCACCTTGTCAAGATTGGGCGGGTGTTGGTGAAGCAAAGCTCACCTCAAGACTCAAAAATGTCGTGAATGAAAGTTTGAAATATAATTGATTATGACTACTTGGTTTCCCTCCATCGTAGTAAGACGGCCAGGCGATTGAGCAGTGTTAGGCAATGCGAGGTAAAAACGCAAAGCTCCGGACCGAGCAAAATGCAGAATCCCCAGTAGGCCCACCGCGTTTACTTTACAAAAGGGCAGCTACCAACTTCCCGAACAAGCCAAGCAGGGTCACTTCGCTGAGGGCGTAGAGCCCGAAGCGCACGGGGATCTTGTTCGTCAGCGACTGCACAAGACTGTGGACAATGCGAATGCCGACGTAAGCCCAGGCTAGCTTGCCCTCCACGCCAGAGCTCTTGAGCTGGGTCGTGGCCTGGATAACGGCCAGAGAGACGGCTACGGCGTAGAAGCGCGTGGGGGCTTCATGTAAGTGGTTGTAGTTGTCCGCTAATGCACCGCGCAAGGTTAGACTACCGACGGCTATAAAGGGGGAACCCAGGGGAGAAGGGGCCTTGCTCGACCGGCGCCGGTCGGCTCTGGGCCACGCTAACTTACCCTTCCATCTAGTTTGGACAGGAATATGCTTGTTCAGGTCTTCTATGGAGGTGGACGGAGGGAGCGAAACCCCTTGAGGGCAGGAATACGCGTCTTGTACATCCAAAGCTCCATGGCAAAGGTCCACCCGACGAGGGCGGCGACGGGGCGAATAGTGGCTGGGATCTCCATCTTGGCTGATAGGTTGCTTTTCGAGATATTTCCTTTTTCTTGAACAATCCTTTGTTGTTGCCTGCGAGTTGAAGAGGAAAGAAATGATTATTAGATGGAATCTGAGATTGGACAACTCCGCACTTCCGTTACTGATGTTTTGTCTGAAGTTGACAGATGAGAACGAACAAGCGGGAGGCGCGGAGCCTCGGTTTGTTGATGGAATTAGTCTTCGCACGGCCGTGGTCCGTGCCCCTTCCTAGAATTGATCGATTCTCGGGGAAAGAGTGCCCGCCAACCCGCCCCTCCGCGGATTTATCCGTGGGTTACGGAGGAATCCACTGTACATTCCTCACATTCACCAATTGATCTTCCCATGTTAAACCCTCTTCAGTTATATGTAGTGCCTCTCTAATATTGGGGTTAGTTGGTGAATAGTGGGCGGAGGGATTCCTTTCTCATCATCAGCCGCTGAGAGCTCTTGGCACAGAAAGTACATGTAGCAGCCTGGAAGGGTTCTGACATGTCAAGCAACTGCAAGTGGGTTGCCAAGCCCCGACAACCATCGGCCTCTCGGGGCAAAAAGGGCCCGCGTCTCAATTATTGACTTAGACCAACCTTCAACTCGATGGATGCTCCTTATCGTGACCTACAGCACCACTGTTCTACCCTTATTCGCTTCCCTACACCAAAATCTATCTGCGCGCAAGACGATGGAGATGGTTAAAAAAAAAAGAGAAAAAGAAAAGAAAAAAAAAAAAAAAAGACATACAACACCGGGGATTCGCTGGTCGTCACCGACCCAACTACTAGTCCGGCGCTTCGCAGCTTGTGTACAGGGAGCGGACGGGACCCTCAATTTTCTACGAGCTATGGTCGTATGTGCTGAATAGTCTCAGCCATTCCATTTATAGGGAAAGTCCAATCACCTTCATTTGTGACGCCACGGACCAACGTGAAACGACGTGGCAAGTTACAAGCCAGGATATGTGCGGGTCAGCTAGTCGGTAGTGTCTCAGGAAGGGTCTGCTGCGGTTAAAGGCGTATTTGGTAGGAAAGATTGTATCAAATAGTCTTTAAGGCGCAATCATAAGCAGTCGTGCGTGTCAGTCATCTCAAGCCGTCACCCAGCGCTCAGGTATTGGTATTGGTCACACTTGCGTCAATCAAGCATGTCCACGAGGCGAAAGACGTATCTGGCCTATCTGGTCCACTGCCGTGTCTGATCTTATATCGCAGTATGTACCAAGCACATAAACGTACGTGCCAAATCATAGGATATACATTTCTAGCGGAGAGGGAGGAGGAATCATACCCCATTATATCAATTTAAAAGCGCAGAACACTTAAGAAGACAATAAATCTACGCCACTGCCGGTGGGCCATCGTGAAAGGAATGTCCGTGCTGACTTCTCGGATGGCGTTCATAACTCCCCACCCCATCGCGCCCCAGTCCAACCCCTAGCTAGTGTACCTCGGGAATGTCCCACATCCATCACTGCCCGTCGGAATTAGTTACCATCCGCTGCGTTAGCTCCTCTCTCCTCAGCTCCTAAATTACCGGCTAGTAAAGAGGGCTAGAGGAAAGCTTATTGACAATTTCGGACCAGACGCAAGCCCGACTTGAGGAAGACGGGCGTGACATTGGCGGGAAGATGGCCCGGCATCTAGCAGTTGGTTGACTTGACGATAACGTTCCAGGTCTTATCAAAGGAGAAAATCTGCAAGGGTATTGTTAGCGCGTGTATTCATGCACTACACGTTCGAGCGCTGAAAGCAACGTACCTGCCCATTCGTGTAGTAATCATACTCTCCATTCGTACGACGGGGAGCCGGCGGGTCGTACACCCAGTGCTTGCATTTCTCGTGAATTCCAGCCGCATTGCTGATAGACAGGGTTAGTCGATCATCAGAGTGCGGCATTACGTCAGTCAACACTTACTCGGCTACATATTTGCAAGGGATCGTTACGGGGACAGTACGATCGTTGCACAGCCAGATTGCGGCGTTGTAGGAACAGCTGGTCCGACTGCAACCACCCCAACCAGCCGGGGCGCGGCAGCCACCATTACCGAGTCCCTAATGGATGAAAACATATAAAGTCATGTTAAAACCCGTAACAACAGTCGTGATTCGAGGAACAGGGAAGCACTTACGTAGAGGTAACTAATGCCATTTAGGATCCACAAAGGCTCCGCGCCACCCCCAACATTGCAGTTGAGGCTCTAGATGATCGCTTAGTTAGTGACTGTTGAACAACTCTAAGAGTTACTGAGATGAATAAGAGCTACACACCGCAGTGTCGATAGGATCGCGCCGCTTTTCCAGCTGGCTGGCAGTCTGGTTGCTCATTTCCCTCCAGCCCTAGACGCCAAGCTCATCATCATAGTTGGGGTTGATGGCAACGATCTGGTTATAAATTTCCTATAGGAACAGTGAATGGTAAGCAACTAGTGTGTAACATGCCAGAAGCCCATCGTACTCAAACCTACCTCGGCGGAACCAGTGAGAGTGACATTGTCTCCTCCAATCTCGATTTGACCAGTCCACAAGAGCGGAGGGATCTCACCGCTGGCCTCGATTTCATCGATCATGTCCAATGGCGTTGCCTATAAGTGGAATACAGAGTTAGACCTCGCAGAACATTAACAACCCATGCCCAGCTGTCAAGTACGGGCATCAGCATGTAGACCGCAAGTGATCACTTACAGCAGCGAAGGCTGCGCCGACAACGAGTGCGTAGATGGAGAACTTCATCGTGGAATGACGTGTGTAGAAAGTTTGTGGTGTGCGTGACTTGAGAGTTGATGAAAAGATTGCGAGGAATGGTCTTTAAGGGCGATTGCGAGCATTTTATATAGTTTCTTCTTTTCTCGCTTCATATGCGGTCGACAAAGATCATCCTTGAAAGATTTCCCTACTATTTTGGCTAGTGACTAGGACTGGTGATGGTCTCCCCCTTCCACAAGTCAGCAACAACGGTCACCTTCCCACACAGCTTCACGCAACCCCTGTCTGGGGATACGCGTTCCGCCATCTCCTTATCTCCGGCAGTTCCCTTCTTTTTTTCTCTTTCTTCCCGTTGTCTTTGCTACGATTTGCATAGTTTGACTGAATAATGTTGTTGGGTTGCTCATTGCAAGTAAGCATGGGCGTGGCTATGCTTGGTTCCTGTCCAAGCTGAACAAGTATTTGATGCTGTGAATACTACTCTGGAGCTGCGGTCTACGCCGAACTACCCGCGACATGTGGGGCACCAGCAACCTGGACCTGCTTGCAAGGGGGCTACTGAGAAAGTTACTGAGAAAGCGACTCGAAAAGCCGTTACAATTGGTGGGCTCCCCACTCTCGATTTATCAACTACCTGGTCGCTGCGGTCAAATCGAAATTCCAAATAATATCCCCTAGAGAAAAGAAGTTCCAAAGACGGCTCTAAGGAATATCAACTAAGCCATCGGTCCACGGCCTTATCGGTCGATTCGGGCAGCGACAAGGCCGAAGGGCGCAAATTATTTCAACGTTGCGGTCCAGTTGATATCGCAGTCTTAGCTAGTTGTTCCACGATCATTTTCACTCTCTCACAATCTAACCTTTTCTTTTTTTTTTCTTTTTTGGGGTTGCCCCTTTCATTCCACCTTGATTGAGGGTCCTTATTAAAGACTTCAGACCAAACCCCGAACAAAAAGGCGCTTCTTTGATACCCTGGCCTGGGAGTTGACAAGCACCTCGTCATCGATAGAACATCCCTCGGTGATGTAGACATTGGGAGATCTCTGCGTCAAACCAGTTTCCCGTAACTCGACGTATTCCGCAGCTCTTGAACTTTCCATCCCCTTGAAGCCGAACAGTTCTGGTCCTTTGCTGAAACACTCTTTCCACTACAATATCTATAGATGTTGATGCCCGGTCAATGTCACGAATGTCCTCTATAAGACTACTTGTAGAAGAAACAAACTAGTAATGGGTGGCATGAGAGACCCTGAACATGCTAACCCGCTGCTAACCCCAACCTGACGGCTTCTCTCGACTAGGCGTGAAGTTTGAAGCAACGGTTGGCCTTCTCCTCCCGCCCTCAGGACTTGGCCTAACGCCGATATTAATGTTAGAGCCGCTATCGGCTTGATTACCGAGGGCACGGTGGGGTTTGGATTCCTACAAAACCAATCGGGGATCGTCATGAGATGGTGTGTTTTCGTATGCGTCACGCTTTTCTGCGCGAATCGCCGATTTTCAGAAAGAATGTATCTGATTGGCAAACATCTGGACAATCTCGATTTACCCCTCATAGGGCACATGTGGATGTGAGCGAATATTATTTGATGACTGATCTCCGCGGGCATCAGTGACGCGTATAAATAGCATCTCTCGAACTGGACTGATGTACAACAGGCTATGATTTTATCACCCCGTTTATTCTATTGACCATCATCAGCTACTTTTCAAGATCTATTATTACATACAACACTTGACGTTTAGGACACCTGTGGTACGGCGATCCTGCAGGACAGGATGTCTCTACAATGGAATTCGTGGATCAAGGTAACTATACACAAGGATAGCATCCGGGTGTTCGATTTGAGTCGGCGTATCTCCCTAGTCACAAAGTCGAGGCTGTTGTATCGGCTGGCTTTGCCTGAAAGAGTGCGTCGACGAGAATTGATCTGAGAAATACCGGTGAACTTGATCTGGATAATTCCAGCGGAAGGACATGCTTCTTTACAATTTCCCCAAAATCCCCGCCGTCTGGTCGTACTAACCCTCCCAGCATTCACGCTTGACCCGCCACCATGTCGACTGAAAAGATCACTTTTCTGACCAACTGGTATAGCGCTGATCAACTAGGGAATAATGGTGTAAGGAGTGATAGAGGCTGATGATGTTTAGGCACGCGACGCCTTACCACGCCCCCTTTATCTTGCGCAGGCCAAGGGCTTCTTCGCCGATGAAGGAGTCAAGGTTGCGCTTCTTGAGCCGAATGACCCCAGCGTAGGTCGATGCCGACTCCGATCATGGGAGCTAGAGAGTGGCGGTAAAGGACACCCCAGAAAACTAATACTGTCATATTGCTATGCAGGATGTGACCGAAATCATCGGAACTGAAAAGGTGGATCTTGGGTTCAAGGCCATGATTCATACCCTTGCTGTAAGCAACCCAAAGTTTTCTAGCAATGCTGAGGTCTGTACTGATGGCTTGCATTAGGCTAAAGCACGAAACTTCCCCGTGATTTCCATCGGAAGCCTCCTCGACGAGCCCTTCACGGGCGTCGTCTATCTCAAGGACTCGGGAATCACGACCGACTTCCGCAGCCTCAAGGGCAAGCGCATCGGCTACGTCGGAGAATTTGGCAAGATCCAAATCGACGAGCTCACCTCCCACTACGGCATGTCTCCCGACGACTACACCTCCGTGCGTTGCGGCATGAACGTCTCCAAGGCCATCATCAAGGGCAGCATCGACGCCGGCATCGGCCTCGAGAATGTGCAGATGGTGGAGCTCGAGGAGTGGCTCGCCGCGCAGGGCCGCCCAAAGACTGACGTCCAGATGCTCCGTATCGACGAGTTGGCCGAGCTCGGCTGCTGCTGCTTTTGCACCATCTTGTACATTGGCAACGAGCGCTTCGTGCGCGAGAACCCGGAAAAGGTCCGCGCGTTCATGCGCGCCGTGAAGAAGGCGACCGACTTTGTCATTCAGGAGCCTGAAAAGGCTTGGGCCGAGTACGTCGACTTCAAGCCCGTCATGGGCACGGAGCTGAACCGCAAGATCTTTGAGCGCAGTTTCGCCTACTTCTCCAAGGATCTGAAGAATGTCAGGCGGGACTGGGACAAGGTCACCAAGTACGGAAAGCGCCTTGGTGTCTTGGATGCCGCCTTTGAGCCCAACTACACCAACGCCTTCCTTGACTGGGCCCTCGAAGAAGAATCGGCGGATCCGACGGGCGATCAGAAGAGAATTGCCAAGCTTCAGCAGGATGTGGCCGCCCACGGCGGCTTCCACCGCCTCGCCGTCTAAGCAGCGGATCAAGATGAAAACTAGGCTAACACTGGAACACCACACAATCGGAAACCTTGTGCCCAGTTGCTATCTATGTCGATGAGTGACAGGGGATGAACCGTAACCGTGCTCCATGACAGCTAGCGCCGCTTCTCGTTATGTACCTAACACGAGGAAGTAAATATACATGCGCCTTTAGTCTAGGATAAGCCTTGAACATACTTAAGTGATGTGATGTCTTAGTAGTGTGTAGCAGCTCACCACATCCCGTAGCATGTCTATAAGCCCTGATTACCTCCGTTCTCGACATCAATTGCGGACTTCTCTGCTACAAATATCAAACATGTAACCTTCAGTTTGAACTTCCTCGCGTAGCGTTAGAGCCGATTAAGCTGGGCTTCAGCAAAAGCTGACAATGCAATGTGAGACAACAGCTGCTAAGATTGTCAGATTGGGGACATATAATATATCACTATATACATGACAGGACGAGCCTCTACGCTATTATTGAGTAGCCCCCATGTCTTAAGCTATATTTACATGAAAATCTGTATTCCATATCCGCAAACCAACATTTGTTGAGATACTAAACCAGCATGTCGATGCAATCGAATGCGACGCCGCCGCTGAGATAGCCGGTGCCGGAGCTTCCCGTCACGATGTTGATGGTCAGGATTTGGTACTCGCTCGTGCTTTGCTTGAAGGCGCTGGCAGGTACGGTAAACTCGAGCTTGACATTGTTTCCGCGATAGGTACCAACGGTAAGACTTCGCGTCTTGGCCTGGTTCGTGGCCGCAGGGATCGTGCCGGACCAGCTGTTGACGGAAATGGTGGGGCGGCCATTGATGTACGCCTCCGTGATGCCCAAACGAATCTTGTGATCCTTGGCAAGCTGATCCTGGGTGAGGCGGAAGTAGATGATATGGTTGTTGTTGATGTCCTGCCACATGTAGCCCGGGAAGCCGTTGGCCGCCGTGGTGCCGACGATGAAGTTGGCAGGGTCCCAGCTAGCGAGGCGCTTGTCGGAGGGGTGCATATAGGTGGGCTTCATGGGCTTGTCCTCGAAGTTGAGGAAACCGCGAGGCGTGCCATCCCACTCACCAATACGCCAGATGGCGGCGTCGTCGGCGGGGTCGGTGGGGGTGAGGGTGTTGACGGCAGTACCGGCGCCCTTGTTCACGGTGACGGAGCCGGTGTAGACTTCCAGCTCGTCCTTGTACACGGTGAGGGTGTACGTTCCCGGAATCACCTTCTTGATCGACCAGGAACCGCCGCTGGAGGCTGCGGTGCCCCAGTATTGGGCGTTGGTGTTGGAGAGGCCAACGGTGTAAGTGTAACCGGACTTCATGTTGGCGATTCCCACGCCGGAGGCGTAGCCGCGGTCACCCCACTTGGTCCATCCGTCAAGCTGCGAAATTTGTTAGCATTAACGCCACGGAGGAAAGGGGTTTTGGTGAAATAAGTTGGAGGGAACGTACCCCGAGATCGTCCACCCAAGTCCAGTCGGCGTTGCGCGCAAAGAGGTTGGAGTTGGGCGCGCCGCCGTCGGTGAAGGAGAGAACGGTGGGGCCTTGGAGACCGACGCGCATGGGGTCGGTGTGGCCCATGTTGTAGTAGTAGATCTCGTACAGATCCTCGCCGCTGGTATCGGCGCGGGTGAGGAGAGAACGGAAGAAGGGGCCGCCGGATGCCTTTTCATGGTTTGATCGAATGAGGTAGAGGCCAACGCTACCAGTGGTACGTCCAATGTAGTCGTCTTTTCGTTCCAACAGTGTCAGCGCCGGAAAATGTAGATAGAGAAAACAGAAAGGAAAATTTGTGAAGACTTACAGTCCATAGTGCGGCCATAGGTGTTTCCTTGGTAGTGCTTGCTCTTGGTAACGCCAGCGCTGTTGATGCTTACATCAGACGCTTCAATGTACGAGCTGCCGTTATCGTAGAAGTCTGCGAGCGGGCGTAATTAGCATGGTTAGGCTTGGCGCTGCGGGCGGAGCGACCTGTCGGCAATGTACGTACCGGCATCGGTGGAGGCGTGGCTGAAGATGCCACCCTTGATGCGCACAATGTAGCGCATGGCCGAGACGCTATCGTCGGCCTTGTTGGTGAAGAGGTATACATTGTTGTTGCCATAGCGCATCACGATGTAATGCTTGAGAGTGCCAAATTGAACCGACACCTTGATGACATTGCTGCCGTACGTGGCAATGGAAACCGTGCTGGTTCCCAATCCAGATTCGACGTGGCTGTAAGTGGCCGTCGTTAGCACACATGCTAGGGAGGAAGCAGCGCGGTGTCCTTGCTCAGTTCCAGCAGCTCGATAAACTCACGTGTTCTTTCCGCTCCAGCCATTGAACTCTTGGCCCTTGTACTTGATGGAGTTGATGTCACCGTTGGTCTTGCTGACGCTGATGACGAGGTTGGAGCCGGAGTCAATGATGTAGTTGCCACCCGAGTCCGTGTAGCCCCAAGCGGCCAAGGCCACGGCCGGCCAAAACAAGAAGGCGTAGAGAGCCGTGAGAATAAACATGGTTGCGATGTCCGGTTACTCTTGCAGGGCTTCAGCTCTTCGTAAGGGGGAGCATGAGATCGTCGCATGTGGCTTTTCGTCTGATTTATACGAAACCTCGTAGCGCCTTTTTTTTCCCTCTCCTTATTCTCCTCGTGTGCAGCGGAGGCCGGCGCGCAATGCTTGCGAGTGCGCATTGTTCAATCACTGAGCTCCACCCCTCTTTACCTATTGTAGTATCGTGGCCGAATGTTGTCGTGGGGCCCTTCCTCACCCCCGGCCACCAATCTAGCGCTGTCGAGCTCCGAAACGGGGCAAATTCCACCAACGAGAGCGCGGCGCATCGAGGTAATGGCACCTGAGCCCACACCCGTGGGAACCAGAACCGTCCTTCATCTCGGCGGGGAGTTGCCTTCTAGGGCGCTGCCCAGATCCCGCGATGGATCGGTATCGGCGGACTTTGGCTTGTTCTTACCAAGGGCGTGACTAGCTCGACGCACCCCGGATATCCTTTCATTGATGGAATCTTATTGATTGCTCAAGGTTGCGACGACTGCTGGAAATTCAGCTGCAGATGGCTTCGCAGGGCTTCGTCATGAAAGCCCCTCATTCTCTCCGCGGCTTCAATACCTCCGGGTTCCTTTTAGCATCTTTCTTTGGGGCTTTTGTCTTTTCTCTTCATCCCGCTTTTACAGCTTCGGTGGAATATTCAGTGAGACGAGATACGCAAGGGACGAGCCCCTCTCTTGAGAGGCATTTTATTTATCATCCTATCATCTTGTTCACCACCTCATATACTCTTCTGAGGGTCATAGTGGAGTATGAAGCAGGAGACACTGCTTCGGGCTCTTTTGATTTAATCAACAAAATTGGTATTTCAACGAGTATGGAACTCTCGGTTTGGGGTATGCCGGCACAATAACTTCAAACGATCCAAAGCGTCCCACACTGCGGCCCGTCAAATCTCTCCCCATGCATGACGCCGTGTACATACGCATCCCCTACAATCTCCCAGCAGGTCTCCGACCCGTGATCCTTGGGGCGAAGTACAATGGGCACCGCACTTCCGGCTAACAAGGCAAGGCGATCGCCGGGTTGGGCATCGGGCACTGTTAGACCTATTAAACCACCTTTCGTGACGAGTAGGCGACGACCTGATGATCCCGTAAGTAGGTTCGTGAAGGATTGCGAAATGGAGCCGGTGGAGCACACGCTTATACCGAGCATCTTGAAAACTTCATTTGCGAGCACAGTGACAGTGGTTACAAGGGCAAACAACGCCCCAAATATCATTGGGGAGTTTCCGGGGTTAATACCCAACCCCATGATGATAGCCATGTTCCTCATGGCGAATCTATATGTCAGGTACTCCTTCGCAACGTAGTCGGCCTGCTCATGCTCATCAAAATCGAAGGGCTGCACCATGCGGCCTCCCAGAGTCACGCAATATGTGTAGGCGGTCCACATATTCTCTCCGGTGCATTCGTATACGCGATTGCTCCAAGCCGAGCAGAGCTTCTCCCACTGCGTAAATACGTGAAATTTGGTGTACACGCTGAGAGGGCCGGCACATCCGTGAACATCTCCAACCTTGGCGATCTCGTCGAAGACGTACCCGGAGACGCCGAGTTTATTGTCTGCGAGACGGAACTGAAGTGTTGGCGTGGAGCCGCTGGTTGCGTCAAAGGGGTATATGTAGCTACCGTTGGCGTCCTTGCGCCGTAAAGCCAATCCGATAAGAGCCACGTCCCAGTTAGGAACCCAGCTCGGCAAGAGGGAGGGGTCGATGCGGGCATTCTGCCTTTGTCTTATGACATTTGTGTAGCTGGCGGGGAGGGCGGGGTCGTCAGATTCGGGCACGATAGGTTTGGCCACACTCAAGATGTCGAGATTATCCTGGGTCTGCAGGATGGCGACGGCGGTTTCGATGAAGACGGTATGCGCCGGGAGAGTATAGTCGGGGGATAGTTTTAGGCGGTCTATGTCGTCCGCGGCCCCGAGAAACGCGAATACCTTGTCCTGAGGTAGGGTGGCATACCGACAGCGGTGTCTGCTCAAGACGTGGAGCAGGCTGCCCCCGGCCTCGATGTGGCCGACAGCAACGGTGTTGAGAAGTGAGAGCAGGGCGCGGTTGGCATCGGGGCGCATCGTGGGGACGAGGTCGACCAAGGACTTGAGGCAGAAGTAAAGGGCCTTTACAAGGGTAAGCAGCGGTACCTTTAGCTCCGTGGACACGACCCACGCATTGTCGTAGGCTACCTCCTGGACGACCCACGCCCGGACAAACCAGGGATGATTCAACAACGTGATGAGCGCGGCGTACCCGGGGACTGCTTCGATGAGCGGCGGGATCCCGTAGTCGGCGCAGGTCTGGTCATCCATCTGGATGAGCTGCTGGGTGTTAGAGAGCAAACTGCGCTTGTCGATGGACGGTTCCAGGGCGTTGGCGAGCTCACAGGCGCGGGAGACGCACTTGTCCGCGTCGTCGCCGAGCCAGACGAGGACCTGCGTGGCGGTGGAATAGATCTTGCGCATTAAGACGATTTGTTTCGATTTCTCGGCGTTGTCTAGCTGATTGATGCACACTTGGTCTACCCATAGCCAAATCGTCGGTGATTGTCTTCTGATCTCTCTCAAGGCGTTGGCCAGATTCTGGGTGATATTTATCGCGCCATCGGATGAGACTAGGAGTTGCGTGTGCTCAGGGACACTGGGCTCTTCGTTTTCGATGTGGTCCTCCGTGTGGCGGTCGTCCCAGCAGTATGATAGGGCGTAGTGGTCCGGGGACTTGAATAACGGGAAATGGCGAAGCTGGCAGGTTAAGGGAGAATCGTGATTGCCATTCTCAACAGGTAGGAATTGCAAAAGTCGAATTTCGCCATCTTTGCGAAGTGGTTTATAGCTGTAGGATGGGGAGGGAGGTTCAGTTGACGTCTTTCCCGGATTTGGTAAGGGGTTGATCCTCGCAAATCGCAGCTCAGCTATCGCCCTGGCAATAAGAGTGGTCGTTTTGATAGCTCGCGAAGACTCGGCGGCAGTCTGGCGAGCAAGCGTCAAAAGGACGAGACGAGCTCGTGAACGGAAGACCACAGCAGCGGGATCCAGGTTCGGCTCAGCCATACACTCAGTCCGACATGTGTGTAGAGGAGGTAGCCTTTGATCACCCACTTGAACCACGCGGGGAGAGGGACTAGATGCCTGGCGGCTCGCACCCAGAGATATACCAGTCCGAGGACGGTGAGGACGGCGTGGAGTCTCCAACCCATTATTCTAGAAAGGGGAAAGAATGATGTTGGGGGATTGGTATTTCGAACAGTACGACCGCCGACACAACTGAGATCAGGGGTTATCTATCGCGCCAGGCATCGTGAACGCTGGCTAACTTTCTACTTTGTCCACAGCAGTAAAGAATATTTCATTCCCGGTCTCCTGGCCATCCGGCCCCTGGTTTGTTCGTAGGCAGGCACCCATTCCACTTCAATATTCCTCGAGATCACTTGATCCCTTCCAAAATTCAGTGGCTCAGCCACACCAAGCCGGTCAACCTTGCACACACCAGCCCATGTTAAGCCTGTGTGGAGAGAATTTAATTGAACTACCCCTGAGTTGCCCTGTTGATTTTCTTCGTTCCCCTCAACAAGGTAAGCGACAACAACGGATCGGTTGAGGAAAGACAAGGGGAACGAACGAGAAGATGGGATGATGCCATGTATTAATATTTATACGAGAATGCAAATAAAAAAGAGCACAGCGTCACGATTGGTTCGGGATTTGCGCATGTGCACGGGACTGAAATTCCTAGTACACCTTGGCGCCCTTTTTTAGCAAACGCTCACTGCGACCACGGCGATTCGGAACTGCCGTATTTCCGGGGGCCATGGGGCAATCGCGTCCTCAAATGTGGCGCGACAAAGTCGTGGGCTCTGACTACACAGCGCAGCCGTCAAAAACGCGCGAGAAAATCGACCCGGAAGCGTCTTCGGGACATTTAATCAGCCTATGAGACTGTGCGTGGCGGGGTCCAGGAACCGGTTGCGGGGCACGAAAAGTCGACCCATTGACGTTCAGCGAAAAGCTTCCTCGCTCTGAGGGGAAGAGGGGTAATTCGATGGTAAATCCGCGCGCCCCTTGGAGTGTGGGGTCGTTGCAGGACGGAAATCCCGAAGCATCGGAAGCTATATGGACCCCAGTGCCACATGATGGACAAGGAAAAATAAAAAGACCTCTCTTCTTCTCTAGTAATTGATGACAGCTGAAGAATCGAGGCCACAATAGACGGAATTCACTAAGCACCTAGACCAACCGATCTACTCGTTTCATCACCCACGATTCCCTTGACGAAAGAAAGCATGGCGAGCCAACCCGATGCCGGCGCGGGCAGTGTACCCGAGTCTGCTGCCTATCGGCAGTTCTTGCCGGACCTCACAATTCCCCGATTCACGACGATGCAAACGCAGGACGCTCACGAATATGCCGCCGCGTTTAAGCAATCGTGCGCTCCCCGTGGCTTCATTCCCTATACCTTCACTGGCGGAGGCTGCTGCAGGAACCCTTCCGCGGCGTTACGAACGATGGTAGGTTGCATCTCCCGGCGGGGCTAGATTGCGATTGGGAATCTCGGCTCGGGTCTGGAGTCATGCCTTTTGATGAGCGTCCCTGATTAACAGTTGTCGCGATGCAGGAAACGTTCGACCTGGTCTATTCCAGCTCCAGGACGAAGGAATTCCCATCAGGACATTGTAGGTGCGACAGAAGACCTCGTAGCCAAACTGCAGGCGAACAACGTGCCTTTCGAGCCCTATCACATCGATAGCCCAGAGTGGCGCACCTGGTCAAACCCCGAATTCCTGCTGAGCCACAAGGGCGTCCGCCTCGATGAGTTGACCGACGAGCTGCGAGCGTCGGTCATGAACGTCCTCAAGTCACCTTGTCTCCCGAAGGCTACGAAAAGGCCGTCGGCGCCATGAGGATCAACGGGTATCTCGGCGAACTCGTCAAGGCGCCGCGCGTGTGCAACGAATTTTCCTACAACTTTGTCCTCTTCGGCACCCCCTCGGTCGACACGCCGTGGGGCTTCTCTTTCTACGGGCACCACCTGTGCCTCAACATCTTTTTGTACAAGGGACAAATCGTGGTGTCGCCGTGGTTTACCGGGGCGGAGCCCAACATAATAGACGACGGCCCGTACAAGGGAACCAGGATCCTGCTCGAGGAGGAGAAGCTCGGCCTGAAGCTCATGCAGTCCCTCCCCGCCGAGCAGCAGGCCAAGGCGCAGGTTTACGAGCTGCTCCACGACCCCAAGATGCCCAAGGGCCGGTGGAACCACGACGACCAGCGCCACCTGTGCGGAGCGTACAGAGATAACCGCGTGGTTCCCTACGAAGGAGTCCTTGTGGCGGACATGGCGCAGGAGCAGCAGGATCTCGTCGCCGCCATCATTCGCGAGTACAACTTGTACCTACCGCCGCAGGCCAAGGAGGTGAGGGTCGCGGATGCCGTCTCGTGGTTCAAGGAGACGTACTTTTGCTGGATCGGGTCGTATGGTGACGACGACGCGTTTTACTACCGCATCCAGAGTCCCGTTGTCATCATCGAGTTTGACCACCATTCGGGTGTCTTCTTGACGAATAAGGAGCCCGCCAAGTTTCACATCCACACCTTGCTGCGTACGCCGAATGCCGGCGATTACGGTATGGCACTTCGTCCGTTGATTCCGGGCAGGGAGCAGAAGTTCTTGTGGGAGGGCTAAAGTGCGGTGGAGGAGTCGTGGGGTGGTGTTAATAGGAAGGAATTTCAGGGCTATGAAAAGAAGCGCAGGCGAGCATTCTATAACACTTTTTTGGTTCATTTCTTTTTCAATGCGGCCGAGGAAAACATAAAACCGAAAAACGGGTGAATATACCTCGGTATGTGCTTCAATTATACAACTGTGAGGTTCAGAAAAAGCCTTTTTTCCGTCTCGCTCTATGACTGGGAAAGAGGCATCGCTCGCTCTCAACAAAATGATATCAACAAATCAAATCACCCGAATTAAGCTGGTCATCGCTGTTTTCAGATTCGTACCGGCTCTGCGAAGTGTAGGTACAAGGGTACTTTGGTGCATCTATCCGTAGTTTTCAATTAAAAGATGATGACGTCAAAGGGTCTTTTTTCCCCTCGACAAGAGGGAAAAAAAGGTTATCGTTGCTCATTCTCATGCACAGAAGAGTCATTGATTTCACGCCTTGTAGCCCAGGCCACAATCCAACACTTCTCCATGTCTTTGGTCCAGCCGCATCTCCCGCCGCCGCTTCGAACTGCTTTAAACAACACTTGCCTTTGAAGATCCCGGCTGCCCAATCCATCAACTACACGTAGAGGCGCCCCGAGAGCCATTTCATTCACCCGGACTTTGACTTGTGTACACACCACCAGCCGGCGAAAGCTTGCTTTTCTCTCTCTCTCTTGCGGGCGGTGACCTTGGGCAGCTCGCTAGAATAAGCATTAGTGCTATCCCACTTGCCCCACAAAATCTGCCCTCCTCCGAACTTGACCTCGTTCTGCGCGCGCGCACGACAGCTTTGCGTGCGCCTTCTCCTCTTTTTTCTCTCTTTTCTTCCTCTCTCAAAAAATGCGCAATTTTGTCAAACTCTTGGCTCCCCGTACACCGCACGCATCGGCAACGCTAAGAAACACCCGCCTCCGCTCACCACAACTTCGGTTCTGTTCATCCCACGGCCCCGGCAACACCAACCCTCCTTCAACGCCAGCATCCTATCCGCAAGCCGGGCGAGTCACCATGGGCGACGGAAGCAACCAAGACTTGGTCAACTACCTTAAGCAGAGCCACGACCGCGTGTTTGAGAACAACCGCGCGTGGGCTGCCGCCAAGTGTGAAAGGATCCCGAATTCTTCACCAAGCTATCCGAGGGCCAGACACCAGAGTACCTCTGGATCGGATGTAGCGACTCGCGCATCCCCGCGGAGCAGATCACCGGGCTTGAGCCTGGTGAGGCTTTTATCCACCGGAACATCGCCAACCTCGTGTGCAACATTGACCTCAATTCCATGTCCGTCATCGAGTACGCCGTCAGACACCTCAAGGTCAAGCACATTGTTGTGTGCGGCCACTACGGCTGCGGAGGCGTCAAGGCCGCCATGACGCCGCAGGACCTCGGCATCCTCAACCCGTGGCTCCGAAACATTCGCGACGTCTACCGTCTGCACGAGAAGGAGCTCGACGCCATCAAGAACGAAGAGGAGAGGTACAACCGCCTCGTCGAGCTCAACGTCGTCGAGCAGTGCAAGAATGTCATCAAGACCGCCGCCGTCCAGGAGTCGTACGCGAAGCAGCAGTATCCCGTCGTGCACGGCTGGGTCTTTGGCTTCCGCGATGGCCTGCTCAAGGACTTGAAGATTGACCACGAGGCCATGCTCCGCGACATTCAGAAAATCTACAACCTCATGGAGTCATAGGCCTGGCGCAAGCGTACTCCGCGTGCTCTTTGGGCGCTGGGCGCTGGGCGTTGGGGACACCTCTGCCTACCTGCTAGTTCCCAACAATTTGAACTCTAATAACGCAGCGATATATTAGTACAAGGCTCAGATCCCTCTGAATGCCATCTCCGAAATACATTACGCCGTCAATGTGTTTAACCGCCAGCCTTGCTGTGCGGTACCGTGGTAAAGATTCAGTTCTTTCGTAAAACTTGAAGCATAAAAGTGAAGTTTTTCTTTTCTTAAAAAGGCAATGTGTCATGGCCTCAACTATGACTAGGCGCGATTCATTCAAACATCTATAGCTATCATGGCACATACACTTCCCTCCGTCCTAACCCCCTTTCCTTCGTAAACTTTTACTCCAGTAAACCAAAGAATCGAAGAGTGAGCTCTTCATTCACAGGCGCAGTGTGTCCGACACCGGCTCCGAAGAAGCCCATGAGCTTGGACCCATCGCCGTAGATGAGCTGGGTGTACGCGGACGAGGGCACGCCCGTGACATTCTGGGTGTTGGTCTCGCCCAGCACGGCCGACCACTGCTTCAACGCCTCGACCGCGCACGCGGGCCTGACCAGGGCGTCGGCGTTTCCGTGGAAGATTTGCATGCGCGGGCGGGGTCCATCGTAGTCGGGGTACGAGTTGTGCACGAACGAGGCCCACTCTTCCGGCGTGTGCGAGAGGCCCTGGGCGCAGGTCTGGTTGGGCGACATGGGAGTGGCGGAGGGCGCGCCCGCGAAGCAGGCGTGGGCCGTTCCGGAGTAGGCGGAGCCGGCCTCGAAGACGTCTGGGTAGGAGCCGGCAAGGACGTTGGTCATCATGGCACCCGAAGAGCTTCCCATGACGTAGACGCGCTGCGGGTCACCGCCGTGGGTCTTGAGAGCGTAGTCTACCATGTTGACGATGGCGAGGGCGTCGCCACCCTTGCCGTGGGTGAGGCTTTCCGGGCTATGGACGTCCCAGCAGTTATTCATGTTGGTCGTGCCGGGGTAGATGAGGACGAAGCCAAGCTCATCCGCATATGTTGGCATCTTGGTTCCTCGGAACCACATGGCTGCGCTACCGCCGCATGGATGAAGCTGTCACGTTACCAATATTGTCCCCGTCAGCCGTGCTCGTTCCTGGGGACAGACTTGCGAGGGTTTTGCGCTGCGCCGACTTAGAAAACAAAAACTCACATTGACCACGACGGCAGGTGCCTCGGCCAGCTTGTCCGGGACATACTCGAACATTTGGATGTTGGTCGGGTTGTCACCGAAGCTGGTGATTTGCTGGAGGCTCGCCGCAAGAGCGGTGGAGGAGGTGGCAAGAGCCGCGAGGAGTGCATAAAGTGCCATTGTAGCAAGGTCCGGCGAGGTCAAAAAAACTATTGTCTTTTTTCTTTATTACAATTTTTCTCCTGAGAAGATGGAATTGCGTTGCGATGCTGCGGGATAGTCAAATCAACTTCCTCTCCAGACCAGAGAGTTGCTGGACTCGTACTTCTTATAGAAATTGGGCACTACCCGTATCCTAGCCTTGACACCATCAAGTGTTGCAAAATTCGAAGCATGACGGAAAAAGATGGGGTTCCATAAAGGCTATAGAGGTTTTTCCCTGGCTTAATATGCCAAGATCTAAACCCGTCCCCCAAGCACTATATTCGCACGCGTCCTCGTCATATATTAACCGTCTCGAGAGACGACGACCACTCGCGATGAGCTCCAAAACAGCGTTCGAGGTCATAGCTTTCGCCCTTTGGGCCTACCATTCTTCTCCGTTTCTCATGCTTTTCTCCACAGGCCGACGCAACCATCCCCAACTTTAGATGGGGTAGGACCCAACGTGACGATATTACCCGGCTGGTATGATTTTTTGGTTGCGGCGAAGATTGGGCCACAATTTATCTCCCACGCAAGCCCCAAGAGAACCGCCCGTTTCTATTGCCGCCCTGCGATGCCGACTGCAGGGAACGAAGCTCGGGAATCGAACCCGGCATTTATGAAGCGGCTGCAGATCCAACCTTGTGCAGAATAGAAATATTAGCGGCTTTCGCTTCCGCGATGACAGCAATGCGACAATTTCACGGCGCCAATGAGACGTGGTGCCCTGAATTCGTTCCCAGGCAAACATCGTGCTGTCTTCGTCCCGCAATTCGCGATCTTCATTCGCTTCCCGCTTCTGGGGCGGCCGGCGAAGGACGGGGACGATTCCTGTCAAGGACAGAGCCTAATGGACCCCACAAGGTCCGACAAAAAGAAAAGCAAGGGCCAGATCGTCCTCCCGATTACTATATGTCGGGGTGGGACGCGAGAAGGCCCGTCGCTTGGTGACGTTCCATGCCGAGGTTCCTGGCCGCCTCCAACTTCCCCAGTCTCGGAACCTTGATTCGGGCCCTTTCCATTCTTACGTAGCGTTCTCTTTTAACTCCCGAACAGCCATTGATCATTATCATCATCTTTTTCTCCTTGGTTGGCGTCCCTGCCGAATCAGCGGACAAAGGATTTGGCCTGCCTGACCCCTTCCGTCGCATTCCCTCCGGTAGTAGATGCTGATGTTGCGGACTTTTTGTTACGTGGGCGCTGCTTGCTTCTGCGCAGCAGTCCAACTACCATACATCGATAAAAACCCCACGCACCATTTTCCCTCGTGTCTTGTCGAACCCCGCATCTAGATATTGTTCGTGTATTCTACCAGCCCGCGTTAGTTATCCGCACCAACTCCGAGAGGGCGGGCTCCGGCTACGCGGCGACGTCAGAAATATCACGGCTCGCTCATGATTCCCCGGATCGTGGAGACGGCTAGTGGAAAAGAAACAAGCTGTGAGACCAGGACTTGGCCGTTATCATCGGCATCTCGCCGGATGGGAACACCTGGGGAAGTTGCCTGAAGCAAGCGAGAGGGCAAAGTCACATCTTACACCGCAAGCCCCCGGGTTCATCTTGTTCCTCCTCCGACTTGGCCGGCCCTTTTTCCATTTCCTCATGTGCACACAAGAAGGCATCAAAACAAGGAAGTGCAGCGGAACACCTCCGACAATGGCACCCGCGAGATCCCCGGACACACTTGTGCTCGAAAGGAAAAGAAGAGAGAAAACAAAAACATGTTCATGAGGTCGGTTTGGTATGACGGGAGGACAACGTCCGTCCTCCCTTGCGGAAGTGATCAACTGACCAGCAGCGAGGGTTGCATGGCTGCGATGAAGCCTTGGGCGTATTTTCTCCATCTATTGTAGGACAGTTAGGAGAGGGAAGTCAGAGTGATCGCCGCTGGTGTTGACGTCGGGCATGCGCTCTCCCTGCTTTGCCTCTGCCCTTCTCCTCCTACATGTATGTTAAGGGAAGCGAGAAGTCTCTTGTTACACTCTATTGGACAGGTGGACTCCAAGGGGCGACTGTCACTTTTTCTTTTTCTTTTTCCTTTCCCTTGGACGTCAGCCACTGTGTGCACACGTAATTTCACATAAGTTGGCGGACCTTCCCCTGCGTCTTGGCAGACAGCGCTAGCAGCCCTCCAAAACAGTGGATCTTGGTGAGTGATTCTAAATACCCTTGGCGCTTTCATAGTTTCTGCGTCAGGATCTCAACTTATCGTTGTCGGGGCTCCTCTGGTGATTTCATTAGCGGCAAACGGCATAACTGGGCGTATCGCCCCCCTCCTTTCGAGGCCTGGCAATCGAACGTGTCTCGTGCACGGGGCATTTTCTCAAAGTGGCACAAATCGCAGTCGATGTGGTGGGGGAACTGTGGTGGGGGCTGTGTGTGTTCAATGTTCTTTTCGTCGTGTCCCACCGCCCAGGAACCATTCGATAGGCGGATTAACTCTTGGGAAGTGACCAGGTTCGGCCCTGTTTTGACTCAGCACACCACGACCGCTTTGGGGTTGGCGTCCGACGAGTAGCGCCTGGCAAGGGGCTTGAATGCTTGCACCCGAAGGAATGGTGGAAGATTAAGGGAATTCTGGGGCCTTGAATTTGCTCCACATGCGACGGGGGCCTCGACGACGATGGCCAGATGCAAGGAAGAGGGAATAGGCGGCGTCAGGTCGTGGAAGCAGGGTTCGTGACAGGTTCGGATGAAGGATCCGTTGGTGATGGGGTCCATCTCTTGACCCCCGGCCCCAACGACGTGCGAGTTCAAGGATGGAATGAAAATCGTATAAAACCGTCGTCCAGCTCGAAATCGAGAGTGGATGTTGGAGCAGTTTGGGATTTTTCTCTTCTCTCTTCTCTCTACGGACTTTTCGTCAGCTCCCCTTCTTTCTGTTCATATTCAAGAACCTCGACGACGTTGCCTGGAGCAGTGACCTTTCTCCCATTTCTTTTGGTCTTTTTCCGCACTTTTTTCGAGTCCAGATTGTTGCATCAACCAGGAGTAGGCAACATTCTCCGTTTTCCCTCTCTCCGTTTCCCCGACAAATCTTCGCCATCATGAAGTCCATCGTGTCCATCCTGTTCTCCGCGGCCGTGGTCGCCGCCCACGGCTACGTCGATACCGCCACCATTGGTGGCCAGGGCTACACCTTCTACCAGCCGTACATGGACCCTTACATGAACCCGGCGCCCCAGCGTGTTTCCCGAGCCATCGCCGGCAACGGCCCCGTCGAGGACCTCGACTCTATTGATCTTCAGTGCGGCGGATACAGCGCCGGAGGCGTCGTCGGATCTTCCCCGGCTCCTCTCCACGCCACGGCTGCCGCCGGATCTACCGTCACTCTCAAGTGGACCCTGTGGCCCGACTCGCACGTTGGTCCCGTCATCACATACATGGCCCGATGCCCCGACAGCGGGTGCAACAACTGGCTTCCTGGAACTGAGTAGGTGTCTTTGAAACAACAAACGCAACAGAATCCTGAAAGACTGTGATGTGCTAGGTTGGAAACGGTGCTAACAATGTCGCAGGAAGGTTTGGTTCAAGGTTCAAGAAGGTGGTCGTCAGGGCACCTCGAACACCTGGGCTGTTGTGAGTGCCGTTGCTTATTTTATGCCTGGTGACCGTCGCTTATTGTTTCGTTTTGCGGGCATGACGGGCGGGAAATATTGAGCCACTTACTAACTGGAGATAGACGCCCCTCATGAGTTCTGGTAACCCCGGTGTCCAGTACACCATCCCCTCGTGCTTGAAGCCCGGCTACTATATAGTCCGTCATGAGCTCATCGCTCTCCACGCTTCCTACTCGTACCCCGGTGCGCAGTTCTACCCCGGCTGCCATCAACTCCAGGTGACGGGTTCCGGAAGCATCCAACCCTCTAGCCTAGTTGCGTTCCCCGGCGCGTATAAGTCTACCGACCCCGGTATCACCTATGACGCCTACAAGGGTGAGAAATCCCCGAAGATGTTTCATGTCTCTTCTTCTTCTGTCTCCCGCACAATGCTAACTTCTGCCCGCTACTAACCAACGACAGCCACGACGTACACTATCCCGGGACCCGCAGTGTTCTCCTGCAACGGTGGTAATGAAACCCCTGGTTCTGATCCCGTCCCCGACCCAGACACCACCTCCCTCGCATCCCCACCCTCTGTGCCATCCGCTACGGCGGTATCATCCGTCACTGACGTGTCCATCACTATTCAGCCTAATCCTACGACCTTCGCAACCGTTCCGGTACCCGCAACCACCTCAAGGGTGGATCCTGATGAGGATGACGCTGGGGAAGAGGAGTGTGGAGCAGAGGAAGGCGAGGATGAATGTGATGGAACCGACGACGAAGTGATTGAAGACGGCGAGGAAGTCGAAGAAGAGGACGAGGGTGAGGATGCGGAAGGCTGCGACGCGGAAGAAGAGGGCGAGTGCAGCGCCTCGGAAGACGACGAGGACGTCGACGAGGATGTGGACGAGGATGTCGAGGAGGGTGAAGATGTGGAGGGTGTGATGCGGACGAGGAAGAGGGCGAGTGCACTGCCTCGGAAGAAGACGCGGACGAAGAGATATAAGAGGAAGGAGGTACGGTAGGCGGGGCCTGCCGTTCGAAAAGTCGGTTCTGTGAACATTTCATTCATCACCTTTTTCTCTGATCGCCTCCACTTGACGTCGAGCGGTCCTGTCAGATTTTACATCCTCGAGATTGGAACCGCCAGGGTTCGGTCGGTTTCCTTTTTCTTTATTTTTTTCTTTGTCTCTTTTCTCTTCTTTTACCTTTTGCCGTTTGGCGGCGAAGGCCTATTGCTTTTTCACTACACATATTTGATCAAAATACACGTACATACGGATACTTGACTGTCCTTTCTCGAGATCGGGAACTAAGTGCAATTCCATGGATGCATCAATACGGTGAACTTGTTTGTTTTTTGTTTCCGTCTCATCCGATCCAACCGGCGAGATCGGGGACGGGGGTGAAAAATCCTTCATCCGCCGGGGTCTGTCGTATTGATTGATAAGATGAGAGGTGGACAGCGAGTGGACTGGGCGTTCCACTTGTGTGGGGGTGGCGCTGACAAACCGCGTTTCGGGGATTGGGCTAGCTTCGATGTTCGCTAGGGCCAGGGGAAAATTGCCAGTGCCAGCGCCTCTTTGGGAGGGAGGGTGGGGGTTCTACCGAGTGTCTCTCCCCTTCGTCGTGACAACTCTCCGTCTTCCAGATCGGTTTTCGACCTTTCCGCCTCTGTCGTGGTAGTCTGCGAGAGCTTAGCGATTCACTCTTCCGATGGCTACAATTGACCTTGCTTCCGCCATTACCAAGCCGTAAAATCCCCCAACCTTCCAACACACATCATGGCTCCTGAGAGGGAGAGCGAGCTGGCAGCCCCCTGCTTAGCGCCGGGAACGAGGGCTGCGATGGCGCGACGGTTGCCGCCTCTTCCCGACGCCCCCGATCCACGTACTTGGTCGCCGGCGTAATTTTCATCCTCACCGCGGGTCTCGGCCTTCCCGCGCTTCCCGTGCTGCGCATCATGGAGGACACCATCTGCCGACAACACCTCCAGGTGCCCGACGGCGAGCCGGTGAACGAGGGGGACTGCAAGACGCCCGATATCCAGGCGGAGCTATCCATGGTGGCGGCGATCCTGTTCATGCTCGAGGCAGTTCCCGGTAAGAACTCCAGTTTCGCGCCCGTGTTCTTCCCCTGCATCTTCTGACATTGGGTGTAGGGCTGTTTCTGTCGCTACCTTATGGCATCCTCGGCGATAAGATTGGACGCCGTCCGGTTCTGGGCCTCTCCATCGTGGGAATGACGCTTGGCCTGGCGTGGATCTTGTTCGTGCTATGGAATCCCGCCACGTTCCCCGATGTTCGGCCGGTATGGGCGTCGACCGCCTTTCACGCCGTCGGGGGCGGCCTCAACGTTGCCATCGCAATGATCTATTCCATGATTGCCGACATGGAGCCTTCTGAGAACTTGTATGTGAACCTTTTGATATCGTCTCCCTCCGTGTACACAAGCTAAATAGCCCGGTTTGTCTCTTCTTGTCCGGCGTGTTCCTTGTAGAGCCAACAGCTTCTTCATGAACCTCGTCGCCAGCCTGAGCGCCGAACTTCTGGCTGTCGCCGCCGCGTCAAGACTTATGCGAATCTCTCCGTGGATTCCCAGCTTAATGGGCTTGGCCCTCCTCATTGTCTGCGGGGTCCTCGTGGCCTTTTACCCGAGACCCTGAAGAAACGTCCGGCAACAGTGGCCGACGAAGACCCTAGCTCGGACACGACCTCGGCCGAGCTCTCCTTCAAGTCGACGCTATCCAAGATGATCCGCGAGCTTCGCGACAGTACTAGCGTCCTCAAGTCCTACCCGATCGTCGCGCTCCTCCTCACCATGTTCTTGACCGGGTTCGTCGTGCGCGGGCTGAGCTTCGGGGCGCAGTACCTGAGCAAGACCCTGGACTGGCCGCTCGCCAAGGCCGGCATGCTCATGTCCTTCCAGGTCGCCATGAATATCGCGCTGTACGTCGCGATTCTTCCCGGCGCGTCCAAGTTGCTCACGGCGCCGTCCATGCCGTTCAAGTTGGACCCGGTCGTCAAGGACCTGTGGCTGGCTAGGGTGTCCTTCGTGGCCCTGGTCTTGGGCTCGTTGCTGATTGCGGTCCCGTCCACCGTCAGTATCGTGGCGGGGCTGGTCATCTTTACCTGCGGGTTGGGATTCTCCACCCTCTGCCGCGTCGTCATCACGTCCATGATTGAGCCCCAGCAGACCGGGCGTTTGTATACCCTTATTGGAGTCATAGACTCCGCTAGCAAGCTCGCTGCCGGACCCGTGGTGGCCTGGCTTTTAAGATCGGTATGGATAAGGGTGAGGCTTGGGTCGGTCTCCCTTATCTCGGCATTTCCTTCTTGGCTGCTGTGGCTGCGATTCTTACCTTTTCCGTGAGGAAGGACGGCTTGTCGAATCATCGCCATGATAGTGCCCTTCGAATCGCGAGGATTGAAGAGGATCTATCTTAAAATACATAAAGTGACTTTAGTTGACGTTTGCGATATCCTAAGAGAAGCCACTATCTAAATAAATTCGAGATCTTAAACTTCAATATGGTGGCGCCTTCTGACTTAATTTAACACTGGTTATGGCCCAAGGTCATGTCCACCTTCTTGAGCCAGTGTGTCTGGTCAGTTGTGGCTGTCTCGTCTCCACTCGCAAGAAAGGCACGGAATCGGTCTACCCGCTTGGCTACCCCCAGTCTGTGTGGATACAAGGAGGATTAGGTTATAACCGTTGTAGCGGAAATTTCACGGGCTGCTTCTCCATGAGAAACAGGCGGAATTCATTGGAAGTCACACATGGGCCCTAATGGCTCACCAGTCCGACCGAGTCACGCTGGTATCGCTGCACATACACTCTAATGTAAATATACATTGCTTATATATATAAAATTACAGACTAGTTACTATTCTCATTCCCCCACCTTGCTATCCTACAGCTTACTCTTAGAGACCTCCGCGACAATTTCGCGACTCAATGCGTCGGCAATAGACATGACGGTGACGAATGGGTTCACGCCCGTCGACGTCGGGAAGACGCTCGCATCCATGACGTACAGATTCTTCGTGCCCCATACCTCGCCCTTGGTGTTGACCACGCCGCTCTTGGGCGAGCTCGACATGCGGCACGTGCCCATCTGGTGAGCGGAAACGAAGATGGACTGCGGAGAGGGGAAGCCATAGGCGCGCAGCCGGGCGAGCCAGTCCTCAAAGTCTGGGTCGGCGGCGAACCCGTCGCCGGTCGCCGAATCATCCACGCTGTCCTTGCGAAGATAGGTCGGGGCGCCGGGAATGGTGGTGAAGATCTCGCGCGCCCCGGCCTCATAATTGATGCGTGCGAGGGCGATGAGGCCTTCCATGATGTGTCGCTTGTCGAGGGAGGAAGGGTGGTAGCGGATCTGGCAGCGGCCGTCGGGGCCCGCGTAGACGGAGCCGGTGTGCTTGTCGCGCGTTAAGCTGATCCAGGCGGCGGTGCATCCCATCTTGGCGGCCATCTGCTTCCACTCCTCGCCGCTGGTCCACGGGAGCCAGGTCGTCCAGGTCCAGGGGATAGTGCACGTGGGCTCCAGCTTGGGGCCGTAGCCGTAGCCGTCGAGGTTCTCGAATTCGGAACAGGCGGAGGAGATGATGGAGCCCTTCCACGGCTCGAGCTGCTCGTCGTAGACGGCGCCCATCATGGACACGGGATGGAGGTAGAGATTCTTGCCGATCTGAGGGTTCTTGAGGCCCGAACGGGCCAAGAGGAGAGGTGATTGGAGGGTTCCGCTCGAGACGATGACTCGCGTCGCCTTGACAATGACTTGGCGGGTCACGACGGACTTTCCTGCCACACCGCCGTGCTCGTCGCGGGACCGCCAGACGCCGTATACTCCCTTGGCGCGCTTGCTCCGCCCCCTACCGAAGAGGATCTTCTTCACCTCGAACCCCTCCATAAACTGCGCACCGGCCGCCGCGGCCCTGGGCAGCCAGTAGACGGCGGGGCCCTTTTTCCCCGAGGACCGACACCCCATGGTGCACTGGTGGCCGCAGGTGTGGGGGCCCGGCCGTTGTTCTGGGGCACGACGGCGTGCGCCCAGCCGAGCTTCTTGGCGCTGCTCAACAGGATCTCGTTGGGCTTGCTGTGCTCGACGTGGTCGGTGGACACGCCCATGGCGTCGCACACGCGGTCGACCGACTTTGGAAGGCGGTGGAGGCGAAGAGGGGAGGCCGGTGGCGGCCCATTCGCGGCGCACGAAGCCTTGGGGTTGGAGGGCCGCGGCCCAGTTGACGGCACCTCCGCCGCCCCAGGTCTGGCCGGCGGCTACGGCTGTCGAACTGTCATCGGCTGTGTTTGACGGTTAGGAGGGGATGACCTGGTATAGAGAAATGTGTTTGCAGGAAGGTGGGAGAATACTCACAGAGGATGGACCCGCCATTCATAAATGTGCGCTTTGGTCCGTCGACGTCGCTGTGTGGCAACTGGTCGCTTTGCCAGTGGTGGCCAACGTCCGCCACCAGCACGCGAAGACCCGCTTCCGCCAATACCGTGGCCGCGACGCCACCACCGCATCCGCTGCCCACAATCACCACATCTACCTGGAGAACCTCGGGTTCCTTGCCGGGGGATTTGGATGAAGTTGTAGTCGTAGTTCTCGCCTAGGGTGCATTCGACGGGGATGCGGGGAAGCCGATGGCCGGACGCAGGGTGGGGCTTGTCCGGGCAAACGTCTGCTTGGCCATTAAAAGGACTTGGCGCTGGAGAAGGCGCAGGGCAGGTATGCGGGAGCGGGCCCAGGACTGCAGGATCTGTTCCCTGACGTGTAGGGGTTGTGCTGTGATTGTTGTTGCGTAACCGGTGAGGAGGAGAGATCCCGCCGAGTAGCTTGAGGGGAGAGAGAGAGAGGGAAAGTTAGCAAGCGGGCGGGGGTTTATTGGGGTCTCGGCGAAACAAATTTAGCTACATACCCGAGTATTCGCAAAACTCTTGCCAGGTCTACGAGTTCGCCAGGTGGTGTGCACATGAGCAGCGTGTACTGCAAAACTTCCTTGAAGCCCGGGATCGAAGACGGCTGGTCCTCGAGAAAAGCCACGGCGGTCTCTCGGGACGTGCTAGGCGGTAGGCTGGACCGGATACTTTCGAGAGTCGCGGCGAAGGCATCATCGGGTAGGCAGAGGGCGTTGCTCGCGCGCTTCGTCTCGCTCGACTGCGCGCTGCGGATGGCGGGGATGGCGGCATCGCAGAGCGCCAGGAGGGTATCCCACTCCTTTTGCTTCAGGTCCGGGCTCGGGGTCAGACCCCACGGCTGGGTGGCGAGCGGGGATTCGCTTTGGGAAGCCGCCATTGTTGTAGATTATTATGTTTTTGGTATTATTTGTTGTCGTATCGTTTTCGAGCGATCCGGGGTATCAAGAAAAGCAGAAGGTCACAGTTATTCGAGAATGGTGTACAGCACAGGCAGGTTTTATCGCCGGCGGCGCTATGCGGTGGTGTGCTAGGCGTTGAGTCGAGATTTATACTTTCCCCGCCCACATGTGGATTTTTCGCGCGCATTGGAATTGGTCGCAAGAGACCGTCTTGCCGAGGAAGTAAAATAAGGAGATCAGCCTCTTGTTTCCCTCCTTGGCGGGTTTTCGAGGCTAGGGTCGAAAACCCGCCAAGTGGGCTGATCGAAAAACAAGGTTGGACGCGCAGCGAGCTCTGCACGCTGCAAAGAGAGTGCGCACGCACACGCAAGTCTCAGACTCCGTCGGGGTGACAGCGGCACCGGTTTCCCGGACTTTGCGGGGTGGTGATGCTCGCTAGGCCGTTTTGGGTCCAGCTCGAGATCGATATGTGGAGACAAGGGGGAGAGACGGTTTTCGCTCTGCGAGCTAAGCTGCAAGGAGAGCGAATGGGTTCGTTTCGAGCGGCCCGGGGACTATTTTGCCCCTCAGTCCAGTCCGGAAAGGGTGTAAAGTGTCCGCGCCACCAGGCCATGTTTAAATCGGAGCTCTCGTTTCAACATCTACATGTACGGGGTGTGAAGCTGTCGTTTGGCCACTTCTCCTGTCTATTTTGTATAGCTGTTTTTTTATGTTAACTGCCCTGCTCAGGGAAAACCAGTACGTTGGGTCGTTCGTTGAGAGCAACGGACGGGCTTCACGTGCTTTCGATCGTTTTCTCCCTACTTCATTTTCTTTCCCTTTTCTCCCCCAGCACCTCCCCGCTCAGAGTTTCGCACGGATTTCTGCTCCAGCTTCGGCCTCTTGTCTTTTCCTCTTCCATCGATTGATCTTGGTCGCCACCATGCCAGTCCATACCTCGAGCCACTGGGGTCGAACGGGGAAGCACTCTACCGCTGGTTCCCGGGGCTGGGGGACCGGCTATCCCTCTCAAGAACTCGAAGAAGTCGGCGTAGTCTGGCGCGATGGAGTAGTAATCCTTGCCGCCCTTCTTCTCCGCTACTCGTTTCCTTTCCCATTCGAGCTGCTCTGGAATGGACGGCAGCGGGTTGGCTCTCCCGGCCAAGAAGCGCGCGACTGCGACGGCCTGCCACTCGTAAGCGCGGAAGGTAAACCCTCCGCCAAGCTGCAGTGCACACGGCCAGTTAGCAACCCGGTGTTTTTTTAGAGTCAATCGCCGCCCTGCTATTTCTTCTGCCTGCGAACGAAGCTCTTGAGATACATCTAGCTGCGGGAAATAAGAATAAAAAGAAAACATGAACGTACCATGCCAACAAATGTGAGTGTAGGGTCATCAATGTTCCACGTGTGCTGATAGACACCGGGAAGGCGGCGATAGGCATCCTGGACTCGCGACTGGACCGCGGGCAAGAAAGGGAAGCTGAAGGTGTATCCGGTCCCGAAAATGATGTGATCAACTCGTTCGACGCTCGACCCGTCGGTGAAATGGACGGTTCCGCTCTGCGCATCGAGGCGGCTGACGCCGGGTTTCACTTGTATTTTGGGGTGCTTGAACGGTTCCCAGCCGAATGATGGGATCGGCTCGCCGCGGATGGACGCGTACACGGGCCCTTCGACAGCATCCAAAAGCTCGTGGATAATCTCGTGAGAGGATACCGATGCTCAATAACGACGACGCGCTAGCATACAGAATGAACATGTTAGCCATGCGGTGTCTGGGGGAATAGCAAGCCGTCCACTGTCAACGAACCTTTCCTTTATAAGGAGAAGCCTCGCGAAACTGCTTGCTATGCTGGATGGCCCCGGGGAACTTCCTGTCAAACTCGAGCAAGCCAGGTGTATCCGGGAACCAGGGGACATTGTAATGGCCCGACGCGACAACGAGGGCGTCAAAGACCTCCTGCCACCAGTAGTTGCGGCCGCGCACGACTTTTCGCAGCGTCAACACCCATTCCCGGTTCTCTTGACGGCGCGCTCGACCGTGGTGTCGAGCTCGAGAAGCTTCTCGTGGCCGCCGCGGGAAAAGATGCCCTCGACCCACTCGCGGATGACGGTGTGGTGCCGGTAGGGGACGTGGGGCCGTACTCTTCAAGCGCGCGCTGGGAGAGGCGGTCGGGGAGAGGCTCCTGGGTGTAGCTCATGATGCCCGGCGTGATGTTGCTGTGGAGGTTCTCGTGGATGGCGGTGTCGGAGAAGCGCTGCTGGTGGCTGTTGACGGCCTCGGATAGGGGCGTGATGGCCGGCAACCGTTCGGGGATGTCTACGGCCCGGTCCGCCTTTCCGGAGACCAGGGTTTCCAGCGAAGGGATGGCGGCGGGGAGATGCGGTGTGTGGAGCCTAGAAACGAGCCGGTCAACCAAAGGGGAAGGGCCCGAGGGAAGCGACGGAACGGAAGAAGTGGTGGTTTTTGTTGCGAGCTCACCATGTTCCGCCAGCTCCGTGGCGCCTCTCGAAGACGCGGATGGTGTCAAAGACGCCTTCCTTGACGAGGGCGTCGGTGGCGATGGCTCCGGCGGGTCCAGCGCCGATGACGGCTACGCGTCGAATAGAGGTGGGCATTTTTTTAAATCTCTCTTTACGGGACGGGGACGCTGTTTTTGTTGAGATGATGCGTGCCTCGAGCGCAGCGAGTGAGAGCCTCAACGACATCCCTTATTCCTGCTCTACGGCTGTTCTATATACCAAATGCATCGCAAGCAATTGCGTTTTTTACTAGCATAAGCACGTAAGACTGGACTGCGGGCGACAACAAAATATTTCATCGTGGCCGATGCAGGTCCCAACTCGGGGCGGCGCTCCTCGCGTTTTCGCTTCTCCACGGTTACGCAATTTGAGGGGATGTGTACGCCACCAACAAACGGTGAAGATGGAGAGCGTTTTATGCCTGCTAGGGTTAGTGCCATGCCGAATATATGTGTTTAAATATATATATATATATATATTTATAATCCGCTCCTCGGACTGAAATTGTTTTCCCAAAGTTCGTGAGAGGCTTTCTTCCCACGATGCGGAAGCTGTTCCTCGGAGGTCTCATCAAGACACGCTCTGCTGGCGTCGGCCACAGGCTGCCAGGATCAAGGCGAATCGAAGCTGGGCCGGTCGCGAACCCCACGAAATTCGGGGCGTAGCGAGCAGGGTAGAATAACCATTATTTAGCCAGCCATGACGATGGGATCTGCTGGGCTCGCCAAGTTTCGTTGTTCTCTTTTTGCCGGGCTAGAGGAGTTCAAGAAAAAGATCATCCAGGCGGAAAGCCGCGGGTCATTCGCAGTCGAGCCGCGCGGGTTGAGGGTTCCGCGAGGCGGAATTCAGAGCAATCGTTGACGTACTCGATTGAAAAACTCCTTTTGCTTCCTCTTGACCGAGATGAGAGGGGAAAGGAGAGAGAGTGAGAGATTAGTAGGAGAGGATGCGATTGCCACTTCCCTGCTCCATCGCTGTGCTGCTATCGTGGCTCGTGCTGGCTTGCTTTCTTTGGATCAACTGTGGATAGATGGGATTAAATTGATCCTTGTCAACGCTCACGGGTGTGTGACTGAATTGGCTCTAGCCTGTGGGGATGGATGAACGCCCAGGCAGAGAACACATTGAAAGATCTCGAGGTGATCGACCAACGTTATCAGGGCGCGCGCCCGCGCAGCTCGCCAAGCTTGGTTGCTTGGCAGGCCAGGGCACTCTTCTCTTGCCCCCGCCACCCCTTTCCCTGGCGCTTGAGGCGTTGAGCACACACACCATTCGGGCTACTTGGCTTTTTCCTCTGCGCTGTTCTGGTCGGTCCTGTTCTGCGATGATCGTGCTTTTCGTCCGCTCCTCTTCAAGATTCAATTTTTGTTCTCTCTCTTTTTTCTTTCGGATTATTTCCGTCTCTTCTTTTCCATCATCGGGTTCAATTCGCCTTGATGGCCGACTCGACTCCACTTCCTCCCCTGCCCTTTTTGCTTTGAATCCCACCTCACTGTCACACTCTTATCTTCATTCGACACTTGGCGAAGGAACGGGTGGAACCGACAAAGGCCCCAGGCGTCCAGATCTCTGAAGGATCTCATAAAGGGTGTCCCCACCCGCCCAATGAAGGAGAGGAAGGACAGACAAGAAATAGGGTGAGCCGAAAGATACGTACCCGGCATTTCGACCAGAAAAAAGAACAAGTTTGTTTGCCTCATTTGCAAGTCTGCCTCCGATACTCTATTCGGCTCATTCAATACCCGCTCGACGAATCAGGATGGACCAGTCCTGACGAGATGCTTTTGGAGGGCGGAGAGGGGACTTGCTGACCCAGGGTTAGGCGGACTGCCATTCTGCCAGCTCGGAGCCTGGCTTGCTGCATCGAATACTATGATGAAAAAGGAAAGACAAGATAAGGGTGAAAAGAAAGGGAAGCAAAAAAGCCCTATGGATGTTTCTGTTCTGGCGCGCCCCCACCAGCCTCTTCCGATTGTGGCTGGCGACCCGTCGGGAGCTACTTGAAGATTGCCCGGCAGTCTGCCTTGTTTCCTGCACCCAAGACACGTCCGACATTAAGCGTGCGTTGTCGGCATCGGGGGCCTAGAAACGCCGTGGCTCGTGCGAGGGTTGATTAAGTTTTTAGCGCAACAGTCGAATGGCGCGACAATCTGGCACAAGGTGGGAGGGTGGAGGGTGGGAAGGTGGAGGACCAATGAGAGACCCCCAAAAAGACTGACTCGCTTTCGTGGTGGCTCAAGTGAGCTTTCTCTCCCTCTCTCTCTCTCTGCCGAATAGGTTGGGCCGCTCGTTCGACTTTTTGGAAATTATTAGATCCTGCCATTCTTCGAAAGAAGAAGAAGCAGAAGAATGGGTGGGATCCGTGTAGCTTTTACACTCCGCCAAGAGCGCACGAAGGAGTCGACGAAGCTCCTTCTCGTTCAGTTATCAGCGATAGTAGCGGAGAGACCTGCCGTTTTCAGGCTATTCATGGGACGAGTCGAAGCTCCTTCACAGAACAACGGAGCTCAATCTCCATAATCGTCGTGATTACGATTGGCGGGGGGCCAGGGCCAAGCTAGATTGGCTGCAATCGTCATGCCAAAACGCCAAGCGTGGCCTGGCTCTTTGCCCCCGAGTAATACGCCGGCTTGCACACGCGCCACTGCCAGGGATCTTTTGGAGCTGCAGTGTAACCCCCAGCCCGTCCCCCATTCCGGCTCTTCGAAAGCTTGTCGCCGGTTTCTTTTTTCTTTTTTGTTTCTTTTTTCTTGGTTCCCTTGGTTCCTTGCCCTGCTTGGCTTGCAGGTTCGTGTAGTCGACCAACCCCAAGGCTCGCTGCTTATGATCTTGACTTTTGTCTCACTGGGTGACCCCCTTCCGACAGCAACCATGGAGCCCGGCCCTTGGGCTGACTGCCCTCTCTCGTAACGTCCCTTGCTTCCTGCTTCCCGCAATAAAACACACATTTTGCTTTCTTTGCTCTCTCCCTTTTGGGGTTCCCAAGGATCCAGCCATCCTTGTGTCGCCCCGGAGAATGCATGCAACTCGTCAGGCGGGAAACATGGCTCCTCTCACGCCTCGCCCATCCACTCTTTTCTCAACTCTCACTGCTCACTCTTATCGCCCGTAGCCCACAGCCACCTTCCGGAAGTGGTAGGTGTCGCGCGTGTCTCTGACGATCGCCGGTGCTGGGCCCGAGATAAATGAGCTCGCCCGACCCGCCACTTTGACATGTTGTATCATTGCAGACTCGCGTTCCAGAAGCCTTCCTCCCCATCTTAATTCCCCTTTCTTATTGATCTTGCCGTCCGTAACCTTTTCGGTTCTTATTTGGATCCCGCAGGCCCCTCTCCATCCTACCTGGCCAACTTTTGTTTTTCCTTTTTCCCCCTTGGACCCTGATCGTCGCGTACAAGATCGGGCGGCTTTTCCTCGTACTTTTGTCGTGCCGCAGTTCTTGTTCCTTTTTTGTCCTTCTCTCTTTTTCCTTTTTGAGAGAGAGTAATCCCATTCCGATAAGGAAGAAGGAATAAACAGGAGTACAAAGCAAAGAGGAAGGATATTCCACACAGAGGTTTCTATTCTTTCTTCTTTCCGTTGATTCGCGCCCCCTCCCCCAATTTCAACATGAGCGAGGGACTCGCAAAGCGGTCCCGCTCCTCGGACGAGGAAAAGACCAACTCGGGCCTCGACGCCAAAGACACCCACGAGTCCGTCCCCGCGATGGCGAGGTCCTCCACAACATCCGCGGTCTCGAGACCAGCCCCGAGACCTCGCTGCACCGCGGCCTGCAGTCGCGTCACATCACCATGATTGCCATTGGCGGCGCCATCGGCACCGGTCTCATCATCGGCACCGGCAAGGCCCTCGCCCAGGCCGGCCCCGCTTCCGTCTTCATCTCCTACACCATTATCGGTTTCGTCGTCTTCCTCGTCATGGCTGCCCTCGGCGAGATGGCCGCGTGGCTCCCCATCTCGGCTGGTTTCACTGGTTATGCTTCGCGCTTCTGCGACCCGTCTCTCGGTTTTGCTCTCGGTTGGTGGTATGTGTAACACTTCCTCTCCTCTCTATCCCCACGCGGTTGCTTCTTCCCTACCCCCGGCCCCACATCCCCGGACCGTGCAAAGAGCCCCCAAATTCCCATAGACAAGTTTGGCCCCCTTACTAACACGGTGTACGTTGCTGCGACCTATAGCTACTGGTTCAAGTACATCATCGTCACCCCTAACCAGCTCACGGCCGCCGCTCTCGTCATCCAGTACTGGCTCAAACCCGAAGATGTGAACCCCGGCGTCTTCATCGCCGTATTCCTCGTCGTCATCTGCCTCATCAACTACTTTGGTATCCGCTTCTTTGGCGAATTCGAATTCTGGCTCTCCTCCTTCAAGGTCGTCATCATCATCGGCCTCATCCTCTTCACCTTTATCCTCGCTCTCGGCGGAGGCCCCGACCATGACCGAAAGGGATTCCGGTACTGGAAGGAACCTGGGTACGTTGACTAACACCCCTTTCCCCTCGCCCACAAAAAAGAAAACCCCCAAATCCTGAAGCAACCCGCTAACAAAAGTTTGACGCGTACAGAGCCTTCAAGCCGTACATCAACGAAGGCGCCAGCGGCAAGTTCCTCGGCTTCTGGTCCTGCATGGTCACCGCCACCTTTGCCTACCTCGGCACCGAGCTCGTCGGCGTCACTGTCGCCGAAGCCCAGAACCCCGCAAGACGGTGCCCCGCGCCATCAAGCTCACCTTTTACCGAATCCTCTTCTTCTACTGCCTCAGCGTCCTCTTCGTCGGCATGAACGTCCCCTACGACGCCGACGAGCTCGTCTTCGCCAACAAGGCCAAGACGGGCGGCTCCGCCTCCCCTTCGTCGTCGCCGCCGACCGCGCCGGCGTCAAGGCCATGGGCCACGTCATCAACGGCTGCATCCTCGTCTTCGTCTTCTCCGCCTCCAACTCGGACTTGTACATTGCCAGCCGCACGCTCTACGGCATGGCGTCCGACGGTCAGGCCCCTGCCATCTTCAAGCGCACCAACAAGCGCGGTGTGCCCGTGTACGCCCTCGGCTTCTCGGCCCTCTTCGCGCTCCTGGCCTTCATGAACGTGTCCGACGACTCGACCAAGGTGTTTGGCTACTTTGTCAACCTCGTCACCATTTTCGGTCTCCTGACCTGGATCTCCATCCTCGTCACCCACATCGCGTGGTGCCGCGCCCGCAAGGCCCAGGGAATCCCCGACTCGGCCCTTCCTACGTCGCGCCCCTCGGCATCAAGGGCTCCTACGGCGCGCTCGTCATGTGCATCATCGTCGCCCTCACCAAGAACTACGACGTCTTCGTCGGCGGCGACTTTGGCAACGAAAAGTACAAGACCTTCATCACCGCCTACATTGGTATCCCGCTGTACCTGATTTCCCTCTTCGGGCACAAGTTCATCAAGAAGACGCGGGGCATCAAGCCTCACGAGGTCGACTTCTACACGGGCAAGGATATCATTGATCGCGAGGAGCAAGAGTTCCTCGCCCGCAAAGCGGCCGAGAGGGAGCTCAAGGGCCCCAACCGCGGAGGGTGGTTCTACAAGGTTTTCCTCTCGTGGCTATTTTGAGCCAGAGGAGGGTTTGGGGTGTGGTGCGGGTGCGGGTGCGGCGCGGGGCACGACGAGGAGGGGGAAAAGCGCGCGCCCGACGACGTGTGCGTCGGTCTGGCCGACCACGGCATGCTGTATGTACTAGGCCCAATCGGGGCTATGCACGTTAAATTGATGAATTATATGATCCATTGATGTCGTTCTTTTTCCCACTGGTTGTCATACATGGAGTCACTGGTTACCCCCTTGCCGCTACGTGACGTCGTTCAGCTTGACTTTCTTGGCAGGCTTCAAACCCCGCAGGAAACAGGAGGCCCAACTTTAAAAATGTCTCCTCGATCGATTTCGTGCCGCAAGTTAAAACGAGATCCTCCCTCCCCCAAACGGTAACCTGGTGACGATCCATCATATCTGCAAGTCTGAAATCAGAGACATTTTTCTATTTGCAAAAAAAAAAGAAGTAGAATCAAGCTCCCACGAGGTCGTCCTTGAATCACTGTCGCAATGGCCGCTGTCGTTGAATCTTTGCAGGCGTTGGGTGGCACAGAGTCTCCAGGCAAGTAGTATCCGCATCATCCCATCCCGCCCAAATGTGGCATCGACCGAACCCCTGTCATTAACGACGACTGCTATGGGGGCGTGAAATGCAGGCTTTCTCAACGCGTTAGTCGCCCAGTTATGGCCCAACATTTGCGTTGCCGGGGCCCAGATGATCAAGAACATCGCGGAGCCCATGTTTGGCACCATGCTGCCCGCTCCCCTCAATACCCTCCAGTTTACAAAGATTGATCTGGGCCATATGCCCCTCACTTTTGCCAATGTCGACGTCCACAGGACGGAGAATGAGGCATCAAGCTGGACATGGACCTCACGTGGGATGGTGTCTGCGACATTGAGCTCAAGGCTAGCAAAATCCCCAAAATTGTAACTACACCCGAGTATCAGTCGATTTTTGAGAGTGCGATGCTAATCACAGATACCTCAAGGGGGTCGAGCACGTCAAGCTAAAGGGCAGACTATCTGTCCTCCTTTGTCCTTTGACTAATGTCATCCCGCTGGTAAGCTTTTGGGCTATTTTTCTGCTCGTTTATTTTCTCCATGGCTTTCTCATAGCATGCCTTCTAACTATTCTTCAAGATTGGTGCGACTCAATTTGCCTTCATCAGCCCGCCAACTCTGCATCTCGACTTCACCGATGCCGGCGGCATTGGCGACCTCGCCATCGTAGATCGGGCCATCCGCAAGGTCGTCCTCAGCGTAATCTCATCCATGGCCGTGCTGCCCAACCGGTTCCTGTTCAAGCTCGACCCCAACAGCGACTATTTCAAGACCTACCAGCACCCCATCGGGATCCTGCGCTTGACCGTCGAGTCCGGGCAAAACTTTGGCGAGGAGAAGAAGTCAAGAACCTGCTCAAGCGCCTCGTGCACGACGTGCCCGACTGCTTCGTCAAGGTCAAGATCTCCCCGCGGACGAGTGGAAGACGCAGACGGTCAAGAACAACCGCCACCCGGAGTGGAACGAGACCAACGACTTCCTCGTGTCCGACCTGGACCAGATCATCGAGCTGGACGTGCAGGACGACGACACCATCTCGGACGACGACATGGGCGTCGGCGCCACCACCGTGAAGCAGCTGCTCGCTGCGGGCGGAAGCTGGAGCTGAGCCTCCTGCACAAGGACCAGCCCACGGATCGCACGCTTCGCATCAGCGGGCGGTTCTTCCAGTTCGCGCCCGACGCGGCCAGCCTCTCGGAGAGGGGGCCGGTACGCACGGACTGCTGACGGTGATGGTGGCGTCGGCGTTTGGCATCGCGGGCCGGCGGCAGGATCTTAAGCCCAGCGTCAAAGTGTCGTGGGGCGACCGTAACTTCCGCACGGTGATCAAGAGCGACGCTCCGGGCATGGATATCGAGAACCCGAGCTTCGATCAGACGTTTAGCTTCCCCATCACCGCGGGTATGGTGCCCGGCCCGCCTGTGAGGATCGCCCTCTTGGACAAGGAGGCCGAGACAGGCGCGATCGAGGTGTCCATCGAAGAGGTACTCGCGGCTGCTAATTTCGCCGTGGAGAAGAAGTTCGATGTGGGTAACGGTGCGCAGATCCTTGCCGGAGTGTGGGTTCGAGGAACCAGGGCTGCGGCCTAGATTGATAGTCGCGCGCTCGTATTGATGGTTGGGGTAAGGGATGTGGTGTCTTGTTAGATCTTGCCTCAAGATCAATTGACGTGTCAAAGGCGAAGTGTAATGATGAAGAAGATTAGGGAGTACGAATAAGTAGCGCATGGATGACAAGCCGTTTTATTTCAATTTCATTCTTTTGCTTCTTTCCAGAGTATCTAGCCATCCGATCCTCGAAGATGACATGGCGATTCATCTCATGAATATTCGCCTCCGAAATTCAGTTTGCAGCGAGCGACGCCGCGACGTAAAGCGCCACAGCAGAGGGTACCATTGATCCTGATAAACCGCAAGCTTGCATAGCATAAGTCTCCACGTCTCTTTTCTACAGGTTTATCCAAGGGTTGGTGAAATATAATGTGTGACTCTTACCAACGGAAGCCTGCGATGTGTCACAGATCAAATCGTTATCCTCCCCGATAGCGTCACCCAAGCTAAAAATCGCTCATTGCATGGGTTCTGCAAGGGCGGGAGGAACCACGACCAGGTGCGCGGGTCAATTTGAATGATATTCTCATCAAACGCCCTCTTACTCAATTTCCTTTTCTAAGTTGATTAAAAGAAAAAGGAGAAAACCAACTTCTATTCGTTATTCACGGGATCGCCGGACAGATCAACTAAGTGCTGTGACGATGGCATCTGCATACAGCGCTGAACAGCTTCAGCAGTTCTTCCACCATGTTGAGTTGCCTCAGAGATTCAGAGAAGATCCAGCGCCGACACTCGAGCTGCTGAAAGTCTTACACGTCCACACGTTATCTACGCTGCCGTACGAAAACTTATCCATCCACTACAACAAAGAACACACCATTACGCTCGAGCCCCAATACCTCTTCCGCAAGATTGTGACCGACAGCCGGGGTCGTGGCGGGTTCTGCATGGAAATAGCCATATTATACAATCACATTCTCCGTGCGATCGGGTTTGATGCGTACACGGCAGGCGTCAGAACGCGTGGTCGTCTCCAGGGCGTGCCTCTGGGGACTACCCGGGTGGTACGTAGCCGGCTCCCCTTCGACGCTACAACACCCCTTCAACGCTTACTAGAGGCTAGGAATCACATTGTCAACATCGTTACGTTTCCGGATGGGAGCAAGTATCACGCAGATGTAGCATTCGGTGGCGATGGGGCAACCATGCCGATGCCTTTGGTGGATGGGCTGGTGCACCAAAACTTTGGCACTCAGGAGATCCGCTTGATTCGGGATTGGATCCCTCTCCAAGTCCACCGCACAGAAGAGAGCAAGTTGTGGATATACCAGTACAGAAACGGCCGGGAACTCGAATGGAACTCGTTTTACTCCTTCCCTGGAGTAGAGTTCCTCGACTTGGACTGGGGCGTGGTCAACTTTTGGATCAACGAAAACTCGCAGAGCCACCAGAGGGTCAACGTGCTAGTTATCAAATTCTTGCGTAGGTTGAAGCAGGGCCGCGACGACACGTACGAGCTCTACGGTAAAAGAATGCTGGTGAATAGCACGATCAAGGAAAACCTTGGGGGCAGGACTGGCATCATACAGGAATGCAAGTCGGAGAGCGATCGGATTGCGGCACTAGCACACCATTTCGGCATCAAGTTGGCCAGGGAGGAGGAGGAAGGTATTCGCGGCTATGTTTCCGACCTTGGCTAACTGTCGAAAATCAATTTGAGTTGGCCCCTCCCAAAGCCACTGGATTTGTGATTATTGTTATGGAAGATGAAGATCTGGGCCGCGAGAGGGAGAAGGGCCTATTTAACCAATGAGGTTGATAATCAGGGGTAGGATAGTCGGTGCGGAGAAAAGGTTCCAATGGATCACCTCATTCATTTCTGGTTAGCTCTTCGTGATCCTTTGATTATAATTGTGGGCTTCGCCGACAAAACATGGCTGGGGCCCCAAAAGGCACGTCCCCATCGGTTTGTGGGGCTGCCACCAAAATCCGACCGATTGCCGTGATTACTTCCTTAAGCCGCTGCCGTCACCGTAAACCCGTTTATCCTCGGCTGTGCAATGGTTCGAGCAGCACTTGAGCTTTCCAAACACAGCCAACATACACTTTGAGATGCGCGCCCAATTTCGATCTCTGTTTCGGGCCACGTCGAGGGCGTCGTATGGGGCTCGCGTCGCCTCGAACGGGGCGAGCGGTCGCAATGCGAAATTCCTCTACGCAGCCACCGGTGCGCTGGTTGGCGCGGTAGGTGCCTATGCCGCGGCGAGCGGCGGCTCCACGACCATCGACAAAGCTCCCTTCCGACCGTGGCTTCGAGCTCGTCGGGGCCACTGCGTCGGGTGTATGCGAGCCAGGAGGATACGCTCAAGGTACGTGCATTGGCAAAAACTGCTGGAACCGGAGGCCATTTTCGCAGCCAAAGGATGTCATTAACCATCGGAATCTAGGGGCTAGAGGAGATTCGGCGCGAACTGGGCAATGACGCCGTCAGTACCGACGCCGACGATATAGAGGAGCATGGATTCTCCGAGTGGTCAACCTCCAATACCAAGAGCAGGCCTCGGGCAGTCGTCAGGCCATTAAGCACCGAGCAGGTCTCCGCGGTCGCTCGAATCTGCAGCAAGTATAAGATTCCCATGGTTCCCTTTGGAGCAGGTTCGAGCGTCGAGGGAAACTTCTCATCTCCTCATTCGGGGCTCTGCATCGACCTCTCCTTGATGAACAATGTCGTCGCGTTTCACCCGGAAGATTTGGACGTGGTTGTCCAGGCAGGTGTCAACTGGACCAATCTCAACGAAGAGATCAAGGGCAGCGGGCTCTTTCTTCCGTTAGATCCTAGCCCTACTGCTTTGGTTGGGGGTATGATCGCAACAAATTGCAGCGGTACCAACGCGATGCGCTACGGGACCATGAAGGACTACGTCATTAGCTTGACGGTGGTTCTGGCAGATGGCTCCGTCATCAAGACGAGACACAGACCTCGGAAAACCTCTGCTGGGTATAACCTGACGGCCCTATTCACTGGCTCCGAAGGGACTTTGGGAATCATAACCGAGGCCACGTTAAAGTTGGCCATTATTCCCCCAACAGAGCGTTGCCATTGCCACTTTTCCCACGGTAAAGGACGCGGCACTGTCGGCGTCGAGGATGATTCGAAAAGGGATAAATCTAGCTGCGTTGGAATTGATGGACGACTTACAGATGAAGGTCATCAACACAAGCGGCGGGGCGGGAGGAAGAAAGTGGGAAGAAGCGGCGACTTTATTCCTCAAGTAAGTTGCTGATGTATTGGATATGCTTGAACACAAGTTCTCGATTATTGACCTGGCCTAGGTTTTCTGGTACGGAGCAGGTGATACAAGATAGCATTTCCTCCGCCAAGGAGGTCGCCAATCTATCTGGCTGCCAGTCCTTTGAGTCTGCCACGGAACCTGACAAGATGGATTCGCTATGGTCTGCGCGGAAGCAGGCTCTTTGGGCCTGTCTCGCGGTGCGACCGGAGGGCACCGAAGTGTGGTCGACGGACGTCGCGGTGCCCATCTCGCACATGGCAGACCTTATCGGTGCGTCCTGTTTCTTTCCACTTCCGAGCGCGCGAGGCGAAGTGACGCTGTGAGACTGACACGCGGGGTGCCTTAGATGAGTGCAAAAATGACGCGGCCAAGTTGGGGCTGTTTTCTAGCGTGTTGGGACACGTCGGGGATGGCAATTTCCACCAGATGATCATGTATAACCCGAATAAACCAGAGGAAGCTGCTTCCGTCAAGGAATTCATTGATAGCATGATGCACAAGGCTATCAAGAGGGAGGGAACTGTCTCGGTGAGTACTTTAGACTAGTAGTGGTCCGCCACCGTTCTCTTGCTAACGACATGGCGATAGGGGAGCACGGTATCGGTATCGGGAAAAAGGTAAGAAATCACCCAGAGAACACCGTGATGGGTGAAAGATATTACAGGAACGGCAACTAACAGACAGCAGCACTGCCTTCTCGAAGAGCTTGGCCCGGACACGATTGGACTGATGAAAACGTTCAAGAAGAGCGTTGACCCCTTGTGAGCCTACCTACCTACGGACATCCCTGAGAATATTAGAGGAACAGCGCTAATCGAAATATTTGTCTAGCTGGCTGATGAACCCTGGCAAGGTGTTTGACGAGTAAGAGGGAGACTTGGCTGACCTACCTTGGCTGACCTGGGTATTCACGCCAAACCAAGAGACTTATTCCATCAGTTTCAAAGGTAATACGATGAAGCATTCGATGTTACGAATCAGGTACCAAGCCAGAGAGACGTGTGGACCATTTTCTCGTTTCCCCTTGCAAAAAACGCTTGTATAGAATCTGTGCTGTATTAGAGCTATAGAGGCACACTATTCTCATTGTTTTTCTATTTAATCAAGAGCCTATCGCGTGGATGTACTCATTGTTATACTATGTTCTGGAAGAAGAGACTAGCTCTGCGCACACATCTCCTAACCATCTCCCAACCCCTGAATATCTCACACTGACCACATATAGTTCATTACGCAAGTAGAGAAGCGTTTACAAGACAGGCATGCCACCGGGAAGCTCGGTCAACCCTAGAGACGAAGAAAAAAACGGATTAGTACACCATGCGACAAGTATCATAATTACGTTGCGTTGCAGAACCTGGGAAAGACTCGGTATCACTTACAGCCATCGATATCCTCGTTCACCATGCTCTCAACCTTGCACTTGTTCTGCTCGGCGATGCTCTGGGTCTTGAGGCCAGGCGCGGAGACGTAGCTGTGAGCATCCATGGCGCGCTGGAGCGAGTCGTCCTTCCAGCCAAACATGTAATCGGCGTGGTTGGAGTAGCCGGTGGGGTCGCCGGACGACCAGACGAAGGGCTGGCTCCCGTCCTCGGGCCAGTCGGCGGGGTTGTTGAAGGAGCTGGTCTCCCAGACGGTCTCGAGCATGAGCTGGGGGATGCGGACGGGGTGGGTGTCGGGGCACTTGCCGCCGGACTCGAAGGTGCCGACCTCGGGGTAGGCGACGTGGTCTTGGTGGTTGGCGGAGTCGAGGTTCACGCCGTCCCAGCAGGTGGGGAAGCGGTGGTTGGCCATGATGCCGAGCTTGCAGGGGTGGCGGGGAAGTGGACGGTCTCGGGGTGCGGCTGCCCTGGTTCTCCATGCAGGTGTAGGTGAGCTGCCTGTAGTTGGCGGCGGCATCGCGGTCGCGGATGTTGGCGTCGCCGACGAGCATGCGGAAGCCGGGCTTGAAGGCGGTCACGTCGGTTCGCTGGGCGGTGTCGAAGAGCGCGTCGGACATGTAGTAGACAACCTGGGAGGGGGCGCACGCTTGTTAGTAAAACGAGCGACGATAAGGAAGGGCAGCCGCGAGCAAAAGGGGAAAAGAAAACACGTCACGTACCATGCCTCCTTGAGTTCCTTCCATGCCGGACTGGGCAATCTGGGGAACCCTCTTGAAGGTGCCGTTCTTGCTGCGGAAGAAGAGGACGGCGGTCCAGTAGTTGGACAAGTCCTCGGTGAACTGGCAGGTGGTGCAGGTGGAGAGGGCGGCAAGATCGTGGGACTCGGCGTCCATGGAGATGTTGAACGAGTTCTGGGTCCGAGAGTTAGCGTAACTGGTTCCAAATGCCATTTTTCCCCCTCACTAGGGAACATAGAACGGGTAAAAACTCGAAACTACTTACACCTCCGATGATCTGGTGAAGATGGGGCGAGGGAGCCTGGCCGGGGTTGACGAGAGGGTCAACCCTCTGCACGCTAAGCTGGGAGCATCCGAATCGGAGCAGCGCCTGGGTGGGCATGGCAAGGCCCAAAGCGGGAATGAGCGTGTTCAGCTTCATGGTAGCTTGATTTCCGTGGAAAGAAAAGAACTAAGGCAAAGGAGAGGCTGGAAGGTAGTTCACAGGTTGGGGAGAATCCTTGAAGGGGAAAGTCAGATGCGGGCGGCGAAGAGGAAATCCCACGGTTTTGACCTCTTGGGAACAACACCCATTTCCATGTTCTCTTCTGGCACGTACGGCGGGGTCCGGAATTGCGAGATTCAGCGCGGGCAGCGCGACCGCAGACCATCCTCCGGGAGAGATGGATCCAATGGATCAATAGACGTCAGTTAGTATAGGTACTATATTTCCACTGGCTCTAGCGTTGGCAATTTTCCCCAAATTTTTTGATTGCGGATAATATCACCTGTCATCGAGCCGGCACTTCTGCACAACCATCAGGGATATATTAATGATAGCCGATGTAAATCACTCTAGGTTTCACCATCCACATCTGCTGGCCATTGGTCGTGACGCGTCCTCCTCGACATCATAAACTCGTTACACACCTTGCAGCGTGGTCCGCGCTTGCAGACATCGCCAACCTGGGTTTTGCGGCCGCGTGCCCGCGGGGCGGTTCAATTCGCCAGGAGCAACCGGCCGAGTGTTGATGTCGATCGCTAGAGTCTTGATGGCAAAAAGAAAGCGCTAAACATGAGAATCTGATATACAGAGGAGGTGAGTAGACGAGGTTATAGTGAGTCAATAATGTCGCGTGGGACTCCTTTGGCTACTTGTATCACAGGACAATTTGCGTGATCGCGCTCCGAGATGAAAGAGCACGCACCCCTCAAGAATACGCATAACAGGGCGAGTTATCATGGCCAAGACGGACTCAGAAAGGACAAGGGACGATGGATGTCGATGGTCCCAAGGCCAGTGATTTTCTCATCATGATGGTTGAAAGGCAAGACCCCGCTTTTCTTTAATATCAAGCGGAGAACCGGCTCGGAGAGTAAAAAAGTTTGACAGGTTTCGTTTCCATGGGTTCAATTTAAGCTTGCATGATGGCTATATCCCGTTGCTGTGATTCGCCCAGCTCCGCGACGTCTCGGCCCCATCAAAGTTGGACTGGTATAGACGTCGTCTGGGGAAAGGCAAGCCCACGTAGTGTTAATATGGCAAATCAATTTCGCAGGGTATATATCCACGCATCCGATTGAGCGCATGGCTTCCCGCCTAATGTCTCGTCCCCAAGGTCTCAACTTGCTGCTAGTCGAGGTGTGTATATCAATGATATAGGACCAAGGCGCCCCCTAGCTACCGGATTCGCCCCGGGTTTTAAAAGATATCTAGGGCCTCCATCCTCAGCCCAAGCGCCGGTTTCCTCGTTCGCTTTGATCCATCACCATCAACACATTGCTTTCGTACATCGAGCCAAAAGAAAGAGAGAAAAAAACAACGCACCATGAAGTTCTCCCTCGGCGTCTTGAGCATTCTGCTCGCCACGGTAGCTGCTCAGACCGAGCAAGTATGCACTCAAGAGCTCGTCAAGGATGTTGACTGTGCCGACGTAATCAACCCGACGGCCTGTTACAACATGTTCCGCTTCAGGAACGCTCAAACTCTTTCGTGCATCGAAGGAACGGACAACGCCGACCGAGCTCGCAAGGTAAGCCTCTCTGTTTGGCGATTGAACGTCACGAATCCCTCTCCTCGCAATCTTGTTAACCGTGAGAAAACCGAAAATGTAGGCTTGCAAGTGCTGCAGCTGTATAGGAACGCAGATGTGCAGCTGGGCACAGCAGAGCAACCTCTGCACCGGGTAGTGGGGTAGTGGACTGGAAGTTGATCGGGGGCTTTTCCTTTTTCTTTTGGTGGAATGTAGATGGCTCATGTGTCGATGTAGTGCTCTCCTCAAGGTTCGAGGTGACTCGGAGTGATCACTGCGTTGTTGTATATATCTATTTCAATTTCTTCGAGTTGACGATAAGCTTGAATGGTTTAGCTAATGGAAGGATAACATCCATGGGTCGAATAGATCCTATAAACAAAAGCAAACGTTCTCTTCCATGCTCCCTATAACAAGCGCTGCCATGGAGACCGCACAGCCGGGCATGGATCTATACAGCACCGTGGCCCTGCACATCTTCTACGGCCAGAAAGCTGGTGTTTTCTTTTCGGTCAGCGCATGTGTCATGATCTCGTCGCCCCAAAGAAAGAGAGGAGCTATCAAACGGTACTGGGCACCGGTAGCAAGCGTTGAGGATCCTCTACTATGCTAGCATCCGTGTAGGTAGCCTGACGATGGACGCTTGACCAGCCCTCTAAAGGCAGAAAATCTCTCAGGTCCTCTCTTAGGGGACGGTACATCTGCAGATTAGCAAGAGCTGACAGTGTGCACCAAGAGCGCAACCGAAGCGTCGCGTTCTAATTATATATGACCACCATTATCAAGTAGCAAATCAACAACCTTCCTCCTGTGGTCACGCCCGGCACGTAGTCAACAACGTGGCAAAGATACCCTTCATATAGCCGGCTGTATTCGGTGCATATGACAGACCTACCATGCTCGGATGCAGTCCCCAAAGCTTGTCTTTGGGCAGCGGGCCGTTGTCCATATTGCCGATAGCGAACCACACACCTCAATGACATTGGAGCAGCAAGCCTTTGTACAGCTGACTCAAGGCTTCCTGGTATCAAGGCAAGGGCACCTAATCCCTTTCGTCCCAGGCGTCGGATCTCGCTCGAGGGGTTTGCCGGCAGTGGCAAACCCAGGATCCGAGGGGATGTTAATCTTGACAACACTATCTTCTCGGAGAATTGTGGAGTTTAGGCAACGCATCCCAGATGACAAGTTTCACCAGGAAATTTTCAATTATGGCTCACCATTGACGCTATCCACATGACTGACACAACTTCCCTCTACACTGTCCGCCCTATATCAGCTAGAGATCATTATCGGCCGCCATCAGTCAGCTGCAATGCGATGCGTAAGCGTGACTGCCATGCGATAGATAGAGGTGTCGCAGCAGGCCCCCATTTAGGCCTTGGATCCCTTTCCTGTAGCCGCCTTGGCGAGGTCGGCCAAGGCATCACGCCTCTTGAACTTGGCGTCTTGGATAACGCCTTTGATAAGTGTTAGCTGCTGCGCCGACCACTGCTCTCATAAGGGGTCCAGGGTTACTCACCAGCATCAGCATCGCTCGAGAATTTAGCCGTCCATTCGACAAACGTGCTATCCTCCAGTTCGCCCGATGTCACGGCGTAGCACCGAACGGTGCTGACAACGCTGGAGTACGTCAACTCGGGTTGGGCCGTGATTGCGCTGTAGGTGATAAAGTGCTTGATACTCTGGGTGAAGCAAAAGAAAAAAATAAGATTTAGCCTCTATTCCATATGCCGAGCCGGCGACCACGATCTAGGAAATAAAGATTAAATAAACACTCACGCTGTGCTCGTCCTGCTTGACCTCGACAACGGTGCCGTCGTTAAACGTCCACTTGACGACGTCAGTGTCGGGGTCGTGCCCTTGACCCACTCCGACGACTTAAGCGCGCCCCAGAAGTCGGCAAAGTTCTGGAGCTTGATGAGGTGCCAGACACTCGAGAGGGGGCCCGGATCACGGCGCTCTCGACGACCTCAGTGGAGGTGGGGATGGCGGTGGATGAAGACATTTGTGCGGATGTTGGAGTGGAATAGATTACACTCGTTATTCGGTTGGCACGGATGATTTACAGGAAGCGAGGAGAGAGGTGGACAAGGTCAGAGGCCTAGGAGATATCCTACGAGTAAAAACGAGAATGAGGAGAAGGGGACATTAGAGAGAGCTTGCTTGGTTTACTGTAAAATCATGAAGGCAGAGTCTGGGCGCCGCTCTGACGTCATCCCGCGCTAATTCCCGTTGCTCGTGGAGCTACGAATGGCGGGGCATGCAGCACGTATCCTCCCTTGATGACTTTGAAAGGAAGAAATCAGCAGCTTTGGAAGATGGCTACATCTAGTGTGGAAAGCGTAAAGGCATATTCTATTTTTGAGGAGAAGTAATTTTGGCCCAAAGTTTTCTACGCTACTCGGAGCTGCTCTTTTAATCATCTGCCGACAGCTGGCTGCTACTCACCACCCTCCCCTTGTCCAGCACGATTGAGTAGGTTGCGTCCTGCACAGCTTCGACGCGGTGTGCAATTGTAATGACCGTGCTCTGCTTCAGCTCATTCCTCAAGACTTGCTGTATATAACGGGCCATTTCATGGTCGATGGACGCGGTCGCCTCGTCGAGGATGACCACTGGGCTTCGACGGAGAACGGCTCGGCCGAGACCAACAAGCTGCCGTTGACCCTGGCTTAGATTCTTCCCGCCGCCGTCCACTCGGGTATGTATCGTAAAATCACCCACTGGGCCGAGAACGCTGTCCAGGATGGCGGAGCACTCTGCGTCTGTGTGTTCGTCAAGGGGATCTAGGTTATCACGAAGCGTTCCTGGAAACAGGACGGGGTCCTGTGCTACAAAAGTAACCCGGCGCCGAAGCGCGTCTTTATCGACGGTCGAGAGATCAATTCCGCCGATCTTGATGGATCCGTAGGTGTCGGCGTCGGGATGAAGCGTACCGAGTAAGCTAAGTGCAAAAGTGCTCTTCCCCGACCCAGTGCGCCCGGTTACGGCGGCGCTGGACCCGGCCGGGATACGCAGCGACACGTCGTTTAGGCTCGGGTCAAGATGCGGAGCGTAGCGCAACGTGACGTTGGAAAAGACGATGTCGTCGGAGAAACTCGGCCACGCTGCCGGCGGCATGACGAGCTTCTTGCCGTGGTCCTCCTGATCGAGGTCTAGTAGCTCGATGACGCGCTCCACGCTGACAAACTCCATCTGCAAGTTGCCGTACTGGTGACACAGACCACGCGTGCTAGAGACGAAAGCGGATGCGGAGGCGAGCACAAAGGCCGTTAGGCCGCCAGAGAGGCCGGACAGAGCTGCTATTGCGGTGAGAGCAAACGTGGAAAATGCCGACAAGACGTTGAAGCGGAACTGGAGCCATGCCTGGAGCGACCAGTAAAAGTGGTCCATTTGCTGAAAGGCGTCCGTTGTGGTGACGATGCGCTGCTGGAACTGCGGCTCGGCACGGAAGGCGCGGATGGTCACCAGGCCCTCGATCAGAGTCCCGAAATTCGACATCAAGGGCGAGAGGGAAACTGTCTCGAGACGCCGGAGCGACTGCGAGGTCGGGAGGAACCTCATGAAAGCGACCACGAAAAGGACCGTGGTTATGACCACGACGAGAAGAAAGAGCGGGGTGGCCGAGGCGATGACGAGGACGGCCGCGACCCAGCTGATGATGAGGAACGCGAAATTCTGCAGCTGGCTCGCGATGCCTCCGTCGACGATGCCCATGTCGGAGGTGAGGCGGTTCATGAGGCGGCCGACGGGGGTGACGTCGTAGAAGCGGAAATTGGCCCCGCTGACTTTGCGCATGACGTCCTGGAAGAGCTGCTTCGCCGCCTCGTAGGTGATTACGAGGAGGGCGAGCTCGGACATGGTCTGGGTGAGGACCTGCGCCATGGAGATGATGAAGAGGTAGAGTAGCCAGGGCTTCACCGTCACGTCTGGGGAGGGGAGGTTCTTTCCAATGTCTGTCCAGCTTCCGCCGGGGAGCTGGAAGCCCAGGGACGTCCGGCTGGAGGGGAGTTGGGAAGAGCCCGAGTCGTATGTCATGGTAATCATTCTTGCCTCTGGCTTCTCGTATCTGTCGCTCCATTCTTTTAGGAACCAAAAGTAGAGGATGGAAACGAGGCGAAAGGCGGCGAAGAAGAAGATCAACAGGCCCCACCAGCGGAGCTTCCCGGCCTTGACGTAGCGCCAGTAGACGGAGGCCATGACCCCGCCGCTCGCACGGTATTCCTCGTCGATAAATTTATCGGGCACCGCCGCTTTTCCTCGAGACCGGGACCATCATCTTCCACGTCGTCATGGTGTGCGGCAGCGAGGGCGGCGAGGCGAAGTAGCTCGTCGCTGTTGTCCAGGTCCTCCCTAGAGATGGCGTGCACGCGGCCGCCGTCGCGCACGTCGAGCACCTGGTCGGCGTACCGCAGGACGAGGTCGACGCGGTGCGTGACGAACAGGACGAGCCGGCCGCTCACGAGGCTGGATGGCTTGGCGAAGAGCTTGCGCAGGATCGTCTCCGCGGTCTGATGGTCGAGGGCCGCGATGGGGTCGTCGAGGAGGAGGATGCGCGCCCGGCTGTACAGGGCGCGGGCGAGCGCGACGCGGGCCTTTGGCCGCCCGAGAGGCCGACGCCGTTCTCGCCGACGAAGGAGAGATCGCCGGCGCGGAAGGTGGCGAGGTCCGGGAGGAGGCAGCAGGCGTCGAGGACGTGCATGTACCGCGCCTCGTCGTAGGGGGCGCAGAAGAGGATGTTTTCGCGGATGCTCATGTGCTGGAGCCACGGGGTCTGGGCGCCGTAGCCGATGGTTTCCTTGGGGATTTGTTTGTCGCCGCCGAGTTGGTCGAGCTCGCCGAGGATGGCTTGTAAAGGGCCGTTTTGCCCGCTCCGACTTTGCCGCATACTAGGTGTAGCCCTGGTGCGCAGGCGAGCGTGACGTTGCGGAGGATCGGCCGGTCGGTGCCGGGCCAGCAAAGGTCGCGTCCTGGAGCTCGAGGTGTAGCTCCCCGAGGGGACCGCGGACGGCAGCGACCTCGTCGACGTCGTCCTTGTCGGGCTCGTCCATGAAATCGTTGATGCGGTCCATGGCGATCTTGGCGTTGAGAAGCGCGGTGACGAGTTCGGGCAGCTGGCGCATGTTGTCCTGCAGGGTGTTGAACAAGGTGAGGGCGGGGAACGCGACGTCAACGGTGAGCCGCTTGTGGGTCACCAAGGTGTAGGCCATGAAGCCGAGGAGGGGGAAAAGGTAGCTGGTGAGGTTGTTGACGAAGCTGTAGAGCCGCATGAGGAGCCAGCCGAGGACCATCTTGGACAGCTCGGCCTGCCGGCTCTGGAAGATGCGGGAGATCCACGCGTTTTGCCAGGCGTACCACCGGAGGTGGCGGATGGCCTCGACGAACTGGCTGGTGACCTGGAGTTTGGTGTCCGTGAGGCCGCGGCGGACCCGCTGGACGTCGACGAAGGCGCGCAGGACGAAGACGTTGATGCCCTGGCCGGCGAGTAGGACGGCGACGCCGAGGAGGGAGGCGGGACCGAGGATTTGCCAGATGAGGATGATGGAAAGGGCAAAGGTGAGGGGCTTGGTGAAGAGGGAAGCGAATTCCCAGAAGCGTTGGGCGACTTCGTAGACGTCGTTGCGCATGAGGTTAAGGATTTTACCTGTAGACGCGGGGCCGCTGGGCTGGGCGTCGGAAGGCTTGTTTGGCGGGGCATGGGCGGGTTTCCTCTTGCGCAGGCAGCAAGCCAGCCACGCAGTCCAAGACCTTGGCCTGCTCTCGGCGTCCTCGCGTTCGGAATCTGTAGCTTCGTCGGCGCTGTTTTCGGCGAGCGTTGTCGCTCCCGAAGAGGGTGGGCCCGGCGGCGCGGGGTCGTCGACGCTGCTCGGAAAGGTAAAGGCCTTGCGGCGCAGGGTCTTTTCGTAAATCATGGTGATCATCTCGCCCCTGCACCGTTCGTAGGCGCGACGACCGTACCACATGCTAAAGATGCTCGACTGGGCGTTGAGGAGCTTGACGACGAGCGACAAGCCGGCGTAGAGGAAGGCGAGGCGCTGGGTCTCGGGCCCGCCGGCGAGCGCGGCGAGGAGCTGCTTGAGGAGCACGGGCTCGGCGAGCACGGCCAAGGTCTCGAGGAGGCCGAGGAGGCTGACGACGATGAGGTCGAGGCCGTTGGCTTGGAGGAGTCGCGAGAGGACGGAGCCGCGGAGGTCGCGGAATGCGACGTGCAGGCGGCCGTGCTGAAAGTCGTAGGGTAAGGACCAGACGTCGTGCTCGTGGAGTTGTCGCTGGGCGCCGAGGGAGAGGAGCGGGGCGACCCAGGAGACGGACATCCACTGCCAGAGGGTTAGGGAGTCCTCGGGGCTGCGGAGGGCGGAGGTGGGTTCTGAGAAGGCTGCGCTGATGCCCTGTTTAGGTCTGCGGGCGTCGCGCATGGGCATGTTGAGCAGGAGGAGGAGGCTGACGAGCGAGATGCCGACCTCTGCCGTCCATGCGTGGCCGTCCCGGGTGCCATATAGGCGGGTGTCCGTTGCGAGCACGGCAGCTCCCACGGCGAAAAGGGATAGCTGGATGAGGAGGACGGAGGCGGGAAGGGATTGGGGGCGGTCAATGAGAAGAATGGAGATTGATAGTATCTAAAAGGCACAAGCAGAGAGAAGGTCAGCCTCTGCTGCTTTGAGATTCCGACAAATTGGTGTCATTATTGGGGGCATACATTTGGAAGCACGAAAACGATTGGGAGCGAGGCATGAACGCTTCGTCTCACCAAGGCATCTCCCACGACTAAGAGAATGCTAGTTATCGATAGCCCGACAAGCGCAAGGGACCACCTCGTCAGGCGTCTTTCCGCTCGTCTCGTCACCTCGACGGCGTCACTACCGTAGACATTTGGTTCCACGGCAAACCTCCGAAGCCACTGGGGCAGTGACTTTTGCAACGGCCGAAAGCCATAGTGAACGGTGAGGAGAAGGAGGGAGAAGAACAGAGGTACGAAAGCTACGACGCCGGCACAATGCAGGTCGGGACGATCGCAAGAAGATGCCTTTGCACGACGTTGCACATTAGCAAAGCCGAAAATGGAATTTACTTTGGAGGAACACAGCACCCGATAGCCAACGAGTTTGAGCCTGCCTCTACCCGCAGCCCGGGGGTCCCCAATAAGCCGGGAGGGATATTAATGCGTTATGCTGTCCCAGCACGAAATGTGCTTTGCACAACTTACAGGCAAAAGGACTTGCAGGTGGATAGACACCAAGCTGCCATTCTCCCCACCACGCAGCCGCAAATCAATCTCGGACGAACTAGACGGTCACGGTAAATGGTAATGATAAGGGAAAGGGGGAAGAGGTCGTCACGGGATTGGTCAGGGCAAGGGTGTGTGTGTGTGTGTCTGTGTGTGTGTGTTCTTTTTGTTCTTTAATCCGGCTAGTGTCTTTGTCTGGGTTTGGCTTGCACTCTTTGCCCTGCGTCCGATTTGCGTGAGCGGGTAAGCGTGAAAGAAGGAGAATTGCGGCAATGTTCAATTTGGAGATGTGAACGAGCGGTGGGGAGAATCATGGCAAATTGGATTCGATCCCCGCACTTCTCCCGGCTGCCGGCTTGCGAAGCCCCTGGTTCGTAGGCTCCAGCGCCCAGTCTTGCCAGTGTTGGCACGGACCTCTCGCACCCGTGAGCTGCTGGGCTGATAGGCTTGTGCGTACGGCCGCCGGGTGATCGACGGTGAGGATCCAATCGATCAACTGACGACGGACTAGTGAGCTTGAGCTATCTCTAGTGGAAAGGGCCTTTCGTGACGGGGTGAACACGGACTAAATTCGGCCCTAGAACGGACAGTGCGCGAGTGGCTGGGTCAGTCAATCAGAACTTGACGGCGTCGATGGCGTCAATGTTCCTTCTCTCCCTCGTCTCCATTTGCGAGCGCTAGTGGCAGTTCGTTGCTTTTTTTCTTTCTCAAAGCGTCCGGCACAAGTACCAGCACCGCAGCGCGAAGCAGAGCGGGTCCGTGACATAAAGCTTGACTCTTCCAAAACGGGAGAGGGACGAATCCTTCGCCTCAATACTCATCTGCAGCCCCAGCCAAGGAGAGGCACGCTCGTCGGACGGACGTCTCTCGTATTCCAAGGCTCAACACTTTGCTTTTTGACCACCTCATTGCTACGCGTCGCGTGCCCGCCTTGTTGTTGCTCGCTCGCCGAATGCAGAGTTTCTAGCGTCGCCGATATTGTACGCTGTGTACCTGGGTATGAGCATGGCAGCAAGCACGAAGGAATGGATTCACAGATCCACAAATACATCTTCACGGCTACTTGTAGCAGGGGAAAGATATTGATGTACCGGGCACAGTTACCCATTTTAACCTAATACCCATTGCTATTACTATTACCGAGGTGTTATACAATTGAATACAGCTAGCCATCTCTTCATGCCAAGAGCCTAACCCAGAAACCCCTCGATCGCGGTTGGGGGACCATTAGGGTCTCTTCACGCTATCCATTTCGATATGCAGAATCGCTTCGTCAGAGTTGGACCGACTGTTCCTACCATGACCATCCGGATGCTTTGCCGAGGTCTCGTAGGTTACCGTCGTGTAGACCCCGACACCCTTACCCCGGTATTCGTCCTTGCTGCTCGGATCGTACGTCGCACCGCTGTACACGCCCATCCCGCCGCCGCTGCCTCCCCTTTCCGCATCGAGGCGCCCGAATTTTCGGTGTCTCGACTGGGCGCTGTTGTTGGGGCCGTTGAGGCTGATTTGGCCTGAGCGCCCGGCGCTGTACTTGCGCGCCTTGTCGACCACGAAGACGCGCAGCATCGGGACAGAGGCGGCCATGATGGTGACGGATGTCTCCGCCGCTTCCCAGATGTATAGATTCACTAATTTGTGTTTCCGGAAGTGTTAGTAACATGTGCTAAACGCCGTACGAGGAGACACAGTTGAAGAGAGGCAACGTACAGAAGTCGAGCTTTGCGAGGTACACGCACTTGATAGCGGCAGTAATCCCGGCACTATTGGAGAAGAAGAAAAAGATGTTAGCAAAAACTCCGCAATCAGCATCGGGGTTGAGGGGTGACGGGAGACATGGCCTGGATCTGGCAAATGGCTCCCTTTTCCGATCTTTACGTACAATACTCCCATACTCATGCCCAAGGCTACACCGATCTTTTCCCGCGTCTTCATCTGTACGCCCCAGATAATCCACCAAGCAAGCCCTGCGAGGACGAAATCCATGGCTGCGCAGTAGGCTGTACCGGACGGACGGAAGAGTGGAAGAAATTGGTTAGCCTCGTCGTCGGGGATCTTTGCGGTTTCACATGGGGACAGGCCAAGCAGCGGCAAGTAGGAATAATATATCTTACCAGAGGAGAATAGCCCTGCTCGTATCTGGACGTACTGGGGCCAGCAAGTTCCCGGAAGAGCCGCGTTCCAGCTCTTTTCGATGGGCTTGCACGCGACCAAGAGGAACAGGATGGACATGAACAGGGCGAGGTTCATGGAGACGATGATGGCCCAGAGAAGATAGCGGATGCGCCCCATGACGACGCGCAGCAGCGTTAGGGCAAACGAGGTTTTACTGAGCATGGAGCCGGCGATGGCCAAGTTGCCGGCGATGGCATTGAGTTTACCGACCTCGGCCAGCATCGACGGGTCGACGGAGACGGGGACAGGCCTTTGGATTTAGAGATAGCCGCCGTCCGGAGGGACACGGACACAAGCATACACAACTATGGCATAATGTAAGCACGCGATTTCTCAAGGGCCTCGAGCAAACAGGGACAACGAGCAAACGAAAAAAAAAAAAAAAAGGTTACAGAAAAAGATATAAAAGATTTTTCAAGAAGTTCAGACAAGTGGTGATACAAGGAAATGGATGGATGAACGATGTAGACAAACGGGCGCACCTACCCAAGCAACTGCTAAAACGTAGTCATCTGAGAGCGTCTTCTTGGTCCTCGTGGCGCGGAGGAAAAATCGAAACAAGAGCACAAGGCCGGAGAGAGCCACAAGGGTCCACTGCGAAGCCTCCACGCGGGCAATATCAGGGCCCGCCATTGTTGATCAGATCAATGCAGAGCCGCAAATGTGTATACGAAGCTGGAGGGGCGAAATAGACAAAAGCATGCATAGTCGGCAAAACAGGGCGGCATAGGAACTTTGGTCCGGTATATATAAAAACAGACACTATTATCAACCCGAACAGATCTGGCACGCACATGTAGGCAAAAGAAGAAAAAGAAGCGGCAGAGATCCCCTTGTGCATGGAAGACCGGGGGCTAGTAGTTTCGCTAGTCTGAGAAACCGAGACCTGCACCTCACACACACACCTTATTTCCATCTTTGAAAAAGGCGGAACACACGAAACGCCAGGTGCGATTAGCCAGGCGAGGCGAACCCTTGGTGCTTGGACTCGCGGATCAGCACCTCCAAGGGGCCTATGAGGGCTGCGTCCGTGAGAATGATGCGTGCGCCGTCCTAAATGTGTGTGCGGCCGTGCGCCGAGCTTGCGGGAGTAGTTGATCCGGGGCGCCGCGGATCTGGAAACAGTGCAGGGCCCACGGTGTTTGTTAGACTCTTTTGGTCTCTGTGAAGGGTGTCGAGCTTACAAGTATTATGGCTGTTTTTTTTTGGTGAGGGTGTGTGGACAAGAGGTCAGAGCGGGCTAGCCATTATATCCCCTCAGGGCTCCACGAACCCATCCGCCACACCACTTTGGTTTAGATCCTCATCTTAAAGGACCCCTATTAATACTAGCCCTGCCTTGTGGAACGATCCATGCGTCTCACGCTTGGAATATTCAATGTTGGGTTTTCCCCAGGTTTGGCGGACATGGACCAGGTGGCGAGGGGTTCCGCCGGTCCTTTCCCTCCCCTCAGTGACATCGCCCGCCCAAACGGTTTCCCCGCACCCGCATTCCGCCCTCTCGGGTGAAGAGAACTTTCCTGATGGTATGGATAAGAAAAGGTCCCTTCGGGGATCCTGATGCATCAATTGGAAAATGACCAGCCCCAACAGGGGTTGGATCATCGCTCCGTCGCCCTTCCCCCTTCTCCTGTCGTGTTTTTACTTTTTTCCAGTCAGTCCGCGTTGATCCCGCCCACGCCAAAGAGACGAGAATGCGCGCAAAAAAAAACAACGGATGAAGGGGAGATGCGAGGGCGGGTAGGAAGGTGGATAAACAAGAGTAAGTTTCCAGGGGTTCGCTCCCAGTGTTTTCTTCCCGCTCGCTCGCTGTTAAGCGGAACGTCGGTAGTCGAGCACGGTAGTCCCCATGCCTTATGACCGAAGAATACCAAATCTTCCCCGCGCCCGCTTCTAAGTAAGAAACATTTAGCAAAAGCAAAATCACCCACCGAAACCCCAATCTCCTCTTCCATGGACTTGGAGAAGCAATCTTCATTATCCTTCCCGCCTCCACGATGCAGGGCCAAGCAAGGGGTTTCTTTTGTTTTTGCATTTTTTTGTACTTTGAACCTGTTTGGCACCTGACAGGCAAGACGTCGCTAATGTCTATCTCGTCTTGACAAGGGTGAGGCCGACTAACCCAGGCTCGGACCCCACTCTTCGTGTGGCCGTGTTACCTCTGTACAACAATCGGCGTTGACGGAAGAGGGTTTCGATGCGAGCGTACGCGGCGCAAGGCGCACCCAGCCGCACCGCCAAGCACCAGATGTTCCCTTCGTTCCAACCCTCCCAAGTGAACACCCGTACCCAGAACCCTGCGCGGGTGGCGTCTGGTGAGAGAGCGAGAGAAGGGATAGCAATGACCAACTCGTCTTCGTCTTGGCTCTTGGGGATCAGATGTAAAACTAACTTTGTGAGGTGGTGTCGGTGGTCGTCTGCAAGACAACACACATCAGTAGATCCATGGCCCAATGGTCCTCGCTTTGTCTGATAGGGAAATTATCGCTTCTAATTACGCACGTAAGCCGGGGGAACGATCCTCTTCTCCAACGCACTTCCTGCGACCGGGCAAGGCAAGCGTCGAACCCTTTCTCGAATCGTGGAACAGTCCATGAGGGGTTCTTACGCTTGGGCCCCTGTGTACTCCACACACACACACTCACTCACACAAACACACACTCACACTCACACTCACACATGCACCACCGGGAATCCCGAATTCCAGATCAGCAAATAAGCTCCAGACTGCCTCACGACAACGGGGTTGATTTCAAGTATTTTAGCCTTCAACCATGCCACGTTGAGACAAGAAGCCTCCATCCCTTCGCCCTCCCTTGAAGATGGTGTGGCGTCTTGCGCAGGACACACACAAAAATGGGGATGGGTATCATCGCGCGAGTTTGCATTGAGATTACAAGTATGGTTCCTCGTCCCGAAGCGCATGGGAAAATTTCGTAGCTGCATATATTTCTTGACGGTCTCACATACTCGGCCGTAACAGCCCATGTATGAGTCCTCTTCTCTTCTGGGCTATTGATGCGGCTGCTGGCTCACTTTGTCAATGTGGGGAGCGCACGTCCAAGACGGAAATGGGGAGCATGCCGTCAGGTACCAGGGGAAGGGGGCTCTGCCACAGACAACTTGAACGTGAACATCCACTACAACGGATGGCTGTTACACCATTACCAAGTAAAAGTAAAAAGGTTCCTCCATCCATGGATCTGTTGCCAAGAGATCTACTCATTCCCCCTCCCTCTATTCGTCTCCTCTCATCCCATCCCACCCACCGCTTGAGAATCATGACGCCCCAGCCTCTTCTTCCGGCCGTTGGCCATGCACCACAACACTAACGACACAACAAGTTAGTTGCTGAACAGAACACGAAGAAGATCGGAGCGTCCAAATGTTGTCTAAAAAAAGTCCAAACTCACATGTGCCAGTAGGCATGGATCCTCCTATCCTTATACCCCTTCCTGACTTCGATCAGGAATAACTCAATCTCTTCCTGCGTCCAGCCGAGAACGCGGGTGAACAAGGCGAGGGTAAATCCTTGCACGCCTTGGAGGAAATTTTCGAGTGTCCAGGCACCTACGAGGCCATGAACCCAAGTGAGCAAAGTGTAACATTAGCCGTGTGGTTTCTGTTTTCAAATCCCTATGACAGTCTCCCGAAATATTTGAACCCACAAACATGCTGAAACAGCCAAAACAAAAGAGAAAAGGATAAAAAAAACCCCCAAAGATCAGACGTACCTAGATCCTTGAACTTTGGGTCCTTTGGCCAAGTGTTGATCGGCCACTTGTACCTCGTCTCGGTCACGTTTTGGAACCCGGCATCAATCAGGTTCTGCCTGTGGTTCCTGCCCTCGTCGAGGCGCCTATTCGCCTTGGCTGCCGCTTCGGTCAAGAGCTTGTTCCACCTGTACACGGCGCTGTCCTCGGTCAGTGTGCCGTCGTCGCTCTCCACGGGGTAGATGGCATCCATCAGCTCGACGTAGCCGCCCGGTGCCGTGTGCCTGCCGATCAAATTCATCTTAGCGAAACTCTTCATTCCTTGATGCGTCTAAAGGGCAACGCGAAGAGCCGAGCACAAGCGGAGGGGGAGATATGCTCGCATCCGGCCCGCGCGGAGCGTACCTACCGGTAAGCTTGCGCAATCAGCTTGGGCCAGTCGCCAATGGCTCCAAGCAACATCCGCAGGTATATAAAATCAAATGGTGCAGAGTAGGTCCATTCTTCTTCGATGTCGTCGACGAAGAACTCGACGTTTGGCGGGACGCTGCGCTCGAGTTAGTTTCAGTCAGTCGTGAAGAGCTGGCAGGCAGAAACGCATTTCGCTAACGTACAAGGTAGACTGAACAGGGCTCAAATCGACACCTATAACCTATAGCCGGCCCATCTGGTTATTATTGACTCGACTCATATGGCTCGGTCCGGCCCCTCTTCACCCTACGGACCGCGGGACACATCTGCCTCACCTTTGTTTCCGGGTGCGCGTCGGCTGCGAACGATTAGCGAGTCACGAAACTACGTTGCGTGCGAAGCGGTCGAAATCCACGCTTACCGAAATCTATCGTCCAGTTCCCGATTCCGCAGCCGCCGTCCAAGACGCGGTTCAGCGGCTTGTCCCCGATTGGTGCGGTGTATAGGCGGCCGTCAAGTGTCAACAGGCAAGAGTAGTGTTGGATGTCTTGGCAAGGCGGTAGTCAGCAAACCACCAAAACACAGCCACTCAACTGCCACTTGCACCTTTAAGGGTAGGTGATAATAGAGCTTCACATACCGAGCCTCTCGTTTTCCATCTAAAGTTTTCAAGCAGGCTGCGCGTCAGCAAACAAAGCTACGACAAGGATCTTCTTCAAGGAGATCTTGTGAGGGAAGGGGCCGCCTACGTCGTCGTTGGGAACCGTATACGCTATGATGCAGTTAGAGCGACATCCTTCAGGCTTAGGAGAAGAGACCGTGTCATCAGAGGAGGCCACTTACAACCGTCCTTGAGCGCATGATACCTGCGCCCATTCTCGAGGCGGAATTTGGTTATGCTGGACGCGAGCGAGGTCGTCTCGCTATAGGCCGAGGCCTTCCGAAATCATGGTCGCGTCAGCCAAGTCCATCAAATAAAGCGTCGAGATTGCGCCACTCACCCCTCCGAGAACAGAATCCGCATCTAGGTTCTAACGGGAACAATCAATGGCTCAAGTGTCAGCGCTTCCCAGGCTTCGAATATAACGATGTCCCTTCGCATGTCCCTTCCAGGAATTCTGAGCCTACCGACCTCGGGAGCATCTGCTTCGATGACAGCAGCCGGTACCACCTCGCTGGGGAAGTGGGGGCTGGCGGTGGCGAAGACGTAGCCATTGGGAGTTCTTGACGACGACGGCGTGCCGAAAACTTTCCAGTATCGTTTTTAGTAGACGCAGACGGTTCCGATTGAGGGAGCGCAGGAGCTAAATAGGGCGAGGAAATGGCAAATTGACGGTTACTTCTAGGCACAATCGCAAAGGAAAACCGATTCGAAGGGGTGGGGAGGGGTCAACAGAAGTAGAACTGGAGGTCAGCTGCGGGATGCTGGGGGCTTATATTCGCGGGGAGGGTAACACCCGGCGATGCCAGCTCATACTCTGCAGTTCTTCTCTCATCTCTCTTTTCTTGTTCTTGTTTGCTTCCTTCCTTCCTTTCTTCTTTCCTTCACCTTCACAGTTATCTCCCTTCCTTGCGCAAACGTGGGCCGACGCGCGGACCCCACGCTCTCTCGAAATGCGGGAGCAATGCGGGAGATTGGCCGCGGAACGGCGGATGGAGCATCGTTGCAGTGGACGGATTATGCAGTTGGTTCTCTCTCGTCACACACCATTGGACGACCGGGTTTGCCTCCGCGGGATGCCCCTCCCCGTGTCCCCTTGGCACTAAATGACGGGAAAGCCACTCGCAGCGGACGCTACCCTTGTTTTTTTCATCTTTTTTTCTCGATCAAGTATTTAGGTTCGAGCGCTGTTTTCGCAAGATTTCATGCAGCTCAGGTCATCAAGCGGACCAACGCATACTCTTTTTGTATGAATCTGAGAACTGATATTCGACCAAAGACACCCTACACGCCGAGCCTTCGACAGCAGCGATGCGTCTTCTATTGGCATTCTGCATGAAATCGGCAGCGCAGACGTGGATACGCACGCCAGAGAGGGTCTGAAAAATGGATGACTGTGCCCCACGTGAGAATAGGGCACCACCGGTCTTTTTTTTCCAAAGTTCAAAAGCGTGCTGCGCTCGAAGGGGGCCCCTTCATTGGTGAGCGCGATGGTGTCAGGGAGATATCATGGTAGACTTCTTATGTTGCCCGAGTGGCCACTGTAGATTGCGGCGTAGGCGGCGCGACGTAGTCAGCCACGCCCGCGTGCGGCGGTGTATTCAAGCCGAGGCCGTTGGGGTTAGTGGGAGAAGAGGGGAGAAAGAGAACCACGTCGGGTCGAAGCTGGCCGTGTTGTCGCATTCGAAGGGGCCAGAGGCATATATCTCAGGAAGAGAGGTCTTCAATCCTCCTATTTGTGCCTACTGAGGTATATAGAGACACATTGGCCCATCTACCCTGTCACGCATGACAAAGATCTGCGACGTCTGTACAGCGGATGGGCGTATAACGCGGCTTAATGATCTAGTTGTCGCATCAGATCTCCGCCCCCGCATCAATCATAATGGATGTATGCGTGCGTGCATCAACTTCGATCATCAGGTTGGGCTTCTATATCACATATGCATGGGTATTTACGTACCTTGCCCGAACCTTAAGTTAGGAGTTGCGTGGCCGAGAGCTACCTCTATTGGCAAATGGTCCCCACGAGGACTTGCTTTGCTGGGCACAACCTCCGCCCCTTTTACCCGTGGACTGGTCGCATATCGAGTACGGTGCGATTAATGGAATCAAGGCAGCATTGGGTCATGTGCGACGGCGGAGGCTCCGTGCATGCACGCCTCTATTCGAGATTTGTATAGATCTGTGGATGCACGTGTGTTCCCGAATGACCTCTCCAGACCCCCTCCAGTTCGTCATTATGCATCCTGGGGTCGCGGCTTTTAGAACTCCTCGGGCGCCCCATGTCTTGCCGATAGTAACACTTGGGGCTGTTGAATTGGCACGCCACTATAGGGCCGGGGCGTGTTGATTCATGCGAAGATAGCTAGATATTGGCGAGACCCGCTGTATGACGGGAGATGTCTAGATTTTAGATTCTATCGTCATTGCTTTTTGCAAGATGACATACTTTTTCCCTCGATTTTAGCATGAGTGCGTGCACTTCTAATCCGTTCCTCGTGGTTCAACCTCGATGCCACATGCTACGCGTACACTGTGGCGACGCCTATTTTAGAACCTTGTGCGTCGGAGAAAAGAGGGCGCCCTTGCGCTCAGCGCGCATAGCGTATGGGAATTCCATGCGTCTAGGGATCAAGTGTGGGTACGGATACCCTAGTCGATCAGCTCAACTTCGTGTCTCAAACTAGAATGTAGGAGTAGGCCCATATCATGGGGGCCCATGATAATTAACGAGGATGGTGGGATGGTAGTCAACGGCGGGGTGTATTAAGCCGAGGGGTAAGTTCAGGGTCCCTGCAGGCGCCGTTTATGGGTGCTTTTCCATTGATGCGATTGCAATTAACGAGGCCTTCAAATGCCCTCGCGAGTATCAGTCCTAACAGATCTAGATCATACATGTACACCCTCCTTGCCTCTGTCTCCTTGCGCGGAGCCCTTTCTCCGCGCTCGCCCCGTTTCCCATCAATCCTCCAGGCTTCCCTCGTGACACACCTCCTCGACTTCCCCCAGTTCCTCCGCGGAGACCAGATTTTTAACCATATGTTAGGATGTGGGATGTGTGCGATCTGCAGCTGCCGTGACCCTCCATAACCTTGGAAAAAGAACAACTGCCAAGATGCCCAAACCCGGGTTTCTAGGTCATGCCGAGGGGATTATCCTCGCCATGCACACGCACCATCCGCCATCCGCGCGCATTCTAATGGACGCTCGGCGAGGCCTAACCTATGAAACAACCTCACCTTTGGTGGATATAAATTTACAAACACTCGCCTCGTACCAACGACGAGTGGAAATATCCCTCAGCGAATATTCAGTTGGATCATCCAAACTGCCAATTCTCTTCTCTCCCTCGGTTTCTTTGCTTCCGTATATATTTGTGACCTCTCGTTCCTTTCTTGCTGATCTTGGGGGTCTCCTACCCTGAGTCTGTGACTTGCATCTCACTTCCTTTCCAACAGCTAGCAGTGCTCGATGATGTTCCAATAGCCTCCTCTGTTCTTCTCCCGTTTTTCTTGCTCTTTGATTTCCATACCTTGAGCCTCCGTGCGAGCCCACCGCTTCATATACCCGGCGAATCAACAGTCCTGATTGTCAGCTTCTACACTCGGCTTATCTTCTGTGTGTACATAAGCCCGCGAGAAGATGGTTATCTTCAAGAAACGAAGCCCTTTAAGCGGCTTCTTCGGAAAGAAGGAGGCTGAAGATGCGTCTGAACTGGCACACAACCAGCAAACCCCTAGCCTCCCGAAATGGAGCTTCGGGGTCTTGAATGACAAAGAAACGGTAGAAGTACCAGGTAAGAAACTTCCACCGAAGCCCTTTGAGGATAGAAGAAAAGAAGGATGAAAGAGAGAAAGTGAAAACCGACTAACTCACTGCCTACAAGGATCCGTCCTCCTCCTCGCCAACGACCGAAACGCCCCTCTCGGTCTTCACCACGCCCGAGCAAGGACATCCGTATCGTCATTCCCCACCGACCTCGAGTACAGCTCGCAACGGCCGAGCGTAGGACCTCGAACGCACTCCGCCGCAAGCCGCGTGACGGTCAAAAAGACGGAAGACGGAAGGATCATCCTGGAGCCGCAGCCCGACGACTCCGTCAACGACCCCCTCAACTGGCCCATGTGGCGGCGGGACGCGGCCCTCCTCGCTCTCGGCTTCTACTGCATGATTGGTGGCGGTGTCACGCCGATGTTGGCTGCGGGTTTCGGCGACGTTTCCCGGGAATACGACGTGCCGATGGAAACGGTGGCGCTCACCGCCGGGCTGTGTATGCTCGGCCTGGGCGTGGGTTCCGTTCTCGCCTCGCCCACCGCCATTTTGTATGGGAAGCGACCCGTGTATATCGTCAGTGCTTGCGTCGTCATCCTGTCTTCAATCTGGTGTGCCCTTTCTCCGTCTTTTGCGTCTCTTGTCGTGGCTCGGATCGTCCAGGGATGGCGTTGAGCCCGGTCGAGTGCCTGCCCTCCGCGACGATTGCCGAAATTTTCTTCCTTCATCAGCGAGCCTTCCGGATCGGGATATACACTCTCCTTCTCCTGGGTGGCAAGAACCTCGTCCCTCTTGTCTCTGCGCTCGTCATCCAGAGTCTTGGATGGAGATGTGTGTTCTGGTAAGGCACCCATCCCTCTTGCTCCCCTGAAGTCGACCTTTTACGAGTGCTAACATAAGAATCTCGTAGGGTCCTCGCCGGCACCGTCGCCTTTGCTGCGATAGGTCTGTTCCTGTTTACGCCCGAATCATTCTGGGACCGCGCACCGACACCAAAAGCGACCTCGCGGCGGCCGAGTCTGATGCGGCGGATATCCTCGCGGTTCGGGAAGCCCGTTTGGGACATACCCATACCCACCAGCCGGGCGAGCTCGCACCGGTGGCGGAGGCAACGCCCCAGATATCGCCTCTGTCCGGCGCAGCCTTGAGAGGTGACCCTAGGCCTCGCGTCGGATTTGCCCCCGGTACTCGGGAGGAATCCTCGCATGCCCATGAAGAGGGATGCAGTCCTCACCAAGTTCCAGATCCCCGAAGCTTACATGTACCGCGAGCACCCGAGACCCCGCCACCCACAACCCTTAATAACACCTCACTTACTTCCGCGACGGGGTTGGCATCGCCCCCAACCGTCCGACGGCCCCGACCCGTCCCAGCAAGATAAATCGGACACTAGCATATTCTGGGCGGGCGATACACCAGTAAACCCAACCTTGCAGGGCGATGCAGGCCTCGACGTAGAAAAGCTACCGTCGCCGAGACTCAGCCTGGAACACTCCTCGGGAAGGCAGGGCGGCCCCCAATCTAGGGCAAACCCGTACACGCATCGACTGAGGGACGGGCCTCCACAAACTTTTATCCAACAGCTGCGCCCGTTCCACGGACGCTTGAGCAAAGACGCGTGGTGGAAAGTGATGCTGCGCCCCTTTGTTCTCTATTCCTACCCAGCCATCCTCTGGTCGGCAGCCGTGTATTCGTGCTCGGTGGGATGGCTCATCGTCATGTCGGAATCGTTGGCCATGATTTATCAGAACAAGGAATCGTACAACTTCACGCCGCTCCAAACAGGACTCGTGTATATCTCCCCCTTTGTAGGAGGACTCTTTGGTACTGCCGTGGCCGGAAAGCTGTCCGACGTCATCGTGCAGGCTATGGCGGCGCGCAACGGCGGTCTCTACGAACCCGAGTTCCGCCTCGTCATGGCCTTGCCCATTGCAATCTCTACGGTGCTTGGGCTCATAGGATTTGGCTGGTCAGCGGAGGAGAGAGACCACTGGATGGTGCCGACGGCGTTTTTCGGCATCATCTCGTTTGGTTGCTCGCTCGGGTCCACCACGTCCATCACGTTTTGCGTCGACAGCTACCGACAGTACGCTGGCGAGGCTTTGGTGACGCTCAATTTCAGCAAGAACATCCTTCACGGCCTCGTGTTCAGCCTTTTCTTCACGCATTGGCTGTCTAGCGATGGGTCGAAGATGGTATTTATGTGGACGGGTATTATTCATCTTGTAGTCATGTTGACAACGATTCCGCTGTTTATCTACGGCAAACGGCTTCGCATGTGGACGGTGCGGAAGAATATGCTGGAGAGGACTTTGAAGGGCTAGACAGACTAGCATTTGTGGCGAACCTCGCATTTCATCTATCGCATTACAAGTTCCCCTTTGGTTACATGTGGCATCTTAGACTCCGCTTCCCCTTTCCTTTCGTAATCGCAATTGAACCAATTCCCTGGAAGCGATTCTTTCATTGATGTATAGTCAAGGCCGTGAAGATGGTGAACCCCCTCATGCATAACGCGGCAAAACCAGGCCATTCTTGCTCGCGCGGGGAAACAGATGGCTGGTGCCAAGCGAAGCTACCGACACGACGACCCTTGACAGTCAATAAAAGGAAAGGCCCGCAGCAGAGATGCCTTTTTCCCCCATGCCACGCAATCCATCGTCCTGGTTGTCGGTGGCCTGACAAAGACATACGATGAATGAGCTCTCGTGATGCGAGTCATCCCTGTCCCCCGGCTCTCAGAAGTCTCCCCGAGGTTGGGGTCGAGGACTGGGACACCGAATTCTTCATGAGATAAATTCGATAATCCTGGCCCGAATGACGACGAATCTATCACGAATTTGTAAAATGGTGCAGGCAAATGCACTAAGCCAATATTCGCAACCCTGTGTTGGTGCACCTCATGCCCTGGCTTCTCCCCGTTCCACGGTTGGACTCACTCCTACTGCGACATTGAGGGCCCTCTCGCCAGTAAGATGGCGATCCTTCCACACTGGGGGTGCTCTCGGTCCTAGCGGCTTTTTCGACTGGTCAGAATGGCCCCCGAGTGGTCCGTCCACTTCGGATTTATGCCCTGGTTTGTTCGTAAAGTCGATGCTTAAATAAACAGCGAGAAACAACGGGTGCCGCCCTGAATCTCCCGGGCTTCGGCGTGGGAGGGAGGTCCAAAAGCGGCAATCCCCTCCACTTTCTGGCTCCCTCATTTCAGGCATTTAAGGCGCTTGGGGGCCCCCTGGTCAAGTCTGCCCTCGCCCAGCCCCCACTGCGGCCCCCGGCTTCGCGTGGCTGGTTCCGCGGTGCCCGTGCTTCCAGAAGCATGAGCTTACACTCCTCAATCCCTGCTCCCGTCAAATGTTGGATGGCTCGCTTCTTCAGAGGGGGCATGGGGGTTCACCTTTAGATGACGGTGGTCAGCTTGGCCGTTGTCGTGTTGGTTCAAGGCTATTGGCAGAGAAGCGAGCCCCGAACTACCTTGCCGTGCTCATCCGGTGCTTTTGAAAACGCGCAAGTTGAAAAAGGAGAAGAAGCCCACCTCGTAGGCAGGTATTTTTAGTTCCTTTTTCTTTCATCGTCAGCCTTGAATTAAGCCCCCTCTTCAAGTCGGCCAAGGTCTCAAAGCGCATCGTTATCACATTTTCCCCTTTGTGTAACCACACGGCCAGCCATGGCATTTCGAAAGGGTCTCCTACCCCGCCCGAAGGCGGCCGCGGTACTTGCCTGGGTTTCGCTCGCCCAGGTCATCAGTGCCGGCGGTAGCAGCTGCTCGGGCAACTCGGGCAGTAATTCTTGCGGCGAGAGCTACGACTACATCGTCGTCGGGTCCGGGCCAGGCGGCGGACCCGTCGCGTGTAAACTCGCCCGCGCCGGCCACTCGGTCTTGCTCGTGGAGGCGGGCGACGACCAGAGCGCCAACCTCAACTCGGAGGTCCCGCAGTTCTTCCCCTTTGCGTACGTGGATACCACGATGCGGTGGGACTATTTCGTGCGGAATTACCACGACGAGCAGCGCACCCTGCTGAACCACCACCTCACCTGGCTTCGTACCGACGGGACGTATTATGTCGGAAACGATCCCCGACGGGCGCGACGCTCCTGGGTCTGTATTATCCTCGCGGAGGCACTCTGGGCGGCAGCTCGGCGGTGAACGCGATGGGGTCGGTGCTGCCTAGCGACAGCGACTGGCAACAGATTGTGGACCTAACCGGAGACACAAGTTGGAGGTAAGAATGACCAACCACGATCCCACCAGCTCCCTTCTTACTTCGCTCTGCACCCTCCCACTCTTCCTCGCATGCTGACAGCTCTGTCGTAGCCCTGCGCACATGCGCCAGCTCTTCCAAAATATAGAGAATAACCATTATCTCTCGCCCGGAACTGCCGGCCACGGCTTCAACGGCTATTTCCACACCAACTCGGCCGGAGAGTCCATCTGGAACGGACACACAGACTTGTTGACCGTCCTAGGCCAGCTCGACGAGAGCCTCGGCGGAGACGCCGACGAGATCCTGCAAGCCGTCACGAGCGACGTGAATGAGCTATCTGCGACTCGCGACCAGGATGTTGGCGTCACTGGCCAGACTCTTCACGTCGACGCCAAGTGGCGACGGTTCAGCAGCCGCGACTACATTCTCGAGACGGCGCAGTCGTACCCCCTTACCGTGAGGCTCAACACTCTCGCCACAAAGCTTATCTTCTCCGACTCGAATATATCGAAAAAGAAGAAGACCCCCAAGGTCGTCGGTTTGGAATACCTCTCCGGCTCAAGCGTGTATCGCGCCGATCCGAGAAATAACGGTACCCAGTCCGGAACCGCGGGCAGGGTCTTCGCCAACAAGGAAGTCATTCTCGCCGCCGGCGTCTTCAACACACCCCAGCTGCTCAAGCTCTCCGGTATCGGTCCGGCGCGGGAGCTGCGCAGCCTCCACATCCCCGTCCGCGTCCACCTCCCCGGCGTCGGCGCCAATCTCCAAGACAACTACGAGGTCCCCATCGTCGGCCAGGCCGCCCAAAACTTTGGAGGCCCCACCCCCGATCCCAACGCGCCCGTATGCACGTACGGCGCCCCCGGCGACCCGTGCCTGGTCCTTTGGGAGCAGGGCGAGGGACCCTACGCCGGCTTCGGCCAGATCAACTCCGTCTTCCGCAAGAGCTCCCACGCCGCGCTCAACGAGAGGGACTTTTACGCCAACGGCGGCACCTTTGCCATTCGCGGTTTCTGGCCCCCACCGACTCGGTTGCCTTTGACGGCCCCGATACCTTTGCCCTCTCGACGGTCAAGATCCACTCGCGGAGCCGGTCCGGCACGGTCCTCCTTCGCTCCGCCGATCCCCGCGACACGCCAGAGATCAACTTTAATCTTTTCGACACCGCGGAATCGAGGCTCGATCTCGAGGCGTACCTCGACACGATCAAGTGGGCTCGGAGGCAATTTGCCCTGATCCCGGGCCCCATTGGCCCCATTCAGCCCCTCGAGCCGCCCTGCGCCGGCACGCCCGCGGCTGATGGGTCGTGCGACGACGAGGCGGACAAGCAGTGGGTGATGAACCAGATCTTTGGGCACCATGCCACCAGCACGTGCGCGATCGGTTCCGTTCTGGACTCCAAGTTTAGGGTCCTCGGCGTGCAAGGTCTGCGGGTGGTGGATGCGAGCGCGTTCCCCGGACGCCCGGGCCCTTCCCTGTCCTGCCCACGTTTTTGCTTAGCGAGAAGGCGGCGGAAAGCATATTGGATGATGCGTAAAGAAAATCGTATGATTGTTACATTTCTTTTTTCCTCGAAACTTTACTCTAGGGACATAATTCTTAATCCTTTTGATCCTTGCCCACTCAATTTTGCCCACCTTGATTCAACTGTGAATGTTCCCTTGACTATAAAATTGTTCACTTGGACTGTTCACCATCATAACAACCCTGTCGTGGGAAAGAATGCAATGTTCCATTGTTGGGAAAAGCTATATACTATAACTGCATGTGGGCTTTCAACCCGTGAAATGCTCATACTCATACTAAATCTCCTCCATCCCACCCCAAGCAAGATTCAGGCCACAGGGAGATCTTAAGACCGCCTGTTCCGAAGATGATGAGAACATGTCGGTGACGAAACAAAAAAGTACGCTCTGGAGAACTTGCTCATCGAGGCCCATCCAACTGCTGCGGCCAATTTGCCGCCAAACTTCCGGTACATTGCAATCCCATCGTGGCTTGGTTTTGAATATTGGCGCACAGATATTTCAAGTCTCCGCTGCCGCTCAAGGGCCGGATATCGATGTCCACAAAGTGAAAGCCGTCGCAGGGCGACGACCTACTGCAATACATGCCCGCGCCAATGTTATAGCGTGCGGTGCCGGTAATGTTTTGCCAGGTTACATCGGTGATGGGGATACGGCTGCTATCGCAGTTCTGACCCGTGTAGATGCATGGAGAGACGTAAATGGGCTGGTTCACATCGTCAAACGCGACGTTCCTGAATGTCACGTTTCGAACATACCCCTGGCCAGGGTACGTCTTGATCCAGGCGGCATTAGACGAGTGGTAGCAGTAGACGTTCTCGAAGACTACGTTCTCGACGTATTCCGGGGTCGATGGCGGGTTGCCCATACTGCCGACGACCATGCAGCCCGACTCGTAACAAGTCATGTTGTTAGCGTAGATATTGGTCGAGTTGCCTTTGACGGAAATGCAGTCCTGTGATAATGAAAGTGGTTAGTTGCTAGTTCAGATATCCATTCCCTACCCTTACGAGCAACAATTTACGCAGGATCAAACTTACGTCGCCCGCGGTAACTACCCAATTTTCAAGGTATACATCTCTAGAATTCCAGGTGTTTGTCCCGTCCGTGTTGACCGTGGACCATTGAGTAGCGGAAGTCGAGTTCATATCGATGTTGGTCATTGTGACATTGCTGGAATGGGCAATAAACGTGTTCCAGAACTGGCTCTGGCGCCAGGTAATGCCGTCGATCCAGATGTCATTGGCGTTCCAGAGCGTCAAGCTGATGGGGCGCCCATTCTGGTTTCCCTGATTGCGATTCTGATCGTACCATATCTGCCCGTTGCCAAAAAGAGCGCTTTGCCGTGGCCCAGCATGGTAATGTTGGTGCCGCCGATTCTCCAAGCAGTGGAGCGGCCGGCATATGTGACGGAGATGGAATTGGACAGCCAGTACTGGATATTGTCCCCGCTCCATTCCAAGTGTCCATAGATGTCGATGTGGACGTTGCGCAGGTTCGTCGTGTCCATGACCTGCCGGATCATATAGTCGCCCTCCTCGAGGATAATGTGCCCATCCTGGCCGCACTGCTTGAACGCGTCGAGAATGGCCGGCGTGTCGTCGTCGGCGCTCGCCTGACCGCCGCCGCCGCCGAACTGCGGTTCGCGCTTCCGGGGCTCCCAATTTTCGGGGAGGCCTAGGGCCGGGTCGGCTCGAGGGTACGGGCCCGTCTGCTCGTAGCTGACCTCGGCGCCGCGGCGCGCGCGAGGAGATTGGACGGTGGGGCGGGGAGACCGTAACGTTTTCAGGGCGGATTTGGGCGTGACTGTGCATGTGCTCCCGTCCTTGACCATGTCGGCCAAGACGGCAGGACAGCACAGGAGGCCCAGGGAGAGGAGAGCGCTTGCGAGCCTCATTTTTCTTTTGGGAAAGACTGCGACGATAGATGGAAATAAACGAGGGCCAAGTTGCGCCAAGAAGAAGGGAAGCGTGGAGAAGCCCCACGAGGTCAAGACGGAGCCACAGCGCGAGCCGTCCCCCATATAGTATCTTCCAAGGCGTATAATGCCCGACATATATGGGCTTCGTCCCAAGAGTGATGCGGCATCTTATTTGTGGAATATTTCTTTCCAAGGATAGAGGAGATAATATAAACAGAAGCTTGTTTGTGCCACTAGAATTCAATATCGAGTGGGTGTTCTAGTTACAATCGGCTGGGTAATTGGTCTATTGTCGAATTCCATACGGCTTCTTCATCGATTCCCCGCCCCTCACGTATCTCCCCCAAATTCTGGGGTCACCCCTTTTCTCAAGCATGAGAAGCACAGTATGGCGGACGCAAGCTGTTTTGTCGAGTCAGAAACTGGGGAACGAGATTCCTGAGCGGGGAATGGGGGTGAAGGTCGTATATTAGCCGAAGGAAGGATTATATTGCGGTGATGAGATATGGTCCACACGTATCGCGCGGCTGCCGGCCGGTGCGGGGCGCCGCAGCCCGTGGCAAGTTGCCCATTGCCGATGCTCCCGTTGTTGTGCTCATCCACGAACTACAAAGGCCCTTTTCGCTGCGTGGATAAATACCCCTTGTTAAAGTGCCTCATTCTACTTCACTTTGAAAGGGCGGATCCGGGGACTCGACTGCAGCTTTTGAACCCAAGAATCCAGACGATCGATATGCAGGACCAGATTGGCCAGTGGCGAAAGCAGGCCCAAGCAAAGAGGTTTAGCCGTCGCCCGATTTTTTTCCTTGCTCGTTTTGTATTGGGTTTTATCTCGAAGATACGGAGAGCCCTGATGACCTCGACGCAAGAGCCCCAGTACATTAGGCGGTCGTTCGTAGAATAATACCGGCGTCCATTTCATAATATTTGGTAGATCAGCTCATCTAATACTTGTTTATAGAGGGGCGGGCAACTAGGTCGAAGCACTCAGCATTGAAATCCATTCGGAGCTCCGTCTGTCCGATTATCAGTGTTTGAGTGAAGAGCGCTTCAAAGACTTGGTCAATACGATAATCCCAAGGTGACTGGAAGGCTTCCACGTCAGTGGTTGGCCAGACTTCTCATAATCATATCCCATAGTCCTCGTTTCTTGGCCCCCAGAACGGCTTTCCTGTGGGCTCCTCTTGATTGGAAGGAAGCGGAAATATAGAGATAAGACATTGGATGCTTCCACTGCGAGCAACCCTTTGGTTGTCAGAGCAAAAGTGAACGGTGAACGCGAAACCATTGATGGATCCTTATCCATGTGGATCGCTGTAAATAAAAAGGGTATCAAGCTACGCCGACAAATCATAAAGATGCTACTAAAACTACATTCCAAACCTCATCAGCTCATCTCAGCGGCAAACCACTCAGGGATACCGGGGTCCTCCTCCCTCGTTTCCCCAGGTAGGAGAATATGGTCCCATTTCACCGTGGTAGGCGCATACGTTTTCGCCAAACGATCCTGGCTGTACTCGTCCAACGCCGCAGCCGCGTGGGGCGAATCCTGGTCGCCGTTTTCGAGCGATGCCGCCTTTACCCAGCTCCAGTAATCGGTGCCTCCCGCGGCGGTGGTGCCCTCGTCCAGCCTCATGCTCTGGTACTCGCCATAGTCCTCCTCGTCCTCGCTCACCTCGCCGACGTCCTCTACGACAAAGTTGCCCTTGGTCTTGGGGCCGAAGCCGTAGGGGAACCACTTGAGCGCGCGCGCCATGACTGCCTCCTTGGCCCGCTGACGGTCACCTGGAGCCATGCCGGAAGCGCCTGCCATGGTAGGGTTGAGATCGCTGCCGGCCCTGGGGCCGTTGTGGGAGGGGGCGAACCACTCCCATCGATTCATGGGGATGTAGTGCAGCTTGTTGTCCACGCCCCAGTCGAGATGGATGACGTAGACGGGTAGTATGTGCGCCGCGTTGAAGACAATGTATTCTAGATCTCGGTTGGCCATGTGGGAGTCTCTGTTGGGCAAGGGCTCCGTGGTCTCGCGCAACTCGTGGGACCGGTCCACCCTCGCAAACCGACCCATGAGGGTGGCGCAGACGATGAGCTTGAGGCCAAAGTACTCTCCCGGCGGCGTCGGATCGCAGTACCATCCGGAATAATCCAGGGAGAATTCGGCGTTGGGGGACGAGTAGATGCCTTGGCCGTAGGTGGCGCCCTGCTGGACGCGGTGAATCTGCGGTGCAATCTTTTTATTCTTGGACCCGGACGGGACGGGAGTGCCGGGCAGGAGAAAGCCGTGCTGGACGATGAAGGGGACGTTGGCGCGGCGGGTGCCGTGGAAGGTGAGCCGCGGCTTGATGACGTGGTCGACGGCGTCCTCGGCGCGCCGCACGGCGACGCCGGGAGGCATGTACTGAGACAGGGAATGGCGGCCCATCTTGTAGAGTTTCTGGTACATGGCGTCTCTGGCCTCGTAGAACCGAGACGCCAGCTTATTCCGAATCACCTCCTCCACGTGGAGAACGCGCATGTCGCTCGGGATGTGCTTGATGACGTCGGCGGGCGAGCCGACGAGCTCGCGCGCCATCTCGCTCGAGGAACGGATTTCGCCGAGCCGCTTCTGCTGGATAACGGCCTCCTCGACGCGGTCCTGGTCCGGGAGGAAGGAGTGGAACTTGACGAGATTCTCCTCGGCTGCCGCGCGGTATTGGACGAGGGAGTCGCGGGTGGCCTCGACGAGCTGCGAGACGACCATGGCCCGCTCGAAGAGGCCGTAGGGGTCGAGGTCGTCTCGCGCCTCCCACATGGAGAGGGTGTTGGTCTGGAGGGCTTCGTCGTAGATGTGGAGGAGGCGGGCGCGCAGGGCGTCGCAGGGCACGCGGCTCATTTGTATGTTTTCGATGGTGAAGAAGCCCTCGGAGCCGAGGAGGACGGGGTAGTAGGGCCCCGGGTTCACGTGGAGGATGATTTCGGGGAACTTGAAGGCTACGGCCTTCTCTAGTGGGGAGTCGAGGCGGCATTCTTCGTCGAGATCCCCGGTTAGCACGAGGCTGTCGACTTCCTCGTCGCGGAGGAAGGAAAGCTGGATGAGATCCTCATCCGAGAATACCGAGTCCATGTTGGCGAGATATCTCAAGGAGAGGGGAGTGCTTGCGCGGCTTTGCCCAGCGAGCGAGTTGAAAATCGGAATGAATTTATCTTGTAGTCGTTATACCGAAGCTCTTTACATGTTTTTAACCTTATTTCAATTCTCGATTGCCCGCCGTCCACGATCCTTTTATCATGCTTGACCCCAATAACCCCTCCCTTCTTTAACCCCGGGGATCCGCGCGGGATGGAGGAGTCATCGGCGAGGGCAGCCGCAGGTCAAGGCGGCCGCAGCTGAGCGAGTGATGTTCTTGGCTGAATTTCCCCAGGGGAAAAAGTCAGCTGCTGCCTAAGGTGCGGGAGGCCCGTCTGTCTGTGCCTGGAACCGTCGACAGCCAAGCTGGTGATGATTGGTCGGTGAGCAATTTCAGCCACAAGGAGCAAATTAATCCCCAGATTTACGTGAAGAATGGCGGCTCAGCCACGAAGCCACCGATCCACAACCACAGCTAGAATCAATTCACCTGAGAACAACCGCGAAGTTCGAAGTTCAAACATGGTCCACGGATAGGGTAATGTGGGATAAACCAATACGGAACATATCTTGGTCATGTAGCCTCTTTTGCCCACAGCGGAAAGGAGGGGAAGGAGGAGGGAGAGGGATCAGTCAAGTGAGTCAATGAGTTCACTTGCTCCTTCCCTCCTTCCCTCCCTCGCACCTTCGCACCTTCCTTCCCTTCAACCATGTCGAGTTGTCATCACTATCCTCTGAGCATGTTTCAAATCACCAGAATGGCAGAGAGATGCGCTTGCCGTATTAGTCGCTGGACAGACTACGGCAGCCCGCGTTTTAAGTCGGCGAGCCTTGACATCTAAAGGGACAGTCGTGTCTGCTCGACCTGACGAGTCCTTCTTCAAACATTGAGCAACAAGCAATCCAATGTTTTCACTGTAAATCCCGCTTACGAGGTTTGCCTTATCGATTATTGGCGCGGATTGCAAGTGCACGGCGGGATTGGCAAGACGTTGAATGGATCATGGCTGAGGGCGTTCACGCTCAACAAGAGCCATAACTAGTACTTCGAGTATAAGGTAAATCAATCTAAAGAGGCAGTATCAGTTAATATTCTTTTGATCTCCTTTTGCATATCTCTGATGAGAATGGATGGTTTACAAGTATGGCCGTCTGGGAGATATCGGGTGAGAGCTTGATACAGACGATCAAGACCGTCGACTTGTGCCTCGGGATGAGTGCCCCCGAAGGCTGCTCCTACAAGCCTACGTAGGGGCAATTACCATCACGTCAGTTTCAAGATGAGGGTTTTGTTGTCGTCAAAAGTCTTGGAAGGCCGGATCAGGACCCCCGAGAGAGGAAAAAGTGATGGCCCAGCAAAGAAAATGAGAGGCTATTTCGGTCCATCAAGACACGTCCGGAGTGCAAGATGCGAGGCCCGCCCGGTCCCTTTCCCGAATCCGGAGGCCTTGGCCGAAGACGAAGGACGGGTGTGAGGAGAGAAAGGCAAACGGTAGTGCGACGATGGCCACTGTTGGCGGAGAGCTGGCCCAGTTCTCCGGCAGGGCATCTGGGTTGGTGCGCCCCGAAATGGGGTCGGCCTATGTGACCCAAGCCCCCGAGTTGGGAAGGAGAAGACAGTCTTGGCTCGCAACGATTCCCTTTTCGACATTCGAGCAGATTTAGAGGGAGGGGATGAGGTGCCCGAGATGCGCTACTTGGCTTTTGATGCAGGTCAAGAAACGGGGCATGAACTGGTGGAGGCATGCAGCGATAACTGAGACGAGACTACCGCCGATGGGTGCATCAAGGAGCAGCAGGCAGTCCACCCATCTCGGATTCTGCATTACCGAATTTTCACGCAACTAATGCTACCAAGAGAGAACATTGTCTAGTTCTCATCGGCGAGTGTGCATTAGATTTCCAGAGGGGCCCATTGCCCTGCTTCTCTCCACTCGATCCCATACAACATTCCCCTCACATTTTGTGTCGTTGGTCGACAGATATCGGCCCACCTTTAAGATTGCTCGTCAAAATTGAAGAATTTTAGGGGGCTTCTTCTCAGGATAGCCGCGGAAGGGGAACCCGGGAGAGAGGTTGGCAACGATGCGCTACTGCATAGCTCCTGCATTGGAGAGCGAGAAAGAGAAGAGAGTGAAAAGAGAAAAGAAAATTAAGATGATAATTGATCCACAACTGGCTCACCCGCATCCGCATCCGCACCCGCACCCGCACCCGCACGAGTTTATACAGTATTAGATCCACAGCCGCGTCCCATACCCGCACCCCATACCCGCACGGAAACCCGCAAGTTTATCTTCGCCCGCCTCGCACCCGCACATCGTGAACAAAGCGGACGTGCGGTTTGCGAGTTCGAATCTCAGGGGACGTGCGAGAGAGCGGGTCACAGTTAGCCGAAGCCTTATCTCCCTGCTCTCGGAACTGGGGGTGGTGTTGTCTTTTTTCATTCTCTTTTTCCTTCTTATGACTTGTACCTGTAACTGTTTCACCTTCGTTCCCCCAGCCTCCACTGCACTGGTGCTGATTAGATGAGGAGTTGGTGTGGGTAAAGGCCCGCCAACGCACTACACTAAGGCCGGGGAAGGGGGAAACGCCTCTCCGGGACCGGGGACAACCATGACCTGATGGGGCAGGCTATCGACAAGCTTGATCCTCTTGCCTACGAGTATTAGCGCAGATTGATTGCGGCCAGACGCCAAGTTCTTGCGATGTAATAAATTACAGATCCAAGTATTTTAGTTTGTCTCCGAAGTATGGCCTGGCCTGGGGCCAAGTGGTGGATGGTGGGCCCTGTCAATTGTCACATTGCTTGGTGTTGGTTGGGAACCAAGTATGAATGACAGGGACGGGTATCACGTCACCACGAGTTTCCTGTTCACCTCGCAGGGGACTGTCGTAATAGCACGATGATGGGCCTATTGGGAAGTCGCAGACTAATCGACTTCCAAGGAACTGAAGGCTCGAGACTTGAACTGACCAGGTGGAGGCAGAGTGAAAGGCACTTCAAAAAGACTAAATCAAATAGGGGTTATGCATAATACCTGCACCCGACGCAGCTGATGACCCAGAGCGCACGGAAGGGAACAAAGCTCTCGAGAGGCTGGGGAAAACCAATACAAAACGTAACTATTTTTCCGATTCTTTTCTTGTTCAAGTCCAAGCCAAAAGAATAGTCGGCAAGAAACTTTTAGAGCTGTCAGTAGCGGCTGTGGTGCTGAAAGTGGCTGCTCCTCGTCCGCCCCCTGTGGCCTGCTGCCTCGCCTCCCTCAGCGCAGCAAAACGGACGTGCGTCTCACACACTCTCTCTCACGACTGCCACCGGGATTTCCAGGTTCTCTCCCTTGGTTCCGAGATCTGTGCGTGCGTGAAATTAAACGAGGGAGGGGGCGAGCGAAGGCGAACGAGGGCAAACGAGGGCAAAAGTGGGGCAGGATGGAAGGGACTACGCTACTATATGCAGTACACTAGAGAAAAAGGTCACAAGGATTCTGGCGGCTTTTCCCCTTTGGGGATTAGGAGGGACTCGGGCGTGAGGCCTTGGATGTGGGCAATGTTGTATTCCGGCAGCGTCGCTCAATACCATCTGTGCGAGACGAGCAAGGGTGGTTTTGGTTTGCGGAGCAAGCAGCAACAGTGAAAGGGAGAAGAGGACAAGACAAGGCCAACAAGGTGAGGTGGGCCACAGGCAACGCGACGGAGTTTGGCCGCCAATCGTCTAGCTCCCTCGGTAATTCGAATTTGAAGCCGCGACTTGTGCTCGTTTTGTCCGAAGTCCGAATTCTCTCCAGGACTGGACGTGGAGGAAAATGGGGAGGAGGAGAGAGGAAAATGAAGCTTCCTCCCCGCAAAAAACGGTCGTGAAAGAAAAAGCCACTTGAAAAAAGGGAATTGGCATAATTCGGGTACCCGTGCGGCACAGCGCAGCGAGTGGAGGAAATTTGGCACCCTATTTGAGTGAAAGTGATATCAATGCAAATCTCGACGTGTGACGAAAATCGAGAAATTTGACGTCCTCTTGTTTCGCAAAGCAAAACGGGTGGTGTCTCTCGGCTTCGGCAGCGTTTTGTCGTCGCGCACTTGGATCTGGCAAATTACTCTGGCAACTGCGGCCAATCCATGGCTCTCTGTGTTCGGCCAAAAAATAAAATAAAATCAAACAGTCAAGCTGTGCTGGCGTCCTGAGTGTCCTGTCCTTGTGTGCGTTGCATGGGGTCAAGCCACACGCGTTGACGTTGTCGTCAATGCAATACCACCATGCATCGGCCCTGCAGTGGTCAATTACTTTTTTCGCGAGCGCTGTCTTCCTTTTTCTTGACGCCGGTCATCTATTTTTCTTAGCTCGCAACCAACCACTGTGCGTGACATCAATTTTGATCCTCTGCATGCTGAGATGGGCAGAGGATGAGGGGGCCTGACTGAGTGGCCCGGTGAGGAGCGCCGCTGTGCAAGGATTGGCTTGCAAGCTGGTAAGCTGGCAAGCTGGCAGGCTCGCGACTCTCATCAAGTTCAATGTTCAACTCTTTTGTTCGTTTGTCTTGCCGGCCCGCTCGGGAATCGCTTAAGCCAGTGGCTTCAACAGCCTGGCAGGCACACGACCACGACAGTATTCTCGCTGCTCGGGACCGCATGTCTGACTAGTTTACCGAGGAGAGAGGCGCCAGGTCCGCCTTTCCCCACTGATCGCCCTTTTTAGTGTGCGAGTACTTATCGATCAATGAACACAAGCGAGATACCAGCTGGCGCAGCGCAGAGGAGGAAGCAGAGGGGAATTGTCACTCGCGCCCCTGTAGCGCTGTGGAGTGATTGACAGGCAAACAGGCCTGGTCGGGGAGATACTCGATCAATTGTAACTATATGATCGACCCCCTCGATCATAATCGGCGCTGTTTCCCTGGGTTCGAGCTGTCAATCCAGGACCGAGGTAGATCCATAGATTGATGTTTTCCATCTTGTACAGCATAAAAAGGAGAGATAGATGTGGAGTCGTAGGTCTGCCAAACTTCGACGTTTAACGTCCATGGCGCCTCTGATCGTTCCATTGTTTCCTGGCATTTTGGGCCCATTTAGTTTTGCGCACAATCATCAGGCGAGGCGTCCTCCCTTTAGCTACATCAGGAATAGATGCCATATTAACAGCCACCCTTTTTGACCATTTTGATGGGATGGGATCCATGGAACTGGATCTCGTGTGTACCGAGGTACGTACTCGCCAATGGCCAATTGTATTGCATTCAATGTTCATATTGGTGGACGTGCCCTCACTCATCGCCAGCTCGCTTCTTCCCCCGCCACAACTCCGCCATTTCTGTCTTCTTCCCACGTCGCTTAATCACGAAGAGCGCTAGAGGGCACACTAAGCAGTCAAGACGTTCTGCGACAGGCCAGGCTTGGCTCAAGTCGACGATTTTACGAGGTAAAGTTACGTTTAGTGCCCCATACGACTGGCGTTACATGGCTGTTTAGGGACGAGTGTCGAATGTGTCGGAGGTCTCGTTTTCGTCCCTCTCAGGTTCTAGCTAGGAAGGATTTCGATAGGATCGGAAGGCGAGGAAGGATTCGAGAAAGGAATCGAAAAAAAAAAATTGAAATGAAAAAGGAAGAGAAAAAGAAAAGACAGGAAACGGGCTGTTCTATTGGGGGCTGGGCGAGCTTCAAACGGAGGGAAATCTAGCGCTGGTAGCCGCAGTCCTCAAGGTCACTCACACTGCTTCATTGGAGAAACAATGACCCTGTTTGAAGATCGTCTCCGATTCCCAGCGCATTGTTTGCAGCGCGGTGCGGGCTACGGGGGCATGTGCGCGGGTATGTGTTGCGTGTGCCTGTGCCTGAGTGGACGGGTCGGCGATGGCTGATGAACCTGATCATCAATGGTCCTGGGGGATATGAAGGTAGTGTGTGGTTGGATCAGCGTGAACAAGCCAGATTCCCGGGCCCAGGGCTCTCGACCGACGAGGGCAAGAGGGCACGACAGACAAATCAGCCACCCTGCGCCAGGCGGGGCCCCACCAGTCGCTCCTTGGAGCACGTCACGTTACAAAGACCTGCGTTTGGCTGTTTCCCCACGTATCAGGAGGGGAGGAACTCGAGCAGTGGCGCGATCCGTTCTGTTAGGTCTGCGACGAAACCTGGGAGCGAGTGCTGCAGAGAGAGACAGGAGAAGAGAAGAATTCGACAAGAGAGAGGAAGAAAAGTCTTGTCGGAAAGGGAGGCTAGGCTTTCTCTCCCGAGCCCCTGGGTCTTCAGGGCTGCTAGTTTGGGGTTGGCTAGGGGAGCCTGGGAGAGGCTTTTTTGTCACCCTTTCCTTTCTTCCTTCTTTGTATCCATCGTTTGATAGCGATCGCGGGCCTCCTGCCCGCGTGTTGGGTGCGTTGGGGTCAGGGAGCAGGGAGAGAGAGAGAGACAAGAGGGACAGAGACACAGAGTGAACAAGAAAGCGGCGCCGGGAAGTACCTCCACTAGAGCAAGCGGCGGTGGACTCCTAGTGGTGAGATGGAGGGTGAAAGGGCCGGGGTGATCTTGGCGCTCCGCTCCCATTGTCCCATTCAGCTGCGACAAGTTGCCACACCATCTCCGCTCCCAACGCAACGAGGGCGCGTAGGTCCGTGCCAAAGGGGAATGGCTCCGTGGAGTCCTGCCTTCCCTCGCCCGGTGCACATTTCCATTTCCGGGGAGAGAGAGAGAGATGTTGTGTTGGACAAATCCATTTAAAAATCCTGGCTGGCCCAGTTGGCCTACGAGGTCTTGGCGGGTCTTGTCTCACCGATCCTCCCGCGACGAATCCTTTTTCTTTCTTCAGTTTCTTTTTTGTTGCGTGGTACAAGTTACCGAAATACCGACCTACCACACGCCCCCGTCGCTTTCCACCCCTTGGCATGCACAAAACCTACGACCATCCCTCGATGCCAGGTTGCTGACGGGAAGATCTTGACTGCGGCGTCATCGAGATCTTGAAATACCACCACTTTCCCTTCGATCCGGCAACCACATTTTCACGATAACGAGTGGTTTTACTCTCTCTTTTCTTCGCATCCGGACATTCGAAAACATAAAGAGAAGAAGAAAAGAACAAACGAAATAAAACAGTATAAAAATACACCCAAAAGAAGCACGACACCCAGCAGCAAAGGACACAAAGAGGTTTTCCCCAACAAGAGGGGAGGAGAGAAAAATGGCGGACCCAACGAGCACGACCGGCACCGCCGCAGCCACGTCCACGTCGATACTAGACGACGGCCGCCCTCACAACGATCTCATCGTACACTTTAATGTTATAATATGGCTGCTGACCGGCATATCCGGCGCCATCCTCTTCGTAAGAGGATACTGCAAGATTACGAGACAGCGTGGACTCTGGTGGGATGACTGGATCATGTTTGCCGCATGGGTACGTTTTTGGATCTACTTACCTCTGTTTTCTTTCTTTTTGCTCGACTCCTCGCAAGCGCTCGCCGCCGAAGAAATGCTTAGAGGTGAACGCAGCTAACCCCTCAACCAACTCCAGATCACCATTTTAATTTCCAGCATCTTCGGCTCCATATCGACGACCATGGGCTTCGGCAAGCACACGTACGACATGGACATTGACGGACCCAACCACCCGAAACTGCTCTTCATCATGACCATGACGGGCTTCTGGTCCATCTGGGGCGCCGCGTGGAGCAAGACGAGCTTCGCCGTGACCCTGCTGCGCCTGACCAAGATGTCGTCCATCCGCTGGGGCATCTGGTTCATCATCATCACCGTCAACGTGGGCCTGTACGTCGCCGCCATCTTCATGTGGGTGCAGTGCGACCCGCCGCGCAAGGTGTGGAATCCCAAGATCGAGGGCAAGTGCTGGGACGGCAACGTCATTGTCGCCTATAACAGCTGGACAGCGAGTAAGATTTCCCAACCCCCACCCCCGCACCTCCTCTCTATGTCCGTTCGCGTGGCTCGTTGAAGAATTTCTTGAGAAATCGCTCGTGGAATCTGTGCTGATTTGGGTGTTGCTCTAGTTTGGTCTGGCCTGGCGGATATTGTTCTCGCCATTATCCCGTGGTGGGTGATTTCGCGGGCTGCCATGAACTTCAAGGAGCAGATTGGTCTGCTCGTGTGCATGAGCTTGGGTGTCTTGTAAGTCTTTGCCCTGCCATCAGGAGGGTTACGCCTCTTGGTTCACGAATCAGCTTCATGAGAGTGATCCGAAAATAACTAACTTTGACTCCCTCTACAGCGCCGGATGCACTTCCATTGCCAAAGTCATCACCATGAAGGCCATCACGAGCGATGATATGAGTAAGTTCCAAGTTCAAAACAATACACATTGATCTTCGCGTTCCCCCGCTAACCAGGGCCAAACAGTCAACACCCCGCCCCTAAACATCCTCGGCATCGCCGAAGCCGCCGTCACCATCATCGCCGCATCCGTGCCCGTGCTCCGCGCCCTCGTCCGCCCGCCGAACCTGTCCCAGGTCAAGTCGTTTAGCCTGTCGAACCCCAACTCCCACGCATCGCAACCCCGTTCCCAGACCCGCCGCGAGTACGAGAACCTGGACAAGAGCGGCGACAACAGCATCACCACGGTTAAGCTCACGCGGCTGGATAGGATGCACGCCGACGAGGCGCAGGGCTCGTCTCCGAGGGCGAGAGAGTACCAGACGCCGCGCGAATGGGGAAATATTAGCGATTTCCCCGGTCAAGCGGATGGGAGAACAAGGAAAACTGAGGAACAGATTTCCAACCCCACACACACGCCATGTATTATGTATTATTTGAAGCCTCATGACCCGTTACGATTTCAATGGATATTCTTTTTTTCCTTTCCTCTTTTCTTTTATAGCCTAGGTGAATTTGATGCCACACTTTTTTTGGTTTTGCCAAAACCCATCTGTCTAAAGTGCAAAGCGTAACTTTTGTGTCCTGTTTTTTTTTTTTTTCTTTCTGTGACGCTTTCTCCCCTCCCGTTCTCTCCATCTCCATGCTTGACTTTAACTCGGATGCCAGGGGCGGCACGGCTCCCGCAAAGTTAAAAACTTTAACCTTGTGGTCGATGAGCTGAGTTTTGCTCCATCGAAGTCTGGAGTTGGGTGTGAAGAAACGCCTCCCCAGCGAGTTCAGCTAGCGGTTAAACCGAACCTCTTCCGCCGTCCCGCGAACCCCGGCCGAAGCCACCCACCATCTCACGCCCACCTCCGGATTTGTCTGCCGCCGCACCGTTCAGCCAACACAACAAAGAAAAGAAAAAAGGGGGAAGGGGGACTCTACTGCATGAGCCTAACCCTAACATAGGGTTGCAAGCGAGAGAGTAATTTCTATTTCAGTGTTCCCTATTTTGCCGCCTTGTCCACATCGCTACTGATCTTGGCTGTCCGCCTTTTGTTTGCTTTTTTGTTATTTTTGTCTCGTCTTGTCTTTCTCCCCGTTTCGGGGATTTTACCGGTTTCTGCCCACACACCGTGTTTGTGCCGAATGCGGACTGCGCGGCGCCTCCCGCGACGCCTCGCTCGCCAAATATACAGTATGCGGTAATAAATGAGTGGCCGATCTGCCCATGCCGAGTCAGCTCTCCGCCCCCAACTGATGAGGTGAGGGGAGGGGGATCTGGAGCGCAATCTATTCAGCTGTTGCCCTCGCCACAGATGATGGGGAACTCGCACCACCACGTTGTTTGACATCCATCAACGGATGTATGCAATGGATACCTCGATAAACCCAATCAAGTGGTTAAGAACGGGAAATGCGTATTTTTAGTTGATATCCTCTCCACCTTTTACTCTTCCCCTTCTCGTCCTGCCACTGAGGTTGTGGAGTCCCAGGTGGCTGTACTGGACCCTGCGCCGCAGAGACCGTGGCTGCACAAGACTTGGCAGCAGATGCGGCAAAAGGCCCTGGCATCTCCCCCACACTCACATCCATGTCAGAGGATTTGAAGAAATCCTGGGCCATCTTGGGTTGTTCTGCTCAGATGCCCAATCACAGCTGCGGACTTTTGTTTCGCGATGATTGCGCGCGTCCTGTCTGAACAATTGATCGATATCTTCTTGATATCTATGGTTAGCCGACGGGCGGCTCTTGAATGCTGGCAAGCATCGACGAGCATCGACGAGGAGAACGTAGTTCCGACTCGACAGCTCAAAGGGCATATAGTATAGAAGCCTTCAATGCTATCGCTAGAGTGTTTAAATAACACTGTCATGCGCGGCCACGGAGAAGATGAAGGCCGTGTCCTCGGCGAAAACCACCGTGATCCCGTGCGTTGTTGAAGGATGAGATGCACCAGATGGTGCCTCATGCACGAAATCCCATTGCACGACACTGTAAAACGACTCATTGTGAGCCATGATCACAAACAGGTGGAATCGGTAGTTGCAGTTGCAGAAGGATTCTAGGTAAAATGAAGCGTTAAGCGTTAATCCACGGGCCCGCGAATTGGGCTCAACGGTGATGAGCTCCAGCGTCGTAGGGACGTAGGGACGCCTTCTTGGCATCCTAAATTTAAACAAAAGACACCGTCCCAATCGAGGTCGATAGCGCGCTCGCCAATCCCAACGTTTGTTCTGGAAAATCATCAGCCACATCCTTCCAAAAGAAAACTGCCACCGACGATAAATCCTAGCCTTGGCAAGCCGCGAACTAAAGCTCGGTCTCGTATCGTAGAGCCTCGTAGAGAGAGAGACGAGGATGGCGATCAACAATTACCGCGTGATGAACTTGCGATCCATGGGCAAGTCATGGAGTCGAGAAAACTGATATAAAGCACGGCGCTGCTCCCCCTTTCAACCTCAACGATTTAGAAGATCTCCTTCATCACCAGCCTCAAGCACATCCTCCCTCGCCATCTTCGGTACAAGTCTCTCTCCTCTAGTGCTTCCATCTTCCCTACCCACCCATTTCACTCATATATCCCGCTCGTCCGTCCTCGTTGTCGCCCACCATGTTCAAATCATCTCTCCTGAGCTTTCTCGCCTTCTTCACCTTTGTCATCGCCGTCGCCGCGGGACCCGTCGGCGAGTTTAGTGCGGGCGATGACCCCTTTGGCGTCGAGTACGCCGACGAAGCGGACGACATCTGGGAGACGGGCGACGACGCCATGTCCCCCAACGTAGCCGCCGCCGTGGAAAACAAACTCGCTGCCCGCGACCCCAAGCACTTCCGCTTCTACCGCACCCTCTTCTACACCAAGTCCTGCGGCGTCAACGCCTCCAACTGCGTCGACGGCGGCAACGACATCGTCAAGATCCACACCGACTGCAACGGCGGCGGCTGCAAGGGCACCAAGTTCTTCGCCTACGAGCCCAACAACCGCCTCTGCGGCAAGAAGTTCAAGGTCTGCGGCACAGAGTACAGCATCAAGTACACCGGCAAGGAGTGGAGCTGCATGCGCCTGACCCTCTTCAGCATCCGCAAGGGTTCCCACCACGGCAGGACCTACGGTCACCTCATGAAGGGCAGCAAGAAGGTCGGTACGTGCAAGGTCGACACTAAGAAGAGGTATGCCAAGTCCTGCAGCGTCTGGGGCGCCTCCGACTTCTGGTCGCTTGTCCAGTGCCGCTTCGATTAAAGCGCAAGGAGGAGACTCGCAGGTAAATGCATCGGTTTGGGCATGGTGTGTCGGCGCGGCTCTTGGGGTTTTGAGCTAGACAAAGAATTTGGAGTTTTGTTATCTTGTTGGGGGCCTAACGCCATATCTTCACCCTCCTCCTATACTTCACATTCACGGAGAAGGCTCTTTTTTGTTGCTTTTATCTTTTCAACCAGCGTACATATTAATTATAGATCTATATCCGCTTCTATCCCGCTCCTTTATTAAAATTCCTATTTTTACATCTCCTACCTTGCACAAAACTCGCCTGACAAACATTTCTTAAACCGTAATCCACCGCGCCATCCAAGTCTGAACAACTTCCTTGGCCTCATCCACCAGGCCAAGGTCCAAGAGGAGTTGGGTGGTTCCGCGCACGGCCGAATCCAGGGCCGAAAAGATCCAAGCGTGGGTGATGCTCGTGTGCTCGCCGATGAAGATGGTGTTGAACTCGGTATTGTAGTACGACGGGATAAAAAGATCCTGCTGGCCAATGGTGGGCGCGGCCCAGGCGCCGGCTTGATACTTCTCGACTTCCCAGCACATGCGATCGTAGTTGCCCGTGAACTGCTCGTTGGCGATCTCGCCGTGGATCTCGGCCATGGAGCGCTGCGCCATGGCCACGTGGTCCTCGTCGCTCAACGCGGCGAGGGATCGAGCGAGCTGTCCGGCCTGATAGGAGGCTAGGACGACGCCGGGTCCCGTGCCGTTGAGATTGTAGGAGGGGTAGCAGACCGCGTTGATGCCGGTGATGTCGACCACGCCGCATCCGCCAAAGATGGGGGTTTCCAGGTGCTCCCAGAACCGGGTTTCGTACTCGAGGGCCATTTTGCAGGCTTGCATGTAATTGAGCGTCTTGATCGCACGCGTCAGGAGGCTGGAGTACGGGGGTAGCTTCCAGAGCCTCGCCACGGAGAAGGGGACGCTGACGATGGCGTAATCGTAGGCCTCGCTCTGCGGCTTCAGCTTCAGCTTGTCGTCTCTCCACGTGACGGAGATCTTGGAAGTAGCCTCGTCGTACTTGAGCCCGGAGATCTCCCTCCCGTACGTGATCTTGCCCTCGACGTGCGGGACAAAGGCGCGCGAGAGAGAGTCGAGGCCCTTGTCCAGGGTCACCCAGCTGGTGGCGCCAAAGTAGACGTTGGAGTACCACTCCTCCCAAAGGGCAAGCCCGAAGCCGACCCGGTGAGGAAATCCACTGTGTCGCTCGACAGGCTAAGCTGGTACCGGAGGTAGGTCGACTCGGACCAGTGGAGGAGGCCGCGGTCGACGGCGTCGCGGTGGGCCTTGTAGATGTTGGCGGCGACGCTGCGGGTGCTCTCGGGCGTGGAGTTGATAAAGGACTTGAGCGCCGCGCGGCCTTCGGCGGCTTCTTCCGGGTCGTTGGCTTCGGCGGCGGGTAGGAGGAGGGATGGGTCGGCCGCGAGCTCGGCGGCCGAGGGGATGCGTCCGTCAGGTAGGCGTCCGCCGTTGGACATGCCGGCGATGCGGTCGTTGGTCTGGATCCACTTGATCAAGTCGATCTTGAGGTCCGGTCGGTCCGCGTTCATCTCGTTGAGCACGTCGATGAGCTGGAACACCATCTTGTGGTCCTGGATCTCGAGCGTCTCGTTGGTGTCGGCGTACTGGATAAACCTGGGGAACCTCATGGGCCCCATCTCCTGGTATCGGTAGTCGGACGGTTTGGAATCGTCAAAGTAGGCTGTGCGGATACGGCCGCCGATTCTTTGGGTTGCTTCGTGGATGTGCCAGTTGTGGACGCCGACGGAATCGAGGAGCAAGCTCGTCATCAACCCGGAAATTCCACCGCCGACGATGCCGATGGACTTGCTCTTGGCTTCCTTGCTGAAGACCGTGGTGCCATTGTTTGATTGGAGATGCCTGACACCGTCGAACCATAGGCCCAGGGTATCGCCGAGCGTCTCGTTCAGAGTCTCGCGCTTGAAAAGAGGCTCGGAAAGGTGAGGGGTCCAGAACGGCCGAGCGAACCCGAGTCGGAGAAGGCGTGAAGGCACCCTTTCTCGTTGGCATCCTTGGGCACGGCCCAGACTAGACGGTCAGGTAGGTGGCCTTTCTCTCCGGCAGCGATGGAGGCAATGTGGTACTGGTCCGCGCTCGCGCTCGTGGCATCGCAGTCGCCGTAAACGATGTTGATGAGCCCTTGGGCAACCTTATCGTCGTCGTAGTTGATGTGGATGTTGTGGACCAAGCCGCGGGAGAGGTCGCTGGGGACCTGGAAGGCTACGTGGTTCGGTCGGGTGGATGTGGGGTTGGCGGCTGTGTTACCGGCAGCGAAGAGGAGGGAAAGGCCAGAGGCCATCCGGAGAGACATTGTGAGCGGGCGTCGGGTTAGGTGGGTTTGGGGAAGAGGGCGATAGGGGTGGACCTGGGAAATCCATCGTAACGGTCCTGTAGAGATAGGGATGCAGCCTTTTTATACGTGTCAGGGCGATTTGTTGAAGTAATAGATGCGTACTATCGTGTTACTGTCGAAAGTCCGGACAGCGGCAATCGGCGAGGCATCAGTAACAGGTTTCCATCATTTCCTGATCGTAGCGCCATAAGACTGTGCCGAGCAAGCTGGCGGAGGTCGGCCGGAGACCTGCGTGGCACCAGGTTTCCCGCATCGTCGAGCGGGCTTTCCAGGTGGCGGACACGGTATAGCCCGCCTCCTTTGACCTGAAACTGTCAGTAACGGTTGTGCGCATTGAATATCAACTCCCTCCAAGTTTATACAGGTGATGGGGATATCTAGGTGCGACTACGACAGGGTTAGTACCTCCTCCCTCTTGCATATAGAAATTGGACCTCATGTTTACAAAGAGGTAAAACCGGCTCCGGAATCCCCGGACGTGAGGCGAACTAGTTCCATAACGAACCCCTTTCTGAAACGAAGGCGTCGACGACTCGATATCTCCCGATAGTGATCCAATCAGGCGGCTTTGGCCGTTCTACCTCGTGGTTGCCTCCGTCGAGGCGGGTTGTACGAAACGACGCCGAAGGGTTTCGCGAAGCATCGCTATGTCCGACTAGCAAGCCACGAGATGTCTCAGATTCACGTTCTAGTGGCCCTGACCATCCACCAGTGCCGTACTATCCGGTACATTCTTCTGTCCATGAAAGTCTCAGATTGGTAGAACCACGGCAACTCCCCACATGTCTTGGAGCGTTGCGGTCGTCGTTGGGGCCTGCGAACAGGTGATGTCTAGCCGGCCCGCCAGTAAGACTGGAAATTTGAATAAGTTAGGTCGGCCCTCGCTGGAAAAAGGGAGGATTATTCAAGCTTTAAATATCCACGCGTCTGAGGAAGAAGGAGGTGTCTATTGGTGAAGTCATTTAGGATTTAAAGATATTATACGATAGCCTTGTCCTCGCCGCGAAGTAGGACACGATCGTCTTCGCCGTTGAGAGAACGTTATTAAAGGCAATGGCGGTAAACCATGTCTCTTAGGACAAGCCATAAGCAATAGTGGCCCTTTGACTCAGACATGGCCGTTTCTATTCAATGTTAGCGGATATACGACATGACCGAGAGCAGCGTATATCTCGGGGACGGGCCGCACTTTGGTGAGCTTGGCGACATTTATCATTGGCTAAGCCATTGAGACGGTTGGTAAGTGTCTTGGCCGTACGAAGCTATTGGTCTGTTTACAGAGGTGAATGTCAGGAAGGCTTGCGGAAGAGAGCGGCACGCCTCCTGCCTTCTAGAGTTCTCTGGAGTGCTGTGACAGAAATCGTCTAGAGCGGTATGCGTGTCTGTGGGCCTACCTCCAGAGGAGTTGCGCAGGGGAGCGCTTTTCGACATGCAGAGCACACCTCCGTACCAATCATCTACGCTAATTGAGGCGAGCGAGGTGAATTTTGATCGATGCATCGACCTGAGCTATAGTGAGAAGATTTTATAGCGGCCCTGCCCTATCTATGCCTGTAATCTCAAGAGATCAATATTGCTGGGGGCCAAGCCCGTCTAGGACCAGACGCTGATGGGGCCGCCTATGCCTGTCAGGCTATACTAGGCTGGTTTTGAAAGAAAGAGCCTTCAAAGTTGGATTGCTTGTCGTTGGTAACGAAAAGTCGTTGGCGTAAACTCCACATACCTCGGCCTCCCCACCCTCGACTGGCCCGTATTTTATCATAGTCTCAACGGCCTCTACTAGATTACCTTCTCCGGTCAGGGGTTTCGTTTGAGCGTGAATTAACAGAACTATCTCGGACTCAAAAGACATGCAAAAGTAATTCTCTTTCATTCGTATACGAAGGTAGGATACAAGCACACTTTTAGACGTAAACCTCAGGTGTCACTGAGCAATTTTACTGGCTGATCTTTTGCCACGAAGGACGGCTTGATGCCCTCTTCCACCACGCCTCAAAGTTGGGTCGAGAGGTAAGCTCGCTCTCAAGGCCCAGTTTCGCAAAGAATGGCATCCACGGGAGGTGATACAGATCAACCAGCGAGAATTCCTAAGTAAATATGTGTTAGGACAAGAATGTATACTAGGTGCGAAACATGGTGTCTCGACTGGGTGTTTGGGAATGTTGGAGATGCCTGGTCAAATACTCACGTTTCCTGCGAGATACTGCCGTGTGGCTAAGACCTTCTCATAGTAGTCCAAAACCTGCGCCAACGAGGCACGCAGTTGCAGCACGGCGGCGGGATCTGCGTCGCCGCGACCCATGAACCTGAAGAGTTGTTAGGCCAGGAATCTCGAAGAACTTTTAACTCTATAGCCGAGAAGAGGCAGAAGATTACTTTTTGAAGATGTTCTCGTACCCCAAGCCCGAAATGGCAGGCTCGAAATAAGAGTATTCGACGCTGGCAGCCTGCTCGTAGATGCCGATATCGGCGATGGACGCGATCTGAGAGCTATCGAGCTGGTGGCCTTTGCCGTACTTGGTAATGAGGTATTTGCAGATGGCTCTCGATTCGAAGAGCTTCAGCCCATCATCCTCTAAGGCGGGGACCTTGCCAAAGGGTTGAAAGTTGGCGATGAAGTCGGGGTTCTAGAGGGAGCGAGGAGAACGGGAGAGCCCCGTGGAACTGCGTCAGTATTCACTCATGGGTTTCGGGATAGTTGGGCAGCAGGAGGTATGGGTTTTTGAGTCACCTTGTGCTCCCCTAACGCCATGTTCACGTCCGAGAATTCGTAGGGGACATCGAGTTCAGTAAGAACTTGAAGGACGCGCTGGGTGCAGGTGGAGAGCGTGGAACCGTGGAGTTTGATGGCCATTGTGGATGTGATTTTGGAGGCGTCCGTGGCGATAAAATATTCAATTGGTTTGAAGATGATCTTTTGAGGAATGCTCTAAGAGTGGGAATGCAAAGGTAGAGGTGGACTAGGAAATGGAAGGTGTTGTTAGGTTTTGGGCGACATACGAAACCGATTCTTTATCTTTTTAACCTTGCCCTTGCAAACATCTTCATCGGCACCGAAGGGGGAGGAGGGTGGGGTATAGAGGGGGCGGGGATGCGACTATGCGCGTCTTGGTAATCCAGCTTGGGGACGACGTGTAGAATTAGTAATTCCAGCAAATGAAAAAGAAGCCCATTCACTAGGCGAAGAATCCTGAGCAGCCCTTTGTTGCTAGACGTTGTGGTAGAAGTGGATTCGGTCGGCAAATGAGGGGGACCGAATGAATGGTGAACGGGCCTAGCGTCGGCAGTCCGGCCTCCACATCGGCAGCGGCTCTGGGATATAAGTGACGGGCAGAAAAGGGAATATCCAGAATAATGCAGATATAGACCATTTGGAACTATCCTTACTTGTGCCAGGGCTCGAGACGAATATCTACTCCTCAGCAGAGAAAAAGAGATTAATCTTTCTTAACCGCTACTAGGGTGGTCTTGTTTCTTTAAGATGGCTGCCAACACCAGTCAGGGCGATCCTCGCCAGGTGGATGACACAATCCCCATGACCCAATCTCAAAAGACCGTCTTTGAGTTTGGTGATTTTGATCACTCTGCTATTCCTCTAGAGAAGGAAGAGTGGCCGGTCATTATCATCGGCTCGAGCATGGTCGGCATGACGCTCGGCGTTCTTCTGGGGTACCATGGGTAAGTAATAAGTTTGATAAACAAAAGATTGACATGAGAAAAGAGAGTAGCTGACATGTCCTTGTAGGATTAAGTCCGTCTCCTTCGACCGCCATCCTTCAACCGCTATCCATCCCCGGGCCGCCCTCTTCCTCCTGCGCTCCGTCGAGATCTTCCGCCAGCTGGGCCTGGAAGACCACCTCCGCGAGAACAGCGCGCTCAACTTTGACCTCGACGCCGGCATGCTCATCGTGGAGAAGCTGGTAGGCGGCAAAGTGATTGCCTCCCTGCAGGAGAGCGACCCGGCCAGGGTGGCCGAAGTCACACCTTCGAACCGTCTCTGGCTGACCCAGAACATGTTCGAGCCTCTGCTGCGCGCGAGCGCCCAAGGGTCCGGCGCCACGCAGGAATTCAAGCAGGCGGTGGTGCACTACGAGGAAGGGGACGACGGGGTCCTCGTGGTCGTCCAAGACTTGGAGACGGGCGCGTACCGCAAGTTCAAGACGCAGTACCTCGTGGCGTGCGACGGGAACCGCAGCGCGACGAGGGCCAAGGAGGGCATCGCGTGGGGCGGACCGGGCGTCGTGGGCGAGAACATCTCGATTAATTTCAAGGCGGATCTGATCTCGCACCTGGGTACCCGCGCCAAGCACGGCGTGACGTACGTGACGAATCCTAGCATCTCGGCCGGCTTTCGCCTGGAGAGCGGCGGGAAAGCGGGCTTCATGATTGTGGCGCGCGCGGGGACAAGAGCCGGTTCCCGCCGGACTCGGTGACGGGCGCGGATGCGAAGCGGTATTTCCGCGACGCTACGGGGATCGAGGACGATGTGGGTCTCGAGGTCGAGTCCATTTCCTACTGGTCTGTTGCCGGGTTGAATAGCGAGCGGTTCGAGAGCAGAAAGGTTAGGGTGTTTATAGCGGGGACGCTGCCCATGTGATGCCGCCTACGGGTGGCATGGGGGTAATACGGGACTGCAGGTACGAAATATGGAGACGTGGGGGTTCAACTGGCGTTGACAAAAGTCACTAACACTGGTTTCGATAGGATGCTCATAATCTCGCTTGGAAGCTCGCATATGTGCTCTCTGGGAAAGCTGCGCCATCGCTCCTGAGGACGTACAGCTCTGAGAGGCAGCCGGTGGCCTTCCAGACCATGCAACAAGCGTACTACCGCCTCCAGACCCGCGTCTTTCGCCAGCAGCCCGACGAGCCGGAGCTACCCGATCTGACGTGCGAGATCGGCTACCGCTACCCTTTGGGCGCGCTCGTTGTTTCGGAAGAGGAGTCGGAAGATGCCAGTTGCATATGGGAGGACCCCCATGCGCCTCTCGTTCTTGCTGGTTCCCGATTCCCGCACGTAGAGATCACCGACTCGGGTGATGCCTCTCGTCGCATCTCCACGCTCGATTTGGTCAAGACCCAATTTCTCGTGGTGGTTGCGGATGAGGCATCCCCGTGGGTGGAGGCAGCCAAGATTTCACCCTTGGGCATTGATTGCTATTCTCTGCATGCGACATCGACTCCCTATCGCGATGCGGAAGGCAAGGTTCGTCGAGTCTGTAAGCTGGGCGAAGGGGAGGCACTTCTTGTGCGACCGGATGGGTTTATCGCGTGGCGGGCTGGTAAGCGGGAAAGCGGCCATGAAGCGGTACTACAGCAAGTTTTGCGGGAGATTTTGGGTTAAAGGCGACGAAAGCCTTGGCTGGAACGTGGCTCGAAGTTCCTGGGTCATGAATCCGCGTGTGTTTCGAAGTGAGAAGCGACAAACAGAAACATGCATTGATATTTGTGTGATGAACTATTCGCTGGAAAATGGAAGCCCCCATTCTAATGGAAAGCAAAAGGAACAAAAGAAAGATGATAACAAACCGCCAATAACACTCTACCACCCCACATAATAATAATCATACCAACGTAGCATCAAAGACCTTTCCGTCCACGTAGTTCACCATCTTGCTGACCCAGTCGAGGTGCGGCCTCCCCGCGCCAAACGCCATGCCCTTGCTAAGGACGGTGCGGTAGTTGTCGCCGGGGTTGACCTTGCCGAGGACAAAGGGCCGGCGCGTCTCGACCCTGTCCGGGACGGGGATGCTGCGGCCGACAATGGCCTCCATGCCCTGCCAGGCAAAGGTGACGGCCTCCTTGGCGCCGCCGGGGATGCCGGCCTCGTCGAGCATGCGGACCTTGACGCCGTCGAGGTTCGCGCGCATGTAGTCTGTGATGTTGGGGTTGAAGGCGCCGCCGCCGCACATGAAGACCTCTTCGACTTTTTGGCCCTTGGGGCCGTAGCGCCTCCAGTGGTCGACGATGGCCTGGGCGGTGATGCGGGTGACGGTGGCGACGACGTCGTCAGCCGACATGCCCAGGGCCTCGGCGTCGGCGATGAGCTTGTCGGCCAGGGTGTCGCGGAACACCTCGCGGCCCGTGGTCTTGGGAGGGTCCCACGAGAAGTAGGGGACGTCGGCGATGAACTTGTCCACGAGAGCCTGGTTCACGGTGCCGCGCTTGCCCATGACGCCGTCCTTGTCGTACTCTTGCTCGCCGTGGGTGTAGTGGCGGACGACGGCGTCGATCAGGCAGTTGCCGGGACCGGTGTCGAAGTCGTAGGCGTGCTCGGGGCCCTCGGGAGGGATGAAGCACACGTTGGCGATGCCGCCGATATTTTGGCAGGCGCGCAGCTTACCCGGGTGGTGGAGGAGCAGGGCGTCGAAGAAGGCGATGAGGGGCGCGCCCTGGCGACCGGCGGACTGGTCCGAGACGCGGAAGTCGGTCACGGTGGTGACGCCGGTGCGGGCGGCGATGATGGTGCCCTCGGCCATGGTGAGGGCGGAGCGGGGATGCCGGGGGCGGGCATGCTCTCGAGCCAGATGGTTTGGCCGTGGGAGCCGATGACGTCGACGGTCTTGATGTCGACGTTGTGCTGCGCGCAGAATTTGATGGCGGCGTCGGCGAAGATCTCGCCGAGGAGGACGTTGACTTCGGAGAGCTCCGAGGCGGACGTCTTGTCGTGGTAGATGATGTTGAGGACGCGCTTCTTGAGCTTGAGGTCCATGGGGACTTCGCCGTACTTGAGCAGCGAGAAGTGCATGGGGCTCTCGGGGGTCTCTTGGCGGAAATGGCAGAGGACCATGTCTACGCCGTCCTGATTGCGGGGAGGGAGGTTGCACGTGTGAGCCTGGTGAATCAAATATGCGTTGCGGAATGGAAACTTACCATGGATGTGCCGCTGTTCATCCCCAGGGCTAGGATATCCAGGGGAGCTCCCGCGCCTGTTCCGTTGGGAACATGTCCGTTGGTTGTGCCGTTGGGTGCCATGGTGAGCAAGCAGAGATGACTTGTGTGAGAATGCGCCACTGGCAGAAACAAAGAAAAAGGGTATTGCCGATGTGCTTGATTACCGCACACTCTACAACGTTGAAGATTAAGAAGAAAAAATGAAGAACCAAAAGCTCGCCTGGCCCTCGATTGAGTAAAAGATGGACGAGTGTGAAATTCAAGCTTTATTAGATATTTCAATCTCCTACAGCAAAAGGAAAGACCAGGACCTGCCCAAGGAGAGAATTCCCGCTCTGCCCAACCTTGTCCCCGTCGCCGCATTTCTCGGCGCAATATGGGGCCACTCGCTGCTTAAGCGGGTTTGTCCTACCTGATCCACCTGGGCGCAAAACTCAACCCCCAGACCAGCCAGTCGAAACGCTGGGCCCTCCTCCCTCCCTCTCCCCTTCCGGCCGGAGAGAGCTCCGGCTACGCCGCCCGCAATTTCTTGCCACCCAAAAAAGCGGCAGTTGGGCCGAAAGGAAAAGAAGGTCGGGCCATGTAGGAAACGATGAGCCCACGGTCACAATTTTTGCTTGCCGAGGGACGAAATGGCTCCCCTTGGACAATGGACACTGGATATACTCAAATTGGCCTTGAACACACGTGAGCACCTCGGTCAGTGAAGCCGGCATCTCATCACGCCGGGCTTAGAGAAAGCGGGTAAGAGGCAAAGCGGGTGGAAGGGAATGCTAAACGGGTAAGCGGATAAGCGCTATTGGGACGGGTGTTTGAACGGCTACGCGGGTAAGCGGTGGAAACCGGGGTCAGGGGATTTGAGTTTTTGTGAGCAAATATGAACAGGAGTCATGGTCGAATTGCACTCATTGTCTAACCAGATTAGGCCAGAAGCTTCCGGAGGCAAGTTGGGGGCGTGAATCTGGGGTTGTTATCAGTGTTGGGTCCAGAGCGCGCGCTTGTTTCTCTGTGTAATCGGCCCAACATCACGACCAGCATCGTAAGAAGGGGGAGGGTTTCAATGCAAGAATAGGCCAAATAAGAAGAATTTGAAGAACATGCTTTTTTGGGATAAGCTGATGCTAGAATGAGAGAAAATACATTGAACTTTGAACGACTCCAAACAGTACCCCGGCACTCTGTGCCAACCAAAAACCCAACGAAAGGCATAACCAACCAGAGATGCACCACCATATCCGTAATCCAAAGATGTTTTTCCTATTCAAGATGCTCCTGTTGCAAAGACTTCCGACTACTCCTGCCCAAGACACCACTAAAATCAGACCGAGCTTCTTGCTGCCCAAGCTTACTTAGAGCTTGCAAACGCAAGTGCTGTAGAAAACGTCAATGCCTAGTAGTAAATCCAGAGTGTGAAGGACAAGACTTACCCCTTCTTGTTGCAGGAGCCGCCCTTGCGGCGTCCGAGACGAACACACTGTTTGCGTTAGCGTCATGTTCTCACGAGAAGCCCGAGTTCTCTCTCGGTAGGTTATTGAGCACATACCTTGATTTTGCAGGCCACGTTGCCACCAAAGAGGCACGTCAACCCACGAGCTTCGAGGGCCGATCGAGCAGCGATGGCGCCATCGACCTCCTCGTCCTCTTCAAAGATGATATCTTCGGTTTCCTCAAGGGAACCCTCGCTGCTGGCGCCATTGTCGATGCTCCAGTGCGTGTCTTGGGGTTTGGTGTCTCGAAGGCCGAGGGCGCTGGCCTTGGTCTCGGGGGCGGGAGCGGCAGCGGCAGCGACGACGAGAAGAGAAGAGATGAGGGCCTTGAGGAGATGCATTTTAAAGAAGGGGGTTTTGAGGGTTTGTATTGTATCGGGAGGGGAGGATGGGGATTAGGTGCTGGTCTGTGAGAAAGGACGAGAGAGAGGATGTGAGAGGTGTGTAAGTTGTGAGGATGATGAGATATCAAATTTCTTTTCTCCAACTGAACGGGATGACCTTGTCTTTAAATACATATAGGAAAGAAATGAGAAGATTCGCCGCTTCTCGGTATGATATTTTCAAAATGTGCAAACTCTCGATGTTCTGATAGCACAGTATGCTCATTCCGGCGACGAACTTGAAGCCCGTAATACACACCACGATATTCCTCCGAAGCTCAGTGTAAGCAACGGAATCTGGGTCGATATGAGTCGTGGCTGTACCCCACGCGTCTACAGCGCTTGGCGCTTCCCGAAATAGCAGCCCCCAGTATTAATATTCAGATTCTTGGGTCGCTCGCTATTCATAGACATCGATCTCGATCACTAATGGCTATAAGCCATCACACCCGGACAAATGCGCGAGTGTCTTATTCCCCGACCACGGCGTAATCGCCTTTCTCGGGCCTCCACGGCTGAAAAACGCCAAGGGAAAACAGTCAATTGGAGAGCTGTGGACCGAAACCTTTCTTTTCCAACGGGGACGATTATTCAATTCCTAGCCAGATACCGTGGTGCGACGATTCCCTGTGCTCGTAGGCGCAAAAGAGGGTTCCTCGCCATGCATCTTTGAAACACTCATCTCTCCCGCCTTGGCAATCAATCCTGTCTGACGGGCAGTCGGCGACATTGAAGGGGAAATGAACGATAAGCTGAAAACCTGCTCCACTTCTTCAAATGTTGGTGCTAACCCAAGGATCGATTGAATGATCAACTTCGTCTCGTTTGAGAAGTTTATTAACGAGTCTATTTGTAGGTATCCTCCTCAAGGCGGTTGACGATGGGCTCTATCCCACGATTCAATCGTATGAAATGGCTGGATAGACTAAGCCACCTCTACTCGACAGAACCCGCTGAGTCAAGTCCACGCAAGGAGTGGGGAGTAACATAGAATGTCTGCAAAACCCAAGCTCTCCCTCTCGATTCTGCTGACGATGATACGTGCGAGAAGTTGTGTGTCTAGCGTTTTATTTCCCCTTACTCTCTTAGGTTCATCTAGAAGAATACGTCCCACGGCGCATCACAACGCCCAAGCCGGCGCTTCATCCCTTGCTTCACCCGTCGCGCGCTTGGATCGCTCAGCTAACTGAAATAGTGAAGTGACAGGTTCATCCCTTGGTTTTGGCGGGCGCCACCCACGACCTTCTTGCTTTGGCCTAGTGTCTGGCCCAAAGCCAGCACTACGTGGTGCCAATTTTGAGGCATGAACCACGCAAGCACGCACGCACTCACACGCCAGCCCGTTCACCGAAGGGGGCGTTTGGATCTCGATAGCCGGCCCACTAGCCTAAGCGGAGGAAAAAAAGAAAAGGGATGGACATGCCTCCCTTGTCTCCACTCCATCGTAGCTTCGGGACTAGCCCACACGCAGACTTCTTCCGAGAAGGAAAAGGAAAAAAAAAAAATCTCGATGGATTCGGTCCCGTCGACGTGGGTCGCCCACCATAGGAAATCTGCCCACCTTTCCCCATCGTAACATCACATCTTGCTCTCTCTCCATGCTCCTGGTCCTTGGGGAGGGTGTTTGTGGAGTTCGGTAGATACCCCAGATTTAGTGGCAGAAAAAGCAACGCCTGACGCACCCGTCTTTCTCGTCACGTCACTTGCCGGAAGAGCCCAGAAGAAAAAGGAACGGGGAAATGAAATCCGGGGACAACAGCGAAACACGTTTTTCTTGTTGTTCGGCCAGCCGAGCGCGTATAGTCAACCCGGACTGACTCGACACCTCTGTTCTTTTCACTCCGCACACGGAGCACGGGCGCTTTCCCACCTGCCTTCTGCTTTTCCTTCACCCTTGGCACCCTTGTCACCCGGCTGGCGTGAGTAAAGATCGCGACTTGGCCTGACCCGAGGCACCTTTGCTATATATTTCCGACGTCGCCCCTCACGCCTTTTCCGAGATCCTTACTTCCTCTGCTTGATGGGAGGCGTCAAATCATCTTTTTCTTGCTCTTTCTTCACCCTTCCGCACTTGTCCAAGTGGCCACTAGCATATAGCTATTGAACGGCACAAGTGCGCCTCCTTGATACCTAGTTTCTGGGGCCTACGGAACCCGACTTAGTCCGTTCCGGTGCTATCCTAACAGAGAACTAAGACTGTCTCTCGTCTTCTCCAAATCTTTATCCCATCCACTCCTCAGCATACACCACTTCTCCTACCGCCATCGTTTGGCCTTTTGATTTGAACAATGGGGTACTCCACGTGGTGGAAGGGCTGGTCGCCCAAAAAGCTAAACGTCGCCATCCAAATATTCTCCCTCGTGAGCATCTTCTTCGAGGGCTATGACCAAGGTGTCATGGGCGGCGTCAACTCCTCGCCCTACTACGTTACCGAGGTTGGCATCGGCGAACCGGACGGCACGGTCACCGATACCGTTCATCAGGGTGGCATCGTTTCCGTCTATTATCTAGGCTGCATCTTTGGCTCATTTGCCGGAGGATGGGCCGCGGATAGGATCGGTCGTATCAACGGGTAAGTCCTTTTTTCTCACTTGGTCTGCGTCATCAAGACAACATCTGCTGACACACACCCCCGCCTAGACTCTTCATCGGCTGTCTCTTCGCCCTGGTCGGAGGCGCTCTCCAAGCGGCCGCCCAATCCAGCGACTTCATCATCGTCGCCCGCGTCATCACCGGCATCGGCACCGGCGCCCTCACCGGCATCACCCCCGTCATGATCTCCGAGACCTCCACCGCCGACCACCGCGGCGGCTACCTCGGCTACGTCTTCATCGCCAACTATCTCGGCATCTCCGTCGCCTACTGGATCTCCTTTGGCCTCGCCTTCGTCAACAACGGCTACTCCGACGTGCGCTGGCGCTTCCTCCTCGCCTTCCAGTGTTTTCCCGCCCTCCTCCTGCTCCTGGGTATCAAGCTCCTGCCCGACACCCCCGCTACCTGGCCTCGGTGGGCCGGTACGACGAGGCCAGGGAGGTCCTGGAGCACGTGCGTGGCCGCTACGACGCCGAGGTCGAGCGCGAGTTCTTGGAGATTCGCGCCGTCGCCGAGCACAGCTCCCCGAGCAGCCCTCTGCAGTTTGTCAAGATCCTCGTCGGCCGCGGCAGCAAACCCAACGAGAACCTCGGCCAGCGCGCGTGGCTTTGCCTCTTCCTGCAAATCATGGCCTCTTGGACCGGTATCACCGCCGTGACTGCCTACTCCCCTGTCCTCCTCTCCGCCGCCGGATACCCCACCCTCACCCAGAACGGCCTCGCCGGCGGCCTCAACACGGTGGGTATCATCGGAACCATCATCAGCGCCCAGATCGTGGACCGTCTCGGTCGCCGCAAGTGTCTGATGGGCGGCTCGGTTGCCCTCTTCGCCGTCAATCTCATTGCTGGTGCCGTCTATGAGGCCTCGCGTAACCAGCCCGAGAAAGCATCCCAGTACGCGCCGGCCGCCGTCACCATGCTTTTCCTCTTCAACATCTGCTACGCCGCTACCTGGGGCACCGTCGCCTTCCTGATCCCCACCGAGATCTGGTCGTCCGAGATGCGCGCCCAGGGCAACGGCTTCGGTATCACGGGTTGGGCTATTGGTGTCGGCATGACCGTCCTGGTCAACCCCATCATGTTCGATGTCTTTGAGAACAGGACCTACTTCTTGTTTGCTGGTCTCAACCTCCTTTGGATACCCGTTGTATTCTTGTGTAAGTTCTTAGCTGCCCCCTTTTCCCCCAATCCCTCGACTGTGCTGTCCTCAGGATCATACCTAACGTAGTCTTGTCCTACCTTCTTAGTCTATCCCGAGACCGCCAACCGCTCTCTCGAGTCCATCGACGCCTTGTTCAGCGCCAATAGCTTCTTGAACCGTAATATGGAGAAGAACTACAGGGAGCACAGCGACGTTTTGGCGGAGCACGCCCAAGCCGCTCCTGCGGAAGCCCCCAAGGGCGTATCATCGAGCGATGACGGCTCCAACCATGGTGCTTTGGCTGACCATGCCGAGAAGTCCGCAGTTTAGAGAGTATACCCTTTCATATCTTTTGCCGGCATAGTATGCTTGGCTTGTAAAATGGCGGAAGAGAAAATCAGATTGGTAAGCCAACGAGAGCTGGAAAGGTATTACAATAACCCTAATACTATCGGGGTATGGTAGTTTCATTTCGTATCGTTTAGTGGATATCCCTTTCTTGATTATTATTGCGCGCTCTATCATTGCGCATTAAATAAAATCTAATGTATTTGAAACAACACAAGAGCCCTTTGAGCAGTTCTCACCCTCTCCAAGCCCAGCCCCGACTGTTAGGGTGCAGCCTTGAAGGTGTAATGAGTTATTCCGCGGCTCCGAGAACATCTCCCAGCTCCTACCAACGCGTGAGCGGTAAATCTAAACAACCCCAAGTTTCGTACTATGCAAAGTGACTATGTCTTCTTACTAACATCTCCAGACTTCCCGGCTTATAGATATGCTTGCTGGGTGTCTGATAGAAGCATGGATGGCCAGTTCCAGTCCTGGAGTAGTTCATCTGGTAGCTGGAACATGGGCGACAGGTTATCAATGACGCCGGTGTTGACCTCAGCAACCGGCGGATGAGCCCTACTATCCATCCTGTTGTCTAAAGGCGGTGGTATATGGGCCGCGGGTGGCGGCTCCCTTCGCGATGCCATGTAGACATCAATCCTCTCCACCAGCTCTCGCAAGTGCTTTCCAGCACCCGCCCGCCGCCGCAAAATGCCTCTAGCCTTTCGAGCAGCGACGCCATGGAGAGCAAGATCCGGCGCACCCGCTGGTACGACGTCTCGGAGAGAGGCCCCTCCATGACGGATCCCAGGATGTTGCCGATGCCGGCAAGGTGATAAATGAGCGGGGTGCTGATGGCCCTCTGGAAAGATTCGGGCACGTGGTCGAAAATGGTGAGGATATCCTCGGCCACGGCGCACTTCTTTTCAGGTCGGCGGCGACTTCAAGCGAGAAGAGCACCATCCTGAGCAGGGCGAGGGTGGCTTGATGTTGGCGGCCTGGAAGCCGTAGATGTCGGTGGCGATGTTGCCGGTGGCGGGGCGGAGTTCCTTGAAGATGGGCGGCAGGGTGGTGTACAAGCTGTCGACGCGCTGCAGGATGTACCGGTTGGCGGAGCCCATGGCGCCGCCGGCCGGCGAATTGGTGGTGATGGCTTCTTCGCTGCGGAAGAGGTTGAACCGGGAGTGCTGGGTGCGGAGCCGGCTGAGCGCGTGCTCGAGGATGCGGTATAGATCCGTGGTGAAGTTCCAGCCGACGAGCCATTCTGCGTCCCGGTCCGGAGAGGTGCTGGAGCTCCCGCGGGGTACTCGACGCGGGCGTGGGCCTCTTGGAAGTGGAAACATCCGCCCCATACGGTGGAGGAGTAGATGTCTAGGGTATATATGGACCAATACTATATAGAGAAACCACTAATCAGTCGCCCGCAGGCTTCAATGGATGATGAAAGATATGGATGGCCACTTACCAGTCGCCGCATCTCCTCCCTTTCGATAGCCGAGAGCCCGCTCGGCCAGTTCGTTTCATCGTGCCACTGCCTTATCGATAGGATGGTGAAATATGTGCCGATATACTTGCGCATCTGCTCGATCTTGCCGTCTTGTATGCTAGTGAGAGCTAAAGAGCCACGCCTCGCACGTAGTTGAAGTCGTGCGCGTCGATGGGGTCGGCCGGTAACGCGTCCTCGGCGGCGGCGTAAAAGTCTTCGGGTGGCAAGATCAGCAGGTCAGTGGTGTAACGCTCCGGAGAGACGAGAGCGCCGTCCCGGACGCGGGATGAGGCGAGGGCGCAAGCGGCCATGGTGGAGCAGAAGAAGGCGCGATTGCGCGTGTGCTCGCCGGCGGCAACGGACGACTCGAGAGTGTCTCGATCGAAGAAGGGAAAGCTGCGAAAAGAAAGAGAGACAGAGACTTAGTGTTGAAGTGATAATAGAGCTAGCTCGCCAGCTAGGAGACTACTTGATAGAGAGAGGTGTCTTACATAGGGTACACGGTTTCAAAGTAAACAGCGAGTATGGACGGCACTAAGGAGGTCGTAGCCCTGGCAAAAGCCTTCCAGCCCCGACCAAGAGACGGGCTATCGGTGCCCTGCCACGCGCTCGGGCTCGCGCGACGAGTGCACGGCGGGCACAGCCGGCACCGGCGGGAAGGGACCGGCGGCGCCCGGCTCATCGGTGCGGGCCGAGGATAGCCCCGGATGAGGATGCTGCCCGTCCGGGGAAGGGTTGGACCGGGGCTCGGGCCGAGAATGGGGGTTTCTGGCTAAGCGGGGGCGGGAGATGGACTGGCTGGCGAGAGGGCGTCCGCGTCGGACGGGCCGCTCGTAGAGGCACACGAGGTCGAAGTCGACGCAGTTTTGGCATCGGCTGGGCTCGCGCGTGCTGGGCCAGCACTTGATCCTGCGGTTGTGGCAGTAGTCGCCTAGGGGTTGCATTGAGATGGGGGTCAGCCCGATGGAAACAGCTCTGGGGTGCAGGGTCACGAAAGGGGGATCTCAGTGGGCTGATTGGCTTATTGGGGAAACAGAAAATATGCGGTGGATGAAAAAGGCATGTCTGGGGGCGGATACGCGGGATAAGGGCCAAGGAGAGAGGGGCGCAGACTGGGGGCGGGAGGCCGGAAAACCGGTTAAGAGGGAGAAAGTGCGGGATACATCACATACAAGCACGGGAGGCCCGCAGCCGCCGGGAGGGGCGGGACGTGTCCGACATGAGGGTCAAGGTACAAAACGGGAATGGATGACGGACGTATAAGCGCCTCCGGAAGAGGGAGGGAGGGTTTTGCACCGCAACTTGGCGATGCGGAAGCCGAGACGGAGGAACTTGGGTAGAGTAATTTCTGCGGGTCGGCGGTCCCTTCATTCGACAACTTGTTCCTGATCGTGGACGAGCACCAAAGGGATCGGATAGCCGAGGAGGAGCCGAGATGAGGGTCAGGCACGGTTCGGCTCATCATTGCCAGGTCAAGGGGCCAAGAGACGCTAGCAAAGATCGAAGTGCATATAGATCTTGCACTTGACTATTTCGAGGCAACGCAACGTGCTAATAAGTTCTGCTGACTCATCTGCACTTTTCTCTCAGTATTTTCTTAGGGTTAGGGTCAAGAGATGGAACTGGGTGGGCGAGCGATCACTGAGCCGCCGCAAAATATCAAGCTATTCGCAATGCCATTAGATAAACTAAGGGCACCGGGATCCTAATATCCAAGCTGAAGAACCTAGAGTCTAATAAATATGGTGGTTTAAAATTTCAAGAATCGTCTACTCTACATCCGGGTTGATGGGTTAGACCACTATTCGGCGATAGGTCGTGAGAGGCATCGCTCCCTCACCCGTCACTTCTAGAATTATATGCAGTAGCATACCTTTCTTGATCGGAAGTCTCTCCCTCGCAAGGATGCAAGACTTGTCAGCTGTCGGAACGGAAACCTTAATTTTGCTTCCTTGCTCATTGACGAGCCGGATGTCCACGTCGCAGACCTCCCACGCTTGATATGTCTGCGTGGCGCTCGGCTCGCGGTACTGAAACCATCGAAATGCCAGGCCTCGGTCGTCAGGGTCATACGACTCGGACGCGTCGAGCGTGATAGCCGATCCAGCCTCCGCCTCGATTCGCATAGGTTCAATCCCCACGTTACCATTAACGCTAATGACCGGGTGATGGCTTGCCTTAGCAAAATCGTCGGTCAGGGTCCACTGTATACGAGCGGCAAAATCGGCTTGAAACGCATTCCTCCACCTCCAGATGGTCGCCTTGTTCGTCGTGTAAACTTGCCCATCCTTGCCCGTCACGGCATCGCTGGCATCCGCAAAATGCCCGCGATTCGGGACACCCTCTGCGCTCACGTTGACAGGCACGTAGCGGCCGCCCCACGAACCGTAGGACGGCTCTTCGGGGACTCCGAGACCGTTCTGTACGAGGTAGAGAAACGTCGGGGTGTCGCCCTCCATGATGTACTCGTAGCTGGGGTATTCGGCGCCGAGTGGCCCCAGCTGGATGTGCGACCTGATCCATTCGTGCGAGACGACGGATTTGTCCGGTCCGCCTCCGTCAACATCGGCCGAGATTCCCGTCCACGTGGCGTTGCTGTATTGGTTCCAGCCGTGGGAGGAGCAAATGTAAAAGATATCGGGCCACTGCTGTCGGATCCAGGCGCCGCAGTCGTCCTGGTCCGAGATTGTGTAGACGCGGAGCTTGGCGCGGAGGGCTTCCGCATGGGGGTTGTCGCGGATGCGGTGGAGGACCTGGGCGAGGACGTTGACGCCTCCCCATACCAGCACCCATAAAGGCTCCGGGTTTGGATCTTCGAGACACTCGCGGAGCAGCTCGCCGCCTTCGCTTAGAACTACGTCGTCGCCTACGGCTTTCATTCCATACACCTGTACCGCTTCAAGTGTGAGCAAGCTTCTGCGTCAAATTAGGCCAGGGAGGGTTCATCCTTACAGGCGGCCCTGCGCGTATCCTAGCCTTGATGTCCTCTGCAGGCGGGTAGGGGCAATCGGGGTGGACATGGCGGTTCAAGTTGCCCACGACCTTGCCGTAGGCGTCGACAATCTTGCGCAAGTTCTCGGGTGCCACTTTGTCGCGCAGCCAGGTGGAGGTGACGGCCACGACGTCCTCGGTGTGGAATTGGTTGGCGTAGGTGAGGTAGCGGCAGAAAGACTCGGCGTCGTCGGGCTCGTTGGTGATGTCGGTCAAGATAAAGACGCGGGGTTTTGTCGCAAAGGATACGAGGGACCGCAGTTTCTCGAGTTGAGGTGTCATTTTTATTGCGAGAATGGGGAGGTCGAAGTTCAGCTCGGATGAAAAGGAACATTGAATACATGGATGTAGTGTCGAACCTCCGCTTCGAGGAGGGTTCTGAAAGTTCCCTTCCATTTTACCCGGCAGAGGAGGCGAGCAACAGCCAAGGACCAGATTATTCCGGCGCAGAAGCGACGTTGATGGATCAATTGTATGCTTTAGGTCCGATCGATACACCAACGATCGAATCCATTTGCTATTAACTACATGTAGTTCGCCAAAGCTTAGCTCGTAGAACAAAGGGCAAAACCACACGATATCTTCAGTTTCTGCATGTTTCGGAATTGAGACACATCCTTTCTTTTTCCCATATATAACTCATGATGTTGGTGTTGGCGATGTCATTTACGCCCTTGGCTTTTTCTTCCCACGCGATTCTGCGTTGCACCCGTTCCTACCCGCACCAAACCGATCAATGCCCAGGCCGGCAAACTCAACTTCGACCACAACCTTGACATTCTCACAACCAAGGTGACCCGACTGACCCTCCACCTCCATCGCTCTCTCCCGGTTTCGACACAAAAATGGCATCTCGAAAAGTCCTCCCAAACACCTCATACCTCGAGCGCCTCTTCGGGCTCGCGGGCCAAACCGCCGTAGTAACGGGAGGTAGTGCCGGCATCGGGCGCGGCATCGCCTCCGCACTCGGCCAAGCCGGGGCGCGCATCATCCTCATCGCGCGAAACCCTCAGCCCCTCGACGACACTGTAACATCACTCGCACAATTGGGCGTGCAAGCCCACCCTTACCCACGGACCTCGCCGACCGCGCGGCCCTCGAACGAGCAACGGCGACCGTCCTCGCCGACTTCGGGGTGCCGGACATTTTAGTCAACGCGGCGGGCATCAACCTGCGGCCGCACATGGACGACATATCCCCGGCGGACTGGGACGCCACGATGGCGATCAACCTCACGGCCCCGTTCCTGCTAGGCCAGGCGTTTGGTCCGCTCATGGCCGAGCGTGGGTCGGGCCGCATCGTCAACCTCGCGAGCCAGCAGGCGTTTCGGGCGTACGGCAATAGCGGCGCGTACGGAGCGTCAAGGCCGGGTTGGTGGGGCTCACGCGCTCGCAGGCGGAAGCTTGGTCGCGCCGCGGCGTCATGTGCAATGCCGTGGCGCCGGGGGTGGTGCACACGCAGATGACGGAGGCTGTCTTCGCCTCCCCGAGCTGGCCAAGAAGCATGCGGAGAGGACGATGACGGGGAGGAATGGGTTGGTGGAGGACTTTAGCGGGGTGGCTGTTTGGCTTGCGGGTAAGGGGAGCGAGGGTATCACGGGACAGACGATCTTTGTGGATGGGGGTATTCTGCTACGTAGATGATTTCATTGCGAGGGCTAGGATTAATTGAATCTAAAGCTAGCCTGTGTCTCCTACCAGCCTTCAGAAAAGAACAATTCAGCGGGACAAGAGGGTCAGGTATTTTAGGAGGCTCTTCGGGTTTTGGGTTAGTTGATGTCGCTGCTCTGAACTATAGTTCCAAAGGCATCAGCAATCTCGGCAAGGGCAACCTTGACGAGCTGGTCGGCGTCGGCGCCGGGGATGTCCCTGTCACCAACAGCATCCTCGACAACGACGATATCATAGCCAAATCGCGCACCGCTCCTGGCGGTCGTGGAGATGCAGACGTGGGCCTTGCGTGGTGATACATATTAGCATCTCGACTTTTCTTTTTCTTGTTGTTTTTGTATCCGAAGAAAAGGAGGGGGACATGAGCGGAGTTTCGGCACACGCCATAATTATGGGGTGGGGAATCTCCGTTTAGTCCCCCTTTCGGCCGAGGGGAAATTTGGGGAAAAGAGGCGGGGATGACGTTTGCGGGGTTCTCGTCAGATTCCCGACAACGCTGGGAGACTCACCATGTAGCCGACAAGAACCAGCTTTTGCTTCCAATCGACTCGAGGTGCTGCTGCAGATCCGTGTCCGCGAACGAGCTAGGGTAGTTCTTGTGCACGACTTTTCGCCGTCGCGGGGCGTGAGCTCCTCGAGCTCCTCGGCGAGCTTGGTGCCGGGTGTGAAGACGGGGGCGCCCGGGGTGTGTCGTGGACGACGTGGACGACGTTGCCCCCGCTGGCCCTGTACTTTTCGAGGAGGGCGTGGATGACCTTGCGCGAGGAGGCGATGTTCTTGACGGTCAGCTTGCCTTCGGCGTACTCGTTTTGGGCGTCAATGATGACGAGGGTGCTGTCCTTGGTCGAGGCGACTGAGGGGGCACCCCGATGATTTGACGGAAGGACTGGGCCATTGTGTGGGGAAGAGTGGGCGAGCGGGCGGTACGAGCCGAGAGGATCAAGAAAGATTGCAAGGAATAAAATGTAAGGGGGATGAAATGGCTAGTGAACGGTCAAGTAAACAGGATGTCGAAAAGGTTCAAAGGCCTAGGGGAGGCGGTCGATAGCTTTATATACAACCCCGAGCTATTATCATAAGTGACGCAAGAGCTTATAAATTTTAGAAATCGTCAGCCAGGTGCATCCCGCCCAACCCTTCGAAGCAACCATTAATAGACTCCGCTATCATCGTACTGGCTTCAATGTTCTCACGAGTGAGTCTTGACCCGAAGCGTCAATGCATAAAACCCCTCCGAGTGGAACCCTGAGCTTGGAAATCATGGAGCACCGGGGCTAGTTACGCCAAACTAGCACCATCATCAGTCCAGTTCACCACCTCGCCCATTTTTTAGGCTCGCTTGATCAGCGCCAAGCTTGAGCCCCATGGCTTAGTCACACGCACTAACACCGCGCAAGGCATTTAGTTGTGAAATACCATACGCCTGGGGCCATCGCTTTGTAAGGTCCCCGGCGAAGGTTGCCGTTTAGGGGCGCTGATCAACCAGCTGCCGTAATCCACCATGTTGCTGATTCACTATATATTGCGGGGATCCCCGTCACGATGGTGGACCTGATCGAACGAGTAGTGGGTGAAGGGCGCGCGAATGTAAGCTCAACTTGGTAAATTTTTTTTTCATGTCCTTTATAAGGCATCGATGTTATGGATTCATCGATTGGCTATCCCCCTTCTTGTTGTCTTGTCTCCCAAAGTTTTCGAACTTTCAAAGTTTTGGAGCGAGGGCGTCGCGAAGACAAACGCGATCATCAAGTGGATCTCCCACCTCAAGTTTCCTCTTCAAATATTCCATCTTCCTTCTCCTGTTCCACGCTATCTCTCTCTGGGGCTTGGGTTTTCTTTTCTTCTTTTGGGGTCAGGTTATCTACAACGCGCTTCCGCGCTCAATACCTGTCTCACATGTCTCAGCTTTATGTCAGTTTGGCTAGTTTCCTGCAAATTACGGGGTTTCGTAAGGTCGGGAAACAATAATGGACCTTTATAGAAGACTGCAGTTTGAGATGGGTGCGACAGTTCACAACGGTATATGTAGTGTGCAAAGTTGCACAAACATATCAATTGTGCTATATGCCTGACAGGAGTACCCCTACCCTTGAGGGTTTCGAGGGGAGGACATCTCACATCTGGCTTGTTTCCACAGTCAAGATCGAATCAGAGTCAACATCCACTGCGCCAATATCTGTCAACCGATCATTCTTGACATAGGACTCACATCCGAGTTCTGTTGTGAATTTCAGTCTCAAAACATGGGAACCGACGTGGCGCGTACGAAGTATAGACCCTGGCACATCCTCTCCTTTCCGGACATCCTCGCCGTATCACCTGTCATGTAGTCGAAACTGATTGTTGCTTTCGTCCTCGCCTTGTCTACCGCAATGCGTACTCCAGCTCTGCTCCCCTTCTCCTGCTGGCGCCACTCTCCGCAGCCGAGGGTGCCGGTCAAGGGCCACCCGATGTCAAGCATCCAGACTGCAGTATCCCTACGCCAACTCTGCCAACCCTAAATGTCCTGACTTTTACCGTCATCGCCACCGTGGCACCGACCATTGACTCCTGGGGCCAAGTCCTGAAGCACATTTGTGCCGCACGTCCCGAACCGCCTGTTTCCGGCCTCTCTCTCGATGCGGAGGGAGGCGCGGTAGCTGGTGCCCTAGGACACGAAAAGGCGAAATCTAGCGGTGGAGGCCACGATGGCGCCGGAGGTCAGCCACAGAATGGATATCCAGGCGCAGGCGCGCAAAAGATTGTCTACGCCAACCATTTCGAGGGCGAGCCTCTGGGAGAGGAACCGGCAGCGTGGAAAGCGTGGCAGTTTGTGCCCACCTTGGTGCGTCCTAGTCCGGGACACGGCGGCGAAAATGAGGACGAACCGAAGCACCATCCGGACTCTTCACCTCACAGGTCGTATTCCAAGGACCGCAAAAGGCGAGAACCTCGAAATCTTCGTCCCGCTCGACTTTACCGACGATCACGGAAACCAAAAGTTCGTCTACTACCAGGTCGACTATAACGGAAGAGCCATCAAGCTCGACGACTACAACGGAAGAGCCATCAAGCTCGACGACTACAACGGAAGAGCCATCAAGCTCGACGACTACAACGGAAGAGCCATCGAGCTCGACGACTACAACGGAAGAGCCATCAAGCTCGACCGACACTCACGTCCCGCAATGCACGCCGATCCAGAACGGCGATTTCAGCAATGGCATGGAACACTGGGTGGTGGCTGAGCTGAACAACGCAGCGGACTCCGGGGTCAGGGCGGTCGACGACTACTTTGTCTATGCCCTCGTGGCCGACGCCAACGTCACAGAAGCCTCTGCGACTTTCTACCAGCCCATCCGCTGCAACGAGGCGAAAGAGTACAATATGCAGGCTCGGTTGTTGTGGGTGAACGCGGCCTTCAAGGCCGCCTCTTGCGCGATCAAGGCGAGCTGGTCTGGATTCGAGGAGCGGGGTTTGACAGCACAGCCCGTGGAGGACGTGACAATTATTCTGGATTTCACCACCACCTGGGATCCGGAAGACGAGAATTTTGTGATTGAGCTATCTTGTAGCGGGATAAGGGAAGCGGGGAACAGATTCAGGTGGCAGACATATTTCTTCGCGAGCTAGGCGAATAATGCCTGGGTCTCCTGTCCGTCTTGGTGCAGGTCTTCCAATGTTTCCTGCGTATGAGTATAATTCAATGTTAGGACTGGGGGTTCGTTATAGCTTCAGAATATGTGTAAATTCTTCAGTGGGTACATGTACCTTGTTTGCATCCACCTGGCCATGTCTTACATTTAGGTGTTTGGGATCAATGCCTTCTATCACAGGAACGTCTTTGGGGTGAAACTGATCTGAGCAGCCATCAAAGGGCAGCCAAGGCTTCCAAAGGAGTTGATTTTTCTTGTTCTTTTGCTGAAGTTGTATCTCTAAATATATAAAATGCGTCGTCTTTGTAAGGATGGCCAGCCCCAGGGTCATCACGCCTCTTCATCAGCAGACTCTCCACCACTCCTAGCCAAGCAAGGGACAAAAGATATTTGGGGAATAAAATCATCACCTCGCGAGAAAGGCTAAATTTCCAAACAAGTGACCGTGATTAAGCCCACCTCCTTTCCTCCCTCCTACTCTATCCGCTCCCCATCGTACACGACCTTGCCCCTCGACCACGTCTGCACGACCTTGGCGCCCAGCAACTTCTCCACGTCCCACTCCATGTCGATGACGGCCAAGTCAGCAGCCTTCCCAGCCTCGAGCTTCCCGGTCCAAGCGTCGGCGAAGCTGCTATAGGCGGAGCCCTCGGTGAGCGCAGTGAGCGCGGCGGCCAGACTAAGTGCGAAGTGGGGGTTGACGACCTCTTCGGAAGCGGGCTCGCGGGCGGAGCGGCGCGTGGTGGCGGTGTAGAGGTTGGGGAACGGGTCGTAAGGGGAAGTAGGGGCATCGGAGCCGAGGGCGAGGACGGCGCCCTCGCGGGCGAAATCGGAGTAGGCGAAAGCGCGGGAGCAGCGAGCGGAGCCGAGAAGGGCGGGCCAGGCGCGGATGATGGCGGGATCGGCGTGGACGGGCTGGACGGAGGCGGTGATGCCGAGCTGGCCGAGGCGGCGGGCGTCGCGGGGGACGCGAGCTCGAGGTGTTCCATACGGTGGCGGGCGCCGGGGCGGGCGTGGGGCTCGAGGGCGTCGAGGGCGGTGGAGATGGCGAGGTCACCGATGGCGTGGAGGGCGCACTGGAGGCCGGCGTTGGCGGCGCGCTCGACGACGGGCCGTAAGGCGTCGAGGGGCCAGAGCATGTCGTAGGTGGCGCCGTTGGAGTAAGGGACGGTGAGGGCGGCGGTGCAGGCGTCGACGATGCCGTCGCAGATGATTTTGATGCCGGCGATGCGGCACTCGGGGCTGGTCTCGGCGTTGAAGCGGCGGTTGAGCTCGATGACGCGGTCGACCTGGGCGAGGGCCTCTTCGGTGGTCGTGGAGGGCCGGATGAGCCAGTAGGCGGCCACGTGCACGGGTAACCCGCCTTCTTGCTCCTTGAGGGCAAGTAGGGCCTCCCAGGTATTGTCCTCCATGGCCATCTCGACGAGGCCGGTGTAGCCGTGGGAGAGGTACGAGTCCATGGCGGCCTTGATGGCGTTGACGCTCTCCTGCAGGGGCGAAACCTTGGCGAGGTGGGGCCAGACGAAGAGGAAGACGCTGGCCTCGGAGATGACGCCCGTGATGTGGCCCTCGGCGTCGCGGTGGATGATGCCGCCGGGGGCGCGGGGGTGGCGTCGTCGATGGCGAGCTCGCGTAGGGCGGCGGCGTTGCACCAGGTGGAGTGCAGGCTCTTGGAGTCGACGAAGATGGGCCGCGGGTCGAGGCCCTCGAGCATGCTGGAATGGGCGTCGCCGGGCCCCGTCATGAAGGGCATCCAGCCGCTGCAGAGGATGCGTTCAGCTTTCGGGTGGGCGGCGGCGAAGGCGGTGATCTTGGCGCGGATGTCGGCGAGGTTGTGGCAGTCGTCGAGGGGGAGCTTTTGAGGGCTTGGCCGAGGACGAGGAGGTGCATGTGGCCGTCGATGAAGCCGGGGAGCACGAAGCGGCCCTGCATGTCCTGGCGGGTGGCTGTGGTGGCAGCGATGTCGGCGACTTTGGGGTCCGTTAGGCTACCGACGTGGGCGATGCGGCCGGTGTCGTTGTCGATGACGAGGCAGTTGGCGAAGCTGTGCTTGGGGACACGACGCCCGTGGTTTGGAAGACGCGTGCATTATGCAGGATGGTATAGTTTGGCATGATGGCTCGGCTCCGGGGTTTTTTTCTTGGGTTCCGGCTACTTGCTTGGATCTATGTTTGGGGGCGGGAGAGAAAAGGCACAAGAGTTCAAATTTTGGGGAGGGAGGGGCGGGTTGGATGTAGGCAGGGAAAAGGTCCCCTTCTTTTTGGAGATGATGGGGGTGCACGAAGAGGGAAACAGGCGATCGATTAGTTCTTATGGATGTACCCCACCCCCACCTCATCGGAGGTTTGTGGTGATTCAAGTACTTTTTGGTTTCCCTTATCAATCAGTTTTTGGGGGAGCTTCTTGGTTGCGGTCCATTGGACTACTAGTTCCGGGCGGGACGTCTTGGTCTGTCTGCCCCTCGTGGCTCCACCTTGTGGTCACGAAAATACCAGGGCGGGCCCCGATTTTTCATGGCCCTGATCAATGACGCTTGACATGTGGAGATGCGTGGAGACGAGAGGATACAGGTATGGATACTTGGACATGTAGGTCCTGTCCCTGCTTCGTGTTTTCCTGGATAAGATGCGGGAGATGGCACCAAGCGCATGGCGAGGGACAAACTCGGAAGGTGGTGGCGGGGTGTCTCGGCTCGTCTTGTGCAGACAAAGCTGACGGGAGAGAGGGGGCAGGCAAATAGTGGAATCCAGGATCCAATGCCCGTTGAGCGAGACGAAAGTGGCCGACTATACCGGGGCACGTGGACTGACATTTGGTCCAAGTGGGAGAAAGGGACTTGGGCACGACTGCATTCTTGAGAACGTTTAACCACTAGAATGAGCTTCAGCGCGTCCGTATAGTGGTGGTTGTGAAAGTTCCCTTGGTGGCGCACAACGGACTAGGCAACTCGGAGCGAACGACTGTAATTGATGGTTAGTTGGCAGATTTCTGAGTTGAACAGCCGTGACCTTGGAGCGCATTCGCACTATCCACATGCATCCATTTATTTGCCTGACTCTCGACTACTTAGCAGAGGCAGGTCTATCCCCAATATTCCCACCCTTTTCGATGATGTAAACCTCTTAACTTGCCTATAGCCCTTTGCCGGGACTGGATTCCTCCAACCCGATTGCACAAAAGAGAACCCTCTGATGCATGGTGGCGGCCAATACGTAGTCGAGAGGCATCAATGCCGAGCCGAAGGCAGCGACTTGGGCACTCACCCTCGGACCCTTAGGGTTAGCGATAGCGACGGCGGTGAAGTCGGACTTGGATCGTCTTTGACCTTTTATTGCACCCTTTGGTTAGTGCACGTGGCAAGACGGAATGATCCTTCGGCAGTCTATACCTGAAATTAAAACTCCCATCTTGACATCTTTTCCAACACAACGTTGATACGGCTGGCGCGAACCTATATCACGGCCCACGTTACGACACAGCGTGCGCCAGCGTACCTACACACCTTAGCCATGGACCCGATACCTGGGGAATTTGAAAATGTTGCCAAGCGCGCTTACCCCACGGGCTCTGGGGAAATCTACACGATATGGACTACGGCGGCATTATGGAATCTTTCTAGTGTTTGGTTTCAAATAGTCTATGTTCTTTATTCATTGGTATAATGCTGATATCGACGAAAAACGTGGAAGAGCAAGAAAAGCAAAGGCATTAGATTCTATAACACATCATTCGTAACATAAGCCTCAATGGCTGCATACTATGCTCAACCAGCCCACCTGATTCTCCCGTTAGCACAGACAAAACTCGTACAGAGGCAGTCCGCCGCTGGGTTGCACTTACCAAGGATAGAAAATATTGTCCACAGAGTACCTTGGGACGCTAGTTTTGGCGGACACCATCTACGATTGTCATACGTTAGCGGGCCCTGATGCGGGTTTCCAGCAAAGATGCAAGGGACGCGGGGCAGGGGGCGAGGAAAGTGGAACGAAGGGGGTATCAAACATACAGCGAACCAGGCAAGGAGAGAAAATAAGTCCAGTAGATCCACGGCCCCAAGACAACGGCTACCAGGGGAATGCACGCGGCGAATGCGTAGAGGAACTTTTGTCCCGACGTTTTCTCGGACGGCGTTCGGTGCCAGATGGGGACGACTACCATGCAGACGAGGACGAGGGCAGGGAGGACCTGCATGTAGATGAGCACGCCCTTCATATACTCTTTGACGGGCTCATTGGGCAGACGCTTCCAGGTGGTGCCGATGAAGGCGGCGGAGATGATTTTCAGCACGAGCTCGCCGATGGCGGACGAGATGTAGCCGTCCACGTAAATGTACTCGCTCTTGCGGTACACGGCGATGCGGAGGAGGGCCATCCAGGCCAGGGCGAAACTCGGGCGGGAGGCGTACAGGGCAAACACGTTGCGGAAGACGAGATGCTCGTACCCCTCCGTATTGACGACGAGGAGGCTGGACGCGAGGTTGCCGAGGAGGATGAGCCCCGTGGTGAAGATCCAGGTCCACCAGACGCCGCTGCCGCCCTTTTTGCCGAGACACCCGCAGCTCGCCTTGTTGGCGATGGGGCGGCACCCGGCGACGGTGAGGCCGAGGGCGATGACGAGGGCGGTGACGCCAAAGGTGACGAGGGTATCGTTGGCGGTGGGGCACGTGCCGACGTCGCTGGGCCCCATCATCCATTCGAGGGGCACGGGGGCGGGTTGGAGGTATCGTAGCTGCCCGAGTTGATGCCTTGGTACGGGGCGAACACGGATCGGTAGACGCCGGCGCGGGCGCCGGTGGGTGGGGAGGGCGAAGCCGACGCTGCCGGTGTGGCCGGAGCTGCCGGGGCGGGGGCGGACGATGACCGGGGCCATGGCGTTGGGTGTTGCTGTGCGTAGAGGGGGATTTAGAGGAGAGTGAGACTGGGTGCTGGGGAGGCGTGGAAGGCCATGGAGTAGAGTTGTGGTTGTGCACTTGTTGCTGTTTCGTCAAGAGAGGTGGTGGAAGGGATGCCGAGTTTCAGGCTATCTCTCAAGTGACGTCGAGCCAAAAGGATCTGGGCAGAGGAGAAAAAAGAAACAGACGGAAAGGGGGTTTCTCGTGCTTTAATCCCCGAAGTCTCGAACCGCGCTTCGTCCCGCGCACATGCTGAAAACCCGAAAGGGAAAAGTTCAAGTTTTGACGATTCTACCGCCAAGCGCTCTAGGACAGATATTCCCAGCGGTTCCGGGCCAGGCTCACACGCACCGCCACCATTTTTGGGGGTTTTACTGTTTTGGCGCTGGCCTCTGGGCCTGGCATGGGGTCTTTTCTTGCGCGAGGCGAATGGAAACCGGGAGTTGGCGCGGACGTGCGTCCACAGATCAGGGGTGCCAAGCCAGGCCTAGACCAGAAAGCTGGGAACCGCCACTTTCTAAGGGGGCATTTCTCAATGATTGCCAAGGATGGACCAATTAATTCACAAGACTAGGGAAGGGGGTCTGTGGTGGAATGGGCTCGTCCCGAGTATCGATTACGAAAAGGAAAAGAGAGCAAGAGGGGCCGTGTACCGGATGGAAAATCAACCTCGCGGCCAACCTCGTCGCGAATGGGCGGGAATTGCTCGTTTGGTGGGAAATCGTGCGAGGCAGACTCAAAGGATGCGAAGGGACCCCCTGCGCAAAGTGAGATGGGAACCGACCACGCCGGGCAAGACGTTCGGCCCGGTCCTTCGGTGCTGGTTCTACGGACATGTATAATATTTGATGGGCTTCCAGGACCCGTTGGCGTGGGATGGATCAATTGATGTGACGGTGCAGATGGAACTAATTCCGACAGGCCCGGTTAAGGTTATTTTCCAATCTGTCAATCGAAACAATCAATAAATCAACATTGTCCTCGACGTACATGTAACCTTGTTGCCGCTCCCGCTGGCCGAGCTTCACCACAGCCCCCAGAAATCGTGGCTTAGACCACAAGCATCGACAACTTGAGGTGCCTTGGTCAGCTACCAACACGAACACGGATCATGTTGACGGCACCATGTTGAAGGAAAAGAACCAAACAAGTCATCTTCGCGATTCCCGACACGTGGGTTTGATCGAGGGCACATTTTGCGCTTCAATCCTTTCCGTCTACTCCGAACACGCTTGAAAATTTTCTGTTTCCTCGCGCTGCGTGCGTTTATACAGGCAATACATGTAGTATTCATTACCGTGGTCCTCGAGACCAAGCTGGGTCGTTGCATAAAACACCGCTTCAACGAGGCTCGGGGCTGAGCAAGCGCCATGCACCCCCGCCTTTTTCCTCTTTCTCGCTTTGAACAACCCGTTTCCCACCTCCCAGAGAATGAGACAGCACCGATATGAGTGGCTTCCCGTAATAATCAAGATTAAGCATTATAACTCTCCCTAGATAATCCCACGATGTGTCTATCCCACTGTTGAAGGGGTATAACCCTAGGCTAGCCTCGTAAAGGTCCACGGTCTTCCGATTGCCTCTCTCTCTCTCCCTCTCTCCAAGAGCATGAAAGCCTCCCGTAATCGCTCACCACCTGCGCAATGCAGCAGTTCCTCGAGAACATCCTGGTCGCCTACGGCGTGCCAATCCTATCCGCCCTGGGGAGCGAATACTTCGTCGCCATCCCCTTGGCTTTTATCGCCCACTGGTGGGACTGGCCCGGCCTCGAGTCCACGCTATTCTACCTCGCCGTGGTATGGAGCGCCTACTACGCGCCGTCCATCCGCGCCGACCGGCCCCACGACCCAGAGGCCTTCGCGTCCCTGATGCGCGCCTCCCGCCCCAAGGCATTTTACGTCGCCATCTCCCTAACCCTGCGCGGCCTCGACTGGCTCGGCCTAGCGAAATACACCACCTTTACAGCCTGCCTCACCGCCCTCTCGACCACGGCGCTCGCGTATGCCGCCTCCCGCTTCATCGAGCGCCGCGCCGGCTTCAGCATCTGGCGCGGTGCGGTACGTGGAATAACAAACCTGTGGGGCCGATCGGTCGACGTTCGATACCGACTCTTCGTCGGCTCCATGGCGGCCGAGGTGCGGCTGATGGACGCGACCCAGCACCTCCTCAACCGCTTCTGGCCCCGCGCCGTCACCAAGCTGTACATGCGGCTGCTGGGCGTCGACATCGACAAGCAGTGGACGTACCAGCCCCTCGCCGACCCCCACAAGCACATCCGCCTGTTTCGCCTCGCGCGCTGGGTGCCCTTTGCCGGCGTGCGGGGCTCCGTCATCCACGTTCCCCTCGGCGGCGGCAGCAGCAACGGCGCGACGTCTCCCCCGAGTACACGGCCATCTCCTACCACTGGGGCACCGTACGCGAAAAGCGCTGGGTCTCGGTCAACGGCGCCCGCTTCGCCATCTCCCTCGCCACCCACGACGCCCTCGCCGCCCTCGCCTCCCCTTGGCGTGAGCGCCTCATCTGGATCGACTACCTCTGCATCAACCAGGGCACCGACCCCGACACCGACACCAGCACCCGCAAAAGACTCTAGCGGAAAAGAGCGCCCAGGTCCTCCTCATGCGCGACATCTACGGCGGCGCCCACCGCGTCATCATCCACATCCCCGCAGCCGCTCGCCCCCTTTACCCACCAAATCCTGCACGAGCTCCTCCTCCTCGCCGCCAACCGGGCCAACCACCCCTTCCTCCAGCTAGGGACCCCTTCCTTACACGCCAAGTACGAGCTCGAGGTCCTCGGCGCCCCTGGCAGGCCCTCGTCGCTTTTCTCAACGCCGACTGGTTCTCCCGCATGTGGGTCGCGCAAGAGGTCGCCCTCGCGTCCGCCGTCGAGCTGCGCTACGCCGGCCACGCCTACGAGTGGGCGGCCCTCGCCCACGCGCTGCAGGAGGCGTTTCGCCCCCGAGATGGCGGCCCTGCTTCAGCTCACCCAGCGGGGCCGCCGCGCCGTCGAGCAGCTGAGCAAGCTCAGCACCCTGAACCAGACGCGCAGGCTGATGCCCCTCGTGCGCATCCACCGCACCATGAACACCGGGCTCTCCTTCGCCCTGGCCCAGGCGTTTGCCCGCATCCGCGCCCGCGAGGGCGGCGTCGTCGAGACCGAGGAGGAGCGCAAGCGCAACGAGGCGCTGCGCCGGGATCCCGCGCCCCTCATCCACCTCCTGCACAGGTTCTCCCACTTCGACGCCACGGATCCCCGCGACAAGATCTACGCCCTGCAGGGCCTCCTCGCCCAGGACTGCCCCGCATCCCTCATCCCGGACTACGACGCCGTCACCACGCCGGAGCTCTTCCGCCGCGCGGCCAAGCACATCCTCAGCAACCGCGACATGGACGAGCGCCTCGCCCTCTTCGCCATGACCGGCTTCGGCTCTCCCGGCCGAGACGACGCCCTCCTCCCCTCCTGGGTCCCCGACCTCGTGCACCCGCCCCCGGCCCCGCCCTTAGCACCCTACGTCTGGCCGCGCTTACCCTTCGAATACGACGCCAGCGCCGGGCACACCCCCGCCCGCGCGCTTTCCCCATGACAACGAACCCGACGTTTTAAGTCTTGACGTCCTCCGCTTCGACGTCCTCGCCGCCGTCGGACCCCCGCTCGACACCCCGCGCGACGACGACTTCGCCCGCGACGCCAACGGCCGCTTCTTCAGCGCCAACGACCTCGTCTACTTGCCCCGCTGGCACGCGTCCACCCTCGCCCTCGCCGCGCGCCACGCGTCCGACCCGTACCCCTTCACCACGCCCGGCCAGACCCTGCGCGAGGCCTTTTGGCGCACCCTCGTCGGCGACGCCGACAAGGATTCCCGCCCCGCGCCCGCGTACCTCGCCGACGTCTACGCCGACGCCGTGGCGCTGTGGGAGGAGATGCTCCCCTACGGCCTGGACGAGGGCCGCACCATGACCCTGCCCGACGACGAAGAGCACTGGGCGAGGCAGAAGCGCGCGGGCGTCTGGAGCAATGCCATGGCGTACTGCGTTACGGGTCGGTCGCTGTGCGCGACGGCGGCCGGGTACTTGGGGTGCGTGCCTCGCTGGGCGCGCGCGGGGACGAGATCGTCGTGGTGCGCGGGTCCGGCGCCGCTGGTCGTGAGGTCGGCGGAAGCGAGCGATAACTCGGGGAATAAGAACGGAGGTGGGCCGGGTGCCGGCCGGCCGGTGCGGTATAGGATCTTGGGACAGTGCTATGTTCACGGGATTATGGACGGGGAGGCGGTCGGGTCGGATCCGGCTTGGCAGGCCATGGAGTTTGTCTAAGGAACTGCTACGACAAGGAAGTAGGAGAGAGGCAGAGAGAAGCGTTTAGGGGGCTAGGGGCTCACAGTACCTCGGTAATAGTGTAATAATCTCATACATAGCAGAGAGCAACAGGAAGAAGGGGTTTTCTCTGCGTCGATCATTTAGCTCGTTTCAGTAGATACACAAGTATGCGACGTGAAAGAAACGCATCAGCGAGCAAAGACGCAACATGATAGCGAACCCCATGTCCTCGAAAGACCACCCTTCCTTTTCCCCCTCCGCCTATGAAACGCGCTCACAGACACCTTGCGCGACGTCAAGTTACAGCCTCCGACCGAGGTAAGAGATATTTCAATGTTGTGTGCAAGCCACATGGAAAGCGCTTCGCCATCCTATCGTTGTTCGTTTACTATTGCTTTTTTGTTGTCAAAATCCCTCCGCGAGCATCTTTGTCGTCGGAGCCTTGCCCTCCCCTTCATCCAACCCCAACCAAACAAGTGATGGGTGCTGCATCTTGCGTCACATCCTGCAATCCAGGCTCGTCCCCGAGGTTTCCTCTCGTCGAGGAAAAAAACCTCCAGAGCCACCCACACCCCAACGTAGATGGATGCGTCACTTGCCAACTTGGTGACTAGGCGCCACGGACATGCATGCCCCCTTTCAGTATCAACCTTCGAGATACCAGTGACCAGCTCGGTTAGTCTATCCGAAAATCGAAGCAGGGGTCTATCCAACGATGGTCACCAAAGGGATTGACTAGATCGATCCTCCTTGCGGTTCGTGTTGGACAGGCGATGTTTGCGAAGAACAAGATGGGGCACTCGAGACCAACTCGAATGCAATGGGACACATGCTCTCCTCCTGGCTTCAAAACTCTTTACAACTACACTATGGCAGGCAGGCAGGGGTCCTTAGTATTAGCTCCGTCCTGCGTCCTGCGCGCTGCTCGTCCCCACATGCTAGACGGAAGTGAAGAGGAAATGTCAGAAACACGTGGAAACGCAAGGGACGGCGAGGATCCCTCATCCACTTTGAACTCAATTTTCGAGCGAGGGAATGGATCCTCCCTTCCATCAATGACACTTTCTTCTTCCAGTTTTGTTCATCAACGCGAGAGTCGTTGCCGTTCCCCTAAGAATACAATACCCATCCCTCCCCTTAAAGAAGGCACAAACAAAAGGGAAGATCTTTGCCCTTTTGCGCCAGGACGTGCAGGCAGGCTTTCAGTCGGCACCTTAACCTTACAGGGTTGATGCAGGGCGAAAGAGCATGGCTTAGCGGGCTTGGTCTCGGCCAGCTGCTTTCTTAGGCTTAGCCTGCAGGCTGAAGATTGCATCTGATACACGCCGGCGCGAGCCTTGGCTTGGAGGAGGGAAGGGGAGGGGAGGGGGAAGGATCCAATATTTACGTCTGGAAGAGGGGCCGACAACTCTGTTCTGGTGGTTGTTCACACAAGGTTTCTTTCCCTTCGTATCTTCATCCATTCTTTTGAAGAGAAAGATGGCGATGCATGTCAAAGGAATCGCCGATGAGTTAGGATCGTCCTCGACGATGCCAAGTATGCCTCCATTACTCCACTTTCCACACTGGCAAGCTGGGCGAGTATTATTGTCGGTGGAGAAGAGGAGACCCGCAGGGATTCCCAAGTGGATCTGGGGATCTCCTCCAGCAAAGCGACGAAGAAAAAGAGGAGAAAAAGCGAGGAATACCGCCGCCCCCGGCTCGACCCCGACTCGAATGTGCATGACAATAATAGGGCTATCACCTCTCAGGTTACAGAATGGGGCCCCTCGAAGCTAAATTTGCAGCTGGGGATGGCGCCTCCCCTTCAATCTTCAGTACCAACAACAGCAGCTCGTAATTGATCCACACCAAACATTGTGCACTTGCGGAAGAGAATCCGTAATACACCACACTAGATATTTGCTCCACTTTTAGCTGCCTCTCGAGGCCTCGCAGCTCTCTCTCGTTCTTGGTTAGAGCGTCTTAGACTGTATTTGGCAGGCGATTAACTTGGAGGCGTCGAGAATGCTGGCCAGGCTGCTGTCACTCCTCCAATCAGACCCCTCGCAATGGTTTCGGGGCCAGTTCAGAGGCGGAGGCGGGGGACCGGGATTTGAAGAAAAGAAATGAAGTAGAAGAAAGAAAAGAAAAAGTAGATGCCACCGGCTCTCAAACCGTCACACTCTTTTGTGTCTGGGATGTTGACTGCGAGAGGGGCGTTGCCGCAAAACCCTCCCCATCACACCACTGGCCAGCACACGCAGCCAACCAGGCCTCGACTTGGATTCTTCCGACGGGTGATTGAGCGTCTCGTTGGACCCAACGCATGTGGCACCCTTGCCCAAAACGGAAGCCCTTGGCGAAGCAAGAAGCCGGGCAAAGGCCAGGCCATACCAGCCATTCAAACCCCACCCTCCGGTATTGCCCACAGCGAAGCCCTCCAGGCAGAGTGAGGGTGCATCAGCGCCACGCCAAAAGGATTCCATCTCCGTGGTCCAGGGGGACACAGCATGATGAAGAAGGGGCTCTGACAATCGATCTGCGCAAGGGCGCCAAAACCGCCGGCAAATATCAAGGTCTAGGTGAGGAAGGACTGTTGAAAGCGCGCAATGCATCCTGCCCTTGTTCACCCTTGACGGGCCGTAGACGGGATTTTGCTCCATAGTACGTCAAATGCAGCGGATCCCAGTCTTAAGAGTGGCGTGTTGCTTGTGCGCAAGTTGGAGGGGGAGATGGGGAGAGCAGGGGAAGGAGACAAGCCACCTACGCTAGAGTAGGTGGGCTAATGGCAGACAGGCCTGAGAAGCCGGTCGTCAATGGACGGGCTGGCCATTGGAAGGGAGACCCTACTTGTCGATGACGGGTAAACAACGGCAAGGGGAGTAGGAGGAAAAAGCTCGTGACGGTAGCAGGTCCCAGAAGCAGCCAAGCGGGAAGGCCTCGAGCGCGAACGATATCGGCGCGAGACCTGCGCTACAGCCACAACGGGGCTCTACCCCCGGTGCTAAGGCCGCCTGGTGACGCGCCTCGAGATTCGTAGGACGCCACGCTGCCTCCCCGGAAATTGAACCCGGGAGGCACTAAAGGGAGGATGCTAAATGAGCATAGAGGCCAGCCCTCAGAAGTGAAAGCGAACAAAGGGAATGCCAGGGAGAGAAAGAAGGCAGCAAATGAAAAAGCATGAGACAAGGGGAATTTCCGCATGAGCAGGCTTGTTATGAGAGCACGCTTCTAGTGTACTGTTTCTGGAGTAGCTCGTCCACATCATTTGTGGGTTTACTCCGCGGACATGGATCAATTGATGCATCAGTTGATGGCAAATGTAATCCAACGCCAGCTTCAATGGGTTAGAAACTTGGCGCCGGCACTCTGGCGGACGAAGTAGTCTTTGGTGTTGAACGCCAAATCAATTCTTAACAGTTGAGTTCTCCGTGGGGTTGTGTCGCTCAACAATCTATTCGATGTCAGGAACAGCAAGTAAAAAAAGGTACTGTGGCCAGCTTCCCGTGCCGTGCATGCCCGCGCTGATCATCCTGTGGCCAAGAGGCATGGAAGGGTGTTGCCGGATGCCATGGCGGAATCTCAGGCACGGAAACGGAACGGAAACGAAAGAGGGGAAGCTCTATTCAGGATCCCACAGTATAGCGGCGGAGAAGGAAAAAAAAAAAGATTAGTTGCTTGTAATATTACTTGAAACCAAGGCCAGTCGAAAGAAAGACGGAATCTTTTCCCTTGTTGCTTTGCATCTACGTTGCATGGAGAAGGGGAAGGATCGATCGATCGTTCCTTTGACTGATCACGGAGCGCATACTTGCACCAGAGCCCGCCAAGGTCTTCCGAGGTTGCGAAGGACCCGAATATCACCCTGTCATACCCACATTTCATTCGCTTGTTCCGTCGTCAGAGGGGTCACCCTCGACTGGCAGGACGAGTCTTGATTTGTGCCAGAGCAGCGAAAGTTGGTGACATTCCAGGTTCTCGGGTTGGCCCAAAGGACAGGTTTAGGAGAGCGTGGTATTAATTTAGAAGTTGACAAATGAAGGGTGCACGGCGTTTTCATGTGTGTGCCAAATGCATCTGGGCGGCTCGGCCTAAAATTGATGCAGCTCGATGCACTCACTTCCCTGTCTCATGGAGGGCACTTCAAGGGCGTTCCCTCGGTATTATTACCGTGATGGATGGCTGCTAGTAGTCCACTAGAAGGGCATCTTCGGACCAAAAAGAAAGCCAAGGAATCCCGGAGGATGAGTGGCTCTCCCTTCCCACCACGTCTGGCCTTGCTGTTCGCCTTGCCAGATCTTGGTCTTGTTCTTGTTGGCGTGGCGCGAGGGAAGGATTCGGCCGTCATGCGAGCGCACTGAAGCAGCAAACAAGCACTGGGAGCGTGGCTAGCGTTGGCGTTGGCTGGCGTCGACTAATAAGGGTCAATGGTGGCTAATACCCCACCACGTTCTTTTTGGCCAACTGAAACATCGGAGCCGAAAAGGTATGTGAAGATGCAATAGAGGGAGGGGCCAGCTCTTGCAACCAGCTGAACTCCACGGCACTTGGGCCAGCCCAGCCATCCTTCAATCACCCCATCATGGGTTTTCTTTTCTCCTACTCTCGGATGCACTCACTCGGTAGCGGAGGGATCTCGGAGTGGCTTAAACAGGTTGGAATATTCCTGGTACACGGTAGACAGAGCCCATCCCTAGGCGTAGGTACAGTCACAGAACACGATGCAAGCTCGATAACTTCAAGCTATTACATAGACCACGATAAGTGAGAGGGGGACGACGGCGAGCCAGCCTCTCTTAGTCTTCTGTGTGCGTTTTTTCTTCCGCCTTCCTAGCCAACGCCCTTGTTTTCCATCATGAAGTGTCTACCGAGGTATTGCGGGACGAGATTAAAACAATCAGAGGCCGATACTGGTCCACGCCCGGCGCTTTGACGCAGCCCTTGCACCGAGGAGTCGCACTCGTTCACAGTTTCTGGACCTGCTCCGTTGGCCTGGCCCTTGCCTTGCAGTGGGTCTTCCGAGCGATCAGATCTCTTGCGAATGCAACGAGATCTTCCGCCGCTCTGGGTGGTATGGCGTGTATGGCGTGTTCCAGCGTCTCTTCCTTTGACAACGTGGGACCAAGAAAAGTTTAGGGAGCATCGTCCGTGGCTCGCCATCCCGCTTTTGTGCTGAACTCATTTTGATATTGCTTTTATCTCCCCTCCTCTTTCCTTCTTTTACTCTATTCCCGTGTGTCGCCCCTGCCTGCATAGATTGTCTTCTCTTCTTATTTTCGTTTACCGAACGAGAAAAATCCACTTGGGAAAGTGCCTTGAACATGTTTAGCTCGTCGCCCAATCGGGAAATAAAATTCAGAGCCTCCTTCCTCCCCGTCCCTCCCCGTATATCGCCGCAGTGCGGCTTGCGAAGGCAACCAGAACCCCCGAGGATACCCTGATACATCCATTGTACGCTGTCCAATCCATTATCTGTTTCGCCCACCTCAGCGTACTCGTTCCGTTTCAGCCCAGTCCTTCTTCTGTCACTTCGCCGTCCTCTTTAGGTGATCTAGATTGGTGAGCCGAACAGTTTGGCATGCCGCTCTATTGATTTCTCGTCAAATTCTCCCAGCATTCTCCTTCAAAGTGCACCTTTCTGGGAGGGGAATTGCCGGCCACAATTGTGGCCGGATCAGGTGTCTAATTCGATTCCATTTACTTGGGACTCGGCTAACAACGCTTTGGCGCGTCCAGTCGGGCTTCCTCTCGCGCTTCCTGTGGAGAGCCACCACCGAATCCCAATTCCCATTCGCCTAGCCATCTCGCTACCTCATTTGACCGACGCCGTCCAATACAATATGCATCTTCCTTAGCCGTCTCTCCTCGCCGACAGAAAACAGCACGGCAGAGGAGTGAGGTTCATTCCCCCTTGGCGATTGGGATTCCCTCTTCTTTTTTTCTCCCCGTCCTTCCCAGAAACGGAGGCTTGGGCAAGCATTCTCGGGTGTTTATTGGTGGCCGGCATCCCTCCCGATCACCCAAGTCCTTATCCTGGCTCATACCTCCACATCAAAATCCATTCAGACCCCATTTCGGTCCCCACATATCCACATACCCACACCACCTTCTTCCCTCCCATGTCCCATGTCCCATGCTCCCTCTCTCCCTGCACGGAGCATGTGTGAAGACTGAGCCGGGGGTTAGGGCCTTTTCCCAATATGGGCTGATGGATTGGAGCGCCGCATCTCATGGAGGGAAGGCCGTTCTCGATCGACTAGTGAGAAAGTGGTAGGTTGAAAAGGAAAAGCCAAGGCAAAAGGAAAGAAGAGGAATAAAGATTTGGCGTTCAACGTTGAAAAATAAACATGTTATCTAGCCCCCCTCCCCCTCCCCTTCACTACCCCAGATTGGAAAGCCGTTTTAGTTTTCTCGAATCTGTTGTCTTTCACTCAGCATCTATTCCCCCTCTCGATGAGGCCGTAGGTCAGGAGCCTCACATAGCCTGTGGCCTTTGCGAGCGAGTATCTACGAACGGACTACCCAGTCAACACCAGACGTCCATCGCCAACCTCTCCTCTCTTCCTCGCTAGCTCCTTGGTCCAGTCGCCCGCCCGTCACTCCCACTCGGCATTCACGAGGTCTCCCGCCGACGTGATTTCCTCGCCCCGGCTTAATACTGATCCCTCTTGGACCTAATCTTCTGTCTTCAGCCTGCTTTCCCTTCTCTACCAGAACGAGCGTACTAGCTACCGTAGTGCCCTTTGCTCGCCGCCGCCATGGCCGACGTGTTGGTGAACCCCATCTATTTCGAGCTCGGCTGGTCCATTCTCAGCACCATCTGCCTCACCAACGTGCTCTTTGGCATTCTGGTCGTCGGTATCACCAGCTTCACGCAGGTCGCCAGCGTACCCATCATCACCTCCGTGGCCGGTGCCATCGCCAACGGGCTGTGCTTCTTCGCCTTTTACGACTATGAAAACAGATATTCCACCACCTCCAAGGCCGCCGCCTCGGCCGTAGCAGACATTGCCTGGATGGTAGGAACCTAAAAACCCTTTCTCTCCTATTCTAGATACACCCTCAAGGCTAACGCGAAGAACCTACCAGGTCCAAGAAGCTGGTCTGTCCTTTTACAGCTTCATGATTCTCCAGCGTGTCCTCCGCAACGTTCAATGGCGCATCTTCATGTCCCTCTTTTGGACCATGATTGTCGGCATCGTCGGCATCCGCGTGGCCATCGCCGTCACCCGCATCCGCCTCATCCTCAGCGGGACGGAAGAACTCCAGGGCCTCGTCAACCACTTGCACATCGGCTACTTTGTCCTCATCGCCCTCCTCGAATGCCTAAGCGCCTATTTCCTCCTCACCATCTTCGCCGGTGCCCGCCGCACCTCGCTCCAGGCTGCCATCAAGACCAACCTGTTCCAGTATCTCATGCGCAGCACCGAAATCCGTCTCGCCCTGCTCGCCGTACTGGGCACCATGCGCGCCGTCACCTACTCCTTCCAGGCCAGCGCGCAGAGCGCCACCAACATCGCGAGCCAGCTTGATCGGTTTGCTTATACCCTCGAGTGCATGTTCCCCATCATGATGTTGTAAGTAGTTCCTTCTTCTCTTTTCGTGGCCCAGAATTGCCAGCTTCCCTTCTTTTTACATTTTTCCCTCTTGACTCTAACTGACGCTTTCCGCAATAGCATCGACATCCTAGCTTCTAAACTCGTCCGCACCGAGCACGAGACTTCCTCCCGAAGCCGTGGCTTGGGTCCTCGCTCTCAGGGCCGCCAGTTCACAGTCACGCGCAAGGACGAGCACGGAGAGCACGTTATCGAGGTTCAGGGTGGCGCGCCCCGCAGCACGAGTACCCCCGCGCGAGGACGAGCTCCCAGGAAAGAATCATCGAGGAGGGCTCTTCGGCATCGACCGATATTGGCCTCGAGAATATGAACCCGGCTAGGATAGGCATCAGCAAGACGGTCGAGTTCAAGGTGTACCAGGACTAAACGGGGGCCCAGTGAAGAAGCAGGGGAAGGTTTTTGAGGGGATGCCATGTGTTCTTTCCACTATGAAGTATAGATAATGACTCGCACAAGTCCTACTGGTAACAGTAGGCTCCTGTTTTGTTTGGCCCCCTGCTTTCCGGGATCAGGTTGCTTTCATTTGTCGTTTCCCTTCCGTTGGTAATATGTGGTGGAGTTTTCTTTTGTTGTGGACGGTGGGAAATTGTCCTCCTCTATCGATACCCTCGTTACGCTTAACTTGATGATCAACTTGTATCGGCGATGTTATATGATCTGTATCAGTACCGTGAGCCTATCAATATATACTGAATGAGTCCACTTAATCTATTTATCTGGGTTATTAAGCACCACTCTGCCCTTTTTCTTTCCCTTCGTAAAGCCTAATTCTCACTTCCCTGCGACGCCGGTGCACTTTCTCTATCCCTATCTCTACCTAAGAAGCTCCAGATCACATATTTGGTAGCACACCAAGCCCCCAAATATCCAATATCGTGAAACGTACCCACGGTATCCCCTTGGTCCTGAGGGACCACGTCGTCGCCACAAGTGAGGAAATTCCTATTGATATCAAATCGAGGCTGTGGTCCCGCACGCTTCCACTCCCCGTTGACTGCGTCGGCCCCCATGCTGGAAATCCAAGATTCCCCGTCTTCCATGACAACTTCCGCGTACTGCCGCCCATTCCAAAAGGATCGAACGGCCCCTTCGCCCCATCCTTTCTTGGGCCTGGATAGACTCTCCATTCTGAATTTCTTTTGGATTGTGTCAAAGTATAGCAGAGGAACCGTGCCTGTGCCTTTGCCGAGCGTCCTTTGCCCTGGCTTCGTATCCGAACTTGCTGGATCGGGATAGTATGCGACTCCTCCGCTGAGAAGACACAAGGGGCTGTTGCCATTATTCTCGTAAAGCTCTGCGAAAGGAATAGGCTTATAGGGCGTATCAGTAGGAAATAAACGCTGATAGTGCCTTTTCATCAAGTCTGCTACATCGGCCTGGTGGATCGCCGTGAGGGAGCTGCCGCGAAACTCAAGCACGCGCGTGTAGCCAATCTCCGTGCTCTTCAATCGAGTGCGGTCGCGATGAAGATGTGCACGAAAGACTAGGTAGAATATGTCGGGCGACAGAGGATGGAATAGTATGGAAATCTCTCTAGCCAGCGACTCTTTGATGATTTTGTCGACTCCATCCAGGTCCGCCAATTTGATGTGAAAGATGATCTCCAACCTAGGGCCCTTGGGCTGTAGAATGTACAGGACCATTGTAGTGGAGAGTACTGCTATCCGGTCACCGTTAATCGCCCAAACCGAGACCGTGCTAGGCAGAGAACAGGACGACCGCGTGTCCGAGGCGAGGGAGAAGGCATGTCTATATGGCGCAACGTGTGAATAAAACCTTCCCTCATCTGATCATTTACCAGCTGCCGGTCACGAAACCAGAAAGAGAAGGAAAGGATGGGGATGAAAAAAAAAAAAAGAAATGGTGTTTACATACATTTTGAGTCCATCGCGGCTAGCCATGATCAACGACTCTCCCACTACTATAGTTGGAAACCCGGCCAGGGAATACAGAGTCTCCAGCCCTTTATCGATGACGAGCACTCTCCGCTTCCTGGTCGGGAGCTGGTCCACGACCAGCACGCTCGCTCCGACCAGCCAGACCAGATTTCCCCAACCATATCCACGAGCCACGCCCTGCTAGCGTCAAGGAGGAGGGTACTTGCCGTCCGGGTGAAATTCCGGGTCCAGCCGGAAATACGTCTCCGAGTCGTACTGGAAGCGCTTCTCCAGCTTGGACGTGTAGAGGCCATGCTCCGTCCTGTGGCGGACGAGGCTCGCCGCGTGAAAGGCCGCGAGATCGTGGGGCTTGGGAGACCGCGGGAAGAAGTAGGCGCAGAGAGATTGCGCGAGTACGGGACTCGTCCAGATTCTGCGCCAGCCGCTGGAGACGGCGAAGCACGAGTACACGTCCTCGAGCTCGAGGTGGCTCGCGATGAGGGTCACGAGCTCGAGGGTAAGTCTTGGAGACCCGCGAGACCTTTGCACCGCTGCAGACATAGTCTGAGGTGCCTCGCTTCCCAGGGGGACAAGGCGTCGGCCAGACGGGTCAGGTTGGCGAGCCTGAGTTGGGGGTGCTCGATGGCCAGAAAGTGTTTTGTAAGAGATGTTTCGGCCGCGGAGCCTTCATCTTGCACGTTTTCCATTCAAGTCTAGAAGCAAGAATGAGCGCTACGAAAAGAGATCGAGATCGGAGGAGGGGCTAAATTTCGGGGAGAGTGGGGTCCGTATACGGCTATTTTCCTCCGCTTCTTGATCGTCCCCTGTCCGGACTAGCGATGATCTCGGCCGCGAGATGCGCAGGCATTTTGTATACCGGCCGTAGGCAGTTGGCGAAGGACCAATGTGGCGGCTGCGAGTGTGCGAAGAGGTCAGCTAGTTGTTTAGCCGGTGTTGACCCGCCGCCCCATCGTCCACTAGCTCCTAGGCGTCAGTCACTGGGGAAGAGTCACCTGGCTAACGACAAGCTCCAATTGCGTCAGACCTCAGCAAGGAGCAGTTGAGCTCCCAACCATTCCCCCGTCAATCCTAGCCCCATCCATTCACAACGCGCCAGCTCCCCAGCTCAATTCGCCATCTCATCCCGCCTCAGCGTGCATCCCGCTTCACCTAACAAAGATGAACAAGACGATACAGGGTTGATTTTCACTTGATACGGAAAGACCCCCTCCCCTCCTTCCTCCCTCACCCGCGAATTCCTCCTCTTTTCCCGCGCGAAGAGCTCGCCGGCCGAGCATAAACCCTCCTCTCTCTCTCTCTCCCTCTCCCTTACCCACCAACATGTCCCACCCCTCCCCACCGGCCCCCGCAGCAGCGGCCGGCCCTTTACCGACTCCTTGTCCACGACCTCCTCCGCCGCCCGATCCTCCTCCCTCTCGAGCACCTCGTCCCACCGCCACCACCACCACACCCTCCGCCGCAGGAAATCCGTCGCGCGCGCCATCGCCTTCGTCTCCGCCGTCATCTCCTCCCTCTGCGCGGGCTCCATCACCGTCTTCTCCCTCTACGGCCACATTTTCCAAGAGCGCCTCCACTACACCCAGCTCCAGGTCAACGGCGTCGCCATCGGCAGCTCCGTGGCGCTGTACCTCCCCGTACCCTTCCTCGGCTACGTGTGCGATCGCTTCGGGACGAAACCGCTGTCGGCCTTTGCCGCCTTACTCTTCGGCCTCGGCTACGGCCTCGCCGCCTTCATCTACCGCCAGATCGAGGACCGTAACTCCCGCAACGGCGACCCCGTGCCGCCGCCGGGCTCGCCGGCCCCGCCGCGGGCCGGGCAAGAGGAACAAGGGGGACCTGACATACCCGCTGATGGTGACCTCGTTCGTGCTCATCGGCGTCGCCACGTGCGCCATGTACCTCACCGCCGTGGCTACCTGCGCCAAGAATTTCGGCAAGGGCCGGCACAGGGGCCTCGCGCTCGCCATGCCCATCGCCGGCTTCGGGCTGAGCGGCATGTGGCTGTCCCAGGTGGGCAGCCGCGTGTTTACGAGCGCCTGCCCGGCGGCGAGCGCGGCGACGTCGACGTCTTTCGCTTCTTTGTGTTTCTCGCGTGCCTGCTGGTCGCCGTGGGCGTGGCCGGCGCGTTCACCCTCCGCGTCGTGGACGAGCAAGACCTCATCGACGACGCCATCGAGGAACTGGAGAACAGCGGGTTCCTCGACGGCGGCCCGCTTCTCGCCAACCGATCCAACGGCACGGGATACGGATCCATCAACGGTGCGGCGGCGGCTGGAGTGGACACGGACGACGAGGCCGCGGCTCTCCTTGATCCGGCCAAGGACCTCGACGACGGCGACGACGACGACGCCCAGTGGAAGAAGAACTGGGTCCTCAACGCCGAGACCCGCCGTTTCCTCGCCGACAAGACTCTCTGGTGCTTCGCCCTCGGGTTCCTCCTCATGATTGGGCCCGGCGAAGCCTTCATCAACAACCTGGGCACCGTCATCGGCACCCTCTACCCGCCCAAGTCGAGCCTCACGGTGGCCCCCACCTCCCCGCCACCCACGTCTCCATCCTCGGCGTCACCAGCACTTTTGCCCGCCTCCTCACCGGCTCGCTCACCGACTTGCTCGCTCCCACCCCGCACACCCAGCACGTCCAAGTCGCCGGTGGCCCGTCGGCCTCCACGTCCGCGCAACCCGGTCGGCGGTTCACCGTGTCCCGCGTCGCCTTTCTCCTCGCCTTTGGCGTCGTGCTCTCGGCCGGGCTCCTCACCCTCGCTTCGGGCGTCGTCCAGAACCACGGCGAGCGCTTCTGGATCGTCTCGTCGCTTGTCGGTGCCGGCTACGGCGCCGTCTTTAGCCTTACGCCCATCATCATCACGGTTATCTGGGGCGTCGAGAACTTTGCCACCAACTGGGGCATCGTCGCCATGTTCCCCGCCCTCGGGTCCACGTTTTGGGGCATTGTATACTCCAAAGTGTACGAGCGGGGTGCCCAAAACTCGCCCTCGCTGGGCGATGCTCAGGACGACATCTTTTGCTACGGCCACCAATGCTACGCCACCACTTTTTGGGCCATGACGATCAGCGTCTGGGCAGCCTGCCTCTTGGTGCTCTGGGCTTGGAGGGAAAGAACGGCTGGGCTCACCGAGGAGTCGTCATTTAATCATTATACCTTCTTTTGGCCCATCCTTGTCTTATTCCTGGCTCTTTGGCTCATCCATACTGTACTACATATCGTTATAAACCGGGGTTTTCTTCCCACAGTCACACTGGACTATAGATGTCATATTCGTCCCATGCTGTTTTCTTTTTTCGCTTTCCTTCCCTCATCATTTTATGCCCTTATAGGAACCAACCCTTTTCCCTTATCCATTTTTACTCATGTAATAGCGAGTCACTTCGTAGATTATACGCAACAATCAAAGCGTACATGCACCCCCTCTTGTCCAAAGACCAACCCCGGAACATTCGTGATTCATTAAATGCGACTTTGCCCGCGCCAGCCGTACGATTCTCGTTGTCTTTTTCCCAAGACTCAGGGCTCTTCCAAATCGTCCTCTTCAACAAGAGAGGCCAGCCTCCACCAGTCTTTCAATCCTTCCGCTAGGTCCCTGCACCATGGGTAGGTTGGGTCTTCCACCCACCACGGCATCCCTTCTCTGGGCCTATCGCTGACGTACTTCTTCAGGGAGCCCCCATCAAATAGGTGGTTCTTGACGCCAGCAAGCAGCACGGCGGACCCCACCCGGGGCCGGAAAGCCTCGGCGTCCAGGAAAACGGTTAGGTGCACGCGCTTGGGGTGCCCGGGTCAGCGAGGCGAGCAGTTCGCTGTCGGTAAGGGGAAATGTCGAAGGCTCAACGGGGGAGAGGGAGCAGACGACAGCAATGATGTTGGTAGACCAATTCTGCTTGTAGGGAAGGTGTGGGATGGCGGAGAGCTGGGTGAGCTTGAGTGGGGTAAGGGGATTCGTCCAATTCCGGGCGAGTGGTATAGGGTCCTTGGGAATTGGGGCGGCTTTTTGCGGGGCGACCTCGGGAGGTGGCGGGGTGTCTGGAATGGGCAGGTCCTCGAAGCCGTCATCAGAAGACGTGTCAAAGTATTTCTCGAGATCTTCGACAGCTTCCGCGACAGGGGCGTCGGGAGGTGGCTTCCGGTGCGGTTCCGGCGTCCTCGGCCGCTCGCTTACCCTTGCGGGGGTCCGAGGTGGCGAATCTATCTTATCAAGCAGGCTTTCTTCACGTTTCTCGGCCGAAGGGCCGACATCCGTCCTAGACTTGGAGGGTTTTGACTTGCCATGTACGCGGGCGTACTCCTCATGCCACCCGACGACAGTAAAGTCCTCGACCGTCAAGTAGACCATCTTGCGGGCAGGCTTCGACTTGGCCTTTTTCTCGGTTTTTTCTTCCTCGTTTCCGGGGCACCCTCCGCGGAAATGTCCGCCGCTACATCGTCGGCTTCTGGTTCCTCGACGACTTCCTCCTCGCACAAAGTAAACGCGTGGGTGCGGAGAAAGGAGCCTACCACAACTTCACCGCTGTTGACGAAGCGGTGCACATCTACGGTGAGCAGGGCCTGAATGCAGAGCTCACCGTCACCGAGTAACAAGCGGATGGCGCGCCACTTGCGACTGCGGCGGGGGCGGAGGTTGTCGACCCCCTCGACGAGGAAGAGGGAATCGGGGACGCAATAACGCGTGCGAATGATATCGGCGATAAGAGGCCTGAGGACGAGGGGGTCCTCGTCTGCCGGGGTGGCGTTCAGTGACATGGTCTACCCTTGAGCCTGAGATGCAAGGATGGAGGGCTGCGAGCTCCGATGCTCGATTAACTCACGCCTCGACCGGAGGAGTCATGAGCCGGGCTCCGCCTTGCGCATCGGCGGATTCCAAGTTGGTTTTGACTGCACAATGTAATGATTCCAGAGTAGATGTGGAAATAGGCGGGAAATCCCCACGGCGGAGGCAAGATCAATCAAGGTGTTTCAAAAAGGCGCGACTCGTACATTACATTGGCGCTAGAAAGAGGCAAGAAGGCGCCTTCCCGTGGAAGTGGACCAGTACTTTGGAGAGGAAAGTGCAAGCGGCTTCGCTTTCGGAAACAAGATTTGATGTGGAAGGGGGCGAACGGGAAGCTCACGAGGCCAAAGATTAGATGCGTGAACCTAAATTCAACAACGATGCTGTGGCTTTTTTCCGGAGCGGTTGCTCAGCACTCGAGAACGAGAAACACATCCAATGATATCGCCGAAAAAGAGTGGCCTAGACGGATCGTAGATAATATCCACATGCCCGATGGATCCATTGCCCACAAACAATAATCCGGGCGCGGGAAGGTTGGATCGACGTCGCAGGATCGCAGGATATCTCTTGACTCGTTGACGAGAGGAAGTGAGTTTGGCTTCGGTGGGGTATGCGATGCGTGTTCCACGTCCTTTCCTTTCTCGGAGGGGCTTCCAATCGCCCCTTGTTTTCCCCACCAAAAATACTTCAACCGTTTCACCACACCATCTCAAGCGTCGTCACACCCAGAATCAGCAACCGAGCCAACAGCCACCAAGAGCCTCCCACCAAGAGCTTCCCACCAAGAGCTTCCCACCGTCAGCCAGCACCGCAGCAACCAACCAGTCAGGAAGCGAAACCACTCAAAGGAAAATTGCATAAGCCATATCAAAGTTGTGGGGGCCAAGACGCAATGGATTCACCCTACGCAAAGGAGATACGAATCGCCATCTCCGTCATCCAGCAGGCGGCGCTTCTCAGCCAATCCATCATCACCTCGCCGGATAAGGGCGTGACGGAAAAGGGCGACCTGAGCCCCGTGACGATTGCAGACTTTGCGATCCAAGCGCTTCTTTCCGCTACATTCCACCACCACTTCCCAGAGGATGGTCTGGTGGGCGAAGAGTCGGCCGACGAGCTACGCGCGGACGAGAGGCTCCTAGGACGGGTGTGGGGCCTCGTCGAGGGCGTGGGCAGTCGTGCCGCCGCTGCCGGCGGCGCAGACACGGGCGATGCGGCGTCGCGGTTGTGGAGGGTTCCCGAGTCCAAGGAGCAGGCGTGTGACCTGATTGACATGTGCGGATCTGGCACGCCCGGCCCAGGGAGGGTGTGGGTCTTTGATCCGATTGATGGCACCAAGACATACATGCGCGGTCAAATGTACGCCATCAATTGTGCCCTCCTCGTAGATGGCAAGCAGACCCTCAGCATCGTCGGCCTCCCCAACATGTCGCCCGATGCGCGGGGCGCCATCACCGACAAAGATATCGACCCTTCGGGCCGGGGCACCGTCCTCTTCGCCGCCCGGGATCACGGCGCTTACCTACTCCCTCTTCGCGGGGCACTCTCCGGCGACGGCATCGAACCGCGGCAACTCCCGGCGCGGCGGGCCTCCACCAGAACTAGCGCCGATTCGCCGGCGGGGCAAAGCCTCCGCTTCGTGACGTGCACCACGGTCACCGACTCGGGCAATGATGACCTGCACCGCGCCGTGGCGGAATCGATCGGCGCAAGCTTCCCCGGATGCGATCTGCTGCCGTGGGTGGCGCGGTGGTGCGCGCTAGCCATGGGCCTGGGCGACGCCGTGGTGTGGGTGTACAACAAGATGTCGCGACGCGGCAAGGTCTGGGACCACGCGGGCGCCATGTTGCTCTTTGAAGAGACGGGCGGCAAGGTCACCGACGTGTACGGAAAGGACATTGACCTGAGGGGCGGCCGGACGATGGACCGCAACTTTAGCTTTGTGGCCGCCCCCGCCGATTTGCACGCCGAGGTACTAGCCAGGACCCACGACGTGCTCAAGCAGTTTGGGAGGCGGGACGTTTTGGAGCAGTTGGCGAAGCTTTGAAGGAAAAGGCTCACCAGTGTGATGGCATGTTGACCCGGAGGGCGTGCGTAGTATGTAGTCTGGAAGGGGAAAAAGGCGTTGGCTAAGCAGAGGGAATGCTGGATACACCCTCGGAGCGCGAGTATCTTCTTTTTTGTTTTCTTTTTTTTTCTTTTGGATCAAACTTACAAAACGTCAAAACCAAAAGCAGCAGTAGTGGCTCGGCATCCGGCAGGCAAAGATACATGAATTACATGATAGACGAGGGAGATAGAGAGGTGGATTTGGCTTTACCTCGTTAGGAAAGTAGCATTCGAGAAGAGCATGGATGTACTTACATACATACACCGAACATGGACATTGATTCGTTGCGAGTCGATGCAAGACGATGTGACATCTCCAGTGAGTCGAAGAGTAATACGATCTTGAGTCATCCCGGCGTGGCACGTTGCGATCCCCATTCTCCAGATATAAAGGGATGGAATATTCTCCGTCGAGGGCCAACGATTTTTCTCTTCTATGACTGCACTTGCTTGACGACTAGCAATCTTCGCAAGTAACAACCATAATACTCGTCCCCCTTCATCTTTTCTCGCCGCTTCTTCCCTCCTCTTTCGCCTCGTAGACTTGACCCCTCATCACTCCCGAAACAAGCCGACAAGCTCTTCCCCCATTTTTGTCCAAAGACCTTCACCTCATCCTACTCCCCCGCCAACACACACCCTAAAGGCTATAAACCCCCTTACCATCCAGCCATGCCCCCTCCCACAGTCCTCGTCACAGGGAGTTCCGGCCACCTCGGCGCCGCCCTAATGCACACCCTCCCTCCCTCGGCTACGAGCCCCTCGGCCTCGACATCAACCCCTCGTCAACAACCACACACGTCGGCTCCATCGCCGACCGCGACCTCGTCACCTCCCTCTTCGCCCAGAACCCCAGCATCCGACACATCCTCCACACCGCGACGCTGCACAAGCCGCACATCGAATCGCACAGCAAAGACGCCTTTGTCGAGACCAACGTCCAGGGCACCGTCGAGCTCCTCGAGGCGGCGGGCCGGCTAGGCGGGCGCATCGAATCCTTTGTCTTTGTCAGCACGACGTCGACGTTTGGCCGCGCCCTGTGCCCGGCCAAGGGCGCCCCGCCGCGTGGATCGACGAGTCCGTCACCCCGTGCCGAAAAACATTTACGGCGTGACCAAAGTGGCGGCCGAGGACGTGTGCCGCCTCGCCCATACCCGGACGGGCTTGCCCGTCGTCGTGCTCCGCATGAGCCGTTTTTCCAAGAGGCCGACGACGACAAGGAGCGTCGCGATGCCTTGGAGAATGATAATCTCAAGCTGCTCGAGCTGTGCTACCGCCGCGCCGACATTGCGGACCTCGTGTCGGCGTGCGTGTGCGCCATGACGCGCGCCAAGGAGCTCCGTTGGGCGCGGTATATTATTAGCGCGCCGAGCCCGCTCGTCAAGGACGAGGCTACGCTCGCGCTGCTCAACGAGAACGCGGCTGATGCGGTGGAAGCGCACGTTCCCGGCTGTAAAAAAGTGTTTGAGGACGCGGGGTGGGGGTGGCTCGATAGGATCGATAGGGTGTACGACTCGTCGAGCGCGGTGAGGAGCTGGGGTGGGAGCCCCAGTACACGTTTGAGAAGGCGGTGGAGAAGTTGTCCAAGGGGAGGAGTGGAGGAGCGAGCTTACTATCCGGATTGGCGCAAAGGGATATCACGACGTTCCAACGGGGGTATACACTACTTGAATCATAGACTCTACACTCGATATGATTTCTAAGGAAGCATGATGAAGCAAATGATATATAAAAAGGGATATGAGGGAGACGGAGGGGCAGAAACAAACCAAGCCGAGACTTGAAAACTATTGGAAAGTCTATAATGCTATGTCCCAATGATCTAAAATACCGGAAATAATCTCTACCCATGTAAAAAGAATATCACAAGGCACGCAAATGAAACGTTGAACGGCTTTGACAAACAAAGAGCATGCTAAGAAAGAGAAAACAAGATAAAAGCAAAGCAACTTCAAATCACCCCAGTCCTCTTCCCCAAGGCAATCATCTCCGCCGCAACCGCCTCCACGTCGTGCATCTTGATGGGAACCCTATGATCACCATCCCACTCAATCAGCTTAGTCGTGCCCTCCCCGCAGTACAAGTTCGGCAAGATCCTGTGCTCCTCGAGGCCCGGGTCCCGCAGCCCGTGCACGTGAAGGGTGGGGATGGTAAAGATGTGGTCCCCCTCGTTCGCGACCGGCCACCCCTTGAAACCCGTGCTCATGGCCGAGGCATCCGCGACGCCGGGGACGACGTCGACCCGGGGGTCCATGACGACCACGGGGCCCCTCCCCGCGAGGAGGACGCCGAATTTAAAATCCCAGCGCCGCGGACCCCCGCCGCGTTTCCGTCCCCATTCTGGACAGCAATGCCCCCACGGGACCCAGGGTCTCGGCGAGCTTCTGCTGCGTATACAGCAAACCGGCGCTCACCTTGGCGCCCTGGCTAAAACCCAGCACAGCGACCCACGGCCCCGTAGCCCCGCGCAAGTCATCCTCCTCGGCCGCGGTATCGAGCTGGTAGCGGATCTGGCTCGCGGCGGTCTCGGCATCGATCTCGGGCTGGTCGGGCTGCCAGCGCAGCCAGCGGCGAAAGGGCCCGTGGTCGCCGTAGACGCGCACAATGGTCGGGTGGGGCGGGCAGATGAAGGGCCCGTCGACGAAGACGAGGCGAAAGGTATCGGCGAGGCGGGCGATGAGGTTGCGGCATTGCAGGCGGAAGATGTCGGCGTTGACGCCGCCGCCGTGCAGGCAGAGGATGCGGGGAGGTGGAGGGTCGGGTCGGGCGTTGCGTCGGCCATGATGTTGCGCTGGTTGAGGAGTTGGGTGAAGGGAGAGAGCGTGCGGGCGGGCGGTGACTTGCGCGCGGGCGAGAAAACACCCCTCGTCTCCTAGGTAAATCGCTAGCTAGGTGTCTTTCGTGAGAGAGTGAGAAGAGAGACACAACGAGAAAGAGAGGTAGATACACGGAGAAAAGAAGGAACGAATGCCTCTCAAACTTGTGAAAAGCAAGGCGCAAGAAACGAGAAAGCGACGAGAGCAGGGCGGCGGAGGAAGGGGAAAAAGGAGGGCTGGATAGCTGAAAGCCACCTCGGCTGGAAACGGCGCGAGCAAGAGTCATTTTGAAGGGCAAACGGGGGATTGTCACTGCTGACAGAAAACACCGCCGCCATTGAGCTGACGGGAGAGGCAGTGGCAGGTTAGGACGTTTTCTGGCGGGGTCAGCAAACGGAGCTCCGTTGGCTCCACTGGCCAAAACCAATCAAGAAAAAGAAAACCGACAGATATTCGAGGGGCAGAGTACGACCAATCGTGGCTGGATGAAGGGAACTAACAGCCCAGCCAAGCAAGCCTGTCCCTAGGACTTTCCCGTTCTGTGGAGAAGCAGGTGAGACATTGAAAGAAAGTGGGGGAGGAAAGGACGATCGAGTCTTGGAGGCAATGGTTTTTTATTTGGTATTTTGAGCTATTGTATAGAACCACCCTGGAAACATAGAAACTAACTAAAAATGAGAAACACTAAAGGAGATGAGCAACCGATCGCTCCCCACCAGCCAGACAAAAGAAATTGTGCAAAAATAAAGAGGTATCATGCGGATCCAACCGAGAAAGCAAGAAAATGACACAAAGAGAAAAGTCCAAGGGATATTTGCAAGTCTCGCGAAGCAGTCAACAGTCAAAAACAGTCTTTGCCGCTCCTCCCAGCCCCAGTCCGCAAGGAATGGAGCTTCTATAATATGGAGAAAGGGCTTATGGCCGACGCTGGAGATGAGTAAAGAGTGCAGAGCAGTTAAAAGAGAAAGAAAAAAGCAGATAGATCAGAGAGAAGAGAGATGGACGGAAAGAAGGGGAGAACCGATCAAAAAGAGTGGTATCGGAGCCTCTCCCCTAGGCTTTCTCAAGTTGTCATGTATATGTGTTGGTTATTGGGGGTTTTGGTTGTTTTAAGCACCGTTGGTCTGCTTGCCCTGGGCAATGGCGACCTCGTTGGTGGTGGCGGCAAGCTTGCCAAACTGCCACTCGGGCAGGGTGATGCCGGTCTGCTCGTTGATAGTGGTCATGAGCGGGGCAGCATCTGGTAAACGTTGCGCATAGTGTCGGTGGCGCTGGCGTTGCCACCCGCACCGTCCTGGCCCGAAGGCCCAGTGTTCCAGACGCTGATCTTGGGCTGCATTCCGCGAACGGCCTCGGCGTTGGCCTTGGCGAGCTCGACGTACGTGCCCTTCTCAATCATCATGTACTGGAGGAGACCGGCGGGGCCGCCGAACGCCGTGGCGAGCTTGCCGTAGGCGTCGGCCATGGCGCTGATACCCTCGGCCTTCTTGAGCTCGCGGGCGAGCTCGGCCTCGGCGAGCTGCTGGGCGGCAAAGTTCTGGGCCTCGGCGTCGATGCGGGTGTTGTAGGCGCCGGCGTCGGTGTGCTTGGTCACACGGCTAAAGTCAGCCTCGGCGGTGGCGCGGGCCTCGGTGGTGGTCTTGTAGGCGCCGGCGTCCGTCAGGTGCTGCGACTTCTCAAAGGTGGCCTTGGCCTCGGCGACGACCTCGTACGCCTTGGCGTCAGCGGCTTGCTGCTTGGCCTCGCGCTGAATCGAGGCCTTGACGACGTCGGTGGCCCTCAGCCTCTCGAGCTCGGCCGCCGCCCTCTTGACCTCGACCTCCCTCTTCAGGTCCTCATCCTTGGATTCGATCCTCCTCTGGGCCTCGATGCGGGCAATATCGACGTCGCGCGTCAGCTCGGCCTGCGCCGTGTTGAGCTTAGCCTCGGCCTGGGCCTTTTCAATGTCCCGCTCCGTCTTCAGCACCGCTGTCGTGGCGTTGATCTTGGCGATCTCACGCTCCTGCATACCTCGCCTCTCGGCCTCACCAACATTACCGCGGAGCTGGGCCTCGGCGACATCTATGGGGAGAAAAAGACCGTGTTAGCTACGATGGAACTCATGACTGGGGCACATGATAGAGAGGGGAGATATCACGAACCGATCCTGGCTTGGTTGGTGGCACCCTCGTGCGCCTTGCGGGACAGAGACTCGAAGTAAATCGAGTTGGGGGCGTCCTTGAGCTCCTTAAGATTGGCGTTGAAGATGTAGACACCAAATTTGTTCTAGCGTGGGGTGGAACGCCGGCGCGTGTTAGCCATTTTTATTCCTGCTGAGAGACAGGGGAATGACTGTAGACTCACCAATTCGGTCTGGATATTCTTATGGACGCGCCTCTTGAAAAGTTCCCTCTCACTAAAGATCTCCTCAATGGTCATGCTCGAGACGAGCACTCGCACCTCACCCTCAACGATACTCTTGATCTTCTGCTCGAGGTAGCTGGCGCTGGACTGCTTGCTGTCGCGGCTCTCGGCGAGCAGCACGGCGTAGCGCATGAGGGCCTCGGCGGGATCGATTTTGGGGGCGTCGGTATCATCGTAGTTGCCCGTGACGGAGGCGTCACTGGTGGCAGGGACGTGGGGACCGACGGTGAAGACCACGGGAAGGAGGAACTGGAGCTTCTCCTTGGTCATGGCCTGCAGGTTCATGGCATAGTCCTGAGGTTGTACGCTGCGCGCCAGGTGTTAGTCGATCACATTCCATTTTACCCCTCTCCCTGCGCCAATGAATCGGGAGGTATGCGATGTGGGAGGGAAAGAAAAGAGGGGAAAAAATAGACGTGAAAAGCAAAATCGTACCTGAAGCGCATGCATTTCTGGAAGGGCCAGACCCAGGCGGCTTTCGTGATCTTGACCTCATTCCGGACGCCCATACCGGTAATGGCGAGGTACTCATCGGGGGCGGCGATTCTGTAGGACATCTTGGCGGTGGTATGAGTGCCTCTTGTGTTTCAAAGAAAGAACGGGAAGAAGAGAGAAAAGGAAGGGCGAAGTCGAAGAGGAAGGAGGAGCTTGAGTGAGTGCTGTATTGACGCCCAAGTCAAGGCAAAGGACGTGTAACGATTGGATGCGGAATCAGGACCTATTCTCCTTTAGATGATAAAGAAGAACCCCAAACTATCTTGTGATAAGGAGAAAAAGAAGGAAAGGAGAAGGAAAGCTTCAGATGCAGCTACATATTTATAAGAACAAACGCGGAAACCCGAGTACATACAGTACATGCCGACCCCCTCCATCAGAAGCTCTCTCTGGGGTCAATTCGTTTCGAGAGCATGGGAAGGCGCCGCCAAGGGGTAGCCTGGCTGCACGCCCTGCGCGGAGTGAGCCAGCGGTGACAGTCAGAGAATGAGGGTGTGGAGAGCCCGTTATTGCCGAGCTTCCCTCTCCCAAGTATGAGGCCTGCGGGCAGTGCACCTCAGCCGACAGGGGGTGGGCTTCCAGGGTGGTTCCCTCGGGGTGGGAGAGCGCCTAGCTCCCCCGGTCCCCGATGAGGCACTGAAAGCTCGGCTTTCCGTCGTACCTTCTTTTTCCTTTTTCTGAGGGTCGAAGAAAGCTCGAGTTCTCGAGTGGGGCCTCGGGAAAAAGAGAAATTGATCTCCAGTTTCCAGAGCTTCGCCTCCCTTCGCTCTTTCCGCCCGTTGAACCCCTAGTGCTAGCTCTCGGAACATGCGCGCCTGCGGTCTTGGGTCGGTCGAGATCAGCGATTCAGGTACCCTCCAAAGGTACCAGCTTGAAGCAAAAAGGCCAGCGGCCAGACCCTGTCGGACCCTGTCGGACCCGCTCTCCCGTCCTGTGGTCGGGGGAAAAAAAGGCCTTGGGAGGCAAAAGGGCGGGCTTAGAGCTCAAGCTCATCACGTTCGAAATGCACACTCGGTTCAAGCAATCTTGGCGCCCCATGGTTTGGTTCTCTTGGGACACTCCAAAGCCTAATTCTCTCCACCCTTAGTCTCAAGTGCTCCGTCAATGACGGAATCCAGGGTTCGGGGCCGAACTCCTTCCAAGGACCCCATCGTCCACAGCCGCCTCCTGATAGATCAGTTGGCATCAAACATTGATTAAACATCAAGATTGAGGGTTTCTTCGCTTCCAGAAGCTCTGCGCTAGATATCCACACGCCATCTTGGGGAGGCGGAGGCAAATCATGTGGGAAAAAAATAATAAGCACTGCAATGTTGGGAGCATGGGAAATCAGCACAAGCCGTCGGCCTGCACTCCCTAAGAAACACCGATGATACCGCCGCCCGTCCAGATGAGCCTTTCGGCGATGCAGACATCGGACGGGAGTCAGAAGAATCACCCAACATCGACATGGTCCCCATTCCAGGTAGAAAGAAAAAGGGGCACCTGAAGAGAGGAAGGGGGTCACAAAAATCTGCCTCGACGCCCTTTCCAGCTATCTGCCTAGACGCAAGCGACCGCCACACATTTCGTGAAATTCATTCCTCGGCCGCCCTGTCCTAGACTTGACTGGATGTAATTGATGTTGCCTGGCCGGACGGCTGAAAACGCATATACACTATTACACTAGGCTTGATGACCCAAACTCGCGCCATCACCCTCTAGCCTCAATCTCAATGTTCTGGGATGAGCTTTGTTTTTTTTTTTCTCCTTCCTCTCCTGTGACGATTCGTCAATCCGAAAACGTGTCGGGGCCTCCTGGCACGAACGACACTACATATCGTGTCACACGGCAGTAGACAAAGTCCTACCCCAGGTATCAATGATCAACGATGAGTGGTGCCTCTTATGAGTGTGGCTGAGTTTCATGATCGACTTCAATGTTGTGTACATGCAGTCAAAATACACCACCACGTTTATCCCCATTTCGCTCCAATCCATATCCAGAAGTTTGCAGTGCAAATGACATCCAAAATGAAATGGAAATGCATCAATATGGCTTCTCTTTTTCCCTCTGCATCCATTCCTCCCTTCTTCCCACCAAGAATATCCATTAACCATTCGGTTCTCTGCACTAATAAGCAGGCAAATCCTCCCGATCAATGTTGAGGCCCTCATTTCGCGGTTTTGAGGCCCTACTCCACATCGCGTCCAAGGATACGCTAACGTCAATGCTCCAGACTTGGCTATTTAATGTTTGAGGCCCGGAGACACTGGAAGAGTTGAAGTGAGAATCCGCGTGCGTGCACATCATATTGCCTTCTCCCCCTCTCCCGGTGGCCTTAGGAAGACACTCGATGGCATGAGGTGACGAGGAAGAGAGTCCAGCAGATCTTCGTACCTGTAGAGTCAATACCACTCATCGACAGTTGTAGTGAATAGCTACAAATCGCCTGTGGCCCTCTGCAAATATGTATGCATTGCAGACCACCACCTCAGTAGTCGGTCGCCAAGGACCTGGATGTCGTGTCTAAAGGGATCAAGTTAGGCCGGCTGACCTCGGGTGGAGCCACCGCACGGCAGTGCTGGGGCCAGGGTCACCGTATCTCCCGTATCATACAAGCCCGTGTGTGGGGATTGATGAAACCCTTTGATCCGTTCCATTCGATGCCCGACCCAACAGTGCAGGCAGTCTTGTCCCTCATGTCCACCCACTAACATCTATGGACGCATACTGCATAGTACGTACATGGAGTATTACACTCAAGAACAGAAAATACTCGGAAAGATGCGATTCATGAGGGGGTCGGCCAGCGGAATCGATTCCCGGATTGGGCGACCGATGGCTATAGGATTTCGCCTTTCGAGACACCCTTTTCACGCGATTCAAGATATCAGAATGAGGCAAGACAAGGAACCAAGAAAAAGCCTGACAAAATAAGTGGGATGGTGTTGAGAACAACCCAAAAAAAAAAAAAAAAAAAACGCCTTGGTGACGATGCCGAGCTTTATGCGGCCTGCATGTCGATGATTGAAACATCCACTATCTATGGATGGATGCAATGCAGGTCGCCCAGCCCTTTGTCTAAAGCAGCAACTTCCACCAGATTCTCAATATCAGATGTCGCAAAATATGCTCGACTCCGGAAGCTTTTGCGTCTCTCCCTGGCCTAGCCAGCGCAAGGGTGAGGCGAGGCTCCGGGTGGGGTTGAATCTTGGCTAATATGCAGTAGTGCATCTACACTACGTACATGTAGGCTCAAAATGCACTCGGAGAACAGGTGGAGTTGAGAACCGCCCCGAATGTGCACATTGATAGTCGAGAACCTTTGCAAGCTCGCAAGCTCATTTGACGGTTTATTTTCCTTTGACTAAATTCAAACCTCGGGAGTCCAAGACGGGGTTCCTCAAGGGCCAAAGTGCAGTGCGGTTGCAGAGCTTGGCAGGCACAGACGAAACAAACGCGGCCATGTGTGTCCGTTCACCACGCTTCCAGAGTGTTCAATGTTTTGGTTTGCCCTTTTCTAGTGTAGTGTAGTTCGTGGTCGGCTCAGCCCCCAAAACCATCTCGTCTCTTTGATATTAGAAATTGGCGAACTTGCTTTCTCTCTTGTTTGCGCGATGCACGTCCCAATCAGCCCAGCTAGGACCGCCGCACGTGTTTGTTGCAGGGGCGGTTTGATTAGATTACGCCTCCTCGCGAGCCTTTTTACACATTGCTTCTCAATGTTTTAGGGCGCAACCCCTGCGAGCGATCCATCAATATCTCCAGGTCGAACCGACCACGGTAATAATACACAGCGCTCGCTCTCTCCTGAGGAATCGTTGGCTCCCTAGCGAGTTGGAGTCTGTGCTTCCACATTATAGAGACAAGGTGCTCCGCAGAGTGTAAAAAGCTGCGGAATTCATCCTATCATCCCTAGATCGAAATCAAACTAATTCCCCCTCAGCCTGGCCTGTGTGAAAGTACACTAGATGTTGTGTCGCTAAAAGACATCTCCCCTGCAGACATTGTGTCGTCCTTGATGTCTGGAAATTATTACTGCATAGGGCGGCCCCTGCTCGCCCTGGTATCCTCTTTGGGAAACCGACACCACGTTTGCTCAGCAGCGTCTTCAAAGACAGACCTCCATAGCGACAACACGTGCCAAACATCAAACGCGAGCATGCGGCATAAAAACCTGAGCACCAGATGGACCGTCAGATAGGTTGGTGTTGATGGGTTAAGGATTTGCAGGAGCCGGCTTGGCTTCTTGCAGAGGTCATGACATCAATCGGGACAAAACAAGCAGCGAGGCGCCGAGCGCGGGAAAGAACCCCTTTGGTCATGGCCGGAAACCCACTCATGCCACGGAATGGTTCGCCGAAGTCGCGAGCAGACCCCGCCAACAATCGGCTGCCACATGTTTGAAAATGGCGAATCGAAGCGCTAGGGAAGGACGCAGGAGGGGAGAGAGAGCCTCGAACCACCCAGACTTGAAAACGCAACGCTAGAGGGCGATTGAATTAAAGGTCAGCCACCATCTAGAAGCCATGATACCAAGACGCGCTAAGTCGATTGCGCTGCACAGCCCCACGTTCACAGCCTTGCCCCCTCTCTTCCACTCCCCTACACCATCCCCGCGGACAAGCAGCACATTGCCCCCAGTAAAGTCAAGCAGGGACTGCCAGTTCGTGTGGGGGCATGGCAAAGCTGCCGATGAATCATTGATGGTTGGCTGGGAGTTGAATCCCGAGGTGGAATGAATGGAATTTTGCAGGTGAAGACACCACCCTCCGAATCGACTGGATGGAGCGTGTAGCGTAATATATGCTGGGTAGCAGACATGCAGCATCTCCCACGTCAAGGAACAGGGAAGGAATAGTGTATGTCAAGGCATTCTTGCCGTTCAGTCCTCAAACTTGCTTTCTTGTTTCTGTGTAGGTAGACAGGAAGCGCCAGCCCAGCCATGGCTTTGCATATCGTCAGATGCCCAAATATCGTCGCCACCCAAAACCGGCACCGAGGACCTGGGGCGACAAACCTGTCAAGCATCGCTCCATCGCCAAGGCAGTTTCCTCCCCGGTGGCCACACGTGTGCCCCTCGTCTCGACGTCGCCACAGGCAATCGAAAAGGAAGGAAAAAAAAAAAAAGAACCGCGCGAGGGCGGACATCGGAGCCCGTTCGCGATCACCCCACCCCACATGGCTGAGAGAGCCTCCCAGGGCGCTCAGCCTGCGCCAGCCGCAGTGAAATTTGATAACTTGATAATACCCACCCCCAGGAAATGCCAGTTCGAAGAGGGCGGGCACGAATCAACAGTGGATGCTATAACCACATTCGGGACCAAGCTCAGGCCTGGGATTCATCGGCACACTGGTGCCTTTCAGCGCAAAAGGAGCCTGAGAGGAGGGGGAAGGGGAGGGGAACACACCCCGTCATCCACCCTTGGCCCCTTCTTCATCGCTTCCTTTCCCCGCACCTTCCCAGAGGCTGCCTCTCTTGACAAAAGAAAGCTTGCAAGTGCACAAGTGCAAGAGCATCCAGAACCTTTTTCTCCGCACCCTTGCTCTTTCCTTGTTTCTTTCTTCCTTCTTCTTCTATTCCTTAGTCACACAGCAACACAAACCCCCATTCTCACACTGATCCCGCACCCACTACGCCATATCTCAAATCTTCCGACCTACTCTACATAGGTCACCTGCCCGCCGCCCATACCTCGTACCTCATTCCGGCTCGGCCACCGTCACCTTTGAGGTCACCTCTGCACTACACCAATGATTTGATACTTTTTCTCTCCCACACACTCGCCCACCTCGCCCAAACGTGACCCTCTCCTAGTTCCAAGTCCATGAGAATAACTCACATCGCCAAAACTCCCACATTCTCCTCATCCTCTCGCCGTGCCAAACGTGTTAAAGAAGCCCCGCCTTCCTCGGCACCCTACGTGACCTGACCCAGTGCTCCCTCCCCATACCAGCCCAAGGGAGAGGAACCGACTAAAACTTAGAAAAAAAGAAAAGCCCTCAACAATCTTTTCTTCCCAACCCAGCCATCAACAACACCACAAGCATCTCAACCCAAGGCAAAAACCATGTCGAAATCCACCGCCGACCCCGACCACTCCCCCAGCCTACAGCGAATCCCTCGCCTCCCCTTCCTACTTCCCTCCTCCTCACCAACAGCAGCAACAGCAGCGACCCGGCTCCTCCTCGACGACCTCGGAGAAACCCAACCCCACCACCCACCTCACCTCCCACCTGACCAACCTCCCCCACCTCATCCGCGAATCCCGCGAAGCCCACCACGAGTCCCGCACCGCCTCCGACCTCGCCCTCGTCTCCCTCGTCATCCCCCACGTCGAGGCTCTCCTCCACCGCTTCGCCACCCGCCCCGTCCTCCCCGCCCTCGCCGAGCTCACCGTCGTCCCCGCCGCCGCCGTGCCCCCGGCTGGCACTTTGCCAACGCCAACGCCTCCGCCCGCCCCGCCAAGTCTTCTTCCTCCGCCAAGGGCACCTCCCGCTCCGGTGGCGGCGGCGGCGGCAGTGGCTCCGGAAGCACCCGTGCTGACGCCGAGATCCACGAACTCGTCCGCGTCACCGTCGACAAGGAAACCGCCGAAAAGCTCCGCCTCGACCTCGCCGGCTCCTCCTCTCCATCCTCCACCTCCTCCACCCCGGGCGTCGGCGCCGGCGGCGCCGGCGGCACCAGCGGCGACTTCACCTCGGACTACACCTACGCCTTCTCCTCCTCCCCTCGGCCTCCTCCTCTTCCGCCGCCGCCGCCGCCTTCAACCCCTCCAACCCCTGGCAGACCCGCAACGAGTTTGACGACTGGGGCCGCTGGGGCGACGACCTCGGCGGCGGCGCCTCCTCCCGCAACTCCCCAGAGGCCCTCTGGTGGAACGACGAGGAGCTCGCTACCCGCCTCGCCCGCCACCTCCAGCCCAGACACGCCTCCGTGCCGCACCGGGCCCCTCCCGGCGCCATCCCCAGTCCTGCCCCCACCGGCGTTTTAACCAAGGAGGAGCCCCGCCCGGCCCCCGTCCCCGCCGCGACCAGCCGCTGGAGCATCTTCAAGTCCCCGGACCCCGTCACTCCTTCCCCTAAACCCTCTCCCAGCTTCTACTATCATGCCCAGCAGCAGCAGATGGGCTTCCCTCCCCTTCCCTCCGAAGAGGCTGTCGTCATGACCGTCAAGGCGGAAGAGGTCACCTTTCGAAAGGAGAACGCCTTTGGCATCTGGGAAAGCAAGAACGGCTACGGCTTGGTGGTAAGGGTGAGGACGCGGAGGTAAATGTAGGTGGAAGGAAGTGAAAGAGTAAAAAAGAAAATGAGAGAAAAAAGAACTTGTATCTGCACCGCCTTTTAGGCATCTTGCTTCAAGCTTTTCATTTGTTCCATCAAATATGTATTAAGACTAGTCTATTCCCTTTGCCCATCATGTCCTCTCCCACCGGAATTCGCCTTTCATCCATTCATAACATTTAGCTGAGTAGCAGGTCATGTCCTCCTCCATTTTCCATTGCCATCTTCCCCCATCTTCCCCCATAGCTCGAGATACCCATCCAAACATCTTCTCTCCCAAAGAAATTCTGAAATAATCGTCATCAAGAAAAAGGATCAAGCACAAAAGAAGAGAAAGAAAAACAACAGAGTGATTTAAATACCACATCGCACCTCCTCTGCTTCAACCAAACTTGATCCCCGAGTTCGGATCCCATGTGCCTCCGACTGGTGGCTTGCCCCTGGCGTATTGCCTCTCGCCGGCGAACCCGACGGTCCCGCAAACTTGATTTCCATTCCGGGCGCCCATGTTCCTTGCATCGGCGCTACCGGCCGCGGCTGCTGCGGAGACACTGTCGATCCTGCCCAGGACTGTATGGGTGCTTCCACGGGCGGCTCCGGCGCGGCAGCCATGACCGGAGCTTGGTGTTGATGCTGTTGCGGAATCTGGTGCTGCATTTGATGGGGCATTTGGTGTTGGAGCTGGTGCTGGAGCTGGTGCTGCTGTGCCTGCTGGGGAAGTAGGTGTTGTCTGCCGCCTGGTAGGCAGCGGCCGGGGGTGAGTGTACCGGGGTTCGGTTGATGCTCAGAGTAGACAATGGGGGCAGCGATAATTCCCTATAAATCGATATGCGTTAGTTTCCGTCAACTCAAGGTGAGTTACCATAGGTACAGGTAACAAGAGACGTGGCCGTAAAAGACCAAAGGAAAAAAGTAAGAGTGTGCCAAATGCAATGGATGCATGGGGAGCAAGACTCACTCTTCCAGGCTCCTCGCCTCCATTCTCCTCTGGTTCGCCCATGCTCTCGCCTGGTCCCTAAACTGCTGACCGACGATCCGACTCAGGTCATTGTAAAACTTGCGGCCCACCTCGAGGTTGTTGATGATTTCCTTGTACTTGAAGTAAGCGGCCTCCAGTGTCTGCAGCCTTTCCTCTCGGAGCTTGGTCCCACTGTCACCGCGCTTCTTTTGACTCTCAAACTCCCGGTTTACCCGCACCAGCTCCGCCAGCAACCGTTCCTGTTCTACCTTTTCTTTATCCGCCGCTTCCAGCTCTGGCTCGTAGAGCTTATCGAGGCGACGCTCAAAAAATCTTCAAAGTGAGACGGCACGATGGCTGTGGACGGATACGTGCGCTCCAAGCGCGCTGCCTCTTTGAGTATGTCGGGCCGAATGTCGTCGGCGCGCGCCTTTCGCGGAGGGATTCGACCTTTTTCCGACGTCGTGACTCTAGCCGCAAGACATCGTTGTAAGCCCCACGTAGCCTTCCTATAACTGACTTGAGGTTCTCGGGAATTGTCGCCTGGAGACTTGATGGAACGTAGTTCATGAGCTGCCGATCGGAGCCGCCCAAGATCCCCAGGGTCTCGGCGACGCTCGCAAACTTCTCTCGCACGACGTTGTCGCTGCTCAAGCTAGTCGAGAGGTAGCCCTCAATTTCCTGTACCAAGCCCCATAGCGCGCTTCCGTGAGCATCCTGACGGCCGGGAGGGCGATTCCACCGGTCCGTGCCGTATTTAGAACGAAGACGATTGTCCTCCTCCTCCTCGGCATTCAGAATCTCGATGCCATCCGCGTATACTGCTTGGTCGGCTGAGCGAAGCTTCTCAATGTCCGCGAAGCTCCGCTCAATGCGGTTAATGGCGTCGGCCTGCCGTATCTCCTCGGCATGTTGCGTCAGGCTATGGGGTAAGCCCAGAGGTTTCTCCAGAGCCTGTAAGGAGCCAGGCAACCCAAGGGAGGACAGTTGGACGTGCACATCCTCGGTCAAGATCTCGAGACCCTGGATGAGGCTCTGGTTAACGAGTCGGTCGCGCCTCTCCTCGTATATCGAAGTAGCCTGATGGACGGAGAAGGGGACGAGACGAGAGAATAGGGCAGGGCCGAATTCAGCCTGATCGCCGAGGTAGTCCAAGGGCTTCTCGACCTGAGGCGGCGTCTTCGCGATCGCCATTTTGGCGCGGTCGAGAATCTTGAGCTCGGCCTTGGCCGGAACGGGATCTAGAGACGCAATGGTATGTTAGCCAGCCCTTCCTCCACAAGCTATAGAATGGGCGCAGCAGAGGGGTAACGGAGGATGGATGCGAAACGCAGTCATACTTAGGTAGATCATGTCATTGTCCTTTTCCGCACGCTTCAAATCCTCCTCGACCTTTTTCTTCAAGTTTTGTAGGTCCTCAGCGACCTGCTTGTTCAGTTGGCTCTTCTTCAAATCCTTGAGGCCGTCGGTCACGCAGATGACGGCATCCTGCAGGCGTGCGACCTCCTCGCCAAACTTTCGCTTCTCGAGACAGTCCCGGGCAGCGCGGTACTGTGCAGCGGCGGCAAAGTGGCGTTGCTTGGCGCTGAACTGATGGATCCAGGCAGTGCTGATGCCTTCGCTCTTCACCGCGGCCTCGCCCGCGAGGTTATACAGGTCGGAAACGCAGGCGGCGAGCTTGGCAATGCTACTGTCGCGGTATCCATCCATGACAGCCTTTTGCCAGAAACATTCCTGGCTCTGGGCCAGAGAGAGCTGAAGGAGGGATTCGAGGGTGTGCTCATCCATATCGTCGGGAGGGTCGGACATCCTCAGCTCGGGCAGAACCTCCTTAATCATGTGCTGCAGGACACCGGCGGCGAGCGAAAAATAGCTGGCGGCCGTCTTAAGGCCCTCGGTGGTATTTCGGGGGAAGCAACGGCGAGCTGGGAATAGAGGGCGGCAAGGTTGAAGAGAACGCTGAGAAGCTCGTATTTGAGATTGTTTCGGGACACCGGTCGGTCGACATTATAGCCCAGAGCAGGGTACCAGGTGAAATCTGCGCCAATCTAGAGCGTGTTAAACATTAGCATATGGCTTCGAGTCTTCGGCCCAGGTCAGCCCACCCAGAACCGGCGGAGGGGATGCGTGTCGTTGGCAGAGAGGGTGAACCATGCTTACATCAATTGGGAACTTGCCGCCAATCCAGACGAGTTGAGCAGCGTACGCTTGCAATCTCTTGACGCCGCTCAAGTGCGGTTCGCGGACATTGATAGCGTCGCTACGGAGAGCATCGATGACCTCGAGGTCCTGGCGGAACATGTCCGGGTGCTGGTCATACTTGACGCTAATGTACTTTTTGATGGCGGACGAGAGGGAGAGGTGCACGCCCTTCCGGAAGGGCAGGGAGAGGATATTCGTCCTAAAGAAAAAGTAGGAAGCCACCGGCGACCTTTATTAGCGACTTGGGCGATATGGCCTTCCAGGCAAAACAAAAACATTCCCCTGCCGTAGGTGGGCGGTGCGCGCGGGTTTAGGAGGGGAAACAGCAAACGAGCCGAGATACTCACGCCATCGCTATATGATATAAGGAAAAGAAAAAGAAGGAAGAAAAGAGAATAATAAATCAAAAGACGCCTTGACTGTACGCCTCTGACCTTCGCGATACCCAGATGCGCGCGCACGTATTGACAAAAAGTGGCTATCAGGCTTTGGGAAGGGAAGAAAAGAGCCTGATGCAGAGCCAGAAACAAATTTGTGATGAAGTCATCGCGCCGTGTGCCCCGCGCCCCTTCGCCCCGCGCCCAAGCCAGCACTTGTTCTCAATCCTTTTGAGCTGGCACACACAGTGATTGGGAGAACGCCACAAGCGGAAGCCACCCGCCCAGCATGCGACTATAGGCGGGGAAGGGGCGGGGCAGTCAGCTAGCACACAACCTCTGCTTCAGGGAAGGCGCACATTTCAGTGTCAAGCTTTTGGTTGCCTAGATTTAACTAGATTTAGATGGCGCATCGCAAGGAGGAAGGGGCATTCTAGACTTTCACTGGCCTCAACAACGTCTACCATATCCATTAGATCCAATCTAAACAAATCAATTCTACTAAATGAATGCAGTTAATCACTTAGTAGCTTTCAGTTCCTTCTTCACATATCTAACCTGATGTTGTTAGCAAGCACTTCCTGCGAGGAAAATCGCCAGTTGCGATAACAACCTTGCATAGAACAGATCATAACTAGATTCAATTTGTAGAGTATCCTACTAGTTCCAAATCGTCAACCGTCGTCTAAAACCCATCAAAATATCCCTCGTGACTAGCATTCTTCGACTCGTCAAGATCATCGCAGCAGGGACAAAAAAAGACAAAGGAAACTTATCCCCATGCAAACACGCTACTCTAAGCAATAAAGAGACGACAAGAAAAATGGATATATCACAAATGCAACCTCCTATCCCTTACTGATACGTAGGTGGAGGTCCCTGTCCAGCTCCCTTCTGGTCGCCTGCACCAGAATATGCGCTGCCCGGACCTTCGTACGGCGGCAAAACGTCCGATCTCACCCCACCCGAAGCCATAGCCTCATCTGCCTTGTAGTAGCTTCCGTGCGCAGGGTCGACCGGGGCGTGCGCGGCCGCCGGCGGAGGATGTGCCACGGCAGGTACGACAGTTGCGGGCGGTACGATAATCTCCTCCTCTCCGTCTTCCCTTCTCGCCTCCGCCTTCTTTAGAGCGTCGAGGAGCACACCCGCCGCGCGAGGCCACTGGATTGCCGCCTCCTGTGGGACTAAACCCTCGGCGCGCAAGATCTGCTTGACGCTCACCTTGTGACCGTAGAAGGCATGGTTAGCCTCTTTGCGTTCCGTAATGACCGTGCCGTCCGCGTGGATACCCGCCCAGAGACCGCGTGACTTGATATAAGTAAAGACGGGACTCAAGGACTTGAGGCTGCTCGATCGGCGGTGGCCAGGCGCCGGTTTCTGCTGTCCATCCGCCGTGAGCTTAGTCGGGTCGACGGGGGCGGCACCAGGGATGGCGCCCACTCCCGGCTGGGCCACGGGGGCTGGACCGGCTCGACAACAGCTGGGGGAGCGCCACCTTGCGCCGGTAGCTTTTCTTTTCCGTATCCAGTATGACCCTTCTCCGCGGGCTCGTAGGGCCCGGCTCCGATATCCAGCTTTCCGCCAGCGCCAAAGGGTCCAGCGGCCACGGCAATCTCCGAACCCAAGCTCACTCGGGTACGCATAAATGCCTCGAGGGCCGCAGGACTATTGATGACGCATACGCAGTCATAAATGTCTACTCCAGCCATGAAGCCCGCACCAAGGGTGTGTACTTGAATACCCGAAGGTGGGCTCCATGAACCGTCGGGGAGGCGAGCAATGAGGACGCCGGAGCCGGTGGCAGCGGAGAATTGAAACCCGACGCGGGCAGTAGTGAAGATAGCCAACCCGACGGCGCCGTGTAGTACTTTTCCGGGGATGCGGAGAAGAGCACGATCTTTGGACCTGGATCGCCGATGGCCTTCCTTTTGGATCCCTCGACGGGGGTAATGGGTCGCTGGCCATCGCCATGAGCACCCTCTTCTATTTCAAGAGAAAATTTCGTTAGATATCCAATCTCCTCCCTCGTGGAGAGAATAAGGGGGTGAAGCTGAGGGCTAGACTTACTGCAGAAACTCGTGAGGATGGCCGCTGCCTTCTCACACTCCTTATCCATGGTACTCGGCAAAAACGCCTGCGACCCCATCTTATTCGCCAGCGCATTAATAGGCCCCGCCGCCTTCGCGCCCAGCTGGTGCATCTTGCTACTCCATCCCGCCCGCGACTTGCCGTGCTTCTTGTCCTCCTCGTCAACCAGATCGGCGTGGAGGTCCGCGGGCGGCGCGTTGTACGCCTGGCCCGCCGCGTGGTACGTGGCCGGATTGTACTCGGGAATGGGGTGCTCGTCCGGGTGCTGCTGGTGCTGCTGCTGGAGCGGAGGTGGGGGAAGTGCGCCTGTCCGCCGTCCGCCACCGCGCCCGACATCGTCGGCGGGACTTGGTTCGGGGGCGGTCCTACGGGGGTTGTACGCCGCGTCGTGGGTGTACTGCGGCTGCTGGGGAAACTCGTCTGGCCGTCCTGCGCGGGGAGGCCCCGGCGGTGGGGGTGGGAAGTACTGCTGCTCGCCAATGGCCCTTTCGGCTGCTTGCGCTTTCTCGTCGCCCATGGTGATTATTTTTGTTGGAAAGAGTGGTTCGATGTAAGAATAGAAAAACCAGTGGAAATCTCAAGCGTGTGTTGAGCTAGATAGACGTAGGTTGAATATTGATTAGGTTCTTCGAGATACTGAGAAGGGGTAACAGGAAATATGGCAAGAAGGAGGCAAGAGAGCAAGAACAATCTAAAGGGTTCTCCACTCGACTATTTATCGCGGGGAAGCTGCGAAGCTCTCTTCTCAGGCACAGCAGGATGCGGGCAAGCGTCAACCAAGCACAAAACTCTATGCACGCAATGAGCTGATGTCATCGCTGCCCGTGTCGTCACTGCCCAATGCGAGATCATCCCCTCCGCGCGGCCCCGCGGACGCTAAAAAAGGGCACCGCATTCCCGTACCTCTGCTCCAAGCCCAGTTTAGCTGGAGTCATTCATGTACAAGGGCATTTGCTTCCAATTAGCGCGGGGCGGTTCCCTATCCCTTCCCTCACACGCCCATTCTCTCCCTTTCGGGCTTCCAGAAGCCCGCGTTTCGGGGCGAACCCAGACGGTTGAGTTTTTTTGCCACGCCCACAAAGCCACACAGAATTACGTCGATCTATTACGCGGGTAAGCTCCCTTGCCAAGAGTTGGGAAAACAAAAGGGAGAAGCAAGAGCTAATGGCCGGGCCTCGCTTGTGGGATGGGAGGCCGTTCGGTTTGGTTGGAGGAGGCGCAGGGCTGTGCAGCGAGCGGGACCACGCCCCCATCACCACATACCTTGTCACTTGCGTTTTGCGTGAAATGACGCGGGAGGCCGTGGTCTTCCTCGAGGAGCCTTCACATGTCGAAATCATCAATTGACAAGCATCCTCTTGTGGCGTAGATTCGCGTACACACGTCGCGAAGCTACGCCACTGAAAGAAATCCCATCAGCCAGCTCACGAGGCAGAAACAAAAATACGCGTACTCTACGAGCATACACATACTCACATCCACGAGGAGAAACGGCACGAGGCAGATCAAAGTCAAGGGTAAATATCATAAAAAATAGGACCACTATCAAACTATATACCCACTGCTTCCGTATCCCCCACCATCCCTCCAAGAAGCTAGATTTCGTGCGAGAGAAGAGCACAGCTAGCATCCAACTAGTCTCATTTTCCGTCTCAGGTAAACAAAGGAAAACAAAGAACAAAAAAGAAAACTGCCCGGAGACAACCAGAGGAGGATATTGGCGACTTGCAGGCGACTTGCGCGGGAGCACGATACACACCAGAGGGCTGGGCTACCGCATGATGGAGCCCAACAAATATGTGGGGTAGAGAAGACGGGAGGAGAGAGAGAAAATAAGTCTTTAGAATAAGTAGAAACGAGAAAGTTGAAGAAGAAAAAGACGCAAGGAAGAAAACTAATGGGGGCCATATGTTAACAGCTTATGTGAACTCCGTCCGCCGCCTTTTGGCGCTTCGAATGCGATTCGTCATGTGTCGGGGAATATAGGAACGAGAAGAAGTAGAAACGAGAAAAGAGTATAAAAGGTCAAGGCCAAATCGCCAAAAAGAAGAAAAGTGAAAAGAAGAAGAAAGCTGCAAAAAGGGGGTATCTGCCGAGAGCCCGCCCTTCTCACGAAAGGGGTGATCGAGGCGGCGGCTCGAGGTCGGCTCGGAAAGAAAAATCAACACTAAGAGACGACCATCCAGCAACACAAGCGGCCAAGAGAAAGCTGGCCTTCTAAGGTATAAAGAAAACAGGCCCGAATTATCTTCCTCCCGCTATCCGAAAAAGTCGCCCATATGCAGGTAGCAAAGAAAGAAGAATAAACGCAGAAAGATGGGGGTGTGTAGGGGGAAGAGATAAGAGGAGAGAGAAGAAAAGGAAAGAAAAAGAGGTATCACAACGTCGCACGTGCATCCCATCCGTCCCAATAAAAAGTACATTCGCTCGTCGTCTTGCGTCCGCGGCTTGCCGCGCGTGTAGGGTAGGTGGCGTCGAGTGCCGCGGCATCCTTGACGTAGCCAGACGGGCATTGCGATTCCCCGACGACAACCGCTTCCCAGCTTAGAAGCAGTTGAGCGAGCCCTTCTTCTTCTTCTTCTTGTTGATATCCCTCATCCTCTCTTCCAGGTGAGCTCGCGCCGCTTCGGCTGCCTGTCTCTTCTTGCGCTCCTCCTCGACGGCCTGCAGGCTCCACCTGTTGTCCGGCTGAGGCGTAGGCGCCGGTCGGTTTTGGATGTCTTTGAGCTCCGTCTCGAGCTCCTGTGCGCGCTTCCTCCAAGCGTCGCAGTCTGACTTGACCTTGTTGGACTGGCGCTCGAGGTCGCTGAGGGCCTCTTCAAGCGTTGCCGTGAGCTGCTTCTCCGCATCTAGATGCTTCTCGATCGTCCTGATACGAGCTTCCTGGTCATCGCGAATCTGCGAGATGGCCGCCATGTTGTCCTTGCTCATCGGCCTTCCGGTCTGAGTAGGGCTGCCAGGGCACCGCTGGCGCCAGAGATGCCGGGAAGAGGGGGAGGGGAATGGCTGGTGGCGGCGAAGGGAGAGAAGCAACCGAGGAACTCTTTCGGAGCTGCGAGCTCATCGAGTTGGATCGCTTCATGGGATCGGGGCTCGAAGAGTTGATCTCGTCGAACTTGGCCTAGACGTAGTGAAAATAAAAAATATTAGTACAACTCGCACGGGGGCAATTAAGCAGTGCGCGCGCGCGTGTGGGCGGGGGCAAACTGGAAAAACTAACCTGGAGAGCGGCGTATTCCTCTCGGACCGCGTCCAGCTCGCTCTGCGCCCTGGTCCTGGCCGTGTTGGCCTCCTCGAGCTGGCTATGGCGCTCGCTCTGGAGCGTAGAAAGGCGGTTGCTGGTAAGCTGGGCTTGGTCAAAGTTCTGCTGGAGCTGAACCTCGAGCTCCTCGACGAGACGCGAGTGCTTCTTGTTCTTCATATCAAGGTCGTCCATCCTCTTCTTGAGCACCGCGAGGCGACCGAGGACGCCCTTGGAGGTGCCATTGGTCTGCTTCTCTTCGGCGGGGCGGCCGAGCATCTCGTCGAGGGCCTTCTTCACCGTCTCAAGCTCGCCCATGACTTGGTCGTTGATGGAGGAGAGCTCAACCACATTCATCTCGATCTCTGCCCTCTTCTTCTGCTCCTCGGCGAGAGCCTTCTGGTCCGCGATCAGGTCCTCGATACGCTCCGTAATCTTGTCCACGCTAGTTGGCAATCCAAGAGCAAAGGCAACCTGCGTCGCCACCTTCATCAAGTCTTCCCTGGCGTCATTCAGCTCGGATTCGAGCGCGTTGATGCTCTCCGAGTGTTCGGACATGAGAACGGCGACCTGCTCCTCGTAGCCACTCTGCTCCGAGAGTTTGAGATCCTCCAATTCCTTGGCGTGCTTGGCGTTGAGCGCTTGTACGGCCTCTTGGTGGGACTTGGCAGCCACCTCGAGGTTGTCAATCTTGACCTCGAGATCAGCCACGAGCGCCTTGTGAGCGGCGGCCTCGCTACTAGCGACATCGCGGGCCTTGATAGCCTCGTCAAGCTCCGCCCGGGTGGCTGCATGGACCGACTCGAGTTCCGAAATCTTGGACGTGCTGTTGTCGAGGACCAGCTTATACTCGTCCAGCTCAGCCTGCAACGAGCCAACCAGCTCCCTCTGCTTCTCCTCCATCTCCTTGGAAGCATCGGCGCCGGAAGCCTTGACTTCACTCTCGGCAAGTTTGGCCTGGGCATCAGCAAGCTGCGCTTCAACATCGGCGATGGACTTTTGCATCTGCTCTTCGGTCGCCTTGAGATTGTCGAGGGCGGCCTTGTGCTTGTCTTCCCAGCCCGACAGCTCAGACTCGAGAACCTCGATCCTCTCTGCGTGGGTGCGGGAAATCTCGAGATCGCGGGTCTCATTAGCGTCTTCCTCCTTGAGAGAAGCTCGGAGGGCCTCGATTTCGTCAGTGAGTTCCTTCTCGCGCGCCTCCTGCGCCTCCCTCATAGCCCTGAGTTGCGTCTCGCTCAGTTCCAGCTGGTTCTTCATTGCCGATACGACCGAGATGTCCCGCGGAGAGGCCTGCAAGCTGGACCTTTCCCTAGTAAGGCCCGAGATGATGGTCATCTTGGTTTCCATCTCCTTGCGGGCAGAAGCGACGTCGGCCTCGAGTTCTTGGATGCGCTCCGAGCGAGCGTGGAGTTCGTGCATGGCGGCGTTGAGATTGAGCTCAAAGTTTTGCATGGTATCGGGGTCGGCCTCAAAGTTCTCAGCCGCGATATTCTTAAGTGAAGCAAATGATCTGTGGGCACGATCGATAATCATGACGTTCTGGCTCGACTTGCGTCGGATGACGGGTGTGTTGGACCTCGGCGACGACGCCTCGGCCGCCTTGGCCTTGGATACCTCGGTCTTGAGCTCCTCGACAAGGTCAAGTGTCTCGTGGTGCTTGATTCGAGCTCACAATACTTGTTCGAGAGTTCGCGTTCCGCGGCTTCCTTCTCGGCTGCGAGAGTCTTGAGACGCTCGAGCTCGGCAGGGAGGTCGTCATAGTCGCCAGGAGACTGCTGGGACTCTGGTTTGGCCGTGGCGGTCTCGGCATCCGAGTTGTCGATAATGGCGGGGATTCCATCGCCGAAGAAAGCTCCGAAGATAGGGAGCGAGACACAGAGAAGCGTCCGCTTTCCTTGGGATCACTCGAGCGGGAGTCCGACATGTACGAGTCGGGCCTGGTGGTGGTCGGAGAGGTGACGGAGAGGACCGAGTCGCGGATGGGTCGATGAGGATGGCGGGATTCGTCAACCATGTCTTGCAGATCGGCAATGTTGCGGAGGGCCTCCTCGTACTTGGAGTGCAGGCTATCGTACTCATTAATAGTACTCTCGTGCTCAACACGCAGGTCCACGAGCTCCTGGGTGACGGCCTCGAGCTTGTCGGCGACGAATTTGCTCTGAGCGGGGCTCTGCGGGGGTAGTCGTGCGTCTCCGCAGCAGGCTTCAGGCTGTGGCTGTCGGGGGTCGTGACCACCTTGTCGGTGACCGAGCCGTCATCCTCAACGCGCTGCTCGTCGTCACCCTCTTCATCGGCAGCGGGCGTAGCGGCGCGGTCGCCGTTGCTCTGCGGGGCTTCTTCTTCCTCCTCGCCTTCGGGAATAACGGCCTCCTTTTGGCTGTGACGGCTAACGTGGGACTGGCTGCGGGAATGAGGAATAGAGGAGCGACGGCGGGCGATGCCGTTGGTGACTTCGACCTCGGCGGGAGCGGCATCGCCGTGGCGGCCATCCTGCTGGAGATGGTCAAGTTCGTAGAGGAGCGAGTCAAGCTTGCCGAGACTTCGTTGGCGTTCAATGACTTGCTCGAGTCTGTCAATTTCGCGCTGCATCAATTCCGCATCCTGGTCAGCCTCGGCCAGGCGTTCCTCCAGGGTGGAGATGTAATCCTCGCAGGCCGCCTCATTTTCTCGCACGCGGGAAATTTCTTTGCGGAGCTCTAGAATAATGGTGGCGTTCTTTTCCTCACCCGAAGTGTGGCCGTCGAGCTTGGCCTCGAGGTCGTGCAAATAATTCTCTGTGCTGGCTTCCCGATCCATGAGTTTCTGAAGCCGAGCCTGCAGCTGTGTGTTGATGGTCTCGACATAGGCAAACTTGGACTCCTTCTCCAAAAGCGACGCTTCGGTGTTGGACAGAGTGGTGCGGGTGCTGGAAAGGGACTGTTCGAGGGTTTGGATCGTCTTTTCATACTCGAGCACAACCTGCTCGACTGCCTGGGCAAAGGAGTTGGAGCGATTTAGCCGCTCGGTGGCACTGTCATCCAAGGATTCTTCCAGGTGCTGGTTCTCCGCCATCTCGTTGTCCCGCGCTTTCGCCATCTCCGCAATGAGCCGTGCGTGGCGCTGGCTCAGGGTGGTGTAATTTTCCTGGATGTCCAGTAAATGGTTCTGTAGCTCAACCTCCCGCTCGTTGGGCCGCTCGGACCTCTCGCTTGTGGCGAGGGTGCGTCGCTCCCCGCCGGCACGGTCTGCGCTGCGAATCTGCTCCCTGAGGAAGGCCACCTCGGCCTTTAAACGGTCAATCAGGGCCTGTTTATCGCCCTCTTCCACCTGTTGTATGCGCGGCTTGCTCTGAATGGCTCGGGCCCTCTGTGCATATTGCACCGTGTTGAGGGTTTCGCTCAGATGGAATTCGGCGGGGGTGACGCAGGCAATCATGTACGTGATGGCATTACCGCCCAGCGAGTCCTGAAGGAGGCGGGTAAGCTTGGAATCGCGATAAGAAACGTGCGATCCTGCCTGCCGGGACGAGAGCTGCGAGATGACTTTTCCGAGCGCAGCCAGACCGGCGTTGATGGAAATGCCCTCCTTTGCACGCTCGCCTTGGGCTCCAGTATTCTTCAGACGTTCGCTGCCGGCTAAATCGACAAAATGCAATTTGCTGTCGGTGGTGACCCAGGATTCCGACCCCGTCATGGCTTCGATGGGAACCGAGAATCGCTTCTCCGCCCCCTGGGCCGGCTGCAGGCCATTTTTCCGCTGCACCAAATTTAAACTGAAAACGGCATGCGATCGAGAGGACTTTGCGTTTATCGCCGTTGCATCGGTTTGCCTGATAGACGAACCAAAGCTCAGTGCATTCATTAAATCTTCAATGGAATTGATGTCCACCTGTCGCAGACCCGTAAGAAGAATATTGCCCTTGACATCTTCGCGTATCGTTACTGGGCTCCGCTCATTTGGCGGCACATTTTCTTCCACAAGCAGATCGCGAAGTTGCTCGTTATAAATCTCGACATACGTCGCCTTCATCGACCAGCCCCTTTCGCCGAGGCCTGCCTGGCCATGAGTCGAAAACCTCTGGGGAGATCGGAGTTGCGACATCGAGTTTCGGTTCGTTTTCGCGGCGGCTGCTTTGGACGTATCCAATTTGTCGAAAAGTGCGGTGGCGGCTCGGGGGATGACACCTACACGACAAATAGAAAGCTACGTGTCAGCGGCCTCGTCCGGATCAAGAACTGTCGAGATGAAGAGGGAAAAGAAGAATGCAAAACAAGTCGAGATACACAAAAGGAGAAAAAAAAAGAAAAAGAAAAAAAAAAAAAAAAAAGGCGCGAACAATGGTGAGAGAAAAGCCACGCCCAACGTACCCTTCATTTCGAGGTCTCCCTGCTCGCTAGGGCCAGCAGTGCCCATGGTATACGACTTTCCCGCGCCGGACTGGCCATATGCCAGCAAAGACACGTTATACCCTTGAACAAAGGCATTGACACAGTCGGATACGTATTCCCAGATGCCATCTTGGCCGACGTCGGGGCTGAAAACGCGATCAAAAACAAAAAGTTTCCTGCCCTGGGGAGAGTCTATCGCGAGATTTGTATTTGAGGTGACATGCACCATAGATCTTTGGAAACGCTGAGGGATGAGGTCGAAGCCGGGATCGGTGGGATTTAACGGCGGTCGCACTCGCACGGCTACACGAACGCGAAGCGTTTTTGTTAGCATAGTCACATCGACATGACAACAGCAGGAGCAACATAGGCGGAGAATCGCGAGTGGAAAGCTCCGAGTCGGCAAGCAGCCTCAAGAGTCATGAGCAGTCGCGACGACGCGCGACAACGACGACGACGCCCGCGAAGGATCCAAGTTGGATTGAAGACTTCGAACAACGACCGTCCCAACGCACAATAAAGGGGGAGGGACCAGACTTACCAACTTTGACTGCGGTGCGGCTTTCATCGTCGGATGCTCTACTTCCACCGCCGGCCTTGCTTGTCATGCTCAGCCGGCTGTTGCTTCGTGGTGCTGAACGAACCATTGCGCTCAACGGCCGTGGGGGTAATGATCCAGGTGATGCCGGTGGTGAGCTTGCCATGGCGGCGAGAGGTCAGAAGAGGAAGACCTCTACACTTATGAGTCGAACACGCCTCTGTCGGCCCGGATAATAGGGATTCTAGGGCGAATGGGATAAAAGATTATACCAGTAAAAGGGGGTGAGAAAAAGGGAAGGGAAGGGAGAAATCGAGGCGGGTGAAAAGGGAGTGGGTATGTCTTGCTTCTAGTGTGTAGCTGTGTACTGTCGCGCGTGGTGTCTGAAAGCCAATTCGCCCTGCCCCAGAATGCGCGGGAGGCCCTATGAATAGGGGTCAGGGAGGTATCCGGTACAAGTGGACACTCTGGGGGACCTTGACTAGTCGACGCTAACAAAGGCGGTCGTACAGGCACACACGGTGTTAGTGCCCTCGATCAACACCCGCACCCTGCTGTCCCAGTTACTTTGTCGCGCAAACAAGTGCGCTTGATTCGTACGAGGCGTCGTTGGCCTTGCCCACAATATCGCGATCCCAGCTCTAACCCTCGCCGTGGTAATCAGTTATCAGATGTCTCCTGTCGGAATTCTGGTCCCTTTTTTTCCACCCACGCCCGCGGAATTGGTGGGCCCAAAAAATGATGATGTTTCGGTGGCAGAATGAAGATCACGCTTCTAGACGTTCCAGGCGATCCGGAAAAAGAGGTCGTCAGTTTGGCCAATGCTCTCACGGGCTGGGCTGGGGGGCAAAGGTGGTTTGTTTGGAACGGTGCGGTTGTTCCGTGCAAGTCGAGGACAACAAGGGGTTCAAAAATGTTTATCAGTCAGGGCGACGGGCGTGGAAAGGCACGGCCAAGCAACCAGTATCGTCAGACTCCAGCCCGACCGTTGTATCCGTTTTCAACTTTCTTTTTCGCTTCAATGTTCCTTTTCTTTTTCCTCACACCTTTCTCTCTGTGTTCAAGGACCTTTTTCTTCCCTCGTTTGTTTCCCTTGACTCGCTCGATGGATGGCTCGAGGGCACTCGGGGTGAGGGTCTCTTGAAATTAAACGAACGCGTCGAATCCCTCGAATGGCTTGCCTTGCCCTACTATGATTGGGGGATTGGCAAGTGTGCTAATAACTCAAAAATGCCCCTGGCATTCGCTTCCTTCTCCCCTTCTCCCTCCTTTCCTTCTCTGCTTCTCGTCCGTTTTTGGTCGCTCCTCCCTTCTTGGAGGGCGATGTGGGTCGGGGTCAGATTGAACCTGGACTGTAAGTACCTGTACAGTGCACGCGCTAGTGATTCAGCTTCCCAGACAGAATTTACTCGGTTATCAATACAGTGTTGGTTTCTCAAACCGCCGGGGTACATCGGCTCAGGTACAAGTACCCGCAAGCTCAAAAGACCCCATGCCATTTTCGTGGGTCTCCCCGTGCTGAAGTAGCCTTGACTGCCACCCCAACCAGCCACCACTAATTTTTTTCTGCTGCACTTTTCCTCCCTCTTCCGCCTTCTCGTCCCGCTGTCACTGCGCTCAGTGGGGCAAGGCGTCTCCCAAGTCTGGTCGAGGGCAGGAGCAGCGCCGTGCTCGAGCCGTTTAATGGTTGCTCAGGGCATCTCGAACCTCGGAGTGGCTCCGTCGAGATCAAGAAAAATATGGATCTATGGGTCAATACTAGTCTACAGGTTGGTTGCACAGTTCGTCTACACTAGAACGTAGCTAGAAGAGGCGGCCGCAAGCGAAGGAGGGCGGCGATGGACGTCGTTGGTCGAGCACAAAACCCCCTTAGTAGAGAAAGGGGCAGGCAGAGCCCCGGTTCCTTCCGGGACCTGGAAGGACGGGCAAGAAATGCACTTGCATTACTTCAATGTACATTCAAGAGATACGGACAAAAAATCTTGCATCTGATGGTGACAAGCTGGGAATCAAGGTGACAAGTGATAGTCCTGTTGGATACTGTTCACTGTCACCTCTTTTTCCTTTCTTATTTCCTTTCTTTGGTTTTTCATCCCACAGCTTGGCCAATGAGCTGCCCAATGCGGCCCATCCGCGCATACATGGAGACTCTTCTCCAGTTCGTCACTGTTACGCCCCATTGGTGGACGAATCACTATTACTAGACATTCCAAATAGGACTAGCAAGATATGCCGCATTAGGGCAGGCACGCCGAATCTAGCTGGACGGCGAAGCGTGCACAACTCCCTAGAGCAATGAATGCTCAATGTTTCACATAGCAAGGATAGGTGAGAGGCGTTCTTTCAAGAGGCGCTGGGAACAAAACTACTGCATAGACTCCTGCCGCGCCCATGGATGCTTTTCCGGCCCCCGAGTCCCCACATCGAGCTTGGAAGAGGAAGACACGAGGGCCGACAAGACGAATTTTCACGAGTGATTGCCGGAAGACGACCGGTACCCGTGCTCCTTGTCTTCAAGCTGTTCGAGGGACCCATTTCAGCGCCCACCAACGCGCCTATCCTCATCATCTCCCCTGCACGTCCTTGTTCCCTCGACAAGTACGAAGTACCAAACACTTGACGACAAGCCTGCTTGCCTGCCCAAGGTTATCTCCATCCAGTACCACGCCGGCGCTTGAAATTCAGACAAAGCAAATCCATCCCCGAGTTAGATCCCTGCCCGTTACAGGTTGCAACGGGCGGGAAAAGCTGCCCAGGCCAGCATGTGGAGACAGGGACCGAGCACTGGGACCACCAGCCAATTCCTTCAACGCCACACCCTCTGGAGGCACGATGGCTCATCCCATTCGATCCCCCTCTTCGTTCCTTCCCTCCTTCCCACCAGAGCCGTGAAGTGCACTTGCCCATTCGGCGTGCGTGTGGAGCGGCACAAAACACACCACCCGTTTCTCTCTCCCTTTTCGGACTCTTTCTATTAGAGCTCCACAACCCGTGCGCCAAGCCTCTCGATACAGCACAAGTCAGAGCCAAGTGGAAAGAAGCAATGAAGATAATGGAGTCAAAGAGGACTCTACAGACAAGGGTTAAGCCGGCCGGGCTTGAAATCAACAAGCCCGTCCGCCCAGTGGCTCACGATGCTGCCCGAGGTTAAGAGTCGAGATTCAGCTGTCTAGACCGAGGCGCAAGGCAAAGCCTTTTGCGCCGGGTTCTTCGAAGTAGGTAGGCTTACTTCGCGATATCAACGGAGGGGTTTTCAAGGCCCTTTTGAGCCCTCAATTTCCTCAAAGTCCTGCCATAAATGCAAAAAGGTCAGGGATCTCTCGGCCCTTCCGTCTGGCCGGCGTTGCACCTCCCCGCTAATACAGCAAGCAACCCCTCCCTCAGTGCACTCGTCTGTCCATTTCTTGGCTTCGCTTACTCCATACCTTCTTTCTTGACTATCAGCAGCGTCACAGCACGTCCCGGCCGAGAGTGCAACGCCAGCCATGAACGCATGTGTTTTTACTATCCTGCTCTAGGTTTTCCACGTTGCATGTCGTCGGCCGTGCGTGGCGGTGGCGGGCGGGGAGGAGGCTTTCATCCCTTCGCCACTTGGCTCAGAAATCAGCATCACTCACGCCGTTGTTGATCGACGTGTCCAACGACTTTTAAAGTCGCTAGGGATCTCGGAGATCGATGGTAAGGTTACATGGCCACCCAAACATTGAGCTCTCGCATGAACTGCTTGATGGTATCCAGCGAGACAAGACGAGACTCCTACCCCACCAAAAGGGCCTCTCTCTTGTTTCGATAAAACTCTCGAACAGGGAAGAACGTGGTCCAGCCACCTCCTCGCCAGCCAACCTCTTGACAAATATGTCTTTGGAAGCAAGGAACGCTGCCCAAAAGCAAGAACCGCTGGCACAAAGACTCTAAGACTCCTAGACGTCGTTTCCCTTCCCGCAAACGGGTCCTAGCGACGAGTAAAGAAGGGGACCGGGCAAAGCTGTCCTCATGATATAAAAGTGGAAGTACGGAAAGGAAAAAATAGAAAAAGAAAAAAGAAAAAGAAAGGTAAAAAGAGAAAAAAAAACTCCACATGGGGAAGCAGACGAAACGTGGTCCTGATGCGCATATGCCACGGCATTCAGGGATGTCCCTGCCATAAAGCCCAGCTCGCCAACGATAATAGTCCAAAACGGCCCCAGCCTACACGCATGCGGGCCCGAAAGGCGGCACGACTTTGCATCGCGGGTGCCGCCTTTTTCCACCACCTACTCTCTCTTCCCCTCACTCGTGATGAAGTGATGAGGCGTGATTCTCCGAATTGGGCAGAGCCTTTTGGGCTTTTTTGACACCCAACCAGGAAAGCAAGAGCCCTTTTCCGTTGAGAAAATGGCGGCCCAGACCCATAGCTCCCGGGACCGGGACGGGCGACCCTGCGGTGCTACACCCAAACGCGGCATCAAGCCAATCGTCTGGGTGTCGGTAAGTCCCAAGAGAAGGACTTGATCGAGGAAAGGAAGCAGGCCCGCCACCTCACCCCAGTATCACCCTACAATCTACAGAAGGGGAGGTCGGTTCGGGGCTGTCAGCCAGACACTTGATACTCAGTGTTGGATTGTACCACGAGGACTGGGAAGTATTCCAGCCATCCCACATCGAGCACCAACCACTTAGCGGCCTCGCCGAACCATGGATCGGCGAGGGAGGCGCCAGCCGGCACATCAACCCCCTCCTTGGCTGGATGACCAGATGCGGAGGCTTTGGTGTCAATGCACCCTCGCATACTTCAAGATGGCAGGGAGGGACTCTTTGTGGAATGCGGGCGAGCGAGGGAAACGTCAAAAAAACTATGAATGGGCTGGAATTCAAGGACTCCGGCAAAATTGGCTTTCCCAGTGGGAAAGACTCGGTAATCGTGGAAACGTAGATCACAGAATGGAGGGCACCTTTTCCAGCGACGAGCCGTGGTGTGAAACACTCATCGACGCACACGTGTCTTCGCACGCCTTCACCCTTTAATAGTTGCTGATGCTGTCATGGAAAGAGGAGTTTGAGCAGGTACTTTCGGACGAAGGAGCTATCTCTTAGCCTGGCTTCCAATATGCTCCTCGTTATGAAGCTTAGGGTTTGGCTCTCGTCTGGGGTGTAAATACTCAATCTTCATCAAAGCCGCTAACCCATCGTATCAGCGAGGCACCAACGAGGTAGCATTCGTAGAGCTCCTCCTCCCGAAATCCGTAGGCATCTGCTCGAAAGGAAGACATGATCCTCAACAAGATAGGGCAGGTTACTACTTCTTTCAGTTTGCCGTGGCGCTGTCTCCCGGTGTTTTGTTTTTATAGCAGCCGGGTTAGAGATCAACCCTCAAGAGAGGCCCAGGCCAAGACTCACTAGTGAGAGCCTTGATAAAGCGGGCCAGGCACTTTGCTTCCGGCCGACCCTAATCAATTCATGGACAGGGCAGGATGTTTAGCGATGTCTAACGACCTTCCTTAAACAGAAAGCTCGCAACGCCCAAGCTTGTGCGGGAGCGGCATTCGTGTCTTGATGGGCGAAAAGGGAAACGTCTGAAGAACGCGCCCGAGATGTACAAGTGGTCACCAAGGTCAAAGATGCAAGTCAGTGCCTCGTGAGGAGTTGAAAGTGGGCTGCTCCGTTAGAATCGATCCTGTTTCGAGGGCTCGTGGCCCAGAAGGGCAATCAAAACGCCTATCCAAAGATAGTCTGGGATATCTCCGCCTGATCCACTTGCCATGTGTTTCCCGGCTACGGTATGCGACTCGCCGAGCAGGCGTGCTCTTGGCAAAAGCCACGGGGCAATGGCTTCAAATCCGGGCTTCAACAGTGCCACGCGTCCGCTTCCTTCGGAGAGAGGATATGACGCTAGAAAAAGAGAGAGAAAATCGGCTTCGCGGATCGAGGCCGAAGAGGAGATGAGATGAAACTCTCTGGGGGTGGAGCCAGTATCGACTTGCCCGTCGAATATTAGCGTGCTTGACCCTTCAAAGCAGCCAGAGCGATACTCGATTAGCAGCTACTTGCGAGGCCGATGAGAAGTAGTTTGGACCTAGTTCAATCATTGGTGCTATTTTTGTTCCCCCTTCCTTTTAGGGAGTGCAGTTGACGCAGCCTTGCTAGCGGCAACATCAAGATCGTGAGGTCGAGATGAGGCAACGGATGTATGAGATGTCCGAGCCCTAAAGTGTCACGAGGAAACGGAAAGGTAAAGCGGCGGCGGAGCAGATTGTCCTTGTCAATCCACCCATCCATCTTTATTATCGAATCCATCAATCTCACACACCCTCGCCATCGCGAACTGGTCGAGCCAATTCTTGTGCTAGATATGGCTGGCCAAACTTTTGCCATCTTACGCTTTGGGTGGCCAAGGCCATGCCTTTTTTCTCTTCCTGATCCCTTCTTCTTCCTTTTTACTCGTATTGTGCTTTTAAACACGATGAACGGGTCAGTCAGCCCGTTCTCCCCGAAGTGAAGAAGGGCACTAAGAGCTGAGAAGCCGTGCTTGAGTTTTCGAAGCCAAGGCGGAGTATCGGCCTTGTCAGCCTTTGTCGCCTTTGTCACCTCTGTCGCCTTTCTTCTTTGGTCCATCATTTAATCTCACCTACCCCTATGGTATGGCCTAGGCATCAAATTTGCTTTTGGAAGGAGAGCTAAGACCGAGATTCCTCTCTTCAACACATATGCCTCCCCTTGGAGGCTTCATGCTCAGACCTAAGAAGAAACAAAACGAGAGGCGAGGGCGGGCCGAACAAAGGTTGACACCTCTTCAAGGACCAAGTGCCTCCTGCGCAAAGACGCTAATATGTATTTGAGGGGTGCGGCTCCGTGAGCTTTGACACCAGTGACCCAGACTTTTTTTCTCCCTTTGTGAAAGACACCCTCCCCGCCTTCTCTCGAAGGGGAGAGTCGAAAAAGCGCCCGTCTCGAAGCACCCGGGATGGCTGGGCCAAGCCACGAGACAAAACTCAAGAAAGAACGACAAAGGAGGAAACAAAACTTTTTTCCTTTTTGACAACTACCCGCTGATGAGATGGAAAGAGAGGCATGATGGGATTGAGGGTGGCCAAGCGCAGTATCATTGGACCAGCCCCTTCAACCAGGTCGAAAGGGTAATATTAATGGAAGAAGGGGGAAAAGCGTAGGATCACGGGGCGTCAACTTTCGGAAAGGAAAGTGATATGCACGCTTTGACACTTTTACAAAGTAAGCGAACCGCCGCATTGTCCTCATGCAGACATGGGCCAGCCAAGATCGAAGGCGAAAAGGTGGATATGCTTGAAAATCAAAATCACAGCTTCGAACGGACCACAAGGAAACCCTGAACACGGACGCTGGTTTTCCTTTGCTTTCATTTGGTTTCCTCCATCCTTCTTCTCGGCTTCTATCCGAGCATGCTCTTCTACTACTTTGGCTCTGGACCTTGGGTTTCGTTTTACGTGTATTACCAAAGAGCTAATCTTACTGTCTGGCAAAGCCCCCGCTTCAGTGTTAATGATTGAAGGAATGCCACCAAGTGCCGAGCGTATGAGGAGCGTGGACGTTTTGACGGGGGCTTATTGCATGGGATCCCCTCTTGCGGAATGTCATGGCATCCATGCATGGCGAGTCCAGCAATCCATCCACAAACGTTGCAAAGAGGCGATCGTTTGTGCCTCACCACGCGGGCGACGATATTTATCCGTGAGGGAGAGGGGATAGATAGGTTGGTAAGCATCGAGCTTTTGCAGTTTTGGCCTCGATCGTCGACACCCATGGACGACCGATTTACACATGTCACACGCACGCACGCACGCACGCAGCGTGCCCACACACACAGACACACACAGGCAAGCACTCTTGTCGCCCCGACTTCAAGTCGTGTGTGCCTCAGTGTGCGTGTGTGTGTGTGTGGATCGCACTTTGTGCCGTGTCCCTAGCATCAGACGAAAAGACGCCGAGTCTCCCTCCCCTTCTCGAATTAAGTTCCTGCCCCCCCTTCCCTGTCATTCGCAAGAAAAGGGAAAAGAAGCAAGCCCCATCCCTTGTAGTCTGTCCCCTTGCCAGGCTTGGCTCCTTCTTTCCTTCGAGACGGCGATCATCATTCGCCCTTTGTCCACGCCGTTCGTTATGCGTACCTCTCTTTCCGAAACCTTTTCAAACTATGCCCGGTAAATGTCCGATGTTTGATGATTTCCAGGGTGATCGAGAGCAGCCCAATGCGCGGGCGCACCATGGGTCTTTTTGTTCTCATTCTTCCCAGTCTACCTCGGTAGCCTTGGACGCTTCTGCGAGGGCAAGTCCCCGCGGCTTTCCTGAACCGAGCCCAACGGCCTGATCTTGCGGCGGGAAGTAAAGCCTCTGGCCTCTTGAGCAGATAGCTCCATTGATGGATATTTTTCTTTTCACTGAAAGAAGAAAAACGAGCATGTTATGTGGTTGCACTGACCTCTCCCCCGGCGATCAACCGCGGTACCCAGCCAGGCTAGTCTACGATCTCCTGCACCCTGCCGCAACAGGTTTGATGCGAGGTGCGCCAATGCGCGTGCGTGAGGTTTTGAGGGCCGATGCCGATGACGAAGCAAGGCCTGGCCTTATCTCGCTGTTCATTGGGGAAACGTGATTCAATGCTATTGAGGGTTTGGTCTTGTACGTGTACGCTCGTTGATATGCATTGCTTGACTCTAAAGCCCGCCAATCCATATGATCCATTTACCTCTAATATCCCTTGAGTCTTGCTATGCGTGGAGTATTAGCTTGTGAATTTCCTTGCTGAGGCTTCTTGTCTCCACCTAATTACTGGGCGTCCACTGCCTGGTCGCAGCCTGGAGGGTAGGGTGCCGAGTCACGTGGTCTTGTGTTGATTTCGCGAGCTGCCCGCGCAGAGACGCCACAGTCCCATCACGACTTAGTGTATGGCTGGTGTGTGTTTTCTTTGTTTTCTTAGAGACGCAGCGTGGCGAACCTAGTTATTGATCACAATCACCCGTTTTGAACCAAAGTGATTTCCCCTCTTGAGCCTCGGATCCGCGAGCCCTCAAGTTTTGGGAGGAGGGAAAAGGAAAAACACAAAAAAAAAACACACATGCATCCCCAACGAGCTACCTCAAGGTAGCCTTTCCCTCTTCTTACACGCCGACTCACAAACGCCATGGGAGGCGAAATCATCAGCTTGGTCTCATCCAGTCCCCGCCCCCGCCTATGTTACCCCGGCTCCGGCGGCAGGCAAACGATTCGCAAGGGCAACGGCAGGGGCAAGGGCCGCGCAAGAGGAAATCAGACGAAATCTTTCGCGACATCACCGAGAATGCGTCCAATTCGCAACCTCGGGACGAAACGCGCGGGGACCGCGGCGACCCGGCTCGCAGTCCGCCGCGCAAGACCTTGCCCGTCGTGCTCGAGCTGTCCGACCTGTCCGACTCGTCGGATTTCCCAGACGCGTCCAGCATCCAGCCGCGACGGGGCCCTCTGCGCAAGGACCCCCGCCAAATCTTTCACAGGACGGCGTCGTCCACTGCCAGGCCCCGCGCTGGTGGTAAGCTCGGGGTGGCGCCGCCGCCGCCGCCGCTGAGGCGGGCGTTTGATGACCCGATTGAGCTGTCGAGCACGCCGGACTTTGGGCCCAAGGTGAAGTGGGTAGGCGTGCCGGAGAGCAGGCAGGGCGCTGCTGCTGCTGCTTGCAGACATGATTCCTTTACTTTTCTCCCTCGCCTCTGCGGCGGCCGATACAGGCCTCGCGACTGGGACGCCAAACGACCCCGCCTAGGCAATCCCGCACGCGCTCCCCGGCCTTCGGCCATGAGAGACCCGGAGGATGAAGTAGAGGTGTCGGTGCAGTCGTTGGTCGATACGCCGAGCCCGTTTAGCGAACTGTCGCCGCCGCGACGGACAACCGACTGGGATCCCATCTCGAGCTCGGCCCCGGAAATCTTGCCCCCGCCACGGCGAGAGGAGGATGTGATTAACATCGACTCCGACTCGGAGGACCTTGGCCGTGCTGCGAGTATATCGTCGGACGAGTCGTTCCCGGATGTTTCGAACCTGGGCCCTAGCACCACCACCCACCATCGTACTTCCCTTTCCAGGCCCGGAGGATCTACAAGTGCCAGCGCGACGACGGCTTCGCGATCAGCGAGGACAACGGCCGCCATCACCAAAAGAAGTACAGGCGCGAGAACGAGCACCAGCACAAGCACCAGCACATCCAGGCCACCAGCCACCAAGCGCACCGCCGAAGAGCGGGCACGAGACAAGCACCTCCGCGAAGCAGAGCGAGACCGCAAGAAGCGCGAACGCGAAGCAGCCAAGGAGCAGCGCCTCAAGGACAAGGCGCGCGCCGCCGCCCTCGCCGAAGTCAACAAGGTCAAGACCGACAAGAAGATTTCCGCACGTGAGATGATTGTGGACCTCCCGCCTCGCTCGACGAGGGCCTCCTGGCCCAGGTGCAGGCCCTGCTCGGCGAGCTAGGCATCGAGAACGCCCGGTGGGATAGCGGCCCCGTCGGCCACGTCGTGCGGTGGCGGCGCAGGGTCCGCGCGCGGTACGACGAGGACAGGGGCCACTACGAGCCTATTCCCGAACGCGTCGAGGACGAGACGTTTGCGCTGGCCCTCTTGGACGCGGACGAGTTCGTCGGCCTGTGTCTCGCGGAGCAAGCGGCGGTGGCGGCGGGCTCGGGCTCGGACCTGGCCTCGCACGCCGCGTCGATGCGGCGCCATTTCCCAACCACACGCTTCTCTACCTAATCCAAGGCCTGGACCCTTGGATGCGTCGGAACCGCAATCTCCGCAACCGCCAATTCGCCGCCGCCGTCCGCAACGTCGGCGGAACAACAACTACTACTACTACCACCACGTCCTCGACCGCCGGTTCTAGGCGGCCCCGCGCCGAGTACGTCGACGAAGAAACCATCGAATCCGGCCTCCTCGCCCTACAAGTCCTCCACGGCGCGCTCATCCACCACGCCAGCGCGCCCGTAGAAACGGCGCAGTGGATCGTCACGTTTACGCAGCACATCTCCACGGTGCCGTACCGCCGCCGGCGGGACGAGGCCAACGCCTCGGCCGCGGCGTTTTGCATGGACGCTGGCCAGGTGCGCGTGGGCGAGGGCGCCGCCGATACCTACGTCCGCATGCTGCAGGAGATTACGCGCGTCACCGCCCCCGTGGCGTACGGGATCGCGGCCGAGTGCCCCTCGATCGGGGACCTCGTGGCGCGCCTTGAGACGGGGGCCCGCTGGCGCTGCAGGATTGTAGGAAGACGGTGAATAAAGAGGGGACTTGTCGGATAGGACGATTGGGCAGGCGCTGAGTCGGAGGCTGCATCGGGTGTTTACGGGGACGGATGAGAATAGCCTGGATGTATAGACATACACACAGAGAGAGAGAGGTGATGTATGGAGGGAAAGCAGCATTTCTACAAGGAACAACAGGTAAACGGTTGCATATGAGTTACTCGAGCATTCATTCACTTTCATGGGAGTTATATAGGGGTTACGCAGCATTCGTTTAAAAGAGACTTCGGGGTATCAATATCATTCATAACATAAACTAAAGAAGCTAAGCCGCCTAGGTAACAAGAAACTAAGAGGAACGAAAAGATCAAGGGTTCACTGAGAACGGTTACATCTACGATATGATCCGGAAAGGCCCCCGCTTGCGCGTTGGTCCTGTCCGCGCCCTTGATTTGATCTAGAGTCTTGCAGTTAGCATCAGGCTTTCGTAGAAGCGTGGTATGTCAACGACAAGGGAACAAAGAGTATGAGTGGAATCAGGAGAGTATACAACATTCTCAACAATTATAGTTCAGAACAGGTCTGTGAATTATTGAATTGCCTCATCATGCACTCGGGGAGGGAGAAAGCAAGGGTCGGGGCTTGCTAGGAGACAGAGAAAAATATTGCGAGAATAACAAAAAAGCCACATACCTATTGTTGTCAAGGGCCCGGGTGAGCGCCGAATCAAGGCTTCTTGGTGAAAAAGGTATCGAGCGTCTTTTGGCTCGCATCGAACTTGGCACTCCCGATGCCACCACGCGTCTTTTTCAAGCTCGCTAGGTGCTCGATGCAGTTGATTCCCAGCACCTCCAGTTGGAGGCCCGCGAGCGGCGCTCCGGAGACGGGCTGCGCGACGGGCTCTTCGGATTCCGGGGAGGAGCCCGTGAACCCGATCCAGCATTCGCAGTAGCCCGTGTTGCGCCAAGGCAGGTGCAGGTTCGCCTGTCCTGGACCATGGTCGATGGTAAGCCCCAGGATGGGACGTCCGGCCTGCTGGAACAGGCCGAGCAAGGCCCTCACCAAATGATTAAGCAAGATGCCGTGGGACACGACCACGACTGTCTCGACACGCTCTGGGTCGGCCTCGGCCCTGGCGCGGTAGGCCTCGACGATGGGGATGAGGTGTGCGCGCAGAAAAGCGTAGGCACGCACCATCATGGAGTCCGACGTCTCGGGTTTGTCGGCGGGCTGGTGGCTGGACGCCATGGGGCCCAGCCTGCCAAGCTTGACGCCTTCCAGCGAGCCAAAGTGCTTCTCGCGGAGGTCCCGAGACTGGACAACGGCGTCCGCGACAGAGGGACTACCTGCTATCGACAGAGCCTCCCGCACGACGTCAGCCGTGTGCCAGGCCCTTTCCAGGTCCGAGGCGAAGAGGACAGTGGCGCTCGCATCCCGAACGTCATCCCTCTCCGACAGGTGCTTCGCTAAGTTCTTAGCCTGCAGTACGCCGTGAGAGGTTAGGGGAGTCGCGAGACCCAGCAATGTAGGGAAGCGTTAGACGGGACAAGGCCATAAAGAGGAAAAAGGGGGAGGAAGAGCATGAAAGAAAAGAGGAACGCCCCGCACGCGGGCAGAGCGAGGAGAGAGAGAGAGGAGACAGCATACTAGAGACCAGCGACATTGTCAACGGACTCGCCATGGCGGATGAGCAGCAACCTGATGCCGCCACGTATGGGCCCAGACATTGGAGAAGAGGGGGAGGGAGGAGGAAATGACCCAGCCCTTTTTCTCTCTCTGGTGGTGGAAGGGAGGGTATGGGAAGGATGGGCGTGGCAAGGCTCAGCGCATCGGCCCGGAAAACACTTATGGAAGAGCGAAGTGTGTCGAAGCCGACGGGAGAGGGAGGAGCGCGAGGGTTTGTTCTTGTGGGGAGTGGGCGAGGAAAACAACGAAATTTTCGAGATGAGGATGGAAAGGAGGGAAATTTTTGGACAAGCGATGTTCTGGTCACTCGAAATTTATTGCTCTCTATTTTTTTTTTTGGTGGTGACTTGGATCTGCCGCTGGACTGGCAATTGTATGTCGTGCTCACGTGACCCAACGGTCCAGCATTGGAGGTTTCAGTGCCTGGGCCTCCTCGCCAAGAGACTAGAAGAGGATGCTCGCTCTGTAAATTGTATTGATCAACCGTATCGCTAAAGGATCAATGACGCTGCACTGCTCAACTAGGCTGGTGGCTTCTTCCTACTACTCCACCTTCATTTCCAGAAGCTTTATTCTTTCAGATGTCATACGGCCAAGTCCATGTGTACCAAATGGTCGTAGGAATATCCACAACTGAGCCCCTCCCCCAAACAATGTTAGGCTCAGCTCTGTCTAGTGTATATACAAGTAGGTGCGCACATGTATTAAACTGAGTAGACGGGGGTGCTTATGAATTAAAATCTACTGTCTGCACTGGAATGTCAAGATTCCGATGCCTCTGGAGAGTCCTCCTCGGCTACCCTATGAGCAACCTCTGAGGGAAGCTCGGAGGGAACCAGCCGTACTTTGAGAGATCTACGCAGTGCTCGCCGAGAGCAGAAGTGGTGGTCTGAACACCTTCGGCACGTAGCGCCTCTGCTTGATTCAGGGCCCCGGTAGGATGTGATCTAGCAAAGGAGGGAAGCCCGAGAGCGTGAGTGCGGCGAGCTACGGTGGTTTGGGGATTGGGACTGTTGCAGAGTTGTTCTCTTGCGGGGAAAAGAAAAATGAAATTAAGAAGAAAGGAATGGACCACACTGACCTAGGCGAAATCGTTCCCTTGGCATTAATCACTCTTTGCCAAGGCACCGTCGAAGAGTTGAACTCGGCATCCGCGCTCGCCGGGAGATGCTTCAAACAAACACCCACTTGGCGGGGACGCTCCGCTTTGGTCGGGCGTGGGATGTAAGTACGTGGCGAGCACAAGAACAAAAAACCCTCAAGCTGCGGTAGTACTTCGTGGGGAAGGGGTTGAGGTGTGGACGACTCACGGGTACCGATGAGAGCGGCGATATGGCCATACGTAGTCACTCTTCCATGGGGGATCTCTTGGATAGCCGCATACACTGCGTCGAAAAAGGCTTGTGCTTCGTCGGATCGAGCCATGCTAGGGAATATGTTTGGAGCTGGGAAAGAGTGCCGCGGGGTATCCAAGTAGGACGTCTAGATGGACAAAAAGAAGAGAGCCGAGATGATTCTGCAGAATTATGTCTTGATGCAGAACCTCGTCTCCCAGAGACGGATTCGTGCTTTTCGGCGAACAAAAGAGCGTCCGGACCTGCGTTTGATAAAGGGGGATCAAGGCAATGGTCCGGAAGACGGACAGATGAAAACCACAAGCTTACATACGGCAGACGATGGATAATAGACACTTGGTGCAATTCTCCTAACATGGGATCATGGATGTCTGTGGCTTAGAGCGTCCGACTCCAATGAAGCTGTCTCTGCACGTCTTTGGTGATATGTTAAGGCGATGGGTCAATCTTTCTGGCTTCAGTCCTCCTCTAATTGATCCAAGCCTAGCTTTAGTTAGTTCAATCCCAAGTTCCTTGCACTGATACCCCTCGATGAGGGACTGTCCAGGCTGGTTGACTGACACTGCAACATGCCCCACCAACTTTTACGCAGTGGGGATTATTGGCTCGGTATCACAGTCCAAAGAGCTCAGCTCGCTGTCACGTGAATTCGGGTTCTGAGAGCTGCCTAAACGCGTTCACTATCGGGCCCTGAACGCGACCCCTCGACTCAATCGGTAGAGCCCTGTTAAAGAACTTGGAGTCGCGGCCGACCAGAGCTGGGGAGAGAAAAGACAAAAACGGAAACGGATTCAATTGTCGCCGCTCGCTTCGAAGCCGTCCTCTTAGGGAAGTAAAGGGGCGACCTTTAGCTCCCTCGATAGCAGAGAGCAGAGTTATAATCCGTTTGGCCCCTCTACCTTCAATTCGTTCGCGATGCCACTTGCCACAGGTTGTCACCCCTCCTCAGACGTCCCCCAAGCCATGCCACCCATTGCCTGCACTTCTAACCGGCATCCTCGCTTCCAGACCCCGCCGATACGATTCGCATCTTGGTAGCGACCGATAACCATGTCGGGTACGAGGAGCGCGACCCCATCCGAAAGGATGATAGCTGGAAGACGTTTGACGAGATTATGAACTTGGCTCGCACTCAAGATGTACGTGCTTCGTCCCCCTCTACGCCCATCCGAATAGAAAGGTCCCCTCTCTGCCCTCCTCCGCCTCTCCTCCTCCTAGGCCTCTCCTGGGGGCCAATTACCCTTTTCTCTTCGCAAATGTGCAACTCTTTTCACTAGTACTAACGAGAAGGGTCGGCCTCCTTTTGGGCCGACCGAACCCCGATGAACAGGTCGACATGGTCCTCCTTGGCGGCGACCTCTTCCACGACAACAAACCCTCCCGCAAGTCCATGTACCAAGTGATGCGCAGCCTCCGCAAGAACTGCCTGGGCCCCCGACCCTGCGAGCTCGAGTTCCTCAGCGACGCCAGCGATAACTTTGAAGGCGCCTTCAACCACGTCAACTACGAGGACCCCGACATCAACATCTCCATACCCGTCTTCTCCATCCACGGCAACCACGACGACCCCAGCGGCGAGGGCCACTTTTGCTCCCTCGACCTGCTGCAGGTCGCCGGCCTCGTCAACTACTTTGGCCGCATCCCCGAGGCCGACAACATCGAGGCCAAGCCCATCCTCCTCCAAAAGGGCCGCACGAGGCTCGCCCTGTACGGCCTCGGCAACGTGCGCGACGAGCGCATGTTTCGCACCTTTCGCGACCACAAGGTCAAGTGGTTCCGCCCCAACGTCGAGGCCGCCGACTGGTTCAACCTCTTGACCGTCCACCAGAACCACCACGCCTACACCGCCACCTCGTACCTGCCCGAAAACGTCCTTCCGGACTGGATGAACCTCGTCGTCTGGGGCCACGAGCACGAGTGCGAGATCGACCCCGCCAGAACCCCGAAACAGGCTTCCACGTGATGCAGCCGGGCTCCTCCGTCGCCACGTCTTTGGTGCCCGGCGAGGCCGTGCCCAAGCACGTCGCGGTGCTCAACGTCACCGGTAGGGAGTTCACCGTCGAGAAGCTCCGCCTCAAGAGCGTGCGGCCCTTTATCACGAGGGACCTCGTCCTCGCCAGCGACAAGCGATTCAAGGGCCTCGAGTCCAAAAGGACAACAGGCAAGAAGTCACGAGACGCCTCATGGAGGTCGTGGACGAGATGATTGAGGAGGCCACCGCTGAGTGGCTCGAGATCCACGAAGGCGCAGAGGACACAGAGGCTCCCTTACCCCTCGTCCGGCTCAAAGTCGAGTACACCGCGAGCGAGGGCGGCAAGTTTGACTGCGAGAACCCGCAGCGCTTTTCCAACAGGTTCGTCGGCAAGGTCGCCAACACCAACGACGTTGTCTACTTTTTCCGCAAAAGTCGAGCAGTTCAAGTAAGTCCGCCGCCCCTGCCCTTTTTTTATGCCGCTTAGAAACGGAAACAAGGAGAAAACTCCCAACTAACAACTCCAATTTCCAGAACGCAAGGACGCCGCCGCCGAGCTACCAGAAGGCGCCCTCGAGGACCTAGGCCCGGACAGCATCAAAGTCGACCGCCTCGTGCACGAATTCCTCGCCGCGCAGTCCCTCAAGATATTGCCCCAAGCCCCCTTTGGCGACGCCGTCAACCAGTTCGTGACCAAGGACGACAAGCACGCCATGGAGACCTTTGTCAGCGAGTCCCTGGCCAGCCAAGTCCGCCAGATGCTCGACCTCGACTCGGACGAGGAGGACCTCGAAAACGCCATGGAGACGTACCGTGCCCGCCTCGAGGAGCAGTTCGCCGCCGGCGCCCTGCGCGTTGGCTCCCGCCGCCTCCGGCCCAAGCCCGACACCTGGGACTCGGACCTCGACGGCCACTGGGACCAGCAGCCCGACGCCTACGAGGACCTCGCCAACACCCAGGCCACCACCACCACCGCGTCCCGCGCCGCCGCCGGAACCCGCGGCTCCAGAACACAAGCCACCGCGCGTTCCTCCCGCCAAGACGAGGACATGCTAGACGACGATGACGACGACGACGACGATGCCGGACCCCGCCGCCCGCCCGTCGCGCTCCCGCCCGAGGCAGGGCCACAGCATCCTCCCGCGCCGCCAAAGCCCCGCCACACGAAAACCCGCTGTCAGAAAACTCGCCACCACCACCACCACCCGCGGCCGAAGACAAACATCCCCCGTCCGACGACATCATGATGGACGACGACGACGACGCCGCCGCCGCCTCGGTCCCACCTCCCCGCGCCACCCGCCGCGGTGCCGCCCCCGCCCCCACCGCCTCTTCTACTTCGTCTTCCGCGCGGAGACAGCCCGCCCGCTCCACAGCGGCCGTCGGCCGCGCCTCCCGCCAGACCAAGCTCAACTTTTCCCAGACCGGCGCCTCCCAGCAGACCGCGCTCGAGATCTCCGACGACGAAATCTCCGACGACGACGCCTTTGAGCCGCCGACCAAGACGACGAGGGCGAGGCGGAGGTGACGGGGGCCTCTTGCAAAATAAGGGGTGGGGAAGAACACAAAACGAGCGTCAACGACTTGTTTTTGATGAAGGCATGGGGGAGGTTTGCAGAAATAAGAAAAACCGGGCATGCCTTATCTTCGAGGGTGTGACGTGCGGGAACAAGCAACGTAGTTTTTAAGGTCTTGCGAGGTAGCAATAGGGAGTGAGAAGAATAATACCCTCTTCTTTTTTCACTTATTGGCCCAAGACGTGACGAATTCGGTGATGTGAATGTGATTTACACAATCTTCAAGAAAAATAGAAAAGAGCAAGTTTTGAAAAACGTATAAAACAGTGAGCTGATCGATTAAGTGCATCTAATTCAACATGAGCATGCCCTCCTTTATCCCCCACACGCTGCCATCACCGTCACGCAACATCCAACCCGTCGCTGGAGCAATTAAAAGCATGTCAAGCATCACGACGGAAGAAAGGACACCCGTGAGGATAGCTCTCCCCCTGTCCGTCGTGTGTTTCCAAAGCTGGTGTGGGAAGGGACTCCGCTAGAAAGAAAAAGAGGGAAAAGAAAAAGGAAAAAAAGAACCAAAAGAAAACCTCACATCATAGTCGTTAACCCTAGCCGTTCCAACCATTATCTTTACCGTGCCGATTATCGAACATGTTTCCAACATCAAGTCATAATCCCATTCAATCCATTGTGTCCTCATTGGCACCATCCTTCTCGTCTTCTTCGTTTTGTTTCTTCATGCCGTGAACCCGACCCCGTCTCCAAAAGCCCGGAGAGGGTGGCCGAGGTGGCGAAGCTAGGGGAACGGGGAGGAACAAACAACTCAAACATGAAGACTAAACAAGAAGAGCACACGCCGATACGACGAGGGGGACAAGAGCGAGCAGGTTCGCGCGCCTGGTAAGAGGCACGGGGCACGCGGGCATGTCCGGCTTAGACGGCTGTGCGGCGGGAACAAGCAAGACAAGAGCCCAAAAACACAAAGCCATGAATGAGGGGAATGGTACAATGCACAAGGCAGCAAACAAGGGCGTCAACAAGAGGACACAAGCGGGAGCGGAACAGCAGATTGAACAAGACCAGCAGAGTTCTTCGCAGTGGCAACCAAAAAGCAAGAGAGAAAAATAACGGGAGCATAACATTCAGCAGAAGCACTCGTAAAGCAAAAACGACGCATCGCAAAGGAGTAGAAGAAGAAAAAAACCAAAACGCGACTAATATATGCTATCCGGATATAACGCCTCAGAAAATCAAGTGCATGGTTCAATCATCCCTCCTCCCATCACCTCCCGCCGCCCCTCAACAGGCACAAGCAACGATAAGCCGGAGAGAGGAGAAGGCAAAGCCGCCTCTCTAGCCCAAGATTCCCATCCGGGCACACGCTTCTTCTCGCGCCGGGGCGAGGGCTAAAAGAAAACAAGAAAAAGCCAGAGAAAATAGATTAAACGATGCCGGGGCGGCAGGTCGACTCTTGACACAAGGTGAACAGACGATGAAAAGAGGAGGAAAAAGAAAAACAAGAAAAGAAAAACAAGAAAAAAATAATCTGATCCATAGCAGACCACGAAAAGCCAGACAGAAAAACAAAGACGAACAAGGCGGTGAACAACAAAAACTTTTCTAGTGCGGGAATACTAATCCAAGTTTATCCCCGTTGATAAGGCGCGATCATGCAACAGGGCGGGGAGGGTGCAGCAAAGGTTTACTTCTGCGGCACCGCATCCATCGTGATAATCGGTTTGCAAACCAGCGGTCCCGCGCTTCGCAAGGACCCGACTCGACCATCTGTTCACCGTCATGTGCAACAACGGTGCAGCAGCGACGGTGGCGTGCATGTCCCGAGGCGGGTACCGATAACCAGAGGTGGGAGAGGGGGATTAGGAAATCCGGGGGAAATCATGCGTATTAGGGATGCTTGGGGAATGATGGTTTTTTTGTAATGGGGAGTTTCGTACGTTCGTTACGTTTTGTACAAACAAGGGGTTGGTGGTTGATTCGTTTCCTCAAGGTGGTCATTCATCAATCTGGGATCACCCCATAGTGTAAGAGGCCGAGACAGCTGTCTAGACATAACATCGTAACTGCATGAAGATTCATAATAGGATATTGGGCACCCTCTCTTCCCCTTGGTCGCCAGCGCCCCGCTACGGGATGCGCGCAAGTCAGCCACATGGGAAGAGAGGGTGCCGGAGGCAGAGGTAGAGGGTAAAAGTTCGTGAGCAGGTCGTTACGTTACAGGCAATGGTCGCCCATCACAGGTGTGGTGTAACTCTTGGAAAGGCGTCATATGTCTTCGTGTCTTGTTTTTTCTTTTCGCTTTCTCTTCGGGAAGGACTCTTTCGTGTATAGATCATTGCCGTAACATTCGTTGGGAGACAGGTGGTGGCCTCCCCAGTAACCGTGAGAATGGCGTGGGAATCATCGCTTGGTCTGAATTATACACGCAGTTGTGAAGGATTGGACGCATCGGAGGCGGATGTTTTGCCACCTCGCAACGCAGGTGGGAACTCGAGCAATATCATAAAAGGGCATCGGAGTGGTGGTGAGATTACAGGCGTCCATCGTCCTCCCTAGTGTATTTATTGTATTGCCTGGGTTAGAGACATTGAGCGAGGCGGCGGGGCCCATCAGCTCGAGCGGGGCGGAGGCGCGTTGGTCCTCATCCGAACGTGCTGGTTGAGTGGCCGTTCGGTTCGTAGGGGTCAGGCTTAATGGAATCTTGACACATTGGAACTGGTTCCAGTTCGTGTTCCATCGTCCGAGGAATCTGGCAAGACAGCAAAGCCAAGGAAAAAGAGGTGAGCAAACACTCCCTCTCAACGGTTCGACCAGTGTTTTACATCTCGACCGAGGCGCCTGGGGCGAACTCACCACTTCCCCTCTGCATGTGCCCGTTGACGCGACTGCGGCCCGAGAATCCCGAGGCTGCCTCCCACTCCGGGCCCCTAGGCTGGCGGTCGGGGGCGGCACGGCTCGACGATCCGTTCGCGCTTGGCCGGTGGCTACCAATGGCACCGGGGGTGCTTCGGTTTTGCGAAGTAGCCGCGTTGGACTCGAAAGAACCGAGGTTCAGGCTGCTGAGGGTGCTGGCGAGCACGTTCGCTTCGTTCGAGCCTTGGCTAGCGGCGTTACCTGAAGAGTTTGATGTCAGAGACGGGGTGGCAAGGGAACTAGTGTAGTCTAGGCTACCTGTATAGTCGCCAAGGCGCGCCAGGGAAGAGCTCGGGAGACCACCCATTCCGGTAGAAGGGTTCAAGTAGCTCGAGGAAGAGTGCGAGGGGCTAGGGCTGAAAGACCTCAGGTCCGCAAAGCTCTTCGCCGTCCGGAGGTTGTTGGGAATGGCCACCGTGTCGGGGCTACCAGGCAGCTCGAGCGTCGGGCCCTGGCGTCCAATGGCGTGAGGATACCCGCCGGCGGCACCGCGCGAATCCCGGTCCGCGGCAAAGTCAAAGGTCGCGGCACGGCTCAAACCGCGACGGTGGAGGTCGAGGCTAACAGAGGTACCGGTGTGGGCCTGGCTGGTGGGAGACGGCACATGGGGCTTGATGACTTGGATTTGTCGAGAGTCGGCATCACCAACGGAGCGGTGCTCCAAGCCCATGTAGTGGGCCAGGATGTGAATTTGGCGGCGTTCCTCGGGGCTGACGCTCGAGGGGAAGATGAGGATCTCCCGGCTTTCATCCCGGCGAAACAAGGTAAGCTCGGTGTAGTGTTGCAAGGTGATTGGGTCATTCAAGTCTAGATCCCCGGAAACAAGCCGTGGTTGGGAACGGGCTTGTTGTGCCTGGGTGGCTCGGTACGTCGATCGTAGCCTGCATCTCGCCCTAGAACGTTAGCTATGAATCGCACATCGATCCCCCTCCCGAGAGAGAAGAGAGGGGGTTCAACATCTCAGACGGAGAGGGTTGGTTGTTGGACATACTAGAGAGGGTCTGGAGAGAAGGCTGTTGATGGAGGACGGGACCGCGATGCTGCTCCTCCAACTGTCCCCGACGCTCCCTCTTCTCCCGCTCAATGCGCTCCCGTTCAGCTTCTGGGAGCATCTTCTTATACTCGACGCGCAGTTTCCGACCGTGTACCTCAAGGCCATTCATGGTTTCTATTACGAGACGAGTATCTTCGGGAGACTGGAAATTGGCAAAGGCGAGCCCGCGGAAGATGCCCCCATCGAAGTGATAATTGAAGGCATAAGGCTGAGGCAGATGGAGATCCGTCATCAGCTGAGCCAAAGTCTCTTTCCTGATGGCGAAGGGGATATTCTTGATAACGATGGCGGTGGGAATGAGCTGATCGGCATCACCGGTCTGCGGGTTGGGGCTACGAGTATCGGAAGAGACCTGATCCATCCGCAATCCGCCAGACATTGGATTCGATGAAAGACCGGGGGTTGAAAGTTAGGCATCGGGGGTGCATGCCCATGGAATTGGCATCGGTCCAGTTCTAGGAAAAGGAACATCAGTCAGTACATCATTTCAATAATCCAAGGAGGAAAATGCCCCTGAAAAGAGGACGAGTTCGCGAGCCGAAGACCAGTACGGCCTCAACCCTCAATAATCGAGCCCACAAGGGGTGATTAAAGAACAAATGCTTCAAGAAAAGAAAAAGCCCTTACCGTTGGAAGCGCGGTCCTTCTGTTCCCGCCCCGTTGACGCGCACCACCACCATTCAAGGGCCCGTTGATCGTCGCGACATTGTTGGCATTGTACGCCCAGGACTGGCTGTTATCCAGCATGTAGCCGCCAGCTAGACCGGGCACAGCAGCCATCTGATCCATGCCAGACCTTAAAGCATAGCCTCCTGGGCCGACCCGGTCGTTGGAGTACAAGGCGGAGGATCCTAGGGGCGAATCAAAGGGGCGCTGGGAATGACGAGGAAGAGAAAACCCGTTCGGGAAGGCTGGATGTGAGTAGGGCGCTCTTGACGTGCTCGGCGACCGACTCGTCTGGTGAGGAAAGTCCATATACATCTCGTTTGGATGTTGTTGGCTCATTGTGGAAAAATGTGAAGTTGATCGCAAGATTTTCTCGGATGGAGGGAGGAACAGGAGAAGGCGCTGGTGGGGAAGGGGAAATGAGGTCCGCACAGGAGCCGACGCGATTTGGTGTCACAAGGCCCAGCAGTCGACTTGCATATAGAGCGTCGAGTCCAGGGCGAAGGGGAAGGGATGAAGAAAAATAAAGAAAAGGAGAGGGTGCGTTGTCCGCACACAGCTCTGCCGAAATCGCTAAGGGGTCGAGAAAAGACAGGCGAGAGGCGGTGGGCTATCCAAAGTGGCGGCTTTTCTTTTCTTCACGCTGAAAGCGGAGGCCGGCCAGGGAGAGAGGGTTGGGGAGAGTTGAAGAAATTTTGACGACGGGGCCAAAAGGTTGAGTTGACGGGAGGAAGCTGGGGGTGGAACAAAGAAGGTTCTGCGCCGGTCGCTGACAAGGAACCCGAGAACCCAAGGCGAAGCGAGGAGGGGGGGGCAGGGGGCGCTGGAAGGAAGCGAATAAAAATGAAGTAAAAAAATAAAATAAAAGACAGTCAGCAGCAGGAAGAGAAGGTATGAAGGTTATAAAAAGAAAAAGTTGGACAAGTGCCGGAGAGGCAACGTGGTGCGCCGTCTCTCTCTCTGTCTATCGCTATAACTCTGTCGAGTTCCGTCTCTGTCGCTCTCTTTCGAGATTCGATGCTGGATTCTGTTTCGAGATCCCCAAGGTCAAAAAGGGCAGGATCCAGTTACAGCAAAGGGAATAAAAGGGGTGGTGTGGGAAGAGTTGCGTTTCCGTAGCGGGTTGTTGTTGAAGGAGATTGGAGAGAAAGGAAAGGCCCTTTTCGTGTCGGTTGAAATTGGGTGGAATTATTGGGGGCTTGGTTGGAGGCAAATTTTTGCCCTGCGTGCTGGAGCAAGCGGAACCTTGTTGCTTTGCCTTTCGGTTTCTTTTTTCTTTTCTTTTTCTTTTTCCTTTCTTTCTCTCCTACTCCTTTCTCTTTCCCTTTCCGTGCTCTTTCTCTCCCTTGTACCCGGGCCTTTATGGTGGGCTTTGCTTTTTACTGTTTGCTCTCAGTTCTCTCCAACCCTGTCATTCTATTAATTACGCGCTGTAACTTCCATCCTCTCACAGCACTGGAGGAGGGACACATTGTCTCAAGAGTGGCCCTCTAGCGCCTTCTAAACGACACAATGCAGAATGCAATAGATCAAATCTATGGATCAATACGGCGCCTCCTCCCCAGGAGCTCGGCTCTCGTCTCCATGGCATCTCATCAATCGCAAAAGGAAAGGTTCAATCCAATAGGGCAGTCAAGAGGGAAAAAGGCCGACTTGCCTCCATCGGTGCCAGATCAATTTTTTGGGTTGTTTTTGTTTTTGATGTCCAGCACAGCACAAGCGGGTGAAAACAAAGGCGCGGGCTGGCCCTTTTCCCACATTCTCCTTTGCCCATCCGTCCTTCCCCGTCATAGCATGGCATGGCGCGCGGTCCGCTCCAAGCATGCCAATCCTCTTGATGGAGCCGCACAAAGCACGAAAGGAAATAATTGATCAAAGAGGCTAAAGGGGGAGACGAGGGGGTAAGGGGGCCCGCCTGCCGAACGGCCCTTGGCCGAATCTAGCGGCGAAGCTGGCAACAAGAGCAGTTCCCCTTGGCTTCGTGATAATACCAGACCCCTTCCTCGCCCCAGTTTGATGCACTGTCCAGCCCCAGGTCGCTGCGTTGCTGTGGTGGGTGGGTGATTGTGGGGACCGTGGGAAAATTTGCGTGCTCTTACCTGCCCCAAGCTAATCGTCATTGCAACCATCGACCGTCTTCTAGAGCATTTTTTTCTTCCCCCTTCTTCTCCCACTTTCTACCTCAAAGTTCCTCTTCTCCACACCTGTGCTCTATTCCCCAACCACGACTGGAGGGTGGGCGGGATCGTCTGATCAATTGATGGGCAACCGATTACATCCGATCGTGCTCACTACCGCTGGAAGAAGGAGGGATCCATTGATTCAATTTTTTTCCCTCTCCTGGGATCCTGGGTTGCTGCGTGATCAGGTTGTACAGTACTATTCCAAATCTATAAATACGTTGTACAAATATTTTCTCAAGAAGGAGTGTGTGGGGCCTTGTCGCCATCCCGGATAGCGACCATGTCTAACACTGTACAAGGGAGGCCATGGTTGAGACAGCGCCTGCCTGGCAACTATTATTACGGCATGGGTTGTTTCCCGTCGGGCCCATCCCAGCCGTTTAGCTCGCGCTGCGGCTCGTCGCCTTGACTAGGGGGCCTGAACAAAGTACCACCCATACCCGCTCACGAGGATCACAAAGAAAGGCAAGACCCTCATTCTCGAAAGGGAAATAATACTGTATGACAAGTAGATGATGGTTCCAGAAAGAGATTGGAACCACAATCATTTGCGCATCACCACGCACTCACTCCCTCCTCCCTCTTCGTTCAACGTGTGTGGCTTCGCGCGGGTTCTCCCTGTCCATGTCGGGTTTGCGCTTGGCGCATGGCCTCCTTGCGCCAGCTCTTTTCCGTTTCCCCGTTCGGAAGCGACAAGCAAGGATTGAACAAGAACCATCGGCTCTCCCTCTGTTATACAATGTGATCAGCAACATCTCAGAGCAAGTTCTGGTTGAGGTTGACGCAGGTTGATACGGGAACCAGGGGAAACTTGACTGATGCGGAGCCCCATTGGAACCAATGGACCGGTCCACGATGTCATTTGCCCGCGATCGCTCTGGTTCTACTCACGCTTATAGGGGAATGTCTTTTTCCTTTTTTTCCCCCTCACGCCGAGTCGACAGCAGCAGTCCTTTTTTTTTTTTTTTTTCCCTCTTTTTGTTTAATGACAAGCAGGCCTCCCATGGCTTCCAAGCATCAGGCTGTCGAAATCGCGAGCCAACCAGTCTTGGTCCCAGACCCATGACCTATCATCTCCAAGACACCGCATTTTCCAGGGGCGGTGTCTCGATAGGGAGAAGCCTGATCTATGGGGCATGCGGCGTGGAACAAAAGCAGCTTTCCGACGTCTTTCCTCTAATACCTCCATGCATGCCCCTTTCCTATGCCCCCGCCCGAGGCCTTTTTCGTCCCTATTTTGTCCTATCCCGCGGTTCCTTGCCTTCACCCTTCCCCGCTCCATGGCTTGGGCGCTTCTCCGGACTCGCTTTCCATCCGTCAGATTAATATCGTAGACACCAATCACCGGCGATGAACGGGGCCGTCGCAATCAAGGAACGCTCAATGCTCAGTCCAACTGCCCGGGCAAGTATTGAGCCCAATAGCCCCACATAGTTGTAAAGGGGAGGTGCTGGTGCGGATGGGAGAAGGTGGTCCCTTCCCATGTCGACATACATCACCAGGGCGTAGCTGCCAAAGAAGGAAAGATCATGGATGCAAAGAAGGAAAGATCAATGGCTCTTTGGGAACAGTGACGTTTCCGTGTGCAGAGAAGAGGAACCGAACGCTGAACACATCCACATCAGCCAAACCCGCAGGCCGGGATGAACCCATCTCTTCGGCTCGCCTGACTGGTTCCCTCAATTCCGAGGGAACGGGTCCCACTGACAGGCAGGGGGTAGTAGAAAAGGGCACTACCGATCGGCTTACTGGTCACGACGGCCTCGAACTTACTGAATAAGTCGCCGAGAGCTGTACAATCTCCAAATCCCCGAAACGGATGAGGCCGTCCTTTGGAGTATGAGCACTGCGTGCAGAAACCGGTGCCGAGCAATCTAAGCTTCTCTCGTTCGACACATCGAGGATGCAGACGGAAGCAAGCCTTAGGACACGAGACAAAGGACAAAAGCAACTGTATGTATGAAGCGAGGAGAAGAGGATGCTAGGTAGGATTACCAAACAGAGAAGCCAACAGAAATGTGCCTGCTCCGCCCACCGACAAAATACAATTGTAACACCCGCCCTTATTACTATGGAGATTCGAACGATCCTCACGTATTAAACCCTCTTCACATCGAGAGTGGTTCCTCAGGTGTGTCGTCATCTCGTTACATCAACCACCTGCCGCTGCCTCTGAAAGACAACAAAAGTTTCGAGGTATTAGAACATAAGCATTCTTGCTCTCCTCCAGGCAGCCAGCCATTTCGGCTCAGCACTGCTTGGCCCATGTAGAATCGAGGTCTAGAAACAGTGGGCCTGTCTGGAATTTATGCGTTTCGAAGCCGAATAGTGACCAAAAAGGTACATGACGGATGCTGACAGAGAAGTTGAGGCGTCTGGAGCTCTTGGCGAGCCCTGATTGGCCAGGTGCGCCACCTGGCCACTGACTTGTTCACCAGCGCCGTGTATTACAAGAGACGTGAGAGGCAACAGTCGAAGAAGGGGGCGGGCAGTGACTACCCTCAGTTGGAAGGAGGAAAGAGCACAATCAAACAGAGACGTTGTGTTTTGTCAAGGCAGCGCAGGCACAGGCAGACGAGGGAAGCGGAGGAGGATCCCCCAAGAAGAAAAATCTGAGGAAGAGCGTCGTTTTTCTCTAGCCAGCTGCTCCGGATTCCCGCAGATTTCGGACCATAACAAATCAAGCACCCCCCCTTCCTCTCCCCCATTACGCGCGACAAACATCAACAACTTCCCTTCAAAATCTCGTTGAAAAATTATCACCAGCCGCTCGAACCCCAAACATCATCATCACCCCCACCCCCAACCCAACCCAACCATTCGAATTTTTTATCCCTCCCACATCGCATCGCGCATTCATCCACCAAAACATACCCATTTGAGTATTGCTCTCCTCGTCAGTTCCGGAAATCCCGTTCAATTTTCGCGCCCAAGCAATAGTAAACAATGGCCGGCGGCAAGGGCAAGTCTTCGGGCGGAAAGAGCTCTGGTGGCAAGACCTCTGTTGAGGGCCCCAAGAAGCAACAGAGCCACTCGGCGAGGGCTGGTCTCCAGGTAAGATGATCGCGAACCCATTTACCTTCGCCTTTATTGCATCCGGATGCGACGCGATTTATTTTCCCCCTTGCCCTTGGATTTTATTTCGCGGCAAAAACCAGCGCTGGCTTGAAGTTAGCTCGGTCACACCCACGAGCCGATCACCGGCCTCCGTGACGCGTGGCACTCAACAACAGAATTGTGATAGCAACATCAACGCGCGAGTGGCGATGGGGGAATCCCGAGACATCCTGCTGTTGCACTTCTGTCGACTACGCGTCGATGATGGGAATACATCATCGCCAGCGCCGTGCGCGCATGAGGATGGAGGAGCCCCGATATCGCCACCAAACTCGCGTGCCTACCCATGCAGCCTTGTTGTGCTTCAGCACCACGCATCATCCACTTGTCGCCATCGCAATATGACGTTGCTCGTCTTGTCGAACCTCTCGTTTGCTAACCAGTCATGTTTGTTGCAGTTCCCTGTGGTCGTGTCAAGCGATTCCTCAAGCAAAACACCCAGAACAAGATGCGCGTTGGCGCCAAGGCGGCCGTCTATGTCACCGCCGTACTGGAGTACCTAACTGCCGAAGTTCTCGAACTCGCTGGCGTATGTCCTCCCCACTAGCAAACCTTGCTTCTATCCCACCCGCCCTTGGAGATGATTGACTAATAGTTGTTTTTACCAAACAGAACGCCGCCAAGGACCTCAAGGTGAAGCGCATTACTCCCCGACATCTCCAGCTCGCCATCCGAGGTGACGAGGAGCTTGACACTCTCATCCGCGCGACCATCGCCTACGGTGGTGTTTTGCCACACATCAACCGCGCCCTTCTTCTCAAGGTCGAACAGAAGAAGAAGGCAAAGGCGGCGCAAGCGGTATAAGGGGGACCGGCGGAAGCGCGAGCTAGAGGCTCAAGTTGATGCGTACATGTTATTTTTTTCCTGCTTTCACTGATGCCCTCCTCCTCTGGCGACCTATCTTTGGGGGTCCGCTGGGTGACTGGGTGCCGTTGTTCTGCTCAACATGACGCGCCCATCTCACATGGGTCATGCAGGCGGGTGATGGTGGGTATCCCCGGGCAAAGAACACGAGGTTATAGGTTTGCCCAGGCCATGGGTTCCGTGTGTTTGTGCGTTTGCTCCCTAAAAGAGTGGGCTTTGTTTTAGGAGTCGTGTTTCTTGCGAGATCGAGACCGAGCAGGGTGTTGGAATCTCCAATGGGCCGTCACGTTGTCAGAGAAACAGGAGGGGGAATGTGATGGGAACGGGATTTGCTTCGAATAACGGGATGGGATCGCGTGGCTAGGTGCGCCTTGGTGCTCTGTCTCCTCTTGGGTGTCTGCCTTTCCCCTTTGCCCATTCCTCTCGCGCGCACTTATCTCGAGATTGTGACGCCGCACCTCGTTGAGTTTTCGGGTCAAGGGAAACGGGAGAGGGATAGGAGTTCAGGGGCCTCGCTATGTGTTTTTCTTTTCATCTCATCTTCTTTTTCCTGGTATTCCCGTCAGTTCTTTTTTTGTAGGATTAGCAAAGTCCCGTGCATGGGGGAGGAGAGGATAATTTTTTTCTAGTTCCCTTTTGATGGAATTGAGCTTGGGCGTTGGGAACAAGTGCCATGGGACTTCCCACTTAACTTGTCCGTATTCTGGTAGAGCTCTCTATCGCTTTCATGCTCGCTTCTCCCAGTAATGTGCGTGAGATGTAGATTGATTCAAGTGATGACAATAGTGTCTTTGACTCGGCCCCTCATCTCAAGATCCTGGCAATCAGCACTGCGGCCCGGCCTAGTTCAGAGACGGAGGGAGTCATCAAAGGTAGATCAGCCTCCACGTATAGCTAATGGAAGATGGCCGTTAGTGATGGAAACGCGCGACAGGATACCTCTGTAGCCTCGTCCCTCTTCATCTCAGCCAGACAGATGTATGCCATTAGTCCGACAAGATCCAGGGCTCAGCAACGAGACCTGGGAAAAGCGGTGCTCAGGCTACCCTCTTTTGCTAAACTCGAGGAAGGACCTGCGTTGCTGGTGAAGGAAAAGGCTATTTGGTGTCCAACATCTTCTGATCATCCCAAAAGACGTTTAGGCTAGGGGAGCTGGCGGGGTTGGCTGCGTGCCATTTTTGAGGAATCTCCGCGCCAGCAAAAATGATTGTTTTTGTATGCTCCCAGACACAGGACTTGTACTGCGCATCGATCTCTAGGTTGTAATGATACCCTTATGCGTTGAATATACGTCACGGCCCGCCGCCAGTCGGGCTCAATATGGGAGGGAGGAAATGTTAGTTCGGCGAAGGGGAAAGCAGGAAGTAAGCTGACGTCCTACAGTAGCTGGACTCACCTGTCCTGCGAGATGAGCCAAGTGGCAGACACCCGCCAGCGGAACGTTGAAAACGGCGTCATCGGGGGACCCTCGCCGATTGGGACAGACAAAAAGACTTACCCAACCAAGCTTCACTCCGCGGGTCTTGGTATTCGAGGGCGTAGATTGGCTGTGTTTTCTGGCTTTGTTCAGGCTGACGAACACGGGTGGCGGCGCGGAGAGTTGGACTGTCCAGATCTGGTCGCCTCGGGTGGGTTGTGTCCCGGGCGAGTAAGGATATTGATGGACAAGGGCATCCGCTTGCTTCTTGCATTGGGATAAGAAGAACTTGGGGTATGCTTGCGTTTGGTATGAAGCCAGAAAACTAGTTCCTGTGGCTTTTTTTATCTTTATGGACTGACTGCTCGAGATTGGATTTGGATTTTCTTCCTCGATTCAATTGCTTGTTGTTGATTATACCTTCACTTGCATATTCGACCGAGAACATATTGACAACCTCTTGCGAATTAGACGTGCGCCTTGTAAACAAAGCCAAGGGGGTTTTATGCAGTAGATAAAACTCCCTTGCTAGAAAGCAAGTAGACGACGAGTCAATCGCCTCACCAATATGCCGGAGCCGGCTCATGAATATATTGTGTAAACCGGCCACTTGTCTCGAAGGATCGTGGAAGAGGCAACCACGCCTCTTCATTCTAACTCCACCCCCACTGAAGAAACTACGGCTCAGGAAAACGACGATGGGGTCAATAAGCGAGCGAGACTTCGGGCCCAGTCGTCTTATGAGTGGGGATGTGGCCCGTAACGCAAACTCCGAAATCTGACCAGCTTCCTCCAGCCAGTTCTGCGAGGGCAGTCGTGAAAGAGGTATAAACGAGACATGCGCAATATCGGGGTAGAGCTAGTATGGCACATTTGAGAACGAGATCACCTATGAGTGCGGGTCAAGAAGTATGCATGTACAAGAGAAAGGTTAAATGACGATGGCTAGCTTGACATGTGCCTCATTTTCATTTTCCTTCGCTTCGACTGCTCCCGCAAGTGGCGGGCCTCAGCTCAGGAATACCACGAGGAGGACCTGGAGAGTTTCTTACATAGATGGCGAGAAGGAAGATGACTGGCCATCAGAAATATTAGAGATGGTTGGTCCTATCAGAAGGGTTTCTGACTGGGGACGTTGTAAAAATTTGGACCTAAGAGCAGCTTTTCGGAGGCTAGCTCGTCAAGTCTTGGACTATGGGCGAGGGAGTAGATAGATAGAAGTTGGAGCACATCCATGGCCCGGGACGGGGAACGAACTGGGTTGCCCTTCAACGGATATCTACCGCCATCTCTTGATTCTTGATGTGAGGATAGGCTAGCTCGTGATCCATTTACGGTTGAGTAAAGCCCAAAAGAAAGCACAGCATTGATACCGGATCGACCTCTACTAGGAGACGACGACCTCGTCTGAACGATATGGAGGGCATCGCCATCTTTTTGGCCGCGGACAGTTCTACGGGGTCACCGAAGGGAGAAGAAACGGCAACCAGCCCAATTCCGGAGCCGAACCAGGAGGCTTTAGACACTGGGCCCCAAGAGTACGAACATGAACATGAACATGAACACGAGCACGAGCACGAGCACAATCAACAACAGGAGCAGGAGCAGGAGCACCAACATGAACGGGAGCTCCAGTCCGAGCATGAGCATCAACACGATAACGAGAATGACCAAGAGCACGGCCAGCAACATAATGATCAATCTGAACCCCCAACGTCCCCTCCACCATCCCTTCCAACGCCCCGTCCGAGCCCCGTTAGCCCGACTACCACGGACGACGATGAAGAGCAGCCGCGGAAACTGAGGCGTCGAGGCTCGTGTTGCCGCTTATACTCCCTGCTCCGGGGGATAGATGGAAGAAGCGACCGAGACCCTCGGAGCGGGGCAACGGGTTCCATCCGTCACCCTTGGGTTCACGGTGGGCGCCCCCAAAACACCCGGGCAAGGCAGCACGACGGAGAGGGGAGCGGATCAGCAGAGGGGCCAAGAGTACTACCGAGCGGGCGCGGACGGTGAAGAGTTCAGCGAGGAGCTGTACCGGCGACTCGTGCAGCTGCAGGCGGAAAGTGGGTCTGGCGAGGCAGAGGAACGTCCCGAGGTGGAAGAGGAGGAAGACTGCGAAGAAGATGGGAGTGAGGATGACGATAAAGAGGAAGAGGGAGAAGAATAAGGTGGACTGCAGGTAGAAGGGGAAGAGTAAGAGGCCCGCGAATTTCTCGCCGCCTCTCTGTCGAGGTTGAAGGGGGACAAAAAGCGGCAACAACGAATAATACAAGAGCTGCACACACAAATTATGCGCAGTTCCGCGCGTATCCGATACGCGCAGCGACGACATGCAGAGCGACGCAGCCACACCGGGGAGATACACACGCAGAATAACACACAGACGACGGCTGGGCGAGTTCTGCATCTCTTATTTTCCGCACAGACGAGAAACGCAGCAACCGTAATAACGACCGACGATCCACAGGGGCAAGGATGGGACGTTGGGCTCACGAGACGCCGGCACTTCAACGTTAGGCTCTCTCCCCTCCGAATTGGACTAGGCGAGGCTGTTCGCTTTCCAAAAAAGGGGATTTTGGCTTTTATTACTTGGCGGAGGGGAAAGGGTGGTTCTCGGCGGAATAGCGAGGGTGGTCATGTTGCGTCTTGATATTGGGGGATGGACCGAGCACACGCGCTTCGTCCATTGGAGCCGCCCTTGGCCTTCTTCTCTCGCTCGCCCCTGCATACGTCCACCTACCGATGCGAAAGAGCAAGGCTGTGGATTCACCTTTGGCCTCGCTCGGTTCCCGGGACCCTGGACTCTTTTGAACGAAATTCGTTTGAATAGCTGGGGAACATCATCTAGGCGTCATTGCGTCCTGGAGCCGGAATGGAGTGCTGGGGGAGAATGGCCGAGAAGAGGCCATACGGTTTTTAGGAGTATCGGCTCGGCAGATCGACGACCAACGGCGGACGAATCAACCCGGCACTAGACACCAAGATCCATGCCTGGCCGGAGATACCTAGTCCATGACATGGCTCGTGGAGGAAACCTGAAATGAGAAGCTGCCGTCGGTGCCAGTTCGCCAGAGTCACGTGCTGGTAGCTTCAGATCTTGCTGGCTCAACAGTTGGTGGCACTCATTTGTTTCTAGGGGCTTGTGAGGCTTGGGAGGCTTGCGAGCTTGCAAGGGGGCGGGACCACACCCGCTCCAGTTGATCAAAGGATTTTCGGATCTGATCTGACTTGACAGTTCTGGGCTCCATCTTTCGATCCCTCCAGGGATGCATGGGGCGCCATGTCGAAATTGGCTGGTCATTGAAGAAGCCGGGACTCCAAAGTACAAGTAGTATTACTACTAGTACTAGTAGGGCGTATGGACACCACGCTACGGCCGACAACTTGACTTGCTTGACTCCAGGCGGCGGGGCTAATGTGGCGGCAGTCCGTCTCGTCTCCGCCCTTGTCACATTTTGCTAGTTCAGAAGTGATCCATTGGATCGACTCCAGCGTTGGAATTGTTGTTTGGCTGGCAAGGCTGGTTAGATAGTAGTGCTTCGTACGCAAATACAAACAAAACCGGCGGGTGATGTGCGGGATTGTTTGGGTTAGAGAGTCTTCAGACCGATTAGGATTAGTTTGAACGAGAAAGCAATCTTCAAGGTTGAATTCAGTTGCTTTGAAACCAAAAAAAAAAAAAAATAGAAACATAGAAAAAAAGACAGGGTGCGCGCACTCCCTCCAGCGGGCGAGCAAGCCGCAATCAGTTTCTTTTGCTTTTCCCGTATTTCCCGCGCACGGCACAAAGCACGAAGCACAGAGCACAGAGCAAAAGAGGACACACTTGAGAGCACTGGCCCTGGTCCTGGTCCTGCCATCAATGACACACCCCTGTTCCCCGGCCATCAAGGATCAATCGGTTCATCCCTCGCTCAACTCCATCCACCACTCATGTCGATGGACATCTTTTTCCTCTTTCTGGTCCTGTGGCAAGCGTGGTCGTCGCCTCACAGTCCGCCCTACGGCTTCGATGGCAACTGACTGATGTAACAAGTACCACGCAGAGAAGAGTACGGGGCGACCTGAGTGGTTGATCAGGACCCCCTTGAGGCTCTGAGACTTCGCCAACCCAGCCACTGCAACGCTAACTGGGGGTCCCAGATTCCCCCGCCTTGTGCCCTGTAACTCCGGCCAGAAAGCCGTGGACGGAGGTATTATTACTCAATGGCCAGGCCAGGCCCCATCAATTGATCCATAGATCCTCCAGGTTGCTTAGTGTACTTGTATCTTCTCCTTCCCTCTTCTTCCAATCCCTTGCCACGAATTGGTGATCATCATCCACCTCCTGCACCTAAGCTCGTTCTTGCGCTTTTGGGTGCTGTCCGCGCACACTGAGACGCAGCGCACCTTCCCAACAGGAGAATCTTTCCAACATCTCATCTCCAATTTCTCTCCCCGCTCTTTGGTCCCTTTGGTGAACGAGATCGAAGACTGTCTCAACGACTATGCCACCACCTTTTGCCCCAGGCCCAGGCGCATCGCACATTGGAGAGTTTGTTGTTTTGCTCACCACAATCTCCTTATTACCTTTGCCCACGTGCTTCCATCCTCATCTCTCCCCTCACTGGTTCACCTTTGCCTAGCAACGACGCACGCATCCTCCTTCGCTTGCTTTTTCCATTTCCACTCCCTTCATCCTCTTGTCGGAGAGAAAGAGGAATTTATTCGCCCTTCTGCCGTCTCCTCAGGCTACAGACAGACCGCGCGCCCACATCCATTACAATCAACACCACACCACACCACACCCCGCCCCTCCCCCACTCCAGCCGGATCGGACTCGTTCCATTCTCACCTCGGCCTAGTGCATTTGCCTGACTTTAAAGCTTGGTCTCATCCGGTAAAGGTCCGCCGGACGGATCGTCATAGTTGAAAGAGGCACAAGCACATCATCCGCATCTCTCTCTTTCATACACTTCCGATCGGAAAAGTGCATCCTCTTTTTTTTTTTAACTTTACATCCACCTCTTCTTCGCCGTCGTCTTGTCGCGCGCCGTTGCCTCGAGTTCGCGCTTGCCTCCGTCCGCTACGTGTGAGCGGCACGAAAACCACTTGCATCTTGTTCCGCCGGGCGGGTTCCCTTTTCCGCTTCCCTGTGCCGCCGTTGCGCCTTCTCCGATGCTTTCACATTTGACGTTTCCTTTAGCGTGAAGCCCGTCCCTTTTAAACGCCTTTACCTCAGCTCCCCCTTCCGCCATTGCTTGTCTGGGGGAGTCTCTTCTTTGCTGGTGCGGCTCATCGAGCCTACCCGTGCCCATAACCGATGCCATCCGACCTCGCCTTGCGGCCTGCGCGAGAGCGCCTCGCCGCGCTCCTCCAGTCGGTGTTTAGTAACCTTCATAGGCATGACGAGTCGTCCTCCGACGAGGAGGACCAGGATGACGACGAGGATGACGTCGAGTTCCCAGCCGAAAACGCGAGCGATGATGAAGGAGAAGTCCAGGTCGACGGGGATGTCGAAATCGAGGTCGAGGATGAAGACGAGGGTGATCCCATGGGTGAGGCCGGCGACGCGGATGATGTCACCTCCGTATCATCTTCTTCTCTCTCAGCCTCTAGTAGCGAGGAGACGCTCTCCGTTCCCGTCCTCTCCGACCCTCCGCGGAGAGCCCACTCGAGCGTATCGCAACGGAAACCCCGGGCTCGAAAGGCTAGCTCACTCCCCGCCCTTCCCTCCTTCAGCACCCCTGGCCTCCAAAAATACCGGTCTAAGTTGGGTCTAGGTAACCCCAAGGGCCGCAACAACAGCGATGGTAGGGGCCGTGGTGGGAGGGGAGGCGCCATGGGACTCGTCGACCTGCCCCCGAGCTCCAGGTCCTCATTATTGGCGAGCTGGACTTTGCCGACATCCAGCAGCTCCGCCTCACTAGCCGCTTCTACCACTCCCTCATCACCAAGTCCCTTCTCAAGGACATGTACGGCACTGCCCTCGAGGGCGTCATCCTCTCTCACTGCCACCTCTGCCTGCGCCGTGATCCCGGCCGCAATGCTCTCCTCTTTGCCGACATCGACCACCCAAAGTATCCCTTTTGCAGCCGCTGCGTCGACTGCGCCGTGCGCCGCAACGAGCTTGTCCCTGGCTGCCGCGTCGCTATGGGCAACTATCGCAGCGCCTGGGTGTGTCGCTGGTGCGGCTACCCCGTCCTCGTCTCCTCGGCTTGGAACCACGCCCACTTCCACAAGCGCTGCCACGCCTGGTACGGCACCACCCTCCTCGCCTACCTCGCCCTTGGCTGGCTCCAATTCTGCATCGTCATCATCGGCGCCGCTTTATGCCTCAGGTACTTTCGCAACGACACGCTTGTGCTAGTGCCCTCTATCGTGAGTCTACCCGTACCTCTCCTCCTCGGCTTCCCAATCTTGTCCGGTCCCGCCGCAGCCCAGCGCTCGTTTTGCTTGTTTTAGCTGACCGCCCCCGCAGCTCTGTCTCCTTTTCGCTCCCGTTCCGCCCATCCTCATCAACATCCGCCGGCCCACAACCGACCGCAACTATCACTGGTCGCTCGCCATCGAACTCGTTCTGCTTGGGCTTTGGATAGCCCCTACGTACGCCATAGCCTCCACCGCTGCTGCCTTGCCAAGCTCGGCGGTTTCTAAAGCCACCGCGGCAACCTTGACCTTTTGTGTCCTCAATCTGTACGTTTTCCTTTTCCCCACAGGTAGTGTGTAATCGATGTGGATAGGGAGGGAAAGCTGACTATCAAAACCGTTAATGCAGACTCTTCCGTCTCCTCAACACCCTAGGAAATCTAATCCTCCTCTTCGAATTCCGCTTTTGGCGCCGCAAGAAACCCGATCTTCCTCTCCCCGTCGCCTCGCCGCCTGGATCGTGGCCGCGCTCGTCTTTTGGACTTATCCCCGGGCCATTGAGCAGGTCCACACCCCTCCCCGTCCAAAGTCGTCGGGCTCCAAATAGGCAATCAATCTTTCGCTACACAACACGCCTCTCCCTCAAGCTACCTACTCCTCCCTGGCCCTCTTTCTTGTACTCTTTCTTCTCTCTCCACGTAGGATGGATGAGATATGCACAAGATCGGGCTAGGCCGAGATGTGGGAGGAGGAAGGTTCGCTTGCGAGGATGACTTGTATTATTTTCTTGTATCTTCTCCTCTACGTCTTCCGCCTATACCCCTTTTTTCTTCTTTTGTTTCTTTCTTTTTCTTCCTCTTCCTGCACGCAGGCACGCCCAGCGAAACGATTCGCTATGCTGGCCGGATACACAACATTGATGAACCTTTTTAGAGCAATTTCGGTCCAATCGCGAATCAAAAATAACAAATAGGAAGGGAAATATGGCACAAATGGATCGGCCTGGGCACCTCGAGAGAGGATCATGATATGGGGAACACACGGCGTTTGGGGTGTATATTTTGCTTTCTTTTTATTTTTATTTTCATTTCTTCCTTGCAGCTGGAGGACCCTGTTTTCCTTTTTCGTGCTCTTTTCCTCCCCTCACCGTTTATCGCAGGATTCACGCCAAGACAGTCGAGGAAAAAAAGAAACAAAAAACCAACTGGTCGAGTAGACAGGGGTTGAGGATTTGGAGCAGCGAGGCAGCATGGTCATCTGCATCTAATCCTAATTACTAAACTGTCACGCGGTGAATGCAGCAGGGGGAAAAGAAGAAAAAGGGCAAAATGTTAAATCTGAGGCGAACAAAAGAAGGGACATATCCTCTTTGTTGATGCCCAAATGTAATACAAATAAGAACAAAACCGGTTGGGAACTTCTACATTCAAGGCATTACGACGGAGGGTATTATGAGGAGAATCCCATCTACAATAGAGCTAGTTCAGCAAAGGGGCATTTATAGGGAACCACTGCAATCTTCAGGTGTTTTTGCTCATGAATTTTGAACCCTTTGCCCCGCCATTTCTATCCCCCTGTTCGGGCCTTCCGACCGTCGTCCCTCGGTGACGATCATCCCCCCTGCGAGCTGACATTCCTGCCAATCTGACGTATTACATCTCAACATCGTGAAGGTGCGCGTGCGTGTTCAATGTGCATGGACGTGGGCAACGTGGGGTGTCATTCCCTCTCTTACTGCTAATACCTGTAATAAAACAACTCTCGAAAATAGAAAGTAGGCGAAAACATGATAGACCAAGTGCGATTAGCGCCTTCTCCCCCTCGGCGGCGGGGCACTGGTGGCCTCCGCCGTTTCCTGCTGTTGCCTCCTCTCCGTCTCTTGCAGATCGAAGCGGTATCGATCGAGTTCCCGCAGGAGGGTCGCGGCAGCAATCACCCGGAAGCTCTGCAAGTACTCGGCGGGCCCGCGACGGCCCCGCCGCATGTGTTTGGCGTCGTCGTCGGCCTCCCGCTCGCGGGATATGTGTAGACACGCGAGGCAAAGCTCGATGGCGCGCATCCGGACCGCCGTCTTGTCCGCCGGGGCTGCGACGGCGTCGGGCTGTACGCGGGGCCCACTGCGGAGTTGGTCCACGAGCCATGCCGTGATCTCGCCGATGCGCACGCGCAGCTTGATGGCGCAATCGCGCTGGCGCTGGGATGGTTTAGACGTCTTGTGGAAGATGGCGCCGCTAAAGACCTCGAGCTCTGTGAGGCCCCCGTTGTGTTGGGACTGAGCATCTCCCACATGTCCAAGACATGCCCCTCATACCTAAATGGTGGAGTGATCTCATTGTTAAAAAGGCTTGTTCGTAGGGGTTTTTATTTTATTTTAGAGGGAGCTTCTAAGGAAACACAGAACAAAGGGAAAAAGAAAAAAGAAATCCTTGCTCCCTTGTCGCTAGAGAGACAGTTGGGAAGTAGCGTCTTGTAGGCCTCAATGCTTATCAATGGTATAGCGGGAATAGGATTCAGTAGAAACAAAGACAACAGGAATAAGGGACTAAGAGATGGCGTGTAACTTACCCTTCCTGAAGATCGTGCGCCATTTGTGCTTCCCTTTGCCACTGGATTTCACGCTCGAGCCTGAGCTCACCAAGTTCTTTCCTCACTACGCCGAGCATTTGATCCCAGACTGATGGGCCATCATACGGAATGGGCTTGTGGATGCTCGACCAGATTTTCTTTTCGTCGACGTTGCGGTAAAGCTTGCCCAGGATCTTCTCTGATCTGTAGTACGTGTGGTTTGGCGGCCCATCCTCTTCGTCCGCCCTATCATCTGAAGGATCTAAAAACTCAATCTGCCCACGGTCATACACCTGGGTTAGAGGTGCCGGCGAGAGGCTAGGATCGGAGATGGTGCACCACGTTAGCAAGTGACTTCCCGTCTATGGGTATTAGAGTGGTAAAGGGGGCGGGAGAAACCAAAGGCCTCCCTCGTTATTCGTTTATCGTTCGAAAAAGAAAAAGAAAAAGAAACAAGGAAGAGAGGAATGGCGTTCAACTCACAAATCGGGCCTGAATCTCGCTTTATAGTTCGGCATCAGAGACACGTCCACCGCAGCTCCCGTCTTGGAAAAGTCAACGGCGCTGGAGTGGAGCTCCGCCAGCTTGAGGCAATCCGAATCCATGGTGCCCTCGTTCTTCTTGTCCGCGATGATGAGGTGTCTGGTAGCAATGATACCAAGCTGGTCCGTCTTCATGAAATTGACAAAGAAATTGGCCATATCCTCCTTTGTGACGGGCCGGTCCAAGCCCCCGGGTATGGTCCGGGGTAGTCAGCGGGGCGTACAGTCTCTTGACCTCGGTGACTTCCGGGTCCCAGATGATGTTGTAGATGTCCCCGTCCAGATCTCCTCCGCTCAACTTGCTGGGCAGGTCGCGGTCGCCCTTCTGGCTAAATATGATGCAGTTCCGCAAGGCCCGTAGCGGATGCCCCTTAGGCGGCGTCTTTTGGAGTGCCACTTGTATATCGCCGGGATGCAGCGCGGGCGACCTCGTCACGAGGACGACGCCGTCTTTTAGCGTGTTCTCGATTGGGTTTGGGATGTTGCCCTGTGAGGTCTGATCAAAGGTGACATAGACCTCGTCAGGTTCCAGGTATCCGGTTTCGTCCATGACGCCAAAGAGGGTGACCCCCTTTCGTACGGGGATGCGGGCCTTGTGCTTCAAGAGCCTGAGCTCCCGAAGAACGACGGATTCGACTAAGGACCTTAGAAAGGGATCTGTCCTGTAGTCAATCTTGCGCTTGTGAAGCCGTTTGAGAAACTTGGGTAGATCCGCTTCACTCCCGACATCGTGGGCGTGGAGAAACGCGGCCGTACCTTCGGTGGTTTCCGTGATGCGCTTGAGAGAGTCGAGCTCCTGTTTCTGCAGTCTTAAGAACCAACTCTCGTCCACATGGAGATCCTCAAGGATTTTGATGATTTGCTGGTTCAGGAAGAACCGCATGGGTTTGGACGACATGTCACATATTTCCAGGTCGGCGCTATCTGTGCCCTCAAACTTTTCCATCGACTCCTTCCGGATGCGGAACTGACGGCCCGTTAGACGCGTGTCGAGGGAGAGCATGCCCTTGGCACCCGCCCATCTGATCTGGAAGCAGGTAGCTCGGTTGGCCTGGCTCGGAAGCACGTCCCAGATGGCTCTCGCCGCTTCCAGGGAGATGGTTCCGACTCCGTCGCTAAAGACCCGCACACCATCCGGCGACTTGACGTCGGGCATATAGGATTGGGTTATGCCGTGATCCGCTAGGTGGATCGAGTATGGCGTCTCGCTAAAGGCCTGGCCGATTCGTGCGGCGCAGCGGGCAGGGATGCGGATCTTACTGAAGTTCCCGAGATCTCGAATGATGGTGATGGAGGATTGAAGGTTACCCTCTTTATCGACAAAGGCGGCCGAGAACCACGCCGAGTGAGATCGTAGAGACGAGTGGGAAAACCCGAGAAAGCCGTAGACGCGACCGGCGATCTGGATACCGTTTCGGAAAACGTCCTCGAAACGCTTCAGAATCATGTCATTGGATACATTGGGGTTAAAGAAGAGATCTTCTTCGTCTTCTTCGCTAAACTGAACGCGGAGAAAGTAGTCGGTGTGGTCGGGAAACTTGCGCAGAATGCGGTTATTCGTCTCTAGGTCTGGGCCCTGGAGGAGAATGCGCGTGGGCGTGACAATGGCCTTGAGCACCCATGACTGGCGTGCGGTGCGCGCTTTCTCGAGACCAGCAAAGAGTCCCATATGGTTTCTGTGCCTCACCTCGTTGACCCTAAGCTGCTCAATGATGCCCCTGGCTGACAAGCGCTGCGGGTACAACTTGGGCGACGGATAGGGTATCTGCTGGAACAGGAGCTTGAATGATTTGACTGAAAAGGGATGGGGGCATTGACTTTCTTAGCGCCTGTGAAGGCAGACTCTAGGAAATTCAGTACACCAATGGCTACTATGGGAGAAACGTAGTTGTTTCTGACGAGGGCTTGAGTCTGGAAAAGGATGACGAAGGGAACCGCGCCCGACCCCTGAAGTTCGTCGGTTCGCCGAGTAAAGTCCCGGAATGTAGAGGGGAAATCAGTTTCGCCAGGGATAGCCGGCATCTCGCGAAAGGCTACGGGAGGGGGCTGCTTCAGGTCCGGCCGGCGGAGTGTTGCCAGGACCTGGGTGAGCTCATGGTAGCCGTTCCAGAAACGAAGACGATAGACTAAGCAATGCGCTACGTAATTGACATGCTCGGGGCATCCTTGAAGAGAGCCAGCACGGATCAATTTTGGCGCCCTTGAGGTGTTGTGCCACCCGTAGGCCGAAAGGTCTAGTCGGTCCATCAGGTCGGCGAGCCGGCGACCGGGGGCAAAGAATCTCGGGACCTCGCTCAGGATGAGTGTAATGGCGGAGTCCTGCGGATCCCGGGCCATCTCCCAGATGATAGCGTAGGGGATATCGACGCGGAAGCCGCCATCATACTGGAGGATGAGGCCGCGAGTGCCAAATTTAGCCGTGGCGTCAAAGTCACATTCGAGGTAGCACTGCCGAACGAAGACGAGGGCGTCGACGGAACGGTGCTGGGTTGAGTGACCACAGTCTATCCCACGTAGAGGTAAAACGGGGGTAGCGGTTTCCAATGGCCGGTCGACTGCCGTGGGCTTCTGGTTACTGTGGTGCTGAAGGTGGGACAGCATAAACTTATCAGGAGCATTTTTGCCCTTGGATGCATATACAGGTTTCTTGACAATGAAGAGGCGAGGACGCTGGGGCCTAGTGGCGCCATGCTGGCGGAGGAACTTGAGGCCGTCCTTGACGTTCAAAAAGATAATGAAGCCGAAATCTTTGTTGCCAGGTTCTTGACAGCTCCAGTCGGTAATGCCCAAGGCATTCATATATCCTTGGAGGCTACTCCGGAAGCTGGCCTGGGAAAGACCCGGCGGCAGGCCCTGGCAGTAGACCTCCATCGGTACCCGGAAGACGTGTTATAAAAGAGTGCAACCCCGGCGTGCCTGTTGTTTGCATTGGGCCAGGAAGCATGGGAGGTTAGAGCGAAAGGGGACCTAAGGGCCGTGGCCTTGGCGGAAGTGAAGGGGAGATGTCTCAGAGAGCTAGGGGAAACGGCCGGGCTGGCCGCGAGCTCGCGGGTGAAAAAGGTAGTCTGCAAGTAGTGAACGGAGGTCGACCGGGTTATTATAACCAACGACACCACAGTGGGTCGGGCCGGAACTCGACCGTAGCAACTGTCTGGCGCCCTTTATTTCCCCCTTCCGTTTGGACGTGAACCGCATGAGCGAGAGGTGCGGCAAGGCTGGCTAGACAAGCCAAAGCTAGCTGGGCCTCCGAGGGGAAGCGAAAAAGTGTGAAAGAAGCGATGTTGGCGGAACGGCAGTGCGGGTGAATGCTCGCCTGCGGGCCTCTTGATCAACGAAGCGGACTCTCTGTTGGTGGGGTGTGGGCGGGACGCTGAGTGGACGAATGCGCGTCTGTCACACTGATTAAGGATGCAGGGTAGGTGACACAAGATCGAATCTGACGTGTATACATACACTAAAAATGAAGAGTCTCGGATGCCGGATGCGGACGAAAGCTTCGACCGGCTGCTTGCCGCTCTCCTGGTTGGATGGATGGCCAAGAGATGATAATACTTGGAGGTCGAGGAGGGAGGGCTGAATGACATTGCTACGCATGGACTTGGTCGCTTTTGGACTTTTTTTCCTTCTTACCTCAGCTCCTTGAGTATTTGTACTAGCTCTTCAGCTTCAGTTGATCCTGCCCCCTTTCTCCTTCTTCCTTTTTAGCGAGATGTTGATATTTATATCCATGCTGGACTTGGATAGTCTCGAGAAAGTCATAGCTTGGATTGGTCAATATCCTGTTATCTCGCGATGATGCCTCTGTCTTGAGTCTTGAATGCTTGCCTTTCTCGCCTCGCTGCTCTGGTACATTTCTCTTTGGGAGGGTGTTTCCTGATGCCCCTCCAAATGCCAAAATGGCTAGGGTCTACTGGCCAATGTGTGGGGCAGCTTGTTGCGACAAGGCAGCGTTGTAGTTGATAGGCTCAGCCAATAACGAACGCCTTGGAGTTGTACAGCCAGCGCCATCATCTCGTGGGTTCGCTCGAATAATACGTCAACTTCCGCAGATTGCATCCAGGTATTGATGATGATCCTGATAGTGTGATGATGCCTGTGACTTGACGTTGGACAAGGTGGAGGCATCATTTTCTACATGTACTAGCCACTGCCTGCTGCTTCGACGCTCAAATGGTAGGCATCATCATCCTCAAGGCGCCTCTAGGGCGGAATGGGTTGGGTCGTGGGCGCCCCCACCCTCTGTTGGGCCTGTGTGGTGTGCTGTGTGTGTCAACATTTGAGTTGAACGATTATGGCTGTGTCGCATGTGTGGTGCATTGGAAGGCCCGGAATTTATCAGTGAGACAGAGCAGAGCGTATCAACAATCTTGGCTTCACCCAGGATGCTGCAGTGGGCCAACCCAGACCCTCCCGCGCCCGCCCTAGGCCTCCTCATGTTGCAAATTATGGCCCTCCCCTCTTTCATGAATCGATTGAGTTCCTTCATCTTCTCCCACTCCCCATCGCTCCTTCCAACGGGTCGTTATTCCATACATGTAGTTTGGGAAGGCTCGAGAGGTGGCTCCTGCCCCCGCGCCACCCACCTGACGAGCTCCTAACCTGAGTTGCCAGCCACACGGCCACACGTGCAGTGACCAGTTTTCGCCTGCCGAACCCTGTGCCGAGACCGGGCAAAGCGGGTCCGTCGGCAGTCGCGCAAGCCTATGGGGCCTTTGCTCTTTCCTAGCCGGGTTGGCCACCAGTAGTAGGCATTTCTGATGGAAATATCGCAAGCGTTGGTCCAATCGACGCTGAAATCCAACCTCGAGGCCGGGATCTACTTATAATCGAGGATGGTGGACCCGAGTCTGATGCCGGTATCACCCTGCGCACGCACTCTACGGAATCCGAGCTCGTTGCTCTGCCTCTTGTCCTTCGTGATGTGATTGATAGCCTGTCGGTCGCCAACAATCCGTCCCCCACTAACTCCATTAACTACCCGATGCCCCTCCTTTTCCACCCTTCCTTTGGCGACGTCAGGAACGCGGCTCTTCTCTTACCCGTAGCTTTCTCGTCCCCGCTTCAAAACTTTTTGTTATACCTACTTGCGTTTTATTCCCTTCCTAGTCCTACCGTAGCTCTTCCTTGATTCTTTCTTCTCTCTTCTGCACCTACTTTTTTCCTTTTTTTTTTGAACTCTAATTCCTACATAATACCCAAAAGAAAATAGGAATTTAGACACCTGGTAACCAGCAATACGTCACCATGCCTACTCCCGGTCTGCTCATTGTCTTTATGCGCCCCAAAGAGGGCTTGTCTCTCGACCAGTTCCATGACTGGTATAACAACGAGCATGGACCCAATAGGCTTCGACTCCCCACATTTTCACCAATGGTCTGCGCTACCGAGCCACCGACGGCCAGGACCCCCTACGTCGCCGAGTACGATGTGACGGACATGGCCCATCTCGTCACCCCCATCTACACCGGCCTCCGAGACAACCGCACCCCCGAGAAGCCGCCACCATTGGCCAAGTCCAGGTCGACCGCCGATTCTACGACCTCGTCTTGAGCCGCGAGTCCCCCTCGTTCAAGCCTATCGAGTCGCTCTCTAACGCCGAGGCCGAGAACCGGCCCCAGGTTATCGTCGAGGCTACGCTAAAGAACGTCGAGGACGCCGAGGCCGCTTACCGCAAGTGGTACGAGGAGGAACACATCGAGATGCTGTCCCGCGTCCCCGGCTGGCTCCGCACGAGGTGGTACAAGACCTCGAGCATCGAGGACGTCGGAAAGGTCACCTACCTGGCCATCCACGACTATACCCAGCAGAACGGCCTGGGTGGTCCCGAACACAAGGCTTGCATGTCCACCCCTTGGCGCAGCGAGGTCGACGAGAAGTACGTCGAGTCCAAGGGCCGCCGCGAGTTCTCTCTCTTCTACACATTCGGCTCCGGCCCCGGGACCTGACCTCGCTCTCGAGGTTGCCTATCGAGAAGGGCGAGTTCATCTCCGACGGATCCCGCGCCAACGCCACCCTGACCACCACGATCACCGCCCCGGGCCCCAGCGCGACGATCGAGTCCTACGTGTCAGCCTCCGACGGCCTCACCATTCCTTATCGCCTCGAGGGCAACCCTTCTCCTAGCGCTCCCATCGTCGCCTTCAGCAACTCTCTCCTCACCTCTCTGCACATGTGGGATCCCTTGATTGACATCATCAAGGCCCAGCGCCCCGATCTCCGCATCCTCCGCTACGACACCCGCGGCCGTCACGCCGTGCCCCAGCCCCCGTCCCCGCCACGCTCGAGATGCTGGCCAAGGACCTCCGCGATGTCCTTGACTCCCTAAGGATCGAGAAGCTCGCCGCCCTTATTGGCGTTTCCATGGGTGGTGCCACCACTACCCGGTTCGCCATTGATTTCCCCGAGCGCCTGGGCAAGTTCATCGCCTGCGACTTCAACACCACCTCGAGCGCGGCCAACACGGAGGCTTGGAAGGAGCGCACTGCCACCGCCGAGGCCAACAACGGCGAGGGCATCAACAACCTCGCGCCCGCCACGGTGGGTCGCTGGTTCCATCCCCACACCATGGAGAACAAGAAGGACGTGGTCGACTGGATGACCAAGATGGTCGCCGCCAACAGCGTCGAGGGCTTCAAGTACAGCTGTCAGGCCCTCTGGGATTACGATCTCAAGCCCCTCATGCCCGCCTGCAAGGTGCCCGGCATCTTTGTAGTGGGCGAGGGCGACGCCAAGGGCGCCCTGGTCAAGGCCATGGATGGCTTCAAGGGCCAGCTGGGACCGTCGGGCACGGAGCTTCGCATTGTTCCCGAGACCGGCCATCTGCCCATGTCTGAGGCGCCTGAGCTGTTCTGGAAAGCCATTCAGGACTACTTGTAAATGCTTTGCGCACGCGGAATGATAGAGAAGGAGGGGTGTGAGGGGAGACTGAGAGATTTGTGAAAAGATCGATTTCAACCCATTGTAGGGTTATCGCAGCACGTGGTGGACTCATTTCGTCCAGAGGAGGGGGATGTCTACAACTTCAAGGTTACGCAAGATTGAACTCGAACGATGCAATTTTGATCACTTCGTATACCGAATATATAAAAAAAAGGAAAAAAAAGTACATAGAACCAAATGGCCGCGGTTCCGAGCCCGCGCATAGAGCGATTTATACAGGGAAAAGTTTTGACACCATTTTGTTTCTTTTTCTGTTTCTTTTTCTCTTTTTCCCTCTCTCAACATATATGTCAAAGCGAATTGCTTGATATACGTGACCTTTTGTCCTCCTCGGGGCTGCTTGGACTCATTCCCTGCGCTGGCCCGTTTAGGGAGTGGGGGAAGCCGCAGCTGGGGCAGAGGTGGAGGTGGGCGTTGCCGAAGAGGCAGCGGAAGACGCGGCAGAGGAAGCAGCAGAGGAGGCAGCAGAAGTCGCACCGGAAGAAGCGGCCGAAGACGCGGCAGTCGTGGGCGCAGCCGCCGAGGTCGTAGTCGAGTCGGCCGGGGCTCGGCGGGGCCGCCATCGCCGCCCGCGCCGCCGGCGATAGCCTCGGCAAAGTTGGGAACCTTGGCGGCGGCGAAGTCAAAGTTGACGACGGCCTTGTTCTGGTTGTGGTAGCCGATGGGGGCGGTGTCGCTGGAAGGGTTGGAGACGACGTCGGGGGCGAAGGCCCAGGCGAGCGGGGAGGAGCCGGCGGGGTTGAGGCCGCGGCCGGACCACTGGCTGCAGCCCTTGCAGACGGCGTCGAGGACCCAGTGGGTGGCGTTGACGGTGGTGCCGGGGAGGATGGTGTACTCGGCGGCGGCGTAGGCGGTAGGGGCTTGGTGGCCGCTGTAGATGAAGAAAACGATTTGGTTAGTTGAAGAAAGAAAAAACCAAGACAAGAAGAATGATGGAACGTTTTGGAAAAGAACCGTACCTCGCGGTCCTGGAAGAGGCCGTCACGGTCTCGCCGTTGGGGTAGGCGATGGTGAGGGGGCAGTTGGCCATGGTGCCGCCCCAGGCTAGACCGGCCCAGCCGACGGCCTTGGGGGCGACGATTTGGATGGCGACGTCAAAGGGCGCGGCGGCGGCATCGGGGATGGCGATGCGGAAGGCGATGCCGTTGGGGGTGGAGAAGTCCTTGTAGGTGAGGCCGGTGGCCTGGCGGCGCGAGGGGCGGCGGCGGCCGAGCCGACGGTGGCTAGGGTGAGGGCGGCGAGGGATAGGAGACCCATTGTGCGTCTTGCTTTCGTGGCTTCTTCTTGGATGGATACGGGGAGAGGAGAGACAAAAGCTGGAGACGAAAAGGAGGAGAGGAAGATACAAGTAATCACCAAGGAGGGAGCTCGTGGAAGGGGAGGGAATCAAGAATTGGGCATCCAGGACAACAGGGAACTCTTTTCATCCCCCCTCCCTCCTCCGTCCGGGGGCAGGGAAGCGAGTATTTCATCTTTTTATGTTGACGAGGCCTTCCCGGGCACCACGATTACCCCTCCCCTCTCCTCCCACGCTCTCTCTCTCTCTCTCCCTCTCTTACTATTCTCTCCGATCCTTATCAAGTGCCGTACACGCCGTTCCTCACCCCCTCCCTCAAGACCACTTCTGCCCTCTTATCTTCCGTCTCTCTGTATACAATGCGTCCCCTCCCGGCCGCTGGCCGGCGGCGAGGAGCACCGAGAGAGGCGTAGCTTGTTTTAGCCGGACCACGCTCTTGCCTTTGACGACATCTAAGAGAGCGCCGCCGAGGGTGGAGAAAGCAGGGCGACGTGCGAACCATCGCATCATCGCATTCACGGCCCAAGACGGGTCTTTCACCTCCACCCCTTGCGAGGAGGGAGGCGGTACACGCGTCGTTACAAACAGAAGGCGGAACCGGCAAGGGGAGCCGTGCAAGAAAGAGGAGGCAGCAGAAGCAAGAAAAAGGAAAAAAAAGTCCCACGATGTTGTGTGTTTTTTGTTTTTGGGGGTATCAAATTTGGGTCTATCCCGTTGATTAGATTTGAGAAGGATGCCATTGGCTCCCATTACGGGGAAATGCATAGGTCCCATGTTTCTGTATAAATGACATCGGTTCGTTCAGGCGGGTCTTGCCTTTTTTTCTTTGGTTTGGAGAGAACCACTGTATAAGGGGGTGAGGGATGGGGAATGGGGGATGGGGAAGGAGAGGGGAGTGAAGAGGACATGAGTTTTAGATTAGCATTCGTTATATCTCTCTTTTCATTCCCGGTGCTGGGGTATATTGCAGATTGCGGCCAAGACATAGAACGACGTGACGCCCCCTTCGTCCCTTGAACTCTCGGGATGCAAGGGGAATGGGAACTCCGAGACGGGAGAAGAGGGACAGGCAAGGTTGAGTTGATAGGTGTATGGTACGGCCATGGTCCCATTGGGGGAAGGTAGATGGCGTTTTATTAAGCTTGTCTTAGTGATGCGCTCGTAGTGGTGTGTAGGTGTGGGGTTCCTTGGAGCGTCCACGAAGAATATGGTGCCGAGCTACGCTTGCTGGATGGTTCAATGTGATTGAAGTAAAAAGACATGGGGACCGGGAGAAGGAGGAGAAGCATTGGAGAGAGAGTGTGTGTGTGGGCTCTCTCAGTGACCACGGGAAGAGGCCGGCAATGGAATCGGGGATGCGCAGCGGAGTTGTCCATCGGAAGAAGGATTCACGTTGCGGGTGCCGCACGGCACCTGCTGGGAAGGATCCGTGGTTTGGCAATGACACTGGTGAGCAGACAAGACGACACGCCTTTTTATTCTACGCACCCACTCTCATTTCCCTTTCCCCAAACGCCTCATTCCTCCTGACGGGGAAACAAGAGAGTAAAACCGTGAAATCGACGCCACGCGAGGAAGGAATGAGCGAGCACGCGAAAAAGACAGGGGCGGCGGCTAAAAGCATGGAGAGCGCAAAAGAGCTATTCATAGCCATATATATACCCTCACAGAGCCGAATGTTCGAGGGGACCGCTTGCACAATAAAAAACCCCCTTTCCCGCATGCGAGAGAGGACACGGATGCCTAGGACCGAGAAAGAGAATCGTGGCGAGGGCGGGGAAAAAGAGGACTATGAGGGACATAGGGACGAAGATCAAGATTTTTCTTCCTTGTCCTGACCCCGGCCCCCATCAGTCAAAGACACCGTAGTTCCACAACCTGGACTCGAGAGGTAATCGGAGGAGATGTTACCATCTATGAGAAAAGGCGTGAATGTGGGACCTCAACACGGAGACCCTGCGCCGGTCGGTTCTCTCACGACCAGGAACTCTCCTCTCCGCCAAGCTTTCCACTCCATCTTTGTTCTTTCTAACCCCAACCGCGACCTGTCCGCGGAAAGCACGGATACCTTTTGTTCATAGGACGGGAAAACAACCAATAGCAATACAAGCGGGTCCCCGGAGGAAAAGCAATTGATCAATTGATACCTTGCGAATAAGCTTGATTCTTGCCAATCGACCCGTCGGGTTATCCTTTCGTCTCGTCTCGTCCCTTGCTGGGGCATGCCTTGCTAGGGTATGGGCACTAGACTTACCCCCTTTGTTCGTGTCCTCGTTTTTCTTTTGTTATTTCTCTCTTCTTTTGTATATTGCGGGATAGCCTCGACGTACGTCTCAGGGCCAATCGCGCGGCTGGTGTTATAAATCCAAAGCACCAAAGAACCCCCGGCCGAGGGAGGGGAAACATGAAGTAGTAGGTTAAATGAGGCGGAAAGAGGAGCGAGTTGCACGCCAAGGCCAAAGGCCAGCGCAACAACAAACGAGAAGAGGACCAGAGAGAGATTCAAAGGATATCGACGCATTGTTATAGATATATATATATATATACATACACACTACGTATATCCAATTCCAAGTATACAAAGGTGGGTCAACCAAGCAAAGCAGCCCGAGCCCAATTAAGAGAGAAAAGCTTGTCCTCCGTCACTTCCTGGTGGCTCGTACACGCAATGAGCCCAACATGTCGGGAGGGGGTCTCTTGTTGATGTCGATCTTCGGTTCCGGGCAACAACAGCCTGTTCGGCCTTGGCCAGGGATGGCGAGCTTGCAAAAGGACGCACGAATAAGGAGAGAGGTAATTCAAGGGGAAAAAAGAGACTACGCCCTAGGGGCATTTAGCAACTCGTTGATTTGCTGGCTTCGTAGCAATGCCCAGGGCCCTGATATTAATTTGGTTCCCACTCCGGGCTGTCCATGAGGGGAGAGGTCCGTCCTTCATCGGTCCTGGGGGATCGGTCCTGGGAGGGCAAGATGGACTAAAGAAGGAATGCGGGGAGAAAAAAGAATCCGCGTCTAAGAGAACGCCAGCTTTCCTTCTCATGGAAAGGGAGAATGACAATACAAGTCAGGACAGATGTTTTTTTCATGCGGCTATGGTCGTTGTTGATGTATGCCAATGGAAGAGAGCATTAGTAGTGGTGGTTAAAAGGGCAAAAGGGCAAAAGAATAATCTAGGTCTAACCAGGATTCGAACCTGGGCTTACGGAAACCTCGTATCAGAATCCGACGTCCTAACCAACTAGACTATTAGACCTTGAGATATTCAGAAGCACCATGCATCTCTATATCAAGACCGCCACTTCATAGCCCCTTTCTCGTCCATGCCATGGCTCCCTGGAATGGATCTCGCCGACTAAATTGCCCCTTTCCTATATATGTGTGAAATAGGTAGGTTTTGAAATAAGAAGAAAAATTGTTTAGTCAAAGGACATGAGAATATCTATCTTTGGAGAGTCTCGCTGTAAATATGAGAACCGGAGAAGGAAGACAAGAAGAAAAAGAAAAGGGAAAAAGTGGTGCTCGCGTCATGTTCCTCGACGACAAAAAAGTAAAATAAGAAAGAAAAAAAGGAAGAAAGAGAAAACAGGAAGAGGAAGAACGACAAGAGACCGACACCGACGGGTGTTCTAATCCTTTAGTAGTAGTCATACAGGCATGCATGCAATGGGTATCCCGACACCAAACACAAAATCCCCTTCCCCCGAAAAGCAACGAAACATGATCCCGCAGTACTGAGTAAACGCCGAGGCCCGGTCTGCGACTGAGGCAAAGAAGAAGAACGCCATTCTTTGGCCAAAGGAAAAAGCGTAGGGATCCTTTGGCCACACTTTTGTTGAAGTCCGATTTCTTTTGGTGTTTTTCTTCTTTTACCTCCTCTGCGCCAGGCCTGGCGTTCCCCATTCCTGAATCACCGACGGGTTCTGCACGGCGAGGCCCTGGCCCGACAGCCACGCCCTGCATGCCTCGTAGTGCATGTACGCCTTGTTGCCCCCAGAGTCCCCGGCCCGGACCATCTCGTCCGCCACATCGAGGACCGACCGCCCCGCCGCGTCGCGCACGTGCACATTGGCTCGGTGCTGCACGAGCGTACGCATGGCGAGCTTGCGCCCGCGCCGTACCGCAATGTGTAGCGCCGTCTCGCCCCGGCGGTTTCGCGCGTTGACATCAGCACCTGCCTTGATGAGGAGCTCGAGGATCGACACGGGAACCTTGTAATCGTCGTCCTCGGGGAGCTGCGCCACAAAGGCCATGAGGACGGTGTTACCGTCCAAGTCGTAGTGGTTCACGTTCACATTGGCATCCAAAAGAATGTCCACAATCTTCTCGCGGAGCTCTAGCCGCCCCTTGGAGGAGTCCTCGTGCTTGAGAGACGCCGGCGCGTCTCGCTTGCGCTTCTTGTTCGACTCTGCCACATCCTCTTGCCTGGTAGCCGCCGGCTCGCTGTCGTCCTTGACCCCTCCTGCCTTGCGGAGGAGCGAGGTGTTGCTGAGGATGGCTGCTGCGAGGCAGTGCAGGCCGTTGCGGCCGTTGGGGTCCTCGAGCTTGGGGTCATTCCGCGCTCGGTTGACGAATTCCAAAAGCCGGGCCTGGCTCGACACGAGGTCGGGCTCGACAGCCGGTAGAGACGGTTGCTCGTACGCGGCCATGGGCGTGTCCTCATGCATGACCGAAGTGATGGCACGCCTCAGTGGCTGAAGATGCATGGGCGCCTGATAGCCTGGAATGGAGCCGAAAGCGTCGCGAAGGAGGGTAAACTCGCTAGACTCGAGGAGCTGGTTGAGAGGGGTAGGATCCCCAATATTGGACAGCAGGACGTGGAAAAATGTGCGACCGTAGCAGTCCCGGGCCAAAAGGAAAGGCAGATCCTGCCCGAAGGCGCGGAGGAGAGTCGTCAAGGGCCCAAGACCAGAATTTGGGTCATGAAGCCAAGTCGGGTTGAGCAGGTGCAGGAAAGTCTGTCCAGCATGGTTCCTCTGCCGGCAGTTGACATTGGCCGACACAAGTTGGAGGATATAAAAGTGGTCTACGTCTCGGGCGATGAGGAAGTGCATGAGGAAGTTGCCAAAGATATCGCTGTTATCAAAATCGACCGGGGTAGCGCAGCGTTGGTCGAGCAGGCGCTGTGCAAAGAGCGACGGGCCCTTCTCGCCCATCCAGAGCGTCCCCGTACCTCAGCGGCCGCGTGGCAGAGACAGCTGTGAGATTGATGTTCGGTGGATCCTCGAAGCAGTGCCCTTGTTTATGGACCAGGGCGTCAATCACCAAGTAGTCGCCGGGTAGGAAGGGGGTTCCAGTCCGCTCAGGCGGCGAGTGCGCGTCGTGGACCCACGAATCCCGCCTCGACCCGGACGCGCTGTCGCTCTGTTCGGCAATGGGCGAGTTATTTTGCCCTGGCTGCACGGGCATCGTGTACCGCTTCACTACTCGCTTAACGTGTGTTACAAAGCCCGACGAGTAACCGGAAAGCGCTCGTCGAAGCGTGGTCGTGGTCCTCTCCGTCGACGTGGTCATCGCGGTGCCGCGTCGCAAAAAGTTGCTAAAGTGGCGGGGTAGCCCGTTCGGTGCCGGGTGAGGGTGCTGATCCTGAGCTGGATGGGGCTCCATGAGAGGTTCGGCGACGAGTTGGTTGGTAAAGTCGCCAGGGGTATCAGGGGGAAGGGGGTATTCTGAAAGTGGGCAGCGGTGGTGGTAGCGGTAGGGTCGATCCTGAGCGAGTTCCGGTCATAGGCATAGGGGCCGTTCTGGGCGAGAACGGCGCCGTTGGCTGGAGGCGTGTCCCAAGAGGGGCCATTGACGGGCGAGACCGGGTTCGGATCAAAGTGCTGGGCGTCGCTCGGAGAGGGAACTCGCGATGGATGGATCGCGTCGGTGAGTGGGCGAGGGCCTTCATGCGACGCTCCATATCGGTTCGGGTACGCGGGTGGAGCCATCGCGGCTCCTTGTCGAGCAACGCATTCAACTTCTTGTTGGCCGAGTCCTTGCTGTGCGAAAAAGAGTGCGGTTAGCCACCCAAGCTCAATCAATGGGGCGCAATAGTGGAGCCCAGTAAACGAGGCGACGAGGGCGCGGGAAGGGCGGCCGAAAGAAAGAAAGAAGGAAAGGAAGAAAGCAAGGGCGTCGCGGCAAGACGCCGAGACGTAATGGGGAATTCACTTACCCTGGGCCGGCATCAGGGGAGGAGGCTTGAATCACGTCGAGGATTTTTCTGATTGGTAATGTCGTGTATACGTAGAGGCGCCCAAGCTTGCGCTGATCCGAGTCGGTCCAGAGCGAGGGACGGCCGGTTTGTGTGGCGTGCGAGCTTGCTCCCGAGGGAGAAGCGGACGACTCCATCGTGAGTCGGCGGCTAAGATGCCGGTAGGGTTTTCGGTGAAGAAGAAGCAGAGCGAAGCTAGGGAGTGGCGCGAAACTTAATTGAAAATGGGCGGAAGAAAGGCCACTAGGAACCGAACTCTTGACGAGCGAGAGTTCTTTGTGCCTGAGTGCGGAGGGGTCGAGGCGACGATTAAAATTTCTTTTCCCCTTCGGTTATCGATCCTGGTCAGTGTGGAGGGGAATAAAGAGAGAGGAAGAAGAAGGAAAAAAAGTAAGAGCGAAGGACAATGAGGTGAGGGCGGCGGCTAGAAAACGCGAGAGCTGAGAAGGAAGGGTTCGTTCTAGGGAAGCTCGGACGATAAACGCGGAGAGGGCTGGAGGATGCGGTGGGGGCGGGCGGAAAAGTAGCGCTGTATGAGCTCGGATCACTCGCTCTCACTCGACTGAACTCGAGCTGGACACAAAGGGGAAACTTGCTTCGAGCGCCGTGTGTGCTGGGAAGCAGGAGGGAAAACCAAGTGATGGGTGGGCAGAGGGGCAATATCAAGCTCTTTGTGAGTGTAAGCCTCTTTGTTTTCAATCCGCTGTGGCGTTCTTTTTCTTTTTCTTTTTCTCTTCTTCTTCTTCTTCCTTTTCTCCTTGCCGTTGTTCCTCTTCTTCAAGAGGCCGCCACCGTAGGAAGTCCCGCATGAAGACTCCCAGGTCCAGACATTGCATCACTTATCTAGGGGTGGTACGGTACACTGGGGTCAAAGGATTCTCGCGGATGATGAGTGGCAGGCACACAAAGATGAGAGATTGAGGCGGTTCCTTCTTTCGGGGACGGCTGGGCGGCCAGATCAGCGGCCATGTCTTGATGGAGACTGCTAAAGTTACAAACACAGCACGCAGCAGTGGACCAAGAGACAGCCAGGCTCAAGAAGGAAGGAAACGGGAGACGGCAAGAACAGCCCAGCATCGAGGGATCAATTGATGTCAGTGAATCGGGGGACTGGGGCGGTGACTTAGCCTGGGGGTGCGTTTTGGGTACCGGCTCGTACCGGCTACAGTGTCGAGTGTGGCTGGGTCAGCATCGGTTTTGGCGGTGCCTTGTGAGTTGTCGGAGAGTGGTAACACTGTAGCGAGACTTCCCAGCTACCCCGCACCCTCAACTCGGTGGGTACTGGCAACAAGAACAAGACCAACACAGTGAGGCTGTGCACCGAGCTGTGCTTCCTCCCCAAGTCAAAGAGATGGAGCGGCGCAATAAATGTTGACGGGTTCTCTCCAAAACTAGCCAGAAGACGATAGTGTTGTGCCTCCCTCCCTCCAGGTAGGGGCCCCCAAGTGGAAATAGTAGAGCCCACTCTCCACTGATTGGACCGACGAGGAGTTTGGGGTCCAAACCAGCCACACATCCTCAGATGGCGAGAAAAGTGTTGCTCACCGGCCTTCGAGGCTCATTGCCAGTTGCAATTTTCTCCAAGCATTCAAGGAAGTTACAATGGATCCCTACGATGACGAGAATTGAAACTTTAGGTTGACCGAATAGTCTAGCGGCTTAAAGAGAATATTGAAGGAGGGAAGCACTTTCCCTATTGCTCGGGCCTGCCCACTGAATAGATCTTCTCGCCGGGCCGAGCGATGAAATAGATGAGAACACTGGGAACCGAGCGTCAATTTCAAGATTCACTGCCCTTTTCTTCTTCTTCCTTTTTTCTTTTCTTTTTCTTTTTCTCCCACTGATGCCTGGCGTAGTTCACCATCGCATGCGGCCTTCGAAGCTCTTGTGATGACTGGTTTGTCTGGATAGAGCACTGGAGGTCGCGCTTGCCCATCAGCGTGCCTAGTGTGACAGACATGTGGCGCATGGTCTGGGAGGGTCAAGTGAACTGAGCTAACCTTCCGGGCCCTGAACTGGCCAGCCAGGCCAGCCCCACCACACCCCACCCACCCCACCATTGCGATTCCGCGGGCTTTAGCCTGGGCTAGTGAGACTCTGCATCAGCAACCCAAAGGCTTGTTGATACTAACAAAAGATGAGGGAATGCAGGTAGTGGAGTGGTAGGAACAGTGAACATCGGTTGATGGCGGGCCCCACTTCCAATCGACCAGGGGTTTAAAACACGATGCTGCGCCTTGTCGAATGTCGAGAAACGGGGTAAAGATCGAGGCCCATGGCACTCGATAGCCACCACAAGCACTTTCAACCTTAAGATTGAGAATATTATTGACAAGCCTCAAGAAACAAAAGCAACTGGCTATGACAGCCAAGAACGCACTTGTGAGAAAAATAACCTTTTTCTCGAGCTGGCGGGAAGGAGGAATGCCGGTTATCCGATGGTCTCTGAAGCCTCGAAACACAACGGGCTCTGCGTGACATCGACCCACCTCACCCGGCACCCGCCCCTCCACCTCAGCACCGCGCCCAGCGACCTAAAGACACCGAAACTTTTCTTGATCAACAATTAATGGCTCAATGGTGGATGTTTACACACAGCTCTGGTCATCACATCCAGTCGATCAATTGGCCTGGCATGACACATAACCCCTGAACTTCTGCAACCGTTTCTGCAGTTCCCCCTACCCATCAAGTGCACTTGAGCCTCTGCCGAAGGCATCTATGGATCCGTTGGATGCAAAGCTCGATCGACGATAGCTACAAAGGTCAAGAGCTAGTTGCTGATCTTGACCAAACCTCTGTCTTCTAGGGCGTCCATGGCGTGCCGGTGATGTCAACAACCTTGAGAATATGGAATAACAATACCTCGGTACTCCGACTCACTTTAGTATGAGAAGGTGTCATAAAAAGACCAGCCAGTCATGATTGCAAGCTTTGGGTGGCTCGTATCAACAATTGTGGCTACCAGCAGATGAAGCAAAAACTGTATTTATGCGGCACATGGCGGGTGCGCCAAATCCCCGGAACGCATGCACATGCAAAATATGCCATCTACGCCCCTTCCCATATCTTTATTTTTTTCTCCGCCTCTCTCTGCCAAGTCCTGGTTGGTCTCTTCCACCAGTATCGCGGGCTTCTCTCTTGATTCTGCTGTCAGGTTCCAAAACAGGGCTTGGCTCATTAGAGGTTAGAATCACACGTGGCGGAGCTCAACTTGGCGGGTTAGCTTTTTGGGTTCTTTTGGGTTCTTTTTGTTCTTTTTTTCTCACTCTAGAAAGGCAGAGGCTGGAGTCCGGCCAGGTTAATCAACCTTTGCAAAGGCCCGCCGAACTGTTGACGTCTAAGGCCTACCTTCAAAATGGCTATTGCGGAAACAAAGTGCCTCCTTCAACCTTGCTCAGCATTTTCGGATTTGCGAGAAGTTTTCCACTAGATTCTGCCTGGCTCGCGACTTGGCCTCACGAGGCCGGTTGTGTTGGGCGATTTGGGTGGCCAGACCTGGTGGAAAGACCAAGTGTGAAAGACAGAGAGCCGCACTAGACTCTTGGTAGGAGGCCCCCGTCTTTCCCACTGTCCTTACTACCCCCAGGTGTACATTTCCTGTCAGAGGCACGCTAGCTACGGAATCTTTGGGACTCTGCCGGAGAGACTACTTGCTGCTTGCTGCGCCTGCACTTCAACCAGGTCATCCAATGACCCCTCCACGCCAGAAGCAGGTTCGAGGCACAGACGGCAGATCCCTCCAATCACTCGCCCCGCCTCGTTTCTTCCTTCCGGCCAGTCAGAAGCGGTGGGGCATCTTTCTTCCCATGTAGGTCATTATCACATCTTTCTAGTTCTCGTGGGGCCGTTGCTTTGGGTCCTGCCTTTGGTACGCGACTCCACATCCTCGGAGAGGACACGAGCAAGCCGTGGAGGGGACTACTGAGACACGGGTCTTCCGCTAGATCCCCATTCTCCTCCGTCCCGCCGCCCCACGCAATGGCAGGCTACTCCACCGGTCCGAACTTTACCATATCCGTCCGGGACTCCACCTTCCGAAGAGCTGCTCGGGTTCTTCTGTCCCTGCCCGCCCTTCCCCCATGCCACCGCCAAGCCCGAGAAGCTTAAAGTCTTGGCCCAAGCGGGTCTGTACGTAATGACGAGTGTCGAAAATGAAAGAGCAAAAAAGAGCATGGAAAGGAACGAATCAGCTTGCGCTATGCGGCCGCTCCCGATCTTTTTCGTCTTATCATACCAGTTTTTTTCTTTTCTTTTCTCATGTGTTAACCCCGAGGAGGAGGAGCGGGTCACAACGTCTGCCCCACAACGCCGTTATCTCGTCGGTGGATCGAATGCGAGCAACTCATGAGGACCGGGGAAAAATGACTGGAAGAGGATAGGAAATACGAGAGTATAGCGTAAAATAGCGAGAGCTACTCAAGGGAAATGAGTTGGAGAAAAAAACCAACAGCCCCCGCAGCTCGCCAAGACATTCAACCAGCAGCAAATCGCATATGCTATTGGTTCACCAAGGGGAGCTGGATTACCAAAGACCACCGATCTGATAGAGATAGGTAGGAATCAAGGAAATAAACCAATGAGCACCATGCCGGAATGAGAAAGCGGAGGCGAGCGCAATGTGGGAGGTCTGGAAAGAAGAGAGGGAGAAAAAAAAGCAACTGGCGTATAAGTCGAGGTCAACGGCCTGTTTAACATGAGATATCCCCTCTTTCTGCCCCTCCTCTTGTAATCTTTGTCCCGTCTCCTTTGATTTCACGCTTCTGTTTCCATAGGCACTTACAACCGTCACCGAGCTTGAAAAGATTGTTAAATCTATAACAGGACCCCTGTCACCAGACGCCTATCCTAACCTCTGCTTGCCCATTCATCACGTCCACCATGGCCATGTACCGAGCCCTCGCCCAAGTGGCCACCCTCGCCGCCCTCTTCCCCGGGCGACTATCGCCCACTCGGACGAGGACCTCGCGCATATGGGCCCGCTTGGCCTCATGTGGCCCCCGGACCGGGCGTGGAGCGAGCAAAGGGACGAACGGCCCCGTGCGGTAGCGCGGATGGACCTGGGTTCCGCACGGACTTTCCGCTGTGTAAGTCACTTCAAGTTTTTGTATCTAGTCCGGCTGAATGGCCTTCCATGGAAGACAATTGAGGGATACAAGGTAAAGGGCAAAAAAGCTGTGGTCTCTTGTAACTAACCCGCTTGCCGCGAACTCTTCTTCGCGGGATCTTGCCATTTCCTAGCTGGTGGAGCCTTGTCCCTCGAACAAAAAGACGAAGCATATGATGTCCAAGTTTCCATCTCATTCTCACAAGGTAAGCTTTGTCGAACCTCCACCCTTTAGGAAGAGTGCAACACTGACATGTAGGCACGATGATGTCTCCTTCCCACCATAGACCCCGCCACAAACGACGACTTCACCACTCTCCTCGCCCCCTCACGCATCCCATCCCTCGACATGAGCCACGCCTGCTTCAACATGCCCACCTTCCCCTCCGACGCCAGCAGCGGACGCAACGCCACCCTTCAACTCCGGTACACGGCCGAGTACATCGACCCCAACCACTCCCACAGACTCAGGCGCCACACGGCGGAGAACCAGACCTTTTACGCCTGCGCCGACGTCACGCTGGTCGACCCCGCCGTCTTCACGTTCGAGATCCCTTGCTTCAACGTCACGGCCGATGCGCACGGCGGGAGCTCGACCGAGGGTGACGATGGCCACTCTCACTCCCACGACGAGGCGGATGATGCCGGGACGGCGGCGGGCGAATCGTCCGAGGACGGCACCCAGGCTCAGGGTTCTTCCAAATCTTCTTCTTCTTCGGGATTGTCCAAGGAGGCCATCGCGGGCGTCGTCATCGGGTGCGTCGTTGGGGTGGGCATGCTCGTCAGTCTCGGCTTTTATCTGTATCGGAGGGATCGAAGGGAGAAGCAGATCGCCCAGGACATCGCAACGGCTGTTGAGAAGTAAACTCGAGATTTCCTCCTCTTTTTCTTCTTACAAACACCCAGACACGATTGACAGGCTCTCCCCTACGGCGCATCCAGCGCATCTGTCATCTCGTATCACCTGCATCACCTACTTCTCTAACTCAGGATTAGTGCGTGTCAGTTCACTCCTTGTGTCTTGAGCCTTGTTAGCATTTCTAGGGTCTAGAGGGAAAAAGAAAAAGAGAAAAAAGTAAAAGAAAATCAATGGTATCGTCAATTAATTTTCCATGTGATCAAGTGGGAACGGATGTGGTATTTAATTTTTGCGTCAAGCAGCGATGCAACGACCAGGGCAAGCCAATTTACATGCAGTGTCGTATATATTACCCGTTTTTAGCCAACCCACGCAATCTACGAGCATAGCACGTTTAAGGAACTGATCTGTCCTTGCGATCGACAGGGAGCTTCCTAGAGCTCTTGAGGGGTGTTGTAATCGGGGTCCTTTTTTCTTCTGTCTTTTTCCTGGAATTTTCTTTCCCTCCCTCATCATCTTTTTGCGCCCCTGGAAGAGAGCAAATCGTCGCCAGTCCTAGATTCTGGAGCAAGAGGATGTCGCACTCCGTCGCGAAAGAAGCGAAAGTAGCGGCAAAGGCCGGCGCCGAAAAGCCGCAGGCCAGGTCCGTACGCAGGATCCTCCCGCAACGCGCCCTCATGCCGCCATGCTGAATTACGTTTCGCGGCCGGCGCGGCGCCTGGCCCTCGTTTTTGGCTTGTTTGTTGGTTTCCTCATCTTCAGACGCAGCAGTCAAGGGTCCGGTCGTGGAGCGCCGGCGATTGGTCCCGTTGAAGTGCTGAATTCGACCTTGGGTGTAAGTGCCTTGTTGTCCCAGCCATCGCTCTATTCCAGAGACCTCTGCCTTTTTTTTGTCCACCATGTTTTGGCTCTTCTCAGATGGTCTGCGAATCTTGCCTAGTTTTGCTAACATTGAAAAACGGCGCTTTGGGTTTAGTTTGGCGAGATTTTCGTGATTAACCTCCGGAACGAACGGATCGCAAGGATCTCATGACACTGGCAGGTGCCGTGACGGGGCTTGAGTTTACGTACATGCCGGGTGTGAGAGGCACTGAGGTTTTGGAAAAGGTGCTGCCGCCTAGTCCGAGGAAGAAGAATGTTAACTGGACGGGCAAGACGGGGAGCTGGAGGGCGCATATGAACGTATTACAACGGTAAGTTGTTATCCCCCACCCGCGGCCTTGCTTTCAGAAGCTACGCGGCGGGGAGTATATAACACAAAGTGTTTCTTTTTCTTTTTTGGTTGGAAGCCAGCTGACCATAGGTCTCTTGCTTCTCGAACAGGATCGTTCAACAGAACTTAACCTCGGCGCTCATCATGGAAGACGACGCCGACTGGGACATACGCCTCAAATCGCAAGCCCAAGACTTCGCCCTCGCCACCCGCGCCTACCTCCAACCCTTGCGCAACGACCCTCCCGCACCCTCGCGGGCCAGTACCCCGCCCTCGCCAAGACGCTCCAAGACGACGACTACTCCCTCGACCTCTCCTCCGCGCCCGCCACGCTCGAACCCGGCGCGGAAGCGTCGCCCTACGGAGAAGGCTGGGACGTGCTCTGGTTAGGCCACGTGGGGAGCCACCTCCCCGCCGACTGGCTGAGCCGCAAAACCAACGCCAACGGGGAAGGAGAAGGCGCGCCGCCGCCCTTGTCTTTGCTCACGCTCCTCGCGCGCGGGGACGAGACGGTGGCGGACAAACGACACCTGAAGCGGCACCCGTTCGCGGACCGGATCGACGATTTCGCGGAGCGGTACGAGGACGCGCACACGCGCGTGGTGCACGAGGCGCGCGGGACGTCGGGGATCCAGGCGTACGCGGTGAGTCAGCGGGGGCGCGCCGGCTCCTGCTCCAGTTTGGGCTGGAGACGTTTACGAGCAGCTACGACCTCTTGCTGCGGGATTGGTGCGACGGGGTGTACGCGGGCTCCGCTACCGCCGGGGGTAAGGGGGCAGAGGGCGCGAACGGGTTCGGTTCGGCGGACGGCGAGGAGAGGCCGGTGTGCGTGACGACGCAGCCGCCGCTCATGAGCCAGTACTACTCCAAGGGGGAAGCGATATCCACGGCATCGGTGGGGGTATTTTAAGAAGTCGGGCTCGTCGTACATTCGCAAGAGCGTGATGCTGAACTTGCGCAAGCTCGTGGCGAGGGGAGGGGAGGGGATGATGAGGATTTGGCGGACCAGTGGCCGGATGAGGGGAGGGTCCGTGGGGAGTCGAGGGACGTGATGGGAATTTGCACGATATCAATGGTCGCTATGATGGATTAGATTGAATGGTCAACTGAACGCGCGCCTATAGACTCTTTTTTTTTGGTTTCTTTTCTTCTTGATCCACTTTCTTTGATTCGAGCATTGCGTGGCGTCGAGGTATTTGGTTCCGTGATTTATGTTCCTTGGATCCTTGTCGTTGGGTCGCGCACAAGGAGAGTAACGTTGGCGGCAACTCGCAACATGCACTGTTGAATGGCGTATTGTTGGAATTGGCTGCTCAACGCCTCTGCTCAACCGGATCATCCATCATCACTTGCCAAGGTAGCCAGAAGCGACCGAAGCGCGAAACTGTAAAGAATATGGTCATCACTGGTTCCATGGGTCGACGGGCGGATCTATCCATATGCCTTCTTTATTCTCTTCTGATAAGGCCCATAGGCCAAACCTTTCAACGAGTCGTACAACTAGCATTGCGCCTTCGCCTGAATTTGAAAAGGAAAGGAAATAAAAACAACGAAGAGAGCCAACAAACCTTGGACTACTGTAGGCTACGAAGACGAGTAAACGCCAGACCCTCATCCCATTCGAAAATCTTTCTATCCAACCGCTCATGCGCCTTGGTTGCGACTAGGTCGCACATTGCCGTGGTCTGCGGTTCCGAGAGTAGATGTAGCCTAGAACGGTGGTCTTGATCTTCGTTTGGCCCATAGAATCGCTCATCTAAGAACTTCCACCAGATAAAGTCAAACCCCCAGCTATCTAACACCGCGTAATTGATCAACCAGGTCTTCTCTTTCCAGCTCATCCTCATCCTCTGGGAGAGTGGCAGGGTGGACATGCCCCCATCAGGGTCAGACGACGACAAGACGCCGTTTGTCCCGATTTTCTTCTCTTCCACTTCAAGCACACGAAGAAAAGTGTGAAACCGGGGCTCGTAGGCCTTGATCCACTCGCCATACCCGCCAGGCCAATCTTTTGCCTCGAGAAGGAGCAGCCACCAGGGCGGGTCGAAAGTAAATTCTGCTGGCGCCATGTAGGCAAACTCCCAGTCTATGACCCCAACGACTTTGAGGTTTTCGTCCACGAGGACATTGGCCGGTCTAAGATCCTCCGAAAACAGCCGGAAATCGCCCGTGGGGCATTCTTGATCTGACTCGAAGGTATGTGAATCGATAAGCCTCCGAAATAGGCTGCGCGCAACGAATTTATCACAGACGTCACCATCGTCCTCCGCTACGTCGTTATACTGGAGCGCAAGCTGGGCTATGTGCATATCTGCCAGGGCCAAATACTATTCTTTCGAAGTTGTATAGGTCTGGGATGGTAGTATATGCGTTGGCATGTTGGTATGGATGACCAGTTCGTTCATATTCATAGTCAGGGGCCGCTTCTTAATAGTGATCGAATTACTCTCACACGCGTAGGTGAGTGAACCGATGCGGGGAAACGTAGCAAAGAGAGCTGTGTTAGTATATTAGCTATCTAACTATATGCTAATTCCAACTTTTCTTATGTAATATCTGGGTCCAAGACAGGGCGTTCGTCCATAGGACGTGTGGGATCTAATAACGCTCCTGACATATTCTGATGGTGCGGAATGTACTCCATGATGATAAAGGGACCCATTCCAATGGGATTTTCTGCCGTAGTACCATAATGGTAGATCTCAGGGACCAGAATAGTAGTGTTTTTGGCGATGTATCGCATCGTTGCCACTTCATTTAGAACCTTCTCGTCGGGAAATGTAGTGAGGCCTTAGAACAAGTTAGCTTGAAAGGGTGTGTAACCAGGAGAGCTAAAGAAAGATACCCTTGATAGGAACTCTTATGATCAATGATGTTGAATCTTCGAATTCAAGGCGATATATCACATTATAGCCACCTCGGAGTACGGGGTGCATCAACGTCGGTTTAGCGTCTTTATATTGCCATATGAAGTTCCCGACTTGACGGCGTTTCTCAGCGGTTCGAACTGATTCGTACCATTCGTCGCTCTCCTCCTCGAGCTTCTGCCACAAAAGGTCATCTTTTTCTGCGCAGAGATGCCGAGGTTTTCCAGGCATGTTGTCGGGTTGGGAGTCTCAAGAGGAGAAGAATTGGAAGTGTCAAGTGCTCAGGTATGTCGATCGAGCTGGTGGTCTACGAACGCGGATATCATTAGATTCCTCAGGCGCCGTTTTCTCGGGTTGGACAAAGCTACTCGAGTGTTGATGGTGGCTGCATCTCTGCATCTCTGCATTGATCTCTGCATCTCACATAGCTCAAAAGTGGGGAAAGGCCTCGGGCTCTGGAATCAAGGCTGCGTGATGGGTGCCCGGAGCAAACGTACGGGCAGAGTAAGTGAATTCAATGTTGACTGATAACGGCAAGGAATGGATCACAGCAGATTTCTCGTGATGTTTCTGTTTCGATATGCCATAAATAAGGCCTCGTTCTCTCGTGGGAGCTCTAGTAAATTGAGGTAATGTTCTCTAAATCGAGTATAAGTTCTTATTTCAGTCATCTTCACTTCAGTCCCTGAACCACCGAAGGCATTGTTAGACCTAGCTGTTTATAAGCAATTCAAGGTTAGTGGTTCGCATGCAATCTATCGAAATGTTGAATGTATGACTGATGGCTAATTCTTTTTATATCTGATGTTAGAATGGACGAGGGCGATAACTTCAAATTAGCTAACGATGAAGAGGAAAGACGCATGTTAGAAGCAGCGAGAGCCTGCAAGCGACGGCGTGAAGAATCTCGGAAGCGGCGTGAAGGTGAAGACAAGAAAAGGAAAGGCGAGAAAGAAGAATTGAGAAAACAGGCTGCCGAGAACTTACAAAAGAGGAGCGAGGACCATCAAACGCAGGACGGCGACATCTAGGTCTTGAGGGAGGGCCGGTGAGGCTATTGAACATGATGTACATCCATGGATGGTACAAAGGTGTATGAATATGATTGAATGGATCCATCCATATATTGGATGGAATGGATGCGAGGACAACATAGACTGTAAGCTGGATCAGCCTGGGAAATAGTAACCTGTATTAGCATTGGCACGAGAATGGGAATCCCGCCTTTTTTTCCTTATCGAGAGCAACCAAATATCTTCCTTGACGACAACAGATTCTATCTCGCTATCCCGAGGTAGATCAATATGGACTGAATAATGGCTGGCCGTCGCAATGCAGATATCCGTCACGCTGTCAACGGTGCGGAGTGCCTCAGAAACCGGTATTCCTGGCAGCTGCATGGCGATTACAACGGAGGAGCTGTTGAATGGAGCACCGCTGTTGGTGCTCCTTGGGAAGCATTTCCTCCCATCATCAATGGATCCATGGATGGATCCAATCATCATCTTTTCCTTCCCCATAGGAGCTATATTTCTCCGGGCCCCAATGCAACATTGATCGCGGTCCGACCCTCTGGAATCTCCAACTGTCCGCCGATCTCTAGTTTCCACAACATCTCGATCATGCTCGTTGATGCTCAATCTCGGGTCTAGTCATTCTCGATTCTCCAGCAAAGTGAAAGAAAAAGAGTATTCCCCTGAGCTATACCCGGCACAGCTGTTAATGGTCACGATATTGTTGGGCTGCCAGAGGCTTAAAATCTACTTTGTTTTTGGTGGACGGGCGACCCAGTCGTCAATGAACCTGGAACCTGGAAAGCATCGCTTCCGGAATTTGTAGCTACATGTAGTGACCCATATTACATGTAGTATCTTGTGTTGCACGGAGCGGGCGCAACAACCTGGGCATTGACACTCTGAACACATCCGTGTATTACATGTATGGCGATGAGTAGCGGAACTGTGAGCAGTGTCTCCCATCTTAGCTCGCCGAGAAAAACAGTATCAAAGAAATCAAGAAAATTGAAGGTCAAAGTACGGGTTACTAAAAATATCGTCTTCCACGCGGCTTCAACGTTTGGTTACCCCGACTCCGTACTTCTTGCAGTCTCGGCGGCTTCTTCTCCCCTTCACCAAGACCACAGTGACCAACACAAATCTTCAATGTCATTGATACGGGAGAGATGAAATTCTAGTGCTCTTGGCCACCCAATCGTCAAATCTGCCAAGCGCCATCGTAGTCTTGGAAAAGGGAAAGAGATTAAAATAAAAGAGGATTTTTCCATTTTATTTCTTGTCATTCTTGTCTCGTGTGATGAGCAGCAGACTTTGCCGTCTTGTCCGTTTTCCCAGCTTTAACCGGGTGGCCAAGTTGCGGATGGGATTGGGGGAGCCAGAGCCAGAGACGGCGAGGAGACTGGGAGTTTTTTTCAGCAATATGATGCACGACACAATCAGTAAATCAACCCGATCAAAGATCATGGGATGGAATGTGTGAATAGTGTAGTCGTTAGACCGTAAATGTAGTAAAAGTATAGTGAACGGGGAGAGAGAGAACGGCTTGGATTCAAGAAAACTTGCCCGTTCCCGTGCGTTGCATGTGCTCTGCCGCATGACTTTGTCCCTGCCTTCTTCTCCACGCAGGACGCAGGAACGTCAACCAGATTTAAGCCATCAATGTATGTGGCGGACGGATCAATCCATCATTGACCCGTGAAGCCCTCCGCATTCTTCACTACTTTCCCCTTTAATTTACTCCAGGTCACCAATCCTCCCCCACCACACCTCATGCCCCGTCCTCGCCAATACATTTGATGTACCGGCCTGCTCCATGAACTCTCCAAAGCGAACCCCGGCCACGGCACGGTAGCGCCGTGTCATCCGCTTTCATCCCTCCAGCCTACAGTTTTTCCTTTCTTTTTTCTTTACCCTGTAGTCCCTCGATTAATCAATCGTATGTGCCTCTCGGTCTTTGTTCCTTGGCTGTATCCGGGGGAATGAGCGGGCTTGTGACGAGAGGGAGGGTCGTGTCGTGAATAGGTTGGCCCTCCCCTGCGCAGGGAGATAGATTAAACACATTTGCTGGGTCCGCCCGCCCACTGATCAATCCGAGAGGCAAGGAACAGAAGTTGCAAAGTATGGTTCCATCCAAATTGTTCTATTAAGATATTTGTAGCTTATAATAGCACGCGGCTACCCTCCCGAAATCTCCCCCATCGTAGCTGTTCGCCGTCATCGCGATGAGCTTCTGCGCGCAGCTGGTGAGAAAGTGAATGAGAATCTACGCCCCGTTGGCAACATCGGCAAACCTGTATTCTCGTCTGCTTCTTTTTCTTTCTTTTCTTTTCTTCTCTCCTTCACCAGCTCACCTAACCTCAATAGAAGCTTGTTAGACGTGTGTAGAGAGCCAATCGCAACCTTGCGCGCCGCATTAACCGACCGGCGATGAGGCTCCTCTCTCGGCGCCGTCGGCCTCCTCTCGTGGCACGTTACCGGCGTCGCCCTACCCGAGTCCGGTTCCTCCAACGGCCAACCTCACACCTCGAGGCTCGTTCCACGATCCCATGTCCTCCACGAGAGGCACCTCGCCGACCACACCAAGCTGTGGAACAAGAGGTCCAGGGCGGACGCCAAAGCCCTCTTGCCTGTGCGCATAGGCTTGACCCAGCGGAACCTGGACGAGGGACACAGGCGGTTGTGGGACATGTAAGTTTGACAGGGGAAAACTAGGAATGTCGTTGGACCTAGAGATGGGCCTTTTGCATTGGGCTATGCATGCCACATCGTGTTGCTGACTGTCTGCGGCTGCTTTCGGTTCCACCCAACTAGATCCGACCCGGCGTCACCAAACTACGGAAAGCACCTGTCACCGGAAGAGGTCGTTGCCTTCTTCGCGCCCAAGGAGGATGGTGCTACAGCTGTGACGGACTGGCTAGTGGCCGAAGGCATCTCAGCCAGCCGCATTTCCAGATCGCGAAACAGGCAGGTGAGGATGTCCACCCAAAGATTCCGGGGACGTCACGGCCTAGTGCTGGGAAATTTCGAGGAGGAAAAAAGTATTGAGCATGTCTCTAACCTTCCATGTAAACGTAGTGGATCCAGTTCGACGCAACTGTAGAGGAGGTAGAGGCCCTCTTGTACGCCGACTTCCACGTCTATGAGCACGCCGACACGGGCGTGGCCAACCTCGCGTGCTCCGGGTAAGCCACCATGCCGCCCACCTTTCTTTTTCTATACCTTTGCCGTATCGGCCGAGAAGAGGTTCTAATGTTAGACTACAAAGCTACCACCTCCCCGCCAGCATCCGCGAACACATCGACTACGTCACGCCCGGCATCAAGCTCATGCCCGAAGAGGGGGTGCTGAGGCCGAAACTGAAGCGAGACGCGGGGACAAAGGCTCGGGCGGGGCGCAGGCCAGGCAGGCCCGGGCGGGTATCTTCTGATTCTCTGCTCAAGGAAGATTTGCCCGTGAGGCCAAGGCCTTCCGCTATAGCTCAACCTGTGGTCCAAGCTGCAGCAAGAAAGGGATCTGGCGTCACCCCCGCGAGCTTAGCCAACCAGGCAGATGAAGGTACAGAAGAGGGTACGGAGGAGGGCGATGAGGCTGAAGACGTGCCAGTCATAGTCCGGCCTGTTGTGCCAGAGGTACCTGCTTTCTTGCCGCCCGACGACGACTGCGTATATGACGTTACTCCAGAGTGTATAAGAGGTAAGATCGATGTGGAGATCTCCAAGAACCTTTTTCTTTTTTAAGAAGCTAAAAAGTGCATATTAGCCCAGTACAACATCCCCGCAGGCTCCAAGAACCAAACGGGCAACAAGCTAGGCATCTTCCAGGGCCTGAACATACGGTACTGGCAGGGCGATTTCGACCTGTATTTTGACGCCGTGGCACCGTAAGTACTCCTACCAACACGCGCTCGCGAAAGCGGCAGTGTTTTGCCTGCCCCATTCACCAACTAATGTGTGCGCTGGTCGCGGACGGTGGGCAATAGATGGGTCCCCCAAGGATCGCACCCTCAGAATAACCTCGCCAACGGCGCAATCGGCGAGACTGACGATCGGCTTTCGTCGGGCGCTGAAGCGGTCATGGACTTCCAGCTAGGAATGTCCCTAGTATGGCCGCAGGAAACAGTGCTCTGGCACGTTGATGATCCGTGGTACGAGGATGCCCAGATGCAAGAGCCTCTCATCTACAAAGGCTTCTTTAACAGTGAGTCACTTCCCTGCTTTTCATGTCTTGACTTTTCCAGCAAGGGCGAAAAGAAGGAAACCCAGCCAAGAAAGGGAACGTCAAACCCGCTCACCCCACTTTGACTCCTAGATCTCTTCAACGCAATGGACGGCAGCTACTGCGAATTCGAGGCCTACAACCAAACCGGCAACTGCGTCGACCCGGACTGCCTCGACCCCATCTACCCCAACCCCAACCCCGGCGGCTACGACGGCCCCCTCGCCTGCGGTACTTTTGAGCCCACCAACGTCATCTCCATCTCCTACAGCGGCTCCGAGTCCAGCCTCCCCGCGTCCTACCTGAAACGGCAGTGCGCCGAAATCATGAAGCTCGCCATGCAGGGCATCACCGTCGTCGTCTCGTCCGGCGACTACGGCGTCGGGAGCAACCGGCGCGATCCGCCACCCCTGGGTTGCCTCGGCGAGAACTACGACGTCTTCAATCCCGTGTTTCCGGGAAATTGTCCCTACGTCCTCGCCGTGGGCGCGACGGAATGGAGGAAACCCAAGGCGGAGGTGATTCCGCCGGACGTGGGCGGCGTGACGGAGGGGGACGACGGCAGGGATCCCGAGGATCCGCGCCAGGGTGGGGATAGTGGGCGGGATGATGGCGAGGAGGGGGTAGAGGCGGTGAAGAAGGCGGGCGGGTGGGCGGGGACGATGGCGGGAGGGGGTGGACGTGGGGCGGCGCGCGCGTAGAGGGGAGAGCTCGGCCGGGACGATACGTAAGCGCAAAAGTGCACGCGCCGCGAGGAGGAGAGGAATGAGGAGGCAGAAGACAAACAGCCGGAGGAGGGCGAAGGGCTAGAAAGCGAACCGGTAGCGCAGACCCCGTGGGCGACGCCCCAGCAGTTCACGGGCCCCTACGAAGAGGTGGCCACCACCTTCTTCTCCTCGGGCGGCGGCTTCTCCAACGTATACCCCGTGCCCGAGTACCAGCGCCCCCACCACCGGGCCTACTTTTCTGCCCTCGGCGGCCCGGCCAACGCGACGGGTAGAGCGGCGGGGAATGTGACGCTGATCGCGCCCGCGCTCGACGTGGAGGGGTACGTGGGTGGGCGCACCGACTACGAGACCATTGGCGACGACGGGCTGCGGTTCAACCGCGCGGGCCGGGGCACGCCGGACGTGTCGGCCGTCGGGGATAATATCTACGTGGTGTTGCGTGGGCGCCCGGTCCTCATGATGGGCACGTCGGCGTCGGCGCCGATCGTGGCGGCGATGCTGAATCTTGTGAATGAGGAGAGGTTGGCGGCAGGGAAGAGTACTGTGGGGTGGGTGCACCCTGTCATTGTGAGTTTCTTTTCTTTTCTTTCCTTTCCGACGATGATTCTTGCAAGACGATGTGGCTAACGTGCGCTCCTTCTCTGTTCTTTCTTGTAGTATTCCCATCCGGAGATATTCCAGGACATTACTGAAGGGTCGAATCCGAACTGTATGTCGGATGGTTTCCCGCCATCAAGGGGTGGGATCCGGTGACTGGGCTTGGGTGAGTTGTCCCCGATATTCTTTCTGCGTCCTCTTCTTCTTCGTTTCCATGTCTTTCAGCCGTCATCTCTCCCACCCAAGGTTCTATAAGCTAGAGCCAACATACTAACCATCGTTGTTTATCTTATGCAGAACACCGAAATATCCCAAGCTATTAGAAGTTTTCATGTCCTTACCTTGAAAAATGAAAAAGATTATATGGACAGCAAGCCAGGAGGGCACAACATTCCCAAGGTAGGACACGCATACGGATCAATGTAGTTATTGCATGTAAAAATATGGATTTTGTAGCATTAAAGATAATAGAAGCCGAGCCAAGCTATCATATCACCGGAACCTACATGTAGTGTATATATAACCCACGCATCCATAGATATATGGGAAGGGGATGCAACCATCTCACCAACAAGAGGTGTTAGTGCATCGTCGTCACGATCCGAACCCCTCGATCTTGACCCCTCTAGCCCCACCCCGACCCCGAAAATTTTGACGCGATGGACCGTCCACCCATGGCTCGACCCACGGCTCGACCCACGGCTCATTTGCAAACCTGCTCTTGAGCCGAGAGAGATCCGCCAAGGTCGTAAGACACTCTCGATGGCCTGGAAAGCGACGGCCTTTCGATTTTAGGCTTAGACGGGAGACGGTCTCTCAACAACCCACAATCCCATATGGTGTAGTGGTTAGCATAACGCTCTCTCATCTAATGAGTGTTCAGCGTAGACCCTGGTTCGATTCCTGGTATGGGAGAAATTCCTGATTTCTTTTTGCTTTATTTTGCTGATTTGTCTTGTTTTCTCGTCTTCTGTCTGCTTCACTTGTTCTTTTTCCGTTTTTTGAGATACGCCTGTCTGTCTCTCTTCACTATGTTCATTCTGACGAATTTCTTTGCCCGAAATGCTTATTTGTGACTCGCTGAGATCAGCTTGGAAAAGAAGCTCAGAGACCCTAAAAAGGAAAAAACTTTTGTCGCAGCAGGCCTTGGACAGAGAGCTGACGGGATACCTCCTTGTGGGGCTCGTCCGGCAATCTGAGAGGCGAGGTGTATGAAGAGGAAAAAAGCAAAAAGAAGAGTTGGACACACCAGGAATCGAACCAGGGACCGCCTCTATGCTAAAGAGGAATTATACCACTAAACCATGCGCCCTTCTTGTTGTAGATTGCTTGCACCAATTTACACTAAGAACCATTTACGTCGGGGACTGTATGAGGCACATCTCAGTTCAGATCTCTCCCATACATTCTTAATTTTCGTCAATGCAAAGATTGGGAAAGCCCTGATACAAGGGGGCACATGGGGATATTAATAGGCACTTATGAACATATCTATACATCATAACGCGCAACAGTCCTAGTCAACTTAGAAAGCCAACCGCCTGGCTATACTCTGACGCCCTCGTTGGGGATATCTGCATTTATCCTACATTTCTTTTTCATATAACTATTTCAATTTCCTACAGCTCATCATGGCCTGAATCTTGCCCTCCCGCCGGCCCACCCACATTCGGCCTCCCATCCCAAGGAGTGACCTTCTCTTGAATGATGTCATTCAAAAACTGCTCCACCACATCAGCCGTGATCTTGGTTCCCTCGGGCAAGGGAAAAGCCTGCCACGAGTGGGGGTTCTGCACGGCGAGCACACCAGACGCGCCTCGGCGGTGTCCCACGGTGGCGACCATGTCGGGGTACTCGTTGGTATCGACGGTGACGAAGTTGAGGTACTCGCGGTAGCGGCTCGCGAGGGTCCGGATGCCGGCCACGTAGAGCTCCCTGTCCTCTTCGGACGAGGTAAAGTAGTGGACGAGCGACTTGCTCGCCTTGAGGAGGCTGAGCTCGGTCCTCCGGTTCAGCTCGCCGACGAGGGGCTCACCGCACGCCTTGACAAAGGACGCCACCTCGGCGACGTTGTCGAGGCTGGGGAGTTGGTGGGCGAGCCCGTCGACGTTGTTTTGGCACTTGATGCTGGGGCGGGTGGTTTCGGGCACGGTGCGGAGGCCGAATGTGTAGCGGTCACCGTAGCGGCGCGCGATTGCCTCGAAGCGCTTGTGGAGGAGCTCGGAGCCGGCGTCGTTTTCGTCGAGTGCGGGCAGGGAGGCTAGGATGACGACGTCGTCGGAGGCTAGGACCTCGGCTTCGTTCGTGCCCGTCACGGGGACGATGGACTTGCTGATACGGCTGCTGAAAGAAAGGATTCTATAGGCCCCAAAGGAGTTAGAGTGGTAAGAAATGGTTGGCCTCCTCGAAAGGCGCATTTGTACGTTCACGCGTGCCCATAGTAGGTTTGGAGAACATACGGATCGGCTTTTCTAGGTCCTCGGTATCGTACTATCTTATCGCCGGGGAGCCGGACCCGTATGGCGGGATGTGTGAGGACGTCCTGCTCGAGGCAGTATTTTGCGTGGGCGGTGCAGTCGATGGCGGCGGTGCTGGGGTGAAGCTTCTCGATCTTGGCCCATTCGGGTTCAAGCTTTTACAGGATGCTCTAGATGCAAGCCCAAATGTGAGTATAGGTATGCCGAGAATTTCGTGCAGAGGAGTTGGTGGAGGAGGGGGTCAGATGGCGAAGAGCAAGAGTGCCGATGGACAACTTACAACTCAGGCTGCTCGAAAAGCAAGGTAACAAAATCACATTAGTACGGATCGTCTTGGGTATGTAGGCGGTCGAACAATAGTCAAGCAAGGTTAGGACTCTGTGAATAAACCCACCATCACAACTAAACAAAAATGAAGGCAATTAGCTACCGACTCGTCTTCGTCTGTGGGCCAACAGCGAGTATACCAGGCATGGAGGTCGCAACTTACAAGCAATTAATGTACCAACGTCACCAATTGTCGTCGCCTCGAGCTCGTCTGGAGTTTTGAAGCTCCAGCCCAAGCTCGGCGACACGGCGATGGCGCTGGCACAGAGTAGGAGGCGTAGGTAATGGGTCGTCATCCTGGCGTGCGGCGTGGAGTGTAGAGCTCGGAGTGGGACGATGTTCTGGTCAGGTCGAGTCGCAAGCTCGACCAAGTAGATGGACCTGTAAAACTGGAGAGAATCTGGCCTGGCGTGTCCTTTCTCAATCTCTCATAAGACTAAAATGACAATTGAAGAGGAAGAAGGAAAAAAGATGAAGCTGACCCGATCAGCGTTCTCTTGGAGAGAGGAAGAGCTCAGATCAAAAACGACCCAAGCTCTCGAAACGAAACCCCGCGTACATTCGCTTGCCACCCTCGTTTGCAATGTTCTGAACGGCGGTCTCGGCGAAGACCCATCTGGGGCTTTGCGGATCAGGGAAGCCACATGCAAGGCTCAAACAGACCCAGGCCTGTGCTCCCGACCAACGATTGCGCTGGATCCTCGCCCCGTTCGGCAGTGGAGGGCCGGGCTTTGGCTCCGTGCGCGGAGCCCACTCGAACCTCCTGACATTGAAGTTTCATCCTCCTCCTGGTTCCGTGCCACATTTGCTGCAGAATAGTGTAGGAACCCTTTTGCGTTCCCTTTCAATCGTCCCATCACATCGGTTTAAGGGGGCGGCGTCGGCGTGATGCGGATTGCTACTACCGAGTCCCTTGTTTTTAAAGCTAGGGAGCTCCCTTTCCAATTCTCGTCCCGAGCTTGGCCGGACAATTAAAGCTGTCAACTATTATCGAGAACATTGAATCGATGCGAATTGCAAGATCGTGTAATTCAGTGCCAAATTAACGCCGGACACCTAGTCTCCTCTTGATTCCTCTTTTTAGTGATCCCAGAATACTAGACAAATCCAACACAGAGCTTCAATACCTCTGTCAAATCGCGACTGCTGGGTCTAATACTTTCGAGTTAACCGCCCTTTCACAACCCCCAACCATGGCGAAATCCCGGATAAGAGCCTTCCTGGCAGCCACCGCCCTCTTGGCCAGATTCGCCTCAGCAGAAGCGCAAGACCAAATCCCTCTCTCCGAAGGAAATGGCGAAGCCGCTGCTCCCTATACCTGCACCCATCCTCCGTACAAGATCCACCTATTTTCGCAATCGCCCCTCGTCATCTACATCGCCGGCTTCCTCACACCAGACGAGCGCGCCCACCTCCTCCACCTCGCGTAAGTGTCTTCTTTCTCCTCTACTCTCTCTCTCTCTCTCATCTTCAGTCTAACTCTCACACTCTTTTCTCGCAGCGGCGACACCTTCACCCACTCCGCCATCAACACCTCCAACGGCACCACCATCAGCGACAGCATCCGCACATCCTCCTCCACCACCGTCGCCCTCGACGACCCCGTCGTCCAGTGCATCGAGTCCCGCGCCCTCGCCTTTCAGGGCCTCCCGGGCCTGCCCCGCTCCCACCTCGAGCCCATCCAGCTCGTCCGCTACGCCGCCGGCGAGCACTACCATTTCCACACCGACTGGTTCGTCGACCCCGCCCACAGCACCGCCCGCTTCGGCGGCCAGCGCACCACCTCCTTCTTCGGCTACGTCGGCGTCGGCGACGGCACCACCGGCGGCGGCACAAACTTCCCCGTCCTCGACATCCCCGACGACGACCCCGCCTGGTGCCGCTTCGTCGACTGCGACGAGGCCCGCGATCGCGGCGTCACCTTCCGCCCCATCGAGGGCAATGTCGTCTTTTGGCAAAACGTCGGGCCTGACGGCCTCGGTGACGACAGGACCCTGCACGCGGGACTGCCCGTCACTTCGGGCTGGAAGGTGGGTATGAATATCTGGACGAGGGAGGGGCCCCTGGGGCGGGATGTTCGCGGCGAGGCGGCGTGGGAGTGAGCCGTCGTTGGATTTTACGCGTGTATGATAACGGACAGGACCTGGGAGGAGAGAATAAAAAAGGGTTTTAATTCAAATGCTTGTATTGTACGTCGATCCGCACGAGAAAACGCGATCCTACTCCGAGAGAGAAGAAGAAAGAATTGGAACAAAAGGAAGAAACCAAATGCGCAAACTACCACATGGCCAAGTAGCGTCCCCATTCCGAGACTATATCCTCCTCCTCCATCGTGCCGTCACCCGTTCCTTTCCCCTCGCCCAACGAGTCTCTCGAGACTCCCCATTTTCCAAAATAGTGGGCCATCTTACCTTTGAGGCGCCCCAGATCCCGCCTCTCCATGTTTGCCTACATGTAATCCGTGATGCGAAACCCATCCATCCATGCTAATAAGAACAGAGTGCAGAACAAAACAAAACAAAGCAAAACAAAAGGACCCATCTATACGATATGTACTGGAGAAAGGGAGGAAAAGGTTATCGTTCAACAAGGGAATAAGATGACTCCCGGGCATCTACATCCACAGCTCAGGCAAGATCAAGCCCAAGCATCTTCAACAAAGGCCTTTGATCTGGCCCACGTCGCCCGACTTCTTCCCCACCTCGACGACTTGAGATCCGCAGTCCTTGTAGTTTTGCATCCACAGATTATGCGTCAATTGGTCATAGACAACTACGTATGCCGATAGGCCCCAGTTAGCAAAAAAGGTCTCTTTCACACACACACACACTCTCTCTCTCGTCTTTTTGAGTCATGAGCAAAGAATAGAAAAGAAAATAAGGCAAGACTCACCATACGCCCCCTCAAGAACGTGTTTCCCAGGATGGCATCGTTGTCCGCCCCCTGCTGCACACCCAAGGTGCACGTATTATCCTGCAACTTGAGGATAAAGTCAAAGTAGCGCACCCGGATGATGAGCCCGTCGTTGTTGAACCCAAAGTCAAACGTGCCCGCCTGGTCCCGCAGCGCGCAGTCGACCTTGTACTCGCCCACGTCCCACCACGCGCCAAAGACCTCGGCGATGGACGCCACCATGGCCCCCGGCAAGAGGCTGTAGGTCACCCCCGTGTCCACCAGCACGTTGAGCGGCGCCGCTGTCCGACTGAAGAAGGCGGTCTTGGCGCCCGTCGGCTTCGTGAACCCAAAGGAGGTGACGTTGACGCGGTAGCTAGCAAAGGGGAAAACAAGGTACGCTTGTATTAGCCGGGAAAACCCCAGGATGAGAGGGTATAAAGAGCGGCGCGGGGACTCTTCTCTCGACACTTACTGCACGTAGTTGGGCAGCTGCTGAGCCACCGAGGGCCAGATCGGCACGGCCTTGAGAAGCCCGCTGTACTTGGCCTGGTTGACCCCGCCGAACACAATCTCGCTCGTGCCTTCGCCCTGTCCGCCGAGGGAGACGCTGTACGCGGGCGCGTTGATGAGGTCGAACTTGACGAGCGAGTCGAGGACGTTGCTGTACCCGATGGTGTAGCCCATGCCGTAGCCCAGACCCAGGATGCCGGAGACCGCGTAGCTGGAGTCGGTCGCCATGCCGAACTTTTGTCTTATGCCGACGTCTTCGTCTATACATGGAAAAAGGGGCGTAGACTGCAGTTAGCGAACTCTTATCTCGCACGATTACCAGAGGGGAGTAATTAGACAAAAGGGTGGGAAAACAACGTACTCCGAAAGTAGATTCGATCCTCGTAATACTTGCCATTCACCCAGCCGTTGCCGTAGGAAAAGTCAAACGGCTCATTCTGCGTGACGGCAAGTTCCGAGTTCTCCGGGTGATACATGCCGTTGACCACGCAGAGGTACGGGCTGGCCGAGTTCTCGCAGTTGGGGTTCATCCACGTCTCGAACGATCCCGTATCCGGGCTGAGCTTGACGAGTTGTGGTGGATCTCCCACCTCGACTGGCAAACGCAAAAAACAAGAGCATCAGTACTGCAGCCCGCATTTCTAGAACTCATGAACCCTTTTCCGCCCAGCATCCTTTTTTCTTCTCCCCCTTCTCGCTCGCATCGTCCCCTCCGCAAAACAAGCATAATCACTTACCTTCCATAAAGTAGAGATATCCTCTATAATCTTCCAAATGTTTCCAATTCCACTTCTCTCGTCGTTCCAGCCCTGCTCCTCCACCCTCCTCCTCCCCTATCCTTCTCCTCATCCGGTGCTCCCATCTCCGCTGCGCTGCTGCCGTAGCTTCGGTGATGTTCAGCCGGGTCTGCTGAAGCGCATATCTCAGCGCCTTGCCCTCGGTTGCGGAGCCGTCGGTCGTGGTCGGCCGTCCGAACAAGGGAGCTCGCTCGCCCGAAGCCCGCTCCGGTAGTGGGTTGCGCGGGGCATGGGAGAGGTGGGCGCCGGTGCGGCTCTGAGCAGAGAAAGAGGAGGAGGAAGAGGAGGAAGAGTCGGCAAGGGCCAGGCCGGCAAAGAGAAGGGCTAGTTTGGATGATATCGAAACCATGTTGTCATGGCGGTTTTCAAAGAGTTGGGCAGGAGCAGAATTAGTTGATCGGGACGACGAGCGGTAGAAGGTGAACTGGAGTCGTCGTGAGTGGGTCGAGGATCGGGGAGTCGCCTGTTGTGAAATATATACAAAGATCAAATACGCTTCGTCGTGTCAGTCGTCGAAGAAGGCTCGATTCATTTCCGAAAGCTATCGACTTGACCAACAGGCAGGAGGGCCAACGCTTAACGGCCAACCGCGTACCCGGTCACACCACCGCCGTGCATGCACGGGTTTCCCTTGGATCTGTTCCTTGCACGAGCGTCCACCAACTTCATGCACCTCGTAGACCTGCCTCTTCGGTTATATCTCCCAGTGTTGCCTTGAGAGGTCGAATATAGCTCGGTGAGACTGAGCGTGAGTGGTCGTTGCCGAGAAAGAGGGTGTGCTTTTATTAGACGATGGGCGGCGAGGAAGGTAGGGTGATGGACAGGAGAGGGGGCAGTGAAAGAGAAGAAAGATGAAAATCGAAGGGGTCAAGAGAAGACAAAGAGCGGGTGGTGTTAGCTCATCTGTTGGTTGTTCGTCCGCTCTCTAGCGCGGGTTGGATCGAGTTGGAGCTCCCGGTCGCGAAAGGAGGAGGGTGGAGGTGTACCGAACACACGGGTCTTTAATGCCTCCCAGGGGTATTGAGGTTGCCAGCGCCCGTATCCCACTTCACTTTTATCTTCTGTTTGTTGGTTCTCTTGAGGGGAGGCCTTTGCGAGTCTACCTTGGCGAGACGAGTGGTGCTGTGTAAGTTGTGTTGGTCCGCCCTTTGGAGCTGGGGGAATGGAAGCGAGGCGGGTTGTGCGCCTCGACTATGTAAGTGACGAGGGGGTATCACATAACCGGGCGGTTCGCGGCGGAAGGAGGGAGCAGTGGTATTCGTTTCCGGGGATCAAATTCTTGGGTTGATAGACGGGGCAGCGGGGAGTCCTGCTGTTTTCTTTGGGTTGGGTTGGTCGTTGCCCGTATACCTGTCTTCCCCTTAGATTTTGTCGCCTCACTTCCCTCCTGCTGGGTACATGTATAGTTGATATGCCTATCCCCTTTGTTGGATGAGGTTAAGCAAACCTTTTGCTGTCCAGGGTTCGCAATGGGAGGTAGAGAAGCATGGATAGGAGCAGAAGAAAAAGGCGGATCCATGCAAGAGGATAAAAACCCCTGAAAGGACACAAGGTAAAAGAGAACCCAATTGATAATGGAATGGATAAATGGGACAGGGGGAGAGAGAAAGTGAGGAGAAGGGGCAGAACGGGGAGAGCGAGTGGAGAGGGTAGGGAATAAAACAAGATAGTATCGACTAATACGGCGAGGGGAAGGCGGGTTGAGATTTCAGGAACCAGGGAATCAGGACGACAGGCAATATCAAGCAAAGCTTGCCCTTTCTTCTCAGATGACTTGCCTATGCCAGCTGTTGCTCCTCCTTTTCCGCGTCCCGTCCCGAACTCCTCCAACGTACAGGTGATGATGCAGATGAGAGGATGCTGTTTGCTGTTGCGTACAATGGGAGAGGAGGCCCTCGCGGTAACGCAGTAACATGAGAATTCATATCAGGACGTGTGTCGGAACGAATGGCCGACCGAAGGGGGTCAATTGCACCAGATGCGCGCCAACGAAGATGGGAATTGGAAGCCGAGAGATACCATGGCAGCTGGAGGCTTCTCCCCATCTCTCCCATCTCCCCACAGTTCCCTTGCCCGTCTGCTAAAGGCAAAGGGAAAGAATGGGAAAAAAGTTTTCTGGACTAATTCTAGTGCCCCCTTTTCCTCCCCTTCTACTAGTTTCAAGGCAATTTATTCCTCAAACGATGAGAGACGGATAGAGTCCGCTAATGGGCCAGAGATTAACGCATCGGCGGAAGCGGAGAGTGGGAGCCACTATCGCCTCAATTAAACCCGATAGGCACTGCGCGCGCGGTCAGCAACGTTGGAGAAGCTCCTGCTGTCTAGCCTACATGTAGTCCTCGTCGATCCATTCCACGCAATGAAATGTCCCTTTTTCTCGAGCATGGATTAATCAAGGGGAACACTGTTAGTGATCCTTGATGGATCGTTCGGTATGTTCCGAGTATACATGTGCAGCCGCCCAGAGGAATGAAATTGAAAATCGAGTACATGTAGGCAACGCAACCCCGACGATGCTGCCTCAAACCTCGTTGAAAGTGTACATGTGTCCATCAAAAACACATCTACGCTCGACGGGGTGGATTCTCTACATGGAGGATTGATAGATCCATTGCCTTTTGAATCTCCCATAGAGACTCGCCATTGCGCACTAAGCCTGCATTTCGCTGCCCGTAGTCCCTCCCAGATCTCAACCACCCCCCATCCCCGCTCCCGCTTATACTGCATGCCTCGCTTCCTGCACGATATATATTGCCCGACCCAACCTTGTGTTGGCACGATCAAGGAGGAGGGAGGAGGCATAAAGTGCACAGAGAAAAAGTACACGCAAGAAGAAGCAACAGAAGTAAGGCCAACTTGAGACGCAGATGTCTGTTTTCAATCCTACCCTTTGTCTCCCATCTTTTCCCTCACTCTCACTGGCGCCCCCTTGACCGGAGGGTTTTTCTTTTGCTCCTGGCTGGCACCTCCCGAGGATCTTGGGTGCTACAGACAGGACATACAGGACGGGTGGAGGAGACTTTCCCTTGCCTCCGCCACACCGGCTCCAAATCTCATCTAGAATATAGGCTACCATCAATACTTCATGCCTCTGTCTCGAGAGAGTGCATCGTCCCAAGACCCTGGCCGTCCGCGACACTGGCAGGATACACATGTCAAATGCGAATTGAGATCTTGCGGGGTGGTTCTTTAGTTCCGTTGATCCTGCGGCCGTTCGCTGCCGTGTGTCCCTCCGCATCATGTGGCTAGGCCTAGATTCGATTGACCTCGCTCACGGAATCCTGAGGCGGAGGCAAGTAAAAGGAATGCGGAAAAAAAAGAAAGAGGAGCGGGAGAACTCGAGGTCGAGCAAGCCTCATTCATAATACCCTTAATATGGGGATGGAACAGGAAAAAAGAGGAAAAGGAAGGAATTGCGATTAGATGACGCCCAATCTTGCGGTGGCGGGGCGGTTAAAAGCGAAGAGGGTCAATTGATGGGGTCTGCGCGCGCACTTTGAACTGCTGATACATTCGCCGGATATGATTTCATCTGATATTGATTGATCCGCGAGAGCTATGCCGGGTATTACTTTACCAGCAATTCTTTTGGTGGAGGAGCCTTCGCGCGCCCAAGATTACACACAATGGATACACATACACATACACACCACACACAGACACATACACATACATGTACACACACACACACGCACACACGCATACAATGGATCTATTACACTGCTCGGAACTCTGCTCGACACCCGACATTGGGCGACGAGCTAGGTAGATCAAAACTTATGCTAGCTGGCGGGGGACTAGATGCGAAGGAACCCGCATCCAGGTAGAAAAGCCGCTAGATCAGTGCTATGCGAGATGAAATGTCAATCACCACCCGGGTCATCAGCTGCCGCCCGGTTTCTAGCTTCGCCTGCCTCTCCGTCTTCCTTCCAGCGTCTTCACCAATTCTCTCGGCCTTTTTCACCAGCAATGTGCTAAACTACCCCCTTATTCCCCGAACAGCGGAGAGAGGGAGGGGGTCTCGGAAATTTCAGAGCTGCAGTGGTAGGCGAAGAGAGAGAGGGAGAGTGAGAGAGAAGGAAAGAGAGCGTGAGAGAGAACGAGAGCGCGAGAGGGTGGCGGGCTCATCTCGCCTTTCTCCCGTGCCTCCCCGATCGAGCCCCCTCCCGGCCCCCAAGGCTCACGCAGTCCCAAAGGGCTAGTAGGAAGGAAGAAAAAGAACTTTGAGGGAAAGGGTGAGAGAATACGAAAGACGGGGTATATGGGCCAGATAGGAATTACAGGCATACGCATACACAGGTAACATCCACTACAAGCATAAACTATACCGTGGATGAAGTAAAAGGCGATGGCATAGATTCGGCCAGAGAACTTCGTCATGCTGTACGTGTTAATCTTGCTTTCCCGGCTGGAATCCTGCGCGGCCGGACAGCGCGGCCACGTAAGCGGAAAGAGACTTTGGTCCGAGTTTCTTGACTGCGAAAGAAAGCAGCAGAAAGAGACAAGATCCAAGCGTCTTTTCAACGATGAATTTGACTGTCTTGGTCTCGGATAGTGATGGTAAATTCTCGGAGGCGCTGGGCGCGGGTTCCGCATCCATAGACAATGCCGTATGCGGAGGAGTCTCGCCAACTACAGAGGAGGTGTTGCTCTATGAGCTGTAGAGATTGGTGCCCTATTGGGAATCGAGAGATTTGAGCTCGACCTCGTTGTGATTTCTGTAGTGGGAGAAGGAAAGGAAAGGATCGGTGTAACCTGCTTATAAAAATGCCTCATGTCCTCTTACGCAACACATCCATCTCCGAAGTGCGAATAATAACTGCTTCATGACGAGTATACCGGCGCAGCCCTGCCGAGGGCGAGGGACCAACTACCCGAGACTTGCATGCGCAGACTGATGTCCGATAACAAAACCTCGACGCTGCAGTCGCCACGCGTACGCAAGCAAATGTTCCGAGATGGTGGCTTCCCAAAACACTGCGCGGAAAAGAAACAATGAATCACACCTTGTTTTGATATCGGGTCCCTGGCAATCAAGGGGTTGGTTGATTTTCTGGGGTCAGGATCGAATAGGACTGCAGTTGATGCGTACATGTACGCAAGGACATATCAAAACAACCGATGATTTCTCTCGACGGATAAGAGCGCACATGACAGCGGCGGACAGACACAGGGAGAGGGAGAGAGGCGAAGGGAAATAGGATCTGGGACACTCTATGTCTGACACGACGCCGAGAGCAAGCCCGCCGCCAACCCACCGACCTTGCCACCGATCGACAGCGTGCCAAGCCGGCTCAGCAAGATGGGCGCCTAGTGCTCGCGGCGGAGGTTGCCGGCACCTTGATTCACCATCAACGACAGCAGGTTTGTGGGATACCTAGCTCTCTGTGTTCGGGACGATGCAACGACAACCCTCTTTGGACAAATGAAAGCCAAGGGAGTATCGGCATTTTCGTTCCCCGTCCAGCAGCGAAGAAGATGAGTCCTGGAGTCAAGTATCTTTCCTCATCAATAGCCACTCAGTTCTCCGATCAACGGAAACAAGCTGGAGCCAATTCTCACTCGTCTAATCAGTAGCAGCAGAGCGTAGCCGCTTAGCTAGGCTGACTTACATGACGCGACCTCCAGAGAAAGGTCTCCCTCATCTCGGAAGTGTTCTCAGACCTCCTGATTGTTGGCATTAGAGGCATCCTGCCTCGTCAAGCAGGGGAAATGGGTATTGCTTGGAGTTGACTGTGGAAACAAGACAACGGAAACAACCGTCACACAAAACCCTCGACGCTCTACGTCTTGTCCTGCCCCCAAAAGAGGGTGGCCCGTATATCTGATGATATGCATTTGGTTCTTCACACTCGTTCCCCAGCTAGCCATGCCCCACGGTTTCGACTCAACGTTGGACATCGCGCATCCTGATCGGTGCGAACCTCGCATCACACGTACTAAACCATCCATTGCGACTTGCAAGCCTCTTCGTACACGTGGCCATAGGACCTGCACCTACCTTTTCTAGAATGAACATAGGTAGGCCCTGATGTCCAGCACCAAAAATACGGACAGAGGAATGTAGGCATGTCCCCCTCAGGCACAAGCATGTGTGAGTTTCACGTACCATATTTTACGAGAGACGGGCGATTCACACTCTCCCGGCCGTACGGTGTCGTTGCCTTAGTCCCAAGTCTCCGTGCGCTTCCGCCGCCTCCGGCTTCTACGCCCGGCCCCACCGAGGACCTTGTTGCCGCTTTGCAGCCGGTACCCCCGTTTATCCCGTCCCGCCTTCCACCCTCGTAAAGGGTCCGGGTTCCACTTCATCCTTGAATAGCTGTTGATGAAGGTCGGGATATTCTCGCTACCGCATCTTGCTTTCGCTCCAAGTTACGACCCCGCCCAGCTCCCTCGCCGTTGGCCCACCAGGGCGGCGCGACCTGGGAGACCCGTGAAGGAGTGAGGGCGATGTTTCGGGGATCAGTGATCGATGTCCGCCATTCCCACCCTCAGGGCCTATAAATCCAAGCCGCGGCTCTGCGGCCTCCCCTTCACTCTCGAGATGGGGGAAGGGAATTTCCACCAACCTAAAGGCTATCTGGGGCGGCGTCCATGGCGAGTTCCGAAATCTCCGGACCGAGTACCACCCTGTTCGACGGATGCACCCAAGAGCCAACTCCCCAATATCTTTCTCGCTCCATGTTCTGTCTTGGGGACGTGTGTGGTCTACATAGGGATGCGGCCGGCCGGTGCCTTTTGTCCTTTGACGTACCCCGCCCAAAAATCCCCAATGCTCCCCAAGCACCAAAGGGGGCGTGGATGCTTTCGCCGCTTGCTAGTGGGGGAAAAATTGTGTGAAAGATGGAAGCTAAGATTCCCAGCCCTTTTTGGCGTGGATGCCGACCGGGGTCCTTGCATGCTGAGAGACGGGGGCCAGGGGTTTGGTGCCCTCGTATTCGAGGGCAGGCGTGAGACCAAAGGCTAGCCTGGCCAGATTCTGAGCCGATATCGCCTTTTGATGAATATGTTGGCACCAAGACCGGACATTGAATTGCTCATGAGCTCTGAACTCTTGCTTTGCTTGCAAACGCTCACGGGGGCAGACCCAAGATTGCACCAGGGCCAAGGGGACCTAGGCAAGCTCGATCTCGGAGCAGAGACTTGTCTCAGCTCTAATTCCAATCCCTCTAGCCTATCGCTCCTGTCGCTCCTTTGCTCTCCAGGCAATTGTTTCCTCAGTCGATCCTACTGCACCGTTACCTTGATGTGACTGAGTAGCTATTTTTGGTCTCGTGCCAATCCCCTGTCAAAGAGGGACATGGGTTGGGATTAACATTGAGGTTCAATGGTACAACAAGGGGACAGACACCATGGGCATGGCGACAGGGGTCCTCCAAAGACACACTCGATTCTCAGTGCTTGGGGTGGACGGCTGCGAGCCAACTCGTTCTCGGAAACCCAAGCTTGCCAAGCAACTGTGCACAAAAGATAAGCACCCTCGTTTTTCCACAATCTCCTGGATTTTTTTGGTGGACGCCTCTGGTTCAGAAAACGGCGAAACAAAGACCGGAAAAATCTATTCGCCGTCTTGGCTCTCCTCCACAAGGACGTGGACGTGGGTCGGCCGAGTTTCCGACAGCAGAAAATTAATTCTCCGCCCCTCCCCTCAGATGAGTGGGAGAGGGTGCTTGGCATCACGTCAAGCTTTCAGTGAAGACGAGGGAAGAGTCCCCCCGCTTCTTGAGGGCACGAACGCATGCGTGACTACCCACGTCGCTTGGGGACGAGGCGTCGAGAGTCGACGAAAGCAAGATGGCGTCGTCCAGCGTCTTTAGCTTCAACTCCAACCGAACCCCCACACTAACCCCTCAGCTATCATTATCCAGGGTTCATTTTCATGGACAGAACTGGCCCAACGAGGACCTACAGTTGCCCATCAAAGCTAGCTTTTGGTTCTTCGAAGCGTTCACTGTCTTTAAGCATCAATTTCATCCATGTAGTGCGGAAAACCGCTCCCATTTCCGTCCCATCCACACCACACCACACCTCAGGCCGGGCTTCTACTATAGCTCCTATCGTGAAGAGCGGACCAGCGGGCTAGCTGCATTTTCAGTGGGCCTTCCCCCTGGTCTACTCGCCCGCGTACCGAGTACATGTCCTTCCCTCTGCGGGGGCCTCAGCTCTGAGCACTGCACATGCAGCTCGAGAGTAACACTGAGAACCACATCCGTCCTCCGTCTCGCCGAGATTGCGAGACCGACGCTGCAAATCAGGAACACTGAAGCCTCTGTTCAAAAGTCACAGCACGACGTGAAAAGCTGTCCCGACTAGTTTCTCCCGTGCGTGGGAAACATCCAACAGCACACCTGTCGCCCTTCCTTGCATCACACCTCTTCTTTAGCGTTGCGAGCTAGTTTGTTTTCAAAAGTTTGCCCTGAGGTGTTTTTAGCGCGGGGCGACTCGAGGGGGCACTCTCCGCCAAGTCCCCAAGACTGGAAGTGGACTAGGCCGAAAGTCGTGAAGCCCAAGTCAGTAAAAAAAAAAAAAAAAAGGGAAAGCAACAGAAAAGAACAGATGGACGAACAGGGAGGGAGGTAAGAAACCCTCGGAGATGCCATCAGCGTCTAGCCAAAGAGAAGAGTGCCAGCAAAGTCCTCATCCGCGGTGCAGAAGAGACAAGCAAAGTCTCTCGTTAAACAGTTCATGTAAACTTGACGCCTTCCTCTCGGTGCCCATCCATCGGTTGTATCGGATGTAAAAGAGTGCCGTGGGAGTAGAGCAAGGAACCCGAAGCGAAGATGCGGAAACAAATCTCGTGACCAGAGGAATTGGTGAATAGCCCTGCAACATGGGACCATATTCAAACCATCAACAGCCCAGTATTCCAGCGTTCTAGCTCGGGATGTACAAGTATTACTGGGGAGTTTTCAAGTCCAAAGACATAACTGCATAGGCTTTCTTCTATAAATAATGATACATGGAGACGATTAACTCTATCAAAGCGTGACGGCAATCCCATAAGTCGCCGAAACGCCGCCAGACAAAAATTCCCTTATAAACGCCACACCTTGCCAAACCAATGAGCTCCCTAATTAAGCCAAAGAAGAAAAAGAGTATAAAAAGTAGGATATCTGGCGAAAAAAAAAAAAGAACAAGGAAACAGATTATATACCAGCTCGGGCCCTGGCCTATCGGAGACCGGGATCAACGAGGTGCCCCCAAAAACGTGGGCACGGGAGGGTGGTGGTGGGTGATGTTCTCTTTGAAGAGGGAGTCGAAAAGCAATGAATAATGCGAGCGTGAGGACGAAAACGCCATCTGAGACCCGCTTCCCTTTAGTTTCGTACCTAAGGGGTTGGCCAGTAGGTGAGCTTGCAAGTTTGGTGGTCATCGACCCATTTCGTGATCCTAGACACCATCCACCCCGAGTAGATGCGGTCCTGCGGTTTCGTGTCCTCCTTGGTTGGTTGCGGCTTGCCCAGTTTCATGGAAAAGTCGATACGGCAGCGGCCGGCCTTGAAACTGAACTGGAGGCATCGCTCATTCACCTCACACGCCTCGCGACACGTCTCGAACGACTGGTGCGCAATCTTGTCCTGCGGCGTCTTCTTTTTCGAGTCCGCGTACGCTCCCTCGCGTTCGCCATCTGACCACCTCGTGTCCGTCATGTTGATATATGTTCGGGCGTCGCTCAAGTTGTCCCAGTCGTTGCGCCGGGGAAGAAGTCGGGAGGCGAAGAATTCTCGATAGATATCCTTGGCGAGGATGGGGAGGGCACGAATTTGTCCGCGTCTTTCCGGGAGGCCTCGGCTGCCTCGTCGGCGTAGAATTGTGTCTCGAACTCCCAAAATGTGGAGATCTCCTCGGGGCTCATGTGGTGCATCGTGGCGATGGGATGGCACCAGTGCGAGTCGCCGTAGGGAAGAGTGAAGGGCTTCTCGCCGTTGATGGTGGGCCACTGTGCGCGATATATGGGTTAGAATTAGAATTCACCTAGGAGATGGCAAAAGAGAAAAGAAAAAAAAGAAAAAGAAGAAAGTAAAACATACCACGCCCGTAACGTTGACGTCGATGGTATCTCGGACGGCCTTGGCAAAAACGGCGTCACCGCAGCAGTAGTTGTGCATGTCTTCGTCGTACCGATTGGCCAGACCGGGGTGTCCTCCGATAAGGTCTTTCATGGCGGCACGGGACATGAGGTAGCCGCTACCGCCGTGAGCAAAGGCAATGTCGCCGAGGAGGGCCACGCTCCCGAGGTACAGCTTTTGCTCGGGTCAAGTCGCTCGAGCCACGGGGTGAGAGTGTTCCAGGAAACATAGGTATCGGCATCGACAAAGAGATACCAGTCCTTGTCGGGAAGCATCTTCCACGTCTTTTCGGCCATGTGGATGTTCTTGTACTTGTCGAGGTTCCAGCCCATCTCGGCGCGGTCGAGGGCGCTGGTGCAGGGGCCTTGATCGATGGCGCACGAGGCCTGAACCCGGTAGAGGTCAAAGTCGGCGTTGCCCTCCATGGCCTTGGGGAGAACGGCGTCCAGCGTATCCATGACCTGGATACCGGCGATCGTCTCCTTCCGGTCCGAGAAAACGAGGTAGTCGGGTATGCACCGCAGAGTCGTCATGAACTGCGTGGGCAACCTGGCAAAGGATTCCGTCGCGCCCGTCTTCATGACGACGGCGATCTTGCTGGTATCTGGGTGGAACGAGCAGAGAGGGTCCTGGCGGATGGAAGCTGGCGTCTGGCGGACCTCGTCGAGAGGGTTAGTGAAGGGGTTCGGGCGCTTCCCCGTGGGGGTGGAGGGGCCTTGTGCGAGCCGGGTTCCGGCGGGGCGTGTCCTCCGGCGGCGTGCGGCCGTGGCGGGGGCGGGGGCGGGTGGTGCGCATGACGATACGGCCCATCTACGGAGAATTGGTTCCAGAGGGCGATGAGCAGAAGAAGCGAGACCATGGATCCGAGGACTATGAACCGTCGGGCCTGAAAGGTGTTGGGCATAACAAGGTAGCTGGCGAGGCCACGGCCATTCTGAAGGAACCCCATGATCGCGGTTTGTTCGTCGTCCTAGTCCACCTCTCGCTCGGGGGAAGGGAGGGAAAGGCGTCGAAAAAGCCAGGAGGGCACGCGCGCGTTGACGAGGGGCGGTGCGGAAATAGGTTTGATGGCAGGATGGGAGTGGGAGGAACTTGCAGTCCAGAAGGGGGAGAGGGATGGATATAAGCTTAGATTGGGACGAGGGTACACAAGCACGTGGGGAGGGTCTTGGACTGTGGGCCTCGAATCGAGCCTGCATCAGTGGAGGAAGTCAAGGGTGAAGGGGGCGCGCAAAGGAACGAACAGACAGGATCGGCGGCAGACATGAATGGGAAGAGAATTTGCACCAACGCATCACCAAAAAGTACGCTATAATACATACTACAAGTGAAAAAAAAAAAAAAAGATCTGGGGAAGGGGCGCCGCTAATAGGGTGGAAGTGGAGGCAAGGAAGGGGCAGGGGGCGTGTGGACAAGAAAACTGCGTGGGCTGGGATGCTGGGATTGGGGGAGGGGAAGGTGGCGCCTTCCTTGTCAACCCATCAACCACATCGTGATGCGTGCCAGCAAACGAGCGGAGCGGAGGAGGCGTCTTAGACACGGGAGGCGGCAGGCACGGTTTGATTTGGCGCAATTCTGGCCGAACTGCCCTCCAAGACCAGCCCATTTGGATTGAGACAAAGACGGGTACCTTCACGACACATCTCAATGGCTCACAGGTTGATAAGCCGGCGAGGCGAGGGGGTATCACCTTCGCGACACCTACACTAGGTTTTGAGATGAGCTCGCTCTTTACAAGTACTGCTCTCGAAGCTGATGTCAAGCATCATGCGATGGGTGGACAAGGTGGGCTCGTCGTCCAGAGGTGGGAAACGAGGGTGCCCACTTGCAATGCCGACGGTCAAAACTCTTCCGCCGTCGTTCTGTTTCTATTCTTACTTCAGCGATCAATAATACCTGGGCGGCGCTCGTTCCATTCAAAGTTCCTATTGGAGGCCAGGGGCAGGGGCTTTTGCAGAGAGGAATGGGTCAGCTCCTGGGCTTTTGTACCCAGTACAAAGAGGTAAGACGCCTTGGAGGGGCCCATCCACTGAGGCACTCCAACTGACTTGATCTTGAGGGCTGGCAGCTCGCTTCGTGTCGGTTGTCAGTGTGTCTGGTGGCGGGTTCCCGGTGGTCGGTACATTCCCGCCCCTCCCGTGCGAGATTGGCCAGGCCCATTCGGCTCCCGCCGTATTTATAAATTAATCCCCCAGCGGGCAGTTGACGAAGCTAGGGCCCTGCTTCGAATGGAGTGGCTTGCTCGTGAAGTGAGGGGAAAGGAATCAGCGAGGGAGGGAAATGAAGATGAAAAAAAAAAAAAAAAAAAGAAGACTAGAAAGAAATTGAAGTGTGTCAAGGTGCGATGGCACTTGGTTCACAAAAGTCAAAAGTCAACTCTGTCTGCTAGGCTAGGGCCATTTCCCAAGAGCCAAGACATTGAATGGATCAATCTCCATCCGTCGATAAGGGGTGAAAATGGGCGAGACTCAAAAGCTTGTCCACCCGCAACAACGACGAGTATTACAGAGCGAGTGCATGCTTCTCACGGTGCAAAGATACTCGGTACACTACCTCGGTAGATACGCCTTCCTTCTCAACCTAAAAGCCAGCTCGCAGAGTCACTGTTTGATCAAGGGAGAAACACAGAGCTTGGTCCAGTCCCGCACGCTGTCAATGGCAACATTAAACGCAATGCATGGATGCGTCCAAAGGATCGCCGGCGTCGTTGGACAAGCATAATTCATAATGCGACAATGGCAGTTATCCCGTTCCTCACAACCCGAGAAGTGGAGCCACGAAAAGAAGATGGAAGGAGAAGGGACATTTGAACATTTGAAAAGGGGAAGGGGCAAAGGGGGCACATTACTGAGGTACCGTACCGTACCCATTGCGTGCTTCCAATCTTCCAATCGGCCTCGCGCCCACCAAGAGACTGGCAACTGGACACTTCGACGCCCCAAACTCCCTGCGCGGCGCGAGAAATACGAAGTACTCTGTACTCATGCTCGTGTCCGTCCGAATCAATGTTCGCCTTGCCTGCCCTACTCGTACAATCAATGGAACGTCATATTTTTGGGGGTGTGGAGTCCGCCAATTGATACGAGTCGGGCCCTGGGATCTTGGGTTTGTCCGCCTTCAGGTATTCACATTGTCACACTCGCTAGGCTTGCCAGGCCAAATAGCTTGAACCGTCCGTTCTCGGTTCGAGCTAAGCCTCAACTGGTCTGTGATCTGTGCCCGCACGGGTTTATGCTTTCAGGAGCGTCACGCTGATGCCTTTGATCCCATCAAATTGATTCAAATCTCAAAAGGTAAACGTGCTGATTCTCTGGTAGGAGGGACAGTGTAGGAAGAGAACCGGATAGCAGGAAAGGGAGAATGGACACCGGTGGAATGGAAATCGAACTGCTCGTCAGCAACTCAGAAGTCATTGAACCTTGTCAAGAACAAGCGAGGGACCACAGGTCGATTCGCAGATAACAAGGATGCCTTTGATGCAACCTCACCACCCAAACGGTGCCCTTTATCCCTGCATCTGAAAATTGGCTTTTAGTGTAGACGAAAATAGCCCCAAATCATCACCGTCTCCTCATAATATCCTTTCGTTGTGAGCGGAGGGTGAAGAGTACAAGTATGAGCCTGGCAACAGGTGAAAATCGGGAACCATTCACCCTCCATGAACCAGCATTGAGAAACCCTACAAAGCCCTTCCGGCTGCCCTGCCCGAGTCCCGCCGCCTAGAAAAGAATGAGGAACACTCCGTATTTGAGCTTGGGGTCTATCAGAAAAGAGCCTTGGGCCAGATCATCCGCCATCTGAGCTTCATCATTGTTGGTGGAATGAGCCCGTCCCTTGGCTTCCCTCCCGTTTTATTTTCTCTATCATGTCGTCGTTGAGCCTAGCTAGTTGACCGCCCGCCACTCGGCGTCCGCCATCATGCTTAACAGAGCGAGCCAAAAGACTTCATTCCCTTGTTGACTGTTGTACTTTTGAACGTGTTGAAATCGAAGCAGCCCAGAATTCGTTGTGGACTTGAGCGCTGCCGCTGCTGTCCTCGGTCACTTACACAGAAGACGAGGGTGAAGTCATGGTCGCAAGACTGTTTTCCCTAACCTTGGGAGTCCACCGGCACGAAAGCTTTGTATCGCGGCGAGGGGGAAGGAGGAGGAGGAGTGGGGATGAGTCGTGCCGATCTCCCCTGCGTCAGTGGAAATTCGGAGCAAAAGCAACGACGTCTCAACAGTCCAAATCAGGGGAGGCTTCCATCTTTGTATCTTTGTGGCTGGTGGAGAGAGGGCCAGCTTGGAGAGTTGGTGCTCCATCTTCTTTGAGTTTGACCAAGCGGGCTAAACTCGAAGAAGCCCCAGAGGATCCCGAGAAACTAGAAAGGATCAGGACGATCAGCGCCAAGTCTTCAGAAAGAGTGATGTGCTAGACACATTTCAGGCCAATAACCTCCCCCTTTTCGAGCCTTTACACTAGGGCCAGGCACGTGGGACGGTAAGGAGCATTCTACGGCTTCCCTCTCCCGCTTCGAAGGTTCGAACAGTGTTTAGGATGCCCACTTCTGACGTACCAAGGCATATTGCATTGGCGTAGACTGTTCCATTCAAAATGAAAGAGGGAAAAGCAAGGTGAATCCCGACTATCCACAATCTAGTGTAACCTAGTGTACATATGAAGTAGGCAGCCGAATGAGTAGGTGAAGGGCTCAGGAGCCGAATCTTTGATCCATCCATTAGATCTTTGTGTTGATCACTGATCAAGCTTTGGCTGACGCGTATCCCAACTCCACGGCTCAATCCACCTACTACCCACTCTTCGGAAAACCTTGCAACAGCCATGGCCAAACTTACTCCGCGTTACCCCTCGCCCAGTTTCAATCTATCATAGCTATCAGGCCGCACTCGGACAAGAGATGCTGTTGCGAGATCAGTCTTGACTTTTGCCCGGTGGGACCAAACTCGGCACTGGGACGACTGGAAGGAAAGAACGGGACCCGTCCCGATGAACCCCCAAACATTAACTGTACTGCCTGCTGTTGTTCATTCCCGGGACAACTTGCTTGACGAGGAGAAGCAAGCTTCCTCTGTCTTACATAGATGTATGTTGAAAGTGCAAGTTCATCCACAAAAGACGCGATAGCGCGATAACTACCATCGACAGAGCAACGATTCCAGTTCTCCGGGATCCTCCTTGCTCATGTTCTCACCTACCGCGGGAAGCCAAAGTGTATAGATGAGACGTGTCCGGCCATCAAGCCACCATGGCTTACGGCATAGGTCTTCCTGCAAGGTGTGAGCCCCTCGCCCTCTCGATCCTGCAAAGATGCAGTCGACTTATCCTCCAACACTTGCCTCTATTGTGTGACTCCAAAGAGTTCTAGCCAAGCACGGGAAGGCCCGCCGCCGCCGAACCCCATCATGAACGATAACCCCCTTCGAACATTGATTGTGGGTGCGTGATCTCTGGTGGCAGAAAGAGGCGCCAGCCGGGAGAGGGCACCGGAGGAGTGACTGTCTGTCTCACAGTCTTTCTTGTTGTTTAACCTTGGTTTGTGAAAACCGGTTTGATGGCCATGGCACATTGCGTACAGCGAGCGTCTTGCGGTTTTCTTTTGGCCCTGGGCCTCTTTAACTCTTTTCAAGTTAGCTAACCGTGTATATCATTCTCTAGAAATATCGGGACGGGAACGAGCTTGCTAGTGCCGGCCTCCCTCCCAGGGTTCACAGGCTGAAGTGTCGCCATCACAGGTTCTGGCTCAGCGTTCAACCACATATCCTTCGAGACATTGCGTGCGCCTTATCAACTGAATTACCGGCATGACCTGATACATACGACCATAGCTCGCAGATAATTGAGGGTCCCGTCCGCTCCCCTGTACACAAGCTGCGAAGCGCCGGACTAGTAGTTGGGTCGGTGACGACCAGCGAATCCCCGGTGTTGTATGTTCTTTTTTTTTTTTTTCTTTCATCCGCGAAAGAATCAATCCATTTCTTATCCCTCATATTATGAGGAGAACAAACCCCTAGGATTGTGTTTACACGACCCTCAGCTCTTGCTCTCAGCCGTTGGTGGGCGAAACTTGCTCTGGCCGGTTCGGCTCCTTGTCTTGATCGTCCTCGTGGTTAGGTGCCCTTGCATCTCGCAAGCACTACAATCCAGGTCCTGGCCCATTCCCTTTCGTGAGGGCAGACGGGATGCTCTTTTCCAATCAAGGATCTGTTGCGTTGGAAAGGGAAAGCAGGAGCGACCACAGGCAACGTTGGGGTGCCCAATGCTAGAACCATCACTCCCCATGCCCGCCAAACATCGTTCATCCCCGCAGCTAGCCAGCTCAGATGCGATCGCGGTCGCTATTTTCCGTTTTCTACAGCTACGGGCCGAGGACGGCTCTCTTCCGTCCCCACGGACTAGCATAGGATACAGCCACGACAGAAGCGATGGGCCTCGCGGAGAACCAGAAATTCATAGGTGCTTAGCTCCCGGTCCAAACCTTGCGTTTCGCCGAGGGGGAGGCGAGATGCAAGAAAAACAAGCAAGGCCCGGTATCTCAGTTTACCGACATGGGAGCGTGTGATGTGTGGAGGAGCGAGATGTGCAGATTGCGAAGATGACCCTACCTATCTCTCGCAGGCTTTCAAGTGTGGAATGAGTTCAATGCTGGGAATGGCGGGCGCAGAGACTCAAATCGGTCGGAAGGGTGAGAGATGGAGAAGACGCCGAGAGGCAAAGCGAGGCAAAGCGAGGCAAAGCGAGAGAAAGAGAGAGAGAGAGAGAGAGAACGCATCGGGTGTCTACCGAGACTCCGAGTCTGCACGGCACGGCCTTCCCTGGATGCAATGGAAATCAACCATAGGGTATGGACTGCAGGACCTAGGAAACCCTTAGATGATGGCCATGCAACGGTCGAGCAACGGTTACAAGATGATCCAGTAGCAAGTCCCTGAGGTCAGTCATCTGAAGACCGCAAGACGGTTGCTAGCTCGTTGCAGCTAATGAAAAAGATTCAAGTTCCAATGGATATGGACATATCAAGGATACCAGCTTCTTAACCAGCTACCTACCTCACTCTATAGGGGTCCCTCTCTTTTCCTTCTTTTCCTTCTTTCGTTCATCACTAAGAAGAATCCGGGCTTCGTCTACGACTCGAACTATACAAATTACGGTTGCAACTTGGATCTTGAGTTATAGCTACGGAATCGTGATCAAGAGAGTAAAAAGATACTCTGGTATATAGAGGGTGAGCAAGAAGTTCGGTTGTAGAAGCACGAACGGTTACAGTCGAGGGAAAGCATCGTGGGACCGTCCCCTTTCCGTTCAGGAGACCTACTTGCCTATACCATTTAGATCAATTCTGGAGGGATCTAATTGATCTATTCCATGTACACTATTATGTTAAGCGGACCTAGAGTGCAACAATAAAGTCAGAACAGATTGATTCGTGTTCACACCAGCCTGCTTCTGAGGATGGAGGTCAGATCGGATTGAGGTTGACGACAGCAGCATCGTCGGCAGCAAATCACAAGAGAGATAGGATAAGCCGTCTTCCTCGAGCTGACGTACGCATCCTGCTCAACATGCTGCCCGAGAGTGCGAGTGAGCAAAGAGGAAGAGAAGGCGTCGAGAGGAAGACGGCGAGGCTACGTGGACCTGGAGTCGAAAAGAATTACAAAGTGGAGGTTTCGCAAGGCAGGGCTTGATGTACATTTAAAGCCCGCCCGGGCAGAGCATCCCCGCACCCGAGTGGCTTCTCAGTGCGCGGTGGTCGACACGACGGAGAGAGATACAATAAAATAAAATAAAATTCTGCTGGGTCTGTCGATTACAATTGATCATTCGGCACTTTTCCTCTCTCTCTTTTTGCCCTCGTCCGACCTCGCAACTTGTGTTGAAAGATTGGACATAGTATACGTGTTGGGATGGAATAGGATCAACGAACGAGGCTGGGGCTGTCAAGGCCAAGAACATTCAAGGAGGTCCCTTGCCCCTGTTGACAGGTCCACTTGAAACTTGAGCAGGATCGCAGTGATCCCAAAGCAAAAATCCGTTGAGGCAAACTTTTCTTCCCTTTTCTATGTTGTCTTCCGAGTTCTTTTTCTTTCGTCTTCTTCTTTTTCTCCCTTTTGCGCTTCAATTCAAAAGATACACACGCACCGAGAGGGCCAGTGAGCTCGAGGCTCGATGTGGAACGCTAGTTTTTGGGGGCTGACGATAGTTGGCAAAATTTAGAGCATCAATAGCCCGAGAGCGACAGGACCAGTATGCAAGTAAAAGCCAAATTGCGTGGCTGTGGCTGAGACGGGTTCAATGTCGTTTTGTCCAACGCCAGCGCAGTTGGGCACCCGCAAAGCGACGAACCCAGTTTTGACTGAAGCGAGCAAGGGAGGGGCTGAGGCCAACCGCCTTGGGGGCTATGCGGCAGACGATCAAGCCGCCATCCGCGAATGGAGGAGGGGGAAAGAGTGGGATCCCAAGAGAACATTGAATGATAACAAGAGAGCCCAGACGCAAAAAGAGCACGCGAGCGGGTCTTCGGCAGGTCTTGACCGTCAGAACTCCGGCGCCGTTGGCGTTACCATCACCACCCTCCGCTTTCTACAAGTCCTCATGGGCTTGATCCCCCGAAAAGAAGGAAAACAACTAATCAGTAATCTCAGCGCTTCTTTAAAAAGTGGAACCAAGGCCGTAGGGCAGGACGCGCGTGGGGTCCTCCGTCAGCCAAGCTTCGGTACATCGCTCGTTGAAGACTAAAAACGCCGCAGCCATGCAGCCATGCAGGCTCTTTGCTCAGCCGCTGAGAGAGAGAGAGGCCGGGATGGCGTTGGCGCGGCCCCAACGCCTACGTGCAATTTTACCAGTCCACTCTCTGATGAATCCTTCCCTTTCTCCTCGCGTCACATCAATATTGGCTGCTTTGCATGCTTGCATGCTGACATGCTTCCAGGGCTGGGCCCATCCTGCCCCCGAAAATGTCTCTTTTTGCCTGTCCTGCCCGCCCAGAGTGACATGCTCTTCTCTCCCCCGAGCGTTGCTCCTCCGCTGCGCTTGTGTTGCGCCGTGCTACGGGCGTCGTCTCTGATCCATTTGATCTCTCTTCCTCTTTTGGCCTCTCTCTCTCTCTCTCCCTTCTTCCCCTCCCTTCCCTCCCTTTCTTGCTAGACAGATTAGGAAACAGGGGAAAAGACGGGTTATCAACAAATAATTCTGTCCTGGCTCCGCTTGGTGAAATATTCCCTCGCCCGTCTCCCATCTCCATGAGCCGTGCCGTGGGATGCGTAACAAGAGTCTGTGCCATATTAGACGACATGATATGTGTGCTCCCATCCTCCCCATTGCCGACCTCATCCCGCCCACACACCCCTTCCCTCGTATCTCACCCTGTCAGACCAGCCTTCATTCGTCGCAAAATACGTCTGACACCAACCTACCTACCTTGACCCCCCTTCCCCCGGACATCTCCTCCTTGGACCCTATTAATGTGTACCAGTCCCCGTGTCCTTGGCACAGCCCTACGTGGGACAAGACACACACCCTCAAGCGCCAAAACAGACCTTCTTCCCCAAGTCAAGCCCGGCGTTTGAATTTATTGATGCCATACGCAAGATAATATCTATTCAAGAGACCCCCTCCTCGTCCCTCCTCTTCCTCCTTTGTCACCCGCATTCCGGATTCCGGTGTGGTTTAAAGCTCTACTTGCCTTGCCCTGTCATCGGACAGCCGAGCGCAGCTTGCGAGAAGCTTGCTTCCCATCTGCAATATTCTCTCCTGCAACGACCAGTCGAGAGCGAAGTGAAACGACCAGAATAGGAATAGAGAGAAGGGGGAAGAAAAGACCGAAAAAGGAAGAAGAATCTCACAACCTCGCCCTTTGCCCTTCTTGCTTCCCTTTGCTATCTTTTTCCATTCTTCTTCTCTTCTTCCCGCCTCACGAGCTGCGCGCCGAGCTCTGCGCGAACCACCCCACATCCCCCGGAGCCTCTCTCTTTGTTCAACGAGAGTGCTCAGTCCCCCCACCACCCAACATGGACTCCTTCTCTTCAAGATCCTTCTCCCAAAGATCCTTCTCCGGCACCCCCAAACGTGAACGAAGCGAACTGGAACCCCGTCCCCGTCCAGCCCCCGATCGCCCGCAAGCCCGTCACCAGCCCGGCATCCCCGACCGTCGGAGACCAGGCCTACCCGGCGGCTCCCCACCATGGAGCCCCAACGCCATCCCTCCATCACCAAGTCCCCCCGGGACCGCCACCCACTTCACATTCTCCTCGCCCCCGAGGAACGCGACGAGGCAAAGAAGCACGTCTCCGCCCGACGCCCAGCACTACCAATCTACCACCACTACCAACACCCCCGCCGCCGCCGCTGCTGCTGCCGCTGCTGCCGCTCCCGATGCGCGGCCCCGCCCCTCGCCTCTCCAGTTCAACCCACCCGGCCCGCGTGATCCGCACCAAGGATACCACGGCCCCCTCCATGGACCCCTACACCACGCCGGGCTTCGAGTCCCCTACAACAACCGCACCAACTCGGACAACCTCCTCCTCGCCTCGCCCCCGCCGACTATCGCACCGCGCCCCCGGGGTACCGCCCCATCGCCGACCCCTCCGAGATCCCCTCCCCTCCCCGCACCCACGGGCCGCGTGACCCGCTTCCAGCGCTACTGGAAACCCCACTACAACATGTTCTTCCTCCTCCTCGTCGGCATCCTCTTCGCCGTCGGCCACCACCTCTTCTACCTCAACCTCGACGGCAAAGAAGCCGACAACCAGATGCGCCTGCTCCGCTACGGCGCCGCCTTATCCTTCCTGTCCAAGGCCTCCTCGCCGCCGCCACCGTCACCGCCTACCGCCAGCGCGTGTGGATGACGGTCCGCCGCAAGGTCCTCACCGTCGCCGCCGTCGACGGCCTCTTCGCCGCCACCGAGGATCTCACCGCCCTCTTCAACTTTGAACTCTTCAAGGAGGCCAAGCTCGCCATGGTCCTCGTCATCTACGTCTGGCTCACCCCGCTCATCGTCATCTTCGCCTCCGAAACCCTCGCCGTCCAGCCCCAGACCATGACCGAGGAGACCACCTGCCCCTCCGTCCGCTCCCTCAACTTTGGCCAGGAGGACAACAACGACTGGCGCGTCGCCAACTACATCGACGGCCTGCCCGAGGCCTCCGTCTCCTACTGGAACATCACCAGCAAGAGCGAGGACGCCACCGACCCGGACGTGTTCGACTACTGGTCCGGCCCCAGCCAGCCCCTCGAGCAGATCGCCACCCTCGCCGCCTTCCTCGGCGGGCCCGTCGCCCGCGAAGACGCCGCCACCCAGGCCTGCGGCGTGGGCTGGAACTGCACGTTTACCGTCCACTTCGTCGCCCCCGGCTACAAGTGCACCGAGCTCGCCAACGGCGTCGGCTCCGAGGTCAAGAAGCTCGACGGCGTCGCGCCCCCTTCTCCCTCGACATCCTCGCCCCCGTCGGCAACCACACCTACTTCGCCTCCGCCTACGAGGGCGAGTACCCGGACCAGCTCATGGACTCGGGCGACGCCGGCATCCCCTTCTCCCCGCCCCCTTTTCCCAAGAACCTCGGCGCTTTCCGCACCGAGCCCGTCATCTGGGTCGGCTACGCCAGCGTCGAGGACCCCACCCAGAAGCAGCCCGAGAGCCAGTCCGACCCGGCCTGGGCCACCGCCTTCACCCCCAAGATCTTTGCCTGCGAGCACTACGAGACCGAGTACGAGGTCGAGTTCCACTACGTCTCCCTCCAGCAGGAGACCAAGATCAAGAGCCGGAAATACCTCAACCGCATCGTCGACACCGTCTTCCAGCGCGGCGACCCCGCCGACGACGGCACCTACGACAACACCACCGCCGTGCCCGAGGACAACTACGTCCGCCCCTCCGACGGCATGGCCCGCTACCGCCGCATCGCCGCCTACCACGCCCTCGGTACCCAGCTCCGCCGCTTCGTCAACGGCACCATCCACGAGCCCGCCAAGATCCTCAAGACCAAGGCCTCCCAGACCCGCCTCATCGACATCCACAGCTACCTCCCCGCCGGTGACCTCATGGCCGACATCGCCAGCTTCTACGAAGACATCATCCTCTCCCTCCTCTCCAAGCCCCAGTTCCTCTCCGTCGTGTGGGCTGCCTCCCCGCAGGAGAGCTCCGGCCACCGCAAGGCCGACAAGAGCCCCCAGTACCCCTGCGTCCGCCACCGCACCTCCAACCACTACGTCTACCACGTCGCCGACCTGTGGGCCGTCTACACCATCGCCATCTTCCTCGCCCTCGTCGCTACCGCCTTTGGCATGATGGCCATTTGGGAGGAGGGCACCTCCCGCGATACCCGCTTCAGCTCCGTCGCCGCCGCCACCCGCGGTTCCGCCCTCGAAAAGATTCCCTTTGGCCCCGAGGGCGAGATGCGTACCCGCGCTAGACGTATCAAGATTGGTTACGGCGTCCTCGATCGGGGCAACTACGGCTTCGGCGTGGAAGGCGAAGTCCTGCAGGGCGCTGGCATCCGGAGATCCGCCCAGACGTTTAGGCTCGTGTAAACACTTATTCACCATTATGGATATTTTACGAGACACGAGCACAAAGATTTGAAAAAATAGAAAAAAAAAAAGACCAGTAAGAGACTGGCCAGGAAGGAAGAAGAAGAAAGACGAGGAGTAACGGATATCAATGGACAATACCCCATGGCTCATTCTCGTTGGTACTTTAATCTGCTTGGATAGCGTTGCATTTTCTTTTCTGGCGCGAATGATCATTAGCGACTGTGAGCTAGGGCGCACACTTCAGTATTCTTTTGGGTGGTTTTTCCCCTTCTATCTTAATAGATACATATATTGTCCGCTGGTCTTGTTCCTACATATACAATCAATTCATTGATCAGTGGTTATCAATATCCATTAATGTGCTCTCTCGTGACTGGTTGCCCACACTCACTCCATAATGGCAAGCCACCCTCTCTAGCACTTGAGGCAAACATCAATCAGAAAGGGTACCTGGACTCGTGGTAGGACAACAAGGTTCGCTTCGTTCCTGCATCGTGTACTTGTAGGGACGGAACAACAGTACGAGGAGGACAATCAGTCAAGCCAAGGAAGGGGGAGAAACCGAAATTATAAGAATGATATATTGTCACATTACGTTGACTGGCCCTGATACCTCGCTCTCTAAAACAGGATGAAGACCAAACGGATACACTGCAAATGTCCATCTTTTGACAAAAGACACAAACGAACGATGGATATAACCCAGACAGTTAAGAGGAAGGGCCTGGGCACCTGCCCGCCACTTCCCCAGTCCCGCTTTCATGCTTGTCGTGCACCAGCCTTTCGCCTTGCCCAGTATGCTAACCCCTTCGAAACAGCCTGCGTGGAACCAATGCAGGCCAACAGGGTAGAAGGGGATGTATGGAAGTGAGGAGGGGAAAAAAAGAAGCCAAGGGAATAGAAGAAAGGGAGACGGCAAGCGGGACAAGATAAGAGATCAATAAGATAAATGGAAGCGCCGCTTTTTGCCACGTGGATAAGCCCATTCGCCCTAGTCGTAAGCCCAATCGTTGGAGAGAGTAAAGTTGCCGTGTGGCAGGAAGACATGATGATTGCTATGGTTGCGAATGAGGGCTAGTCGATTGTAGAAAATAGAGAAAAGGAAACCCTTCCTTTTCAACAAGCCAAAGTTAACGATAAGTGGGTGAGAAAATGAGTACGTGTATGCCCGATAACTCCATGGGACCGTCGCAATGCTATTTGGTTTTTGTTTGTTTACTCGTTGTTTTCCGGCGCGCCGTGCGTGCGCGAGAGTGTGAGAAGTTTGGTAAAACCCTTCTCGTCGCACACAAGGTGTGCAGATGTAGAAACGTGGTTGAGCTGAATGATGCACATGTAAACATGGATAATGATGATCTTGGTCTTCGGAACGAGCCCTTGCTTTCGATGCTGAGAGCAAAAGCTGCGGGTTCTTTGGACCCCGGAAATGGATTAAGCAGAGGAATGCCCCTATGCATCCTCTTCCATGAGACGTCGGACCTCCGCCTCGTCGAGCAGGATTCTCCTGCCTAGCTCTTCTGGTGGTTTGCCATCACGAACAGCGCCAAAGTCGAGAATCTAATGACGTTCAAAATTAGTCTCATACGCCCACCGCATGCTCGCGTATTTCGCCATCCCCGCTCTACTATGAGTGTTCGATTCTTACCTCGATATATGTAATCGACTGGCGTTGAACGGCGGCCACGCATCGTCGATAGTCAAACTTTAGCTGCCAGACACTACCGAGATCTGTCAGGAGATCTTGAAGGCAGTTACCCGTCGCGATATCCCACATTTTCACAGTTCTCTCGCTGCCCGAAATCACCTTGCGGCCGTCGTGCTGGAAGCAGGTGATCGCGCCGGTGTGGGCTGATAGCACATTCTTGCAGCGGCCATTCTCCGGGTCCCAAATCCGCAGAGTGCTATCGGCCGCAGCAGAGACAAGTCTCTCATCGCGAAGATCCAGGATGCCGACGAGCAAATTGTGTCCTTCAAGAGTGTAGAGGCAAGCCCCCGTGGCAAGGTCCCAAATCTTGACAAGGGAATCCATCGCGCCCGAGATGCACCGATTGCGATCTTGGTCCAAGACGACGCTGTAAACCTTTTGGGTGTGACCGTGTAAAACGTGCAAGGATTCGCCGGTGCTGATGCGCCACACCCGTACCGAGTGGTCGTAGCTTCCACTGACAAGAGTATCGCCATGCGCCGCGATAGCACGCACTGAGTGGGTATGGCCGGTAAGAGTGCGGATAAAATACGGGCAGTCGCTGTCGTTGGCCGGTGGGCCCGTCTGGATATATCTCCTAGAGCCTGCTTCGGGAGGCGCCACACGCGTAGCTGGTTGTCCCGCGAACCAGTAATGATTAGGGGCTTCGCCGGCATCATGTCTGCTTGCTTTTGCCATCCTTTGTGATGGATGAAGGCATCAGGATTTGCAGACAGCGCACAGTACTAGTGTGGCCGTAGAACACCTGAGTGCAAAGGCCCTTCTCGATATCCCAAACTCGAACCGAGCGATCGGTTGATCCAGAGACCAGAACATTGCCTTCGTACTGAAGTGCCCAGACGCCACCCTCGTGGCCTTCAAGACGCTTCCTCAGCTTGCCCGTTTTTGTATCATAAACATGGATGAGTGTATCGTCACTGCCTGTGATAATCTTGTCGTCATCGAACTGTAGACAGGTGATGACGTGTCGCGGGTGCGCGGTAAAGGCAACGTGGGATGGCTGGACTTTTCCACTCGTCCAACTCTCCCTGATCATGTGGTGCCGTCGATAGAGTGACTTGAAAAGATGGAGCCTGCGCAGGCTCGCAAGGCCCAACTGTGGGTCAGGTACGGCTAGGACAGCGGCGTTGGCGGCGGACAAGGGTCCCTCCGATTTATGTTGTCCGGGTTCCAGCTGGCTGTTCGAGTCCTTGAAGGCGACGCTAGAGCTGGCTCGCCTCTTGGATCGGTCGACACCCGAGATGGTGCTGAGGCCACGCTTGCGCTTCGAGCTCCTTAGCCGGGACGTTGGCTCCGTCTTGCAGATCACCTGTGTTAGTTCCGCCTCGGTGGAGTTGAGTCGCCGCTGCGCACTAAGGTCAACTTCGCAACCCTCGGGTCCATCGGGGTCCTGCCATCCCCATCCCTGGCGGATAGCCTTTTCTAGCTCGCCCGCAGGAAGTTTGAACCCATCGCGGTCAAAAAGCTCTTTCCAGCCCGTCTCGTTACTATCGATGAGGTTCCGCCAATGCTTGGAGACCCTAGTCGCACGACAAAGATCTTTGTGGTCGAGGTAGGATAGGACGTGGTAGCTGAGCTCAAGGGGAAGTTGCTTCAGGAAATCGCATTGTAGGGATGGGTTGACAACGTCGGCAACTATCCGCAACGTCTTTCGCGGACAGCGACGGAGGAACTGATAGAGCATCAGAGTCTTCATATCAGATGGCATGGCATCAAATGACTCGAGCATGGTTCGTGGATCAAGGAGATGCGGTGGTGTACCAGAGTGTCTGCTGAGTTGACCGCGATGGCCTGTCACGAGGGCTCCAGGTGATGTTATTTCCGAGTCGTCAGTGGTGGTTATCTGAGAATCGCCGTTCCAAAGGAGTTGGTGAGGGCCAAGAGACGGCGATTCCTCGTCCTCATCGACAGTCAGCGAGTCGTTGGGCTCGGTCTTTACAGCCGTCAACTTGGGGGACAGTCTAGGACTAGGAAGACTGGCATCCACATCTTGGGCGGCCGTGGACTCTAGCGGGTGTCGACTTTGGTGAAGCGATCTCACAGATTGTTGAAGGGTCTCATCAGCATCCATGAATGGTTCGGCGTCAGCATCTGTAATTGGTGGTGTAGCAACATTTCCGCTAAATATCGTCTGAGTATCACTCGCCACTGGGCTGGCAACATCGTAAATCGTGGCTGTTTGACTGTTGCCCGAAGGGTCGGGCGTGGTTGAGGGGCGGCGCGACCGAGGGGCTTCTCTTCAAGAGGAGCAAATTCGGCAGCGTCGGGAGTGGCAAGAACACCAGCAGCCTGTCTCATCAGACGCTCACTTTCGCGTCGACTCGCCGACGCTGCTAAGCGACGAGGTCGCTCCAAAGGGACGAGGGTGTGACCGCTTGCTGGTCGAGGCTTGTTGGATTGTTTGGAAACACAGCTGGCGGGAGATTCGGCTCGGGTGGACGTGCGTTTCGATCGTCGAGGGTACGATTCGGACGGCGAACGAGATGGGAGTCGAGATAGCGCGCTGTCAAATGACTCGCTCGCAGTACGTGAAATTCGCAGAGCCTTCTTGGGCGGAGTTGATCGTCGGCCAGCCTATGAGCCACGTTAGAAAATGAAGAACATTCCAGGGCCAACTCCACGCCATCACATTTCAAAGATCATGAATGCAAGGGTATCCTGCCAAGGAAGGGGAGGAAAGGGAAATTAGGAGGGGAAAGAGAGCGATATCAAGAAAGGGAACATGGCGATGGATAGAGGCGAGGAGAAGGGGAGAAAAAGAAGAAGAGCGAAAAGGAAAGCAGAAATCGAAGCATTTCCCACTTTCCCACAGCGCACCACACTCACTTGTTTCGGTGATGCATTTTCTTCTGCGAAAAGATCAAAACCTGGTACGTCGAAGGTGAACTGGGCTAGTTGTGGAGGAGTCGGCTTCGAGGCCAGGGGTATTCTTTGACATCAAGGGAGTCCAAAGGTCTAGGTTCTCGGACAAAAAGTGGTGGGAATGTTCGTTTTGTCGTTGTCGTGGTTGTTATAGTTTTCGTCTCGATGCACTCCGACACGCCAAACTGAAATCTACGGGAGCCAGGGGTCGTGTCTCCCTCGTCCCAACTAACGGAAACTGTCTGACTCGAGTAGGGGCCTCGAGAGTCACCAGATGGTGGCCCGGGTGAGGGCGTCATGGTGAAGGGAGGCGAGTTGTGACCTGGTGCCACGCCGGTCTGCCGTGATGGTTGAGCAGTGATGGGGGTGGAGGCGGAATACGGCGATGAACTAAAGTGAGCCAGAGGGTGCACGTCGAATCTCGACTGGAATTTTAGGGTGGGTCGAGATGGATGTTGTTGGCGGACGGTAGGAAAGAGGCGTCGTTCAACAACGCGACGGTGGGAGGTTGCGGAATCTGGGGGTGGTGAGGTGAGGGCGGTCGAAGAGTTTAGAACGCGAAGAGGAAGAAAATGGGAGAGGGGAAAATCAACTCTCGGATGAAGGCCAGGCGGAGGCTGCTGTGTTGCACAGTCGCTGTTTTTCCCGCGGGTTTTGGGGGAAGGGGAGGGGACCAAGCAGAAAGACCGAGAGAGAGGCGGGCGGAACAGGAAGGCCCCAACGTGAGGCGGCTAGGAGGATAATGTACAAGTACAGAGAGCGCTGGGGGAATTTAGCATTTGAGTCCTGGGTCAACACACTGGCTTGACTGGCTCGACTGGCTCGACTGGGTCCACCAACATTTTCTCCAATCAACTTTTGCTCAGGGGCGGGCGGAGGAGAGAGAGAGTGACCAGGAGCACACGATGAGCCTGGCAGGTGGGAAGAGACGGCAAAACCTGGCACTGGACGTGCGGGGAGGTGGCGGAAAACCAAGTTCCAGGGCCGACAAATCAGGACCTTGCTGACCGATACTTGTAGAAGATGGAGCCGAACATTGTTGTTCCAGTCACCACTCAACCACTGTACACTAATCGCAGCACGGGCCAGCCCATTGATGTACCCCGGTACCCTAGCAAGCCTAGTCTTGCCTAGCAAGCCCAGCAAAGGCCTGGCCAGCTCAGGTTGCAGCGTTGGGGAATGTTGCTCGTTGACCATTCCAAGTAATCCATCTATATATTGTATGATTACTTGTGTTTTCCGGGCTTGACTGACGAGACAAACACGCCGCTCAGGAGCCAGGTCGATATCTAGTTTTTCGATTGGTATGTACGAGTTGGGAAATGACTGGCGAGTCCCTTACCCATTAGTTTTCCATTTCCGTTCCATTTCCCTTCTTCCTGCTTTGTCTCACAACCTCCGGTAACAAAACCCCACGCAGATCCAAGCTATGGAGCAGATGGTGATGGGATCAAAGGAAAACAAAAACTACCCAAGGCCTCCGGTAAAATGCTCCACATTTGGAGGTTCCCGGCAATAGATCGAATTGCTAGTCGGCGGGTCAAGACCTAATCCTGGAACAAGTGGGGAAGCCTGTTCCCATAACTTGGTCGCCAGCTGAGTGCTCTCTGTGTGATACTCGGGCGACTGGTGTTGATTGAAGAGCTCAGGAATAGGTCACACTTGTATCAGCGCGCGAGGAGGGACCGGATAATTCGAAGTTTGCCCGCTTTTGGTCGACCTCAGGGGGCGTTCCCCAGTCTTTCTCTCTCTCCCTGTGCTATACGTATCTAAAGCAATCCTCGTCAAGCCCCCTACAGTACTGTCTGCTGTCGTGAGCGAAACCCTAGGAGGGCCGAGGATAAAGGAAAAGAAGCAAGAATGCCTGCCGCGGCAGCCTCACAAATAAATGCACCACGGAGAAAACAAGCACGGCGCCCCCGATTGAAGCCTGCACCGCCACAAATCGTAGGCAAGGTCCGTTCACCTCTCAATGGAAAAGGGAGTGAGTGGGCGCTTTGCATTTTCGCCTGACCCGGTGCGTGCGTGGCGCTTGGAACCTAGTTGAGCTAATGGAGATCGAGATAATTGAGGGTGCTCGGCCAGACACCACTTCTGCTCTCGTTGCAGGTGGGTGTGGACGGATTAGTTATATATCACGTGACTACTCCAGAAGCATCCATGACAGGTTGGGGACGTTGCAACACCGGAACCACCAACTCAAAGCGCCAAGTTCCCGGCCGGGAACAATGCAGCGTGAGAAAAATTCCGGATCACCCTAGAGAATGGTAGGTGTTCGGCTTCCTCATTCTTATGTAATGCTCCCTCCAAAAGTTGATTTTCAACAGCGCGTTGACGAGCGCCGATCATCAGACCTTGGAATTTTATCTCAGCTCTATGCGTCATGCCTGACGAGGCTTGCGCGGGACGGGAGCTGAAGGGCCACGGATCCATTGATGCTATGCTGAAGGGGGTTGTCGCAGGATGACCCTTGGACGACATGGTTCTCCTGAGTGTGTCGTGCCGAGCCAGTTTTTGGCCTGCGCAACCTTTTTCTCGGGGTTTTCACTGTTCGGAGGGACTAACTAGTAGTGTTCTTTCTCGCGTCCCTGGCGCCGAAAATGGAAACTTCAACGATTTCCTCGCGTCTTAGAGTTTGCGGACGGACTGGTACTGTCGTTGATCAAGACCCCGACGCCTGTCCGACGCCAACGTGCGCCGGACCTCGGAGCATCCGATCGCAAGAAAGAAAAAAGGTTCACATTGCTCACACAAAACCAAAAAAGTTCCAATTCGCCTTGGAGCGTCAGGCCCGTCGTAAACTCATCGGAGATTGGTAACCTTCATTTAACAAGGATAGGACTCGTCGATATATTCTTCAGCTTGCGACGTCTTCGTGCACTCCTTCCATACGTTGAAGAGGGCGAGCAAAGACGGAGAATCGTGAAATTTTTGGCCCACTCGACAATTTCCAAAGACTCAGTCTGTCTGGTCTTACTGAGTGAGTGAATAGCTCGGATCCATAGATGGTAAAAATGCCCACATCGTGACGCTTGCGAAGCGAAACTTGCCGCATCATGGCGACCTCATCACTGGCCATCTTGGCTAGCAACACGGGCCGTGCATCGCTACGCAGCATTCGAGAGCAAGGAACTGCTCAAAACATCCCGCGAAGAATGTCCACTTTCCCCAACTACTCGCTCAAGCGACTCTTATGGCGGCGTGTAAAGTTGGCAGCTCGTCAGTTTCTTGGTCTTTAGCTTTAAATTCTCTTTATTTCATGAAATACCGTCGCAGCAGATACTATTTATTCTAAGACGATGTCTGGGGATCTGATGTTATGGAGGCTGAGACTCTGAAAATACGGCGGTTGTGAAGAAGAGGGGCAAGCTGTAAAACACTACATGTCGCCTTTTAATTGACGGTGTTGAAATAAGAAAATCAAGGGTAGATGAATACATACATATATTCAACGAAGTTATTTTCTTCGGCGCGTTCTCCTTCACCTACTTCTTCTACTTCTTCTTCCTCTTACGCAGAGGTAGATGGATTGGGTTAACGGGCGAACAGTTGAGCAGGCCCGGCATCGACGAGAGGAGAGAGGTTCATTCATTGATGTTTTGTTTGGTGTGGCTTGTCCCCGCTTTTAGTTGGCCCTATTAGCCGACTAGGATCGATCCTCTTCAAACAGCTCCTCGATGATCGCTCCAGCGTTTTTTAAGCTCGACAGAATCCCCTATTCGCACGTCACGTCGGGTGCACGGCACAGTGCTGTATTAGAAATCATTAGAGTGACGCTGCGGTGGGACTGTGGTCGCTCTTGTTGTTCGTCGACATGGATGCGGGGCCAACTAGTTCGAGAGCCTTCCCTTCCTGTGAGACGGGATGTTTTTTTCTCTCCATCGTTTACCAGGGCAAGAATCTTGAGAAGCTTATTGTGAAAAGCGCCGTAATCTGAAGCAAGAAGCCATACTGATATAAAATCTCCCTCGACTCCTTACATATCCTACAATGGCTTCCAACCCGCCTGCCGAGTGCTGCACGATCGGCGTCAAGCATAGGTAAGCTCCCCTCCCCTAACCCAACAAGATGACAGCGAACCCCGCCATCTTCACAGCGAATGACGTCTCGACTGGCGCGCGCGTTGGCGAAACAGCTATCCTCCTTCCTCTTGTTCGCCCGCTCACAAAAGGTTTGGTTGTGTTTTGTAGCGGCGAGCCCACCGGCCAGCTTATCAAGGTTGCCGGTAAATGGGATGCCTATCTGGCGACTCCCCGAGGGCAAAGCCCGCGAGGGCAAGGGCATCCTCTATCTGCCCGACGTCATCGGCATTTGGCAAAACAGCAAGCTCATGGCCGACCAGTACGCTGCCAATGGGTATCTGACGCTCGTCCTCGACGAATTCAACGGCGACCCGCTCAGCCTCAACCGCACTGGCGACTTTGATTTCATGGGCTGGCTGCAAAACGGCTCCGACGGAAAAACCCGCACACCAAGGAAGCTGTCGATCCCATTGTTGAAGCGGCGATCAAGACGTTGAAGAACGACTATGGAATCAAGAAGCTCGGTGCCGTTGGCTACTGCTTTGGTGCCAAGGTGGGTAACTTGCGTGTCTCGGGGGAAAGGAGTCACTGGGCGATGCGGATGATAGCTAACAACATTCACTCATAGTACGTTGTCCGTCACTACAAGGACGGTATTGAAGTAGGGTATCTTGCGCATCCAAGCTTCGTCGACGAGGAAGAGCTCGAGGCCATTACCGGCCCCCTCTCGATTGCGGCGGCCGAAACTGACGACATCTTCCCCGCGGAAAAACGACACAAGTCGGAAGAGATCCTGAAGAAGACTGGCCAGCCCTACCAGATCAACCTGTATTCTGGAGTCTCCCACGGATTTTCCGTTCGTGGCAAGGTTGAGGTCCAGGTGGAAAGGTTTGCCAAGGAGCAGGCGTTCCTCCAGGCTGTGACCTGGTTCAACGAGTTTCTCTGAGTCCAGATACGATAAACCGAGAGGACTAATGCTTCATCGTATACCGCGGAAGAGCAGAAGGTACTACTCGAGATTCGAGATGAAAAAAATCAAATTGAAGTCGTCCAATAAGTATATTGCTTCGCTATAATAATACGAATAAGAGATGTGCTTGGCGATATAGCCAGCTTCTTCATTCAGCCTCATAAGTCGTGATTCGTGGATGGGGGCTTCTCTTCTTTGTCTTGATCAATGATGTCTCGATCGTAGATGCTGTGGGGTCGGGGTTAGGTGCCAACGGTACGGAGTTAAAATAGCCCGCGCTCAATAATCAACGCTCACGCATTGGCTGGTCCTTCACAGCGCCAATCCGCTGTCGAGCCGCTGTCGAGTCGGAGCATGTTCCAGGAAGCCGCTGGGACCCAGTGATGTTGACCTCACTCGAGTTCAATGTTGCTGGCCTTCTCAAAATTAATAATGTCCCGTGTCCACTCTGTATCCACATCCAGCGCCACCTTCAGCAATTTGGAACAATGAACCACCCTTTTGATTGATGAGCCCGCTGCTTGATTCCATCACGGCTGTCAGATACGGTGCTGGCAAGGCTTTCTTGGCTCTGCACTGGGTCAACTCGATTTTTGGTCACCTGTCCCTCGGCTGGAGTGACACTGAACCCTCTTTCGACGCATCATCAATTACCACCAACCCCATACCTTGGCATCATAGATTTATCGCTTTTCTTGCTACACTTTTGATTGACAGGAGGGTAATATTTCTAGTTGCCCTTTCGTCCATCTCTTGTTCCTCATTCACCTTCCTTGCGAAACGGTGCGGCGCTAAGGACGAGCAGTCGAAACTGAACCCTTGACACTCAGCATGGTCTAGTCTCAGACTACGGCCACTCGCCGACGACATGGAGGACCCGCGAGAGGCACCGATCCTCGTCGCTGAAAGGACTGTCGACAACAAACGAGACAGCTTTTCTTCTGGGAAAATCAATGGGCATGGTCCCAACGGCCTCGTTATCTCCATACCGCCAGTTGAATCTTTAACAAACGCCGTGTCCCAGCAGCTGCCGTCCCCTCTCCCCACGCCCACACCTGGCCAACAAACTATCGCGACAATCGCCTCCCCGAATCTGGGAAACCCTCTCCCAACTATACACTCCGATGAAGATTACTCCTCCGACGTCTCGTCCACCCGGACGAGGCCTGATCCCGACCTTCACGACGCATCCGAATCCTCGTCATTTTCCGACTCTCTCCCGCCACCTCAGCCCCCGGCGAGCGATCCCATGAAGAACGATAGAGGCGGAACCCTTGATTCCGCAAAGGGAGAGCCCATGAGATCGAGCAGGAGCCATGAGAACGTGAGGCGGCTATCGGCTACCGAGATACAGCAGCTGACCGCCTCACCGCATTCGCTCCCTATCGCGGTCGTGCCGGATGTTCTCGCCATGGTGGATCATGGACGCACCGGGCGACTCTCCCCGCCGATTTGCGGGCTATAAGGAGTCTATCCTCGGAGACAAGGCGACCGCGCTGTACGAGACCAACGGCGACGAAGACCGCCGTCCTCATAGCGCTACGACGCGAATGCCGACCAACGCGCGGACCCTGTCGACGCCCCCGATTTCGAGGAATCGCGGTGGCTCGATGCAGTCTTCCCCACGCCGGAACTCGTTTCATCCTGTGGCACCGCCCCAGGTCAATATGCACTCCTCCCGGCCACTCCCTCGCCAAGGCGAATGCGTTTCCCTTCCGTAGGCCGGAGAAGAGGGACCCCGCCGTCGTAGCGCCAACTCCCGCTCCCATACCTATACCCCCGGTATCTCTACCGACACATCTACAACTCGAGCTTGCGGCCCAAAAGCCTAGCCCTCTTTACATCCAACGGCCGGAGACGATAGACGTCCCATATGAATCTAGCGCGGTCAAAATTGAGCGTTTGATCAACGTCATCTTGCTCCCCGCCTATCTTGAGCGTACGTTGACGTTTGGAGCCCTGGCCTGCCTCGACTCATGGCTTCATACCTTTACCATTCTTCCCATGCGCTTTCTCATTGCCGTTGGAATACTCGTCCAGTGGTGGGGTCACGTTTTCTCCAAAGAGGTCAAGTGGATCACGGGTTTCGTGTGGTACGGCCTAGGGCGTCTTTGGAGCCGTGGTCTCTTTAAATCTAGAACTGTCCCTGCCGTCGATGTCACACTCCCATCACCGGATGAGGATTCGTTAGCCGCTACCCGAAAACGGGGTGATTCTACGGACTCTTGGCCTCTTGAAGGAATACCTACGCCCAGGATTCCCCTTAATCCCGCCGCTGATGCCGTCGCGCCCTTGATGACGAGGGCAGACTCCTCCTCGGCAAGCGGCCATCGAAGCCGGATCCTCCATTCAAAGCCTCGTCCACCCTCGAGCGTATATCGACATAGACGAACAAAGTCGAGGCCATCCAACCTCTCCGCCTACAACAAGGCAGATCTACTACAAGGAGCCCTTATCATTTTTAGCGCCGCGGCGCTCATGAAGTTGGATGGAAGCCGCATGTATCACTTTATTCGCGCTCAATCGGATATCAAACTCTACGTCATCTTCAACTTGCTCGAGGTAAGCTAAAAGTTGTGCCCTGCTATGCAACGCGCACTCGGCATAAGCTTTGTGGATTTGTATCAGTTGCTAACACTGGTACGTAGGTCGGAGATCGCCTTCTTGGCTCGCTTGGCCAAGATATTCTGGAGTGCTTGTTTAGTGCCGAAACCCTCGCGAGAAATGCATCGGGACGCTCAAAGGTTCTCATGCCCCTTGGCATGTTCTTCCTCGCACTCTTGTACAACATTGCCCATGCCGTTACGCTTTACTTTCAGTGCATCACCCTCAACGTCGCTGTCAATTCCTACTCCAACGCTCTTCTGACCTTGTTAATGTCGAACCAATTTGTCGAGGTGAAGAGCACGGTCTTCAAGCGGTTTGAGCGCGACAACCTATTTCAACTCACATGTGCCGACATCGTGGAGAGATTTCAGCTATGGATCATGCTTCTCGTTGTCGGCCTGCGGAATGTGGTCGAGGTGGGTGGACTCTCCGTTCCGGGCGCAGGCTCCGGCGACTTGGAGCCGTCGGCCACGCAGCCTCTGCATAGCCCGACCATCCTCCCCACAGCTTCACCATATTGCCTACTTGGATCCTCTCTGGAGAGGTCTTGTCGCCCTTCTTTATCGTTATCGGCAGTGAGATTCTTGTCGACAGCATCAAACATGCCTACGTCACCAAGTTCAACAACATAAAACGCACTTTTACAGCCGAATCCTTGACATCCTGTGCAAGGACTACTACACCAACGTGAGTTTATGCACATCAGCCCCGTCGACCTTGCTGCCTTGTTTCTCCCCTAGCTTGAGTGTTGCTAACGTGTGCTTGTCTCTGGATAGGCCTTTACCACTCCATCGCTTACCCGAAGACTTGGTCTCCCGGTCCTCCCCTCTCCTGCCTCTTTATCCGAGCTTCTTTCCAAACCTACCACATGTTTCTATCTACCCGCTTGTCGCCGCCAATACCACCTTCCACGCACACTTCTTTGACCGAGAACACAACCATCCCGACGTCACCCGCGATATTGGCGGCTCTGGAAAGATTTGATACGCTGATTAGAGACTCCTTGGGGAGGTCAGTGTACGGAGACCCGTTTCGGGTTGGCGGGGCGAAGAAGCCTCAGTGGTGGGAATGGTCAAAGGACGATGCGATTGCCGCACTAACTATGGTGGTTTTCTTCTTCATCGTGTTCCTTGTCCTTCTCATCATCAAATTACTCCTAGGGATGGTTCTTTTGCACTACTCAAGCAAACGCTATGCTAGGATGAAGCATAGGGAGGCTCAGATTGCACAGGGGAAGATGGAGAAGGAGTCGCACTTGGCTCAAGGGAAGCGGGCGGGCGGCTACGGGCATGTCGAACTCGGCGAGGAGAGGAGCAAGTGGCTGAACGCGGATGAGCGGGAAGGCTTGAAGAAGAAGGGCAAGAAGGAGTCACCACCAGAGGACGATCTTGAGAGAGTCTCGAGATATGAAATGGTGGCAAAACGCATTTGGTAATGGCGCCTGGGAATTGCTTCGTTCTTTGATCGTGGAACATTCTTCATCGTAGCTTGTCTCACTTTTGCTTTTGCATTTGCATATGTACAATACCGAATATATTTTTTTCATCTGGCAATCTGTTTCTGTCCGTCTACCCTTGGCCTGTGCAGCGAGCCGGAACTTCAGAAGATGGCATAGTTAGTCTCTGCAACGACTTGATGGAAAACCATAGGAGCCAGGTGCGAAGACTCGACCCTTGATTTCCCTTCCTTTACTTCTTCACGCTGTTATCGAGAAGTCTGCCGATAGTGGGGTAGAAATCATCAATCAATCAGATCTGCTGTCCAAGCACTTGCCCAAAATATAACGGGTGAGTCTGCAATGCGGGTAGGACAGTGCGGATGGCACAGTGTTCACCCCTTCTGGAAGGCACGGGAGAGCCAACGTTGAAGCGCGATCTGCGGGCGTGTCCGCCCAGCAACTAAAAAATATCCCTGGATGGGATCGAACGCCAATTTCCCTCTACGAGTGTTTGTCGACGGACAGGCCCCAACTTGCAGCGGTCATCGAAATTCACCCGGGCTCATCTAATTCCATCTCGCCAGAGGAATGGCACGAGGTAGAATCGAATTGTCTATCAGGGAAGAAACCTACGCCTGCCCCCTACGCCTAGGTGAATGCGATCGATGCGACACCTCGCACCTACCAATCGCTCGTATCCCGCCTAAAGAATTGCGACAGCCGCTCCCGCGCTAGACAGTTTACTTTACCTCGTCGCTGCCGTCAGGTTCGATCTCGAACATGGGCATATGCTCCTCGTGTCTTGGAGAGGGTCGGCGGAGGGAATCGTACGACGATGTAAGTTTTGTTCGACCTAGGCCCGCAAGCTCTTCCCAAAATCCAGGCCCGATCAGAGCGAGAGCTAATGAGTACCGATGTCTAGGAGGAAGAATCGCCGCTGTTTGACGACCCCTCAAGCCTCCAATATGGCAGCTTTGGAGAGCAAAATGTAACGAACCCGGACGACGATATGGAGGCCCAGCGAGAGATTGAGGCCCTCCAACGGGTTGTGGCGAAGACCTCGGAGTATGTTTGGTTCCTTTCTCCTCGTATTTGCTCTCGCCCCTCCCCCAACACTTTGCCCCCAATCTACCATGTCATGCTGACTGACCTTGACTCTCTAGCAACATGGTTGATATCTTTGAAGTGGCGCCACAGGGTGACGGCCGCCGTCGGTCGACACCTGCGCCGTTTGCCTACGCAGGCCAGGAGGCTCGCATCATGCGGTACAAGAATCTTCTGTCGAAACTGGGCGCCAACAACGCTGGGGAAGATGTCGACCCAGCCGATGGTGTGCAAGTAGACTGGCTCACTGAAGAGCAAGATCTTATCGAGATGCAACGCAATGCGCCAAACACCAAGACCGACGACGATAAGCCCTTGGTCGGAACCTTTGCGGATGCAGCAGCCGCTATGAGTTAGATATGACCTTCGAAGCATTGCCCTGGCTCCAGGGCCCCGAAGATGAGACGCCGCTACGATCAGAGGCTAGCCGGCGGCCGCCCTCTCCCCGCCCCCGGCAGGCCCCAACGACTCTTCGGCAGCAACCTTGTACGATATGCGGGATGTGCGCGCCACTTTCGTAGTCCCAACCAGACCCTCGGTTCTCTAGGTGTCGGGATTTCCTGGATAGCGCCATCTCGCTTTTGGCTGGATTTATATCACTGTCCGCATTACCGGGAAGTGGGATGCGGGAAGCGGCGGTAGCCGAAAGACCCTGCTTTGTTTGTGACCTTTGAACGGCACTGCCCTAGCGCAAAGAGGCCAGGCGACAAGTGGCGGGGCAGGCAAGAGATGCTCCGCTCCAGTCGCCGGCCGGGAAAGAAGGGGGAAAAAAAGGCACAACCCTGCTCCGTCTTCCGCCCGCCCACATCATGTTTATTTATTATACCCCGAATGTGGCCTACTCACTATACACTCTTTTTTATTTATTTTTCTTTCTCTTTTTCCTTTTTTTCTTAAGAAATCCACCCTTTTCTTTCGTCTCGCTCCACCCATCCGAGCTTTCTCCCGAGTTGTCGTCTATTTATCTTTTACTGTCGGGCAACATCATGGAAGCCTTCGGAAGCCTCCTAAAACCAAACAATTCTCTGCCATGTTCGAGAAGAGGGACCCCCATGTCGATACCCATTTAGCAGTAGCCACGTGCCTTATATCAGCGTGGACTACAATGTACTGGAGACCGTTTAGAGGATAGGAAAGCATCTAGACCGGTTCGAGCCTGCGTCCCGTCCCGACCACGCCACTACCACCATAATTACCTGCCAGTACTGCATGGCGACCCTCGCGAACATGCTCTCAGAATGAATGGCCTGTTTTGTCAGCGTGCATTTCCTTGGTATTTTCTCCGGCTTCGGTACGGCATGAATTGCGTTTCTCGGTGGCTACAGCGTCTGGGACTGGCTGGATAGGGCCCCGTCCGGGTCAGTTTCTTGATAGCCCAGCAAGGGTCTGCATCATTTGGCTCCGCATCATTGGATGATCAACCCTCGATTCCCATCGAAGCGGCGTGCGCCCCCAGAACCCGCAAACTCGAAAACGAAGAGGGCAGCTCGCTCTCGAAAGAGGAGGCTCCCATCGATCGGGCAAGAGGTGGGTGTGTGGCCGCACGTCACTTCAGCTCGGAGATTCTTCAAGATGGCTATGGACCTCGCGTCCCCAGCAAGACTTGTAATAAGCTAGGGCCTAACTTTGCGTCTCTTTTCTTTTTTTTTTTTTTTTTTTACTTTTCTACCTTTCCTTTCTTTTTCTTTTTTGTCACACCCCTCCTCTCTTTGAGCTATCTTCTCAAACTCGGGATGCATGATGTATGGATTCGAACGTTTGCTTCGCATGGGCGGTTCCTGGACGGCGGGAAGTAATGACGGCCCTGAGCAACGAGGCCGAGGAGAGGACATTATATGTATTTTGCATTCGTCTCGTCGTTTTATGAAGCGCTCATGATGAACAACATCTCTCTATTGTCCCGCTTCTGTTTTTCCCCTCTCTCCTTCCTCTTGACCTTCTCCTCCTTGAAAGGGGAGCGTTCTCTCCCAAGTGCCACGCACCTGCACGCACCCCGTGCCCACATATGTATGTCCACATCTGCCCGCCCACACACGCACACCTCTCTCGCATATGGACTCCATCACCTTCCTTTTCGCTTCATCCCCTTCCTCTCGTTTCGCTGGCGCCCCACCTGCCCGCTCGATTTACCCGTTGGCACCCAGTGAACCGATCGTCAGGGCTCGCCGTGGCTCTCTTGCACACAATTCCCTTGCCCTACCTGCATCAGCACCAGCACTCGCCCTCTGAGCTGCCCCCACCAAAATGATTGAGGGCCTCTCTCGTTGTACGCCCGCCACCTTTCATGACCCGTTTCCTTCTACATTCTATACTCGTGCCCCTATCTACGAGGACAAGTTCTCCTCTTGTTGGGAGTACATCTAGCGGATGGCACCGCGTTGCTGTCCTGGAGCTTTGGCTACAGTAAGATATCCCAGAAGCCCCTCTCTGCTCTGCCGGGAGAGAGGGGAGGAGTATATGTCTGGTGAGTGATTTGTGTTCGGGAGCGGGGCGACAGAGTTCTCCAGTCGAAGGAGGCCTCAGTGCCTAATGATCCCGCTCTCCTCAGCACTAGGGGCCGAATCACGTTGGCCGAGCATGTTGAACTACGTGGGACCGTGGGGAAGCGTGGTGACGAGTGGCGAGTGCGTGGGAACCCTTGGAAAGGCATCAAATCCTGGAGGTGGAATGATTAAGTCCTAATCTGAGAGTACATTATGTTGGTTTGGCGTGGGCTGCCGGACCAGGAAACAGCAAGAAAGCTACTCTTTTTTTTTTTTTCCCCTTCGCCCTTTTCACTCCTCTGCTCGCGCCCATTATATTTCTTTTATCCAGCCGAAAGCAGGATATGCAATCTTTGTTTGTGTCGTTTCCGATCCCCATCGTCTTCTTTTCATGAGCTTTCCGTACCCTCTTGCCCATCAAGGCTTGCCCTAGTCGCCTCCACTTGAGCATTTGCAACCTCCCCTTGACCACGCAACGGATTGGCTGGGGGCCGAGGGGCGAGGAATCAGCGAATTCGCCTATCATCATCAGACTGGCCCCGCTGTTCCCCTCGCTTCCCAGGCTGACGTATCTCATGGAGGACGACTCGGTTCGTGTCTCCAAGGGGCCCAGAGATCCATTTTGACCCTATGACGAGGATGAGATGGGTCTAGAGCCTTGATGTTCCCCTTGCCGCTGACCATACATGGCCAGTGCCTTAGACAACCCTAGTTGCCTGAAAATACCCTCCTTCTACCAACCGCTGCCCCGTTTGGAAACCCTCGAGGGCCCAATCATGCTGTCTCTTTTCTTTCTCCTCTTCCTTGAATATTCCCATCGTTCCATGTTCCCTTCTGACACAGGAAGCGAAGCAGCTGTTGATGGAAAAGGAAAAAAAAAAAAAAAAGGGAACAGGGAAATAACTAAGAGAAAAGGAAAGAAGTTAAAAGACAAAAGAAAAAGAGAAAATACCCCTCCCACAAAGTATGGACGGACGCACAAGCATGGACACGCATATAGACGGTACAAATCCGACCTCTTGACATTTCACCCGCTCCCCTCTCATTTCCAATTCTTGTCTTCCCCGCCCTAGGCTTTTTGGGTCTTGATTCACCTCTTGAGGATGCCTTGCAGCGGCTGTCTTCGCGTTGTCTCGGTCGTGGATCAGCTGTAGTCGGCACCCTGAACTCGTCTCCAGTGCTGGTGGTGCATCTCCTCCATCTGCCTCTGGACGAGGACAGCTTCGTCCTGCGTCCGTTCGATTGTTGCTGTTCGGTTCCCCTCTCCTTGCCATCTCTCAATGTCACGGGACATCTTGGCTATGCGACGGACCTTTTTGTCAATGTCGTAGCAGAGCTTGCACTTGTCCTCATGGTCGTAGACTTGGTTGATGAGCTTGAGGCCACAAGTCTCGCCGGTCCGGGATTCCTTGATGCACTGTTGGCGAAAGGGACCCCATCTCCAGTATCCGCACTTCCATCTTATTTGATCGAAGTAGCACATGTCTGTGATAGGCGTGTTTCTTTCTCCCTTCTTTCTCACTCTCGTTTACCCCTGCCCAAAATGGACTCGTTAGACCACAGGCTCTTGCTTCTGTAACGTATAAGAGGATATCGGGCCCTGCATGACACTGATATATGTCTGTGCCTGAGGAGGCTTTAACCCACTTACTTCCTTCTGAAGCCCTCTGGGGAGGGGGGCTAGAATTCCTGATACCTCGGTGGCGGCCAGGCTTGGAAGATGGGGTAACGAGGTCCGAAGTGCCGAGCCGTCGCGGTCGACGTGAATTTCCCCTTCTTCCCCTTTGGCTATCGTGGAATGTCTTTCTTCTTCCGCTTTCGATTCTAGCGGGTTTCTCTCCCCGCCCCTTTTTAGTGGCCGCCGCGTTTTATTCTCTTGAATTCCCTTTTGGGGAGATGAAGCCGCCAAGTTGGTATAGCTCACTTCCTAATACCCGCTTTCTTCTTTCGTTCTTTTGATTTTCTTGCTGTGGATTTTCTCTCCGATCTAGTTGGAAGTGTTGTTTCTTCGCCTCTTACAGAGCGGGATTAGGGGATGGGGCTTGACGAGTGAGGGCAGAAGTGCAGCAAGTGTCAGGTGGTATCGAGGAAGACGCCGGTGGAGAGGAGCAGATCGAGACGATGGCACAACGGATGACGAAGGGGATTGTGAGGCTTGTTGAAGAAGAAGAGATGCCATTCCCGAATTTTTTTCGGTCCTGGGGGAGCGACGGGCCCAACTTATACCCGATCAGGATTCTCTTCGAAACCACAATGGTCCATATCAGTTTTCCATGCTGGGCACTTGTTGTTCGACGGGCTATTTGGGAGAAGTTAGCCTCTGCATTGAAGCCTTTCTGATTCGACCTCGTCCTGCAGGTCAGTTTCTCGGACTTCTGTCTGGCTGCCACGTTGAACCTGGGCCAGGACTTCCCGGCTCCGTTTCTACTCGCTTTCTTTCTTTTTTCTTTTTCTTTTTCTTTTTCTTTTCTTCTCCTTCTACCCCTTCCGCCTTCCCCACCGAAGGCCACTCCTCTTAGGGATGGGGGCCGGAATGAACTATTAGGGTACCCCTCCGTAGTAGTAGCGCTGCGTGATGCGGCAGCGATTCTGCATCTGCCTCCGACATCCCTCTTTGCTTTCACCCCCCTTTCGCTCCCTCTCTCTCAATGCATATCCACGCCTAGAAACTATAACCACGTCGTCCTCTTGCAACTTCCTGTTTTCGCCGTTGGTTATCTGGTTACTTGCTGTTTTCCTGCGCGGTCCTGTCTCTCCTGTCTCGCCTCCCTTCGCTGTCCTACCCGTCCGCCCAGTCGACATAGACCCGTTATTTTTGGCTTTTGACACATGTTCGGCCTTCCCACGTAGCCGAGAGGGCGAGCATCGTCGGGCCCTTTTTCAAGCAGCAGAAGGGCCTACATCCTAGTCGGTGGGCATGACTCGTGGCCGCGTGGGAGGCAAGGCCTAGCTCGAACGAGGCTTTCGAACGAAACATGTCCGTGATGCCACCCTCCCTGGCCCCGCCGTCGCCGTACGAACGCCACCTCAACCGGCCGGGACCCCTTGAGAACCTCATCGATGCACCCGATTTCCAAAAAGAAAACGGGGGCCAGGGGGAGAGAAGGAGAAGGGGGAGGTGGGAGGGGGTGTATCTCTACCCAACTCACTACCAGCATGTTCTTTTTCGGCTCCTCTTCCATTCCGTTTTTTTCTTTAGCCACCCCATGAATACCCGAGAGTTCCTTCATCATCGCGGATTTTGTCTTGCGTATACTCATTCCTTCAGAGGTCGCAGCACTCTTGCTATCACCCATACCCCATGCCCCATACCCGTCCCACCCCGGCCAAACAGGGTTGGAACGGGTTCGTAGGTATCCTTCCCGCTCGAGAAACCAAGGGTTGGTAGTCGATTTCATGATGCAGGTGACTGCTGATCCCCAAAGGGCCCCGTCCTCGATGTTTATCCCACCCCCTCATCCCTCACCCCTGGGGAGGGGATCCTTTTTCTGGGCAAGGCTCATCTCGAGGGTGTTCAACCCAGTGAGAGCTAGGCCATGGGCCCCGTTTCTCCTACCCGTTCTGCAGGACAGTTGGATCTCGACAGCAGGGGGCACCTCTCGCCTGAGCTGAGGGCATGGGTACCTCTTTTCGCTCCGGCAATGAGGGACACTGCTTTTTTTTTTGGAAAATCGCGACTACGCCCACACGAGAGTGAGTGTACATGTCCAAGTATCGATCCGAAGGGAGGTATCAATTCCTCGTTGCCCTTTGTGCTGCTCTCTTCGCGTCGTTCCTTTCCTCCACCCGCGACGTTCCGCGTGGTACCGAGGCGCTCATTCTACACAACCCGCTTCAGGGCCGGGCCAAGCGCGGCCACACCTGCTATCAACGTATGGGGGCATGGGTCGAAGAGAATTGGAAGGGGGCGAGGCCTAGTGAGAGACCCAGGCGAGGGGGCGACGGGAGCATCATTGAAGGGGAGGGAGGGGTGTGCGCGAGCAAGGAGCGGTTGGCCGCTTATTCTGGCCTCCCTCGCCTGATAAACGCACATCTCACCTCGCCGCCGGCAAACCTGATGCATTGGACAACAACATACGCCAACCAGGGATGAGCAATGTTGACTTCACGCTTGTCCTAGGCCCTGTCTTCTATTTTCCTTTCCTGTTCTTTGGGCAGATGTTGTCCCCCTCGCCAATTTCTTTTTCCTCCTTCTTTTCCTTTTTTTTTCTTTTCTTTTCATACTGGTGTCGACTACCTACCCGTTTTTTCTTTCTTTTTTTCTTTTTCTTCTCTCGTTTCTTTTCTTTTTCTTTTCATTTCCTGGCACCACTTCCCTTACCCCCCTTCCCTTTGGCGCGCCTTCAATGTTCTCTTCTCCCAGCGCGCTCCCTCATCCTTCCGCCAAAACCGTCTGTCGCAATAATAGATTCATCCAGTACATCTTAGAATTTCACCGGCTGTTCATTGGCCCCGTTTTCTCATCGCCGGCCGCATCCGACTCCAAAACCCACCCCTGCCATATCCTGGTGCACTCATTGCGTTTGGATTCCGAGTGGACTCTTTCCCCGAGTCTCAAGTAGCTTTCGTCTCCGGCGCCATTGCCACCTTTCCGCCCCTCCCCGTGTCGCGGGGGTTGCATCTATATACCCTCCTCAATCTGCGTCATGCCGTGGTATAGCCGTAGATAGACCTTTTAATAAAGGCTCTCAGTGTGGAGCTCGCTAAACTTCTCCGGAGCTCTTTCGCCTCCCTTCCGACAATTAAGCTATATCTACTGAGGTGTAGGTTGTCTGGACCGGTCCGGGGCTCAGGACTCGGCAGCCGGCCCATCCACTTCTTTGAAGCCTGATCCTGAACTGGGCTCCCTCCCTCAACAATGGTCCGAGTGCACTGTGAAGAGTTGGTAGCGGGTGGGAGGCCTAACCAAAACTTCCAGGCTGTCCAATTCCAAAAGCCTTTCGAGATAGCCTCGCATTCTGCGGTCATCAACGCATGGCTAGCGGGAAGGGACTCTGTCCCGCCTCCCACCCTCCCCTGTAGTAGGGCTTTAAAATACCGCAGCCCGTGATACTCACATGAACCTAATCTAACAAGAAGGGCCTAGATCCTATGGCTTGGCTAGAGATGGTTCTTTTCCACACCGGCATGCCCAAAGTCTCGTACATTCTCCTTGGTCCTATACAGCCATACTTAAGAGAGGCAGGGCCGTCTTTGAAATCCCCTTTCGCGGAATACTATGGGCTCTTGACAATGCCATAAAAGTCCGAGAGACTTCCGCCTTGTCAAACAGCAAACATAGCTGGGCATGCTAAGGGGAAAAGGGATTTTTAGGTTAGGCCCAGGGAGGCGAATGCGGGGGCAAAGAGCTGTAGTACCAACGCCTGCCCCGCTTCTAGCAATGGAAACCGTCAAGATTCCGATGTTAGCCAGCCGGTGAGCTAGGGGTTTTAGTGGACATCGGAACGTGAAGGAGTGGAAAGAAGCACGAGTGTGGCGCGGGGCGGTGCGCTACGGCGACGTCTCTTGGTTCAGGATAGCTGGGGATGGAAACGGTATAGAGGAGGGAGGCAAGTCAATGGTGTGCACAAACAGTAGAAAAGTACACGAGATGTATCGGGTCGTCAACACACCTGTGTATTGGAGACGAGCGGGGTCAGGGGTCGTTGGGTGTGTGAGACGGGGAAGTAGGATCGAAGAGGTAGAGAGGATAAAGGCCTAGCGACAGGCGAGTCGAAGTTGACGCCGTCGACGTGGCCATCTTCTTCTGGCTCCAGCTAGTGAGCCACCTTGCACTGACCGCCAGCTTGCGTCAAGGTGTCGTATTAGAACCTGCATATCTGATGAGACTTTTAATCAAGGTCCAGGGTTGTCCTTACCGACGGTGGCTTCATCGCCTATTGTATCATTCTATGTACCAAGCATGGACAAGCGATCTATAGGATACTACATGAAGTATCTGCGCCTGCCTACCCGCCGTCCTGCGTATCTCTCTACACGCACAGATAGGTGTATGTGCTAATGGAGGATGTGTGATTCTGATATGCACTGGGTCTACCGAGGTATCGTGTAAGGAAGAAAGGCGGGGATTGGTTCAGGACGCTTCTGCCTGATATATTTGAGTGACTGTTGAGAGAGATAATGGTTGGAAGAGATACTTTGAGACTTTGAGAAGATGTGTTGCCAACCGGAGGCCCCAGGAGTAGACACTGGTACAAGATATTCATCAGTGATAGGCATCATGGACCCAACCCACTCTTCCCCATACATTGAATTTATGGAGCGGGGACAGGTGGCAGAGCATCTCGGTTCCAGGAGGACGCGAGTGGGCATACAGTAGCTGGGTCCCGCTTGACTTTCCAGGATGCATCTCGGCCTTGAGGTGGAAGCCGTCCATCAATTGATCGATTTTACCGCCCAAGGGCTCCTCCAAAACCACGGTAATGAGCTGCAGCGGTCTGCTGGCATTCCCGCGTGTGCACGTTCTGCATGAGCCGGATGCCC